CCAGCACCACGGACTTCAGTCCCCAGCAGCGCGAGGGTGTTTCGGAGGATGAAGGTCGAGACCGGATCAACCGGCGGCTAAGAAGTCCCTGGGGGGGCAGCCGTGGCTTCACCTACGCTGGACGACAGCAAGAGGGACAGGATAACCAGGAGGAACCGCGCCCTAGCCATCTAAGGCGTCTGACAGGATTTGCTGGGCCATCAGATAACCAAGAGAGCCTGACAGCCGCCTGGAGACGCCATCGGTCCGAACGGGGCACTAGTATGGGTGCCCAGCGATGGCGACAAATCAAGGCCGGCTTCAAACTCATTGGCCAACGGCGCAAAACAGACAATACTGTGGACAATGCGAAGTCGGCGGAATTGCTTGCTGAACTCTCCTCAGCCGTGCCCGCGGCGCTGATTCTGGCCAGCGCGTTCCAACGAGACGAGCATGGGAGCCGACGAATCCCAATTCTCCTGGAGCAACTGAAGGTTCGTGTCACAGACAGCAAGATTGATTCGCATTCTGGAGATCGCCACTTGGTATTTCGAATTGAATTGGAATACGGAAGTGGCATGACACGAATGAAGTGGATCATCCACCGCACCTTGAGAGACTTCGCCAATCTGCATCTGAAATACAAGCTTCATTTCGGTACCCAGAAATATCTGCGGCCTTCCGAGAACGCCATTACCCTGCCCCGCTTCCCCAGAAGCGCCTTTCCCTATCTACGGGGCGTACGAGGCTTAGAAAGCGAATTTGAAGACGAGGGCGAGGAAGAAGGATACGAAACCGGCCCTGAGGTAATGAGTGGTACGGAGAGGGCAGGCAGGAAGAAAAAGACTGCTCCCCAACACCAACGTCGGCCCTCTGGCTTCTCCCGGAGAAAATCCAGTGTCGCGGCGCCGGGAGAGGAATCAGCAGTCGAAGGTGCTTCAGGGAGGAAGGAATCGTCTTACCCAGAACGACAGCGGAGGAAGCTTGAGCTCTACCTGCAGAAGATGATCAGTTTCTTGATCTTTCGAGCTGACAGTAACCGGCTGTGCAAGTTTTTGGAATTGTCCGCTCTTGGTGTGCGCCTTGCTGCCGAAGGGAGCTACCATGGCAAAGAAGGATTTTTGATCATCCAGTCTTCAAAAGGTCTCGACTTTCGCAGGGCTTTGACCCCGGCTCTCATCAAGAAGCGGCATTCTCCTAAATGGTTCCTTGTGCGGCACAGTTACGTTGTCTGCGTGGATTCTCCTGAGGAGATGAATATTTACGACGTTTTCCTGGTAGATGCTCATTTTAAGGTCCAGACGCAAAAGATGAGCCTTCGGAATCAAAAAGCAAAGGATTTGGCCAAGTCTGCCAAGGACTCTGCAAGACATCCTCAACACCATACCCTGCGTCTCGAGAACTCGGAGCGGAAGTTGAAGCTGCTGGCCCGAAACGAACGTCAACTCCAGCAATTTGAAGATTCGATTCGGTTCATGGCCACCAACACTCCATGGGCGAGACCCAACCGATTTGACAGCTTCGCCCCCGTCCGCAAGAATTGCTTTGCGCAGTGGCTTGTTGATGCACGGGATCATATGTGGGTTGTGTCGCGAGCCATCAACCAGGCAAAGGATGTCATCTACATTCATGATTGGTGGCTTAGCCCGGAGCTGTATATGCGACGCCCGGCTGCCATCAGCCAGAAATGGCGACTGGACCGTCTTCTCCAACAGAAAGCTCGAGAAGGAGTCAAGGTCTTCGTGATCATGTACCGAAACATCAATTCGGCCATTCCCATCGACTCAGAATATTCCAAGTTCTCTCTCCTCGACCTTCATCCGAACGTTTTTGTTCAAAGATCTCCGAACCAATTCCGCCAAAACACTTTCTTCTGGGCCCATCACGAGAAACTGTGTATCGTCGACCACACCTTGGCTTTTGTCGGAGGAATCGATCTTTGCTTTGGGCGATGGGATACTCCTCAACATCAACTGACTGATGACAAGCCTACGGGGTTCGAAACAACGGATATGCCGAAGGATTCAGACCACTGTCAGCTCTGGCCCGGAAAGGATTATTCAAACCCTCGAATCCAGGATTTCTATGATCTCGACAAGCCATACGAAGAGATGTACGACCGGAACATTGTGCCACGGATGCCCTGGCATGATATCTCGATGCACGTCGTAGGCCAGCCTGCCCGAGATCTCACTCGACATTTCGTTCAGCGTTGGAACTATATTCTTCGCCAGCGGAAACCAACTCGGCCAACCCCGTTCCTCCTGCCCCCGCCAGATTTCAACACGGGCGATATGGAGGCCTTGGGTCTGGATGGGACGTGCGAGGTGCAAATCTTGCGTTCGAGCAGCATGTGGTCTACAGGAACGCCTGATGTCATCGAGCACAGCATCATGAATGCCTATGTCAAGCTGATTGAGGAGTCGGAGCATTTTGTTTACATCGAGAACCAGTTCTTCATCAGTACCTGTGAAATCGACGGCAGGAAGATTGAGAACCTCATTGGTGATGCATTGGTGGAGCGGATTGTGCGAGCAGCCAAGAACGAAGAAGTGTGGCGGGCAGTTATCGTTATTCCACTGATGCCAGGCTTCCAGAACACCGTGGACAGCGAAGGTGGAACGAGCGTGCGGTTGATCATGCAGTGCCAGTACCGCAGTATCTGTCGTGGAGAGACTTCAATCTTCGGACGTCTTCGCGCTTTAGGTATCGAGCCGGAAGATTACATCCAATTCTTCAGCCTGCGCGCCTGGGGCAAAATCGGTCCTCAGAAGCAGTTGGTCACCGAACAACTTTACATCCATGCGAAGTGCATGGTTGTTGACGATCGTGCCGCGATTATCGGCTCAGCCAATATCAATGAACGATCCATGCTCGGGTCGCGAGATTCGGAAGTTGCTTCCATTGTGCGCGATACAGATATGATCATGTCCACTATGAATGGCAAACCATATCTCGTTGGACGATTCCCACACACTCTCCGCATGCGTCTGATGAGGGAGCATCTTGGAATTGACGTCGATGAGCTCATGGAGCACGACTTCGCCACCGAAGAAGAGCTACGGAAGATCGAAGTTGCTGAAGACTCCCGTCCAGCCAATGACCAATCGCGGGAGCGGCGAGGCTCGGAATCTTCAAGGCTGGAACGACAGGATGAACGAGAGATGATTGAACGTCGGCATCGCATCCAAGACGAGTTCCTGTCCCGCTCCGAGGATATGCACAGTTTCAACCACGATGTCGACTGGGAGCAGGGCAATAATCCCAACCTCAAGTCTAGTCGCAAGGTCACTGCCGACCCGCGTGTTACGGACAAACCCGAGCACAAGAAAGACGTGAATGGTGATGGCGTTGACCACATGAATGCGGCTTCCCAAGCAGGACTTGGAATTGCTCGTGATTCACAAATGATGGCTGATAGCAAAGAAGCTTTGGTCTCCCCCATTGCCTCCGAGGGCAAAGGCACCTTGGGGCAACCCAAACTGTCACCCCGAAAGCAGTCTCGCACGAGTTCCACGCGAAGAGATGGTAGACAAGGATCTTCTACTGACACACCTCATGACTCCGAGTCCAACTCCAAACTGGATACTCCGCTGCAGGGCCATGGGCCTTCAGGATCGTCCAGTCGCGAATCTGAGACTGGTAGCAGCGGTCTGATCATGTCTAAGGAGAACCATGACACTTCCAGATACCCACACCTACCCGCTCCGGATCTCAAGCGGATATTCGTGGATAAGGATTGTATGAGAGATCCCGTGAACGATGCCTTCTATCTGGACACCTGGCAAGCGCTGGCTGAGAAGAACACCAAGATATTCCGGTCTGTGTTCCGCTGTATGCCCGACAGCGAGGTTAAGAATTGGAAGGAGTACAAGGAGTACGCCGCATATGGGGAGCGGTTTGCGGAGATGCAAAGCCACTCGAGCAGCAAGTCGTTCAACCCGCCTCACCAGAAAACTACCGGCCCGCCTGGCGCCACTTCTACTACTGCTTCTGCTCTTGCAGCTTCGCCCTTGTCTCCCATCAATCCGAATACTGAGAAATCTGAATTAAAAACTCCTCAGACCATTGATGAAAAGGTCATGCTCGCGGCCTCTGACTCCAACCGAAAGGAGTCCAGACAGCAGCCTGACCTCTCCAAGCGGGAGACATTATCATCCACTGGTGAGAAGTCTGCCCTGAAGGTGGCATCAGAACAAACGTCATCGAATCATGCCCAGAACGGGCAGAGCGACGAGAATGGTACCGGTGGAGATGATCTGGAGAAGCCGCGGACAAACTCAGTGCACGTCGATTACTCCGAAGCCATCAACCTGAACTCAACCTCTCAAACACAATCCCGGAGACGAAGACGTAGAGCCACAACTATTGGCTCCAAACGAGAATTCCACGGTGCGGATGATGTGATGGACAAGCAACGCGCGGAGGACCTCTTGAATAAGGTGCAAGGCCGCCTCATTCTCTGGCCCTATGACTGGTGCGTTCTGACTATCTTTGTGGCCACTAGCATATGACTGACGTGATCTTTCCTGAACAGGCTCGAGAAAGAAGAACAGGGCGGAAACTGGCTCTACGCTTTGGATCAAATTTCCCCGTTGGAAATTTAGTAAGTTGCCCCCTCTTATACCTGCTCGGGCTGCATGCTAACAGAAATACAGCAATTGATCCCTCTTCCCCGTTTTGAATTAGCACTGGACGGCGTCCTGGGCCTTGCTTGCATCCATCCATCGCGTCTATTTTTCCTGTGTTTCTCTCTGCCCAGCGTTTCTTGAGCGCTACTTGTGCCACGCAATTGATGCATTTTCATCGCCTCTCCAGCGCATTGGTTGAATGACCTTTTTCCCTTGTGTTTTGTCCGAGTCATACACTGTACTGGGATAAACTGGCGTTGTTGGATTACTTCAGTCGACTCTAGCGCTTACACCAATAATAAGCGTAGTTTGCTTCATCTCATTCACGTAATCAAACAGAGAAGGGTATTGGTTTCTATATACAAGTATATCATAATTGACATTAACGGTTCATTCAAGACCGACATCCGTCGAGGATGCGACCTGTTCTCGAAAAATTTCGAGTTCATCAAAGTTGGCCTGCAGCGCGGGCGCCAGGATACTGAATTGGCTCTCCCCCTGACGAGAGGGCCAATCGTCGCACGCACGTTGAAGCGATTCATGAGAAGCCGCGAAAGCATCTTGCAGCTCGGCGACGCGTGCACACGACCGGCCCAAATTACGCATGAACTGGGTCGGGTCCTGGATACACAAAAAGCGGATATTCTGTTTTGTGGCAACCGTGGACCTTGCATTCATAATCGATCGCTGGCCGCGATGGAAGGCAGGTTCCTCGCCTTGCTTAGGACGGCGCATCTTCTGTGCCCCGAAGAAACCCGGGGGATCCGCAGCAATCCCGATGGTTTGGAGGTCGACTTCTGATCCGTAGAGATGTAGGAATGCGAGCAGTTGCTCACCTAGGCGATGAGAACCCACGAACCGGTCGTGGTTCATCTTGAGGAATGCAACGAGTAACACAGCAAGCGCGTTGGCTCCAATTCCCGAGTTTGCAGGTCCAAAGAGACCGCGTGCTTCCAGTAAGATGCGAGTCGCGGCATACAGGGGTCGCAGGGAGGGGAACTCGGCATGAGAGGTTTTTAGATACTCGTCCATGAGACGAGGAAAGTGTCCAAAGGAAAACCGAATCTGTAGACCGGTTTTTTGGTGCCGCGCTGAGAGTATGGGTACTGATTTTCGGACAAACTGAACCTGGTCAAATGTGGAGCTGGTCCGTAAAACATGTTCAACGAGGCGTAGGCATGGATTCAGGTGAGCAGTCAACACAGATGACCGTCCTGACCCTTCCCGGCATTTGACGGGGAAGACAAAGTGAGCACCTGAATGCGGCATCGCCAGCCCTGTGCGACGAGAATTGGTGATTTGGGGTTTGACATCGAAAGACTTTCGCATGGACTTGGCAGCCAAAGAAAGTCCTGTCGGTGGATCTGCAGACAAAATATGCCTTTCCAGGAGATTTCCCACATCCAAACTCAGTTGCTCGATCGCTTTTTGTTCGCAGGGGCGTAGGGCCAGGTGTTGGTCCAACGCGCGAATCTCGGCATCCAGACGTGCCGTAGCTTTGTCGTGAGCAGGGGACTGCTCGACATATGCTAGCCAGGGACTTTGTCCAGGATACACGGCGTGAATCAAGTCAAAAGTAGGTCGTTGAGAGGATAAGCGCGAGACCGGAGTATGCAGGTCTTTCCTCTTGCGGCGTCGCGCCTTGCTCTCCGGCTTGACCGCAGTTGGCCCTGGCTCCGGGTTTTCTAGAATGGATGAAGCAGCTGTTGTCGGTGGACTGTAGCCCGCATAAACATCTGGGCGGAGCTGTGGCCTCCAAATCGCTGGCGACGGCTCACGAGGATAGATCTTGCGAATAAGACCCGCCCGGTTGGCGTCGCGATGAGCGCCTAGGGTCTTTTCGAGACTGTTGGTGAAGATCTCCGGGTCTTTGGTTGGGACATGGGATTTAAATGGGCGGCGGACATGTTTCGAGAGTGATCGAGCCGGCCGCATAGCAGGGTGATGGGGTGTGTCGGTTGGAGAACTTTCTGGCTGGTGCGGGTCCAGGCCAGGCCAGACCGAGGTTGGTGCCTCAGGCAACAACTGGCCATGTGACCCGTCCGAGACGAAATAATTCCGATAGTAATGCCTACATACTAGTAATAGTTTTATTTTTCTCTACCGACCTTGGAGTATGTATGTCAATATGACGTGCGCAAGTCTCTTGTGGTGTCGGTCATGATAGGCGGGCCACTGTGAATGGTCCAGCTCACCCACTCACCGCTTGCGTCTTCTGCCCCTCTATCATCATCAATCAGGTTCCCTTTCTTTCCCTTTTCCATTCCCTTCTCCCTTTCACAATCCTTCTCAGTCTAATTCCCTCCCCCGCCTTTGTTATCACCCCCTGCCTCATGCCCGCTCCCTGCTGACGGTGGCGTCTCTTCCCTTCTGTGCTCATTGATGGCTGTTGGGCGCCACCCGTAGGTTGTTTTCGTGCGTGTTGATCGACAGCTTATCGACCCCGTCCTGCTCCGAGGTACGTTTAATCCCTTCTTTCTACCTTGACGTCAATCCTACCCCAGATTGTGGCCATGGCATGTGATAATTGCAGCTGGCGCTGACATCCGCTGCAGTTTAATTGCAAACAGTCCCGCTGGGTGGAGAAGCGATTGACCGACTTCAGTTTCCATCATGACCGATCAAGGCAGCCCCAAGCAGGTGCCGGAGGGCCAGCCAGACCCAGTGCTGGTTGGCCCAGGGCTACGGGCCTTGAAAGAGGAAGCATACACAGATGCTACCAATGCTACCCCTACTACGGACGCGGATAAGACACACCCCGTCGACACTGATGCGCCTCCCTCATACTTTGCCAGCATCCCTGGGGCCAATTCTGCGGCATTGGACCCGTCCGAGCTTTCTTCTTCTCCTTCTTCTGTGGCGAGGCGAGCGTCGTCAGGCCAGGACTTATTGCGACGGTTAAGTTTGACCGCAGATGCTTCGCCAGGGTCGCCGGAGGTCGACCCACGTACGCAACATCCAGGACTACGTCTGAGCGGCCGTGTGATCAGTGCCGCATTCTGCATACCATACAAGCTCTATCATCAGCCAGGATCGGATTGGGTACGTCGAGTCCCGCTGAATCTGACTGCCCCAGGAGAGAAAACGGCAAACTGACCAACGTTTCTGATGAGAACAGGTGCTCAAGCCACGATCTGGAACCTCGGCTCTCTTCGATTCATTCGCTCATCTTGCCTCAGATGAAACAACTTGGTCACACACTCTGGTAGGCTGGACTGGTGAAGTTGAACCGACCTTGGACTCGAAGACACCCTTACAGCCGATCCCGGCCAACGCCGTCGGCAAGTTGCCCACTGTTTCGCACAACCTATCCCCCACCCTCCCATTGAACAAAGCGGCAGCCCCGGTTCCCGTAGATGCCAGCCAGAAGCCCCCGATGCATCCGCTGTTGGAGGGGATCAATATTGATCGGGAAGATCGAGAGCGGCTCGATCACCAGCTCAGCTCCGGGCGCTATGGCCGGATTGCTCCTGTGTGGTTGTCTGATGCATCAGATGAGCCGCAAGATACCATCGTGCTGAAGGACCAAGGAAGGTGGCGACGGTATGCGGAGCGAGAATTGTACCCGTTGCTGCACTACAAGCAGCATGGTCCAACGGATGGCCGCTCGGAGCGGCGGTGGTGGGCTGATTACCTCCGATTAAATCAGCTGTTTGCGGACCGAATCGCGAAGGAGTATCAAGAGGGGGATGTCGTGTGGGTTCATGACTACCATCTGTTCCTTCTGCCCAGTCTCCTGCGGCAGCGAATTCCCAACGTCTACGTGGGCTTCTTTTTACACTCACCATTCCCCAGCAGCGAGTTTGTACGGTGTCTGGCGAAGCGCAAGGAGGTATTGACGGGCGTGCTGGGTGCCAACATGATCGGATTCCAGACATTTTCCTACTCGCGACACTTTTCTTCGTGCTGTACCCGTGTTTTGGGCTTTGAATCAAACTATGCCGGGGTGGATGCCTACGGGGCGCATGTTGCGGTTGACGTGTTCCCCATTGGGATTGATGCACGCTCCATCCAGAAAGCCGCTTTTGGAGCCACAGACATCGAGAAGGCCGTGATGGGAATCCGCAGTCTGTATGCCGACAAGAAGATCATCGTGGGTCGTGATCGACTGGATAGTGTCCGGGGTGTGGCGCAGAAACTACAGGCGTTCGAATTATTCTTGGAGCGATATCCTGAGTGGCGCAACAAGGTTGTCCTCATCCAAGTGACAAGTCCCACCAGCGTGGAGGAGGAGAAAGAGGATCCCGAAAACAAGATCGCTGGCCAGATCTCCAGCCTGGTTTCCACCATCAATGGCCGTTTTGGGTCCCTGAGCTTTTCACCCGTCCAGTATTACCCGCAATATCTCTCGCAACAAGAATACTTTGCCCTGTTGCGCGTAGCTGACGTTGGATTGATCACCACGGTGCGAGACGGGATGAACACCACAAGTCTGGAATACATTGTCTGCCAGCAGACGAACCACAGCCCACTCATCCTATCCGAATTCTCGGGAACTGCAGGGACGCTACCTAGCGCCATTCACATCAACCCCTGGGACCTAGCTGGTGTCGCGGGCGCCATTGACCGGGCACTGAAGATGCCCCCCGACCAGCGAAAGGCGCAGCATCTGAAGCTGTACAAGCATGTGATCACCAACACAGTCTCGAATTGGTCGAAGCAGTTTCTCCATCGCCTTCTGACGAATCTCTCCTCGTTCGACCAGTCGGTTGCCACGCCAGCACTTGACCGGGCGAAACTCCTGAAGCAGTACCGCAAGGCGCGGCGGCGTCTGTTCATGTTTGATTATGACGGAACGTTAACACCCATAGTTAAGGATCCACAAGCCGCCATTCCGTCGGACCGAGTGCTGCGCACCATTAAAAGCCTCGCGGCGGACCCGCGCAACGCTGTTTGGATCATCAGTGGACGGGACCAGGCTTTCTTGGATGAATGGATGGGCCACATTCCAGAATTGGGGCTGAGTGCCGAACACGGATGTTTCATTCGTAAGCCCCGGAGTGACGACTGGGAGAATCTGGCCGAACGGACGGATATGGCCTGGCAGAAGGAAGTGGTGGAAGTTTTCCAGCACTTCACTGAACGTACCCAGGGCTCCTTTATTGAGCGGAAACGGGTGGCTTTGACCTGGCACTACCGGCGAGCGGACCCAGAGTACGGGGCATTCCAGGCTCGCGAGTGTCGGAAGGCCCTTGAGGATACTGTGGCCAAACGCTGGGACGTGGAGGTCATGGCGGGCAAGGCTAATTTGGAGGTCCGGCCGACATTTGTCAACAAAGGCTATATCGCCACGCGGCTGGTGAACGAATACGGGGAGAAGCCTCCTGACTTCATTTTGTGTCTGGGGGACGATTTCACCGACGAAGGTATGTGGGAATTTTGTTCATGTTGCTTGCGGCTTGCGGCTAGGATGATTGCTGATACAGGTCTGGTTCAGATATGTTCCGTGCGCTGCAGAAATTCGATTTGCCCCAGGACCACGTGTATTCAGTCACTGTGGGTGCCAGCTCGAAGCAAACCGACGCCAGCTGGCACCTTTTGGAACCAGCCGATGTTATCGGCGCCGTCCAGATGCTGTACAGCCCCGGCCAAGACTACTGAAGTACCTTTTGCTCAGCTAGCTGTTACGGATTGGCTCGCCTTGTTTCGATAAGACTTTGGCTCAGAGTGACGGGTTTCCTCCTCGGTATGCCGGATCGCGTTGTGGAGTTGGGAGTGGATTGCTAAATCCATCGCTCGTTGGGTTTGTTTTGAAGAGCCTTTATTCTAAGGCCTTTTGTTTCCCCGTGCCGGAATTGAGTGCCTGGTTGACAGGTCCTCTGATTTGACGGCAGACATGGCACAGCCTGTCTTCTATGTGTTGTAATCGTGGCATAGACCCGTGAGCGCCGGCGTTGTATGTTTAGTTGTGCTAGATGCTTGGAATAGACGGATTGTTTGAGCGACTTGGCAATTTCTATGGGCAGGCCTAAAAGTAATATTCTGTCTGGGGATTCAGGCTAGATCAAGCATCTGGATCAGCCCTAAGCGGTGCGGAATGAGCACACGGAAACATGAAGAATCATTGAAGCATCTCCGCATGCAGAACGAACTTTAGGCCTAGCACAATGATAAAACTCTCGGAGTACAGTGGTGTATTCGTTCCAAAAGTCTGAAACCCATTACCCGCTTAGACGGTAGGTAGAGGGTTTCAGACTTATGGAACACCACTGTCCCACTGTCATCGGAGGGCGCCCTCGGGCATCGGTGCGAGGCTAGCGGGGCCGAAGGGTCGGTCGGAACCCCGTAATATTTTCTATTACATAAATTTTCTTCACACGGGGATTTTCATACTTGACTCACTACGGAGTACTCAATGATTATTATTATTAATCTCTCGGGGCGTTTTCTGGTGCAATTTGGCACTCTTTTCCGTTTCCATTTTGGACGTCATCTATGACAGCCTAAACGATTCCGCATTGATATCAGGTGGCAGAGAAGAAGCCGGCAAGCATGGTCGAGGAAAAAGACCTCGAATGCGGAACTGAGTCGGCCACCATCACCGCTGATGCCGAGCTCCGAAATGCCTCCTCCGATGAAGAATCGACAACCGGCGAGCCGGGCGCCAACATCGAGTATAATGACCTGACTCCGGTCCCCACGAACACCAGCGCCATCGCACGCACCCTCTCTGTCGTGCGCACACGGGAATCCGGCAAAGATCTCGGGCCGCCGCCGGACGGGGGCTTCCAGGCCTGGTCGCAGGTCGCACTGGCGCATCTGATCATCTTCAACACTTGGGGGTACATCAACAGCTTCGGCGTGTTCCAGACATACTATACACAGACATTGAATCATCCGCCGTCCGACATATCATGGGTGGGCAGCATTCAGATCTTCCTGCTCTTTTTTATCGGGACATTCTCTGGCCGCGCAACGGATGCGGGCTATTTCAAATTCACCTTCGCGATGGGCGCCCTCCTGGAGACCTTTAGCATCTTCATGACCTCGCTGTGCACCAAGTACTGGCAATTGTTTCTGGCACAGGGCGTGGGACAGGGGATTGGTTGCGGACTGATGTTCTGCCCGACCCTGGCGCTGATCTCGACGTATTTTGCCAAACGGCGCGGCATTGCCCTCGGTCTCGTTGCCTCGGGCTCTGCGACGGGAGGACTGGTCTTCCCCGCGGTTATTATGCGCCTGCTGCCGCGTGTTGGGTATGGATGGACAGTGCGAACGCTCGGGTTTATCACGCTGGCGACGCTGATCCCCTGTCTGATTTTCCTGAAGCAGCGCCTACCGCCGCGCACCACGGGACCGCTCGTTGAATGGGCCGCATTCACTGAGTTGCCGTACGTGTTGTTTGCAACGGGAATGTTCCTGAACTTCTGGGGCCTGTATATCGGGTTCTTCTATATCGGCAGCTTCAGCCGCAACATCATCGGCGTCTCCGACACCACGTCGATCGACTTGCTGATGGTCATGAACGGCGTCGGACTCGCGGGTCGGTTAATCCCCAACCTGGCAGCCGACAAATGGACCGGTCCGTTCAACCTGCTGCTGCCGTTCAGTTTCGCTACCGGCGTGGTGGCCTACTGCTGGGCGGGCGTGTCTAGTCAGTCGGGCCTGTGGGCATTTGCCGTCTTCTACGGCCTTTTCGCTGCGGGCATTCAGTCTCTGTTCCCTGCCACACTCAGCACGATGACGACCGACCTCAAGAAGATCGGCGTCCGCATGGGCATGGTGCTTAGCGTCGTCGCCGTGGCGGCGCTCATCGGCTCGCCCATTGCCGGGGCTCTGGTCGAGCGCGATAACGGGCAGTACCTCTTTGCGCAGATGTTCATGGGTAGCGCCATCTTCGGGGGTTTCTTGACGCTGGTCGGGGCCCGAGTGGCCAAGGTGGGCACTGGTCTGGTGCGCGTGTAAATGCGCAGTTGCACATTAGCCCTAATCACCTACAATAGCCATGCCCCCTTGCAGAGATACTTAGTTAGCTACCACGCCGACTGCATACTTAAGTATGAAATAGACAGAATACTAATGACCATAAAATATTTAACCTTCCCTATAACCCTCTATAAGCATCTGTACCCATCTCTTTTCTATGTTGTTACTAACTACTACTTCGTGATTCAGCGCCCAGACCACCCCCCACTTAGTTAGTTTGCCCCTCCGATGATTCAGTTCTTCTTCTTTTCCTCCGTTCAACAAGTACATACTACCTAGGCAACTCCCTTGGCTCGTCAATTCTCCTTTCGCACCCCATTCATCCCATTTAACCCTGCCAACCACCACCACCCACTCTACTATGGCGCCCCGCGGTCGAGGAGGAAAGTTCAGCAAGCCCACTCGAGGAGGTAAGAGTCGCGTGCAACCTCTGCGGAAAAAAGACCCTCGCACTGATAGTCGTCAAACAGGAGGCAAACATTTTAGCAGAAACCTGCAGCCCGTAGATAAGGATGGCAATGTCGTTGGAATGTGGCGGGTACGGTTTTGCTTCCACTCCAATGCCCCTCAACCGGCAAAGAGACCAACCAACTAACACGTCGCCGCGCACACCAGGAGCCCCAAGATGTAGTGCCCCAGTCCAGCGATGAGGAGTCCTCCAGCGAGGAGTCTGAGGAGGAAGAGTCCGGCGAGGGCGAAGGAAGCGAAGACGAAGACGCCGGCCCCAGCTCCGCCGCGGGCGCATCAATGACCCGCGAAGAGCGAAGAGCCGCCGCCAAAGCGAAGAAACAAGAAGCGATTGCCAGGCGAAAGCACACCGCCGCGCAGCCGGGCGACCTGCCACCGAGCGACTCCGAGGCCAGCGAAGACGAAGACCTACCTGCCAACCCGAACCACACGGCCAAGTCCCGCTCGCAGCTGCAGAAGAAGGAGCCCGACGAGAACGCTCCTCCGGCGCCGAAAAAGGCGCCGGCTGATTTATCGCAGCTGTCGCGGCGGGAGCGTGAGGCGGTCGAAGCGCAGCAGAGGCGCGAGCGGTATATGAAGCTGCATGCGGAGGGGAAGACGGATGAGGCGCGCGCGGATCTGGCGCGGTTGGCGCTTGTGCGCGAGCAGCGCGAAGCCGAGAAGGCAAGGAAGCAGGCGGAGAAAGAGGAGAAGGACGAGCAGGCCCGGGAGCGTGCGGCTGCTGTGAAGGAACGCGAGGACAGGTTGCGACAGGCGGCGATGGGCAAGCCGAAGAAGGGTGGGAAGAAATAAACACGTTGATAGTACGCTTCATCGTCGTCATATAAACCATTTCCATTCTCCAATTGGTCTATGAAACACAACTCAAACCCATAGATGAACCCACAATGTACACCGAACGCCTCTTCTCCAGATACATATATCAATCCACAATTACACTCTTGCAACCATGCATGAGCCAGTCAGAAACAAGATCTACACGGGATCCGAAGAACCCCTGCTTTGGGAAAGTAGTATATCGAGCGGTACTGCATTACACACCCCAGAACAAGCCCTCGACACTGTGGCCTTGCGCGACAACCCCCCAGCCGGCAATCAGACTGACGAGCCAGAGCACCGCAAAGATCAGGATGGGAGCAAGCAGCAGCTCCGTGTTGTGCAGAAAGGGGAGGGCATTGTACCCCAGGAAGGTGATGTAGGTATAGTAGATGAGCGCAGACAGATATAGCGTGTTTCCGAGGAACGTGGCCAGGAAGTTGCTCGGGCTGCGGGTGAGGAGCGGGAGGAGCAGGAACTGCACCACGTAGAGGTGGAGGTAGAGGGGGAAGAAAGCGCGGTTGGAGACCTAGAAGTAGCCGGGTCAGCGACGCATAGCACGAAATGCGGGCTGCAGCAGGGGGGGGTTCCGTCTCACATCAAAACAATATCCAAACTCTAGCTGTTCCTTTTCCCCCGGCTGGGCAAATAGCCCCTGTGCAGCGCCGCGTCGTCGGCCTCGGGAGCCGCGCAAGCCGGCCAAGGACGTGGCAGCGCCGTCCGGACCGAATAGTCGGCCGATGACGAAGTAGCCGATAGTCGAGACGAGGAGGGAAGATCCAATGAAGTGGATGAAGATGAAGAAGAACATGAGGCGGATAATTGCGCCGAAGGACGGGGTATAGGCTAATCCCCAGGCGAGGGCTGTGAGGAGAAGGAAGAAGGATAGGAGGTAGGTGAAGGATGGGTCTGGCCGGTGCCATGTATTCTTGGTTTCTGATGAAGAGGGAAGGGTCAATAACGTCGGGGTATATCCGCGCCAAGTGGCTTGCAACTTACGTTTCTGTGAAGCCCCCAGTTAGCATATTTCTCCTGTCCGGGTCTGCTGGGTGCACTTACATGGTAATAAATCGACTTGAAGACCTTCTTCGGGGCAATTAACAACGAAGTCATCTCCCAAATGGCCATTTCAAAGTCCATTTGCGGGAACTTGAACAGTCTGTTCCGCCGGTCAGCCACCCTGTCCTTCTATCCAGAGCACTCATCCACCGACCTCTTGAAGAATCGCGGCATGCGCACGCTGGACCGGCGACTGGTCGGCGTTGACCCGCCGAGGTTGGCCGGACCGGCATGTTGACGGGGCACGGAGATGTGGGGGTTCATGATCGAGGGAAGGGCTGCCCCAGTGAGTCTCAGGCGAGGTAGCTGAGAACCAGAGCGAGTGTCTAGGAATTCCGGACAACAACAACAATGATGCTTGGGCATGGCCTCGAGGTGCCAAGGTGCCGGTGTTATGTCATCCCCGGTCACGTGGGGTGTCGATCATGAGGTCGCGCTTGCCCTAAACAGACCGAGAGACCGACCGGAGTATACAACAGCCTGTCGGGCAATCATATACGAGACTACGGATTTATGAGAAACGGATTGAGTTGCATAATTCCGAGTGTGTAATGGACAGCCCACCCGAGAAGATCCCGATCAGCTGACAAGTGACCTGTCTGCAAGGGATCGGGATGAGGCATCACCTCCGCTGCATCGCCTGCAGCATCACGATGTGGAGAAATGCGAGCAGTCAGAAATTGCAAAGATAGAGACTCTGTCTGGGCTTAGGGTTACATACATGCTACATGCTCCGGACAGACAGACAACGCCATCTTCAGCCCCTGAATAATAATCATCCAGGATGCCGATCCTCAGTTGATCCTGAAATCCGGAATTATAATAATAATGATAATAACCATAGTGAATAAGAATAATCAGAATCCCAGTTCATCCAGTTCCCCTGACGGTCTTTCATGACTATTGTTCTCCTTCGTGAACCCCAGGTGAAAAGTGAACGGGTGTGCTCCCCGAGATCAGATCCACTCAGGAGTTCGAGTTCTCCGTCTCTCCTTTCCCTCCTCCACTTCCCCCCAGACTGGGCCGAACGCAATGCCCGTCTGAGACTCTCGTTACACCCTCCATGCTTCAGCCCAGTTGCACTGGTCTTCTTTAACATCTTCCTCCTCTCCCTCCCTCTCTCCCTCCAGCGGACACGACGACAACTATGTCGCAGCAACGGGAGTATACCGCCGCTCCCTCCCCTCCGCGTACTCCTCCCGCCCAAACCTCCAAATACCGGCCGTCCAAACAAAAATTCCAACGCCCATCGATCCGCGACACCTTCCCTGACACGATTGACAATGGCACGAGCACCAGCGATTCCGGGGATGACCGCGATCCACATGACCTATCCCTCTCCCCCCAGCATGCCGTGCGCACGTCGATCGTCGATAACATGCTTCTCTCCCTGGACCAATTCGACGCGCCCGGATCATCCTCTCCTCTAGATGATTACCGCATGTTCAATTCCACCTTGGACTCGGATACCCACACCCGATATCCCAAGGAGTCGACTGCCCCCGGTCGGTATCGCGGTCACACCTTCTCCTCGTCCATGTCCTCCGAAGCGGATTACGCCTATGATGACAATCGGTATGCAACGAGGACAACAAAGGGCAGGCGGAGCAACAGCAGTTCCAACCATCAAACAACGCCGAGGAGAATGGGAAGCACACGAGGTCGAGACTCGATGAGCGCGCGTGGGGTGCCGGCAAACATTCCGCGATCTAGCGATGCCCGCAAAGGTAGCAAGGGAAGCTCAACCTCGACGGTCGAGTACCCGTACAACATTCCTCGAACGCGAGCAGACTCGGGCTTAGACAGGCGCTCGGAGAGTTTTGACTGCGGGCCCAAGCGAGCCTATGTTCCATATCCGGAGGCCGATGCCGGCCAGGATTCGCTGTTCTACGATGACAGCGACGCCGCGCCGACACCAAGCGTGCCAGGAGGGCCACGAAAAATCCCGGACTATAGTAGGACACCAACCAATTCACGGACGCCGGCGGGGTCGCGACGAAACAGTGCCAAATCGGCAGCACAGGCTCCTCAGATCCGCAAGACCCGCGCAGACAACATCGGCACGGGGACTCTTCGAGCTCGGGACAATGAATACGCGCAGCCAGATGGGGAGGTGGAAATGCCTCCGCCCATCCCCGCGTCGCAGGAGCCAGCCCCGAGCCCAACGATCTCATACAACAAACCTTCCCATCCTCCGGAACCGGCTCCAGCGAATTCGACCACTACATTCGCCTCTACCAACACACCTACAAAGGACCGTCCTGGGTTTTTTCGGCGCGTGTTCGGCGGCTCATCTAAGACACCGTCCCCCAGTGTTGGAGAACAAGGAGGGTCCAGCGCGAACGACTTGTCCTATCTCCGTGAGAATGAACCCAAAGATGCCAATGGAGTGACGGTCAATCTAAAGGGGCGGCAACAGCAGTTGCCCCCCAAGACTCCTACCGCCGAGGCCTCGCCATCCGCCCGAAAAGGACCGCAGCAAGTAGTGAAACAAAAATCATCGTTCTTCCGCCGGCGCAAGAAGTCTGTGGTTGAGAATGTTCCGCCTCCAATTGTTTTGCCCCAGGAGATTGCAGCTCCACAGGCCCTAGAAATGATGAAGCCGGAGCCAAGCCCCGTTAGCAGTCTGCGGAGGGTCATGGATCCGTACCTTGCAGAAGCTAACCCGGCACTCCAAGCTTCCAAGGAGCAACGCCGCGAGGGGTCGCAGGCCCAAGACTCTTCGTCTTTGCAACCACAAAGAGAGACCGTGTCACCTTCTGCCGAGGAATCGACAATCAAGGTAGTCACTCAAGATAGTGAGGTAGAAACGGCCACAGAGCCGGCCTTACTAGACCAACCCCGGAATGCCACTCCCTCTGCGTCTTTGTCACCTGTGGTGGAGGATTACTCGCTCAATGCCAATTCACCCACCAACCACTCCGCTGATAATCTTCCGAAAGAAACACCAGTTGAACTCAACAAGTTGGCAATCCCTTCCACTGGCAAAGATATCAAGGCCCCCGAATCTCCCGGTGCGTCCGTCTCAGAGGCGTCGCAATATCAAACCGCGGTAAACACCCCGGTGGTAGAATCTGAAGAACCCAAAACGGCCGAGGAACCTAAGGACACAACCGACGGGCCCGGAGAGGCAGTGGAGGATGATCCGACGGCGATTGATCGAGAACAAGCGCAGAAGCTCTTTGATAGCCAGGACCAAGTTGTGGGCAACGAGCCGGCTGCCGCTTGGTTGGGTGACCCTGATCGTGCCAAGGTTCGGGAGGCGTACATGCGACTCTTCAACTGGTCCAACGTCAACATTCTCGCTGCCCTACGAAGCCTCTGTGAGCGTCTGGTGTTAAAGGGAGAGACTCAACAAGTGGATCGCGTCCTAGATGCTTTCTCAAACAGATGGTGTGATTGCAACCCGAGTCATGGTTTCAAAGCCACCGGTAAGTTTATACCTTGTAATCCTTTGTTCTGCGCAAATTTAACCCATCCGTTTAGATGTTGTCCACACGATTTGCTACTCCCTTCTTCTCTTGAACACCGATCTTCATTTGGCCGACATCGACCAGAAGATGACTAAATCCCAATTTGTACGGAACACTATGCCGACCATTCATCGAGTTGCTATGGACGCGGCTCCGGAGGGATTTGACACCTTGCGTCCAGTTAATCGTACCAAGACCACGCCTCAAAGCCTAGACGCAACTCCCACCTCTGCTCGATCTGCAACGTTCCCTCTTGGCGATGGTAGCCACGGGTCATTGGACGTGGATTCCATCCGGAGCCCTGTCGATGCCAGTAACGACACTGGCCCGCTGGTCAGTGTGCCATTCACTGGAACCGTGAGAGCCTGGGAACAGCAGGTGGAATCTGTTCTGAAAGAGTTTTATAACTCCATCCAAAGAGAAAGGCTTCCTCTGTATGGTGCTCAGCCCGAGAGAGAAGTTTCTCGGATGAACTCGAATAACTTCCTGGGTCCTTCAATGGGTACGCTACGCAGAAGCCCCAGCACGATCAGCAAGAGTGGCTCGGACATTTATCCACGCGGCCGGTCCGCTGATTCGCGTCATGGAGCCGCACGGTGGTCATCCAAGCCCCGTTCTCGAGCAGGGAGGCTGTACCCCCCATCCTTCATGGGCTCCAGCCGAACAAGTCTTGATGATCAGTCGTCTCTTTGGAGCCCTACTGCATCAAGCACTTGGAGCAAATACTCTCTGGGCAGATTCACTTCCGCTTCTGTGGACTCTTTCGGCTCGGAGTATCCGCGCGGCGAGTACCAACAATCCATCGGCTTTGCAAATGCACTGAGCCAGGCAATCATTCGCGAAGACTCCGCCACCTCCGTTTACAGCTATGAGGACAACGAACGCACGATGCCTCTGCTCGAGGATGAGACTTTGGTCCTTGCTGGCGCACCGTGGGCCAAGGAAGGAAGCTTGAAGCACAAGCACCACTTGGACGCTGTGGACAAACGAGCCAAGGACCGAAACTGGAACGAATGTTTCGCAGTCATCCAACATGGCTGGATGCGTCTCTTCTCCTTCAACTCCAAGTCGATGCGCCAGAAAGCGAAGCAGCGTGGCGGCGTCGTGGTTGGAGGAGGCAACTGGACGGAAAACGCCGAGGAGCTCTGGAAGTTCATGCTACGTCAGACTATTGCCAGTGCTCTTCCCCCGCCCGGATATTCCAAGTCCCGTCCCCACGTCTGGGCGTTGAGTCTGCCCACCGGCGCCGTGCATCTCTTCCAAGCTGGTACGCCCGATATTGTGCGAGAATTTGTCTCTACGGCCAACTATTGGAGTGCACGATTGTCAAAGGAGCCTCTGGTGGGAGGTATCAGCAATATTGAATATGGATGGAGCGATAATGTGATCAACACCGCCTTGGTGAACCCCGAAGGTCGGTCCCCGCCGCCTGGGTCTGGGCCCCGACCAAGCATCCAGAGCTCGATCCGGAGCTCCATTGATCAGCAGAATGTGCGGCCCCGACTCCCTGCCGACAGGGTCCACATCAGCGACTGGAGCCCGCCGCAACAGAGCATGGTCGCCTCCCATCTTACGGAGGAGGACCAACTGAAGGCTCTTCAGACATACGTGAAGAACATCGAAGACGAGCTCCAGAGACACAATGAGCTTCGATCTGCCATGAATCTCGCCTTCTCCCCACGCCATCCCAACTCCACCAAAGCGATGGCCAACTGGGAGAAGAAATCCTCGTATCTGTTGCGGGAGATTGTCAAGTTCCGCACCTATATGGATTCTCTTCGCAATGCTGTGACGTCGAAGGAAAAATTCTATGCCGAGTCCAACAATTACTATAACGGTGCTGGTGTTGACAGCGACTCTGTGAGCATCAAGCGGCCCGTGACCGGTGCAGGCCCAGCCTGATTTACAGCTTTCTTTTTTTCCTTTTCCCCTGGATACATGCCCCTGGCTTTATATACCCTCCAGATGGGCTGCCACATCCGGGATACACTATTTATTTCCGTTCAAAAGCGATCTGATGCCTTGTGATGTTTCTTTCGCTTCCATTCTCTTTTTTTTCCCTTAATCTTTTATTTCCTCCTGTATATGTCTCTTCTTTTGTTGCGCGACTCGTGCTGTGCAGGTTTTTGCGCCATACTCTCTACCCCTTCTTAGGTCATTTCGTTCGGTTTTTTTCTTGTTTTTGATAATGCTTTGGACAGACACGCAGATGTTACGGATACCATGATTGTCTTGAATGTTATTATTGTGATGAATTCCGAGACTAGCCATATAGTAACAAAGCGTGGATATAGGATAGTAGGCTGGTTCACTGTGGTGGAATTAGTAGCGGTCCTAGAAAAGTGCGTGGCAATAATGCCTGTAGTACGGTGCCTGGCCGTGGGGATATGTGTTGTGTCCACGGTTCGTTCTGTTTATCGACACTCAACCCCAAGGCAAAAGTGGCAGGAGCAGTTCCTACTACTAGCTCACTCACTTCGTACTTTCGTACTTCCTCTCCCACTCCTGCAATTTCTCCATGCGGTCAGGGCCAACGCTAGGACGGCCCAAGTGGAGACCCAAACACGCCCGGACGCCGTCACCATGTCGACCGGCGCCGTTACTCCGATCGACACTCCGTGCCGCATCCCCTCGAATGAGTCTTCCTTCCACACGCCCTTGTCGCCGGTCGATGCCTCTGGTAATTCCATCGAATTCTTCATGGCAGAGGACGCGCACGGGGATCAGCCCCCGAGTGCGATCGACGACTCGACAGTAACACAGAACCAAGGAGCAGACGACGCGCAAAACACCACAACAACCACCACTACATCCACTGCCGAGACAAACGAAGACCATGCCGCTACCACTACAATAACAGACCAGCAGCAAGGCACGACGGATGAGCCTAGCCTCCTGACCCCCTTGACCGATCGCGACGACAGCAGCCTCTTGCCGCCCAGTGAAAATGGCGACCACGAACGCGGCACCAACCAAACCCTGATCGAGGAGACGGAAATGCGTCGCAAGCTCATGGATATGGAATCGAGTTTCTTGCCAGAGCCGTCCACCATCGATGTCGCTGCGACTGGCCCAGTTGCTGGCGCGGACGATACCTATCTCGTCGGGGTATCTGGCGACCATGCGGCGGACATATCCTTTGAGGGACTGTCGCACACTTACCAAGACTCTGCGCCAACGCAGGACCAGAACAGGGATAAACCAACCGTCCACTCGGAGCAACCGGCGCAACAAGGAGACAACAACTCGCTGCTCGACCCCATGACCTCGTCACCGGCCGCTGCTGCTGCGAACCGCCGGAATCAGCTCACTTTGTCCGAGACGAACAACGACTCCAGTCGACTATCCCAAGACGACCGACACTATAGATCCCAAATGTCTCAATCAGAGAACGAGTCACAGCTTACACCATCCAAGCTTCAAGGCTCCTCTCGCAGCGTGTCGCCGGGTCCGTCAAGATTATTCAGTGATCAAAGCAGTTACTCTGGAGACGCAGCCTTACGTGGTAGCGGCCGGAGAGGAACTCGACCCAAATATCTGAACAGCCGTCAGGGGCCTCATCGTCTCTCGCATTCCTCTGTCACAAGCACCAACACGGAAACGACAAACAGTGATGCTACATTAGGAGCAGACTACGCCCTCCAGTCAGGAGGTGCTGCCTCTGACCAGTTCGGGAGCCTTCATACTGGAGCCCGCACCAATATGACAAGAACAACCAGTCTTGGAAGTATGGCATCTGGGGTCTCTGGATACAGCGAAGAGAATTCTCTGGAGAAACGGAATGTGAACGGCCCATTTGATGGTGGTCTACAAACCTTAAATGAAGAGGAAGGCTCCCCACGGTCAACACGGCAGACAGCAAGGTTTGACGAGACGTCGGCACCGGAGACGCCAAGAGCGCGACCGCAAGACAGTACATTTCCGACCGATACGGCAATTGCAGAGCGTGTTAAGGGCATTCAAGTTCCAACCACCTTCGTACAACGGTTCCGAGAAGACTTCCAGGGCATGTCTCCTGAGAAACGGGTAGGGGCCTCGACCCCGGCGTTTGGGAGAAGTGGCCGCTCAATGACCCTCAAAGAACAAAGCAGCACAATTGACCGTCTGTCGAAGGAAAACTTCGACCTGAAAATGCGAATCCATTTTCTGAACGAGGCGCTGAACAAGCGGTCTGAGGAAGGCATTAAGGAAATGATATCTGAGAATGTCGAGCTGAAATCAGACAAGCTCAAGCTCCAGAAGGACAATCAAGGCCTCAAGCGCAAGATCCGTGATCTGGAGAAGCAGCTAAAGGATCATCAATCGGACAAGGAATCAATGGTCAATCATGACCCGGAGGGCTCAGAAGGAGATCGTGACTCGGCCCAGGATGGAGAAGTTGTCTACCTGCGTGAGCGGGTTGAAACCTACGAGCTCGAAATCGAGCGACTGAGGTCCGAATGTGTCGCAAGAGAAAGCGAAAAACGCCGCCTGGCCGAAATGGTCAAGTCCTTGAGCGAGAACCGAGCTGGAGGGTCAGATGCTGGTGCTAGAGAGGAGAGGGTATGTAATTGGGAATATCATCATCTCCGGTCCGCGCTAACCACTTCATGTCACAGGATATGTGGAAAGATATGCTTGATGCGGAGACTGCTGCGCGTGAGCAAGCCGAAGATGAAAACCGAAGGCTACGGGATGAGACGATACGTCTGCGGAGCGAGATGTACACTGCCACCGGCGGCGCAAAGCCTGGACAGCGTGATCGGGGCGGTTCAACGGTTTCCTACGCGTCAGCATCCGACAAGGATGGCAGCCGAGCTGTCACTTCCAGCAACACGCTTATGGTCGAGATTGAACTTCTGAAGCAGGAGAATGCAGAGCTGAGAAAGGAAGTCAGCGCGCAGACTTCAATGCTGACGTCTCGCAACCGGGAGAAAGAACGCCTCTATCAAGAAATTGAGGAGCTAAAGCTTGGCCAACGCCGCGATGGTAGCCGATCAGTTGCGGGAGATAGCATTCTCGACCGCTCGGCATCACGCGCCAACATCAGGCCGTCTTCTTCCGAAGTGAGCGACGGAACACGTACCAGTGATCTAGACCGCGACGAGCTGGAGGCACGTAATGGACAATTACGCGATCAGGTGTCTACCCTCAAGCTTGAGAACCAGGCCATCGGGGCCCAGCTTGACGACTACATTCGAGAACTGGAGGCGATTGATCAAGCTTATCAAGCCGATGTTGACCAAGCCGAAGAGGAGATGCAGAACTTGCAGCAAGAGAGAGACCAAGCTCTGCAGCTGGCCGACGAGCGTGAGGCTGCTTTCCAGGAACTGCAAGCTGAGGCGCAGGAAGAGCTGGACGCTCTCGGGGAGGAGCTTGATCAGAAGATTGTCGAGTGTCAACGCATGAATGAGGACTTGAACAACCAGGATGAGAGCCTCAAGGTCTTGCAGGCGGAGATGCGCTCGGCGAGCGAAGGTATTATCCGCCTCGAAGAAGATGCCCAAAACAATCTCGAGAGATACCAGACCGTGCAGCAAGAACTGGAGGAGACCAACCGCGAGATGGAGGCGCTGGAAAAGAGCCTCTTCGAGGCCAACACCAAGGTACAGCGGCTGACGGTGCAGATCGAGTCGAGCCAGAATGAGATTGCCTTCCTGCGGGAAGAGCAAGATGGTGATAAGATCCGCATTGGTGACCTGGAGTCTGAGCTGAAGACATATGCAATGAGCCTGCACAGTGAAAAGGAGAAGACCAGGGAGCTCGAACAGCGACTAGCAGGCGAACGACACCAGCGCGAGGTTGTTGGAAGCAAGGAGAAGCAGGAGGTCCAGCGGATCATGAACGAACTGAACCGTGAGGCCTCGGCAGCGAAGGAGGAAGCCCGAAGACTAAAGAAGAGTTTGTCCGCTCAGGAGATTGAGACTTCTACCTGGCGCGAACGGCTCATGGACCTTGAGAACAACCTCCGCGAGACACTGGGTGACCTGAATGGCAGCCGATCCAGCTTGATCTCCAACATCATGAAGTTGCAGAAGGAGCTCGAGTCAACTGCTCTGGAACTGGAGAGTGTCCGCTCCCAACTGGACGAGAAGGAGTCGATTCTTCGCAACCGCGATTCTCTCCTGGAGAGCCATGGCTTAGAGTCCCGTAAACTCTCGGAGCTGCTCGAACGTGAGCGGCAGGCCCGACGGGCAGACAAGCAGTCGTTCGAGCAGTCGCTTAAATCTCATCACCAGGCGTCTCGAACCATCACGCAGAACAACTCTCGCATTACGGAACTGGAAAATGCACGCAATCAGGATCGCAAGAGGTTCATGACCCTGGAGCAGCAATTCAAAGATCAGCTCAGCGAACGCAATGCTCTCTTCCTGAACATCTGGAAACGGCTGTCTACGATGTGTGGACCGGACTGGGCTCACTCTAACAGTTTGATTAATGGCAACCTCCCGAGCCAAGAGGTTATTGGCAATATCTTGTTCTGGCCCGGATTCAGCCGCAATCTTTTGCTTGCGATCAAAACTGTCGAGAGCGTGATTTCTGGGTTGAAGACACGGATCAAGACCGTCGACCACGATCTGAACAAACAATATCAAAACCTCGAGAATTCGTTCAACACCCGGGTCCGAAAACTCGAACGGCTTGAGGAAGCTGTCAAAAATCTGCGGTCTCAACAGCAAGGTCGTGGCCACTCCGGCTCGTCGTCGGAGATGTCCAAACTGAAAGGCGAGAACCGGCTCTTGAAGGCAGAACTCAACCTGCTCCAGTCCAATTCGCGCAGCCAGGGCTCTGCGTCAGCGGCCGCAGCGTCAGTCATGACTTCAGGCCCGCGCTCGCCATCTTTTGGATCGGCGGCAAATACAGAACGAGCGGTATCTCGTCACAATTCTACGACAGGCACTGAACAAAAACCTCGCTCTGAAAGAGGATTGACACGCAGTTCGACGGGCCTACCGCAGCCATCTCACTCCTCATCCAGCAGCACCCTGACCAACGACGCTGGAGCCATAATGCACCGCTCGCGCGGTGGGAATAGCGGCTGGGAAGGCGGCGACGATAAATGGATCCATCGACTGCACGAGTTGGAGAAGCGGCTCAAGTCAGAGCGTGAAGGGCGTTTGCTCGACCGCAGCGGCGCCCGCAAACGGCTTGAGGAGCGCGATGCAGAAAACCAGAGACTCCGCGACCAGATTCATCGTGAACGAGTTCGCCGAGGCCCCTCGGGCACCGTCACTGATGGCAGCACTACAGGACGCAGCCGTGGGCTGGTCTCAGATGAGGCAGTCAGCTCAAGTGAGGGTGAGGGCATCACAGTGGATATTGAGGTTTGATAATTTTAGGGGAGAAGGGGGATGGATGTACAAATAACTTGGAATACCCGGGGCGCATGCGGCATTGGAAGTCGGATGTATGTGATTAACTTATGGGTCATGACAGACATGCAGGCGTTATTTGATGTATCATTCAAGCAATGAGAATATGTTACCATGCATCTACAAACTTCTCAATAGAATTTAGTACTGTACAACACACAATGTCTACCGCAACGACACCTTCAGCGAAAAATCCACGATCCCCGTCCCCTGGTGAATGGAGCTCGTCGACAAAATATCCACATCGGCACACGCATACGCCGCGGCGTTGTCCTCGGTGAGTCCACCAGACACCTCGATCAGGAAGTTGCGCTGCTTCGCCTTCCACTCGGCCTTCAACTGCGCCGCCGCAGCGCGCACCCCATCTGGCGTAAAGTTATCCAACATGATCACATCCGCCCCGGCCCCGATAGCCGCATTCGCCTCCTCGACACTCCGACACTCGACTTCGACCTTGGTCGCGAACCCGCCGGCCGCTTTAGCTGCTGCCACGGCGCGGGGAATGGCCGCGGCAATGGATTCGTCATCCGTTGAAATGGGGGCCTTTCCTCCATCTGCGGCGGCGGTATTGTTCGCGCAGGCCCAGACGTGGTTATCCTTTAGCATGGTCATGGACGACAGATCATGGCGGTGCGGGTCTGCGCCGCCGACGAGAATGCCGTATTTTTCGACAATGCGGAAGCCGGGGGTTGTCTTGCGCGTCCCGGCTAGCGTGCCCGTCCATCCTTGCGCTCGGAGTGCGGCGACGAGGGTGGAGCTCTTGCTTGCGATGCCGGAGCAGCGGGCGAGGATGTTGAGGGCGACGCGCTCGCCCAGCAGGATCTTGCGGATGGGACCGCGGACGGTGGCGCAGTGGGTTATGGGGGATATCTGCTGACCCTCTTTGACGTGCCATTCAATTCTGGAATCAGGGTTGGTGTCAGCGTCAATGGCTCAAAAAGATGGTTCACAAAGAGACCGCGGAAGCGAGGAGTGGCATACGAGCAACCGAGTTGAGAGAAGACTTCATCGAAGAAGGGAACACCCGCTACCATTCCCTGTTTACCGTCAATACTCTTTCTGGCTCAATGCCGAGATAAACGGCATACCTTGCTCTTCCCCAGTAACCGGGCCTCGCCCTCGGACTCCCCCACCACGAACCCGCCATAATCCAGACTCGGACAGTCTTCTTCCAGCCAGGCGCTGATGAGGCGCTTGTAGTTGGTGGGGAGGAGATGACGGGGGTCACCATATGCTGCAGCCATTCTGTTGTACAATAATTGAGGATATATGTTACTATGCAGTAGTCTGCGGTCTAGCCATATCATATCACCCCGCGGGCGGAAAAAAGCGGGTGAGGGCCCCGATTCTGGGCGAGGTCACGTGGATCTATACTGAAGTGGTCGAACTCTCGAACATGATAGAAGGCTGAGGTTACTTCCGGAAATCATAAAATCAGATCGCTCTGCAGCGGATCAATTCATGACGTTCCTCTGGAAAGCGGAGAGTATCATAGTACGGACAGTTACGGACAGCGCACCGTTCCAAGTACAGTGGTGGGACTGCATTGCCGAGTAGCCGCGGGTTCGTGGGTCGGACTAACAAACTACAAGATCGAAAAGAGACCCGACGGAAGATCTCGCGTGATTATGAACACTATTCCGTCGGCGGTAATACCGATCTCCTGTCATACGGGCCGAGAGGATCCGCTCCTATACTCGGTCTCCCGAGGCTCACTGGGCCGAGGTTGAATAATCCCTCTACCAAACAACATAAACCAAAATGCCTCAATAATGGAGATCAAGGCTCCGCTTTTCTTTTCATTCACTGTATCATGAACATGTCTAGGCCTTCCACGCCTTGTACACAGTCTTGCAGCCAAAGATCTGCCCCTTCTTGAGGAGCACCATGTTGCGCCACTTGTCTTCGTTGATAGCATTGACGTACCGACTGGGCTCCACGCAGAAACCGGCGCCCTCGCCGTGCGGCGGAGCACCGTCAATTGAGGGGATATTGATGTACTTGCCTGTGTAGAACTGGAAGGCGGGTTCCGTGCTGTGCACTTCAAGGTGCAGCTTGGTGTCCGGGTGGCTGAACTGCGCGAGACGACGCAGTGGCAGGCCACGCGTGTCGAGCGGGATCTTAGACGGATCGGTCTCCATGACAAAGACGTCGTCGATGTGCGGCTCGTTGGTGTTCAGCGTGAAGGGGGAAGCCACGTCGCGGGGGAACTTGTCGATGGTGCCGACCGGGATGCCGGTGGAGTCGATAGGGAGGTAGTCGGCGGTTGCGAGCTGGGCGGTGGTACCGGACACGGTCGGGCCGCCGGTAATGTTGAAGTAGCTGTGGTGAGGGGTGAGCGAGCTGCGATCTCCAGCTTGGGATGATTGACATACCTGTGGTTGGTGATGTTGACTACCGTCTCCTCGCACTCATCGCCGACAAACTCCACCTCGTACTCGGCCGTCAGCACGCTCTTGGCCGCGCCGTCGTCCTCCTTGCTCGCCGTGTACCAGACTCGCACCTCGACGGTACCAGGGTACCCCTCCTCACCATCCTTGGAGAGGTACTTGTAGAGCAGAGCGTCGTGGCCATTGCGCTGGACGGTGTGCGGACCATCGAAGACACGCTTGCCCCAGCCCTTCTCGCCGCCGTGCAACGAATTGGGCCCATTGTTGCGGGCCAGATGAATCTCCTTGCCATTCAGGTTGTGGATGACGCCGTCCTTGATGCGGTTGGCGACCCGGCCAATCGTGGCACCGTAGTGCGCGGTGTTGTACTTGACATAGTGGTCCTGCGTGGGGAAGCCCAGGACGATGTTGGTGCCGCCGACGCGGAACTCCTGGATGATGGCGCCCAGGGGAATGAAGTTGAATTCGGCTAGTTGAGTGGAGGAAGACATGGTGGATGGTGTGGGAGTGAGAGAAGTAAGACAGGAGGAGTGAGAGAAGAGAGTAATGTGGGGGAAATATTGCGGGATCAACCTCCGTTTGGCTTTAGCCTAAAGGGTTTACCCGTTCCTTCGTGGTTCGGCCATACTTGTCCTCTACCGTTGTTAACTCCACTATTATTGCCTAAATATCTCCCTTGAGATTCAACGCGCTGGTATAGTTGGACGTAATGAACTCTTTTCGGCACAGACAGCGCTCAACGCTAACCGTATACAGTATTTCCTGTTTCGGGCTAGCGTTGCGCGCGACCAAGTATACAACCACCACCACCACCCAACAGCCTCACCATGTCACTCATGTCCGCTCGGGGTTTTGGACTCCCTGTTCGGACTTGCAAGATGGCCGGCCAATATGTCCGTCCGAAATCAGAATATAAATACGGGAATTGTGTCGCTGCAAAAACACACTTCATCTTCTTCATCACAACGCACAACCAACACCCGAATTCATAATAGTTCAAACCCGTTCCAAACATTATATTCAACACTATGTCTGCTGCTTGGATCAATGAGCCCAAGGCTCACCCCCTCGAGGTCAAGCCCGCTCCGACCTACACCCCGGGCCCTAACGAGATTCTCGTGCGCAACCACGCCGTGGCGATCAATCCCATCGACAACATGACCCAAATCCGCGGAATCTTCCCCCTCCAGTATCCAGCCATCATGGGTCAAGATGTCGCCGGCGAGGTTATGGCCATTGGCCCCAACGTGACACGCTTTAAGAACGGCGATCGCGTGGTGGGACACTCCGTGGTCTTCGCGACACAAGAGCAGCGAGACGGGGCTTTTCAGACCTACACCATCTTGCGCACCAATCTGGCCAGTCTCATCCCCGACGAAATCTCGTATGAGTCGGCCTCAGTGCTTCCTTTGGGTCTGTCGACCGCCTCGTGTGCGCTATTTCAAGGCGAAAATCTTCACCTGCAACTCCCCACCTCACCCTCCCAAAAGCCCACCGGCAAGACGGTCCTGATCTGGGGCGCAGCATCCAGCGTGGGCTGCAACGCTGTACAGCTGGCTGTGGCAGCGGGATACGAAGTCGTGGCCACCGCTTCGCCACATAACTTCGAACTGGTGAAGAAACTCGGCGCAAGCCAGGTGCTAGACTACCACAGCGCCGACGTCGTTGAAGAGCTGCTCCTTGCTCTCCAGGATAGAGAACTTGCCGGCGCGTTTGATTGTATTGGTTTCTCCGCGACGCAGGCCACAGCCAAGGTGGTTGCGGCGTCGCAGGGCTCCAAGTGCGTTGTTTCCACCAAGCCTGTGCCGGTGGATCTGGACCTTCCGGAGGGAGTCACGGTCAAGCAATGCCGTGGCGATGCGCTGCGAGATAATCATATCGGGAAAGCAATCTACGAGGACTTCTTGCCTCAGGCGCTCAAGGTTCGGTCGTTTGTCCCGGCTCCGGAGCCACTTATTGCGGCTAAGGGGCTGGAGGGTGTGCAGGGTGCACTGGACCTGCTCCAGAAGGGGGTTTCTGCTAAGAAGGTGGTGGTTATGCTTTAGAAAGTGTGTTTATTGGCTTCAATATGTCATTATTGCGTGTCTCGTTAATTCGTTGATAATCAACTCGCTTCATTTGTCTCAAGTCGACTAGTCTCAGGCCAGTAGTCCGACTAGAACCAGCATACTACTACCGGAAAAAGAGTCGGGTTCCGGGGTTGAAGACTAAAATATAGTTAGCAGTGTAACAAAAAAAAAAGATCAGAAAATACCCACGTTGGCGAGGATGGATGCCAGCCCTATCCCCATATTCTGTTTCATCCACACCAGTCTTTTCTTCATATAGGTTCGAATCTGAGGGTTGATAATCAGGAGATTGGAAACAACGTGCATGGAATGCATTAGCAACAAGCCACCGACCGATCGACCTGGGTTGGCAATCGATGAATTGGAATCTGCATCACGTAAAAAGATATGCACGTCTTCCGCCAGATGGTACGGAATGGACGAAAGCATGTCCTCCAAAACATGCAGCACCGCATCTAATTCCGCGTCATGATCCTTGTCATCATCGATAATCCCCGTTAGTTGCAGAATCAAGTCGATAAGCAATAATCGAGCGGCGCGGTAGGCATTCCACACCCCAGCAACGTAGGGATCAAAGTAGGTATCCACTTTGCCGGGCCAGGAGCCCACCCCATAATCGAAGAACACGCCTCGTCCGGTCATGGAGCCAACCGTACTCGGTTTGAAATCATTAGGTTGAACTTCTTCCCATTTGGAGAACTTGTCGTTCAGCTGCATTGCCTCGTCCCGGAGTGAGAGTATCTCGGCAGTGGTATTAACTTTGCCATTGCTTCGTTCCCAAACGGATCCTAGTATAGATAGTAGGGGATCTAATGCTTGGGCTGGAGACTCTGCAATTGGAGGTGTAAGCAGACCAGTATTCTACGCTGCAGTCAGCAAGATCTTTACGGTATTGCATATCGACAGAGCACACATACGTTTACTGCTCCGCCCAAAGCACCAAGTGACTGACCGCTCTGGACAGCTTGCAGGAGATGCAATGGGGAAATTCTCACCCCGAGCATAGCAGCGACACCACTCGCATGGACGTTGTGCTTACTAGGGCGCAAGTCATCGGCAGCAATGATCTACGCCGGGGAGAGTCAGCTCCCCATCTTACATATAACGGCAAATGTTGCGCACCTCATAAAGACCCAAAAGCAAGGCGACCAGCACTTTGTCCTCCTTGTTGGGAGGATGCTGGATATCAACAGCCAGCGAGGCCACCAAATTCTGATACAATTTCTCAGCCCGGAGGGTCAAATGCGGGCGATTGAGCGAGATGCCATGTTTAGCAAAGGCGACCAGTTCACAAGCCTTGGCCAGATTAGACTTCCAGCCTAGACGATGCAGACGAGACTCGAGACGCCCCAAAAAGCCACGGGAGAGGGCCTGATTTGTTGAGCTGACGCAAAAGTCATACACAAAGGCCTGCAGGGCGAATTCGTCCACGGCCTCGTCGGGCACTTCTATTGGCGAATTGTCGTTGGCTAGGATATTTGTTCCTGGGAGATGTCCTCGCACAGGGAGTGAGCACTTGCGCCCAATTGACTTGGTGGTGCTGCCAGTCTTATTCTCGGGGCGTTCGTATTGCTGGATGACGACCTTCTCATCATTCTCATAGCCACCACATGTGCGCTTGGCAGTGACACATCTCATACACGACTTTCCGGGGAGGTTAGCGAAGCAGTCTCTGCCTGACAGGGCCCCGAAAAGCATACAGGCCGCGTTTCATCGCACTACGCACGGGGTTGGCTACGATCAGCACCAGTAATTATTCTTCACTGATTATTAAACGTAAAAGACAACGAACCTTCTTCCGCCGCCGCTTGCATGTGGCACACCCTCGTGAAGGGCCGAAGTAGACCATTTTTGGAAAACAGTCAGGACTCTGTCAGAACTCTGACTGACTGCAGCTAGGCGGAGTTGTCGGGTTTAGGAGCAACCAGCATCCGGGCGGAGAGTTTCGGGCTCCGGGGCCGAGTGACCCAAACGCAGGATCAAGGGGGTTCCGAGGGGTTTTTGTGTTTTTTCCTTTCTAGTTAGTTCGCTGCTGCCTTGTACAGTACACACCTGGCCCCCCTACCCCCTGGGCTTAAGTTAGACGGGGAAGTAGACAATGAGACGCCCGAGTTTCAACCTTTTTTTTTGGTGGGGTTTGTAGTGAGTTCTCACGAGAGGGGCGGAAAAACGGATGTAACAACTGCCCACACGCAAGTCTGAACGGAACATCAGCCCTAAGTAGGAAATGTCGGCACATCGGCGTCTCGCGCCCTGGGAGACCGAGATTTTGGCAGAAGAGGTAAATATTACAACCGTACAATACGGGTGGATGCTAAAGTGGAGTTGGTTTGATTCCATTCCGCTGACTCAGGGCAGGCTGGGCAGGGCTGAGCTGGCGCAGCACCGCTATCTGTTAGTAGTAGCAAGTCTAGCGAGTATGTACATTGTTAAGGTTCTTGCGAATGCATAGAACATGTAAGCAATGATCAATCATAGACTCATATCGAATCTTCCAAATGCAAATGTGTCACTTCTTGTCAATCTATATCAATTAGTCATCTCGGCGAACCCGACCCTGTGGAGTCCTAACGGGCAAGTCGAGATCACATCGGCACGTTGGTCCGGGCTACTAGACAGTGGGGGTTCTAGATATGGCAGACCTGAAGAACGGGTTCTAGGAGATCACGCAGGCTTGATCGAGTCATGGCTGAACCCCCTGGTCGAACCGGACTCTGAACAAGATCTGGGTCAGGATGATGATATCATCGTTTGGGATAGAAGTTCATTTCATCGAAATGGTGTAACGGTGACATGACAGACCAACCAAATGCCATCAAGAAAGAGAAGGGAATCTCCTATTTTGCGTAGATTTGAAGAAAAGAATCAAGAATCAAACCAAAGAAAAACTCCAGGCACCGCAGAACCAAAACCAAAAGACCGCCCCGCCCAGTAGTAGTTTCTCTGTACAGTGATTGATATTAGGACACCCAATTGCACCAGGCAGTGGGGGATAATTGCCCCAGAAACAGAAAGAAGCCGAACCCAGAACCAGAACCCAAATAAGAAACATGTATAGTATACATGCATCACGTCATACGGCGTTAAAAAGGCAGAAGGAAATCAGATGGAGGTGATCTCCGTCGGATTCGGATTGAGGAACTGGTTGAAGTCTTCGTAGTCGTTCTTGGAGTCGACAAAGGGCCCCGACGACATGCAGTTCACGGGCATCTGGCGGTTGAACATGGGTGAGGCCATTTGGTTGTCATCGAATGACAAGTTGGCATAGTCGGCCGAGTTCATGAAGTCCATCTCATCAAAAGGATTGAAACCGGGATTATTGGGCCACTGCTGTTGCTGTTGAGGACCACCCTGCAGAGCGAGCGGGTTGACCACGCCCTGCATGGGTAGCTGCTGCGCATAGCTGCCGGACATCTGAGGCTCGCCCTTGATTTGGGGCGCACGCGCCGTCGGGCTATAGGCCGGCGGAGTCGGGGGCATCTGGCGCTGACTGAAGGCGTCGGACGAAAACCGAGACCGAGCCGTGGGGGATTGTGGGCTGTCGGTGCTGCCGTCGGAGGACTCCTGGCGTTGCATATGCCCGGCGTTGGTGCGCCACAGATCCTGCTGCATGGTCTCGGGATTTTCTTCAAAGTGCTCGCCCTTAGTGTGATCGAGCGCGCCCAGGTGGGTGAGCAGGTCGTGTGTGAGCGGGTGGCCGTTGGGCTCGGGCTTCAATCGGTCGCCGGCCCAGCCTTCGCCGTCGGTGGATCGTCGATAGAGCTCCTGGAGGCCGTGGACCAGCCAGGCTTGTTGCTGTTCGAGCATCTCAACATATCTAGGGCGGAAGAACTGTCAGTTATACATTTCAGAAACACTATCGCCAGGTCACAAGCTTACCCCTTAGGGTACACTTTATCATGGGCCTTCTTGCGTTCCCCGAAGACGCAGATGGCATTGTCTGCTCGACAGCGCGAGCATGGGCTAGCTCCATCACACTGAGGAATGGTTAGCGCAAGCCTAGCCACACCAAGGCCGTCAGCACATACCTTGGATTTCTTCAGTCGACAGCGATCGCAGGCCTTGCACACCCGCTTACGAACATTGCCGTCCGAATGTGAGTGGTCGGACGTGGGTGTCGATTGGCGCGCAGCCATTATGGGCAAATATGGGTTGGGAGGGGCAGATGTGAACCGGAAGGAAGTAGGTAATTAGGGCTGGGAGGCAGAAAGGACGAAAAGCCCGGGTTTTGGAGTATGGGCGTCAGTAGTAGTACTTCCCGTTCCGGATGGAGTGGGCGACGTCAATCGGGGTCGATGATCTAATGAAGATGTCGGAGAGGAGTCTCCAGGCCCGATGTAATCCCAAGATTGAGTTTGGTCCTCAAACGTTTTCAGAGCAACCAGGGATTATATATCAAGAAAGGACAGGGAGGGGGGATTCGAGTATTAGTTATACGAACAGAAGCTAGTTTATAACTAGATCTCAGTGTACTCCGTATGCTCTCGAATCAATCATAACTGGTGGCTCCACTGGGCTGATGATCACAGGCCCGGTTTTTTTTTTCCTTTTTTTTTTTTTTTCAACTCGATCTGGAAACTCGGCATTTACACTCTCGCAGACTTTTCTACTTGCTGACGGAAGACGGAGCTTGTATCGGACCTCGGAGGATTCTTGTTATGTCCAGACCAGCAGTATTTGTAAGGATTACTGATGGGCCTAATTTTCGTAATATGTAGTATGTAACCAACGATCTAGGAGTGCAATCCCAGCCAACCAGCCAGCAACGAACGAGGCACTCCCTGGCTTCCCCGAATAATAGTTACCCGCCTCGTGTGTGGGAGTAAATGATTTACGGATGAAAAATTAGTGAGCCTATCCATGCACACAGGGCTTGCGAATTTATTCCGAGTCTTGGCCGTGCATAAAAATAAAAAAAAGGCGCACCAAACCCGCAACTCGGCAGGGGCAAGCCGAGTGAACGACTCGCACAGTAATGCCAGAAAGAGGCGGCATTATTATGGAGAACTGGGCATCCGCCCGGTAATGCGAATACCGCATGGATATTCGGATGTGTTTCTCTCCTGAGAGCCTTTTCTTTCCCGTCTAAACTCAACGGTCGCGCCCACTTGACCGCAGCCCTGGTCGGTGGGAGGTACATAGAGTTCGGACGAATTAGCTAACCTAGTTACGAGTTGATTACAGACATTCGTGATTCATGACACCGGGACCCGGCCAATGAAGACGCCGGTCCCCCAGCCCCCGGCGAGGTGATTGAGTAATCGAACCGGCGACGCTTGCGGTCCATGACGTTATCCTCTCTACCCTTATCGAGATCATTATTATTACTATCCTAGACTGGGAACAAACAAGTTGAAAGGATCTGCCGTGATGGTACCCGGCTTGCTATATTCATATTTTTAATGGCGTCATATAGTCTACGGTCTCAAGACACCCCCAGACGGCGGTGGTTCATGGCCGGATGATCTCATTGCCTGTCGGTAAACAACATTGGAGCTGTTGCTGCTTGCAAGGAGCTGTCATACATGGTTTACACCGTGCCCTTGCTGCCCTACGAGCCGTGGGAGTACATGTCTTTATCACGGAGGCCGATTCCGAGCCCAGCCAGACCTAAGTACCAAGGGAATCACGCAGCTCCATTCCATGTAACAGGCATCCGTATACACCTGTAGATCCAAAAGTAAAAAAAAGGGGGTATACAAATGAACTAAAAGAAACCAAGTCCTCAATCTTTTTTTCAACCAAAGCAACAGAGTCGGCGCGAGAAGGAGCCTCGTGCCTCTACTTGTTTCTCCTCCGTCGAAACATCGCTCTTGGATTTTTCCAGGTCCTGTTCCGAGCGATTGAAGACTAACATTGAGCTCCGCGCGCGCTTGCCAAACCCCCAAAAGCGACGGCGGGTCCGTTCCTCCTGGGACCCCTGCATGCTTGCGTCCGCCGTGGTCGAGGGTAGAGCGGTGGTGTGGGCAGATGGCCCAGCGCGCGAGGTCGGCGGCCGGGTGGGTGCAGCGGTGGCTTGTTGATAATGCAGCCGGCGCGCTTCGACGACTCGGCGGACCAACACTAACACAGATTAGCATCCCCTCATTCGTTGTTTCATCCATGTTCACTCACGAGCAAACGTCTCCTCGATATTGACCATTTCCCGCGCACTCGTTTCCATAAACCCACACCCGTGCTTGCGCGCGTACTCCAGCCCTTCGCGGGAGGTGATGACGCGCCCGTCCTTCAGGTCGCACTTGTTGCCAGCCACAATCTTGACGGGCGGCGGCAGACCGATATCCGTTGCATTGTGGTCCCGGAGTTCCTTGCGCAGGCACTGGGCCTTCTCGGCGCGCCGCTCGGTCTCGAGGTTAATCATGTCCATGAAATAATTGAGCGAGTCCAGGCTCGAGGGATTCGTGATATCGTAGGCAAGCAGAAAGGCGTCGGATTGGAGCGTCGCGGCCGTCCACAGCCCGCGGTACTCCTCCTGGCCGGCGGTGTCGGTGATGGACAGGAAATAGGGGAGGCCATCCACGGTACGGGTGACCGAGTATGAGTCCTCTTTTCGTTGATGCGTGTCAGGTCAGATCTGTCGCGACCGGGGAGCAAATGGGAGCAGTCGTACCGATGGTTGGGTCATATCTAGGACAACACGCGAGTCAGTCTGTGAATCAGGGATGAGGGCGGTGGTAAACGCACTCGTGAATCCATTGACTACGGACCAGCCGCAGGGTGATGGAAGATTTGCCTGTTCCTCGATCAGTGTCCCGATCTCGATCGCGATCGCAGCGCCCAGGAGAATGGCACCGAATCAGGGCGTGAACCGTGTCCCAGCAGTTCAATTAAGCAGTGTGGGAGAACGTACCGCATCCGCCATCCCCGCAGATGGTGATTGAGATCTTGTCTGCCATCGCGGCCTGACTGACGATGCGTGGCACCCACAGCCGTGGGGGAGAGAAAGAGGGAGGAGTGTCAAGAGGAAAGGAGAGCGCGGGCGTTGTATGTATTATTTGTATGTAGATAAGAACATCCTCTCTCTCCATTCTCTTCCTGCTTTCCCTCTCTCCCCCTTACCGTCTACATGTCCTTTGAGCATAAATCCGGTGTCTCTTTTCCTTATGGTTGTAAATGCAAATCCTTCTGCTGTCTGTGCTCCCCTCGGCCGGTCGCTTTGTGATACATCAACTTCTTCACCAGCATCACCCTTCGCCTTGCCCACTACCCACTCTCCGGACCAGCCAGAGGACGGGAGGGATCAGTCAATTATGCTGTTCCTAGTTCAACCAGCACCAAACATGAACAATTCGGGGCTCCAGGGGAGGCGATCCGTTCTGTCAAGCCGGGCAGTGCGCCCTCATTGGCCCTCCGTGTCATCGCGCGACCCGCAATGACATGCGGTTGTACTTTTGCGAAAGGCGAAAAGGAGAAGAATGCGAATCAATGGGCGTGGGATCTTCTCTACCTCTCCATCCTCCCTCTCTCCTTTCCTTCGACACTCTCTTGCGCGAGTTGTCGCGCTTTTGAAGCAAGGAAGCACCGTTGTGAGAAGAACGGGGTCGTGGAAGTATTCTCCACCAAACACAGGGTTCCCGACAATCTGGAAACTCGTCTGAGCGTCTGCATTCTGGACCCCACGCAGGCCGTGCTTTTGCACCATGGCCTCCGGCAGCAGGTTTAACTATACCAACCGCGATGAGGAGTCCCTGCCGCCACAGGACCAGTCCTACCTGGGTTTCAACGACAACTATGGATTTGGCGACATCATGCCAGAGCAGGGCCTGCCGCCCGCCGACCTGGAAGGCCGCCTGTCGAATGTCATGCTGACCTACGACTCCATGCCCAGCACCGGCGCGTCGATGCCGGTGAGCATGGATGCTGGCCACTCCTTCGCCTACTGCTCCTACCCAGACACCACCATTGGCATGCCGCCCCAGCTGGACCAGGCCCAACTCCTTCCCGATTTTACGCCCTTTTCTCAGGGAATCCAACCGCAGGTCGGTCAGTATATGTTGCAACCTGGCGCGGCCGGTCCGCCCCAGCGACGCAACGAGCTCTACAATGATGGCAACAATTCTTCCGGTAGTAACCTCGACGACTCGGACTTCTCTCGATCTAGTGATCGGTCCCAGGCCCAGCCGCATACTTCCCATCGTGCCCTTCAGGCCCGCCAGGCACGTCCACTCCAGCCATCTTCGTCAGCCCCATATCGCCCATTACAGCCGGTTGCTATCCAGCCCAAGAAGCCACCTGCCGTCAAAGGTGAGGAGTGTATCAACCCCTATTTGCAGTGGGATGACTGACCAAGATCGTAAAGCTGAGGACCCCTCGCCGGGCCTAGAAAAGCCTGCTTCCAAAAAGACAGAGCACACCGGCATTTATTCCAGCAGCGGATTTGATGTCCTGGGTGCTTTGGGCCGAGTGGCCATGCGTCCCAACCCCAAAATCAATATTGGTGCCGTCGATCTCTCGTGCGCCTTTGTGATGTGCGACATTCTGCGCGAGGACCATCCGATTGTGTATGTGTCTGAAGCATTTGAGCGGCTTACCGGCTACACCAAGGAAGAGATCGTGAACCGGAACTGCCGCTTTTTGCAAGGGCCCGATGGCAAAGTCACTGCCGGCGCGAAGCGCTCCTTTACCGATGGCCAGACTGTTTTTCGATTGCGGTCGACTATTGAGGAACGCACCGAGATCCAGGCTAGCATTATCAATTACCGCAAGGGCGGACAGCCATTCATGAATCTCATCACTATGATTCCGATCCCGTGGGATTCAGACGAATACCGCTTCTACGTCGGGTTCCAAGTCGATCTGGTTGAGAAGCCCGACGCTGTGACGCGGAGAAATCCTGGTATGTTCCTGTGGATCTGGTGAAGCTCGTCAGAACTGACGTTCAATTAGATGGCACCTATAGCATCAACTATCAACGCGACCAACTACCCCAATATGTGGTTCCCCCGGACGTATACCGAACTCAGCCAGACCTCGTCGCCAGGTTCGGTCATGATGATGTGACGGCAATCCTCAATGCTGTGAGCGTCGCTGGGCCTGAGGCCTCCCGGCAGTACCTGGACTGGATCCTGGTCGAAAATACAGACGACGTGATCCACGTACTGTCTTTCAACGGCGAATTCCTATATCTGTCACCCTCCTGCAAGCGGATTCTGGAGTATGACCCTGTCGAACTGATCGGCAAGACACTGTCGACTATCTGCCACCCCAGCGATATTGGACCCGTGAGCCGCGACATGCGTGCCAGCACGACGACCGCGCCTATCAGCATTGTGTACCGCGTTCGACAGAAGCATCGTGGATACATGTGGTTCGAGAGCCACGGGGCGTGGCACATCGACCCAAACCAGGGGCGGAAGTACCTAGTGATGACCGGGCGGCCGCGACCCGTGTACTCTCTTGATCAACTTGCCCGCCATGGTTTTTCGACTGCCCTGGCCGAGAACGACATCTGGGCCAAGGTCTCACTGTCCGGCTTCATTCTGTTCGTCACATCCAAAGCCAAGCCAGTGCTTGGCCGCTCGCCGGATGACCTGATCGGGAAGGGACTGCAAGAGCTCATGGAGTCCGAGGACGGGCCTGACGCGATCAAAAATGCCCTGGAGGCAGCAGCGCGAGGGCAATCCGGCACTAACGAACCTCCGCCGTCTTTCCGCCACCAGATGCGCCACAAAAAGGGACACAACCTATCTGCGCACACGACCTTGTACGCAGGCGACACTGCACTAGGAACGAAACCGACGTTCCTCGTCGCACAAATCCGATTCGCCCGCTCTCTACCATCGGCCACCGAAGACGAAAACCTAACCACCGTCCCCGGCACAGACAAAATCACCTCTCTTACCACAAACAATCCGAACCCACCTCGCCAATACGGTACACTCGGCCAACGCATGCCCGATCTCTCGACCTTGATCGGCCTCAATGGACTACCGACTGGCAACCGCAGCGTTTCGCCCTCCAACGAACCAGCGATGTTCTTCACAGAGCTCAACCCGAGGCGCGGATCGAGCTGGCAGATCGAGCTGCGTGAGCTGGAGAAGCAGAATCGCGGGCTGGCGGATGAGTTGCAACGTCTGCTGAATCGACGCAAAAAGCGCAAACGCAAGCAATCCGCCATCAGCGTTGAAAAGGCGTGCGCGATCTGTCGGACGAAGAATACGCCCGAGTGGCGGAGGGGTCCAAGTGGGGATCGGGATTTGTGTAATAGTTGTGGATTGAGATGGGCGAAGCAGAACCGTAGTCAGCAGCAGCAGCAACAACAACAACAAGGGCAGGCGAGCCAAGGACAGGCTCCTGCTGCTGCTGGTAGTAGTAGTAGTGAGGGAAGATAATAATGGCGCAGCCGAGTGCATGTTGTGCCTACCATGATGCTTTTCTTTTGGTTTTGGGCGAGACTGGGTGCTTGGAGTAGGTATACCCGTTTTGGTTGAGTGAAAGTCCTTTCCTTGTTATCTACTCCCGGAGTTCGTTTCTGTCTATTGTCGGGTTCTACTTTTGGCAGTCAATATGGATATCCTACTGTTTCTGTATACCTCTATCCTGTAGCACACTGCTACTCCATAGCATTGAACTGTCTAGGGCTGCTTTACCTCCACATCCTACCCTTACGTACACCCTGCCTAGTTTACTTGCACACCCATCCCATATGAATTAGTTCTAGCGTAGAATATAGTGTATTTTTCCATATGTACCACTGCTCGTATTGGGTTGTCAAGTTTTGTCTAAGTTCTCTCCCTCTTACCATTGAACCTAGTACAAACTTCGCCGGCCATATTTGGCACCGCTACCCCCTGAATCCTCTATATAACTCCTACGTACAATGTCCTAGGAGGCTCTTCTGTTGACGAAACTTGAACCGCACTTCAGAAGAGGAGGTTTGATAGAGACAATGAGCGTAGAAGTTGGTGGTTTTATGATATAGTCGTATGACTGGTATCACCACTGTATAGGGCAACAAGAGGTACTTAGGGGGAATACACTATAGTCTACGCTAGTACAGATTTGTATAATATGGACGTGCAACTAATCTCGGTGGTGTGCAGGTAAAGCGGCCCTATAGACATTTCAATATAATAGACTAGGAGTATGAGACAGAATCTCCGGTTTACGGCGCTCGAATATACAGCACACGAATTTGTGGATAATACACAGCAGTGCTGCTGTCAGCAATAGTATATACAGTCCTAACCATGCCTCCATCTAATCTAACTCGGTATATAATATACACATTGTAACACAGACAACCATGTCTACTCCTTCCCATGCCTCAGAGCCAACCACCGCTCCAACCACTCCCTCTCAACCGTCTCCCTCTGTCCATCCTTTCTATACCCGCTCGCCACATCCCCACCCCCGCGCTCCTCAACCGCAGCACGCACTTCCTCAGCTACAAGGGCCTTGACACCCCCGCCACTTCGAATCATCGCATCATCAATTGCCAGATAAGAGATATGTCTCTCCAAACGCGGCCGATAAATAAATCGCAGCAGAGCCCGTGAAGAAAAGCGAGCATGGCTCTTGACCAGTCCGAACACGGCGCATGCGCGCAGTACACTCTCTGCATCCGCAGTTCGCGCAAAAGCGGGATGTGCGAATTGGGTAGCAAGCAGGCTCATCTCCTCTTTACCACCCACTGGCATTGGCGAAAGAGATCCAGCAGTGGCAGCGGTATGCCCTGCCAAAGCGTTTCTCTTCCGCGCCGCCGCAACAGCGCGCTCCTTGGAGACCTGCGAGGGAACACGACATGTAAACGGGGTGACAGCGCTCCCAAAGAAGGGGATAATAAGCGGCGTAAACTCGCCGCACACGACAAGGACCAGAGAGAAGGGGATCATGCGGCGGACATCGCGGGCCGAACGGCGGACGAGTTGAAACTGCGCGCGGCCGAGCAATGACGCTGCGTTTTTGTTTCCGGAGAGCCGGGGAGGGGAGATGGGGATGTAGGCTGGGAGACCCAGTGTCTTTCGGAGGGGCAGCGAGGCGCGGTAGTTGTGGTAGACGTTCTTCAGGCCCGTTTTGTAGAAGGAGAGGTAGGCGCGGCCGACGGCGATGTAGCGGGTTAGATTTTCGGAGATGGACGCTGTCTCTGTAATGGCTGCGGGGACCGACAGAGGCGCGGGGCGTGTGCTGGGCGGTGGGTTGATTTCGTTTTTCTTCGGAGTTGAGACCGCGACGGGCGTCGGAGGTGATGATGGGGGAGAGGGAGGCGGGGAGTTGTGGCGGGCGTAAGTCGAGAATAGGAGAGTCATTGGCTGAGATTGGGGACTGCGACATTGAAGCCGAGCGTAGAGGCCGCGCTGGGCCCGGAGGGAGGACATGGCTGTTGGTTGTTGTTCAGAGAGAGAAAGGTGTTGCGGAGTTTGAGATAGTGAGAAAACAGCGATAAGATTCACACCTGAGGCATTCACATATCTATACAACTCAACTAGATAGGTTCGACACAACAACATCTCCAAGTTTACAGCTCCACCTGCACAGCCACCATACTCTCCGACATAAATCCCGTCACAAACAGCCACGCTCTCTTCTTGCCATCCTCCGGCTCTATGGGTACCAACACCGCCGCACTCGCCGTACGAAGTCTCGAGCCATCATCTTCAAACAGCATCTTCTTCTCCCATTTCCCATCACCAGCGGGACGGGCATACCAGGTCTGACAAGGATCCTTCGCGTCGGGATCCCTGGAAGTCTTCGGCAGATTGATATGTTGCGAAATGCCCGCGACAAGATATCCGCTCGCATCGTCCGAGTCCGTGCGGTAGGGGTCCGCGTAGTAGCTCGGGTTATCGGTAACAGTGTCAAAGGAGATGGTGCTGTGGATGGACAGGGTGTGATTGCTGTCGTGCTTATTGGCGAGATACAGCTCGCCGCCCACGGCACTCGAAATCACTACTTCTTTCTCGGAGTTGCCGTGTCCGAGCCCGTTATTATTCCACAGACCCGTGTGGGCTACCGAAGCCTGGATACCTGCCGTAGCATCTTTGGATTTAAGATCGTCGATCTGGACGTGGATGATATCCGTCCACTTGGCGGAAGGCCAGAGATCCTCGATGAGCCGCAGCGTTCCCTCGCGGTAGAAGTGGTCGTTGGTCACGTAGAGCGAGTGCGGGCTGTCGGCGATGACATCGTTCGGGGTGCGGATGAGCGGATGTTGGATTGAGCGCACATGCTGCACCTTGTCCGACTCTAGGACATGGTGGAAGAGTTCGATCTGAGAGCGGCCTTTGGGGATATTTTGAGCCTCGGCTGCTTCGGCTTCCTGTTGGTAATACTCCGGGTTGGGAAGATGGTTGACTGCGACGATGTACACGGCATCCGCTTGCTTGGGATCTTGGATCACATCAATACCGTGCGTCACGAAGGGACCCTTGAAGTTGTCAAAGGCCAGACGCTTCGACTTCATTGTCTGCAATTTGTCTTAGGATCTGCTGTCACACTGGGTGTTTTGCACACCTTACCTTCGGATCAATAACATGAATAGACCCCGGTGTCGTCGGCGGCTTCGAAAATTGGCCCAGCGGCGGGAACCAGCCAAACCGCGTCATTTTCGAGTCCTCGCACGCAGCAAAGAGGAGGTTGGCCGGACGGTAGTGGTGTAAATCCTCGCAGTGAATGGTATCCTCGATGGGGATTGGGCCATGTCCTTCTGGAAATAATGTCTGCTGGGGAGTCTGGAAGATGCCTCCAATTCGAATCATATGGGCGATGGGCCCGTACAACATGGCCACTAGGACTGCGACCAGTCCCAGGGTAAACGTGCGGAACATCCCCATGGTGAACGACGACTGAATGCAATGTCCCCGGATGTTCGGGAGAGATACTGAGGGACGGGTTAGGTGGCTGCACAGGACCAAGAGCACCTCTCAACGAAGAAGGGGGAAGAAGAGGAGCGAAAAAAGCCATGACGGCATGACAGACACCTACCTTTTTTTCCGCTTGACACAGCAGCGATCGCCGTGGTTGAGGGCGGGGAGAAAGTGGAGATGCGGGAAATATCCCGAGGCTACACAAAATGGATGAATAATGATACGGAAGTAAAAATGCAAAGGAGCTGCGTTTTGTGAACTATCATCCTAATCGCAGAAGCAAGTGGTGTTTTTGAGGGGTAGTTTTTGTTTTTCCAATGTTAGTAGCGCCTTGCGTAGCTGAAGAATCACTCGAGGCCAAAAAGCACCGTCCGAAAATCCCTTGCAAATTCCCATGTTCCAAATTCATATCGTAAGCTTAGTTCACCGACTGCTTCGCCTCGAGGTACTCCTGGTCGCTGGCATCGAGGACATCGTACTCCTCGTCAGTCAAGAAACCCGTCTCCGTGTCCGCATCGTTCAGGGACAAGCTCTCCATGTCCTCGGACACATCTGCCTCGGAGGGATTGGAGACCGTGGGCGCGGGACCCACCTCAGCGTGGGGGGGAATAGCTTCGTGGGTGCTCGACTCCGGGGACTCCTTGTCCAGCTTGGGGAAGATCATACCGCTATCGCTAGCTTCCGCAGGAGCTTCGGTCTTGACTGGAACCGCCACCGACTCGATCTCCGTAGATTCCTGCACCTGGACATCACACCACAGTCGATGACCGATCGCCATGCCGTTGGGGAGCTTCAGTCGCCAGTACGAGATGACAGTGCCCTCGCGGGAAGGAGTTCGAAGCGTCACAGTAAAGTCGGCACTCTCTCCAGCCTCCAGAGGAGCGGATAACTTGTTGCTCTCCATGGCAGACCGAATCGACTCAACGCTAGACGGATGGGTCGCATCCACGTTGAACATGGTGTCGCCACCGACAAAGCGGACGTCAGTCCCAGCGGGCCATGCGCGAGGGCCGGGATTATGCAGAGTCCAGGTCTGTTCGAATGTTGTGTCCGGAGGCAGCTTCGTGCCATCGGGGATGGTATCCCGGATAAAGTATCCCTGGAATTCTGCCGCAGGATCGGTCCAGGCAACAGACGCACCGTCGGACTCGATCTTCTCGGCCGGCTTGCTGGCTTCCACCTCCACTGGTGCCTTCTCGACTGCTGCTTTCTCGTTGAGGGTCTCCGCTGAAGTACTTTCAGGGACGTAGGTCTGATCACCCAGACTAAAGCCATCATCACCCATGGTGTTCACCGTCACATGTCGGACCGGGGTCTTAAATTTGATGAGGGGGTGAGTGCGGTTGTGCTGGTGGTTTGGAAGAGCTTCACAGTTGGCACAGAAATCGGTGTCATCGCAGACGGCACACTTGTAGCGCGCGCCCTTGATGTAGCTCTGCGCTGGCTTGTTCTTGCACAAGGGGCCATCGCAGAAGATGCCGTAGTGGATCTCGTGGACACGAGGGGGTTCAGCGAGGGCGTCGTAAATGGGGACGAACCGATGATCGGGGTGATTCTGAGAAGCGGACGAGACGCAGTCCTGGCAGTAATCCCAATCAGGGCAGGTCATGCACTTGTGGCGGATGCCGATAATGCGCTGGAATGCAAGTCAATCACTCGAAAACACTTAACGAACTCTAGATATGACATACCTTCTCACAGCCGTCACAGACGGCAGCGTGCTTGAACAGCCGACCAGGAGCGCAACGGGATGTGATCAAATTCTTCAGGCAGAAGTCACGGTCCGATCCAAGCTTGAAAGCGTGCGCAGGATGATGACCGTGCTTGTTCCGCAGGAGACAGCGAAGACACAGATCGTAGTCCTCGCACTGGGTGCAACGAACCATGCTGCGGCCATCGTTCTCTGTCCAAATATTAACCATTGACCAGGCATTATTGCCATTATCTAGAAACTCACCAAGGCAGCATCCATTGCAAATATGCTTATCTTCCTCTTCGACTTCAGGGGCAGACGCAGCGGCCATTTCAGTGACCGGTGCAGCAGTCGCCTCAACGAGCACCTTCTCCGGCTTGCTCTGCTGCACGGGCGACTCGCGCGGAGGAAGTTTCTCCGTCGTACTATTGGTCACAATTCCATCGCTAACGACTCTCTTGATCAGCCAGTGACCATCGCCACGGCAGGACGCTCCGGCATCAACACACTGCGGGCACAGATCATAGTCCCCATTCTCGCAGATGCTACAGTGGTAGTGCTCGCTGACGATGGAACGACCGCAGTTGTTGCAATCAATGCAGAACATGCCGCTAGGGGAGCTGTGAGAGATGACAGGGAAGTTGCGCTTTCCATCATCCATCTCGAAACGACGATAGCAAGGAGGATTGGGAGATGGTTGGCTCGCTTGGTGCGACTGGCGAATAATGCAGTCGGAAGGTGGAACAGATATCGAGGGAAGAATGTCAGGGACAGAGGCTGGGATTGGCGAGCTCAGGACCGTGTCGAGATAGCTGTACCTCGGGGCAGGCTGCGGAGCTGGCTGAGTCTCCTGTGTGGGCTTCGAGGGCTCCTCCTTGGAGGCCGGCTGGGCCGACGACATGGGATCGACAGTAGTTGCCTTGATTCGGAGCTTTGATTTGGCCTTGGCAGCGCGGTAGAGCGATTTGTAGACGACCACGTTGTCGCAATCCAGGCGAATGTATGAACCGGCACTATCGGAATAGCGTTCGAAGATGACGCTGACATCCGCGGGAACGCCAAGCAGCGTGCGGAGCTAAACCAGAATCGTCCGTTAGCTATCAAGCGATAAACCCAACACCCGTCAAATGTATTTCAATGGAAGAATAGAAAAGGACAGGGGTGGTGATGGGCCCTTCCACGAGGAGCCGGGTGGGTTATCGTGATGATAAGAGATGGGGGCCGGAGTTGAGGTCCGGTCGGGGAGCTCGGGTGGAGAACATTATTACCTTCTGGGGGAACACCTGCGGCTTCAGGTCCTTGAGGGGCAGCTTGAAGCGCCGGTTATTCTCATTGCAGAGCACCTTAACGGTCACCAGGTGATCTGAGGACAAAGGCTGGGATGGGGTTAGGGGAGAGGCCATGGTGACGATGAAGAGGTGTGGGTGGGGAGGAAGATGAGAGACGTCAGAGGAGTGGATGACAGAAGTACACTAAGAACAAACTAAGGCAGCAGCCGTAATACTAGAGAAGGGGGAAAGAGAAGAGCGATATGGAAGAAGAGAAGCAGATAAAGGAAGTTGATGAACTCGATCAGATCGAGAGAGAGATGACCAAGACCATGAGCGGAAGAAAGTAGAGAGGGAGAAAGAGGATGGGGTGCAGGCAGGCAGACCAAAAAGCGGAGAGAGCAGCAGACGGTCAGCTGATGGGAAGGCGGTGAGCCGTGGGTGATTAGGTCATGGTGAACTATGGCGTAGGGGCACGGACTATCGAGGTTGTACGGAGAATTACTTTTGTATTTCGTAGCATCACGCTGGGTGGCATGCAGCAGGACTAGGCTCAGGCGCGGAATCTTCAATCCAAGGACAGTCAAAAAAGAAAGGAAAAAAAAAATTGGATCATGCACCGTCACAAAAAAGAAAGAAAGAGGAAAAATATGGTATCGGGGAGAGGCAGACCCAAGGGCCTCGACCCGACACAGGCCAAGGCGAAGATGTGGGGAGGTACGGGAATATGATGAGGGGTAAAGAACGCTCAAATGCATCGGAATCCAGTTCTAACCGGGGGCCAAGCAGTGCAGAATGGAAAAACCAAAAGATTAAACACAAAGGATCGGATGGAGAATAATGAATCGTAGCCCAACGAGGGTGGGACCAGAAGACCAAGAAAAAACATTACTGCGGACCATAGTACACACCTCCGCCACCGGGTGGTTGAGGATAGTAGTACGTCGTACCAGGTGGTGTCATCATGCCGCCCATTCCCACCACACCTCCAGGCCCGGAGCTCGGTGCCCCATACTGCGGGCTCGAGTACATCTGGTTGGCGTCGTAAAAGTAGACTGTGCCGCCAGATTCATGAGCAACGGTTCCCGGCTGCGATGGCTGCTCGCCAGAGGAAGGAGGAACCGCATAGGGCATCGGAGGCTGGCCAGGAGGGAAGGACGGAACGGATGCTCCAGGGCCGACAGGGCCATTATATGCCGGATTATACTCAGATCCCGAGGGCGGATAGAAGGCTGCACCAGGGCCATATGCCGGGGGATAGAAGCCTTGCTGGTAAGTATAGGGCTGGAACGGTTGAGCATGGATCGCGCGTTCGGGAATCTGCGACAAGGGGGTCACGGAAACCTGACTCGGTGGACCACGAGGGACATCAGGGCCCGGACCACGGGCTGGAACAGGAACTTGATGGTGGAATGGCTGCTCCAGCTGAGGACGTGGTGGCTGAAACCCGAAGCTCGCGGGGGTCTCGATGTCTGCCACAGAAACAGCCTTCTGTGGACGAGGTTGATGCATGGGGATTGGAGCAGGTCGGCTTTCACGGTAGGCAGGGTGCGGGAATTGCATAGGAGGCATCACCGGCGGCGGACCAGATGGTCCCGGCGGCATTCCAAGTGGTGGCCGTGGTGGCGGTGGCAGGCGGACCACAGGCTTTCCAGCCTCGGGGGGGGATCATTGCTGGTCGGGAGTAGGCTGAGCCGGCCGGCGAGGGGTAGCCGTCCTGCGATGGGGCCATGCCAAGGGAGGACCGGCGGCTCAGGACGCTCGGTGTGTACACGGTGTTGGCGTAGTAACTTGGGCGTCGTCCGCCGCCGTAGAACCCACCACGACCTCGGCCACGGTAGCCCTGCTGATTTGGCCGCAGCGCCCGGGGGATAAAGATGAATGAACGCTCGACGGACGGGAATATGTACCGGGGAACTTGACCAGGAAGAGAAATCCGCACCGGTTTGTCTCGCCGCAGGGGAGGTCGATGTTGAGGCAAACGGGTGTGTTGCTTTTTAGGCACTGCGGGGAACGGGATGGGTTGGGTCATGCCCGGTAAGAAGATGACGACAGGAACATTCCCCACGAGGGTCGTGCTAGAAAATGACCGATTCGGGGGATCTGATTTCGGCGCGGTAGGAACAGACATAGAAGGGTTCACCGCGGCGGAAGATGCTGGTGGATTTTTGAGTGCAGGGCGTTCAACTCCGGCCACCGTATCGTGGAGGTCATGAGCCCACTGCCCTTCACTAGCTTCGGATCTCGAATTCCTGAGTGATATTAGCAAAGGTCCGTGTTTGCAGAAGGATCTGTACGCACTTCCGAGTATTTCCATCCACAATCAGGCCCACCGGTCGAGACTTGGGTTTGTTCATGGACCGGAAACCAGCATCCGCCGTCCGTTTGTCATGCAGGAAGAAACTGCCTCGCGTGGGGACGAACGCCGGATTCTGGTCCCGTTCCTTGACGTACTTGTCATGCTCTCGGCGCTTCCTTGCAGCAAAAGTCTCCCGTCGGGGTTCGGTTGGGGGAGCAGAGGGTGTTCTGCCGGTCTGGGATTCTTCCTTCGACCGGTCGAACCGGAGCTCGGCCACCTCGCCACTTTGATCAGAGACTTTGAGCCCATTCAACATTGCCTCCGTATCTGAAACCGTTGCCTTGAGCTCTGGCTTTCCCGTCGACGAGCTGGATCGGGCTGGTGGATTCAACCCTCGGCCATTTACCCGACTACCGTTGAGCTTGGGAGGCCTATCATCATCGCTTGCCTCGCTGCCCTCGCCGTCCGCGTCCTCATCACCAGGGCGGCTGCCCACCGAGCCTTCACTTAAGGAGTCATCGTCCAAGTCCCCAGCCAGCGAGCCCTCATCTTCGCCATCATCGTCCCTTCTCTTGCGGCGACTAGCCCCGATGTGGCGGCGAGCGGGAGCCATGAATATCGAAGACAAGGGGGGCACCTAAGAGGGTTGAAGAGGAACTGGCCCTGGGTTGACTTTAGCAGAGGAGGCCAGTCGATCGGGAAGCGTGGCTCAGGCAAGGATCGGCCAGCGGCGAACCAGCAAGGACTCGGCGCACCGATGATAGATCAGAACGGTGGGGGTAGAGAAGGAGAGAAGGGAGATGGAAAGAAAGAAGAAAGGAAAAAACACCTGGAGGACCAAGGCGGTAGAGAAGAGAAGAGCAAGGGGGTGGGAGAGAAGTTGACAAGCAGACAAGATCGAGTCCAGAAGGGCATGACATCGCGAGCGACGTCAGCCCTGATCGGGACTAGCGTAGGCGGTGAGGGATGCCCGATCTTGTATACAGGAAGTATAAAGCACCGCGGGTTGTTTTAGTTGGGTTTAAAGGGCCATGGATGGCCATGAGCAGGTGAATAAGAGTGATAAGTGTCACGGCATTATGATGGGTGGTGTTTGACTCCAAATGCCAATGTATACAAACAGAGTATATATATATTTAGCAGCCATCCGTTACATCTCATCGGATTGAACTGCTTAGTCGAACGAGATCTTTTTGCCCTGGGCCTCCACAATAGCACCACTGAGTCTCTGAACCGTTTCCTCGGAGTATCGAGACTCGTCAAATGGCTTCTTGGCCTTCTTAGTCCGTGGCCGGTCCTCCGAAGCATCTGCACCATCCTCGGTAATTGCATCCTTCTTCTTTCCCTCACCGTCCTTGCCAAATCGTTTCTTGTACCGCGTGGTGGCATCCTCCGCAAACTCCGCCCTTATGCGGCGTCCCATGAGCTGGTTCACCCACACCCTCCGCTGCCGGGGCTTCTTGGATTTCCGTTTCTTGTGCTTTGCAGCGTCAGAGTCACTCGAATCCGACTCTTCTTCCTCTTCCTCGTCTTCCTCCGTAACCAAGGCAAACCCCCTCACCGCCGCTTCAGCAGCAGGCAATTCCTCAAACACCACCCAACCATATCCCTTGCACTTGCCGGTATCCTGAAAAGTCGCCATGTGAACATTGGCCACCGTTCCACACTGGGCAAAATGCTCCTCGAGAACCTCTTTCGTGACGTCGAAAGCCAAATTGCCCACGAAGATTCGTTTCGACGGAGGGTGACCGGACTTGGAGCCCGAGTGTGTGGCATCTCCTTGATCCTGGGTCTTCGCGGGCCGACCCTCGAAGCTTTTGGCATTCTTGATCAGTACGGCACGGCCGGTGAGGAGCTGCTCGCTCAGACCCAGTGCCTCCTGCAGTGCCTTCTGTGTGGAAAAATCGACGTAGGCAAACCCTTTATTTTGCGCCTTTCCATATTTCTCTTGGCCTTTTGGTAGATGGATTCGGGTGATTGTAGTGTCGGAGAAGGAGCAATTGCTGGTGAAAAAATTGCGGAGATCGTCCTTGGTCGTCGAGAATGCCAAATTGCCGATCCAGATCCCGTACTCTGAGCGTTGGTCCTTGGCAGGGGCTGCCTGGGGTTCACTGGTTTCACCAGGCTCATCTTTGCCGGTCTTGGGTTTGTCGGAGGCGTCGGGTCCGTCGGCGGCCTTTTTCTTCGCTTTGCGCAGAGCCTTCTTGGACGGCGGTTCTGGCGCCGAGACATCGATTTCGAGTTCCGGGCCGTCGTGCAGCTTGCGCTTCTTCTGGCTACTGTCGGTGGTTTCCGCCATCTTGACAGTGGTTAAGTGCAGCGTAGAGGGGAGTATGTATGGACAAAAAAAGCAAGCCAGTAAGTACTGCTGGGGAATATTTTTTACGGTAGCCCGGGCGGCCCTTAAGCGCAACCCGTGACTTGGCCGATCACGCCTCGCGCAGGGTTGCGACTTGATTCTCTTCCTTCATCGACTAACTCCCTTTACCCTCTTCTGTCTCGGTCCTTCAGGAGACGCCGATTTTTATATCTCCATATCCATCATGGCACAGGAGGCCAGTGATGCTCGGTCCATGGCGGAGAGCCTCCCAGATGCTCCTCCAGCTGCTACCCCTGCCAAACAGACGGTTAAGTCTTTCAAGTGCGACCTCATCCTCCGATCTCACAAAGGGGAATTGCTGATGCCTGTATCCAGGAAAAAATATGCAAAGCTCAAGGTCAAGTTTGACGCCGCGACACGCGAGAGTGAGACACTCATCCGTGAAGAGCTGCGTATCGAAGACCTGTCGAAGCGCATCCGGGAACAGAACGAGTAAGCCACGCATCATCTCCATCCTTGTTGGTTCTAACCTGACTGATGAATTTTCTTAGTCAATTGCTTGAAGTCTTGCTCGAGTTCAATGACAGCATTCACGTCTCTCCGACTCTGCGATACGACTTGAACATGCCGGATGACACACCCTACCTGCCGACACCCGAACAAGAGATTGCACCCTTGGTCAATGATGCGACTCTTGCCCGGACGGCACTGAAGGAGGCCAAGGCGGCAGTGACCACAGGCACGATCACGCCCAGCGCGTACCGGATGGTCGAAGAAAGCATCAAACGCAACAAATCGTTCGTCCCGGCTTTGCAATACACCACCCTCTCTCAAGTCCCCCACACGGTGCCACCACCAACAGAACTGGGTAAGGGAGCCGACCACGCCATCGAGCGCAGACTCGGATATCTCACACCGGAGCATGAAACCGAGTACTACCTGACTCTGGATGCCAAGCTCGGCGACGAGGCAGCAGCCGCACAGGTCGAACGTATGCCCGATCCACCTACTTTTGCCGAGCGTGAGCGAGATGCGAACAATCGAAACCCGGCGTCGGTCTACAATTGGCTGCGCCGCAATCAGCCTCAAACATTACAAGATAACGAGGCTGCGTCGGAGAAGTCCACATCCCGGCCCTCGAACCAGCGGGCTGCCGCCAAACGGGCTACGGCGCAGGCGCGCAAGGATGAGGATATGGATGAAGATGGGACAGATGCACACCCTACCCCGAAGAACAAACGAAAGCGCGAAGAGGACGCTGGCTATCGGCCCAAGGGTGGCAGCAGTCGTTCGAAGAAGAAGAAAGAAGAGCCCACGTCGACCCCTAAAAGCAATGCTAAAAAGACGTGAGGGCGAGCTTGGGAGCTGTTTCTATCATGTATTACTACCGGCGTTCCTTCCACTGGTTTTGCACTGGGATCCTGATATTGGCATTGTACCGAGGCGTTTTTGTGGGTTCTTGGCCTAGTGACTCGATGGAAGTCGAAATGTGGCTATGTAGACACTTGATCTCAATTGCTGCCTATTAGACTCCTGATAACGAACATCGTCGCACAATCATTGATCTAGAGAAACCCAATTGGGAAGTGGATTGGTCACGTGATCGAGACCAGAAAGTCCCGATAAATTATTGCTCTCGACTGTCTTCTCCAACACTCCCACGACACCATGGCCATTACAATTCTACCCCCAGTGGTCGAGGACCTCGGCCCCCGCCCGCCCTATCACGCCGAGTCGGATGACTCAATGTCGGCGGACTCAGATGAGGATGTCGACATGACCGGCACCGGCTCGCGACCTCACAAGCGACCACGCCTAGGAGGCAAGATTGGGACGGGGATTGTCACACCGGGTGAAGTCGTCACAGATGATCCGCAATGGATGAGGTGGGTGCTCATTTTGGCTCTTCAGCGGGACTGCCAGAAGGATCCCCCAGATGAAGCTAACCAACTACTTTGCAGAGGTCATGGCACATATATCAATCCGCTCTCAACATCCATTATTGCTACAGTAGCAGGCACAGTCCACAAAACCAACAAGCTTCTTTCTGTACACCCCCTGCGCGCCCGCTACACGCCCGAGATCGGCGATTTGGTCGTGGGACGCATTGTCGAGGTCCAGTCGCGGCGGTGGAAAGTGGATGTGGCCGCACCGTTGCTGGCGCAGCTCCCTCTTTCCGCCATCAATTTACCCGGTGGGATCCTGCGGCGTCGGACGAGCGCGGACGAGCTTCAGATCCGGAGTTTTTTCAGCGAGGGAGATCTCGTGGTTGCAGAAGTGCAGAGTGTGCACCAGGACGGGTCGGCCTCTTTACATACCCGATCTCTGAAGTACGGGAAACTTCGGAATGGCGTTTTTCTCGCAGTGGCGGGCACGGGAGGAAGCGGCGCATCCAGCTCCAACGTCAAAGGCGGAGTTGGATCTGGGTCTTCCGGGGCAGGCGCCAATCCTGGGGGTGCGGGAGGTGTGGTACGGTCACGGCGACAAGTGTGGACGGCGGAAACGGCCAACGGCGGCGGCGAGGTGGATATTATTCTCGGGGTGAACGGGTACATTTGGATCTCAAAGCATACCGACGGGGCGGCGGCTGCGTCGTCGACTACGGAGAATGTCTCGATTACGCGCATGGAAGAGATGGTGTCCAGCTCGATCTACTCCAGTCAAAACGACGAGATTGCGCCGCAGACCCGCCGGGAAATCGCGCGGTTGGCGCAGTGCATCCAGGTGCTGGTGCAGGGTGGGGTGCGCGTGGACGAGGACACCGTCATGGGCGCCTACGATGCTAGTCTGCAGGTGGATCTTGAAGTTGGGGATGATGGAGAGGACGAGGATGATCGCCAAGAAGGCCGTGAGTACTTGGAAGGGAGCAAAGCGCGGCGGATTCTCGAACTGGAGGTACAGCGGCGATAGATGAGCCAATGAAGGCATGCCCTAAACGACCTATGTAATCGAATAACTGGACCCCGCAGTAGCGGTCAACATTTCACATAATGATGATTATTATTCCTGTCCACATGGATGCTGCCTCGCTCCGACCATGGGGCTCGTTCTCCGATCGGGTCAAGTCGCTGCGTTGGTTGGGCACTTTCCCTTACTAAGATCAGGGTGCAGCTCCTCCAGCTTTTCTTCTCTTATTCTTCTTCCTCTTCTCTTCCACCATCTCTCCTGCTACCATTCACCCCCATGCTGCTCCCGAATCATTATGTTCATTTCGTCTCTCTGGATTCTTCGATTACGCCTCACCATCTTCCCATTCCAATAGGATAGCCGTCTTATCTAGTACTACCTTATCGTCTACCTCGACCTCTTTCTTACCCGTCCTCTCTCGAGGCAGAGCCGAGGCAACAGACTTTCTTTTATCTCATTTACCCTTTGAAACACCTTTATATCTCTCTCTCAAATATGCCTGACCTCCGGCGCCAAATCTTCGAGAGCGGCAAGACTGTCTCGCGCAAAGCAGCCTCCCGTGAAGCATCGCGCAATAATTCTCGCAGCAACTCGAAGCAGACCTCGCGCGATACCTCGCGCAACGCAAGCAGAGCTGCATCTGACGAGGAGGACTCGGGCTTCCTTTCCGACGACACCGCTATGAGGTAAGATCTTTTATTTCTTTTTTCACATTCCTAGCTATCTTCATCCTCGGTCTCAGTCCCACTTCGTGGCGGGATGATGTCACCGGGGATAAATTCTTGAACCTTTGACCACAAGCTGACTCGAAGTGTGTGCACAGCATCGGCTCCTTGGACGATGAAAATCCCGAGCAGGATAATGACGACTGGCCCCAGGAGCTGGGCGATCGCATCCAGGAGATCCTCGATCGCAAGCGCAGCAGTGTGCAGGGCCGCGAAGAAGCCCTGACGGCCTTCTGCCGTCTGACCAAGTACCATCATGCCGAAGAAGAAACTCGGGCCTATACCGGGGACTTGTTGAGTGCGTTTACAAGGAGTGTGCGCTCAGAGACTAGCACGCGCGAAACGATCCAGGCGCTGCGTGCGATCGAACTGCTGGCCATCACGGCGTTGGATGACACCATCTATGAAAATATGGAGCCGCAGCTCACGCGCACCATCCGTGACTCATCTTCCACCTCCATCAAGGCAGCGGCTATTCATTGCCTGGGTGCGTGCACCGTCTTCGGAGGCGCGGGCGAAGATGGCATCTTGGAGCAGATGACTTTCCTCCTTGACATCGTGGCTTCGGACGGACAGTCCATCGGTGCTACAGACGACGCCACCAGTGTCATTGCTGCACTCCAGGTGTGGGGATTCCTGGTCACCGAAATCGATGACTTTGAAAGCGAGAGCGAGGAGGCGGCTCAGATCTTCATCGACCAGCTCGAAAGCGGCGACTCGGGCGTGCAAATCGCCGCCGGCGAAAATATCGCGCTTCTTTACGAAAAGAGCTACACCCCGCAAGAAGACGACGAGGACTCCGACAGCGACAACTCAGGCGATGACAGCGACGAACACCACCTGATGAACTCCTCAGGCCCGAAGCTGCTGAAGCGCTACAACGCATACCACAACACCCCCGAACTAGAACGCCAGCTCCAATCCCTCGCAACTATCCACACCAAGCGGATCAGCAAACGCGACAAAAAATCCCTGCACAGCAACTTCGCCTCGATTCTTACCACGGTCGAAAATCCGCGCCGCGGGCCGCGCTACAACATGGCCATCGACCAGGACACAAACCGGCACTACGGCCACACGTTGACGGTCAAGATCGGCCGGCATGGGATCATGAGCATCGACCGCTGGTGGAAGTGGGTGCGGCTGTCTGCGCTGCGCCGGATCTTGCAGGGCGGCTTCGCCGAGCACTATTTCCAGGGGAATCGGGCCGTGCTGGATAATCTGCCCGTCATGATGCGCATGTCTGACCAAGGATCGGGAGGATCGACGGATCGGCAGGGTGCAAGAAAGGCTGCGAAGATGCGGAACTCGAAACGGTGGACTGCGCACCACTCGGACGAGGACTAGATGGAAGGAAAGCGATGGGATACAAAATGCGGATTTGCGAATATGGAATGATTTTCCCAGCACAGAAGGAAGAGAAAATATCACCAGGTATACGGCCTGAACCTTGCTTTTACGATGAACAATGATATCTTTATGTGTGATGGGTTGCTTTTGTCTTTCTGTCAGTCTCGAAGCTTGATGATTGCTTTGCGTTCAGTCCAGGCGGTTGGTTCTCTGTTTCTACTCGACGGCAAATACACGAGTCTAGCCATAAATGCAAACACTCAAATCAAATCAAATCAACTTTGGGAAAAATAGATATCCTTATTGTAATGATATTTATAGTCCTTTCTAGAGTGGAGGATGATTCAACCCGAGTCAACACACTTCCTCTATCCGTGCCATACCGTCCATCCAGATGCAAAGCTCCAACCAGGCCTTCACTTCCAACGGAGATAAGACTTTCCCCCGTTTTCTCTCTATACCAGACGAATGTACATAGGCCAGATACATATATAACCTGCTATATATACTCGAAACAACCAGCACGAATCAAACCTCAAAAACAGGGACAACGCCCGACCAGTTGCCCCGGCCACGCTCATCCCAATAGCCGTCCTTCCCACCTTTCAGACGCCAAACGACCTCCCCGTCCGACTCATCGCTGACCCGCGTAAACCAGCGCGGGGTCCAGTTCTCGCCGGATGCCTCCATCTCGCGACGACGGGCCCGCTGGCTTTCTTCCAGCTGGACCTTGACTTCCTCCGCGCGATCGAGGTCTCCGTCCTCGAGGGCGCGCTGGTCAGGACGCAGACGGGAGTCCGTGGGCGGGAGGCGTTTGTCTTCGATGGAGGTGATTTCGTTCAGGGTGGCCGCGAACGCGGTGAGACCGTAGTGTTTTGGGGCGTTGGGGACGAGGGGTCCCGCGTTCCAAATGGTTTTGCCTGCGTTGCCGTCTCGGGTGAGCGAGAGCGAGGCGGGCCAGGTACCGGAGAGACCCAGGGACAGCGGTTTATTGTAGGAGTCGACGGCGCGAGTGGAGACTTCCTCACTGCGGCCGGAGAACATGCCGCCCGATTTGAAGGTGGAGATGGAGCGGTGACCCGTCGACTCGTTGGCGACAACGAGCTCGCCAACAGGTTCGACGTACTTCTCACCCGCAATGATATTGCGCAGGAACGAAGTGGATGGGGTCCAGCTGAAGCGATCGCCAGTGGCGTGGAGGGTGACGCGGACGCGGCCCTCGGTGGTGATCTCGGCGGACTTGCCCCAGAATTTCTGGCTGGGCTTGGGAGACTGCGCGAGACTCCACTCGCGGCTGTCTGCTTGGTATGCCAGCTGCACTGGCCGGTGCGAGACCTTCTCGGCAACGAATCGAAAGCCGAGGTCTTCGCGGACGAGCTCGTAGGTTTCGCCGAGCATGGGGTTGAACGGCTTGCGGATGGCTCGCTCACGAACTCGGTTGCTAGACAGCGAGGATACCGCGAATGCGGTCACGTAAATCAACCGTTCCACGGCATCTGTTGCTTGCGAGGCCTTGTCGAGCAGCGTGGAATATTCCAAGATCTCTGCTGCGCGCTGGAGCAGTGACAACGGTTCGTTTGCGGACACGGGCATCGAGATTGTAGACAGATCCTTGCCGACGTTCTTGCGAAGGAAGCCAATCAAGCTGGGTGGCAGGACCGTCGGAGCCGTGATGTTCGTCCGGCGCCGTACAGCATCCAGAGGCAGCGGGGTCAAAGACTTGGACTTTGTCGGGAAGAGAGGCGATGCGCTGTTGGCATCTGGCCGCGTAGATCCAGGCTCCTCCTCGTCACTGTCTGAAGGTGCATCGTCTGACACGTCCTCTGCGGCGGTGGCTGCGCCGTCCTCATCACTGTCCTGGATCGTCAAGAGCGGAGACGCAACACCACCGTCTGTCGCATCAAAGAACTCTTGCGACATGTCAGACTCCATGCTTCGTCTGGGTGCTGCCATGGCCCAGGGCGGGTGCCGTCGCTGCTTGCTCTCGGCGATCAACGTGGAAAACTCGGAAACCGCATTGTCGAGATCCCGTAACACGGCTACTAGATGGTCGTGGACCTCGTGCACTTCTTCAGCATGGCTAGCTATGCTCGCCGGTTTAGTCGACCCGTCTCCACCGGGCACCACCAGCTGGGAAGAGCTGGAGCTGGTGGTCAGTAGCGGAGGCCTTTTGCCGCTAGAGTTCGAGTGCGTGCTTGTCTTGCGTTTCCAAAATGGCCGCTTTTCACGGCTTCCCCCGGCATCTTCAGTGGTCCCCTCGCTGGGTGTTGGATGAGGGCTGGGAGACCGGCCACGAGGACGGTCATGGGGAGACGGCAGTGGAGATGCAAGATATTTGGGGTCTGTGTCCCTGGCAAGTCGGCGCACCGCATCCCGCGATCCGGAGACCTGGCTCACCAGAACTTCCACCCGAGACCATTCTTGCTCCTCTGCCGGGGAGGGTTGGAAGGGCTGAGACGGCGCGCGCAGCCGTAACTCAGGGACGCCAGGGGCAGCAGCTTTGTTGTCCTTGGATGGGGCCCCAGAGGACGCTTTCTCCAGCGCACGCTTCCATGCAGCAAAGTCTTGCTCGTTGCTGGCGCGCAAGTGCCAGATCTCGGTCCCGGAATCAATGGAAATCTCACGGGACTTGTCGTTAGTCGCGACAGCAGCAAGTGAGAGCGGGATAGCTCCTCGCAACGCGGACGAGTTGCGGTCATGATAGTATGACAATGTGCAGGAGGTAAAATCCAACGCAAAGAACCGGCGCGCCCAGCCCTGACCTCGCTTGCGACGTCGTTTCTGCAGCTGTCCGGTATGGACGGAGGACGGATCTGACGGCTCCTGTTGTTGCACGCTCGGTATAGACTTGCTGTTGCCCCGTCGTCGAGTGCGCACCTGGCTCAGAGTCTCAGTGGAGGGTTTGGTGGTTTGCGAGCGCGCGAGGGAGGGCGGCGCGGAGTTGGTAGGCTGCAGTCCGGTCGGATAGGTGAGGAGGACGAGCGTCACGGTCTTGGAGATTGTCTTGGAGAAAGTGTTGTCGAACACGAGCGCGTAATTTCCTCCCTCGCTCTCCGGCACGTCGTAAGTGCCCTGGGAGATCTTGTCAGCCTCACACTTGCCAATCCATTTGATTGACTTGAGCCCAATTCCCGTCAGCTTCTCAACGACCGTGGATTGAGAGTGATTTCGTGATCCGGCGGTGTTCGTTGCAGGCAGGTTCTCGTTGGAATCGGTGCTGTGGGAACTGGAGGGCAGCTGGGAGCTCAGCACGGCGGACTGGCCGGGATGCTTGAAGATGGCAAAGTTGATGGATTTCTTGTGCGGCTGAATGCTCCATGAGATGGTATGATAATCGTCGACATTGATCCAGCGCACGAAGTAAGACTGTCATCGTTAATCGAGGCCGCGGTGTTGGCCACCTGGCAGCTCACCTTGCTGTGGATCTCCAGCTCCTCCATTGCGGCCATTGTTTGGCGCGTTCAGCCTCACCGAGGGGTATAGTTGTCGTGTTTCGCGTCCGCCGATGGATTCAAGACAGAACGAAAAGAGGGGGGATTGGAGGGGATTCTTATTATGACGAGGGAAAGAGGAAGAAGGGAAGGCGGAAACACAAATGTCCCGAGGCTGAGGGACGGAAAGTTCACATGTACGGAAGATGCCTGGAGTGACGGAACGAGGAAGAAATGCTTGGCGGGGTGTTTGTTTGTTGCTATATAACTACGAACGACATAGATGTTCTGCTATAAATAAATACTACCTGCTAGGGATAATACTTACTGTGAGACCCTGTCGATTGGATTTTCGACCAGTGCCTATGGCGGGTTTGCACGGAACCATAATGTGAGTACCGACGGACCGGTAGTATATATTATGCCGAAGCCTGTGACAGCGAAGTGGCAAGAAGTCAACATTTGAGTAGAATGATACCACGATCGAGACTACTATGGTTGAGATGCATTTGTTTCATATATTCTACATTAGCACAGAAGAACCAGAAATTGCGATCCATTGCGATTCGGATGGTACATGTATGCCTGTCCCCAACGACCAAAGAAGGCAAGAAAGATAAAGAAAAAGGTATATCAAATTAAAACAAATCGCCAGAGAATCGAAGTCATGCAATGCCCGCCTCCTTTTTTTGTGGTTCCTTGTGACATCCCGCGTAGAAATGGATGCTCGCACTATACAATTTCCCCTCTTTACCGCCGGCTGGCCTGCATGTTCGTGAACATCAACTTGAAGCCGTTGCACAGCGCCTGCATGTCGGGGTAAGGGTTCTTCTGCAACTCGTAGCCCTGCGGGATCACCTTCACCGGCCAGTTCTGGAGCCGGGAGTGCTCGCCCGCCTTGAAGCAGAGATAGAAATAGCCCGGGTATTTGGGGTTAATGCAGAACGAATAGGCCGAGCGGCGAGGATTGGCCCGCGTGTAGGTTTCGAGCCATTGGTCTACCATGATGTTAGTGACTATATTCAATGGATAAAAGAGCAAACATACCGGTCTCAGCCTTGCTACCGTCCTGATATTTCTCGTTATGCATGATCTCGTCAACCTTCTTGGCCATCGCCTTGACGTGGTTGACGATCAAGTCGTCCAAATCGCTGTAGGTGTACCGACCACCAACCTTGAGAACGCGACCAACCGAGAACTCGTTCTCCTTGTCCAGCTCGAGGACATCGATGTGTTGGTACACGCCTTGCGCGACCTTCCAAGTAACGGCCAGATGGTCTGGACCCCGGGACGAGGGACGGATAACGACATCGCCGGGGCTTTGAGAGCCCAGATATTCCTCGGCTTGTGTGGCGTTGAAAGGTCGGAAAAGTGGATGCTTGATAACACGCATCGCCTGGCCACCACGCTGCGTCTTCTCCTTTTGGGACTCCCGATCCTCTCGTTCCTGAACCTCGTCCCAGTCGCCAAAACCATGATCATTGCCACGACGAGCCGGGTGGCTGACCTGGTCCTCACGCAGGGATACATTGCATGTAAAACCCTTTCGATTTAGGAACAAGATCTTGGCCGGAACTGTCTGGTGCATTGAATATGCGTTGCGCACCGGGACATCGTAGGGCAGTCCAAGCTCGGTCTCGGCGACAAGCGCATCGACACCACAGTCCAGTTTGGCATCGATGTGGTCCTCAAACACCCGCTTGATGGATATAGGCACCACCATGCCGGGAGTCAGCGAGTCAGGGGTTTCGCCAGTGAGCATAGTAAAGATGTCATCGGTGCTGAGGAAGACAAACTGCTTGCGCAGCTCCTCGTAGGGTTGTTGTAGTTCTGCGCGGATGGTTTCCAGAGTTGCGCGCTTGCGTTGGTTGAGGTTCCTTTCCAGCTGCTCCGCATACTCTTCGAGGATCAGATCGTTGACACGGTCCTGCGCCTCTTCCCGGAACAATTTCCGCACAATCGCACCAGTACCATTCTCGTCCGTCTCAGCCTTGATATCTTCTTCGTCCAGCTCCAATGCGTCAGCGGCCATCTTGCGTGCAATGTCGTAGTCTTCAGGATGCACACGGGTGTTGTCCAGAGGATCGGCGTCGGGGTCGGCATTCTCAAAATCAATGTAGACAAAGCTGGCGCAGTTGTTCCACACCTTGACTCCCATGGCTGGGTACTGAGCGTTGACACCCAGCAGTTCCACGCGATTGTTCACAACGCCCCCATTCATATTGACGATCTTGAGCAAGTGTGCCGCCTTCCGGGGACCCAGTCCGCAGACGTACGGGAGAAGATTGGCCGTCGCGCTGTCGGCTACAGCCTCGTTTAGATCGACGCCCACCAGGTTCACCATATCGACTAGAGCGGTTTCCAGCTGCTTTAGTAGCAATTCCTGTGATACCAGTTGCTGGCCTGGTTTGAACTGAATCGAGATGATGTCACGACCAAGAGAAGCGTACTCCTTAAGAGGGCTCTGCAGGTATCGACCAAGAGCAACGCAGTAATGGGTCAGGCTGCCGAAGCCCGGGTTGTCGCGTCTAGCACGAGGGCTGTTGTGATACAGACGGGCCACCTCATCGTTAACGATCACGACCTCCAAGGGGTCGCTGATCTCTTCATCGCGGTCATCTGTGTAAGGCGCTCCACGAAGATCCTTCAGATCGATGATCTCGGACAAGAGCTTGTAGAGCCGGCGAGTCTCCGGTGTCATGCCTGAGACACCAACCACATCGGGACGACGCCGTTCCACCAGATCCACGAATGCAGCCACATGTTCACCGTCGTTAATGCCACGACTTTGATCTCCCAGAGACAAATCCGTAAACTTGCCGTTTTCGAGCACACGGCCATCCTCCTCGGTGTAGGCCCAGTGGATGGGATCGCGGCCGACAACTCCAGATCCGGTAGATAGAGCAAGAACCCGGGGCACAGTACCCAGCACCATGCCCTTGGGTTTGTAAGGGGCCTGATCCAAACGCTGTGAGAACGCCTCACGGCACTCCTTGGCGACATGGTTCTCACATTCTTGCCGGATATTCTCCTTGACGCTGCGGTTAATCAGCCGCTCGAGCTTGCCGAGTGCCAGATCCAGCACATCCCGACGAGCACGATTCCAGGCGTCGGCGATCTCACTGTAGTTGTCCGACTCGATGTCGGAGTACAGACGCGAGCGGAAGTGATCAAAGTTCTCGAAGCGCACGCGAACCTCCATCAGACCTTCCTCCTCGGCCTTCAACATCCGCAAGAACATCTCAGGGCGACGGGCAATGTCACTGAGCTGCTGGTTCCGGAGGTATTTGAATTCATAGTAGGGGTGTTGTTCGTCGATCCGGCGTAGACCTTTCTCCGTGCGGTGGCAATCGACGACTCCGTTCATGTAGTAGGCCTGGCGAATCACTTTCCGCATTTTGGGACTTGAGACCAGCTCCTCGGCGAACATGTTCTTTGCAGCTTTCATGACATGCGCGCTGTTGGAGAAATCGTTGTCGACAAACTGGTCCGCCAGCTCATCCGGCCGATCACTCGGGTCCTCAGTGTATTGTCGACGCCCTTCTTTGGAGGCGTTCTGTGCGAAAGCATCGGCGGTAATGCCAAAGGCACGCACCAGACCGTAGGCCTTGGCGTTTCGCACCCGCTCAAAAAAGGTCTTGCCTGTGGCCTTTCGTCGCTGTGGCTCTCCATTCGTGTCTCCGTTCACCATGGACATATCACGCAGCTGAGAGGCATACTGGAAGTGAATGTAGTCTTGCACATCCTGAAGCTCCTCCATGGATGTCGCTGCAACCAACAGATCCTCCACAATGAGATCGTTGACGCTGAACAGGTTCTGCAGACTGTCGTAGGTCTTCTGAATCGTGCTGCGCTTGTCGACCAGTGCGCGGAACTTGAGATCATGGTCGAAGATGTCCCATAGATCTGTCATGTTCAGCAGCTTCTCAGCGCGGATGTTGTACTGCGCGGAATCGTCACCCGGGTCGACTCCGTTGACCGGCTCCTTGACAGCGTGGATCATGTAGTCTTTGCGATGCTGGAAGATGAACGGAACTTCCCAATCATCCGTGACCAGGAATTCCAGCATCTTGGCCACCGAGCGCTGGAAGGGTTCGTGCAGCTCGGGCTCCATGCGCTTCTTGAGCAATAGCAAATTCGAGATCCAAATCGCTTCCTCACGGAACTGATCCTCTGACAGCGTCACATGCTTGTATGGTTTGCGGGCAACCTGATGGCGTTCGGGCTCATCTAGGAGACGGATTTCGTTATCCTCCTCTGTCAACATCCTTTCAGCCAACTCGGATGGCTCGAAGACGTCCTTCAAATCCAAGCGCCTCTCTTCTTCTGCCTTGTCTTCATCCTCCTGCTCTTCCAACTGCAAAGCGAACTCGTATTCGGTGCCATCCCCAAAGGCTGCGCGCATGTCTTCAAGAGCATTCTCATCCAAACCTGCTGCTTCCGTGGCACCCAGCCCAGTCACATCTCTTCGCACGGGGGCCGCCACCTCCAGGTCGTCCCGTTCCTGTTGGGCCTCCTCGTCGGAGAATGTGTCTGCCTCGATGAAGTCGTCAAACTCGTCGCGCATGCCGCGACGCTGCCCGGGTCGATCATACTGCTGCTCCTCCTCTTCCTCATCCGAATTGAAGATATCATCGATGCCCTGGGACGGTTGGGGTTGGTCGCGGTCCTTGCCTCGTTTCAGACGTTTGAACTTGGACTGTAAATGAAAAAAAAGTCAATACACTATTCAACAGACTCCCAGGAGGTGCTTGAACCTACCTCGGTCGGCGCCTGACGATTCAGACCAGGAACATGTTCGCCAATGAGTTCCAGATCTTCCTCGTCCAGATGCTCCTCCTCGCGAGGTCGCTTGTGCTTCTTGTCCCTTCGGCGCCTCCGGCGTTCCTCGATCTCTTCATCTTCGTCGACGATGAAACCTTCGCGGACCTGGTGAGCCAATTTAAGTCAGTGCGCCGTCATTGGGATTCTCCGGCGAAAGTCAAGCTCACCGCGCGGGCAGCCTCCTCGTCGTCCTCTTCCTCATCATCCTCCTCGCTCGAGTCGTCGTAGTGATTGACGGTTCCGGCACCGTCGTGCACTTCGCCATCGTAGTCTTCATTCGGTTGCCCCTCGTTCTCCTCGTCATCCAGCATCGCCTCGCCCTCGACCAGGTCGCGGAGACTCATCTTGGCTGGTGGCAGCGACCCCTACCCCCGTGATGACGTGGAAGTCGAGTAGCTGACAGAGCTTCGAAGATGGAGAAAGCAACCACACAGATCGCGCACCCAGTTTGCCCTGCTGGCTGAGGGAAGGTGAATGAAGGGCAGGTCGGGAGATGTGAATTGAGAGAGAGACCAGGAAGAATCGCCGAAGACGCGGTGGCGCCGGCGGTGATTGGCCGACTAGATGACTAAGCCGATATGGTGAAGACCATGGTCAGGTGACCGTGCATAGTGTATGGAAGGGAGAATAATAATCCTGTTTCGAATGCCTCAATAGTCAATTAGTCAATAGTTATAGATGCTACGGTCAGTACACAATAAATTAGTAAGTGAGAATTATCGACGATAAAAACAGAATGGCTGTCATGCTCCCTATGTATTCCGCTCCTACGCCCCATTCACTAGTTAGCCCACCTAGCCAACGTGGAGGGTTTCCTTTCTTTCCTGTGAACCAACAACAACTCCTGGGGCGCCATCCTCCCCATTCTTTCCACCTATTTTTCCCTCTCTCCTATTTTTTTGTGCTCAGTTGACGCCCTCTGTGACGACTTGTTGTCCTGGCGCCCAAAACCAGCCCAATCAGCGCCAAGCCCATCACTATCGGGTTCCCCGCTACGGGGCCTGTTTCTGCTGTCGCCGTCCACACCCTCACCCTTCTGAGATCGCCTGGTCTTGCCTCTCTATTTTCCCTCCCCTCGTCGGTCTCGGCCTGCACCCTCTTCGCTCGTTCACCATGGCCGATCCATTCAAGGCGCGGACCTTGAAACGCAAGAATGTCAAGGGTCTCGCCCTCAATGCAACGCCGAAGACTGCTGCCAATCCCTCCGAAGGCGATGCCCAAGTCCCAGGGGCAATTGGAAATGCCGACAGCAACCGTACAGATACGCTCGAGATCGGGCTGGAGTTCCGACTCGACCTGCGCAGCGAGGACCTGATCCCCATGAAGGAACTGGGTGCTGGCAACGGCGGCACCGTCTCCAAGGTGCGGCATGCGTCGACTAATGTTGTCATGGCGCGAAAGGTGTGTTTCTTTGTTGTTGGGCTTCCACGGCTCCGAGATTAATGCCTTCGGTCTCTCCCACAGATCATCCGAGTCGACGCCAAAGAGAACGTAAGAAAACAGATCCTCCGAGAACTGCGGGTAGGACACGACTGCAATTCCCCCAACATCGTGACTTTTTACGGCGCCTTCCAGAATGAGGCGAGAGATATTGTTTTGTGTATGGAATACATGGACTGCGGGTAGGTGGACTGGAAACTGGGGCTTACGGCCATGTCGCTGACATTTGAACAGATCTCTGGACCGCATCTCGAAAGATTTTGGCCCCGTGCGAGTCGATGTGCTTGGAAAGATCACGGAGTCGGTGTTGGCCGGTCTGGTTTATCTCTATGAAGTCCACCGCATCATGCACCGCGACATCAAACCGTCCAACATCCTGGTCAACTCGCGGGGCAACATCAAGCTCTGCGATTTTGGCGTCGCCACCGAAACCGTCAATTCCATTGCTGATACCTTTGTCGGAACCTCGACATACATGGCCCCCGAGCGAATCCAGGGAGGAGCGTACACTGTGCGTTCGGACGTGTGGAGTGTGGGCCTGTCAGTCATGGAGTTGGCCGTTGGGCGATTCCCCTTTGACACCTCAGACGTCGCTGCCGGAGACCGTGCCAGCGCAGGGCCAATGGGAATTCTGGATCTCCTTCAGCAGATCGTCCACGAAACCGCACCCAAGCTGCCCAAGAGCGATGCCTTCCCACCCATCCTGCACGACTTCGTCGGCAAGTGTCTCCTGAAAAGGCCCGAGGAGCGCCCAACGCCACGAGAGCTTTATGACAAGGATGCATTCTTACAAGCGGCCAAACGCACGCCGGTGGACCTTCAGGAATGGGCAATCAGCATGATGGAACGGCATAACCGCAAGTCGTACCTGGCTCCTCCGGCGCCCAAATCGCTCAAGGAGGGTGCAGCCCAATCGCCATCCGCGGCCACAGCTTCAACCCCGAAGTCCAGCTCAACCAGCAGGACCCCATCACGCACTCCAAACCCGCAGTATACGACACCCACGTCGGGTGAAATCCCCGTCACCAACGACGTCTCCGCCAGCAGCCGCCATTACAACCACCATCCCTCCCAGCAGTCCGCCGTGTCCTCCCTACGATCTGCAAGGTCCCCACCGCCTCTTTCACTGGAGCACCTGTCTCTGGAAACGAGGGATGCAGAAGACACGCGCAACAGCCGCCGCCCGGGCCGACATATGGGTGACCCTACCTCCGCCATTGAAGCAAGTTCTCGCCCATTCATGAGCCCGCGCTCCATCAGCTCGCACAACACCAAGTCCCAGACAAACCTGCACTCCGCTACTCTGCCAATTCGCGCCGGGCCGCCACCCAGCGGCCCTCCGCCGGCCCCTCCAGTGTCTGCGGGCCTGCGTGGCCAGCAGGGCTCGACGGGGACCACCTCATGAAGGAGCAAGAAACAAAAACGATTTGCTGATGTTGTACCTGGAACGAACTTCTGATTTTTTTTTTCGAATCCGACCTTTTCTTTTCAACGATCAGACGTGTTCACATATCACATTGACGGCCGTCTTATGATTGCCTATGCTGCTTTCTGTCTGCCTACCTGCTTTGTGTGTATCCTTGGCGCTTTTTCTTTTCTCAGGGAACTGGACATAAAAGAATCAAGGGTAAGGAAGGGACAGGAAAAGGTCGGACGAGATATACACCGGCCGGCTCAGGCCCAACCCTCTCTCTTTGTTTTCCCTTTCACTCATGGCCACCGATCTCTTTTGTCATCCATCTACCTCCGACTCGCCTACTTTCCCTCTCCATTTTCTGTTTCTCCTATCCGCTGGGTCTCTACTTGGGTAACAAATGATCTCGGTCTCCTTTTTCACTCTCTGACTTGACTTGATTTTATGTCTACCCCAATTTTGGCTATGGTTTCTTCGTGCCTGCTGAAATATGTCCCTGCATTACACGGCGTACACAAGTGCAAGTTCCATGGTGCTATAACAATTCCATTTCTTTTTTACTCTTTGATTCCATTCCTATCGCATCTTATTATGTATGTAACAGCTGGCGTCACCAATTTGAATATTTGAAAGGCAGTAAAACGGGCGAAAACAGTAAGCGACTAAGTAATTGATTGGCATTTCGACTCTAACTGATCCTGACCACTGCTCAGACCCGGGACAAGACGAAGCAAAGAGAGACACACACGATGCACCCCTAAATAATAAGAAACACAAGACCATATACGTACAGAGGCCATCCATGCAGACGAAAGGAATAAGAACAGAGAGAACGGGGGAAATCCCCGATGAAAAAAAGAGGAAAGAAAGGAAAAAAAAAAAAAAACAAAACACCCCCCCGAAACACAGAAAGCCAGTCGTGGTCACGCACACAAGTAAGTAGCAATGAAGAGACACTGCAGCCCCGGACCGATTTGGCGCCTTCCGAAGTCAAGTCTCAATGAACTCAATCGCCAACGCCGGACAGATCGACACCAAGGGGTGTGTAGGTAAAGACAAGACGCAAAGAACAAACATTGAAAAAGCACACGCGGGTGATAGACCGTCTATTTCATTATCAGCTCCGGGCCAGCTAACGGACTGGGTCCAGGGTGTGCAGGAGGAGCAGCAAGAGCAGGAGCAGGAGCAGGAGGGACGGTGGAGTTGGATGACGGGGTCGGCCCTGGAGCGGGCGCCAGGTCCATCATGGTCATCATCGAGGAGGGTGCAGGCGCTGAGCTGTTCGTGGACTTTCCACCACGTCCGCTGGCTGTGCTGCCGCCGCGCCCAGAACCACCGGCACTGCCGCCGGCTCGTCCACCACGACCCTCGTGGGATGCCGAGGCAGTGGAACCGTTGCGGTCGCCACTCTGCTTATCCTTATCCTTGTCCTTGTCCTGGTCTGCTTTCTTAGTGGTGCGTGGACGGCGCGAGGTACCTCCGCGTGATCCAGGGCCACGCAGAGGCAGGCCCGTATCCTGGGAGATGGGCACAGCAGCCGCAATGGGTACGTGTTGGTGAGAAGTGAGAGTGCGAGCTCGCCCTGCTCCTCGTCCACGACCACGGCCGCGCTTGATAGTCCCGTCGGCTCTGTGGGGTTGTCAATATCAATGCTTGGTCCCTCTATAAAAAGGAAAACATACCGTTCCACCTGGACCTTCTCTCCCTCCTGCACCAGTGGACCACTGTACACAAAGAAACCGTCCTTGCTGGCCGCAGCAGTCTCTTGCCAGGCCATCTCACTGTCGTCAACAAATGGGTCATCCCGATCATATTCTTCGACCTTCTTGCGCCGTCTTTTCTTCGTTCCCTCATCTGCCTCCGAAGGAGCGCCGTTCGTTCCAGCTCCTGTGCCACCCATAGAAACATCACCGTCTAGATCACTGTCACGATCGAGGCTCAAATCTTCATCTGCACTTTCTCCTGCTGAAATCCCCTTGGCGCCCTTCTCATTCTTCTCCAACGCTGCCCCAGCAGCCGCTATGCGGGCCAATCGCTGTTTATGAGCCGCCAAGCGAGGGTGCAGGGCTGCAAACCCGTATCGCTCCTCGGCCAGTCGCGCAAAGTTGACGATCTGGTTCCCCTTTTGCAGCGGAATGTGCACAATGATATTTGGCGTTGTGCGCGAATCGGACGAGTTCGCCGAATCGTCTCCGCCAAATAGCGCGTTGGTAATTAGACCAGATCCTTGCGGAAGGGGTGGTGCTTCCTTGGCTGCCTTGGCCGGTTTTGGGGACGGTGCTGTGGACGACGGAGCGGTGGTGCTTCCCTTTTTCCTTCTTACCCGACGGCTTGTTAACTGCAGCAATCCCTTCTTTCGAGTCCACCTCCATTGCATCGGACGGCTGTTGTGGTCGTGACGGGGTAGCATTGGCTGGCGGTTGCGGCTGCGGCTGCGGCTGGGTCTGGGTCTGGGTCTGGGTCTGGGCCTGGGCCTGGGGTTGAGGCGGTGGAACCACTGGCGGCGACAGCTGGAGCTGAGGAGGTTGTGATTGCAGCGGGCGCTGCTCAGAGGGGGCGTATGGGGAAAAGTGGTTCGATGGCGGTGGTTGTTGCGGCGTGTGCGCGGCCCCATAGGAAGGAGATGAGGCTGGGAGAGGTGAAGGGGCTAATGAAGGGTGTGTCGGAGTATGTGCCACGGGGTGCTGCGCCGGTGAAGAGACAGCAGACACATGACCGGAGGAGGAGCGCGGGAGTTGTGGATATAGCGGTTGAGCATTTTGGGAAGGCGGGTCAATGATGCTAGATATGGCCGGCGACGCACTTGCGCGGTAGGCATTACGCGGCGAGACGGCGTGAGGAGGACTATAGACCGGTGCAGGCGACGTATTGCCAAATGCTGATCGGATGGGATCGAAGTTTTGTCCACTGGTCCGTTGCGGGTTCGGCGGGGGCGGTTGGGATTGAGGACGTGGAGGGGGAAGCGATTGATTCAAAGGAGGATAGGTAGCCACAGGGGTTGCCGAGGGAGGACGCGAAGTCTGCGAATACGGCGAGGGAGCTGGTTGGGGAGCCGTCGGCACTGTTGGAGGGTCGGCTGGTGCTGCCGGTGCAGCGGCCGAGGTATCGTCACCCTCCAGCTTGGGCTTCTTGCGCGACGCGGCAGTGGTGGTCGATTTTTCCCGGGGCCGACGAGGAGCCCGGGCCGGTTTTTCTTTCGTGTCCTTATCTTTTTCTTTTTCCTTCTTGGGGGGAGGTTTGGCCGAATCGGGATCGTCGTCCTTCTTGCGACGCGACCGACGGGAGGTGGTGGTAGATGCACGTCGGGCTGGCTCTTTGGTGCCCGGGTCGATGGTCATGCCCACGCCTTCTTGGGCGGGCACAGCCGCCGCAGGCGGATCCGTGGACATGACTCCAGTGGCGGAAAAAGAAAAAGGAAGAGGAAAAGGTCTGGGTGGACCTTTTACAGCATTCGACAGGGGATGCGGTCGCGGCCACCGGAGCTGGAGTCAATGGGGGAAGGCAGACTGAGATAAGGAACACGAAAAGTTGACAGCTATAATTGAGAGAAGTGAGAGGCGGAGATGGAGAGAACACGAAAAAGAGGAATATCGAAGATGGGATGAGATGAGGTGGATGGGATGGATGGAAGAGGGACAAAAGAAGGGATTGAGAGGGAACCGAAAACAAGACAAAGAAAAGAGGGAAAAAAGGGCAGAAAGGGGAGAGCGAACAAGGGCGTTTTGGCACTTGGGACTGGCTAGGCGGGAAGTACGACATTTGCAATACTAACGAAGGTCTGGAATACATAGAGGAACACCTATTGTTGATTTGATTATTATAGGCAGAGGCAGTCAGAAGCTAATAAGATAATAATAATCATAATCATAAACAAGATCATAGAGCTCTTCATATTATCTTCCTTGCCGCCTTCCCTCCACTCGCTCGGATTGTAAGTTGTGTTCCCGATATGGCCCAGCCGTGAAGGTTGCCCTATCGTGCCCTGACCTCATCCGATCTATCACACCTCAACACGGCACTTTTCGATCCACCAACCTCGATGAGAGATGCAATCCTCTTTTTCTGGTATTGATGTCATTGTCATCCAGCTAGGGAAATATCCTAAATAGTGATCAATGGTGCAGTGCTCCGACACCACCGACGGTCTACTCGGTCGGAGCCGATCTAAACATAATAATATCAAAGTAAGAACGTAGTCCAACTCTCCCAATCACTCCAAGCCGACATTGTCTCGTCTCCCTGGTTCAACTATCACCCAGACAGAAAACAGATCTAGAGTATGACTTCCCATTTCGGTTTAGCGCACCCGCGACTACACTAACCCAGGGCGGCTAGCGCGTCTGCAGCGTTAGTCTTTTGAGCCGCATTTTCCCCCACCACCAGCCAACAAGCACTTTTCATCACCATGGCATTTCGAGGCGAGCGCTTCGTGCTCGACCTAGACGAGAACTCCAGTCCACCGGAAGCTGCTGCGGCTGTGCCGTCCCCGTTCTCCCTCATCGGCGAAATCCAGGAACGCGCTCCTGCCGCCGCCCCGTCCGCTCCAACCCCACCGGCGCCGTCGCTGTCCTCGACCGGCTTCCCGCCTCATCGCCAGCGCAACAAGACGTCTGCTTTTAAACAGCGACGGGCGAAACAGCAAGATGCGCCGAAACCCGCGGCACAGCCGGCAGCACCGGACGACAAGCAGTCGATTGACGAGGAGAACCGCCGCCAGCTGGCGTCCATGTCGAACGCGCAGATCCAGCAGGAGCGTGAAGAGCTGATGGCCTCCATGGATCCGGGTCTGTTGCAGCGCTTTCTGCGCCGTGCTAAGATAGACGAGGATGACAAAACGGGAGATGCAGCCCCGACATCAGAAGATCCGTCGACATCATCCAAGCCGAAAAAGTCGGTTTCCTTCGATATACCTCCACCCGCCTCGGCCGCACCACAACCACAACTCCAGTCTACTTCAAAAACGCCTGCCCATGATGACACGCCCCCGACAAACCTCCCATTCGACCTGCACCCGGCATCCGAACGCCCATCCCTCGACCCAGCCATGCTAGAAACCTTCCACTTCCCGCAACCAAAGCAACCAATGCCAACTCTCGACCCATCGTCCCCCTCCTTCTTATCCGATCTCCAATCCCACTACTTCCCCGAGATGTCACACGACCCGTCCGCGCTCTCCTGGCTCCAACCACCCTCCAGCGACGCAGAAGACCCAGACAGCAGCTCAGCATACCACCCCGCCAGCAGCGCAATTTCGCTCGCACCATCATCAATCCGTTTCTCGTTGCGAGGTACAATCCTCGCGCCCTCGACATCACTCTCCCTCCCCACAACACTGGGCTTACACCATCACGGGGACGATCCGCAGGCGGCGGGGTATACGATTCCCGAACTGGCGATTCTGTCGCGATCTTCGTTTCCCGCGCAGCGATGTGTTGCATGGCAGGTTCTCGGACGGATTCTGTTTCGGCTTGGGCGGGCGGAGTTCGGGGATCGCGGCGGGCAGTTGTCGGAGGGGCTGTGGCATGTTATTGAGAAGGAGGGCGTGGTGGGTGGGATGCTAGCTGAAGCGGATGGGGCTGCTGGGCTGGGGTTGCCGGGGAAGAAGACTCAACAGCAACGAGGTGGAGAGCAGAAAGGGAAGAGTGAGAATGATCCTACTGGTGGTGATGCACCTGCTGCTTCGGGCATCGGACGCCATGCTAGTGCCGCTGCATGGGCGGTTGAGGGTGTGTGGTTGTGGCAGAAGGGTGGCGGTAGTGATCGTGGTCTATTGAAAGAGGGCCAGATTCGATCACAGTAGAGAGAGGATGGGCGAGAAAGCTTGCATATATTGGACTTGGAAGGTCAACGAATGATGATATGTTTTATTTAGGTGCAGCATGATATCTACATATTTATTATCAAACAGCACTCAACGCTGAACAGTTTATGCATTGTCGTTATACTATACCCAAATATCATACAGAAATAACCCCAGTCCAAAACCATGCAATGCATTAAAAGAGCCAGGAAAAACGGAGAGAACAACTCATGTAATAGTCGACATCGGCCCATCCGAATCTCCAACCTGCACCCCCCAAACCAACCACCTCGCCTCCTCAACAAAGTCCTTTCGCAGCCAAAGACCAGGCGGCTGGGCCGAGGATGATGACGACGACGAGAGCGAATTGTTCTCAGCAGCAGGTGAAGAACGATCGAGCCAGTCAAATAGAAGCCGCAGCTGCCAGATGCGATCACGGACTTGGTCCGGATCAGCGCCACGGCCGCGCGCAGATTGGATAATGTTGCGCACTGTGTGGGACAGAGCAAGTCTGGCATCGACGGCCGAGGTACGGAGCCAGGGTGGCGCGGAGCTCGGGTCTGTTGCGATGCGCGGCGCGCGAGTGGGGAAGGAAGATGGGAGGACTAGCGAGCGTTCGCGGATATCTAGACCTGAGAGGGAAGGGAGCTGAAAGACCCAGTCCCAGGGAGACTGGGAGGGTGTGGTTGTAGCGGCAGAGCCGGATTCAGAACCGGAAAGTAAAGCGGCGCGGTTCGGCCAAGCGGACGGCGGAGCGCCCTTGAATTTAGCTGAGGCGCCAGCTGTGGATGGAAGGATATCCTGCGCTTCGCTGAGGCCTGTAAGGGTAGAGGCGAAAACGGAGGAGCCCGATGCGCTGTGAATAGCTTTGCGGCGGAGGTAGATGGAGGGATCGCCATGCCGGAATTTTTCTCGCAGGGCGTCGTTCTGACCGAATTCAAGGACCAATGGCCAGTGGTCTGGGCCGCAGACTTCAATGTGGGTGATGTTCGTAGGGTCTGGGAGGAGGCAAGGTGCGGTGAGGGTCTGGATGGCGCCGTCATGCGAAGTGATGGTGATGGGGACAGAGATTGGACGCCGGGTGTCGAGGTCACGCGGGACCAGGCAACGTGGTTCTGCGGCGAGGACCCAGAGATGCCGGAAGGCTTGGAGATGGCATTTGTTGTCGAGCACGGTGGTTGGGAAGATTGGGTAGAAGGCGCAGAGGAGCGAGGCTACGGCCAGGTCAGACGTTCCAAGTGTGTAGCTGCCTCCGCCCAGGAAGAGCATCCCAATTGCCATGTGCGCCGCCATGTGGCTGCCGTAGGATGTATCGGCATCAATTCGACCGTGAAGCGAGCGCAGACGCCGGAAAAGGGCCAAGTCGCCTGTGCCGGCCATGACCGTAGAGGTGGCCAAGGCAACAATGTCTTGACAGTTCCGAACAGAGTTGCGCGCGAGCTTGCTATCATAATTCAGGGCCGGCAAACGCGAGATGCGGAGGAACTGGTCGAGGTAGAACAGCAACAGATCCCGTGCCGGCCCATGGCCAGAGCCGGAGTAGCGGAGACCCAGGGTGAAGCAGAGACCTGCAATGATGTTGAAAAAAGGCATGTCTTCGCTACGCAGCTGGCGAACACCCGAAAGGCGCGCTCGTCGCCGGTACACCTTTGGCAGACTCTGGCTGATCCAGTCGGTAGTAGGTTGAATGCTACCCCACATAATGAGGTGCCGCGCCAAGGTCCTCAGAAGGAAAAGGTCCGGCCGCACGTAGTCAAAACGTACCGTGGTGTCAGGGATGTCGATTTTCTGGGCCAGCACTGAATCGTTGGTCTTCATGAAGATGATAGTGAGTGCAATCGTGGCACCCGCCGTGGCACGGTCGAGAACGTGAGACAAATCAACGTTCTTGGTACCAACCGCAACGGCTAACAGCCGCTCGACAATGTGCATGTCACGCATTCCGCGTAAATCGTTGCCCTTGCCCAGGTTGATAAGCCCCAGTGCAAATCCCGCGGCAAGGCGATATCCTTCATCACGGAGATCCTCTTGAGAGGTGGACTGTTCGTCTTGTTCAACATTCTCAATCTCTGACAACATGACTTCGCTCATACGTCGATGCTGAGAGCCGCAATAAAGCAGTCCGATCCCCATAATCCCGGCTGTTTGCGTTAAAGGAGACAAATTTAGTTCCGCTGCCCCAATTGGCAGCATTCTTGTAACATGCACAGACAACAGACGTGTGATTAGCGTGTCCATTGTGCCCAGATATGAAGCAGATAGACCCAAAAGGAGACCGATAGAGGTCATGGTGTGCTTTGGCGTAAGGTACTTGAACGCAACCCACTTGGCCAGAGACTTGAGATGGCCGTTCAGACCCAGAGCTAGCAGGAATCCCGCATGGCGGTTGGTGAGATCTTGAGGCTTGTTGAAGAGGATCCACGAGGTATCGATCCCCTTGGACGCTTTGGAGATGGCCAGGCCAGTGGATACTCCGTTGTGAAAGAATGCCCAGCATACTTTTTCCTCAGTGAATGCGGACCTTTCGGCGCTGATGGTCACGTTGGACGGCTTCATAACACATTGGAGGGAGAAGGACGGGATTGGCAGCTTCTCAGTCAACAGAGGCAGTCGACCACTAAAGGAAAGCATAGCACGGCCCGCGGGAGTTGACAATGTCCTAAAGGTCACCAGCTGCACAAGCTCTTTTTGCGCATCTAACAGGTCCGCGTCGGACCAGTCTGCCTCGGGTACACACTCAGCCACAGGAGCTTTGGATTGGTTTAGCAGGCGGGCAGCTTCGATGAAGCGTTTGTCCTCCCGGAAAATTAATCTTGTGACTGAAAAGCGGTCAGCCTCCGCGGAGGCTTCGAAGGCGCTGATGGTGTCGATGTCCAGGGCCGAAGTGCTAATGAGATGGAAGTCTCGCGCAGCATCATGAGAAACGGACGGTTGTTGCGAAGTTGCTAGCGAATGGGTATAGACTGAGTTCATCGACATGTAGAGGTCCTCACGGTCAATCAGTTCCAGAAGTGTTGCATTCCAGGCGGTTGAAGCGTCCATCTGGCACCGCATGACAACTTCATACAGTGGTGCGCTGACACCTTCAGGGAACGTATCGATAATGCTCTTGGTGAGACCCCATCGGTGCAATAGTCTAATTTTTTCCAAAGGTGTTGACACATTCTGTACCTCGGAGAAGAAGTATTTCAACGCCAAGGTTCTTGGGGTGAGGTTGAAGCACTCCCGCCACATTCGTCCCTTTCTAGGAACTCGATCCGGTGCATTTATGAGGTCAAGAAGGGTGATAAAATTCGAAGATTGATCCGCAGCATCGATGAGAAATGCGAATATTGATGGGGGTGCAAAAGGTTCATAAGGGACATCGAGCAAGGAAACCTGGGTGTCTTCGAATTGCCAACGCTCCATGCTGGCCATTTCGGTACCGAAGTATGCATCCTCGGTCCATTTCCATGACGACCATCCCAGCCAGCCGCCAATTTGTGCAAGGACAGGGGCCAGAAGGCCCAACGGTCGCTGCGCCTCCTCAAAGTCACCCGTGGAGAGCTTCTGTTCTTCACGGAGAAGGTGTAAGCCAACAAGCAACGTACAAAGCGATGTCCGTCTTGTGTTCTCAGAGAAAGCTTCGGAGATGGGTAAATATCCTTCACGACCGGTGGCTTTGAAGCCCCGCGGGCTCTGGAGGAATTCGCGACTCAGCGATATGCATCGGAGCAAGTAAGAATTGTGACGATAGGTTGACCTGCTTGCATTGGGCTGTTCTGCCTTTGGTGTCCGGGACGCATCGCGGGCAGCCAGGTCCTCAATCGCATCTTGTTCAACGATCCACCCCCAAGAACTGTCCATCATCCATGGTGCCACAACACCAGAGGATCCAGATTCCAGGTCGAGCATCGCTTCCCAGCTTTCCAGATCAACGTAACTGCCACTGCTCGACCGGAGCAGACCCTTCTTCCTGCGCGTTCGCTTGGCTGGCGTCTGGGGCTGGGCGTGGACGATGAATGGAATGGCCAACGAAAATAACACGACCACCATGGCAGTCCATTCTAGATCATTTGTGATCTCTTCCCTGCCCTGAAGCCATTTGTAAACTTCCCACCAGGCCACCAGCATGCCATCACCAGCTTTCTCCGAGTCACGTAGGACGAATTTGCAGACTCGGAGGATCTTCTTCACCAAATCATTGCGAGGCTCCATTTGAACTTGGAGTCGGTGCCGTTGCCTGTCACTGTCCACCAAATCGATCTTGCCTCTCGAGCAATCGTGGTCAAGCTCGATGAAAACCACGCCGGGGTCTGCCAGGACTCGGTTGACGCCACTCTCTCTTGGACGGCTTAGAATCTTAGTGGCTGAGATTCCATGTGGCTCATAAATCTGCAGTGGCAAAGGAATATCGATCTTCGTTGGACTTCCCCACGGTGTCTGTAGGGACAATTCACGCTGGCCATTGTCGGACACACTCAGAGTCAGGATTCTGGAGATGTCTCCATCAAAGACCTTGCGGGCATCCAATACACTGGGAAAATACTGGATGCCTGCTGAGTGAACCAGAAGTGGCCGTTGCTGCTTTTTTCGCTGTTTCGATGCAGCCACACGGTCTGCTCGCAAATTCACGACAGTCATGTTTCGGGAGGATTGGTCCACGATGCAGACTGCCACAAACGCAGCGTTTCCGTTTTGCGCATTTCCATAATCCATAGAAGATAGTGTCGAGACCTTTAAGCGGCGCACGGACGTTTTCTGGGTGGAGGAATGAAAGTTAGCGGAGAATTTGGACGAGAAGCTGTCCACCTTGGACAACAGCAGTTCCTCTGGTAGGCCGGATGTTGATTCTCGAAGGGCGATGTTCTCAAGTCCCTCCGATAGAACGTCATTGTTGAGCTCCTCAAGCAGTCTGTCAACGGGGGCATCTGCGAAGCTACCCGCGGTGCTATACACAGAGCCCGTTGCAGGGGGTAACGAGCCTCGAGGATTGAAACCAAAACTTGCACGGGTGCTCGCACCTCCCATGGACTGTCTGGGACCACCATGGGGCATATTGCTTGACTGGCTTCCGGTGGCAAGATCTGAGAATGTAATGCGGTCCTGACTGGTTGCTAGATCGGTGCGTGCAAGCAATGAGCTGACCCGTCTTGACGTCTTGAGGGGCACCCCGACATCGCCAAAGTCCTGTGCTACCCGTGATGCCAGATCATCTTCGTCAAGTTTCGTCTCGGTCTGGTGGGACGCATTACGGGTCTCAGGCCAGGCCCCAAAGCTCTCCCGTGGTCCTCGAGCGGCAGGTGTAGTTGCGCCGGTAGCCATTCCGAAATGGGAGCTTCGCCTCTTTGACCGAGTACCCCCAGTCTCTCGCCTGGTCTTTTCTTTCAATGAGGCATCGAAGTCGTCGTCTCTATACCGGGCAGTCCATATCGTATAGAGCCCTGTCGTTGTGTTCAAGGTGACCACTAGAATCAAAGGGGCGCTCGTTGAGGATTGTGCTGAACTTGGCAGTTCGTCCGTTTGGGAGATGTAGACAATTTCGTCTGATGAATCTAGCACAGATGGCCCTGACTGTCTTCGGCCCGTACTGCTGACACTGCTTTGAAGCCAACTAGACGACGTCTGCGTCGTCACTACCAGGCCCATTTCCGAATGAGGGTTGATCAGAGAAAACACCCGGGGGAGGTCAGCGCTTGAACTGGGCTTTGGCACCCATGCGGGCCCTTGAACAGACGAGATTTTCAAAGATGGACTCTTGCTTTTGGTGGTAGAGGACTGAGAAGCACGGAGATCGAACAGAGAGGTGGACATGAAGGAGTTGGGAGGCGCAGTTGGGTGCTGGCGTGCCTCATGGTCTTCAGGAACTCTTCTCTGAAATAAAAGCCCGCGAGGAGTTGCAAAAACAGTATCGACCTCAAATGGAAGAGGAACGGTGTGGCTGTTGCCCGCAACGAAAAAGATATGGGCTTGTGACTTGAGGACCACCACCAACGCCCGGGACAGTTTGTCGTTGGACTTTTGGGGTGCAACAACTGCGACTCGCGCATCTCCATGCAAATCCAACGTCGAGCCCGAGCTTGTCAATTGCTGATTTCGAGCTCGCTGGGCCTGCCCACCTCCCCGCGCGCCCGACACTGGACTGGTGACGTCTCGATCAGAGCGCTTGATTCTTCCCGCCGCGAAGTAGGTAAACAAAGCATGCCGAACCTCCTCTTTCTCGGGGTCTAGCCGGAAGACTCTCTTCACTATCCCTGCGCGGGACCACACAACGCAATGCTTCGTCCATACCAGCTCATCGTCCACGGGGCCAGTCAGCCCGCTATCATCCACACTTGTCGACCATTTGTATTGGTCGTCTGATGGATCCGGAGGAAGAATGCCCTCTGTGACCAGGTAAGGGACGGCTGAGGGTTCGTGGAGGCCCAGGGACCGCGCGGACGCCATGGCGGGTTTAGCGGGAGTAGCTGTAGGGTGCGTATTGCGCCGTCGCGACAAACACTGAGGTGGCCCGGTCAGTTTGGAGCATTTCCATCGTCCAGGAGGCCAGGCCAATTAAGAGTGCGCGGGCCACAAAGGCGTTGTGTTATGTTGATTGTTGGGCAAGTTCAGGCGGGTATTGGAGACGCGCAGGAACGCGGAGAGAGAATGGGAGAGAGAGTTTGGTTCCTTCCTGTGCTTCTGCCGGACCACAACAACTTCTCTTCTTCACCTTCCCTCCCCCCCCAACTCTCTCCCCCTTGGCTATTTCCCACCTACCCTGCTACTCTACTTGTTATCTCATCCGCTTATTCCTTGGATTGAGCTTGTCCTCCATCCCGCGTTCGGCGCTTCGAGCAAACAGCTCCAGCAGCTGTCCACGGCATCGCCACTGTCGCAATGCCTTCGTTTCCCACCACGCCCTTGGTTCGCCCAAGAGAAGATGGCATGCAAATAAGGTAAGATAATTTTTCTTCCGCGTGGACTATCGCTCACTCGACGTTCGCGACCCTCAGCTACAGGCTCCCCCATCGTGTTCACGCAGCCAAGTCCTACCCTATCCGAGCACCAAACGGCTCTTCGATCATCATATACGGCTACGAGAATGGAGTGAAAGTTATCTGGAGAGGCGGCAAGCAATTCTCAGCTTTGAAGGAGTCGGCACCCCAGGAAAAGAGCAAGAGCTCTGGGAAGGACAAAGACGACGATGCCGTGATGATCATTGACTCCGACGAAGAGGACGCGCCAGAGCCGCCAGCAGCGCAAGAAGAAGTCCGCTACGACTTTAGCATGGAGGAGACCGAGGTCGATCCTGCTTCTCCGTTTGAGGAGATTCTGCGACAGATCGATATTCCCTTGGGGAGCCGGGTCCTCGACCTCGCGGTGCCTCGTGTGCTCCCCGAGGGGGCGCGCTCTCCTCTTGACCCATTCCCGCCTGTTTTGAAAAACAAAATTGTCGTATCGGCAGTCTGCTCTGACTTCTCGACTCGAGTCATCACCGTGCCGCTCGTTCCTCCTCACCCTACGCAAACAGACCCAAAAAGCTGGCGCATCCAAACCTTGACAATCAGTGGCGGTGTTACCCACCAGGATATCCCGCGCGGCGTCTCTCTCACATTTACCTGTCAAGAAGCAGAAGAAGATGCAGATCGGCGAAAGTCGCGGAGCCGGGCTGGTAGCTCTGGGCGATGGGATCTGCTCGTGGCGACGCACTCTGCCGAAGGATCGGGCATGTTACTGCTGCACCGAATTCCAATTCTGGAGGATCGTTTGTCGGAGGAGGACATCACCTCTCAACGGCGGCTCTTGCCAGCCCCAGCTCAGACGATTGCCTTCAATCCATCTTCATACCCATCAGTTCGTCACTCCACATTGCTAGTGGCTTTCCACAGTGGGTTTGTCAAGATTTATTCGTGTTTCACGGTGAAAAAAGTTACCAAGTCTGCTCGGCGGTCTTCTATGCCGCAAGAGGATTACGAAGCTGCCGACACCGAAGGCCGGTGGCTGATCAGTTTGTACCCCGGCTTTGAGTCAGGCCCGACTGTGCTGCCTCGACGCAAGACGATCATCGATGCTGACTGGGTGCTGGGAGGGCGGGCGATTATGGTTCTTTTGGCGGACGGCGAGTGGGGGGTGTGGGATATTGAAGGAGCCGGCCCTGGAAACACCAAGGGGCCCTTGCACCGGCAGTCGAGCGTGCAGGGAGTGACTGGCGGTTCATTGACCGCATACGCTGTCAGCGGACGAATCCTCACCCCACCAACTAACAGTCAGTCCGAAGCAGAGCAGCGGCCGCGGTTTGCGCCTATGACCCCTTCCACGAAGCGGGTTCGGGAAGATACGCTGCTGAAGGGATCGATGAACCCGGCCAGCCCATCACTGTGCGGGGAGATCTCCGTGTTTCAGACCAATTCGTCGCAGGAAGCGCTTCCTGACGAGTCGATCCTGCTCCGACACGGCCGACAGAGCGCAGCCATTCCTAGTCTTCTCTCCCTCTGGCGCAACGCGGTCCGAGCCACGGGCACATTTGACGCCTCGAACCGCTGCCGCGTGACTCCATTCCAGGACGTGCACCTGATGGGTGAGAATTTCCAGGCAATCGGTCATTCACTTGCTCCTGTGCGGCAGTCGCGCGCGGCAGACCGCCAGCCTTTTGACGTGCTCGTAGCCGCAGAGCACCAGATCATGATCCTCGCTCCGCGATTGATCGAATCCGACGGGAAAGTGGTCGCGAAAGCAGTGGAAAAGGAAGCAACCGCCGAGACAGACCAGTTCATGCTCCAACGTGGCGAGCTGGATGTGGAGGGAATGGGACGACTTCTGAACGGCATGGCCAATGGCACGGGTTCTGTGCGCGTTGGCAGCCCCATTAAACGGGCTCGCGTGTTCACTTGAGGGAGCCATAGCATGATACCCCCGATCATATCTAATCCAGTGGTTTTTGATTCTACTCACTTCTTCCCCTTTTTTCCGACTAGGAAATTCGCGCTGTCAGGTGGAGCGCAAGGCGAGAACCATGCCTTGAAATTCCTTCTCCGGAAGTGAATAAGCTCTGTATCGGCTGCGATATATCGATGACCATCCCCGAAGCTCTTCTCTGAGGTGCAGCTCTTGCTCGAGCTGTCTTAGACAGGCGCCTGTATTCGACCCTGGTCTTTCTGTCTTTCTGTCTTGTCTGTTCAGCTGCCGACCTTCCTTTCGGGGTGTCTTCTACGTCGGGAGCCGTGGCGGATTGGATGGGGGATAGGCAGGGTTTGATGCGGTGCGAAGCAGGGCATGATGATGGGACACTACCTCGTAGTTTGAGTCTATTTGTTGTATGCTACTGTATTTTCTCTACGAGGTGAGATTGACAGACCAGACAGCCAGTACACTTCCAAGAATAAGGAAGATGTGCATTGAATTTTTGAAGGTGGTTTTGGAGCGACGAGTTGTACTTGTATCAGTCGGAATCGGCCCGGCTCGATGACGGTGGTGGATTACTGATTGATAAGATCGATCTACTTTGACTTCTTCCTTGAATTCCATTCAATTCATCCAATCCATCATGACCCAACTCCAGACTCCCTCCCAGCCCAAACGGGGTGCGTCCCCCTCTCCAATTCCAGCCCTAAAACAGCCAACTAACCCTCACCCCCAGTCTGGGCCTCCCTCATCACCAACCACAGCTATTTCCCGGGCCTTCTAACACTATACCACTCGATGTCCTGAAAGACCGATGGGTGGCACTGCCGTACGTCTATAATACGCTGAAGACGATGCGGCCGGAGTCTCTGCATGGAGTCATTTGGCGGGATGAGGAGGTGAGGGCTGTGCATTATATTCTTGCGGTTAAGCCTTGGCATGAGGGGATTACGCAACAGGATGAAGAAGAAGAAGAAGGGCTTGGGAAGTGGAAGGGCTAGGGTGAGACGGGAGAGGGAGAAGGGCGTGGTGGATGCCTTTTCTTCTTGATCTGATCTTTTCGCAGTTATAGAGCGTAGATATAGATACGAGCAATTGTACAGTATGTCAAGCCAGTCTATAGTCACAGTATCTTCTTGTATTGTAATTTGTTTTGCTTTACGACTTATTTCCTTTCTTCCTGTCTGCCTATCCGATACAACAACTCTACATGTACCATGTAATCACCCCAATCAACCACTATATCCCAAGGCGTCCAACTCCTTGCGCACCGAATCCTCTGTGTGGATCTTCTTCATCTGCGTATCCTCCAGCTTCTCCCCACCGGCCAGCCGCATCTTCAGCTCGTCAATCGCGCGGATCTTCTTCAAAAGGCCGCGGATTTTCTTCTCCTGTGCCGAGGGAGTAGGTTCCTCGGCAGGGACAGGGGCCGGAGCAGGGGCCGGAGCAGCAGCAGCAGGAGGCGCAGACTTGGCAGTATTCCCATTCACAGGGTTGCCGCTGCGGTCACTCTTGTTGTTTCTGGCGCGGGCCCGGTCCGGGCTGGGGCCCGTAGGCGCGTTGGCGGGCGGGGCGTTATCCTCGTCGTCTTTGGCCTTTTTCGCGGCCTCGCGCTTCTTCTTGTTCTTCGCGGCGGACTTGGACATCCGCTCGGGCTGGTCTGCGCCTGGGGGCAGGGCCACGCCGCCACCGGGAGCCGCGCCGGGAGGCAGGTACTCCTCCGCAGGATCAGCGCCGGGGACATCGCGACGGCGGGGCTTACCGAAGCCGTTCATGCTGGCACCGGGGACGCCATCACGGACAAAGGCGGCACCGCCTTGATCCTCGCGCTTGAAGGCTAGCGGGGTGAGCTGGCCGCGCGCTCCGGGAGGACGGTAGGCGCCCGCGGGTTTGGCGGGGGCCTTGCGGGTGGCTAGGTATGCGGTAGCGGACGGATGAGGCACTGGAAGTTTGTTGAGGGGGTCACCCAGCGGGTGCTGGGTCGTGCTCTGGGGTCTCCAGGTGACGTCGTACAGCTCGGTCATGTCCTCGTTGTACATGAGGCCGCCGCCGACGTGCCAGATGCGTACGCCGTTGTCGACGCGCAGGCGCGGGCTGGTCGTGGCAGTCAGGATGAACTGGCCATCGGGCGACCAGGCGCACACGCTGGCGTTGGATGCCTCGACGGTGGTGATTTTGTGGTAGTTCTTGTCCAGGTCGTAGATGTCCATTTGGCCAGCCAAATTGCCAAAGCCGGCAACCAGGACGAAACGTCCATGCGGCGAGAACAGGATCGTGTTCCGCGGGCTGAGAGGGAAAGTGTGCTTGGGCACACCGCGCATGTTGAAGATGGTGGTCTTCGCGGGCATGTAGCCGTACACGACACCGAACTCCTTCGAGTTGGGGTTCCAGCTGACATCGTGGATGGGACCTTCTTTGTCTGCAGGGGGTTAGCCAAGAACGTACAGGCATATACAAGTCAGTACATACCCAAATCCACTCGCGAGTCAAATGCACCGCTAGCGCTGAGCAGATACAGCGTGGTCTCGCCATAATAACTTTTCCCCGTACGGTCGACCTCCGTCTGCGCAAGGACAATCACAGTCGTCCCGGAGGCATTCCACTTGAGCTGGACCTTATCTCCCTTGAAGAAACTCTTCTGAGAGACGGGCGCCCCAAACTGAGGAACAGAAAAGACCTTAACCTGAGCCGGCTGGCCCTTGCGCTCAGGAACAAACACCGCAAGCGAATGGGTCTGTTGTCCCGGGCTGAGCGCAAAATCCGACACCCCCTCCACACGCAGTTTATTCCAGACGGTTTGCAAATTGTCCGACTGGAAGAACTGGACCTCGTTGGTGACAACGCGCGCGCACAGCTTCTCGTCCGGCGTGTACTGCAGGTTCCAGCCCGTCTGGCTCTTCTGCACGAAGCTGCCCACGACCGTGTGTTCGTTCTCAATGGCCCGCCACACTTTCAGGTTCTTGGTAGCGTCGCCGTTCTCGTCCTTGGTCGACCGTTGCCAGGTGATCACGTACGTACCAAGCGGGGAGAACCCGAGCTCGAAGACGTTGTCGGCGGCGATGGTTGAGACGACGTGGCCCACGGAGGCGTCGATGATAGTTACCCTATTTCAGTCAGATTAGATCCAAGCCATGAACGGGGGAGAGGGAAGTAAAACATACTTCTCAGGCGATGCCCATGCGTAGTACCGACCGTCCGGCGAATACGCGCTGCAGCGGAGGTTCCCTTCAGGTCTGCCAACAATGAAATAAGCCTCCACACCATACCACAACCACACCACAAGGTATCTTACCTCTCAAATCCCGGAAGAGACTCATAAACGGGATCCACATCCATGATACCAATGCCCTTGAGCGTGCGGACTATCCGAAGATTAACAACCATGCGGTAAAAGAAAAATGGGAAAAAAAAAAACTCACAAGCAAGCTGCGTCGGAGCCGCCATCTTGAAAAGCGCGGGATGAAAAGGCTGAATTCAACAAATGACCAGACCCAGATAAAAGAAGAAGATCGCTATAATCTTCTTTGCCGTATGTACTCAAAAACGAGAGTCGATTCGACGGACCGAAGGAGGAAGGCCAAAAAGGGTTCTTCCGACAGGTAAAGTAAAGCAAGGACAAATCGAAGCGAAATCGAAATCGTAAAATCTCTGGACTGGATATCTCGACCACTTGGAGACTTCTGGTTTTTGGTGGTTGGAGCGATGAACTCAATTGGGGCAGGCTCGCGGGTGGCGCGACGAACGACGACGACGAAACAACACTTTCTCAGTCGGACTTCTGGTGCTAGACAAGTCAATGCCAGCAGATTGTGAAGGGAGCAGAGAGCCGCGACGGTTCGGGGGCGGAGCGTGGGTGGGCGAGGTGGGAGTGGTAGGGGAAGAGAGAGAGAGGAGTGAGTAGTGGGAAAGAGGGAGGATGAACGGTGTGGAAAAGAAAATTCGGGTGAGTGTTTCGGAGGCGGGCATGCCGTCATTATCGACCACCTACCTGGATAAGACTGGGTACTAACCTGTATAAACTACTGACGATTATTATTGAAACAGTAACGGATCATGCAGAATAAAAGAAATAGGAATAAAAAGGGATTGTCGCTGATTCGTTGCTTTGGTTTCATACACATCATACTTGCCATCCATTCTTCCCTTCTCCGTCCATCATAGGCTTACAGAAAATGAAAAGATGATAAAAAAACGCCATTCCCAACTCCTCTCTGTATCATCTGACCTAGTTACTCCCGACTTGGCGTGTCGAGTTCACTCGAAGGGGTCACTAGGCGCGGCGTCCGGGCCGTGGTATCCACGACATCCTCGTCGAAAGTCATACCATCGACCATGCGGGCATCCTCCGTCGTCGGCTCGGGGGTATTCGAGCCCGCGGGGGATAAATTGCCGCCGCCCATGTCATGATCATACTGGTGTTGATACTGGTGCTGATACTGGTGCTGCTGCTGCGACTGCAAATACGACGCGAGCGGGTTCAGACGCGGCGGCACATTGCTTCCAATGGAAGTCGGTCTCGCACCGGAGGACATGCGATTCAGGCCCGGGGGCCGCTGAGAGGTCGGCCCACTGATGGTGCTATTTGCGCCCTCGCCGAACCCCACAAGACTGGCGTTGCCTTCATCGCTGATGTTACTGATGTTGGATACCGCGTCGTCGGGATCTGGGCCCTCGCTCATCTTGTCGCCCTCGTAGTAGGCGTCACTGCCAGACGCCCAGGTCGTCCCAGTGCGAGCACCGACACTGCCTGTCGCGCTGGCACTACCGACAGTGCTGCGCTCCTTCAGGGTGGCCGGACTGTCGAAGTAGCCCGGGCCATGGGAGACGGACGTGGGCGCGCCCGAGGTCTGGCCGCCGCCGGCGCGGGCGGTCGCGACTCGTTCTAGGCCAGCGAGACGGGAGATGCGATCGGCGCGCTCGGCGTCTAGGGTGGTGGTGGAGGAGGTGGAGGCGGAGGAGGACTGGTGGGCGTGTCGGCCGTGGGGCAACGGTTGGCCTTGGTGGCCGTCTTTGATGGCCGTCGTGGACAGCGCGGACAGCGAGGTGGTGCCGGAGTTGGGTGTGCCTCTGATGGTGGCATAATCAATCCAGTTCCCAGGTCAGTCAACCGGTCAATCATTCAAGCTGACGGCAACGGAACGCAGGGGGAGGTCTTACGGGCCCTTGTCTGAGGGAGTGACGGGGTCCGAGGGTGGAGGGGGGAGATTGATCAGGGTTGGAGTGGTCATGGTGAAGATGACAGTATTTAGTCAGTAGTAGTAGTGGGAGTGAAAAGGTAGTCAATATGAGAAGGAGGTTAGTAGTAGTAGTGAGGATGAAGAGGAAGAGGAGAAGAGGAAGGAGGTAAAAGAGGGCAAGCAAATGAATGTTCCCCGCGACGTCACATCCCGCTGAACCAATCATGGCGGTCCGATCGGATATCTATGGATGGATTGACTAGTTGACGATTTCATTCACTCATTACATATCACTAACGAAATATTAAAAAAGAAGACACTAGAAAAGGACACAGCCTGCTGGGCCCTCATCCCTCGCTGACTTTCCGGCCACTACTCTCATAATGCCCCCGGAGATCATCCACCTCTTTCTGCAATCGAGACAGATCAGCCAGGATATCATCCGCATTGGATGGTTGAGGTAAAGGCTCCTCGACCACCGATGTCCGCTTTTCACTGCTGCGGAGAGTCGAGTCTCGGGCTCGCCGTGGGGGCGGAGGAGGCGGAGCAGCCGACGAAGAACCAGGGTGCGGACTGCCATATGACGAAGCTCGTCGGCCATGTTGGAAGGATGTTGAAGTTGTGGATGATGATGATGTGGTTGGTGGTGGTGGTCTTGATTGAGGGGAAACCCCTTCTATAGACGTATAGTCTCCCAATGCAGGCGGGGGCATGCTGGTTCGCCTGCGGTCCTGCGGTGAAGAGGAAGAGGCGAGAGACCGGCTCGAGGGGCCGGGGCTGGGCGGTAGAGAACTGTTGCTCTCGGAGTCCGCGGATGATAGATTGAGTCGTCCCTTGCTGGATTTCGACTGGGTCGACTTGGACCGTCGCATCTGGCTCTGCCGCCGGCTGAGCGGTGGGGTGGGTGGGCGCTTCTGTTCGGAGCGGCTACGCTGGAGAGACTCGTTCTCGGCCGGTAGTACTGCTTCGCCCGCGAAGTAGTCGGATCTGTTGGAATGGGACGAGCCTAACGCCCTCGAGGACGTCAGGGCCTCGGGGGGCGAGGCATGGAAGGACAGCCGATTCGAAGCAGTCCGAGAGTGACGATCGCCCGTCGTGATGCGCTTCCCATGCACACTCCTTGGCGGCGGCGGCGGTTTTTTGTCTTTGGGGGTTGTCAGACTGCGGTCTGCGGATGTGAAGGGTCCCATTGACGATGGCGTGGAAGATCCATCGGGGCCGGATGGAGCTGGGGGTGGAGCAGGCCCAAAGGATTGCCGCGGTCGATCATGATTGTCGTCTCCGTGGCTCGTCTCTTCGTCGTCATCACTGGCCGAGTAGTCGGGGTGGAAGGGATTGGCTTGTTCGTCAGACGAGGTCGAGTCATCGGTTTCGATCTCCAGCGACCGGGCGGTTATTGGCATTCCGTTGGGTGTGCTCGAGGACGGCATCGGGGGCGGTGGTGGTGACGCCGCATCAGGGTGGTGGGCTGGATGGGGTTATCATGGTCAGCAACCACGACAGCTCGGGCAGTGGCGGGAATCATGCAGGGGCACTCACGCAGAGGATTATTGTTATTTCTGGGACGGAAGGGATTGAGGCCAGACATCTCGCGGGAGATGGAAGGGGGATGCAGAAGACAGAACGGGTGGAGGGGCTAGATGTAGATAGATGTATGTCCTAGTCCGGCCAGTCCGAACCAACCCTACGTTGGTTCACTTGTTGACTATTATTCATACCATAGATGCTCCACGACAGATTACATACACCAATTCCATCACTCGTTATACACATGCCACGTCGGTTCCGCTTCAAAGAACTTGTGCGCCAGCCGCTTGCCACTGGCCGTGGGCTGACTGAACGCCAGCTCGCCCTTGGAGATCTCCATCCCATAGATAAAATTGCTCACCACGCAGTCCAGCAGATCCAGCGCAATGCCTTTCCGCCGCGACGCTCCAGATGTCCAGATGCGCGATACCCCGACAATGGCCGGATGTGTCTCTGCGCCCACGGTGACCGACGAATTCGTGTCGTCTGACCCGGACTCCGACGCGACCGGGCGCGATTCCCAGATGCGTTCTGTCAGACACACCCCGACGCAGCGGCTGTCCTTCATGTGCAAAAAGACGCGATATCGATCCACCTTCTCGGTCCCTTCCTTCTCCTGTAGATGCGGCGGTGGTTCGATCTGACTCCAGAGCACCTCGTCCTCGATCTCGGGCGAGGACAACTCCTTGTTGACCACCTCGAGCACCTTCTTCGCCTGATTCTTGGCCGATGGGGTCGCCTTGCGATCCACAATCACCACGTAGCCCTCATCAAAGCGCGTCGCCTCGTAGACCCAGCGCGACGCGTTGGCCTTGACAAACGCCTTGCCCAGATCGACGCCCGTCGCGTTCATTTCATGGAATTTCTTATGCAGCGCCGCGTCCTCCGGATTGGACGGAATGTACTCCATGCCGCACGTCGCACAGGTCTTGCGCACTTCATTCCCCAGGTCGATCTGCATCTGGCGCATCACGGGGGCCTTGGGGGCCTTGGGCGGGTCGGTCACCGAGCGCACGCTGTTGGAGTTGACCTCGGACAGCGGCGTGGCATCTTTGGCGTGCTTGCGCTTGAGAAAGGCAAAGGTTGGTTTGCGCGTGTTGGCGGGAGGGGGACTCAGGCGCGGCGGTGGCGACGACGGGGGGTGGTCAGGTCGTCGAGGTCGTCGATGTGGTCGGTGGCCTCGGACAGGACGGAATTCCGGCGCGAGGGACTGGACAAGACGGCGGCGGAAGATTCGCGGATGGCATACTGCAGGTTGGCCTCCGCCTCGTCGGACTCGTGGTGGACGCGTCGTTTCTTGGTGGCTCGCTCGTCGTCATAGACGCGCCATGTCGGTCTGCCGTATGTTTTCATGAGGCCTCTAGATGCAGGATCAGCACAGTGTGTATTCCACTCCGCACTCGGGGCGCCCTACCGCTTGAAAGAATTGGTGACAGTCCACGGCATCTCCCTGGTCAGTCAGTATGTGGCACAGATGAGGGAGGGTGTTGTCCGGGGTGTGCGAATGCTATAAATGCGCGTGTTCGGGCGACCGCGCTAACTGTAATAGGCCAGTAGCCAGTAGGAACAACAGTCGCTGCTCATCCCTTGCTGGCCCTCTTTCCCCACGAGTCCAGTCGCCACCCCCCGATTATTATAGTTAATGATGAGAAAATTAGTAAACTGTATTCGCCCCTGCCCATCGTCATCGCCAGGCACCCCCGGGCGCTCCAGGAGATTAGGAGGATCGCAGTCTGGCGCTGTTGGGCTGACCCCGGCCAATCATCACTGTCGGGCAGGCAACTAGTGCTAACTTACATGGGCTGCTGACGGTTATTGGTGTGCGTGCGAGACAGGCAGATCGTGGAGAGTCTGACAGGCTGAGCGTCGAAAGCGCCGTTGGGCCGTTCAGTCGGCCCTGGGCGTGATGAGGCCTACACTCTCCGAGAATCGGAACGGTCTGACGTCGGTGGGTAGCGCGCTTGCGAGAATAATCGGAATGAGGGAATCCATGTGTGATTCTGATTATAATGATCATAATAGGATGCTCGTCACCGCGTGTACACCTCGTTCGTAGTCTGCGAGTCTTCCCGAAACAGCAGGACGGAGACCGAGGGCGGAGTGGGCCTTTTTTCGGTCCCTCCTCTTCTGTTCTGCTGTTCCGTCCATCATTCTTCTTTTCACTCGCTCACTACTCCTTCTTTTTCCTCGGTTGAAATCTTCTCAATTTGTTGGGTTCAATTTCATCCTTTTGCCCCCCTCCGTTCCCCTCGACGATCCTGTTGTTCCATTCACCTTCTCGAAAATTCTGCTCCACCCGCTCTGCACCATGTCGGACGCCGCACAGATAGCAGGAAAGAGAAAGCGCGCGAGTATGTCCCCCTCGAAGCCTGTTCTGAACGTTGATTCCTATTATGGTGGTGGTTGGCTTGCTTGTATCCTTGTTCTGTCCTTTGCCTTGATTTGCTTTGCCCCTCACACATCTTTTCCACGCTGGGCTCGCTCTGGTTCTGAAGAAAAATTTCCCTTCCCAACTCCCCCGTTCAACCTGCCCGTCACCGCTGTTGTGCAACATTCCCTGGCCCTCCCCCACCAGCCCTCAGCTGCGTACATGCCCATCGTCAGCACCGTCCACCAATGGCTAACACCACCCCAGGGACCCAGTCCTGCCCGCGCCCCCGAGCTCCCTCAGCTCGTCGCCGAGCAGCATGTGCCCATCCCCCCTCACGACAAAGACACCCAACGCCTGATCGTCATCCTCTCCAATGCCAGTCTGGAAACGTACCGGGCATCTCACGGCGGCCGTGGCGGGCCCAAGGATGAGAAATACTCCCTGTTGAACAGCGACGAGCACATCGGGATCATGCGCAAAATGAACCGGGATATCAGCGAGGCGCGCCCGGATATTACGCACCAGGTTCGTTCATTCCATATGCCTGTCGCATCATTGGCTGACCGCTCGCGCCACAGTGTCTCCTCACCCTCCTGGATTCCCCGGTCAACAAGGCCGGGCGGCTGCAGATTTACATTCACACGGCCAAGGGCGTTCTGATTGAAGTCAACCCCTCCGTCCGCATTCCCCGCACCTTCAAGCGCTTTGCCGGATTGATGGTCCAACTGCTGCACCGGCTCTCGATCCGCTCGACGAATTCCCAGGAGAAACTGCTCAAGGTCATCAAGAACCCGATCACCGACCACCTGCCGCCCAACTGCCGCAAGGTGACAATGAGTTTCGAGGCGCCCGTGGTGCGCACCAAGGATTACATCGAGTCGCTGGGCCCGAAGGAGAGCATTGCCATTTTCGTCGGCGCCATGGCCAAGGGCCACGATGACTTTGCCGACACCTTCAAGGATGACACCATCAGTATCAGCAACTACAGTCTCAGCGCCAGTGTGGCGTGCAGCAAGTTCTGCCACGCGGCCGAGGAGGTGTGGGATATTCTGTGAAGCACCGGGTGCTGGACTAGCATGCAATCATCAACCTGTGTGCGCCCTCTCACGCCTCGATTCAACTACCAGCATGAGGCCACGAATTTCCTTGCGACGACGTGTTCATGCGCAGTGTGACGGACCGATGAAGAACTCCCCCGGTTTCGGGGGAGGACAACTACACTTCTCGTTTTGTGTTTTCTGGAAAATCGACTTTTTGTCTGTGCTGGGGGCTAGTGATGTCCTCCCCCCAAGTGTCAAGTGTTGCGGACGAGAGGAGTATGTATGTGGGACACTGTGTGCGGGTGTCGCGAACATCATCATCGACGCCCTCGACCGGACGTCGGGCTGGATGGCATTTGGTTCCTTTTCGCCGCCAGACCCTTTCCTTCCATCCACAGTCCCTGGGATGGGTAGACCCGAAAAAGTGAACAGCACATAGCCGATCCTGTTGCTACAATAGGGTCCCGATATAGCTTTTACGATTCAATACATATTATGTTTGTGTAAACCCAAGGACGGCACGCCGCCACGTAACATCTTGGTCGCCGGACGGAACGAGAGGAAGATCTGATTGGCCTCGGATACTCGAGACCAACGGTGTTTGGCACACGAAGAATGGAGTACTGTACATCCTTTACATCATTCCTGCAGATGACACTGGTGGATGGTATGTTTTCTATTATTGTATCTCTTTCTTCTCTGGGGTAGCGTGTTTTATCTGGTCTACGTTGCTCCTTCGTACAGCGGGGCCGACTCCGTGTCAAATATGTATGACTTGGTGTCTGCTGCATACATATTTTGAAGTACCAAAGAGCTGTTGGATCTTAGCCATAGGACCATATTTGTATGAGCTACATGTGGGCTTCGCAATTCCTGATGTACAGAGACACAAACACCGAAATGACCACCTGCTGTGTGGTAGCAGACTTCTGCCTGAGGCCACAAGTTCCTAATCTATGAAAAGATAGTGCGGGCTTATCGTACTGGGATGACTGGGATGCGACGAGTGCTCAGACATGCCAGAGATGTTCCTACTGCTGTCTGTGAAGACTTCTCCCAAATCACTTTTCTCAAATAAGGGGAAGATTTCGCTGAGGCCGAGGACACGATCATGCCCCTTCGATATGCCTACCAGGCATAGGCTCCGCGAGTGCTGCCCGCCACGCAGGTGCCCGAAATTTATCAGCGAAGTACTGTGTCTCGTGCACCACAAGCTCCCCGGCAAATTGCATGATCGAGACTGAGTATGTTGGCGCTCCATCGTAGGTGATGATGCACTCGCTCACCCATAGATGGCCGTCGCCGGAGATCCGTAGCACCGTGAAATGCCGGTTAGCCGGGTGTCCGCCACGCTGCACAGCAATTGCTGCACGTCCTTTGAAACGCTCCCCGGACTGTGGGTAGTCCAGGATCGCGTCTACCGCGTAGATGGCGTATTCGGCTTCGGCATCACTGTCCTCTGATGCCCGCCAATGTTCCTCGATTGCTTTTCTGGTCGAGTTCATCGCATTGCCGTTTCTCTTCGTCGCGACAAAGAATGCTATGCTTGAGCTGCGGGGGAAGGGTTCGCTAAGTTGTCTACTGTAATAGAACTATGTGATAGAGGCCGTATTAGTCGTCGCCCCACGATGCGCTTGCTGACTAACAGGGCCGATGACGTTAACGAGGACTTCTAAGCATCGATAGTCATGCTTGGCGAAGATTTGCCCTAAGTAGGCTAGTTTGCGGGCCGTAGCCAATCAATCGTATAGGACAGAAGTTTATAGAAACGAACAAAATATAATGTCGAGCAGCAGTAGAATAGTGGCACAGGGCAGGAAGTTATGGGCGGGCATGTTTATTCTGGACTCAAAAACGGCCATCAATTTCGGCGCCAATTCCACATTCTACAGTTATGTAAAACTGGCGGTCAGTTTCACCTTTCCGTCCCACTCGCCTCACTTTGGCACGCTCTCCGCCTCGCCCGTCCCACTTCGCTGACCTGGCACGTCTCTAGTGAGTCCACAGCGGGTTTGGTTAGTGACCGTGTCTGGACTCTTGCAGCTTGGGCAGAGAGGTACTTCTGTAGCCAGGTATTTATGCCTAAAGGATATATATAGCTTCACCTACTTAACTAACTACCCTGACTACCTGTTCTCATTCCTTCGGTCCATAGTACTTTAACAGTCATGCCGGTCTCGCACCTTACCCTCACCGTCTCCCACCTCCCAGCCTCGACATCTTTCTTCTTGTCCTGCCTCCAGCCACTGGGCTACCAGTTTGTCGGTCGTCACGAGGCCTACATTGGGTTCGGGCAGAAACAGGGCAAACCCGCGGACTTTTGGATCACAGAACAGAAACCAGGGTGTGTATTCTCTTTCCTCCAGACTAAGGAGAATTTGCCTGACATTTGTTGTGGTATGTATAGTTCCCCCGCCAGCGCCATCCATGTCGCCTTTCCCGCCCCGTCCAGGGACGCGGTGAGCGCGTTCTTTATCTGTGCTCTCAAGGCCGGCGGGCAGATCCACGGCGAGCCAAAGGTCCGCGATGCGCAGTCCGGATATTATAGTGCTGCCGTTATTGATTTTGATGGGAATAGTATTGAGGCTGTTTATCGACCTGGGGGAGACAACAGATCTATAGTCTCCAAGACTAGCAGCAACAGCGAAACCAGCGCGGTAAGGGCGGCATCGAAGCCACCTACTACTGCCATACATGCTTCATCACATATTGTGCGAAACACCACCTCAGACGATGGTAGCAAAGTGGCTAAGACGATTGTTGGCACGCTCATTGGCGCTGCGGCGGGTGCGGCGATTGCATATGCCATGGTGAGAGGGGACTCGCAGTCTTCCAAAGAAGCCAACAACCCTCCTCCTCCTCAGCAGGATAGGGAGTATGCTGCAGTCATGCCGCCGCCTTCTTCAGCATCATCCGAGGAACAGCCATGTCCATATGACATGCAGCCGATATTCCGGGCCCTGGAAGCACCTCCCTCCCGGAGCATCTATTCATCACCCCGGACTCACTCATCCCACATCCACAGCACCTCTTCGAAGAACCCACGCGCAAGCACAATCTATGACACCAAAGAGCATTTCCATCACACAGATGATCGCCGTCGCGCCTCCGAGGGAAGCATATTTTCCATTCCCGAAGACGTCCCTCTCCGGGCAATCGAGTACCCGCCCAGTCAGACCTCGCCGCAGCGCCGGACTTCATATCCATGCAATACAAGCACTATTATCAAGAGCTATGCTACTGATAAGCCGCGCCGAGAGGACGATGGCCAGAGCTCGCGTTCTGCGTCTACGATCAAAGCCTCTAGCCGCCACGGACGAAGTCATACCTCTTCCCGAGCTGGGTCATCGACTTCTGCGAGGACGGCGCGCAATATTCCCCTTCCGGAGTCGTCGTGTTCTGTGTGTTCCAGCGCACCTAAATCATACGTCTCTGCACGTGCGGTGCCGCTTCCCGAGAGTGTGCTAGAGCTTGATCTGGATTCGATTGTCACGCCGGATGACTCGATTAGCCAGGTTGGGAGTAGTGGGCGCAGGCCTTCGAATGCACATTCTCGCTCGCATTCGCGGTCGCGCCATTCAACGCATTCCACGACTTCGCATGCTTCGAAACGGAGTTCTAAGGGCACTTCTCGACAAGAAGGAGGGAGCAAGGCTGCGTCTAGGACGAGTAGTCGGCGAGCTCTTTAGCACGTAATAATCTTTGCTTCCATTACATTCACATATAAACATAGATATCCCAAACTAAGGCGCGGCAGCCTTGGACTGCAGAGCCAACTGCTGATTCACAACCTCCTGCACAATGGTCTCCATACTTCTCCACTGAATACCCAGGTTCTTCTCTGCAATTTCCTGGTTCACAATCCATTTCCCGGGGTTAACCGGCGGCTCCAGATTCACCGGCAGATCGGGATACTTGCTCCGAACGAACGAAATAACATCCTCCCAAGCAATCACAGGACCACAGAGGATAATCTCCGTCCCAGTCGGCAGATCCGTCTGCAAAAGCTTGACATGTGCATCGGCAATATCACGAACATGCACCCACGCCATACCGAAAAGAGGCAGCTTGCTCTGTAAAGACATCCAGAACATGCCGTTCACGCCGCCGAGCTGCTCGGCTGTTTGCTGGATCAGGCTCTCGCCCATCACGTAACTTGGGTGCACGGTGATCAGGTTGTAATGAGGTTTCTCATTTTTGAGAAAGTCGCGCGTCGCCTGGTGAGCCACGATCTTGGAGGTGGAATATTTCTGGAAGCCGCCGTACGGGTCATCTGGGTAAATGGCCGAGGTGTCCACGGGAATGACCTCGCGGCTATCCTCTGCATTGGACTTTAGTTGTTGTTTCTTTTCTCCAACAGATGTTTTGGGTGGGGGGGGGGGGTATACGGACCGTTCCACGTCATATCCGTGTAGATGAGCTTATCCACCACGGGCGCTGTCGCCGCTATCGACGACATAACCACCACCTTCTTGATCTGCGGGTAAGCACAGGCGGCACGGAGGACCGCCAGCGTGCCGTTCACAGCGGGATTAATGTAATCTTTCTTCAAGTCGCCGCTTGCAGAGGGCAGCGGAGAAGCAAGATGGAAGACATAGTCCACGTCCTTGAGGGCCGTATCGTAATACTCCTGCTTGGTCACGTCCGGAACCAAGCTGACATCAACAGACTTCTGGTCGAACTCACTGTAGCGCGCTCGCAGGACGGCTTCTTGCTTTGGATCGCGGATACTGAGACGCACGCGGTAACCTGCCTTCAGGACCTCTAGGGCTACATATGAGCCGATGAAGCCTGTGCTACCGGTGATAAAGACGAGAGGGCTGGACATGATTGTTTTGCAGAGGGCTGGGGTTTGGAGGCAGAATAATAATGGAGTGGAATGTGAAGTCCGTCCATGGCGAGGATGACGGGGTTATAAATATTGCTCAGCTCCAGGCGTCCCATATGGTCTCTATGGCGTTGGTGTCATTTGTCATGTCAGCCCTCTCATCATTCCGTGTGTCCCAATCGAGATAAATCATTTGCCCCGAGGATTATCAAGCTGACCCTTGAGCGTTGATTGGGCACTGGGTAGTTCCAAAAAATCCAAACTCGCTACATAGCTAACTAATCGGGGTCTAGACATTGTGGCTAAAAGCCGAATCGGGCTGATTATCCAGTCCCGAGGATGTAACCAGATACGATGTTTCAAGAATGGGGGATTAGTATTCATTCCGACAAACAACTACGTAGACAGTCATCTGCAACGAGGCAAATTATAAAAAGCATGAAGAGTCAAATATATTTTGTCATCTCATTCTTCCTAAAACCACAAAACTCAATTGACAATTGACAGTCCTCCACCATGCCGTTGTGGCAGATCTACCACCCGCCCAACCTCTTCACCGATGACGCCACGAAACAGTCCTTCGCAGAGGACATTACAAAGATGTACACGGGGCTAGGCCTGCCCGCATTCTACGTGGTGGCCCAATTCATATCCATGACGAATGAAAACGTGTACGTTGGCGGGAGGACCAGAACCCATCAGCGGGACACGGAGAAGCCCTTTGTCCGCGTCGTCATCACCCACAGCGCGCTCCAAATCCCCGAATCCGACGAAATGCACACACGCGCCACGTCGCAGCTGGACCGGGTTATGAACCCTCATCTAGTGGATCGGGGGTACGATGTTGAATACCATGTTCACGAGACGGATCGTCGGCTGTGGAAGATCAATGGCTTGATTCCGCCGCCGTACAAGAGTGCCGAGGAGCAGGTCTGGGTTCGGGAGAATCGAGCTATGCCGTATCCGGGGGCGTATCCTCCAACTACTTTTATGTCGGAGTGACGGTCTGCTTATTTACAACGGATTGGGTTTCCAATTGAGACTGTAGTAGTTCCTCCGTTGTCCGATCACACAAGCGTGGATTGTTAAGCAGCAGTGGCGATCAGTCCTCGGTCTGATGAATAATCCATCCATTTCTCCCATTTAATACCTAATTATCGCGCTCCACCTTACCAAATCAACGTAGACAGAAGAATAATATCCATAGGACCAATAATAATGGGCAAGTCCAAGCAAATGAACCCTTCCCAGAGCGCGGAGAAGCGTCAAGCGACCGAGGTGAGTCTCGTTCTGTTCAACAAGGCCCCGAGCTGACTTGAACAACCCAGAAACGACGGCATCAGCTCCGTGTCGCGCAGCAGGCGTTCCGAAAACGCAAAGACACTGCCATAGCTGATCTCCAGAAGCAGGTGGATGAGCTGCAGGGCGGAATCGATGATCTGAGCAGCTCCTTTCTCTCCTTTAGTGAGCTCCTCCTGAAGGATGAGCACCTCGGGCACTCTCCCCACGTTGCGCAATCGCTTTGGAGCTTATCGCAGCAGTTTGTGGCGCTGGCGAAAAGATCCAGAGAGGAAGACAATGAAGACAATGATGTTGATGCCAGCATCTCTGGACCAGACCCCGAGAAAGAAGATCAGTCGGCAAAGTTATCCGCATTGTCTCAAACTACACCTCCAGCCACACTCTATTTCCCGCTCCCTTCCCCAGTCCCATCTCCACCATTGGATTTGGATATTCTCCCAAACCCAACCTTGTCCTTCGCACAAAACCTCGTGCTAGCATGTTTCCAAAAGGCACACCGCCTCCTCCTGCGATCTCCAAGAACCAGCCTCGAGATCCAAGAAGTTTTCGGCACGGCGCTCTCCGCCTCGGAAAGAGATCGGACCGTCGCCTTGTTCCAGGAGATTCTGGCCGATTTCACGGGCCATGCTGCCGCAGCGCGCACGAATATACTTACTCTCTTGCAGCGGGAAAGCAGTCCCAAGAACCCTGTTTTATTTGAGGGATTGCCGTCCATGGCGCGGTTCAATAGTCCAGAATATCTGCATGGAAAATGGGTGGATGCGTATGGAGTGCAGCGGATATTGTTGGAGAGTGGGTTATTATTGGCGGGGGTCGGTCTCGATCCTTTTATTCAGCGTAGGTTGTTGCCATGCCTTCTTTTGGCGGTGCTGACGATTCCAAGGTCTTTCGCTGATGGGCATCTGTGCCGGGCCGGGGCCTGTCTTTCGCCGCGAGAGTGTGGACAGGGTTCTAATCGATCTACGAGTATATGAAACATGGTGAAAAAACACAGAGACGGGCCTGCCTGGATTGTGCTATCTGAGACTGAGACAAAAGACGAATCTGCCCACCATACACACAGCCATCCCGATCTCTCTCCACGCGCTTCCCAACACACCCTAAGCACCGAGCAAAGCAGGAACCTCCGTCCGAGAACAACAAAATGCCATGAATGCATGAGAGGTCATAAATGATCGTTGGAATGAGGTTTAACAAACAACAAGGGGAGAGAAAAAGAGCAAAAAAAAGGCAAGGTTCTACGACCACGGTACGCCAGGCTTCGGGATCTGATCTAAGAGCGAAAGAAGATGCAGAGGGAGGTTGAGGAAGACACGCAGTGTGGTCGCGAAAGGGAGGGAATGAGCGGGGTCGGGCAGGTTGAATTGCCAGATTCGAAATCAAATAGCGTACTTGCGCGTCCATTCACGGGCTGTCGCCTCGTACCGCGGTCGGTCCGTCTTGTAGACGTGCGCGATCTCCGGCACCAGAGGGTCGTCCGGGTTGGGATCTGTGAGCATCGAGCAGATCGAGAGCAATACTGTAATCGTAATGTCAGTCACGTCCTCCCCGCTGAGATCTGAAACAGTAAAAAACACCCACCCTTAGAGATGGTCAGAGCCGGGCTCCATTGGTCTCGCAGAATGTCCAGACAGATACTGCCATTTGAGTTGATGTTGGGGTGGTAGATGCGCGTGGTGAAGTTGACCTTGGGCGGCTTGAAGGGGTAGTCGGTAGGGAAGTGGATCGAAAGGAAGAAAACGCCGCCGGAGTATGGCGAGTCACCAGGACCCATGATCGTTGCTTGCCAGTGGAACTGTCAGATAGTCAGATAAAGTCATTTTTCACAACGGTCGATCGTCAGAGACGCAGAGGGGCAATTTTCTGCCCCACTAGGAACGACACTTGATCGGGCTGGCGACCGAGAGGAATCGCAGCCAGGACTCGGGAGAGCATACCAGATCATCACCAACGGGACCAGCGGAGCACGAGGAGGGGGGATCCCTGTGTAAAAGAAACAACGAGGTCAGTTTGCAAGGCCGGCAACGGTGACGGCGACGGGCAGGATGAGGCCGGACCACATCTCTCAGAGCGCCGACGACGAAAAAGAGAAGAAGGTGTGGGATATCTTACCGGCCGAGATCAGTGAGTTCCTTGTTAATTCTCTTCAGAGCCATGTCGAAAATGTGACGCGAGGACGAACGGGACGGGGAGGTGGGATGGAGACGGAGGAGCGAAAAGAGAGAGATGTTTCCTGGAGAGAGTCTCAGTGGGACAGACAGGGAAGAGAGAGAGAAGAGATCCAGGAACGGACGAAGGATGATGATGAATGGAGATGGATGGGGTACAACAAGACAACACTTACAGATTGGGGATCTTTGTGCGGGAAGCGGAAAAGAAGGAAGAGAAAGAGAGGAAAAGAGAGAGGGGCAAAAGTCAGGTCGATTGGGGCGGCTGGTATTACCAATACTGCCACCGCCACAATCCATGACACATCCACCGAAAAGATGTAATGCTGAGTGATTCTCGAGTAAAACCCAGGTACGGATAGCATATCATGTAATAATTATCAAACTGAGTCTAATCCAACCATCTTCACGCTGCAACCAAGACCGTTTCAGACTGCTGCCGCCTTGTTTGAGAAGGATACGCGGTCACGTGTAGGGAGTCGAGTTGGGGCTGAAGATCGGAAGTATAGCCGTGGATATCTCCAAGGTCCCTAGAGTTGGGCATACAGTCTAGAATCGCTGGCGACGATGCGGCTTGGAACGCAGCCTTAGCCATTTTGATGAGCATGAGACCGTTGCCATTAGCCCCAAGAATAATACTTCCGATCCACCCGTATGCAAGTCTCCTCCCGGATACCCGGCACTGGTAAGGAGGGCATTTGAGCGACTATCAGGTGGCACTGGTCAGTGTATGGGAGTGTAATCTGGGCTGAGATAGACTGTGTAAACACTGGCAAGGATGATTAATTTGTTGTATGAGTTTGGACAGTCCTACCATCTTTATTTGATAACTGAGTCCTCAAAGTGGTCTTACTGTACTCTATACCTCGCACGAAAGTCATCGAAGCCGTGATGGTAGTCATGGTACATAAACCAGAATGCAGTCTGTATATGTGCACCAATTATAAGTCAGTCTTCAGGCTCAAAGCCTGAGTGTACTCAAAGAAACGGCTATCGGACTCTAAATCAGATATGGAGCAATTAACAAAAACCCACCCCCTACATTATTGTAAGTTAGAAGTATCTCATCAAAGATGAACAAATAGAAAGCAAATATATTAGAATATATTCCTCGGTATGTTGCATAGATACACAAGACATTCTCCATTGCTCCGTCCACCATAACCGAACGTAGTGATGTGATGGATTGAATAATCAACGACATAGTTTCGGCCTTTCCTATCTGAGAACTACTTCTTCTCAGTAAGAGCAGCGCTGTCGGAAATAACTTCAAAGTTGTTGGAGCGGAACGGGGTGACCTCGAACTTGGCGAACTTTCTAGCCGAAATCTTCTTCTCAAATAAAATGTCGAGTTCACTGGCAGTCCGCCCCTTGGGTTCCGGCAGACGGAAGAATGACCAAACGAAGCAAATAAGACAAAAGGGTGCCCAGATGAAACCTCCCTTGCCCTTGAGATTCCAGGCAGTGGGGTTGAGAATGGGGGGATTGAGGAAATTGGCAACGATACTAGCGATGTTGTAGCAGTTACGGGCGAGAACTGCGCTCTTGATTCGAAGACGAGTCGACGGGATCTCAGAGATGAGACAGTAGGTGACCGGGCCGACAGTGAGGTCGTAGGTGAAGACGAAGACGAGAAGAAGAGCAGCAGACGAATAGCTCAGACCAGGAGAAGTGTGGCTCGGAATACCCAGAAAGCCCACCAACATCAGCACCATGAACATGATACCCAGGCCAGTAACAAACAGCTTTCGTCGGCCCACTCGCTGCATCACAAACCAAGAGCAGACGGTACCGCACCAACCAATGGCGTTGACGCCGAGACCAAAATCGAAAGCTTGGGTGTTACTGAAGCTAATTTGTTGGAGAAAGTAGACAATGTTGCCGCCGTACCAGATACCACAAAAGACCTGACACATCCAAACGCAGCATACGATCTCGGTACGGCGAAGATTAACTCCTTTAAGACAATCCCAGTAGGTAACTCCCTCTCGGATCAGCCTCTCGTGAGTGTTGGTGATGATTATGAGCGCAATGGCATCATCAGTTTCATATTCCGAGTCACCAGGACTAGCCAATCGACTGAGTGACCGCTTTGCTTCTTCAATCTTTCCGTGGCGTACCAACCACCAAGGTGATTCCGGGGCAAAGAGTACGCCGATGATAATCGGAACAGGCCAGGCCCATTGAATAGCGTAGGGAATTCGCCAGCCCCATTCGTCGGTGCGACTCAGTAGACCTCGCAAGATCCCGGTCGAGATTAATTGACCAGTAACCCAGCAAAGGTTCACGTAAGTGGTCAGATACGGACGAAGAACGATAGGGCTAACCTCGGCAGCATAGGTAGTTGTCAAGGTCTGGAAGGCACCCCAAGGGATGCCACAAAGAACCTCACCGGCCAATAGCATCCCAATATTGTTAGCGAAGAACATGACGAAAATGAAGCCGACAAGGGCAACCAAAGCGCCAAGCATAGTTTTCTTATAACCCCAACGATCCGCGATGAGACCCGCAATCAGAAGGCCCAAGATTTGACCGACATTGGTAGCATTCTGCAAGCCGGTTTGCCAGTTTGAGTTGACTTGATATCCACCCTCCTCCGAGGGGACACCAAAACGCTTCTGAAATGTCGGGTAGGCGTAGAAAGAGCCGAGGAGAGAAGTGTCATATCCTTCCATGATGATGGCAAGGGACAAGATAAAAGAGAAAGCAACCGCTTTCGGAAAGAGTCTGAACGCATCCCAGTTGGTTAAGTGATGCTCAAAATTGGACGCCCGACGGGCTTTTTCGACCAGATTAGCGAAGTCAGGGATTTGCTCGGACATTTGCAGAAGGATTTCGTCGTCAATTCCGATGGTATTCTCGCCCAGCGACTGCGCTGGCACCGCGAGGTGATGCTCATGATGAGTAGCTGCTTTCAGGTCCTCCATGATCCTAGATTGGCTTGGACTTCTCTCCAGCTTCCAGAGGGGAAATGAGATGGAATAAAGGAAAATTCAGATCGGTGTGAGCTATTATTGAGGCACGAGCTTTGAGATGGAGCGACTGTAGACGGAGGACCATCGTGTTTATATCAACAATTTCCTTCACGGCAGGAAATTCATCATTTTGTCTTCACTCGTGTATGCAAACAAGCGCTTCTCCCGGGCCACATGGTCGCTCTAATTTTTGCGGGGTGACAGTGGAGGAATACGGTTGACACACAAAGTTCCTTCTGTCGTGTCCGAAAATGGCGAGTTCACCGTCAGCGTAAGAGTAAGTTTGATTGAAAGAGGCAGAAAAAGGCCCTGGTTGGCTTCTTACGCCCTTTTTCTCGCTGTATTTTTCGGTGCAACCGAGCGACGACGCTAGGGGGCTTATGCGAGATTCACACTAAACCCGGTAGATTAGCAAAAGTTGCTTCAAATGAATATCGTGGGGTACCACCGAGTTTAGCGACGCCATTTCCCAATAGAGAGTAGTGTGCTGTAAGCGAATCCGCTGTATTTATAGGCAGAAGGAAAGAGGTCACAAGGAGAGCGCAAGGGAAAGTTGTTAGTCGCGGCCAGCCAGTCTAGATTCCGCTAATTCAGCCACATCGCACCCTGGAACGGTGAGGGGAATTCCAATGAAAGGTCTATTATTCGTTGCAATTTTCGCCAGTACTTGGGTTTATTAGGTTTGAAGATCTGATTTTCCGAGGGTTGAAGCGAGCCAAACAATAAAACGGCGTCGTTATGAATATCGCTCCTTTTTCCTACGGCGGATGATAGTTGCAAGGCGGCCAAACGCTAATTCGCATCTACTTACTCTTCAAACAGCTCCTGCTTAGTCGTATAGTAAGCTGTATCTTCATCTATTTGCCGCCAATTGACTGAAGAACTTAGCCAGGCATACCATAAGCCTCGTCGACATCGTCCACATGGGGATAATGACTCGTCCCTTCTATTACCAGCTCTTGAATCCACTCCGAGGCAAGATGGCGACGGACAAGATACATGTGCGCAATAGTCTGCCCATCGACGAGGCTATGTCTCCCACCGGGTCCCTGAGCTTCTTGACTCTGCGCAATCAACACACGAATGAGCTTGTCTCGGGAACCCAACAACAACCTATTCTTCGCTTCGAGATTATGCAGCGACTGTGCGGCCTTGGCTTCCACTCCGCGATACCAGTGACCCGTGCGTAGCGCATACTCAAAATCCAAACCAGCGAAGCTGGTGCGGGTCTTAGCTTCAAGTTCCAGTGAAGTCTGTGGCCCGAAAAACTGACCCAACCGCTCTTGAATGGACGCTCGGTACTCTATTGCCCTCTTTCTTAGGTCGTCATAATTAAACGGCCCGCCCGTTTGTTCGCCAGTCCAAGCATCATCGAGTAGAAGCAGGTGAGAGACCTCCACCGGACTAGGATCTTGGAATGCCGTCAACAATTCCAGGGCCGTCAGTGTGCCCATACTATGACCGTACAACACGATCGGAATTGGCTTTTCTTTTTGGCACTACTGAGACCGTGGTAGTATTTCTGCTCATGGAGCGCCTCGCAGACTAGTGCGACGACGAGCTCGGCGACGCCGCCGTTCTCAGGCTCGGGCAAGATACATGCCGATGACTCGCCGTGGCTGGCCGTGGTCAGCGTCTTCTCCATCCGCACTTAGGCGGGCGATAAGAGGGATGAAGTGTGTGGCCTGGCAACCCCATCCATGGATTAAGACGGAGATACGACGGATAGATGGCCCAGAGGACAGTGTCCTAGTTAAAGACAATGGTGGGGTAGAGGAGAGGTGCGTCGATGGATGATGTCGACTGCCATAGTGAAGCTTTCGTTGCTGGCCGATTGACCAAGCATGTGGGGTTGATAGCACTGGTAATCCAGAATGTAGCGATAATTTTAAAATGATAACCTACGCTTAACCAAACATAGCTTAGGATGGTTTGCGGATACGGGCCGAGAAACAAAACCTGAGTGTCTTATAATTGTTTTACATTGCTCCTATGCCATACAATCACTCAGCTCCTCCTGGTCAGGGGATTCCAGCATCAGAGGTATTGTGTTTGAAGAAGGGATCTGGACTAGTCGCTGATGCAGTATGCAAAGCCTCTCTGACTTAATACCCCCGACCTGTGATAATAACTGCTCGATCGCAATAACTGCATCCACCGGTCCGAAGCGACACGTCTGATAGCTAAGAAGATCTGGCATACACAGCAGAGTGTCAAGGACAGAGTTCGCGACTTGAAGAAGCTTGATCTCCTGTTTAAATAAAATTACAATTAGCGCCAAAGTTCTCTCTATGTATGAATAGATGCAAATGACAATTTCTTACCATCCCGTATCCATGACTGCGCATAGACTCAATAGACACGTGAGAAAGACACTCCAAATAATCCTTGGCAATAGATAGCGGATAGTCAAATGAAAGAGGCTCAATGGACGTGGATGAAGAGAGCATGAAGCGAGAAGCAGAGTACTGCCATAACAAAGAGCGGACCCAGGCGGAAGTGGTCAGAATATCCACATATTGTACTTCGGACGTAAGCTCTAGCCTTGGTATTCTGACTGGGATCCGTCGTTGTATATCTAATATGCTATCTTTCGAGTACATATCTGGCGCCTCGATGGCTCTTCTACCTGTAGCGGGTAGAATTAAGGGGCGCTGGACATGCAGGAACAATTGTACAAGCGTACAAAATCCTGTATAAAGATTACCATGTGAATTATTCCGTTCGATCACTGGAAGGTTCGGGATTCTGTGGAGTGTAATTGGAAGGTCATGTTGGATACAAAATGTCCTGGTTAAGAAGGTAAGAGAGGGTACAAATGATATAGGTCCGTACCGAATTTCAACAAAGGATGTACTAACCTTTCAGTGACAAAAAGAATCCAGTAGCATCGTAGCTCTAATTGCCATTGTTTTGATTGTGTGGGATTGGATGGAGGAATATGGCACAGATGCATCAAATCTGCGTACGTGATTGCCTCACGAAGGGAGATGGTAGCGGGTGTAATCTGGTCTCGATTGGCATAGTACATGTGAAGGAATATGGATGTAACGAGCGCCTGGAGTGTTGGTTCATGATGATAGTTATGCTCCAGTCGAATACGATGGCATTCTTTGGCAAAGTCTTCTGCTGTCACTGAGAAATGCTCGTGGCATGAGTTTGGTGTTAGCCAGAGGCGTATTTGTGCTAATGTCGCAGCACACAAGGCCGCTGCCAGCGCGTGGGGAGTGGGATCATTGACTCGGTCCCTCAGTTGAGATTTCAGATCCTCGACATCGATAATCGGCCAGATATCATAGAGACGAATTTGAAAGACATCGAGAACTGTGCAATAGGTCGTAACAGAAATCCGAGAGTTTGGGGCGCAGGGAGATAGTCCTTCGAATGCTGTGGTTGCCATTTCAGGCTCTGCTGTCGCTCCTCGCTGTATCTCTTCAATCTTGTGCTTAGTGACTGATCGAAGTCCCTTCGGACCTGGCCTTTTGCGGACCCTCAAATAAGTACATGTTTGAGATCTGGTCAAACAGGTTTGACATGGACGCTGCCGATCACACCTAACCCGCCGAACAAAACAACCGTCGCAGGGGCTGTCCATGATGTTCTGTGATACTCCGGTGGATATCAACAGAGCCGGGAATTGGAGCGAAAATTAAATCATTCGAGATCCCATTCACCGCAGCTCCGCGTCCTCGCCACCTTTTTTTTGGTGGCGTCCATGCGGGGAAGTGCCTCGGAAGGGAAGGAGGCTAGGAGGATAATGAGGATGACAAGCAAATAATACAAGCGACGGCGCATGTCAGCCCTAGTGACACCAGTCCCAGCGAAAATTACAGCGAATTTTTGCCGAAATTGTTCACATATCACCGGAGTCGTAATAGAAACGAAATAGTGAATAAAATTGATTGCTATATGAAATCACCCAAATCCGCAGTAACAATGTACTGGGGAGGTCAATAATCTATATTCAACGTCCTCAGACCCCATCATGCATCGCTACTCCTTCCCACACACGCCCGTCGCTAACCCGGAAGCGATCATCGGCGCTGGGAAATACCGATTCACCGTGCTCACCGACGGCCTCATTCGCTACGAATGGGCCGAGGATTACCAGTTCGAAAATCGTGCCTCAGTCCTTGCCATCAATCGGCGTTTGCCTGTGCCAGAATTTCGAGTCAAAGAGGATGAGCACAGCCTTCAGATCATCACCGCTCGATTCCACCTTACGTACGACAAACGAGAGTTTTCTCCAAACGGTCTCAGTGCCGTGGTTAAAGGCCACTACGGGCCTCATGTTAGTGTCTGGCGATACGGGATTCAGGCTTCCAATCTCGGCGGTACAACACGCACTCTCGACGAGGTTGATGGCCGGGTCTCCCTTGAGCCAGGAGTGATTTCCAGACAAGGCTTTGCGACTTTGGATGACTCCACATCAATGCTTTTCGATGACCGAAAATGGGTAGCAACAAGATTGCCCGGAAAGCGGGTGGACGGCTATCTTTTTGCCTACGGACACGATTACAGACGTGCCATCCAGGCATTTTATCTTTTATCAGGACCTCAGCCGCTTCTTCCCCGATGGGCGCTAGGAAACTGGTGGAGTCGATACTATGCTTACACTGCGGATGAATATCTGTCATTGATGAGTCAATTCCGCAAGAAGCGAATTCCACTTTCAGTGGCAGTGTTGGACATGGATTGGCATATCGTCCATGATGATTGTGTCAAGGAGGCCGGGGTAACAGGATGGACCGGATACACCTGGAACAAGGAACTTTTCCCCGATCCAAAAGCATTCCTTACCGAACTACACAATCAGGGTCTACACATTGCTTTGAATGATCATCCTGCCGACGGAGTTCAAAGCTATGAAGATCCTTACAAAGAGATGGCTATCACACTGAATCATGACACCTCACTGGGCGACCCTATTCCTTTTGACATCACCAACCAAACCTTCCTAGATGCTTTCTTTGACGTGCTGCACCGGCGATTTGAGAAGGAAGGACTTGATCTGTGGTGGGTGGACTGGCAGCAAGGGACACATTCTCGCATCGCGGGCATTGATCCACTCTGGGTCCTGAATCATTACCATTTCTGGGACAGCTCCATCGACAACAAGAGACCCCTGACGTTTTCCCGATATGCAGGGCCAGGGAGCCACAGGTATCCCATTGGATTCTCAGGAGATACCGTGGTCTCGTGGGATTCTCTTCACTTTCAGCCAGAATTCACGGCGGCAGCGTCCAATATTGGCTTTGGCTGGTGGAGCCATGATATCGGCGGCCATTTCCACGGCGAGAAGAACGACGAAATGCTCATTCGCTGGGTGCAGTTTGGCACATTTTCCCCAGTCTTACGTTTGCACTCGTCGAATAACATTTTCAGCATCAAGGAACCGTGGAATCTTGACGTTCCATATGAGCAGATCATGACAGAATATCTGCAATTCCGCCATCGACTGCTTCCATATTTGTATACTATGAATGTTCGTGCTGCCGTGGAGGGACTACCTCTTGTCCAGCCGATGTATTGGGGTTATCCAGAAGATGAGGAGGCCTACAACGTTCCAAACCAATACATGTTTGGCTCAGAACTTATTGTGGCTCCAATTACTGCCCCCCAGGATCCGAAATCTCGGATGGCTCAGGTGCTCGCCTGGCTTCCTCCGGGGAGACATGTGGATATCTTTACCGGAATGGTCTACGATGGGGGCCGTCGAATCTGGATTAATCGGCGCTTGGGAGAATATCCAGTATTTGCTCCAGAGGGAGCAATTATTCCCCTCGACTCTGCATCGGTACTTGGGAATGGCTGTGAGGCGTCCACTATGCTCAAACTCCTGGTCGTTGTCGGTGCGGACGGCACCTTTGAGCTTGTGGAAGACGATGGGATGGGCCAACATACGGATCATATCAACTTCCGTCGCACATGCATCTCTTTTCATCAGCAGACCGGTGAATTACACATTGAGCCGACGTGTGGTGGAAGTCTCCCTCCTCATACCCGCGACTGGAGTGTACACTTCCTCGGATGTTCATCATTAGAAAAGATACAAGTATGTGCTGGCGACGAAAGAAATATTCTAGACGGTGAGAAGCTTAACAATAGCCTTCATGTGAAATTGGGAACTTATCCAGACAACGTCCGAATTGTGGTCAGGCTGGAAAGCAATCCGGCCTTGAATGTGAATCAGCCCGCGCATCAAATTATTGAATTCTTGCGCGGTGCCCAGGTTGAATTGGATCTGAAGGACCATATTCGAGCAATTGCAGAAAGCTCTAACCCCAGACTGCTGCAAATCGGGGATATTCATGCTCTTGGGTTGGACAGTGCTATATTGAATCCCATCCTCGAATTCCTCTTGGCTGACTCTCGCATGTCTTCGACCGGAGACAACCAAGAGACAGGATTTGTAGTTGTGGATAGGTAAATTATAGTATTGTCTGCATTCAAAAATGAATTTCAGCCATTGAGAAGTATATTATGGGGTTTAGCGTAGTACTTCATTGATCGTAATGTCCATGCTTTTCGCGATATCTCATCAAGTATAAGCCTCGCCCACTTCCCACCAGGCGGTACGCACCCGCCTACATAGATGAACATCTTGAGGAAAGAACCTAGTACATGCGACCACAGGGTGTGGAGAACAGGGCTTCCCGTCCGCTCAGCCGTACTTAAGCCACACGCCGGCCAGTTAGTAGTTGGGTGGGTGACCACCAGCGAATCCTGGCTGTTGCATGTATAGCTTTTTTTGAACAAGTTCCATGAATATGTATGTATGTGTTTATATCCGCTTTATATGTCGTGAGATATATGTAGTTAGTGGATGGCCGATGTGGGAACGGCTGGCGCCGCATATTCGTAGGCATCCGGGGATTCTACTCCGCAATGTTTAAAGCAGCGATCTAAAATACACCAAGACTAATGTTAGCTCACTTCAAGATAGCACCAAACTAGAAACTGGGGCTCATACCAGTTGACTTGGTTCCAAATATACGATCACTTGTCCAAAGACCGTCAAATTTCTCAATGCCACAAAACTGGTCAAGCAAAGGGACGGGCCGTGAGGCTCCAATGCCAATGCACGGGCCATGCAGCTCAGCGTTAGCTCGTGATGGGCTGAGTCGAAAACTGCAAACTCTTTCCTCGGTCAGATTCGTGGCCTGAACATGTCCTTGTCTGGGACTGTTAGTTTGGACACTGATACCCGCTGCTTCGGCTGCAACGATGAATGAACACGACTCGGATTCCCACCCGTCAACAAACGGGTCAGACAGCGATGACTCCCTTGATGGTTCCCCCACCGAGTCAGTCCACAGCTATATTCGCTCTCGTCCGCAGAGAGATGCCAGGGTGACCTTTGCGCCGCCGGACTTGTCTCCGGCATCATCGGCGACTACATCGGAAGTGTTCGTTCGTCTTCGACCAAGAAGCCACCGTTATTATAGATCCCAGTCAAGGTACCCGGCCTTTGGGCCTAATAGGACACCTGTCGGTGCAGATTGGGACTTTACAGCACCGCCTCGATTGAGTGTAGAATCCGCTTCGAGCCGCCGTCACGCTCCAAGTGGACCTTACTCCGGCCCTGACTACCTTGATCGATATCCGGATGAGCACGATACATCGCCGCCCCGGTTCAATTCCAACGGCCCTAAGGATTACTCTTCAAGGGGCCGCGATATATACGAAGACATTTACCCGGATGACTTCGATACGGCTGCATCTGACTTCTCAGAAGAATCATTTCTTCGTCGCTCATCTCGTCGACGGGAATACTCAAGAGGACCGGATATCTCCACGTTCGCGACTTCGAATGCTAGCCGAAGGCCACAATACCTTCTGAGAAACTACGATGACTTCAGCGATGACTCTGATGACGAGCGCATCAAAGTCCACCATGTGATCAATGTCCGTTCTTCTCGCTTCGTTGGCAACCGCAGAAATAAAGAAAGGAAGTGGCTCGGAGGCGGGGTGTTCACTCATCAATACTCATTCAATCAAGATGAAAAAACCTTCCTAGAGACTTATCGTATTGTCCAGTCACGACTGGTCCCTCGCTCTGAGGATGAATTGCATGATCGAGCAATTCTGACGTACGAGGAGGAAGCTGAATCGTCCAAGACAGAAATTCGATGGGTGTATGTTTGATCTCATACTTTCCTCAATATTGCCGACACGAGAAAGCTCCTACTAAACAAACACAAAACAGTCACATCCAAAGCAATTACATGAATCTCGAGCTGTTTGAGGTATGCTCCCCGCTGATATCACCAGAGATTCGACTAAGGCATCGAAGATGGAAGCTCTGCGTCAGCAAAACATTCCGGAAGCGACCAGCACTCTTATCCGCTCAGCATTCAGATACCTCCGGCAACGAAATGAGAAATCATACGTGCACGGGAGGTTTCTCGATCCGACTGCGGTTAGCTTCGTTGCCAGGGATGATGATGACGAGCTACTGCTACTACAAGAATTGGCGTCGATTGCATTTTTAGCTTTTCCGTATTTCACTCTCGAGCCACTACGTGTCCAGGACCCCTCTTCCGTGGAACCGATACACCCGGTCAGAAGTCTTCTTCAATTTCATTATTCATTCCAGTCGACCGGGCAGCGGGATACAGATCAAGTTGTTTGCAAAGTTCGAGAGGTGCGGGATGTGCTTCATGTGCCCCAGACATGGATACTTCTGGTCAATGAAGGTAAGTGACAATTGAACAGGGCCGGCCGGTCAAGTTTGACCAGATTTTAGATTTGGTCCTGAGCATGAGTCCCAACGAGCTCGGTCATATTGGATGGGAGTATGTTTCACTGGAAAAGGCAAAAGCGGGTGGTACAATGTCCCAGATCCGATTGATCGATTTCGAAGGGAAACAGTATTTTCTACCGAAACGTAGCTGCCAAACATGGTTGGTGAGTCTCCATATCGGGATTTAATTTTATATTGCGAAGCACCAGCTTATTCAGTGAAATAGGAATTCATCAGCATGATAAGCACGGTGGAGGAAGGCAACCAAATTCTCATCTCCTTCATGGATGATTCTTGGAGCGACAAGTACGAGCTACGGCTTGACAATGAGCTGATCTCAAAAGAGACCTGGTCGGACGCTGTGCTCCAGGATGGAAATGATACCACGATTTACATTGTGGAGAAACTTCTGCGGCCTTTGGCCCATGGTTTGCGTCGCTCGCCATCGTACAGTAGGACTGAATTTTCCCACAGACGGAGACCACACTATGCTCGATCAGCAAACCATGGTGAGTCAACCTTCGAAGTTTGCACAGTTACCTCTGTGCTAATAGGTCTTTTCTTCAACTATTAACACAGCTTCCACAGACCACATGCTGAGAAGAAGATCATCTGTGTACTCTTCCTCCAATAAAACACGCGACGACGTTCTCATTCGACATCCGACATCTATCAACAATCGACACAGAGACGACGGCGACTCAATACACCAATACTGCACCGATCCCGTAAAAAGACATGCTTGGCAAAGCGACAAGAAACCAATTCGTTTGAAGGATGTGAATGGTTTCGAACTGAGTATTCCCTGGCGCGTTGGCGGGACCTGGCGGGTACGACCACTGACGCTCTTTCTTAAGCTTGAACATTATACTAACCAGCCTCGTGACTCGAACAGAAAATGCAATCCGTAATTGGTACAAAAATGCACCAGAGCTATGAGTCTCAGCATGCCTATACTAACGGGAACTACATCTTGAATGGTCCTGATGGACCAATCACGCCCGCAGACTGGGATGAAAAAATCCGTCCTGGCTGCACAGTTGAGCTCAAAATTACGGGACCTGAGACCACAGCATTAAGCCCGAGGCCTCGCTCTCGCCATAGGAACTCAAGCCCGGTCCCCCGTGACGAGAACTCCGTGAGTACTGCAGACCAGCCATTTTCATTCACGCCAATGCCTCTGGAAAGAATCGACACATCCCGTCAGATAGAGTACCCTACTTCTTCAGATTGCGCCTTGTCCCGGGATGAAGACTCTAAGACCCCTCGCGAGTCCAACGAATCTGTTAGCGTTCATGATACTGAGAACGTTGAGGGTGGGCCTAATTTGACTATGAGAATGCAGCCTGAGCCCGCGTCGCAGATGCCTCTAGTTCTTTGGAGGAATTATCCTCTCAATTCGGATATGAGAATTCATACAGCAAATGGCGAACAACTTGGCGGAGTCCCGAGGCTATCCCGAAGATCCACTGGCACTCAGAGCTTCGTTGAAGATTTCGATGAGGATACTGTTGAGGAAAGTATTCCAACCGAAAAAGACTCCACTGTAGACTCTGCGGATCCTTTGCCCCCTGTGGGAAGAACCTGTGGTGATTTTCGGAACTCGTCTTCAACGACGAGCTCGGGTGATTGCTCGTCGGGCTCAACCAAGTCTATCAAGCGAGACTCATCATCGGGACTAGCAAGTCCAGAGGAGCCGGCAGCTGACGCACAGCCGGATACTGATAAAGAAACAACACCAATGTGTCCGATCTTTGCCTGGAAGGTTGCAGCCAGCGATGATCTACCACCTACCCTGATGGAGACAAGTGAGTTAAAATTTGGGTATAAAGATGCGGATGGGACTATTCGCGCGATATTGGAAGAACGAGAGGCAGAGGCAACATTGTATCTGCTCAAACACGAGCGAGAAAAGGACTTTTTTGACTCACTTCCAGAGTGTTCAAGGAGAGAAGTCATTGCAGAAATGAAAGTTGTTGGCACTTCTCTGGACCGGTCTTCGGCAATTGAAAGGTCTGCCAGGAAAAAGTCCACGCGGAAAAAGCTAACGGTGATCACCAACGCGATTGAGATTCTGGACGCGTTCGTGCCTGAGCAGTATCAAAACCTCCTTCAATATTGGTTGATCAAGAAATTCTACGGCGCATTGCTAGGCATGATTTCCAACTACGTAAGTCGTTCATTCTTTGAGATGGAAGAGAGCTTAATTTTCAATCAGTACAACGATGCCTACCTCGACAAAATTGGCGCTCATACATTCTCTTTTCTTAAATCCATCAGGCAAATTCACGCTCGGGCCTCACGCGCTGGTGATGAGCAATCCCAGATTTTCTACCTTCCCAAGGCCTTGGTCGATGCCTTCAACCCCATGATAATATACGTCTGCATTTGCAGTCAGGTGTCAGACGAGTTCTCACAAGAATGGAGTCTTCTCCAGCGCCGCGCGAAAAAATCCTCAAATCTCTTCAAACAGCCGAATTCCAGCTCATTTCCATGATCCATGCTGGCGACTTCAGCGAAGCGAAAGTCTTTCGACCTGTTAACGCCCAGGGCATCGTGACCATGGTAACGGAGCGCCTGGTGCGAATACCGAATGAGAATCCGAACGGGATATCCTCGTCAGATGGGTTCAATCTCCTGCAAATCTATCGACAGTATATCTTGGGCTTGGTACGAATGGCAGGTCTGCGCGCTACCCATCATTACGACAGCTGACTAGTAATAGGAACTACAAGCTCGCACATCTCCGAACGCTGAAATATTTGACGAAATACAACGACTCCGAGAAGAGCTGGATATTGTCCACACCGTACTGGACCAGCAGCTGGAGGTTCTTCACAGGCTTCGTACGGTGTGGACCAGTCTCAGACATTCCAATCACCAAAACACTCTGCAAAGCATCCGCCAAAGCCGCAGGCTGATCAAACAAATGAAACGTGATTTGGATGAGCTTGAGGTTATGGCCGACAAGACGTCCATGCTGGTAAGCTGCGCCCTCTGCCTCACATATTCCATCTCGATTGACCACCCTCAATAGCTGCGGTCCATGATCGAAGTACGCAAAGAGTCGAATAGCAAAGCAATCACCATATTCACGATTGTGACGGTCATCTTTCTCCCTCTGTCGTTTGTGACCTCCTACCTCGGCATGAATAGCGTTGACATCCGAGATGGCACCTTCAACCAGAGCTTGTTCTGGATTGTGGCCCTTCCTAGCGCTGCTGTTCTCATTTTCTCATTGTGGATTTTTCTTAAATTCAGGCAGAGCCTGAGAAGATGGTGGCCCCGTCGAAGGCTGCGGGGATCTCTGCGGATGATTGCATTTTGGTTCTACAGAGCCGTGACCACGGTGACCAGTGGTTCCGCACCGAGTCGGACAACAAGGGAAACTACTATAATGTAAATAAAGCCATTGCTCATGTGATGATTCTCGGGAGACACTATGCTTGTAGTTACCGGAAAACCAGAACAGTGCCATATCTGTAACGAGTCGAAACAATCCAGAATAGCCTGACCACTGCTTTGTCCGTAGGCATGTAGTTCAAAACGCTCTTCAAGCGGACTTTACTTACAAACAATAGCCGCAAAAACCACATATTTAGACACATCTAGGAATGCCGAGCTGTTTGTCTTTGTTTTACAGTTTCCTCCAAGATCTTAAAGTTCGCTGCACATCGGTAGTGACTGACGGCCATCTCTCAAGGCGCCCTTAGCACTCTTGCTACTTTACAACGGCGACACGAGTCTTCTGTGGGTGTGGGTGGTTCTTTACTTCCACCAGCGGCCTTTATTTAGAGGCCTACTGCACCGGACAAATGAGGAAGTACGTCATTTTCCACTGATTGCCAAGCTCGCATATCGTTATCATTCTGAAGGATTCCGCAAACGAACACTCAGCCTGGCACGACCGGCTTTGGGTGCGGATACTTTCGGGCAGTGCGACTACTTGTACAGCGAGCTCGACTAGGGGCTAGAACTGGTGGTATATTTGGCATTTGGGTGATATCATCAGTGCACACCTTTTCCTTTCTCCTTGACAGTCAGAAAGATCCTGAACAGCAATGAATTAATTTCTTGTTTGCTTAATTTGCTAACTGCCGTTTCATCCTCAACAGCCTATTATGCCTTTCTGGGCAACAAATTAAATGATCAGGTTCAATATCCAGACGTTCCTACTGAAGAACGCAACAACGGCAATGGAAGAGTTGTAATGTTCACATTCCCAGGGGTGAAAGTTGGAATGTTTGGGTTCCTTGTTCACAAGGTGGCCTAATAGAGATATGGCCCGTCTGCATGTACCGGTCGTCTAGCTATTTGCATCATAAACCCTGTACCCCATTCAAAATACTAATTTACAAACCTCGGGCCAGACACGAATCCGGTTAGCCCCATTTAAGTCTGGCCCGAGGTCTTGTAAGGCCGTGAGTGACCTGCTCGCTGCCGTCGGACAGTCTTCCCCCGGACCCACAGTCTAACTGCAAACACGTTCTCGTTGCACCAGCGGTCTCTCTTCTGCCTTTTCGTATATAACCTGCTTATTTAGACTTTTTTGTTCATAACAAAACTGTAATCTTTTCAAATACCTTTTAAATGCGCCGAAATATCCTGAGCGGTTGAGTTATTCGAAAAAAAAAAAAAAAGTAAGCCATACAAAAGGTACTGTTAATTACGCTGAATGTGAATTGTGCTGTGGAGGGCCCTCACCACCGAGAGCGGTGATCGGCCCGACATATAGGGGCTGGGTATCCCCCACATCGAACTCTCTTTGTATGTTTGAACAGCTTGCAGTTCATAACCTTCAGTATGCCGCAGCAGATTAACACCGTCGCCGTCATTGGCTGCGGTATCATCGGATCGAGCTGGGCATCTCTGTTCCTCTCCAGAGGCCTGAATGTCATCATCTTCGATCCCGCAGATGGAGTCGAGAAAACGTTCAAGCGATACCTGCAAGATGCGTGGCCCGCTCTAGAAGCATCTGGGGCTGTTGAAGATTCATGGGCGGAGAACTATAAGTTCGTCGACGACCTGGTGTCGAGCCTGCCCGAAGCAGATTTCGTACAAGAGGTGCAGACTTGAAATACCTTCCGTGCATTGTCAGTATTGCTAATCAAAATACCGTCTCTAGAATGGACCAGAGCGCCCCGAGTTCAAGCAGCAGCTGATGGGGACGCTTGATCAATACGCTAGACCGGGCGTTGTTATCGCCTCATCTTCTTCAGGTCTGCCGGCGTCTGGTTTTATCGGGCAGTGCCGGCAAGATCCAACTCGTATACTAGTTGGCCACCCGTTCAATCCACCACATCTAGTCCCATTAGTGGAAGTTGTCCCTCACCCTAGCACCAACACCTCCTCAATATCCACTGCAATGGATTTCTACAGGTCGATTGGGAAAAGCCCCATCCACCTTCGCCACGAAGTCCCAGGGTTTGTTGCCAACCGTCTTCAAGCCGCGATCAACAACGAAGCATACAGCCTTATCAGCCGCGGTATTGTCTCAGCTGAAGACCTTGATACGGCGATAACATCAGGTCCAGGTCTTCGGTGGGCTCTGACAGGTCCATTTGTTACAAATTCGCTTGGTGGAGGAGGAGGGCCTAACGGGTTTATACAGCGAATTGAACGTCTTGGTCCTTCGATCCAGAGCTGGGAGGCGGATATGTTGAAGCACCGATTTGATTGGAGTCCGAAAAGTCTGGCTGCGCTGAAAGTTGGGGCTATGAAATGGCTTGAAACGGCAGATTGGGCTGGCATCAATGGCAAGCGAGATCAGATGTTGCTAGAGTTGCTGGCAACAAAATCCAAGGCCTCATCGGTCACATAGAGTCTGTAATAGTCAACAGACTTCAACAGCAACTAGCGTCTCGAATGAAGGATTTGGTATCGTATAGCAACGTCTTGACAAGTGGATAGATTATGAGGTTCCGCGCACATATACTACTTAAAGAACCCAGATAAGGTATGCTAATGAAGTGGTCGTAGCATGGTCATGTTGTGTCAGTGGTTTAGAAAAGCTTTGTGTTAGACTTTAGAGATACCTGTTTACCGAATGACTGGGACATAAAATTGCCATGTCGAGTCAGGTCAGTCGGGTGAACAGAACCTGGAGTAAATCACAGACGCCCAGCAGCGGCAGGAGGATCAGATCGACCTTTCAGAGCACAGTGAGTGATTCTTTCTGATCGATCTTGGTAACGATAGCTCCTGACCCCACTTTAAAGTATTAACGACCGGGTACTTCCGAAGCCGGCTGATACTTGTTGGTTAGATGGCGCAACACGATATAGAAATAGCCTGAAGGCGTGAGATACGATTCTACGCACCGACTCAATGTACGATCTCTCCACATGGCTTTCGCAACTTCGAAAGGACTAAATATGTTACTCAAAGTGTGTCAACCCGCCAGCTGAAGTAGCGCCGGAAAGTGCCTGCCGTTCTTTCAAGTCATGTTGTTATCGTCGAAGAAACGAAATCACATTCACTTGCTCAGATATAGAGGGATGGATGCGTGATCGAAGGCCGTTGTTTAAGTACATATATGAAGTGCCAGAGAACAGCTCTGACAAACCGTTGTACCCGCTGTCTCGAAGGCTGTCGTAAAGAAGGTCGCCGCCCGACGTCTCAGTCGCATCATCTTCGACTCCAGCTCCGTATGTCAAAATCGCCCTTGATAGTAGTGACCCGGGCGGCGGAAACGCAGAACCAAGCCGAAGGCAGAGACAGAAATCTTGACGCAAAAACCGGATCTCGGGGATGGGACTGAGACCGAAGTTGAGAAATTATGGTTGACCCGAAGGCCATCGAGGTTCGTTGTTGCTTTCCAACTTATCAATCCGTTTCTCTAGTCTCCAGGTCTTCGGGGTCATCAGTTTCGTTCCAGAATAATGGTGTTGAGGACATACCTTGAATTGTAGGTGTAGAACGGCGATACCCAGTAAGATCGCGGTCAGCGACAGCATTTCCACATCATTCATCTCGGAGTTGTAGCTGGGTGAGAGATGAAGGGAGAAGGCGGAAATCAGGGCAAGAGGGTGTGAGGTGTGAAGAGGGGGGTCGTGGGGATATGCCGGTATGCGAACGTAGGTGTTCGGTAAATAACGTTGTAGAGGAAGGTGCGAGGGGCCGATTCGTATTAATATTAATACATACCTACGCACCCTCCTCTGGGTCTGGGACCTCAGCAACATGGATGTACAAATACGATCTAGTATTACTGCTGCTGGGTGCCACTAGTCGACAAAGAATGGTATAGAGTCTAGGGGGAAGTAATTAATTTTGCCTAGTAGAAAAATAGGTACATGATGACCAAGCAATGGCCCTTGTTAACTAACCCTGTTATAGAAATATCGAGATGTAAGAATGACGCATTTACTATGGTGTTTTGAGGTGAGCTGGTCGCTTGTGTGGGCGGTTCTCAACCACTACCTGGGTAGTCCCATCATATCACCCACTCGCGCATGATACAATCTAACCTCCAAATTTGAACTCAGAAACAGAAAAAGTCCTTTCTAGCTAAGACCACCTCAGCCATCAGTGATTTTAACCAACTTCTGGACACACGCGCAGACGATCATACAAAATGAAGATCCAGCGTGCGAGGAGGCGATTCATCAGACTTACTTCCGTCCTTTATGGACCCAAGTCAAAGTCTCACGTCTTGCAGAATATGCCTTCAAAACTAATGGGACTAATTTTCTCAACTCTCTCAACTCCAGATCAGGTTTCTTCTCACTGAGTTGCAAACTTCAGTGAGTTTTTAGAAGTCCGTGGGATACGGATTTCTCATCTTGTGCCACGCGCAACACCTCCAGGACACTGTCCAGAGGCCTTTATCAATCAACAATTAACCGCCAACTTGAGAATAGCCGCTGGAAATATTGCCCTTGCTGCCAGAAGCTACACCCATAGTCAAAAAGGCACGTTTCACGCTATATCTGGCCGTTTCTAGAATTCCATACTTATCTCAGCGTGAACTACCTCATGCACGACTTTGTTGTATGCCTTATGCAGGCGAGGTCGATATTTGTCCTTGCTTCAGCATTGGATTTCATGATTTACATCACTTGATTGATATGGTAAAACCAGGGAAAGACTGGCTACCGGACTGTCGAGGATTTCATGGCCATGATATGTTCCACACTGTGAGATTTAGCGACGTCCATAAGGACATCGGGCATGATTGTCCCTTCATTTAGCATCCTTTCGCGGAAGTTCAAATCACGACGACACTTTATATCCATGAGCCCACCCAGTCTCTAGTTGGGATGACCTCTTATGTAATACATGCATCAAAAGACAATTCGTCGCAAATTCTTGCAAATTTGAAGACTCTTGTACACAAGGACATCGGGAACTGGCTCAGGAAACTTTTTGATGAGGCCGGCTCAGCTTTTGCCGGTTGGCACAAAAATAGCTACTTTCAGATATCTGCAGTCCATCCTGAAATTCCCAAAGATCACAATGAGCCAGTTTCCGGTAATAATTGTCACACGGAACCCGGGAGATGGTAAATGGCCTAACAAACTGTGAAATGCCAACATCCATTCTAAGGTCGCTTGTTTAGGCTAGACCTCTTTTGATGTGGAATATCAAACAGTGTACTATTACACGTTAGATCCGACATTCTGGTAAGAGTCGGTCAAGTCCTCCATCCTATGACACTGGAGGAATTTCTTGAAAGTGACTGGTGTAACGTGTCGATATTTCGAGTTGTCTAGATCCTTCTTCAAGTAGGTTTGGCCGTTGATACAGTAGTATTGGTAGAACCTATCAAAAGTTTAGCCGAGCTCAGCGCGATCAGGATTATAAGGCAAGAATCACATGGCGAGATACGCAAATATGTTAGAGGGATCTTTGTTGAAAACTGTCTGCATGGTGTCGTAGAGATCCTGCTTAGATCCCAGGCGCTCCAGTTTGGGCTTCTTGCCATATACGTCGGCAAAATCGTCCGCAATTTCTCGAATAGTTCGCCGGTCACCAAGGTCTATGTGATAGAAGGGCGTTATTAGCTCTTAAGTCCGATTTGAGAAGAGTTAAAAAGATAGTCGTCGGACATTTACTCACAATGCTGCATGCCCACGGCATTCTGGTCCAATGCAACGGCAGCAACGTACTCAGCCGCAGTCTCATAGGTGGTGGACTCCCAGACCTCATCTCCTTCTCCGTAGAAGGAGAGCTTGAACTCCTCAGGGTCCCAGATACCGAAATATCCACTCCAGAATGTCTCCATAAATACCCCGATCAGTACGTGAACGCCCTGAACGTTCTTCTTTCTGTCCAAGTATGCCTTGACATGCTTCATTGGATCCTTGGCAGGGTGCTGTCCCAGTTCCAGCTTTGTGAAGTCAAGGCAGTAGTCACTGGCAACATAACGGCTGACATTCTCCAGTTCACACGCATCTACCAACAACTTCTGACCGTCGGTCATGAACGTATTGTCTCCGAGGTAGCAGCAGACCACGACATCGCACCCACGGACGAAAGCCCTCAGAGTCTCCAGGTCACCGGAATCGCCTTGAATGATGGTCACGCGCCGTGATTCGCGGAAGTTCTCAGGAAGCTTGGACGCGTTCCGGCACAAGCCCCGAATGTTGACATCAGGAGACCTGCACAGGTTATTCACGACCAGGCGGGCAAACTTGCCCGTGATCCCCGCAATACCGACGGTGATGGCCATGTGGACTGAGTAACTGGCAAAACCAGATGAAAACAATCTTCAAAGCCGTTGATGGTTCGGGTATGGATGCTATGAATGATACTGGGGGAGGATGGATGGAAGCGAGTGTTGCCGGCCCGGCGGGTGAATATATAGTTCCAGGACTGAGCTGCCGATGACACCATGAGCCATGATACTCCCATTGTTCTTACCAGATTGGGAAACTCAGGCTGACCCACAAGTCGTTGGACCAGTCAGATGCTCGGTCAACAGTACTCCGGCCCCACAGTGGGGACTTCCCGCAGTGGCGTCTGTGGCCGGCGCCCGAAGTGCCGACACCGCGATCTGACATATTCAATATTATTCAGTATCCGTGACCCATATTCTTGGGCAGGACAGTGTCTCCCGCTTTTCTAGCGAACCGAAACTAGCAAATCTGCAGTGAGGGGATGCAGCTATCATGCTATCTTTTAGGCAAAGCGCCGGTTCCCCAGTGTATGGAAAGGGAGAGAGCAGCCTTCCCACCGCGAAGAACGTTTCATACCCCACAGTCGTTGTCTTTGTCTCTAAAGAGACTATACTACTCATTCCTACACGCTTGTGCGCGGCCATAGTCTGCACCATTTCGAAGCAAGCTATTCACGCCCCTCAAGGTCGGCGGTTGTTTGCATGTAGGTAAGATAGACATATAAGATAGCACACCAACTAGCGATTTGGTCATGAGTTCAGAATCGATGTTGGCAATTGACAAACCGCACGATCTAGTATCTGGGAGGTTAATTAGAAGCATGAAGCTGCTTGAACTGAAACTCCTATAATCTAGGAAAGGGTTTAAGCTCGGTGGCGAATAGTGCAATGCTAGTTTACGCGCCCCACACCAGCACCGTTTAAAAGGGTCACGCCCCCCCACCTTTCATGCGCGACCACTATGGACCCTTCGGACGAGGCATATTATCCTCAACTCGTTCAACTGATCGGCTTATGACCTTCTATTGATGGCTTTGTGCAGATCTTCCAGTGAAGATGCCAAGCTATGAACCGGGCGCCTTCGGGCGCAACTCCCACATCCCAGCGGTATGTGCACAGCAGAATGGTTGCCCAAGAGCGAAAACTGATGTCGAGGTGAATGCTAGTGCCTAGAATGTCGAAGTCGCAAAGCAAAGGTTGTTCAATTCCTACCCTCTCGAGCGTCAGGAACCAAGTCTGACATCCATCCAGTGTTCGAAGACACGCCCGTCATGCGTGCAGTGTGCGCGGAACAACCGGGAATGTGTGTATACGTCCAAGGTCCATCGGACCCCACTGACACGCGAGTGAGTACTTTTCTGAATGTGTGATCATAAAAAGACAAGACACTTGTCTGACCAGAATAGACACCTCACGGCTGTGGAAACTCGGCTGCAAATGCTCGAAACCGCCATAGGGAAGTTGTTTCCAAGCGGGGAGATGGATGATATCACCCGCGCCTTACTTTCAAATGAGTTACCCGGGGATACGATGCCCTCTGTTGACCTCACTGAGCCGATGTCCGCGGAGAATTCTTTTGCGACCAACGCAATGCTGGACAATCCTTTCGGCGCCTCCCAGCTGTTGCCCCAAGAAAGCTGGAGTGATGTCTCTGTGGGAATGGGATCGGAAGGGCAGGAATCATCTCTTGGCTCTCTTTTGACCGAGGCAAGCTCGCCTGCCGAGTTAGTGGCACCAGCCCAGGTCGAAAGAGAGCTGGTCGACAACTACTTCCTACGCTACCACACAATCTACCCATTTGTTCATGAGACAGCATTCAGATCAGAATTCGAAAGCCCCGTGAAAACATTTTGTTCCTGGCCGATCCTTGAAAATATGGTCCTGGCCTTTGGGTCGTGGCTAGCTCCCAATGATTGGGCAGACCTGGACAAAAGATATTACGCAAAGGCGCAGCGTCACCTCCAACAGGTGCCTTGGTCGCGCAGAGAGGGCCTGACTATTATACAGGCATTGCTGCTCCTAAGTGATTTTGCGCAAAAGCAGGGAAGTCCCGATGAAAGCTGGCACTATATCGGGACCGCTGTTCAAAAAGCAATCGCCCTCAACTTGCACATCGAACCATCGAGTCCAGATCTCACGGAGCTCGACAAAGAGATTCAGCGCCGTGTATGGTGGGCTACTTACTGCTCGGAGAGTTGCTCGGCCAAGATTTACGGACGACCGCTTTTACTCCCTGAAGACAGACTGATCACTGTCAGACCCGTCTCGAATACTCACGACCAAGTTTGTTGCACCACCTTCTAGCCACCCACTTGCTAATCAGAAACCCTGGCAGAATCCCATTTCTCCCACAGCTCCTTTCCCTACACCAACCGACGATCCAACCATATATTCCGGTCTGATACAGCAATCTAGTTACCATCGAATGGCAAATACCATCTATCGCCGACTTCTGTCCAGTCCGAATGTCACACCTCAGCATGTGCAAGAGTTCGAGCAAATGATAAGCACCTGGCACAGCAACAATTCATCATTTTGCACACGATTAGTCAAGATTGACTCCGTGCAGGACTGGCATCTTACAGCATGGCGCCGCCAATCGCTGTGTGACCAAAGTTTACGTCTTCTCGTCCATAGACCACTTCTGCTGCAGTGGTTGAAGAAAACATATATGGATAGAGACAGCGCACTGTCGGCAGAGGAGCACCCTGCTGAGGTACAGTGTCGCGCACAGGGCCTCAAGATTGCTCGAAACACAATTGGACAGATATCGGACTCCCTTGTTCGCGGGCGGTACTCCCGGTTGACGCTATCTTTCACTCTGTATGCAACCTTTTCAGAACAAGTCCATCTTATCTACTGAGTATCACTAACACATTGCCATCAGATATGCTCTTTTCCATGCGCTCCTCGTTCCTGTCATACACATCAAAGGAAATCCTTCATCGCCTGAATCGATATCTTACATCCAGGACCTGGAAATGGCAAAGTTCGCCTTGAAATACCTCCCAGTCCATGGGGATGCTTTGTCACAATCCTTCCTCATTGTGTTGAATCGTCTTTTTTCTGTGGCCTCTCAGGCTAACAGTGAGAACGAAAGCCAAAACCTGTCGGATGCTGATGCTCATCTGCTGAAACCAGGTGACCTACGGATGATGCCGACTAACATCTTTGGGAACGAGGAGTTGACATTACTCGAGAATGAGCGCTTCAAAGGAATATCTGGGCTTGATTTCTCAGAATGGCTGCAATCATGATATATACTGTTCATTTCTCATACTTGGAGTCTGAAAGACGTCACAACAAACATGTAGGTGACCATGGTATTTCAGGGAATCATTCATGATGAAACTCAAATTCAATTAATTTCACTGCCATCTATCTACATATATCTATAATATTGAATAACATACTTTAAGCAGAAGAAACATGATTTACTATCAAAGAGAAGGGGTGGCGATCCGGCAGAATGCGTTGTGCCGAGGGGAGCCGTCGACGGAGCCCACTAGCCGGATACAGCTGTCTTGGTAAATAATCGGGCCTTTTGGAAAAATCTCGCCCCGATCCGTCTTGTGGTATAGATCATCGACCAGCCTCCTGGTCGACTCATCCAAATTTGGCTGATCTTGCCACTGCCAATCAAGCTCGCCACCGTATTCTTTGGGCAGATCCGAGGCATCGACATGAGAGAGCAGGAAGGATTTGGACTCCGACAATGAGAGAATGAAGATTTTCAATCGTGTTTCCGGGTCAAACCACTGACTGATTGCATCCCACACCGACTTGAAAAACGCAGGTGCACCAACGACCTAAAGAAGTTGATCGGTTAGCCGGTTGTCTATGCTTGCCCTCTACTTCCCGGTGTGCATTGGAGTGAACTCACAAATACCCTGCCTAGGGTCTCTGGGTAGTGTGCTGTAGCTATCTTGCTGGCTTCCTGGAGGACTTGCGAATGTTCCAGAATTGACGGATGCTGACATTGCTGATGTCCACAATGTGTGTGGATGCCGAGATAGGACGCTTCATGTCTGGCCGAGGTAGCTCAGACACCAGCGGTAGAGAAAACTGCAGCAAATTCTCATACAGAGCATGAAGATGGAGGATGTAAATAGGAATATCCGAACCAGAGTGACTGGAGGGCCTCGGAGCTGCGGCTAGCATATAAAGATAACTGTCCAGCTTCTTTTTCGTCAGCTGCCTCACTTGGAAGACGTAAACAGGACGCCCATCTTGATCACGTCGGCCTATCCATTGAGGGTACTTCGATTATCAGCACAAGATTTCCTTAAATGCAACCTGATCGATGACAGCGTCATACCATTTTCCGAGACTCGTCGTAAGTCTCCACGTCCAAGTGCTCGTAGAAAACTCGGATATTGTTCGCTCTGCGCCACGTTTGGAAGTAATGAAACTGTTGGAAAGCGGAACCAACATCATATCGCTGCGCACGAAGAAATCGTCTATAGTAGAAAATCTTAGTGGACATCCAAGGGGAATAAACCGGCGGTACACTCACAGAATTGTTGTCTCATCTGTGTTTTCTTCTTTTCTAAAGTCATTGAACCCATTCTTGACACAGAGAGCCTTGAATTCGTCTATCAGAGTTGTAGCCTCTGTGGATAGGGACTGTGTATTGTCGATTGGAGGACTCATGGCGAAGGGGCCTGCTTGCTGCTCCAACTCTATCTGCACTGCGGTAAAGGCTTTTCTCTGATGGAAGGAAAAAGGCGTCTGAACAAGATTTGATACCGAGGACAAGATCTCTCTGACAGGTGTGAGTAAATTGATCTGATATATTTATTCGTCTACATGGACAGTTTTAAGACATATTTATAGACAGAATATTTTCCAACCAGATCTTGAATGATAATTCAATTCGGAACCTGGAGCGAGTGGCGCCGCCTGTCGATGACAGAATCGTCGATTTCAAAGCTAGAGATTCGTTATTGTTCAAACTGAAGGGTGCATTCGGTGTGAATCAGTCCGGCTGACCGAGCTTCCGCGACCTTGAAAATGGACGGATCAGTCATTGAGTTAAGGAAGGCCCAAATTGCAGTGTTCTGGAAGAATTGATCGCTCGGTGGACTCTACTCCGCAACCGCTAAATGACACTACTAGATCCAGGGTCCATGGCTAGATTCCCTGCCTACCCAACAATCTAGATCTTCGAACCGACCGCGAACTCTTCATAATCAGGAGGCGAGTAATCGGGAATGTTCTCTTCGCATGAATGAAGGGGCCTCGCAGCCCCAGGCTCCATCCACTTTTCCATAGTTTCGATCGACAGGCTGGTCATCAGATACCCCCAGAAGAGAACAAAGAGACCATAGTCTATCGATGCTTGTTTTACCTTAGCACGCCTCTTGCCTCGAGTAAGTTCACAATGTTGGACGGCACACTTTTGTTGGGGCAATGGTCATACAACACGTTTGGTGAACGGCGAGCGGAGTACTCTCAACCGGCGATGTGATTGGAGGACGCGGCGCCTTACTCGTCTCCAACAAATCAAAATCCATGAAATGGCGATTTACCCACGGTTGATGAATTATCTCTGTAGTATTTGTGATCTTACTCTGTGCTTTGCTCTTCGCGGGGTAATCTGATTCGGGGTTTGCTTGGTGTATCCAAAGAGTCCGTCTTTCTGGTTCTTCTCTCGAAGCTATCTTTATCTCGGGGCGTGTCATCTGCGAATACCGAATCGCTGGATCGTCGTGGCATTTAATCAGATAGCTGCCAGAATCCGGAGTGAGAGTTGTCTTACTTACTGCGAGCTATACGCAGTCGCCTTAACCCTACAAGGACAGTACACGACTGTCAAATCGCTCAAAATGAATTCAAGCACCACACCCCACGAGTCGACAGGCTTCAAGCGGAAACGAACGGCTCACGCATGTGAGGGATGCCGCCAGCGTAAATCACGCTGCAATGGGGCACGACCCGTATGCGACGAATGCAGAGAAATGGGCTTTCCGTGTCTCTATCGCCAACCCAGCAAGCTGTCATCGTCCAAGTTGACCTCGATATCAGAACGCGCGGTATTATACAATCAGACCTCTTTGGAGGAACGCCTTGATAGGATGGAACAGCTATTGCAGACGGTCGTAGCCAACAGCGAGCGGGACAGAATCACATTCGCAAGCCGAGCTCCGCCCAACTTCTTGTTTGCAAGCTCGACCTTCGGCTTTTCTGACCCTGTTGATGGAATGGGATGTATGACGTTTTCTGGCGAAGATGATGCAGGGTATTTTGGTAGGTTATTATTGGTCTCAAATAACCGATGTCTCGCTCACCACGACTTTTTTTTTTTTCGACCAAGGCCCGACCTCAAATTCCGCTTTCCTAGGCCATATAATCAATGCTATCAAAGATTTTGGACAATTTCAGGTCCCGGAATCTACCTCCGAGGATGTGACGGTGATCTCCCGAGCTCACTCTCCACCATCAAGCTCGGAATCTGTCGCTTTTTCAATTTGTCCCTCCTACGCATCCACCGACCCATTCGCACTGCCACCGACGGAGGATGTTTTCCATCTCTTGGACATATACTTCTCAAATACTGGAGACATGTTCCCGTATTTAGACAAGACAACTGTGCTGAGTTACATTATCAAGGTTGAACAAGGCCAATCGGACAGACTTCAGCCCGCAGAGGTCTGTCTAATCAACATCTGTCTGGCGTTTGCGAGTGTCCATGGAAGACCCGAGACTGACGGAGACGGCCACATGGAAAACGCCAATATTTATTTTCAAAGAGCCCGACTAATGCTCCCAGAAATAATGTCTAAGAATGCCAGTCTCGAGTCTAGTAAGTTACGGACTGTGCCAGTCAATTCTCTGTTTGCGCTAAATTAGCCTCAGTCCAGGCCTTGCTTCTTGTATTACAATACTCTCAAGGCACACAACGCTCATCCGAGACATGGAGGCTTATGAGCTCAATCGTCGAAGGTGCTTTCCAAATTGGCCTATACCGCTCGATGACTACGGAAAGTATGAGCCCAATCAAGATGGAAATTCGGAAGAGGACATGGTGGATGTGCTTCGTGATGGACAAGTACGTGATTCCACCAATCTCTCCGTATGGCGGACGTTGAGACTTTTTGAAACAGGATGTGTAGCATGACATTCGGCCGGCCACCACTTATTGCAAATAGCTACATGCGGACCTTACTGCCTCTCAATCTGTCGCTCAACTTAGACGAGACGGAACAGATATCACCAGAAACGGAACAAGAACCAGCGGCCTCGGCAGGTTCCAGTCTTTTTCTGCACACCTCGTAAGGTTCCCCTGTCCCAGAGATAGCCAGTATCTTAACCAAGTTATTATTATAAGGAAATTGAATCTGATCTTGGGAAATGTCATTGAAACGATCTATGGCCACAACACGGAAAGTTGCTCTTCATCAACCCTGCTTGACCTACAACAACATGTTGTTAGGATAGAGAGTCGCTTAGCAGATTGGATGAATGATCTGCCTGATTCTTTGAATCCTGCTGGAATACTCAACCCAGATGGATTCCAACTCCACGGCAACCTGCTCGAAAATCGGAGTATGGTGGTCCTCAGCCTACGATACCTCAATCTGCGAGCTCTGGTGCACCGGGCAACTCTCTATCGACTTCTTGATCCTCAATTCGGACCAGAAATCTGCCATGAGTTCTATAGTCTGCGAAGCTGTGTAGCATGTTGTGTGGAGTCCTCCATCCAATCGATCAGGGTCATCTCGCATTCTGTTCGGAATCGAGTTCTTCTTCCTATCTGGTGGGTTTCCGCCTATTACAGTGAGTTGAATCACTTCAAATCATATTATATAGTGCCTGCTGACCATAATGAAGCTTTAACGGCATCTCTGACCGTCTTCGCGGCCATCGTCCTACTTCTAAAGGAACCGACTCATCTCCACGGGTACTCCATTCCTGATCTGCTCGGCACCCTGCAAACAGCCATTGATGCTATTAAAAGCCTAGGAAAGAATAAAAGAGTGGTATATAGGTGCCAGCAAGCGCTTGAACGGATTACCGAAACCTGCTGGTCCTTGGTGTCTCAAGTCGGTCGGGAACAGTCCTCAAGTGGAACTATGAACCGAATGAACACTCGCCGACAGCAAGAATCAGTGTCTCTGGATCTGAATGACACAACGTTAGACCAGCACGTACAGTTCCATTTGCCAATCACACCTCCAGATCATTGTTTTGAACCTCAGCCTAACTTCAACTGGGCGTGCGTGGATTCTTTGGCAGCGAATTTGCAAGAGTATTGCGGAAACCTTTGAGATTCCATAATTTACAAAGCAATATCTACTGTCTCAGAGGCAGAGAAATATCTAGCTTGTAAAAAGAGCCTACTAGAGTTGTTGCTCAAGGGCATTTTATGGAGTTGTATTGCACACGATTCACTTCTACATACTCAAACAGGAAACAAAGATTGGTTGGAAGGACGTAGTTGACTGGAGTCTTGGGCAGTTTTGACTCCACAGTGCGTAAGTCCCACCAGACAGTGAAAGGTGATCTGGTGGCAATAATGATGTCCTCTGGGCGGGACGAGGGACCTATCAGAACTTCGGTTTAGTGTAGTCCGTCTCCGAAATAGCCCCGGGCAATGTCTGACCTTCGAGCAACTCAAGAGCCAACCATATACTTACCTCTCATCAGAGTTTCAATAATTTGTCTGTGCTTGAAATAATTTTAGCAGGTACGGGGCCCCGTGAACAATCCTAGTGGGAATCCGGGGTTGAGCTCCCCCACTTTGCGAAGGACCCAAACCCGGGGATGGGCCGGGGTAGAGAGACGCGAAATGAGTGGATCTAAGTCCACCTTGCGACAGCGTTCGTGTGCAATGTTTTCTCATGAGCATATTTAAGTCTTTCGGAATTCAGGTCAATTCCTGCGAGAGTAAATTTGATCGCGCATCACTTGTTCTACCATCACCATCATCCATCATATTGAGCATCTCCACCATGGCCCCCTACATTAAAACCGCCCAAACAGCTTGGCCAGCCAATACGCCAGAATCTATCAAAGACTTTGTGGAAGTCTTCTTCCAGCTTCTTGATGGTGGTACATCCGAGGCCGCCAAACAATGGAGCGAGCTGTGGGTTCCAGATGGGGGAGAGTTCCATGCATTCGGCCAAATTTTCAAAGGCCGTGACGGTACGACCTTTCCAGCTCAAGGCCTTCCTTTTGATCTTTGATTAGGGACACTAATCTGTCATTTCACCAGAAATCGAGGGCTATCTGTTCCGCTCTCAGAAAATTTTCGCCGGGCTCAACCACATCCCCAAGAAAGTCTATATCCACGGCCAGGATGGGATGGATCTGACTGTTATCACCACTTATGAGATTACGTTTCCGAATGGGAAATATGTCTCAGGAGAGTCGGCGGCGATGCTAGAATTTGCGAAGCAGGATTCGCAGATGTTCGTCCGCATGAACAGGCTAATCATTGTGAGTGTTAAGGACGACCAGAGTCACTATTTCTTGTACTAACATTACTGCGGGATCCGAACCCTCTTATGTCTGAGATTGCCGCATAGTACTAAGCCAGACGAAATTACTGGTTGGGGTAAAGCCTGCCGTTACTCACTTTGAGAATGTTACTATAACGACCGTCTCGGGATTGACCAGTGGTTGAAACAAGTGACGGTTATGGAAAGGCCGAATTCAATTTTCATAGATATTGTTGGATTAGGGAGTATCACAAGAGCACTTAAAGTCCATTTCAATAGAGATCTTTCAAAATAAGGATCGGGAGCGCCATGTGGTTGGACCGGCAGGGTCAACACAATATATTTTTTTTTTTTTTGTTTTTTTTGGTTCAATTATTCCTAGCACGGCTTAATACGGAACTTTAATAACAGGGACCAACACATAATGCGAAAGAGGTAAATATCCAGTCCTAGATAACACAAACGAACAAAAATTCAACAAGCTCTTAGCATAGATTTCCTTATACACAATCTGTCATATGTTCTTGTCAAGCGACATACATCCTGTCCACGCAACCTATCACTAAAGCCTGTTGTGGAAATGAGTCCACTGTGATGGAAATCCCGCCCCTCTCACCCAGCGATTCCTAGCCACGGGCTCTTTTTCCGTTGTGTCAACAGCCATATGACCAATGCGTCGCCACATATCACCACTAAGAGGGAACCTTTCTTCTTGAGCAGCCCCGAACTGTTCACAAAACTGCTCACCATGAGCCATACCCCGCAGGAATTTGGTAACATGGGAGTCATCATCCATATCATTGACTCTCTGATAAAGATCATCCCAACCAGTACTTGGGCGCTTCGGCACGTAATTTTTGATCTCGTTGACTGCAAGCTGAGGGGACCCACGAGCAGCATAGGAAATGACATCAAAACGACCCTTCCATTCCAAGAGACGAATCTTGCTCTCGGTGCTCATCCAGCCTTGCTTCAAGAAGGATGCGAAGAAGATAGAGCAGTTCAAGTTGTGAATCAAAAAGAAATCGAGTTTATACTCCTTGGGCGGCATCTGGGCTGCGCCACACATAAAGCCGTTGACATTAATCATTTCCGCGGTTTTTGCTTTTAGCTCATTTGGCTGGACACGCCACTGTGCAGCAATCCGCCATAGCTCTTCTGGGGCCTGGGTGAGAGGGACATCCTCAATCCAACTGCCGTCACCCCAGCAGGAAGCGTCGCGGACGGACTTATTGGACCGAACTTGGTTGAGGAGGTCAATGAGCGAAGGTGATGGCTCGCCAGGTAGACTTGACGCGGCTGCCTCTGCACCCAACATTGCCACGGAAACTTCATTCTTATGGACAGCTGACTGGGCGAGTCCTTCAGCGATGATTGCGGGTTGATTGAATTCGATACCATATCCAAGATGAATCAAGGGATGTAAAAAACCTGCAATCAATGTGAGTTTTCTTGATAACACATGGTATTGCATGGAAGGGTTGCCAGACGTACTCGCGAAGAGTCGGGTGAACATCAGTTCGGCATTCTCCTTGTGAGAGAAGACGTACTCATTCACCACGGCCCCAGCGCCTTTCTCTTTGATCTCCTTTTGGAAAAAGATCAGAAAATCGCGGTAGTACTGTTCTTGACCCATGCATGATCGGAAAAAGTCGGTATCAGCCAGCTTTTGCATGTTCTTCTCATTCAATGGGAATTGCGCACGCTGGAGAGCCTTTTCTTGTTCAAAAGCTCGAGTGAGCTGAACGGGTGTGGCACCCAAAGAAAGTGCCGCAAGTAGGTAATGTGTGATGTGGTTATGGAAACCTTTCTCATTGAAGAATGGATGATACCGATCGTGATTCTCTTGGAGGAACTGGTTGACTGTCGCGATGGATGACTGACTGAGGGGGACGTGGAAGACACCCGTGTTTGGGGGGGAAATGGAAACAACAGATGGTGTCGCCATGACGATGATGATCGAAAGGAAGTTGACAATTATCACAGATTAACGCGCTGTTGTAGACGGGGTAGGCTGGTCTTTTTTATCATTACCAGAGCCCGCTGGCTCGGCCTTTTGACGAGGAAACATCGCCACTGTCTGTTCTAATCCATGTGCAAATTCCATGGCTCCTCTTCCAGGTCCACCTGCAACCCCAGCCCCGGACCGTAATATCCCCGTACTCCTCGCAAGGTGAGAGTTTGTCGATCCGGGGATTGTTCTTCCTAAATCCGGCCCGAGGAGTGGCCACCGGTCGTCACGAGTATACGGAGTAGACTACTCCGTTCCATCGCCTGACCGCAATATCGCGGAATATAGAAACTTGTTGGCCGGAGAACTTACAAACGATCGGATCACTCGGTCCAGCTCGGGTTAATGGACCCCGATTCGGCAAATCGGGCGTTGCACGGAGGGTGTGCAATGATAACATCCGAGCACCAGAAGTATAAATATAATCGAAATATTACTCTCAGAGAATATTATCAAGTGTCATATAGTATCAGTGGCTCAAGTCCAATTCATCCCCTCTTTTCTCACTTGTTTTTGTATCAAACGGGCCATCATGGAAGTCCCTGGCAAGAACCCATGCGGCGTGAAGCCCTTCTACTGGAAGAAGGGTCTCGACCCCAAGGAGACAACCCGACCTCCCCTCATCCAAAATCGCGAGGAAATTGCAGATAACATGCAAATCACCTGGGATGTGCCGGTTACCATGCGCGATGGCGTCAAAGTCTACGTGGATGTTTTCCGTCCTGCAGGCTCCACAGGAAAGTTACCCATCATCTTCACTTTCAGCCCCTACGGCAAGCATGGACCCAAGACATTCGACATTTTCCCCGGCGCCGGTGTCCCCAAGGGCTGGGTATCAAAGTACGCGGTCTGGGAAAGCATCGACCCCGTTGTGTGGACCAAGAAAGGCTATGCCGTCATCAATGGTGATAGCCGGGGCTCCTGGGGCTCCGAAGGAGACCTGGAAATCTTCAGCCAGCAAGAGAGCCGTGATGGCCATGACTGTATAGAATGGGCCGGCACACTGCCTTGGTCGACCGGTAAAGTCGGCATGATCGGTGTGTCCTACCTGTCTATCGTACAATGGGGAATCGCAGCCCAGAACCCTCCTCATCTCGCTGGATTCATTCCCTGGGAGGGCTTTACCGACTTCTACCGAGACTACACCCACCATGGCGGGATCCCAGAGACCAGGTTCCTTCACTTCACGCAGTGGTCCTGCCGTAGCGGCGTCAACCTGGTGGAGGATCTGATCAAAAACAACAAGGCCCACCCTCTCCTGGATGATTACCATCGTTCCAAGTGTGTCCAGGACCTTTCCAAGATCACCGCCCCGGCCTATGTTGTTGCAGACTGGGGTGACCACGGTATGCATACCCGTGGAACTTTGAACGGGTTTGTCGGAATCAGCTCCAAGGAAAAATGGCTCGAGGTCCACGGGCGCAAGAAGTGGCGCTACTTCTTCGAGCTAGAGAGTGTTCAACGTCAAGAAGCTTTCTTTCAGAAGTTCCTTAAGGGCGAGCCTAGTGAGATTGACAACTACCCCAAGGTCCGCCTGGAGATCCGCGATCGAGCCTGGGCCGGTCAATTCAGGGCCGAGAAAGAATGGCCTCTTGCTCGTACGCAGTACACCAAAATGTATCTCGATGTGAAGGCAAAGCAGCTCGTCGACCAGGCCCCTTCTTCTCTTGAGGCAGCCAGCTACAAGTCCCAAGTCGTGGACGATGCTCTTCGCTTCCATTTCAAATTCTCCGCAGATACTGAGCTCACGGGCAATATGCGTCTTCGACTGTGGGTTGCCACCGATCAAGGCCAGGACATGGATCTTTTCGTGCAACTGGACAAGCTCGACAAAGACGGCAACATTACCCCCTTCGTGGCCTTTTCGATGATTGACGACGGTCCTCTCGGCTTGGGTTGGCTGCGCGTTAGCCATCGTGAGTTAGATAATGTGAAAACCACCATCGATAGGCCCTATCACACTCACGAACGGAAGCTTCTTCTGCGTCCAAATGAAATCGTCCCTGTGGATATTGAGATCCTGCCCACCTCGACTCTGTTTCGTGCAGGTGAGACACTGCAGCTCAGAATCCAGGGCAATGACAGCTTCCGTCATAAGACCCCGGATGTTGTTCAGTTCCATGAAAACTCTGTCAACGAGGGAAACCACTTTGTTTATTCCGGAAACACATACGAGTCATTCCTTGTCTTCCCTATCATCGAATAAATGTTTGAATAGCTTGGTGCTCCGCTTCTGAATGGTGATCTTGGAAGTCGATCAGCGTAAATATGAAACAGGAAGAAATATTGGAGCGACCGTCTCAAAGCGCCGTGTAGCGTGCGGTGCTGAAGAAGTCACTTCAACAACCCTAGGCGTAATAACCCTTGCCTCAGTGATTTCCATTGCCGATTTTCGATTGGACCAAGCTGAGGTGGGGCAAGTGATTGAGTTAAGTTAGTTAGTTACCGCCTTTGGATTAGTTACCAAACCCTATTTAACACGGGCCTAAGCCCGGTTGGGATCGCTTCTCTCGGATGGTCTCGGCGTTGCGGCATTTTGGCTTTCTGACAAAAAGGTCTTTGGAATCGTCAATGGAACGGTCGAGAAATGACCATGACGTATGGCTTCAAAATAGTAGATTGTTAATAAAGATATAGATACCGTATCTCGTTCAGATGGGCCAAGTTCAGCAAATTTAACTTGCTCCGCTGCTTACTCTGGTATTTCATCTGTTTCCCGCATATTACTCACGATGCCTGCCTCTGGGAGATCCGTAACATTGTCTCAGCAAATGCCGTGGCACAGTGGGGAGAGAAAAATGCATGATCTGATGAAAGTTTCCGATCAGGTCAATCCCACTTCTGAACTTCTTCCTCCGGGTACTGGTCACTTCGTGTATCAGGCGCCACTGGTTGCTATCGGCGTTGTCGACCACTGGGGAAAGCCGTGGACTACCGTCTTGGGGGGAGAACCAGGATTTGCTCGCCCGGTTGGCGATTCCATGATCATGATGGACACACCTGCCCCAAATATGGACGATCCCATCCTACAATTTTTACTGGGGAGCACTCCCGTCAACCAGACTGCGCAGTTTCACGGAGAGAAGCCCATTATAGCCGGGTTAGCGATTGATCTGGAAAGCAGAATGAGAGTGAAGCTTCACGGGAGGTTTCGAGCCGGGCAAGTCTACTACGAAGGCCAAACACGTCGGGCACAGTTAGTTTTTGAAATTGATGCAAGCCTTCCCAACTGCCCGAAATATCTCAACGAGAAGTTTATCATACCCAATCTATCCGACCCCAAAACGTTGCCAGACTCTCCCAAGCTATCGCCACAAGCAGTTGACCTACTCAAAAAGGCCGATTTGTTCTTCATTTCATCGTCAAATGCCGGTGTAGATATGGATACCAATCACCGTGGTGGTCCTCCTGGCTTTGTGAGAGTGGTTTCCAATAACCCGAGTGGCGCTGTCCTTATATATCCAGAGTACTCCGGGAATCGTCTCTACCAGACTCTTGGGAATATTCAAACGACTCCTTTTGCTGGCTTGACAGTGCCAGATTTCGACACTGGCGACGTCCTATATCTAACAGGAGAGGCTCAGGTTCTCAGTGGAGAGCGCGCCGCTGATATTTTACCTCGCTCAAAAATTGCCGTCAAAATCACAGTTCTCTCCTCCAGATTTGTCCTTCAAGGCCTTCCCTTTTTAGGAAAACCGGGATCCTTTTCCCCTTATAACCCTCCTATAAGATTTGCCAGCGGGGAAAAGGAACTAGGTAAGCCTGTGGATACGACTATGGCAACCGCTTTGAATCGTGCTGTCCTCACCGGCTTCCAGCGCCTCACTCCCACCATCGCGAGATTTCATTTTCGCGTAGAAGGAAAGTCGACCTTAAAGGCCTGGAACCCCGGACAATATGCCACACTCTCTTTTGCGGAGGATCTTGACCAAGGTTGGAGTCACATGCGGGACGAAGATCCACGGTCCTTGAACGATGATTACATCCGAACCTTCACTATTTCCAGTTCCCCAAAATCACCAGCCGATGGGCCCCTAGAATTCGAGTTGACAATTCGCAATGTTGGGCGTGCAACAAACTATTTGTTTCATCAAGAAGCGAATGGCGCTTATAGCTTGCCATTGCTTGGCTTCGGCGGGAATTTTCATTTCGAGGACAAGCGCCGCCCTATTGTGTTTATTGCCTCCGGAATCGGGATAACGCCACTCCTTGGTCAAGTATCGTCATTGGAAAAGACCCAAGTCAGTAACTTACAAATATTGTGGTCTATACGGGTCAATGATGTGGAATTAGCACTTGACACCCTCTCGAAGAACCCAGAACTCATTCCCTCAACCAAGCTCTTCCTGACAGGAAACGTGTCAAAATTGGAAAGGAACGATGGAGAAGCGGCTTTACTCAAAAAGCTTATCGATGCTGACGTTTCTATTACAAGAAGGCGGTTTCAAGAACAAGACATCGTTGAGCTTCGCAGTGAGGTTGAGACCGATTGGTATATGTGTGTGGGGTCAGAGTTAAAAGGTCTCGTTTTACAGTGGCTAGCAGGGAGAAAGGTTGAGTACGAAGACTTTGGTTATTGAAGATTACAAGTAAACGCAAGTTTTACCTTTTTGGGGGGGGAGGGGGGAGGTGGGAGCCCCAAAGCCTCACAATGTAGCACGACCGGATCTACGATCGTTCATGGCCCGACTGGGGGCCGATTACATCTGATTTTGAATATACTGTACACTAGCCTCATGTAAGATACAAGAACAGAAAAATGCCTATTCTTACATGGCTGATGCTCAGGAAGCGCTCACTGAGCATCATCAGTCATCAAGCATGTGACTGGCCCAGCATATCACGAGGCCTAGGTGCGTGCTGAAACCTACTCAGACTTGAGCGGGAATCTGAGCCCCCTCATTGGAAGGGGCGCCGCCCGGATAGGCAAGCCCCACCGGGCAGGGAAGATCCGGCACAAATAGTTACGCTGTGCAAGGTGCAACCCGACACAGTAATCTCATTATATTGTCCTTCCTCTGGGGTCCACGCGCCACCTTCTGCATCTTGCAGTCAAATGGGATATACAAGAAATTTTTCATTGAAGGATGCTATTGCTGCAAATGAATGCTATTCACATCGCCAGTCTCCGTTCCGTGACGACAACTATCAAACAACCTCGAAGCGATCGTTGGCCCGAGCCTCTGAGCATTCCTCTTTTTATTCAGAAGATTGATAGTAATTGAAAGTGTATCTTGTAGGGGTCCCAGTCGGGGGCCAAAGAAAAGACTGCTGTGGGAACGGCGAAAATCGGGAGGTCCGACCACTTGATTTAAGGCCCCCTGGCTGCTTTTAGTTTTGCTTTTTGTGTACCTAACCCACCTCTAAATTAATTTTACATCCTACATCATTGATCCCTGTATTTTGAGACGAAATGGGGGAAGCTTCTCCGCAGTACCAGAATGGGTACGACCGTCTTCAAGGATTAGGATACACAAGCTCTATCCTCAATTCGTTTGTCCGGCTAGACGAGATCCTCCATAGCGGCCAGGACGTCGTCCTCGATGGACACTCGCTGGATTTAAGTTCAGTGGTCGCCATCAGCAAGTATGTTAACTTCTTCTACCTCTTCTACCTCATGATGTGGGTGTATGAAATGTGAAATAACGGACAAAACTAGGCATAACATTGCGGCTGCGATCACAGACAGGCAAAGTGTGCTATCTGAGCTGGAGCGCAGCGTAGATTTGCTCGCTCAGAAGCTTGAGAAGGGAGAGGTGATCTACGGAGTGACTACTGGATTTGGAGGGAGTGCCGACACTCGCACCAACGACTATGCCGCCCTCCAGAAGGCACTGATCCAGCACCACAATTCCGCCGTGGTGTTGCCACGAGACCGAGGGAATGGGGCTAGCTCGACGCACCTGGACAGTTTGAAAAGCCATGCGATGCCTATTCCTATCGTCAAGGGGGCTATGTTGATCCGCTGTAATTCTTTACTGCGAGCGCACTCGGCCGTACGCATTCTGGTGGTCCGAAATATTCTTGCTCTCCTCGCTAACGACATGACACCCGTGGTGCCTTTGCGAGGGAGTATCTCCGCCAGTGGGGATCTCACGCCTTTAGCGTACATCGCCGGGATGATCGAAGGGAATCCCGATATAGCGGTGAATTGCGGGGAGGGCCAGAACTATCGAGTCATCCCCGCCAACCAGGCTCTCCAGGAAGCAGGGTTGAATCCCCTTACATTTGGGCCCAAAGAAGGCCTGGGTCTTTTGAACGGGACCGCATTCAGTTGTAGTGCGGCTGGGCTAGTTCTGTTCGAGGCAAACCAGTTGGTAGTTATGTCGAAATTGCTGACCGCGATGGGCACGGAAGCATTGCTAGGCTCGCGACATAATTACCACCCCTTCATCGCCAAGGCCCGGCCTCATCCAGGCCAACAGGAGTCAGCAGCATTCATCTTTCAATGCTTGGCCGATTCTAAGCTTGCGCATGGTGCAGATCCTGATGGGGAAGGCTTGGCACAAGACCGGTATGCGCTACGCACTTCGACTCAGTGGATCGGGCCACAGCTAGAGAATCTTAGACTAGCACTGCAGCAAGTCCAAACAGAACTCAATTCCACCACAGACAATCCACTCCTGGATCCTGTCGAGGAGCGAGCCCATCACGGTGGAAACTTCCAAGCAGCATCGATAACGTCAGCAATGGAGAAAACTATGAGCGCGATGCAGATGCTGGGCAAAATGATCTTCTCACAGTGCTCGGAGATTGTCAACCCGATGCTTAACAAAGGATTGCCACCGAATCTTAGCGCTGACGATCCCAGTCTCTCGTTCGCGTTCAAAGGTGTTGATATTAACATGGCTTCCTATATGTCTGAACTAGCATACCTGAACCACCCGGTCAGCAACCATGTTCAGTCCGCAGAGATGCACAACCAGGGCCTGAACTCTCTCGCTTTGATTACCGCTCGTTATGCAGGGGATACCGTCGAACTATTGGCGTTAATGACTGCAACATACCTGTACGTTCTGTGTCAGGCCTTGGACCTTCGTGTTATGCATCTTGAGTTTGTCGCTCAAGCGCGCGAAAGGGTGGACGACGCAACTGCGCAGCTGTTCCAGTCGAGCGGCGCAGACTTACAGCTCTCCTCCATGCAAGAAACCATCTGGACAGAACTGATGAGCCACTGGGAGCGGAACAGTACTAGTGATCTTGATAAACGGAGCCAAGTCGCCGCCACTAATTCTGTGGGTGTTGTTCTCAGTCTACTAGGTGAACAGGTCGCAGGTAAAGAACTCCAACAGTGGAAGAGCAGCGTTGCCAATATTTTGGAGACGGCGTACGCAGCGAACCGAAAGCTATTTTTCCAGAACAGGACGACTGCATCGTATCTCTGCACTTCATCACGGAAACTCTATGGGTTCGTGCGTGAGAGGCTTGGAGTTCCCATGCATCGGGGTCTGGTGGATCATCCGACTTATGTATCCGGCGAGAAAACTCTCAAGGAATCAATTGGCTCGCATATTGGCAAGGTCTATGCGGCTTTACGAGGGGATGAATTTCGCGATGTTATTCTGAACTGCTGTGGCATTCTCGATAAGGCCGTCTGGCGCCTGTCACGATGAATGATCTATTTGAGGTGGTAGAATGTTATGCCTGTCTTGAAGAGAGGGAATCTGTCAAGTAGCTTGATCATTTGGGGCGTGTTTCTTTCATGTATTTCATCCTTTTTATCCACTTGCTCTTAAAACTGACTTGATTGATTCCCTAATGATCCCTACCGTCAATATCTAGTCTATACGACGTCCCATAGTGGAAGTGCAAATCACGAAGGGATAAATATCTGACTCAAATCAATCTAGGCATGCTCAACATTGAAGGGTGAAATAACTAATAACAGACTGATAAAAAAAAAACAGGAATAGGCCGTGTGAGATTCATTCTTGATACCTACACTCCTCGCGCATTAGCCCTCCCAAGTCACCTCTATAATTGAGAGGTATGACTTGGATGGTTTGGATACGCTGGTAACGGTAAATCGCGAGTCCGTATCTCTGAATAAGGCTTTCCAATCACTTGATGTGCGCTCCTGAGCATTCTGTAGACCGAGCATGTACATATCGTAGTCCCTGTCGATTTTCCTCAGAACGTGGTCAGGAAAATCCAAGGAAAAGGAAAAGCATACCGTCCTTCACGTTCCTTCAGGTAATGTGCCTCGCCATATCCAGGGATAATGCGATCGTTCAGTACCACCTTAGCCCCGGGTTTCAAAGCTGGTATCAAGGCCTGCAGGATCTTGCGTGAGTATTTGTTCGACCAGTCATGCAACACATGACGCAGTAAATAGACGTCAGCACCCTGTACCGGTTGCTCTTGGAAGAAGTCGTGCGTTTGGAAGCGTATACGGTCCTGGAGCTGGGCCGGCAGGGTTTTTTCAGCCTGCAGAATAACCTCGGAACGATCTTGTACAATGCACTGGACTGAGGGGGAGTGTTCCACGAGAGCACGGGCAATATGGCCGATGCCACCGCCTACATCGACGACCGTGATATCACCAGATCCGAAGGGGAAGTTATCGATCAAGTACTGCGGGGAGTAGCCAGGTAGCTGGGTGAGCCAACTCATGGCTGTAGCAAAGACCTTAGCACGTTCTGGCATGTTGGCGAGCGCTTGGAAGACCGGAAGGTCAGTCGCGTTTTGTACACTCCATCCCTGTTGCCATAAGCTACCTTGCCATTAAATAGTTTTTAGGATACTTACACTGTGTTGTGGCTCTTCCGAGTTACTATTTTGCGATATAGCTTCGGCAATCTGTGATATGAGCTTAGCGTGAACTGTGGCTTGGTGTAAAAGTCACATACTTTAAGGGCGCCAGGCATGGTCTCACCAAGTCCTACCAGCATCCAAGAACGCATGCCTTCGTTCTCGGTCAGGATGCGGGAGCCAGCTGTGTGAACGAAGAAATCAAGCTTTTCCTGGAAGAAGACATGGTAGGTAGCGGCATGAGACATCAACCGGCGCACAAGGTTCTCATTGAGGTTAAGTTGCTGCGCCAAATCTTTGACGGTGCTGCCCTCACTTGGAAACTTCTCAAAGATCCCCAGGCGGACCAATGCCAATATGCTCATAGACGGGTTACGCTAGAGAGATTAGCGAGTGTGACAAATGTGATAACATTCTACCTACTAGCTCAGGACTACCCAGGAGGGCTGGATCAGTCAAGAGATCGCGCATCTCATCTAGTAGGCCTAGGAGCTTCACACGTGCGGCTAGAGCGTCAGAATCGGATGCATCAGTCTGCAGCGGAGCGGGTAGACCATGTTCAAACGAAGGCTCGGGAAGCCCCCGGGCAGCCAAATCGTCTGAGAGGTTGCGAGCAACTTCAGCAATCTCGTTGGCACGATCAATAAGGTTTGAACGGTCCATAAAGGGCAATGATGGATTGAATATTGGAAGGAGACTTAGTGCAGGGCGCTCAAGGCCTGTGGTGTAATATTCTATTCATGAACAAGGAAACCCCTATTGCTTAAAGGGTAGCGTTTCAAAGAAGGCACAGAGCTACTTTGAACACGGACCAGGGACATCATCCTTGACTTGCTCGCTTTCTGCCGGTCTTGGTTGATTTTTCTGCAAGGAACAAATAGCGCCATACTTCGGAAAGAAACGCCAGGGTTACATTTGAGACCGCCCCCAATAATTATTAATAATGCCCAGAAACCCCCTTCCTCATATCGTGAACGCGCGCCAATGCACGCCATCCGCAAATAATATAAACGCACTCGATTGAATGGTTGTGTTTGACAAGGATCATTTTGGACCATTGTGGGCCCAAATTCTATCGAATGTGGGCGCTTATTTGATCTCAATGGCTGGTTCAATGTTGACGTAGCGTGGCAATCTTCATCGAAAACAGGAAAAGAAGAGGTATTGCTTTTTAGGGCCTCCTACACGAACCAACAGAATGAGCACAGTACAGCATATTTACATTTTGTCTCACATAATAACTTTCCTTAGGGAGAAAGCAAAGCAAAGGAAAAGAGAGACTTCCGTTCCTAGGAGAAACTTGCGGGCTTAGCTATCCTGGCGCCATTGTTCCTGTCCAAACTGATATAGGATGAGGCATCTCCGTTCGGCTGTCGCGAGGGTGCGTTCAACTCAACTTAAAGTTGGTCGTCAGCGTGTCCGCGCTGCCTATTGGAACCGATTGAGTAGTACTGATTGCTATTAAAGCGTGAGTTTTTTGCGGAGAAGTGCGATTTAATGAGATGAGTGCAAGTTTTGAAGAAAGCGGTTACGAAGGGCAAAAGGCTGACAATGAGAACGAAATCTCATTGTGATTCCAATACCGAGTTGGGCGCAGAGGTCTGCCAATGTTAGTCTTTAAATGCTAAGTATCAGTAGGGAAAAGCGCCTACAGATGAGGAGGTCCAGAGGAGGTTGGCTGTCAAGCAAAAAGGTCATATAATAGAGCTTGGTGATGGAGAAAACAAATACCGTGCTTCGATTAGTTCTGAGCCGTGGGTAGGAGTGTGGTATACTTACACTAAACCCAAGCCCATAAGTCCAATTGTACAGATCTTCTTCCAGCGGGCCATTTGCAGCTACCACATCACAACGGCTGGGTATATGGAGAAGGCGATGTTGACAAATGAGGAGATACCGCATAATACGCAGGCGTAGGTGATCTGGATCGAGCGTATGGGATATTTGTATGGATCCCATTGTCCGGCCACTGGGTTGCACATTAACCAGGTGATTATGAAGCGAACAACCGCCAATACGTTAATCGTGGCGCACAGGTCCCAGATGACAACCTGGAGCCAGAATGCTGGTCGAAAGGGACGAACAATCAGAATTGCGACGCAGACCTTGGGAAGCTCGATGCTTAAAAATGGCCAATTGTTCATCAAGATCGCTCAAAAAGCGGCGGGGGGCACGTTGCCCGGTAGATTAGAAATACCGAGGTCTTTTGCGGCATTCAGCGCTACCTGAAAAATTGCGGCCTGCACAATAGCAAAGATCCAAGAAAACGTTAACATGAAATATTCCCAGTAAGATTTTCGCGTTATTTTCCGCAACTGCGCAACTAAACGCATGAAGAATAGCACAGTGCGTATGCCTGCGAACGGCCATGTCGCTGCAGAGGCGACAGGCGCGATGTGATTGATTTTTCTTTTTCAATCTCCTGAAATTACTGTATCTAGTGCCAGAGTTATAGCAATTGTAGGGTTTAACTTATATTGCGCATAAAAAAAAGCAAAAAATAGAAATAAAAGGAACAACGCGAAGGGTATCGGATCAGCGTCATTGCTACAGTTTTTGTCCTAGAATGAGTTTGCTGTTGTGTATATAAGATGCCCAGCATTCCAGCACTCTCTACATTCCACCCTCGGCTCTTCGTCCATCAGTGCGATCAGTAAGTGCATTACAGGATCACGTCCGGGGTAAAAACCAATTCAACAAGGCCGATCACGTGAAGACATATCGGCGACCAGGTCTTATCGCGACCCAAAAGATAGTTTTAACTTAGACAATAGCCACTCGGATAGGATGACGTTGCCTGAATGAATCCAAGGGATTATTCCCAGACCCAATTTTTGAAATCTCAGGGGTGCGGCGTGAACGCCACTCCGTCGGGGCATAGCTTAGCAGAACCGGTAACCGGGAATTTATGATTTGAGTTTCTGCAAACTTTATTTGAAGCCGGACCCACATCCAGCCATGAACGGAGACAATCGGGGATATAGTTGCCCCGGTTAGACTTATATATCTGCCAATGCCGAAGGTGATGCGCTTCGGTTCAGTTGTACGAGTTAAAAAGGTTCTCAGCGAATTCACATTCGAAATGGCATCATTCGTCGGTGCCTTTGCGAACCCGTTGAATTATGTCGGAGGAGTCAGTTTCAACCCCGACCGAGACATCCCCGATCTGTCCGGAAAGGTTGTGATGGTAACAGGTGGTATGTTTAGAAAAATCATCTGATGCGGCTGTATGATGTCTAATTCAGTTCCAGGAAACGGTGGCCTTGGCAAGGAGACAATTTTGCAGCTAGCAAACCATCGGCCAAGCAAAGTTTTCATGTGCGCCCGTTCGGAATCTAAAGCGACAGAGGCCATTAAGTCACTCAAGTCATCCATTCCAAATGGGATAGAAATAACTTGGCTTCCTATGGACCTGATGTCCACCAAATCCATTCGAGACGCTGCCGAGCGTTTCAACGCTCAATCCAGTAGACTTGATATCCTGGTCCTCAACGCCGGTGTTATGGCTCTGCCCTCGGGCGAAACAGAATTGGGTCACGAAATTCAACTTGGAACCAACCATACTGGTCATTTTCTACTCACGAAATTGCTGTTGCCGACCCTTCTCAAGACAGCCGAGGAACCTGACTCCGATGTACGCGTTGTGTCACTCTCTTCGGTGGGACACAATCTTGCTCCCTCATTCGACACAATTTTGAACCAAGAAAAGCTCAAAAAGGTCAATACCAATGCTCGATATGGCGCATCCAAAGCTGCCAACATCCTTTTTGCTGCCGAACTAAGCCGACGCTATCCATCGATCACGTCTGTCTCTGTTCACCCAGGCATTATCCTGACAGATCTGTACGATTCCATTAGTCAGCGCTCATCTGTGATTTCTCTGGGCACAAAAACATTGCAATTTTTTGGGACATCGGTTCCTGAAGGTGCATATAATGAACTGTGGGCGGCTGCTGGTGCGAAAAAGGAAGACCTCACCAACGGAGGATATTATATCCCTGTTGGGCATTTGAAGCCGCACAACAAGTATGCACGAAGCAAAGAAATGGGCAAACAATTGTGGGAATGGACTGAAGCTGAACTGAAAAAAGTCGACTTGTGATGGGGGTTCTGGACTGATTAGACTTTCGCATGACGACCCATTCGCCGTCACGGCTATCTTTTTGCATTTCCCCGTATATAGATCGTCCTTTGCTGTTTACATTGGTGTTCCCTAACCCTAATATCTTGAAAAGTATTAAAATGCAAATGCACGATCTCTTGATATCCATCCAGTTTGAAAGTACAAAATAAATTTGACCAGCATAGCGTGACAAGAGACACCGCGTTCTTTTTGAAGATTTCACCAACGGCTAGTTATCTGACGGACTGCGAATGTCCTGAATTCAGCCTACTCTAATCAACACATTGACAAAAAAAGGCTTTCGGGAAATTGAATAGATAACAAATATTCATTTGCTGGAAAAACTTTCAACTTAATAGGAAAGAAAGCTCGTGAGTAACAAGGGACATCGCTTCTATAATTATTATCTCTTAACTTGAGTATCCATGATATTAATAGCCACATTTTAGTCTAATTAATAAGAGTGCTCTATCAAAATATGTCCGAGGGAGGTGTTTATCGAACGCAATGCTAAGCTTAGGAGGGCTTTTCCGGCTTGGCAACACGGATGACCAACTTTCCTGTACCTCCCCGTCCGCTGTATACTACCTCGCAAGCCTTTCGCACAGATTCAACATCTCGAAGGTCGACAGTTGTTCCCACAACTGTTCTGAGTCTGCCATCTTCCACATACTGCCTCATTTCATCCAAGTCCTTGCCGGTAGATTCCAGAAACATGTATGAATACTCTGTCTTGTACCGACGAGCTCTGAACTTGCGAATCTGATCGAGCAGATTAAGTCCCATTCGGAAAGGAAATGGGATAATGGGCCGATGAGGCAAGTTCATGAGCGGTGAAGACTGCAGCTGATTACCAGAAGGTAAAGTTGAGACGGACACGATACGGCTAGACTCTTGTCGCATCAGACACAGATACTCCATAGCAAGGCCAACCGTATCGAAAAGAAAGTCCACCGATCCATGTTCAATGACATCTCTAGGGTCGAATTTTGTATAGTCGACAACTTGAGAATGGTTAGGACAAGTACATAGAAGAGAATACAATAGAAGATTCTTACCCTCATCGATAGTATTTTCCCCCAAAAGTTCTCTTAGTTTCGGAATTTTCGCAGTTGAGACTGTAGTGATAACCTTTCCGGCACGAAATACATGTTTTGCGAGTTGGCATGCAAACAAGCCCGTCCCGCTTACTAAGACATCATTAGCAAAAAGATCAAAAAAAGAAAATTCAGGGCCACGAACATCCAGCGGGCACAAAGACAGTTTTTCCTGCAAGATCACCACGATACTGCCGAAGAGCTTGGAGTGCTGTCATTGCTGCTAGTGGTATTGAGGCTGCCTCCTCAAAGGACAATGATGGTGGTTTAAGGCCAATATGCTCCTCCGAGCATCTTACAAATTCGCTGCATGATCCTTTTTTTCAAGTTTTAGCAAACTGAGATAGGTATCGTCGGTCAAAACTCATTCTCACCTCGGGAAACTTCAGGCAGTCTAATATAGACGGCGTCTCCAACCTTGAACTTGTGCACATCCCGTCCAGTTTCGGTAATGATACCAGCACAATCATAGCCGATTTTATACGGAAAACTATCTTTGTTATTCATTACCGCCGTGGGCACAGGTGGGAGTGTATACTTACGGGTCTTTCACTGCCAGTTTCAAAGCCCCATTGGCCCTTTTCACGTCAATCGGGTTAATGCTAGCCGCAAAAACCTTGACGATCACATCAGTCGAGTTGACGAGACCCGGCTGAGGCAACTCCGAAACCTGATATTCGGATGGTTTTGAGTAAGCTGAAATATTGAGGGACAACATTTTTATCCTGAATATTGAGAAGAACAATACAACCGGAAGGGAAAATATTTAAAGGCAAGAGTGAGTTGAATGTAGCGAGCTGGATGTAGCAAGTTGAAATAGAGTTTTAGGGCACGCGATGGGCCGAGGCACGGCGATACAATTGCGGGTCTGTCCTTAAAGTCCCCAAATCCGTCGGAGCAACAATCACTCCGACTGGAAATGGGAGAGAGATTACAATACTCGAGAATCTCGAAGGCCAATGGTCGTGTATCTGCTTCCAGATTTGTCTGACGGATGTAGCACACTAAATTTTCTGCAATGGGTTACATCCGCATTTGTTGAGAGGTTGGCGCACCAATCCAAGGAAATCTTGTCACCTTCAGGCGCTTCCCGCGCCTCACCGCCTCACAATGGAAGCTTAAGTGGACAGAAGTGGATCCCGTGTAATAAGGTTGACCAGTCAAAGGGATGTATGACACCTATATTATTCGCTCTTTATTATTCTAAGCATTTCTTTCTAGTCACAACAGCATCCTAAAGGTTTGTATTCGTATGAAAGGAAAAGCAAAACAAGGTGACATGTGACACGCAATACAAGGCGATTGCTTGCTCAGTCAAAAGTTGGAAACTGAACCTGTGAACGGAAAACATAAAGACCTGCATACGAACACATTTGGTCCATCTGCATCCCAAATTTGAAATTTCTCCCTCCTCTCGAAAGAATTTTTTTAGAACTTCAGCAAAGCCTTCCCTTTGTTTTTGCCTTCGAATATTCCGACTAGCCCTTCTGCAGCGTTCTCAATAGCCACAGTTTCGTGGATGAGACTTCTAATAGAGCCCTCTTTAATCCAGTTCTGCATGTTGTTCTGATGCTCCAAGAAATATTTTTGACCAAGCTCTGGGTCTGCGACGATGAACCCGCGCATGTAGAGGCGCTTTGTGATGATGTTGTGAAGATTTTTGATCGGGTAAGGCGCACCGCTAAAATCGGAGATCATACCACAGGCAACAATACGACCAAAATCATTCATGGCATCAAGGGAAGCTTCAAGGTGTTCGCCACCAACGTTGTCGTAATAGATGTTCAAGCCTTGTGGAGCGAGACGGGAAAGAGCCTCCTTCGGCTTTTCCTCTTTGTAGTTGAAACCGCCATCAAAACCCAGTTCGTTCATGATATAGCTCAGTTTCTCGTCAGAGCCAACACTTCCAATGACTATAAGCCCCTCGCGCTTTGCCAGCTGCGCCACAATTTGTCCCACAGCTCCACTCGCAGCCGAGATGAAAATCGTGTCGCCTTTCTTCGGTTTCCCGATTTCATACAATGAAGAGTAGGCAGTTAAACCCGGCATTCCTAAGTCGCTGAGGAACACACGGATGTCCTCTATTCCGAGAGGATTCTCTAGGGGGAGGATTTTAGAGATATTAACCTCATCTAGAGCCACATACTCCTGGAATTGGAAGTTGGCCGATAATGAGTTGGCCCTCTCGATAGGAAGCATTTTTCGACTTTAAAACCTTGCCGATTCCGAAGCTGTCGAGAGGTTTGTTAAGAATAAAGGGCAGGGAATAGGATTTTACTGTCGCTGGACGCATGCGGCCACGCATGTAAGGATCGAAACTTGAGTAAAGAGACTTGACAAAAATCCCATTTTCAGGAGCCGTGTCACTGACTGTGCCTGCAACAGGCTCAATGGTCAGGTCTATCCCGGGGATAGGGATGCCTCGGGGAACCTTTTTGAAGACCAAGGCTTTGTTGGAAGACATATTGAGGCTGTTTGGAGCGTAAGGTCGTAGGAGATAAGGACAAGTTTTATAAACAAATTTAGTCGTAAAGTGATAGAAAAATCAAAGTCGGAGCAGATTTTTCCCTATATTTTATATAGCCAGCAAGGATACGCAATAACCAGTTATGGACAAGGCCAGAGAAGAACCGAGGTACAAGGCCGTATGCTTCAGGACATCCAGTCGGATGGTTTGTAGGCACGACTGCCGACGGGACAGATTTCATGGATTGCCGTCACCCGGTGACAGAGACCATACTTCTTAGTTATTAAGCATATTGCGTGATTAAAGCCAAGTTCCCTGTAGTACGCTTTTTATGGTGGGTGTTGGGTCCACTAAAATTACTTCTGCTGTCGGCTTTCTCCTATCCATATCGACATTCTACGTAAAGGTAATTTGTCATCTTGTGTTGACGCCTTTTTGGATTCACTATCAATGAAAGGCATTTTGCAATCCGTCGAGTCAGGGAGAGTGTCCTACTTCCATATTAGTCTATTGTTGCTGAAATAAGAATATTGCACTATATATAAACTTTACAATCAAGCCTTCCGTGAGCAGTAATTTATGTTCGATATGGCAATGTATTCATGAGGGATTTAGAAATCCAGGCTCTAACAAGTTGTCACTCCCTTTTGCCTCAAACGAAAGAGTGCCTAGCGAAGTGCCGCCCAAGCCTGGAAAGCGCCAGCAGCCGCCGTAATTATTCCATTCTCCTTCAGCCCTCTCACAAGATACCAACCTGAGCTGGCCCAAGCGATAAGAGCAAGCACGGCAGCCATTGCGCGATCCAAGGGTTCCTCCAGGGCCTGTGGATTCTGCGCCCAGTGAAAATTGAGCAACGCTGTGATCCAAGTTAGTCGGGAAAGGAATTATACGACTGTATAAAGTAAATTATCCGTCAGGACCAGGTAAGCACTGCCTTGATACCATCCAGCCGTGCTGCAGGTGAACGCGATATTCGGAAGCTCTTGAAACTGATGAAGTCGGCGGAATTTACGCCCAGACAGCTATAAAAAAGGTCGGAATAATAAGCTTTCTTCCCTCGTATGGACGCCAACAGAAACTAACTGCATGCCCCATAGCGAGGAGGAAAGAGCGATATCCCGAGGCTTTGAGAAGAGTAGGGCTCGGCATTGTTCAAGCAAGTTTTCAAAATTTTGGATAGTAAATAAAGAGTGCAAGGTAATACGAAATAATGGATCGAATGCCACCAGTCTTTTATCATTCCATGTTGACTCTCCTTACCAATTAAGTTTCATGCCTCGCGAATAAGGCAGAAACTTGACTAGTCGTTGCGAGACCGGATCGGGTCAATAAACTGTCCGAGTGGGTATTGCTGTGACAAACAAATGAATATGTATGATGATGTCACGTATGATGTGTAGTGTGTAGTGGTCGTTGACGACGTTCAACCATGGCGCTATATATAATTGCGGTTGCGGGGTTTCGATTTTTCAGATCCAATTCATCGATATTTCTGCAAGACCTTGACACTGAAATTCACAGGGTGTGCCATCTCTATTCACCATGCCGCATCTGAAGCTTCGAGATGGAGCCGAGCTCTTTTACAAGGATTGGGGCAACCCGAATGGGGACATCGTGACCTTCTCACATGGTTGGCCATTGAGCAGTGACAACTGGGAGAATCAAATGGTCTTTCTGGCCGACCATGGTTATCGTGTAATTGCACACGATCGACGCGGCCACGGTCGCTCCACTCAGACTTGGGAAGGCAATAACATGGACACCTTTGTCGACGATCTCCAGGAGCTTTTCGAGCATCTGGACGTGCGCAACGCGATGATGGTGGGTCACTCGCATGGGGGCGGCGAAGTCACCCACTACCTTGGCAAACATGGTACGAGCCGCTTCAAGAAGGCCGTTCTTGTTGGCGCCGTCCCACCCCTGATGGTCAAGACCGCAGCCAACAAAGAGGGCACCGATAAGTCTGTCTTCGACTCGTTCAGACAGGCCATGCACAAAGATCGCGCTCAATTCTTCCTTGATGTCCCTAGTGGGCCGTTCTTTGGATTCAATCGGCCCGGGGCTCAGAAGAGCGAGGGCCAAATCCGCCACTGGTGGCAGCAGGGAATGAATTCTAGCTTCAAGACGACCTACGACTGCATCCGGGACTTCTCTGAGACCGATTTTACCGAGGATCTCAAGAGCATTAACATTCCCGTTCTCGTTCTGCATGGAGACGATGACCAGGTGGTTCCGTTCGAAGCGTCCGGGGCCAAGTCATCAAAGCTCTTGCCTCAGGGAAAGCTCAAGGTCTACCCGGGAGGCTCTCACGGAATCCACAACATCAACGTCGATGAAGTGAACAAAGACCTCCTCGACTTTCTGCGTTCTTAAGGAGGCACCCGAGGGAACATGAGTGCGTTGTCCGTTAACGTAGAAGCTCCAGCTACAATGGAAGGAGTTTTCTGGTCAAAAAGAGAGTTTGGTGCCTCTTAAATTGATCATCCAGTTTTGGAAGATCGATGTGCAATGATAATCTGATCGTACCTTACGGCTCGTACTGGAATATTTGTCCCAGGGGAATCGAGCGCTTCTGTACGAGTCTGGATGGACAGCGGGCACAAGAGCACTGCTGGATACTGAAACTCCTGTCACTAGTTATGAATTTGAATGATGACTTTTCAGTCACCGTAGCACCCGGGCGAAGACAGCTCTCATAAATCACGTGCGGCGAGGGGGCTACGGCTCTAGTATCCCTTGCATATCGAGAGGAAATCAATGTTACTTCCTGTAGACTCCGGATAATGATCGGCTTCCACGGTACTTATCACCGCTGTCTTCAAACTCGGCGACTAAAGGTCTTGGCGCTTTGCTCTATGGTGCTCTCGACCTGTCCGTTTCCGGCGTCCACCCACTCAGGAGGCACACTGAAGCTTGAGAGCCCCCCACTTTTCCATAATGTGGATGACCTTATTGAGATCAATGACACAGGCGAGACCGCTGTCCTCAACTAGTACAGAAAGTGTACGAATTTCTACACATGCTTTGTGCTTCGAATGATCAAGGACCCAAATATATCCGCCAGAGCTCAAACTCAGTATATTATGAGATCGACTCTCAACCAACTGCCAGACGGTCGGAAACTACGATTTACAGAAAATGGCACTTTCCAGGTTTCTGTCTTCGAGGATTTGCACTTCGCCGAAAGTATTTCTCTCCATCTCCATACAATCTGGTATGAAAGAAGTATTCTAACCAGATATTCAGATGCCACACGGGATGCCATGACGAAAGAAGTCATGGCATCTGTTCTCTCAGAGGAAAATGCACAGCTAGTGGTTCTCAACGGGGACTTGATATCCGGCGAAGCCGTGCAGAGTTCTAACTCTAGTCAATATCTTCACGATGTTGTATCCCCTCTGGTCAATACAGGAAAATTATGGGCATCGACCTATGGAAATCACGACAGTGAGGTGGCCTTGGATCCTATGAAGGATATCTATGAACAGGAGACACGATATCCAAATAGTTTGACACGGAGCATGGTTTCTGCGCCCAAGGCTGGAATCACGAATTACTATTTGCTGATCTATCCCCACAACCGCAAAACAAGTACCCCCGCACTCATCTTGTGGTTTTTTGATTCAAAAGGCGGTCATTATGCAACAGATAGTGCGACAGACGGCAGCTCAGTCGCAAGGGAAGATTGGGTCAATGAAGATGTAAATTTCTTCCCGTGAAATTTTCTTAGGCGTTCTGACTAACGCACGAAAAGGTTGTTGAATGGTTCACGGAAACAAACGCGAATTTGACAGCCACGTATGGTCAAGTCATTCTATCGCTTGCATTCGTTCACATTCCCACCCATGCTATGCTTAAATACCAAGAAGAAGGTGTAGACTCAAACACAACTCCGGGAATCAATGGTGAAAGTGTGATGTCGCAAGGTTCCGGGGACAATGACTATATGGGACAAGATCAACTATTCATGCAGGCTCTTCTTAATACCAGCGGGCTAGTGGCTACTTTCAGTGGCCATGATCACGAAAATGACTGGTATGAGCCTCTTAAGGCCTATATTGTGTCTTGGTTCAATTGCTGATTGCAGTAGGTGCTTTAAATGGGACGGTCGGGTCATTGATCAGAATCTGACTGGAAATGGGATTAATATGTGCTATGGTCGGCACACCGGATACGGAGGATATGGTGATGCTACCCGTGGTGGACGTCAAATCTTCCTGAGTCAAGAAACCATGAAAGATGAAGTCAAAACGTGGGTTCGGTTGGTGGACGGTACCATTTCAGCGCCAGTCACGTTAAACGCGACGTATAACCAAGATCGATATATGACCGTGCTAAGGAGAGCCCTAGAAACTTCGGGAGGCCCTAGTGTCTGTGACCGAACAGCTTTACTTCTGCTTGTCTATCTTTGGCTTCCAATATTGTCACTTGTGTACTGGAGACGTTGAAATGCACACCTGATTCTTGATCCAAATTTTAGACTAATTAGTATCGAAAGTCTTTCTCGCTATTATCAAAACTGAAAGATATGTTGTATATTTGTTAAAAAATTGTAGGCGATGAAAGATTTATTGTCCTGGCGTAAAATTATTACTCTTTCACTCTCGGATGGACAAATTGGGTTACTGATTTGAAGGACAAACCTCTCCATTCGCTTACAACTATAGCTATGTCAATGGTATTGAGTTATTCTCGCTATATCAATGCGAAAAATTCCCCTGGTTAATCATGAACAAGGACCAAGCGGTAATAGCTAAGTTGAAAGAGAAGTATCAAAAACGCTGCGGATACAATCTCTCCTAAAATACTTTGAGCCGCATAATCATAGTCAACATAATCAACTATTCGTTATCAAAAGACTTTTAACGAAGACAGTGAAGCAAGGTCATTGCAAAATGGGAAAATCGGGAGCAGAGAGGACATTCCAACCCATTTTAAAACTCGGGTTTCTGAATAGTGTCTTCCAGACTAGATAGCCACGGAACACGATACTTCGTGTACAGTTCCATCCCTGGTCTTACCTGCTTAAGTATATCGGGTTCGTCAATAGTCCCCATTTGGACAATAGCTAGTCCAGCAAAAGTCTCGCGATCGGCTGTTTTGTAAATAGCACCTCCGCAATTGCCACAGAAGTTGACTGTTAGTTTCATGCCACTCTCATGAATTTGAGTGCATTGCTTGGGAGAACCGACGGTGACATGAACTTTATCTTCGGGAATCAACAGGTTGACCGTGTGAGTACCACCACTGATCTTTTTACAGGACAAGCAGTGGCACATAGCCTATATGAAACTTAAGACATAGTACCTAAACAGGTGAGTAGGTGATCAATCTTCTTACCACACCCTGAGGCTCTCCCGTAAACTCATATTCGAGTTTGTGGCAAAAACAGGATCCTGAAGGCATTATGGCGTTGTTAAGATATATTTGAAGTAAGCCGACTGTTCAGTTCATGGCTGTGAGAGGACCATAATAATAAAAGTCGAGAACGGGGCCTAGCCATTTTATACTTCACCTGAGCTACGTCATCGGATTGTTTGAGTTTTTGTGGCACATTACATGACAACCACATGATCAGTGAGCCTCAAGTCAGTATTGCAGTCCTTGATTGGCTGGCTAATTTATAATATCTACTTGTTGTAACAAGATTGTTTCATTCCGTAATTCCCAGTCACGGCGCTCGCGCCAAACTCTATAAACCTGGCCAGGAAATCTCAGGATACGCTTTTATGGTGCAGACGGAAGAACAAGTCCAGAAGCTTGCTCGTTATGACGAATGCATATGAAGAAGCACGTCGCCTAATATATTTTACTAATGAGGAAGAATCCGCGGAAGCGTTAGGCAAGACATTCATGTACGCTGGAGATGCAAACGCCTTATTGGATCAACAATTCGACCGCAAATTTTGGGTGTACCAGGTGGCTGGAACGCTAGGTTGATTGATTTGACTAGACCAATTCTCTGTTCTGCTGTTTGATGCATTTGTTGAACATCTAAACTCACGAAATGCCACCTGAGAACTGAAATTATCTAGGGTGCGAGCACAGTGAACACTTCGCACGGCATCAGGAATTTCTCGGTTCATGGATATTGAGGTAAGTGGGAGTGAGGCGATGTGAAGCAATGTATGACCCAAAGCCGTCGTGCCTGCGCTGGAGGGTGGCATAGGAAGAAAGGATAGCAGTTCAGGGTCATGGCGAGCAACTGCCACATGAAGTAGATGAATTTCGAAGATAGGAGTGCGGAGATTTAGGTCTATATCCGGATGCGCGAGAAGATGTTTCATACAGGCCCGGATATTCGGATCATTTGGATCGCATCGACCCAGTGCAAAGGTCAGCGGCGGAAAGGCAACTGTGGGAGCTACCATTGCCCAATAATTGGGAGAATAGTGATATGTAATGAGTAGCCATTCAAGCATAGCGTGTTGGCCATTTTCAATGGCTTCGTGGACAGGAGACATGATGCTTAGTGATGGTGGCTTAGTATCATGGAAGTTGGCTTGGCCGGAAACGCCGATCCAGGCAGATGAGTCTGTCTGGGCTTCGCGAACCAGCGCGAAGAGATCCTAAAAGCCCAGGCTAGCAGCCACTTCTAAAGCTGTGTTGCTTTTGTTCATCCTCAGTCGCAGGCCTGGGACATTTGGCTCAGTCCAAAATCGGGGAAAGCTGGTGCGCCGCTCATCCAGTTCGGCTTGTGTCAACGGCTGTGTCTGCTTGGTGATTCCCTTGCTCTCTGCAACTTCTAGAATGTGCAGTCGTGAAGGGCACAGGCCAAAACTCGACACGTCCACTTTGGCGTCTCGGCCACGTGCGAACCTAGCAGAGTAGTCAGATAAATCCCGAATGTGGATGCCTGTGGGATCTGCACCACGGGCCAGAAGCATCCGAACATTTTCTGATGAATTAACGCGAATTGCAGCAGTGAGCGGAGATTCGTAGGTGCCCATGTTGCTGCCACTGATATTTGCATTGGGAGAGCACGCTGCTAGTTCATGAAGTCTCTTTTATGGTAATCCAACAGAGCACGAAGGACGGCTGGATTGGGATTACCGGCAGCCCGAATGGATGCAGACTCTTCAGAAAGCACCTTCGCGATATCTCGTCAACTGACCCAGTTGAGCTCCTGTGAATGTTTGCTCCGTTGCCAAGTCCTCGTGCAGATAAAGTGGTCATAATACTTAGCCGCTAATCACGAATTAGCTGTTATAGGTATTCTAAAGTACTAAATCGACACATGCGACCATAGGGTGTGGAGAACAGGGCTTCCCGTCCGCTCAGCCGTACTTAAGCCACACGCCGGCCAGTTAGTAGTTGGGTGGGTGACCACCAGCGAATCCTGGCTGTTGCATGTATGTTTTCTTTTTTTTTTTTTTTGCTGCTTGAGCCATGTACCCTACACGGCCATGTCTCAATGCTCCCTCGGTACCTTTGCTATTGAAAATGGCTACGCGAGTTTCTTTTGGTTGTTGGGTGATATGGGTGAGAAGTTTGGACAACGAGGTGAGAGGTAGAAACTCCGCACCTCGGGCGATGGGGGCCTTTCCCCTCTAAGCCAGTGACTTTTTGGAATGGACTCTTCAGCGAACTGCACCTCTAGGGTGGATGGATATTGGTCAATATTGTTAGTCGGTCTAAGTTCGCGCAACGACTGAACGCGGAGACTAGTGGAAGCTATTCCCACCATCTGAAACTATCCCAAGTGTGGGAAGACAAAATCGGTCGACATTCTAATGTAAATAACGGCATATTTGTCAGATATGTATGAGAGGCGTCGATCGCCTCTTTCAACGAAGTGCCGCAATGCAAATTTCACTCTATTCTATCATGATTACTCTTTGCATACCATCTTTTTAAGCGGCTAGTTAACACCCCACCTCTTGTACATCATGTCGTAGATCTGGAGGTCCTGCTTGGCGTCCTCTACCGACGTCTTGATGGCCTTGCCGTTGGCAAAGGCCTCATACAGCTCCTGGAGCTCAGCTGTGTACGCGTCCTCGTACGACGACACCATGGTACGTCGTTGAATCTCGCCCTGCTCATTAAGCTCCTCCACCTCGACGTAAATGGGCAGACCCTTGACGTACGGACTGTCGTACTGCAATGTGGGTCAGCTTCTGCTCCCAGGCAGATTGTGTGGCATGCACTAACCTTGATGGTCACTCTCTTCTCGGCGCCATAGACGGTGATGTGGGCGTCAAAGATGGGAACCTCGTCAATACCGCTCTCGTAGGTGGTGGAGTAGACCGAGCCGTCCTGGTTGCGGAACGTCATGATAGCGCTGTAAAAGGGGTCGTTGACGGACACGCCGTCGATCTTTTCGGGGAAGCCCAGGGTCTCGCGCATGAGGGAGATATCGTGGGAGCCTAAGCTGCCGAGGAAGCAGCAGTACCGCTTCATCTCGTCGGTGATCTCCTGGTTCGGAAACGCTTCCGCGAAGAGAGCGGCCAAACGCGTGGTGCGCTCCTTGCTAGCGCTGGGAGGGCAGTCGGGGTTCTTGACCTGGAAGGTGCCACTCTGATTCACAAACTGTGCATTGGGTCCGCTGAAGTCGCGGACGCGGGCGTAGAGGATCTTGGGGATGGTAGCAATCTCGCGCTTAAAGGCCTGAAGGTAGCTCGGGGCATAGCGGCGCATATAGCCCACGAAGACGCGGGCTCCGTCGGGCGCCTCCTTCTCGGCATCGATGATGGACTGTATTGAGGGCAGGGACAAGGAGACGGGCTTCTCGATGAAGACGCTCTTGCCGGTCTTGAGGCTTGCAAGGGCTAGCGGCGCGTGGCTGTCATCGGAGGTGAGGATGAAGACCACCTCTACGTTCAGTTGATCGATTACCTCCTGCGGCGTGGTGGTCTTATGGGGCACGAAGAACTTGGCTGCGCAGTGGTCAACCGTGTTGGCTGACAAGTCGCAGATGGATTCGATCTTGAAGAGATGCGAGAGCAGCAGCAGACAGGGACCGTGGCACACTTGGAAAACCTCCTGAAGCAGTTTTGTTAGCCCTTGTTGAAGCTTCGAGACTCAGATGTCCTCCAAAGTGAGCTTATTTCGTGACTTACACCGGCCCCAATGATCCCTACTCCCAACCTGCGGGGTGAAGACATCCTGGCACTCATTCTTTTCGTTTCTTTTTTTAATTGTTTTGCTCACTCTTCCACAGTCTGGAAACTTTCTCAAAGCCAAGGGGAATGTAGTCAAAAGAGTGAATGGACCAAGTTCGGATTTCGAAGAGGGACAGGAGAGAAAATATGGCAAGGACAGCGCGGAACAAGACGAGCTATTTGAAGTGGGTGCGTCATCGGGATCTATCCCACTCGTGGGCTTGGGGGTAAACGACTAGCGCGTCGGAATGGAATGGGGCCACGCGAAGCCCCACCGCGTGGGGAGGTCGGGAGCTAGCTACTGTAGTTTGAGGTATTTCCGCTCGAAGCATCGCGACAGCGGAGTCCATGCCGACCCCAGGATACATCTCCACCTCTTCCCCCACAAATATCAAATGGAGAATTTACGGCCATGCAAGACTGGGGTACAAACCCAATGATCTGACACAGCCGCAGACACCGATACACATACCTACATACCACAATTTTCATTCTAGAACTATTGAACTAGATATTACACGGCAATGGCTGGGGGTCACAATAGCTCCGTGGGAGCCGCTCCCGAGCTGCTGCAGCAGGCCGGGGGCAAGTGCACCGGCCTCCGCACCTTATGATCCAATATTAGCGTCCTCTTCATTGCTCTCTTGCTTCTTTTGTAAGTTCCATCCTCTAAAGGTACAGCGATCTGTCTCTGACTCTCGATCCGTCAAATCGGCCTTCTCTATGGGTACCAGAAGGGTGTGCTCAGTCAGGCTCTCGTCATGTTGAGCTTCCACAAGTCGTTCCCGGATATTGCTAACAGCTCGGGCGCCCAGGACTGGTTGACCTCGATTCTCCCTCGGCGGTTGGGTGGGAGCGCTCTCGGCTGGCGTCTTATGCAAAGTCTTCTCCCGCAAGCACACCATTTTCGGCGGCTCCATCTGGGTTACTCTCGGTTCCTACCTGACAGCAGGGGCGCGCAGTACAGGCTTCCTGTACGCCGGTCACGTTTTCACGGGCCTGGGTGTCGGCACTCTATCGGCCACAGGGTGAGAATTCAGGTCACTGAAGGCTCGTACGGGTTCTGTTCTGACTTCATCCCGGCAGACCTCTTTACAATGCTGAACTGGCATCCCCGGATTCGCGGCCTGTGGAAAAGCACCAATTGTTTTTAACTTTATTATCAAGATCTGCACTCGGCGGTTAAGTTTCCTAGTTCGATGTCTGCCGCCGCCCCGCGGGCCTCCTAATAGAGCGGGCCCCCGTGGGGAAATCACAGTCCTGGATTTCACTGTTGACGCGAGCTGTGGGACGTAGGCCAGGGCGTACACTGGTACCATGTGGCGTGTCAGAAAGCGGCGTGGGTGCGACAAGGTTGTTTACCGACGTCGGAAGCATTACCATTTCCGGCAGTTATCGGGGACGGTGACTGTGGTTTGATTTGTTGAGTGTTTACGGACGGCCCGAATTAGAGCAACCCGCCGATTCCCAGAGGAAGCCCGAAGATGCAAGCGCGACAATTCCACGTACATAATTTGCGTGACGTAGACTACTCCTTGGAGCCACTCCGCATCAGAGTTCAGCAAATGCCCTACCGGCACGGCAACCTTCTTTACTGGGCTCAGCCGCCGTTATCCACCGTCGGAGTATTGCCAAATTTGGATAGGAACCAATTCTTGACGGCAGCTGGATTCTACACCGTAATCGCTGGGAAAGAGAGTATATAAGTCCGGGGTAGAAGCAAGACCTTGACTAGTTGCAGTGTAAGGCACATCCTACCGCAAGCTGTGCAAATTCCCAACATAACACCGCAAATTGCTCCCGAGTCCCATCATGAACAGACTTGTTGCACCGAAATGTTCCAAATGCCCTACCTTCCTTGCGGGAAGGTGCTCGGGAACACCCAAACGGCTCTTCGCAACTGAAGCATCTCCGCTCACTCGAAAAGACAAGCAGGAGGGCGATATATCCTCTGTGTTCTCAACTTTCTCTGGCAGAAAGAGCGCGCCACTGCCCGACCATTTCCGGGAGTTGAAGCGTAACCTGACCACCGGGTTCGAAGAGGAGATTCAAAAGTCGTGGGATGACCTAGTTGAGACTCTGAAAGTACGGACTGAAGAAGTCGCCTCCAAGCGAGAGTCGGTATGTTCATTGCATCTATCTAATTGATAGCCACATACTAAAAGGAGCAGATCATTCCTCAATTGAAGTTTTCCGATATCCAAGCTGGTAATGTATCTCCGGCGAATGTTGAAGCCATTCGACGCACCGGTGTTGCCGTCATCAGAGGGGTCGTGCCGCCAGGTGTCGCTGAGGGGCTCCTCTCCGACGTTCGTCAATACTTTGATGCGCGCCCTTTCAAAGGCTTCCCGTCTGATGCGGAGAAGAAGGTAATCATTGGATTTCAATTTGGTTCGAGCTTATACTGACTTGAATCAGATTATTTACGAATCATATTGGAGTCCTTCTCAAGTGAAGGCGAGGTCGCACCCCAATATGCTCGCCACGCAATCGTGGATGAATCAACTATATTCTGCCGATGCAGATCAAAAGAGTAATCAATACTGCAATTGATGAAACCTAGGGCTTAGCTAACGTGGTCTAGTTGATCTCTCGGTCCCGCTCAGTTACTGTGACCGTGTCCAAATCCGCCCACCTGGCGATAAACAGTTTGGGCTTCCGCCTCACGTCGATGGTGGAGGAGTCGAGAGATGGGAGGACCGCTCTTATAACCATGTCTATCGCAAGATCTTCCAAGGAAAGGTAAGGCAGAGTAAGCTATGTTATTTATCAGCATAAACAACTAATATCTCGACAGTGGCGGGAGTATGACCCATGGGACCTGACTGGCCGCCTTGATGCCAACATGAATATGTATGAAGGGCCAGGAGGTTGCTCTGTCTTCCGAACATTCCAAAGCTGGCTCGGGTTATCTCGCCATGGGCCTCAGCAAGGTGAGTTGGTCATGGGTATAAGACTCGCTCAACGCTGATCGCTCGACATATCAGGTACTCTTGTCGTTCATCCCATCTTGCAGCCCACCACTGCGTATTGGATGCTTCGACCGTTTTTCAAGCCTACTCGAAAGGGCTCTTTGGACGGATGGAAGTTTTCTCTTGATGATGAAGAAGGCGATGTTTATCTGCATGGTGCCAATCCGGGAACTGCCCAAGAGCATACCCCAGACCACCATCCTCATCTAATGCTCAACGAAACCATGATCCCCTATCCTACCGTTGAACCAGGTGACACCGGTAAGGCTATCACTTAGTTAATAAACCGGATGACGCTAATGTTTATAGTATTCTGGAGCGCTGATACCATTCACGGTACGGAGAGTGAGAACACAGGAGACGTTGATGCTTGTGTGTTCTATATTCCATCGGTTCCACTGACCCCTAGCAATGCGGTGAGTTGATTGTCCATGATGCTGTGTATGTGTACTTTTGACTAATGATCACATAGCAATACATCACGCAGCAACGCGATGCTTTCTTGAAGGGCGTTCCTCCACCAGACTTCCCGGGTGGGCTTGGCGAGTCTCAGTTCTCTGATAGAGGACAAATTGGAGACATCCAATCTGAAGCTGGCAAAATGGCTATGGGCCTGAGTCCTATCAAGGTCAATGGAAAGAATGAGAAACTTGCGCACGAAATCAACGGAATTTTAGGCTACTGAGGGCGTTTGTATCGGGGAGGTGTCTCTGCGCAATGGAAATATCTTAATTTGCTATCAATCAATCAATAAAAGTTCAATTAACCTAAAGTAACTCAACTAATGGTGTCGGGCTATGAGGTCGTCTTGCCAGAGTCCAAGGTGACCATCGCTGAGGGGACTGTTCTTGGATAGGCCACCACACGGACCGACGAAGTAGCGATTCTGCTTATACCGACGCACATTCGACCTTTGTATTTCGTCTGATATGTAATTTGTTCTCGCCGTTTCTGGGTTGTTCAAGGCAACAAGAATTTCTATAAAATGGCCTGCGGCTTTAAGGTGTCATCATACCGTTTTTTAAATACCCGACCACTGGTATGGCAGTTCAACGGGGCGATGTTTCATAAAAATGCTCTAGTGGTGGCTCCTCGAATAACCAGAGCTGACCAAGTGGCCAAAGGAATTGCCAAATTCTATCTGTGACAAGATTTGCGACCGAGGTAAGTCTACTCGCCCGAGTCGTAGAATGCTCGCATCTCTCGCCACTACCGCCGCTGCCCGTTCCATTGGGCGGGTGCATTTCCCAATGCGGTATGTCCCGCCACCGCCGTTGCTGTAGGTATGAATACTTTAACTCAGCGATACCCAGCATTGAAACGATAACTGACGAATTTAAACACCGGAGCAAACATCTCTTACTGAAATGACTCAACTATCACCCGAGACCAGCAATATGACCGCAACACACGTATTCGCAAGCGTATTGCTCGATTTCGACGGTACCATCATCAACTCGACGGAAGGTGTGTATTCTTCAACTACGAATACATATGTATGCTCGTTAATGGCTAACATCTCAATTCAATAGCCATCGTTGCAAACTGGCAGAGGTTGGTTAATGCTTCCACGCATAAAGTTTCATGGAGACAGACTAAGAAATAATTAATAGAGTGGCTTCAGAGCTAGGCATTGATTATAAGCTCATTCTGGAGACTTCACATGGAAGGCGAAGCATTGATGTCTTTAAGGAGCTTGATCCTAGCAAGGCAAACTGGAACTGTGGGTTTCCCCATTACTTCTTGTGTACTCTGTGCATACTAAACGGAATGCGATAAAGACGTTAGCGCTATGGAGGCTAAGATCCCGCTTCTTGGAAGTAGCCCCGCCATTGAAATCCCCGGTGCTCGGTCTCTTCTGGAGTCTCTTGAAAAGGACCATGTGCCCTACGCAATTGTGACATCAGGTACCAAGGCACTGCTGAACGGTTGGCTGAAAGTGCTCGGGTTACCACGTCCTCAAGAAGTAACAGTTGCCGAGGACGTGAAAGTCGGCAAACCGGATCCGGAAGGCTATCTCAAGGCCCGATACAGATTGTGTGAGAGGTCACAGGCAGATCCAAGTATGGACGTCTTGGTTATGGAAGACGCTCCTGCTGGTGTGAAAGCGGGAAAAGCAGCTGGATGCAAGGTCCTCGCTGTGACAACAACACACACAGTCAGTGAACTGAAGGCAGCTGGCGCAGACTGGGTGGTTCCAGACCACAGATCGGTTGAATTCAAGAAGAAAGAAGGTCTCCAGAGCGCATTTGAATTTACTTTCCACAACCTCTCATAAGCTGCATTGGCCTGTCAAATGGAGGAAGTCATCCATGCGTTGTACGCGTCTTAAGACAAGTTACTGCCGTGTTTCATTTTCAAATAAAAAAATACATTCTTATGTAAATCTCTCTTTGGAAACTGTAATTCTACCGCTTCAGATTTCAACGTCATTCTACTGTAGAACATGGATGGAAGCCCCGGCATTAGGACGCGGCGTGGTTTCCCGTTTAGGATTTATTCTGCTCCGCTACATACGTCATAGGTAGTAGATGCTAGAAGATGGTGGATTATAATCAAGAGAAAATTTAACGTAAGAAAAATGATCTAACATAAGAGGGAAACTCTTAAAGTAAGGGCTGCAACCGGGACCCTTTAGAACGTGCAAATCGCTAGTCTGAAGACCTGAGCACAGCTAGACGCTCCAACGGTATACCTATATTTAAACTACCTCGGTTAGCTAATCTTGAGATCATGCCGCAGGTACGTTCTGAGGTTCCAGAAGTTGGAAGCGAAATATATAATCCCCTTAGTCTTTCATTCTTTCATTCTCCGTTGACTTTTAGGATGAAAGTACATGGTAGTAACCCTGAATGCGTAATGTACAGATTCTTCATGTAGAACAATATACACAGTAGATACACTAGAGAATGACAAAATGAGGCAATTAGAAGCCCAGTATTTCGTTGGCCTTCTTCAAGACACGGCGCTGTCCAAAGTTGAGGTTCTCTTCCTCAGCGTTCCACTCGCCAAAGCCAAACGCGCGCATTCCCTGGTCATTTGTGTAGGATTGGAGATCCTTCAAATTGGCCCGGCCGACGTGCTTACTTTCACCTATACCGCCGGGGAAGTCAGGGGGAGGAACACCCTCAATGAAATCAGATCTCTGACGCTTAACATATTCCACGTTTGCTTCTGTGACAGGGCAGGCGGGAATGTACATCACGCTCGAGTCTCCAGTACCATTGTGTACCTTGTCGACAGCGTGGATTGCTATTGGGATAGTCAGTAAAAGATGAAAAAAAAAAAAAATGGTAAGAAAGAAAAGCTTACAATCGCAATGCCAGGCAACGTAATCACCGGGTGCAATCTTAGGAACATGCACCATAGTCTTCTGCAACTCAAGATGAGGGTGGAGAACCGAGTTCAGCTCCTGGGCATATCCTGGGGTGGCACCCTGTAGCTTGCTAGTGGGGGAATCCTCGAGCTGCCAGTTTGTAGGCTCCAAGAATGTATCCATCGCAATCCGAGAGCACCCATCTTCAGGGCGTTTCGTGGTATGGTGGAAGAAAGGACGTAGGAGCGTATAGGCAGTAGCCATGGACAAAAGAGGGTTGACAAGTAGTGTTCCCTCGTTCGGCCCTGTATGAGACAAGCTCAGCCATCCTTGGAACATTCGGAACATAGAGCAAGCCCCAGATCCGTTATAGAGGTCTGCAACTGCGGGCACACGGCAGCTAGCTTCCCAGGGGTTGTATTCCTCCCAGCGACCCTCGAAGATTCGTTCGTAAACTTGGCCCAAGCCGTATCCCTTGTCCTCCCAGCGTTCACAACTTCCACCGTCAATATGAGGTCCCAAGGCGAAGCCGGCATCGCCGGGCTGACGAATGCGAAGGCGATCTGCATAGGTGAGAGGATGGAGAGGGGAAATCAAAGCATCCGATGCAGACGAATGCCAGAAACTCATCAGGAATCGCTGTGTCTCTAGCATATTGGCATGGGAGCGAGCTCGTACTTGTTGCTTGGACCAGTACAGCTCAAAAACCTGGGGATCATCGGGTGGGAAGGCTGTTCGAATTAGTATGGTCTCGATTGTAATCGAGGGCAGGAAATAACAAACCTTTTGTGCCAGGGTTGGCCCGCACGTAGGCTTCGATATCTTCTTTGTAGCCCCTCGCCTCGGCCTCTGGGATCACACCGCGGATGACTGCAACTCCACGCTTCTTAAGCTCCTCGTGAAAAGATCTCGGGGCGGCATGGATATCTTTGAAGTCGATACTAGGGATGATGTCTGGCCCACGCTCCTCGATGGTGCGGACTTCGTCTCTCAGCTTGCAGAGTAGGCGATCCCAGCTTCGTTTTAGCTGGTCGCCTCGGTCTGCAATCAATCTCCTTTTTTGCTCCGCAAAACGTTCATCGAGTGGTGCGGCTTCTCCCTTGCTGGACAACGAGACAAAAACGGAAGAAATATCTCCTTCCTTCCGGGGAGTTTGGGTAGATGTAGAAAGACAATTCGAATTCGCAAGATATCTTTTGCGAAGAGCTGAATGCGCAAGTCGGCTGGGCAAACCACCTTTTGGTTTAGCAATGAACATGATGGACTGAATGAGTTGATAATGTGTTGGGAATTTTATAGGTTGAGGGTATGAGAGAGCAGTGATGTTTGATGCTTGAAAATCCAGGGGGCATTCGGTGAGCTTTATGTGCTCTATAAAAATCCCATTTTTGCCTCACGGCACAATCTTTGCCGTCCATAACCTGCTCAGAGAGGTCACTAAACCCCGAATTTCCTAATTGGGTTCTCCCGCCCGCTCTAAATGACGCCCAAGTTGTCGGGTAGATTACCGGAAAGGGAGAGGACCGATGGCGGGGACGAGGCATTACTTCAAGTTTTGTGAGTTTATTATTATTCATTTGCCAATGTTTTTCCCGTATCAGACGGAAGTCTGTCCGTAGCCACTGCCGATTATAATTTCTCAAGTCGTATGACATCCCAGGTGCATGTGGCGGAGACTGAAGCTGCTTCCGGGCAGCTCGCATCCCTAGACTGCACCCGATTTACACCTCTCACTATATCTCTCTCTTTCTTCTGTAAATATTCAAGCTCTTCAAGAATGGTAGGCATCTACGTATAAAGTACGCTCTTTTGCTATTCACCTGCTGGCGAACAATGAGTCTATGTCGGGTACGTCTAGATCTGCACTGGATACGTGAACCAGCATCTAGTGTAAAGGGGTAACTGAATTTGACTGGAATCACGCGGCCGCCTCTTGGCACAACGTGAAGAAGTCCAAGAGCCCGCGGGACGGAGACGCAACGATTACACAATACATGGCCGAAGGAAAGGAAGCAAGTAGTGTGTTGTAGGAAGGAATTGTTTCAGCAGGGGCGGCGTCATCTATCTCCTTTCGTAGCTCAGAAACAGCAGCCCGGATGACGGTATAGCAGGAAAATGGTATTGGTCATAGCAGTGGTAGTTGTATCAGTCCTGCGTTCATCATAACACTGGCCTCGGCGAGCATCTCGCCAAATTATAGCCTGGTGTATTTCGTCTTGTTTATCCTCAAGTAGCTTGGGCATGACATCACCTAGCTCTGGGTCCTAACTCTTCAACCTCTTATTGGCAGAGTAGTAAATCAAATGCTTGCCTGTCTTTTCTCTTAAATTTTCTCGCATTGCGTGGTACTACACATGTAGGGATAGTCAAAGTCGACCTTAGCGCTGTGGAATAATCGCCTTTAGACTTTTCTCGAAGAAAGGTTTCGGAAATTGGTCCTCTACACACTGAAAAAGACGCAATTAGAGTTCCAGATGAAGACCTATGAAATCGTGAGGATGGCGGGAAGATGTCCGTGTTAGGTGTTGCCGCTTCCAGGCTAACTTGAAGGAGAAATCCATCCGCTCCGACTAGTAGCACGAATGATGTCGCCAATGATTATGGGAGCTTGCTTGCTCACGGCCACCCACAAAACACATCAGAGAACCGAATACTTTTGCTGGGAAAGAGGGGAAGTGTGGGACCCCAGAAAGGCTAAGAAAGTTGCTCTCAAACCACAGTCCCCAGGATGTGAAAGGGGAAGTATATAAACTTCCATTTCCGCGGCCTTTTTCGCTGGCAAGAACCACTACTGCTTCTCAGGCTGCCTCAATCGCGCTGCTGTGCCGACTTGCCCTCCAAGGTTTTTTTATTATTTCCACTCCCTCAAAGCCCTAAGACGAAGAAAGCTTCGATATGTCCCCCAAGGACTCTTCCAAAAAGCTATATTTTGGCCTAACGGGAGGATGGCTCACCTTTTGGATCACTATCGCGTGTGCCACAGACATGACCCTTTTTGGGTATGATCAGGGTGTCTTTGGTACGGCTCTGAACTACTAAAACTCTCTGTGAATTTATCATACTGACTTTATACAGGCGGTGTGATTGTGACAGATGATTTCCTTGATGTTTTGGATCTCAATGGAAAGACTTCGATGATCTCAACTATCACTGCCTTATACGATGTTGGATGTTTCTTTGGTGCCATTGCCTCTATGGTCATGGGAGAGAGGCTTGGCCGAAAGAAGACCATTCTATTGGGAACAATCATCATGTCTATCGGCGCCATCCTTCAGATCACCGCCTATGGTATCCCTCAGATGATCGTTGGTCGAGTTGTTGCTGGAATAGGCAACGGTATCAACACGGCCACTGCACCGGTGTGGCAAGGTGAAACGTCGCAAGTCAAGTGGAGAGGTAAACTGGTAGTGATCGAGCTGATCATGTGTATTGCGGGCTACTCTCTCTCCACCTGGATGACATTTGCTTTCTCCTTCCTCAGTGGACCAGTCGCTTGGCGATTTCCTTTGGCCTTTCAGTTTGTCTTCATTTTTATCATCTTTGGCACTGTGCCCTGGCTTCCCGAATCTCCTCGCTGGTTGATTTCCCACGACCGCCTCGAAGAAGCCCAGTCGATTGTTGCAGACATTGAGGGCCTCGATATCAACGACCCCTATGTCATTACGCAGCACACCTCTATCACTGCTGCAGTTCAATATGAGCGAGACCACAGTGTTACCTGGAGCCAGCTCCTCCGTGGTCAAACAGGAGACCAGAGAGGGACCGGGGCTATCCGCCGACTCATTCTAGGAGCTGGTGCCCAGGCTATCCAGCAGTTGGCTGGAATCAATGTGACTTCATACTACCTAACCACGGTCCTGATTGACTCAGTTGGACTTTCTAACCGTCTTGCGCGCCTGCTCACTGCATGCAATTCGATCTCCTACCTTTTGGCGGGCCTTTTTGCTATCCCTAACGTTGAGCGATGGGGTCGGCGCCAGCTGTTGATGATTTGCTCTTTGGGTCAAGGCGTGTGCTATCTCCTCATTACTGTGTTAATTTATTTCACCGGGAAGGAGGGATACGCTCACCAGAAGGAAGTGGCTTCCGCCTCGGTCGCCTTTTTCTTTTGCTACTACCTTTTCTTCGGTTGTGGTTTCCAGGGGATTCCGTGGCTCCTGCCTGTTGAGTTGAACTCGCTCAGCATGCGAACCAAAGGAGCTGCTATCGCTACCGCCACGAACTGGGCCTTCAACTTCATGGTAGTAGAGATAACGCCCATTGGAATCAAGTCACTGGGCTGGAGGTTCTACATCATTTGGACTATTTTCAATTTCAGCTTTGTGCCGGTTATCTACTTCTTTTATCCGGAGACCGCAAATCGCTCGTTGGAGGACATCGATCGGTTCTTTATCGAGAACGTTAGTCTACTTGTCAACAACAACCCTGACGCTACCTCTACCAAGCGTCCCTCCCGTTACGTTGAGCTTGAGCAGGATATGATGACCCGTAACTTATCGATCTCCGAGGGAAAGGCTGACATTACCCACATGGAAACGGTTGAGGAGCCCAAGTCTGCGGTTTAATACTCGTTGGATGGTTTGTTGAATGAATCGAATTCGATTATCTGGTTCTGAATTGTTCTATCAGAATGGAAATCTTGTTTATATTGTTACAAGTCTGCTGCTCCTTACGCATTGTTCACGCATTTTGTTTCAAGGAGCAGATCTCTGAGCCCTCAGGTGATAATTGTCAAGCTGCTGAAATACATATGAACTACATGTACCCACCGAGCAGAATATCTCATCCTTTGGCAAATTGAGGATTGCATCAAGGTTTATTATCATGATAACTATCAAGGAGATAAGTAGTGGAATCCTTTGACAAAGTACATATGAAGTTTAAGATACATGGTTTCAATCTAGAATCTCAGAGTATATACGCAATGTCGCCCACCACACCAAGCTATACCCCAGTTTCTCCCAAGTGCACAAATCATCCTTTATCCGAACAATGACAGCTATCCCCGCGATCCTCATAGAAGCTTCTAGATGTTGGAGGTTGCCCAGGTGATACCTAGTGAAGTGGAAAACCTGCCCGCGAATCAGGTATTTGACTAGGGGAGACTCGGACCTACTAGAGAGGAATCACCTAGCGGGGTTGAAGAAGAAAGGCTTGATTTATGAAACTGATATATAAGCACACCTAACATCTCGTCTTACACCACTGCGCTAGGTAAGAATTTCTGGCTGATCCCAGGAGCCTTTGGAATATTCTCATCTGCAGATAACGGAGCATCTCCCGTTGGTTTGCCATTGATAATTGTCGGGTGTGGCGCTATGCCTCCAGGACTGCAAATTCTTTCATGCCATCGGATGGGCTCACGGGCACTGAGGGCCCGGCGACATGCTTCAACATTGGCTCTTGCAATACGTCGAGCTGTCAAGACTTTGCTATTTTGCATGGTCTTGTACGTTGCAGAGAGGCAGACAGCGATTGGGTAGGAGACCATTGGCAATGAGAGCAGACTAGACCCATGGCGGGAGTTGATGGTTGACACAATCTGGATTATTGATAGCTCCTGCTGTATCCGCGTAGAACTGTCAATATCTGCTCCCCTGGGTCCGGCACAAGCCAGAATAGAAATTCCATGGTAAAGCAACTCAAGAGAGACTGATCACATATGATTAGTTAGTGAAGAGCCTTGAATGGAAATTGAGATAGTGGAGAGATAGAAGAGAGAGGTCGGGGGATTTGAATGTACAACTCACTTAATTCTTTTGCCGGTGTCTTGTAAGCCTTGGCCTTTCCAACAATATCTTCGAACGAAGGGAAAGCAGAAGTTTTTCTCTCCATTTGCAGCCTGGACACCGATTTGCGGAGAGTCATTACCTGGTCCAAGGCGGCAGCCAGCTGGAGCCAAATCCGAAAAGTCCCACCATCACATCGGACTATCTCTCTCATATCTAAATCCATGTCTTGGTTATCGATCAGTACTGGTCCACCTTTCATGGCAGAATTCCATCGGTCCAGGCTCCAGAGACACCAAAATAGCGTCGAGGGAGCCTCATTCTGTCTCCCCTGTAGAAAGAGTGTCCGAGAGTGATGTATTGCGAGCATAAGATGCATCGTAGAATCTTTCCTGTCGTCCGTGCCAGATATGTGTAGAGACATCAAACATAGGATCTGGATCATTGTAATGGTCGTGCCCCCTCTCCAGATTTCGTTGCTTGATATGAAGCGTACAAGATCTTGATATAGGGCGTTACTGCACACGTATGCTCCGCTGAGTATTGTATGATCTGGAGTGTGCAAGGTTGTCAAATGATGACTGCCCTCCTTGGAGGCGACCAGGCATATTGCTTGAGTGAGCTGCGGAAGAGCAGTTCTTGCAGAAAACTCGGCGGCAAACTTTGCTTTATCCAGCAAAGGTAGGAAAGGGTGAATATTGGCAAAGTATATGTTTACCAAGCATTCTTGATCAGATTCCGAAGGCAATATTGTGTCAAAGGGTGGAAATATATTGCCTGGGTAGTCGCATTCAGTGATGTCGCAAGTCACCGGGAAGTTCTCTTGACTCGAGTGTGGTCGATCTGGATGCCTACCTTCTGGCGTTGAATAATTGCCAAAAGGTTGCTCTGCCGTATCACCGACGTGTCTTGTGGTGAACCCCGACTCGAATGCTCTCTCGGGTTCTCTTAACGCACGATTCTGATAACTCTTATGTCTTGTCGGCAGTTCGTGTTTAGAACGAGTATATTTCTGTCGTCTGTCAGATAAACCTTTCTATCTCAAACAGGCCTGGGTGAATCATTACCTTTTTGATGGGGCCAGGCGAGTATGCCATAAGTGGCCGCTTCCTCGTGCTATACAGGTCAAGAGGAAATGCTAGCTCCATTGCAGGATATCACGCAGAAGCCCTTTTCTTATTTAGCACTCATGAATCAAAAATAATGTGATTACCCTTTCTGAATACTTCGGGTCTTTTAAGGTTATAATAAACCAGTCACTTACGAGGGGCGGAGTGGAGAAGACCCTTTTCGGGAAGTGTATCCGCCCGCATCATAGGCTCGTCAACCAGTCCAATCAACCAGCTCGCCCGTACGTCTACTTCAAACTCAACGGTGGAGTGCCACTCGGTGATCAAAAGCAGTAAGGCGTGAAAACTAAAGTGAAGAGTCGACAGCGGTTGATCAAGGATATTGTGGTTCATATGTGCATGCTGTTTATCGGGCTTGCCATTACTAGCATCTATGTATTTCTCAATTCCTGAACTGAGTCATGGTTCAAATAACGTTATCCAGCACTTGAAGAGCTGTGACGCTTGGGGGAGCCACCGTAGAGCTAATGGTAACTCACCCTTAAAGTTTTTGAAGTTAGTTTGAACTTGAGCATAATCGACGGGCAATGCAAGATCTTTTCCATACACAAGGGCAGGTGCGGGAGAGTTTCCTAAATGGGAAGTCCCGCGAAAGGCGAGACGGAATGATCAAGTCAAGTCGCCCGCCGCATTTCTCTTCGAACTAGGCACTATCACAGACGTTGTACTTCTAATATGGGAGATAGAGAAAAGCTCTTCACATTCGTTGTGAATGATTCGGGGGTCTCCCCGCGAATCGCAAACAGGCACATCGAGCATGCGCTCACTGTCGCAAGCGCAAACGGCGCTGTGCCCACGGGCCTAGAATCGCTCCCCAGTTGCCTGGGCTACGATTGCCTCAGAATACTCCGACAGATGATACATCATACCCACCTGTCGGACAACAGGACAGGATGTACACCGGCTCTGAAAACACGACCGACACTGCCGACACCGCCGTGGCCGGGCAACTGAATAGCCAGAGACATGTTCCAGGAGCTCACATCAATGATGAATCTTGGTTCGTGGGTAATATGGATCCAGAAGGAGCGTTCTTGATTGCAGCAAGTCCTGCTTCAAGCTCCCAGGAAATCCGGCGGCATGATCTTGGCGTTTGGCTACCCGCGGCGAAGGGATATTCACAGCTCGCAGCCAAGAAGCCAAGATCAAGCTTTATCTCTTGCCCTGACCCTTTGATATCTTCAGTTTTCCTGCCGTATCTGGAAGATCAATGCTTGGGTACACTGCCAAACCCCCACAATATGCAGGGCCTCCTTCGGATATACATGGAGAATATCCATCCTATTTTTCCGATTCTGGACTATGACGCTTATCAGTCGATGTACGACAAATCGCCGGAAAAAGTACTTCTATCCCAGTCGATCTGTATTGCCGCCAGTATCGACCGGAATGCCAAACAATATCTTCACTTGCCCACGGCCACTACCTCCATAGCTGATTTCTCTCGGAGCCTCTCGGCTGCAATCAACACGTCAATCGCGTTGGGCATAGCGAGAGACAAGTTGGTTTTGATCCAATCTTTGTCATTGACCTCGCTTTTCACGCAATTCTCCGGAGACCGACAAGAATCAGCGGAGTTTTTGTCCCTCGCCATCTGCCATGCACATACTATCGGTCTACACCATCGCGGTCATTCATCGACGCAGCACGATCAAACCTCTACCCGGTTATTTTGCTGTCTCTATGCCCTCGATATTCTCAACTCGGCATGTTCAGGGCGGCCAGTGCTGTTCCACCGGCGTGACTTTGGTCGCGACCTCTCGTCATCAATAGCTGCGCAAGAAGGCTGCTTTCAGCTTTTCCTACGCACAATCTTGCTCATGGAACGAGTTATTGAGATGTATCGACCCGCTGAGAATGGTTTGTGGAAAGGGCCGTTCCCGTCATTCGAGGATTTGTTGCAGGAAGTTGGCACAACTGACATTCCCATGCACTTGACAGGTAAGGCTCTCCATATCAGAACAATATTGACGTCAAGATCTGACGACAGCCGCAGCAACCATAGAGGTATTATATCATGCTGTCGCTATTCTATCCTGCCATTCAACACACTTGCATAGTGTCTCCCGGCCATGCTCGGAGACCAGTGTACGCCAAAGTCTCTCGGCATCTAGAGTGACGTATATTGTTGGGGACGAGTTTCACAACCAGTTATCCTTATTCCCAATTATTCCATATGCGGTGGCCCTGTCTCTGCGTGTGTCATGGCATAGTCTGCAACAAAGTAAAGCAGCTATCTTTCAAGCAAGGGCGCGGAAGCAGCTAGTTGCCAATTGTGCGATCTTACGAGAACTAGGAGAAGCCTTTTACTCTGCTTCACTTATGGCAGACTTAGGAGAACGTCTTACCAATGAGCTGGATAGGAAGCAAGAAGGCGGAGAGCGAGAGGAACAGGATCGGGGATCTCGTTCGGGGAGTGACTCGGCTAAAGACACAGCAAGTTTATTGACACCGGGTAAGTTCTCCGTCTCCTCAATTGAGGGACTTCGTTAATTTCATGTTCAGTGGAAGTTGGACTACAAAATACACTCAGCCCAGAGTCTGCTGAGACAGCATATCAGTCATTCGAAGGTGGTTTCTTTGATCCAATGTCATTTTTGGGTATTTTTGACAACTTCGATCTCGACATAGGGGCAGTTGGAGGAATGGATCACGGAGCCTCTTAAGGTTTACGATTTCTAACCGTTAAATCAAAGTATTTAGGATAGTTCCCTAAGGCTTGATAGTCATGAAACAACTGAGCGAAAGGCACCATACATTGAAACGTGTCTTAAGCAACAGCCGCTTGATTCACAATAGTTGGATTGTATTCATAAAAACTACCAGTATCTCTTTATTCTTTCAGGTAATAGTACCGTGAGTCAGTATCGTACTCCATCGAGACACAATCACACAACGCCGCATCCGAGACAGTCCTCTGTCTTGCAACGAAGAGCTCATAGCAATTCTCCGCCGGGTTTGACAAGAAAAGCTCAGCACATATGAATTCAGTGTTGCCATCCTCATCCATCATAGTTTTTGTCCGGCCCATCACCATGACCAGCTCAGACCGATCATCTGCATCCTTGAGCGGTAGTCGGAAGAATTCCCCAGGCTTGATATTTGACTTCGAACTTGAGTCCCTCTGTATTGTGCTATTTTGACCTTTTTCGGATGTTTGTAGAGGCTCTCTCTTCTTGGAACCTGGGGCATTGGCTACCGGTTCCTTTCTCAACGGTGCTCGAGAGTCAATATGCAGCGTCCATAGCTTGAAGTATAACTTCTTTGCTTGATCTTGTTGCACACCTGGTGTGCGTGTTGCCCGTGCTACGAATTCATCCTGTTCGAGCCTGCATAACTGTGCGCCATCCTCCCAGGGAGCAAGCCAGACTGGATTGATTGCTGGTTTCCCTGACTGAAAAAAGGGTTCAGGTTAGCTGACATTATTGTGACTCGGGCTAAACCTAGGTCATAGGTTGCTAATGAAACTGACATTTTTCTTAATCCACTCATGTACTTCTTTGTTGCTCCACGTTGTTGGAATCTGCACATTGCATGGCCGTGGCTTAGTCTTTGGAACCTGCACCTTGAGCATTTCCGCATAGCGCAAGGTGTTTCGGCTGTGTGGGACATCCAACATGCATGGTGAAACACAAGCAATGACAAGGGTCTTGCATGTCTTGCTGCTATGAATGTCGAAGGCAGGCTTCAATACCTTGGTAAGTGTGCTGGTCCGAAAGGGGATGTGGACATGTTTCTGCGTGACAGTTCCTCGAGAGACAGCCCATGAAGCTCTAGCACGGATGCATTCCTTGAGCGTTGTCAGAGACTTGTTGATTTCGCGAGATTCAGCTGTCCGTTCTGCTGAGTGATGCCGAACATCTGCGCTCGCTTCGCTCCCAGCAAGATCGACAAGAAAGAGTGTTCCTTCTGGGCCTTCTTTGCGCTTGTCAACAATGCGCACACGACATATGGCATGGGATCGGGATGACTGCTCATTTTTCTCGGTCTCTGCTGTCACTCGGAGCGCTTTTGCTGCCTGGATCAGTGCCAGAAGCCCATCCACGCCCGTGGGACTCTTCTCCTCCACCCCAACGACCTGCATTAAGCCAAGCGAGTCTTCCAAGATGGCAATCTGCTTTCGATCACTGAGAAGATCTTCAGTCATCATAGGGGAGTCAGCTGAGCAAAAAAATAAAAGATGCATCTTGTAGCATACCATAGGCATTATTCCCAAAGATCTCAAATATGCTCATGTGCACTTCTTTCTTCTCTGGCTGCAAGTCTCCGAGTAGGGTTTGCACCACAAGTTCCTCCAACCCTGTAATTGTGAAAGTCTTCCCAGAGCCAGTCTGCCCATAAGCTAGCAGGGTGCTCGCTCCGCCATTCCACGCCCATTCAACCAACTGCTGCACTTGACTATCGTATATCTCTTGTGTGGCTCTTTCGGAGCCAAAAGCTTCGTCAATGTTGAAAGATGTGGTCTGTGCAAGAACTGTTAACAGGCCATTGATGATAGTATGCGGCTCGAAGAACGACTTCGAGCTGCCACTGAGGCGGGTCATATGTATGTACCTTCACGTCGGGCCTCCCGTTGATTTTCTTTTTTGCTTCATGCATGCTGATCCTCCCTTGGCTCTGTGCAAACACGCCTTGAACATGATCTGCGTGGAGTTCTTGCTCGGAAAGCGGACGGACTCGTACACAGATTGACGTGTCTGATAGATTGGGGGATATTGTTGAGGCCTTGGACGCATTTGGGTCTGGAGAGTTCTTCATTTGCGAAACTCGGTTCAAGTAGAATTCTCGTTGTTCAAAAAAGAAGGCTTCCATGGCTGGTCGAGAGTCTGCGGAGTTTCACGGTGTGGAGCAGGAGAATGTCAGAGTACTCTGCGATGTGAGAGTCAATTCAGGGGGTTTTACGGGGGGTTGTTATATTATTATTTGTGGACTGCATTTTCTATGTAAAGACACATCCACGTAGTTGGCGGTTAGGTACAGTAGCGGACTTTCGCTAATTTATGCAAGGGGCCGGTTTGACTGGCTCAGGTTTCTCCAATCTTCTCAGCCTCATTCTTTCCGCAGCGGGTGAAAGCGCAGCTTGGGTGCTCAATCCTCACCTGAAACCTAAGTAAGATGTTTTGATGAGGCATTTGAAGCTCAGGTAGTTGTATGTAGTATGGTGTATTTTATTGCGCTTAAATGGTTATCTGTATATGTACAATATCTCAAACAAAGGCCTGCACGCCAGTAATGGCACGGCCCAGGATCAAAGCTGGAATAATGTCAGTCAAGTGTTTTCCCGAAAGTAGTAAAAGAATGACATACCGTGAATATCGCTCTGGCCCTCGTACGTCTGCACCACAAACAGGTTGGACACATGGCGGCCAATGTGGTATTCGTCGCTGGCCGCATTGCCGCCAAAGATTTCTTGCAGACTAGGAAGGATATGTCAGTAGGAAATCCACAACAAACACCGAGGATATACATACATTCGCGAGTTGGTCAGCGCGCGGTCACAGTTCTGGCGCTTGATCATGGAGATCATCTCGGGCGTGGCCTTGCCCGCATCCTTCAGTCGGGCCACCTGCGTCGCCGCAAGGGTGCCATACGCGGCATCTGTGGCTGCGTCTGCCAGCTTCTTCTGGATGAGCTGGTACTTGGCCAGCGGGTTGCCCTTGAACTGCTTGCGCTCGAGGCTGTACTCGCGCGCGCGCGCAATGCAGTCCTCCAGGGCACCCATGCTGCCAAAGGCAATTCCCAGCCGCGCGCTGTTCAGACAAGTGAAGGGACCCGTGAGGCCCTCGACATCCGGGAACATGTTCTCCGCTGGAACGGGACAGCTATCCATATGGATCATACCGGTGACCGACGCGCGCAGCCCATTCTTATTCTTGAGCGCAGGCGTCTCAAACGTACCAGGCGGGCAGCGCTCGCGCTCAATGATGAACCCCTTGATCTTCCCCGTAGACTCGAGCTTCGCCCAGACGAGGGCCAGATCACAGATTGGCGAGTTGGTAATCCAGGTCTTGCTCCCGGACAGGAGGTACATGCCCTTCTGGGTCGGGTGCTCGCGCGCGACGGTCTCCATGGACCCCGGGTCCGAGCCGTGATTCGGCTCCGTCAACCCAAAGCAGCCAGAAAGCTTCCCCTTGGCCAGATCAGGCAGCCATCGCTGCTTCTGCTCCTCCGTGCCGAACTCGTAGATGCCCGTCATGGCCAGCGAGCTCTGCACCGACATGCCTGACCGGTATCCGGAGTCGACCCGCTCGACTTCCTTATTGATCAGTCCCGAGGCCACGGTGCTGACGCCTGCGCAGCCATATCCCTCGATCGACGCGCCCAGTAGGCCCAGCTCGCCCATTTCTTCGAGGATCCGGCGGTCGTAGTTTTCGTTGCGGTAGGCCTCTACAAAGAGAGATTAGACAAGACAATGCGATACTGTAAGGTAAAAAATGCGTACCCAGCACCCGCGGCATCAGCCGGTCCTGGCAGTATTGCCGTGCTGTGTCCTGGATCGCTAGCTCCTCCTCGGTGTACAACTCGGCGGCCGCCAGCGGATCCTCCCAGTTGAACACGCCGGACGAGGCATACCGCCGGGCAGCAGTGGAGGGGCGAGCGAACGAGCGCGTGGCTGCGCGGAGAAGGGAACGATTCATTTTATAGTAGGGAGTGTAATTGATGGGGTAGAAGGAGAGAAAAGAGGGAGGATGAAAGAGAGTAGTGTAAGTGGTTGCGGGGGAAGCTCCGATCAAATATATTCAGACGCCTCGGCAATTGTGTCAGAGTGTCGGGATCGCCGAGCTCGGCGTGAGAAGCAGACAACTAGAATGACCGGGGGGTGCAAATCATTCGACGGAACCTCCGAACCACTTACTCTAATTATGAACAAGTTCCAGGACCGGCAGTGGGCGTCTCGGACATTTTCGGCGTAGCAGCTTGGCGGATGCGAATCAAGTGCCGAGCGGGCCGAACAAGGAGAGAAATCAAGTGAGCCCGTTCTATGTAACTATCCACCTATATACCTAATTTACCTGCAGGAATTATATACATCTATGTAACAACCCAATAAACAATTCATGCCGGCATCTGGCTTTGCAAAAAATCAAACACCCCCGTGGGGAAGTAGTCCTCGTCAAACCCCCATAGATCCGCCATCATCGGATCCATCGAGCCCTCCGACAGACCAGACTGCGGCTTGCCCTGTCCAGTGGCCGGTTCAAAGCCATTGCTCCCGCCGCGCTCGGCGGACAGTGGAGCCACGCCGAGTAGGGGTGGAGGGTGGTTCAGAATGGTGTCGCGCTCACCGAGAATCTGGGCGCCGGGGATAACGACTGGCTTGAAAAGTGAGGGTGATGCCTGTGTATTGGCAGGTTGGCTACCGGTGTTGCGCTTCTCCCACTCTTCCAGCCCGGTGAGCATCTTGCGCAGTCCGCGCGCGATGTGATGGCTCATATGTCGCTCGCTCGCCCGCTGGCTGACGGAGACCATCATCTCGACGGTGCGTCCCACGAGGGCTCGGACATAGCTCACGTCGACCATCAGCCCGGCCGACGCGATGGAGTTCTGTTGGCCCTGGCTACCGGGGATGTTTCCGTTCGAGCACATCTTGGCGGCGATTTTTAGGAGAAAAACTGCGGCAAAGGTGATCATGCTGTGCAGATACAAGGGCACTCCGACCAGCGCGCGCTGGATGTCCCGCTCGTCCAGGACGACCTGGAGCGTGGCGATGGCCGATTCAACGGCGACATTGGCGCGCTTTCTGCGATCCGTAGACATGATTCGTGAAGAGGTGGATGAGTGGTACGTTCGCAGAGCGACCGAGTACAGCTGTAGTCGAGAGAAGTGGTAGTGCATGTAAATAGCTTTGTAGGGGTATGCTCCGACGTGTCGACTCCCGGCTATGAGTTCCAAATTAGCAAGTTGTTAAAGCTTTGGGGGTAGTGGTACGCACCAAGTCGAGGAAGCCACGCCGATTGCCAATCCCCCAGCTCAGCGTCGAGGTCATCAATCTTGGGGAAATCGGACTCGGGGACTTCCAAATCGACATCGGGACCAAATGCAAAGTATATCCGGGTGAGAACGATGAACAGGTCTACTTGGCTATGTAGTCGGAGATCGCCCTGCGTCACCGACGGCGATTGTGTGAAGGTGTGGTGTTGGGTAATGCTCGGGTCCTCATGGATGATCGGTGGTCGCCCGTACGCGATAGAGAAGTGGTGCTCCAGAGTCTGTAGCGAGGTGAGCAACCCGAAAAGAAATGAAATGAGAGAAAACATACGTAAAGAATATACCATAACCTGGCTTGCTCCTTATGCTCTGGAGACCCTTGCGCCGCTTTGCGATAGCACTGGTGTAGGTTCCGCTCAGTAGCGATGCGTACCGCGTATCCAGACAGCTTCCAGCTGACATCCGCCAGCCAAAATGCCCCGATACATAACGCGCGTATGTCGTCCATCGTATGGTGGTGGCCGAGCATTGATTCGGATGCAAGTTTTGCAAACTCGGTGTAGCATGTGTCAAACGTGCGCTCCTTGGTTGGCATATGAAGCGCGGTCACCGCCAGAATGGCCGCCGAGAGCATGGATGAGGACCGTCGGACAGACGTGAGATCTTTATGAGGTAGTAATGCCCCATCCCACAAGTACCGATTGAGCACCTGGTCGAAGTGGTAGAACAGTTCCTCCGCTTCTGACAGATCCACCACTCCGCGCGAGATGAAATCCGTCACAATGGCTTGGTCCGGCGCATATTGCTCCCCAGGAGAGCTCTCCCTGTTCTCGCTCAGCTGCGTCACCTCATACAGACTCCCCATCGGGGCCGTGACCAGCGATGTCGCCCCCGCTTCTTCACGATCCAGGGAGTATTGTGATTGCTGTTGTGAAAACGCATGGTCTGAATTTCGTGACTCGGCTGCTTTGGCGGAATCCGCAGACTCGGTCTTACTGTAGGCTAGACCCGCGTCGTCGGTCGACACCGTTGACTCTTTGCGGCCCCGTTTCTTCGGCGTCTCGGTCAATCCACCGCCGGCCTGGTAGTACGATAGTTCCGGCATGTGAGCCTTCCTAAGCAGGTCCGTCATTGCCAGCTCAATCATGGACTTCCACCTGTACGGCACTTCGGGTCAGCATGTTCTTTTTGCGGCATTCGGAGTCACCTACTCTGCTTCATCCTCCAGCAGGGTCTGGAGACTCTTGTTTACGACACATTCCAGCTTCATTCGTCGACACCGCGAGCACGTAGACTCACCTGCCTTCATGTCGCACCGGACCTTATGTCGCTTGCACTCGGTGCAGGCCCGGATCCTCCGCGAAATCTTCGGAACATGCTGGGCGGACTGGCGGTCATCGGACGGGGTGAAGGCGGCGGCGGGCGGAGAGGCAGATGAGGCATCACCATTGGTCTCGAACTGAATGCGATTCCGCTTCATCGTAGTTGGTTGTAGCACATTCTGATCCCGAGTCCGGGGAATCCAAAGGCGGGGTTGTCGGTCCAACTCCATATATATGCCTCAGGCATCCACTACGGCCTCAGGCAGACAGTCTAGAATCACCTGCTCACGCTAGTCCCCTTCGGGCTTAATGTTCGTCGCGGTTGAGCGCGTCTCTCTTTCTCGTGTTGCAGAGAAGATTGTCTGTCTGTCAGTACGTCCCATCACCACTGTCAAACACCATGGGTATCAAGAGTGAGTGCATTCCACCCCGCTCCTAAGCTTCTTGACTGACGGCCTACCAGACCTGTACCAGGTGATCTCGGAGAACGCCCCCGATGCCATCAAGGCGGGCGAGATCAAGAACCACTTCGGCCGCAAGGTCGCAATTGTACGTCTTACGCACTGACTTGCGCAGAACAAGAGCTAACGGTCTCTTTCTACTCATAGGATGCGTACGCCATTCTTCATTGTACCCTCACCGCTGACATTGACTAACTCCCTCCCAGATCCATGAGCATCTACAGCTTTCTCATCGCCGTCCGCTCCGAGGGCCAGCAACTGATGAGTGAGACGGGCGAAACAACCTCTCACCTGATGGGTTTGTTCTATCGCACACTACGGATGGTGGACAACGGCATCAAGCCCCTCTACGTCTTCGACGGCGCCCCGCCCAAGCTGAAGTCCGGCGAGCTGGCCAAGCGCGGTGCACGCAAAGCGGAAGCTACTGAGGCGCACGAGGAAGCAAAGGAGACCGGTACGGCGGAGGATGTCGAGAAGTTCTCCCGGCGGACGGTGCGCGTCACGCGCGAGCACAATGAGGAGTGCAGAAAGCTCCTGAAGCTGATGGGGATCCCTTACATTATTGCGCCCACGGAGGCAGAGGCTCAGTGCGCCGTTCTGGCGCGTGCGGGTAAGGTGTACGCTGCTGCATCGGAGGATATGGATACCCTGTGTTTTGAGGCGCCGATCTTGCTGCGGCATTTAACCTTCAGTGAGCAAAGGAAGGAGCCTATTCTGGAGATTCACCTCAGTCGGGCACTGGAGGGACTCAACATGGACCGCAAACAGGTAGAATATACCCCTTCAATAAGTTGTTGCCCAAGACTAACCACCTACAGTTCATCGACCTCTGCATTCTCCTAGGCTGCGACTACCTCGAACCTATCCCCAAAGTCGGACCGCACACCGCACTGAACCTGATCCGCGAGCACAAGACCCTCGAGAAGGTGGTGGAGCACATGCAGAACGACCCGAAGAAGAAATATGTGATCCCGGAGGACTGGCCATACCAGGACGCGCGCGAGCTATTCCTCACGCCGGACGTGCGCTCCGCCGACGATCCCGAGTGCGATTTTAAGTGGGATGCGCCCGATATCGAAGGACTAGTCGCGTTCTTGGTCACGGACAAGGGCTTCAACGAAGACCGCGTGCGCAACGGCGCGGCGCGCTTGCAGAAGCACCTCAAGACAGCGCAGCAGTCTCGTCTGGAAGGCTTCTTTAAGCCTGTTGCGCGTACAGAAGAGGAGAAGGCTAGTCTGAAACGCAAGCACGACGAGAAAATCCAGGAGCAAAAGAAGAAAAAGAAAGAGGAGGCCAAGGCGAAGAAGGAAGCGAAATCCAAGCCGCGTGGCGCGGTTTAGGTTCTCTTCTTCTTTTTCTTATCTTTGTGATTATGATGGTCTTCTCTCCGGCGTGGGCGTTACACATTATGGGATGTTTGAAACTTGGTCTTTGTTTTTCGTTGGGGAGGGGAAGACCGGGGGAGTCTCACACGGCCCCCGGTGCTGGATGGATGGATGGGGGCATGGGGACGCGGGAGCATGGAGTCCAGTGTGTACCATAACATCGCGAAATGAATGAATCTGAAGACAAACTCAGACACTTCTTGTCCTACTCTTTGCATTCCGCCATGCATGAATGAGCTGTCGAGCTCGTGGGTCTCAAGATCAGGAAATAACCGTCCGGACTATGGACCCGGATATAGGTGGATGTCGATGTTTCGGCTGATCCTCGCCGAACCAGCGGACCGACGGGGTGTAAATGGATATTGTTTGGCTTTTGTGAAGAAAAGCAATGATTTGAATTCCAATCAACAGTCCTACGCTCGACGTGGGTGGCCGAGTTGATGGGGTTGAACCCCCCGCGTTGCTCGTGATGATCCCGGGCTAAGCGAGATGCTCAGCGTGAAAGCGCGGGGACTGATCTTGCATGGTAGGGAGGGTATCACTTTTTCTCAGATAGGAAACTAGTGTCAGTCGAGGTTCAATAATATTATTATCATTTAAAAATAAAGAAAAGGAGCGCATGTGGTGAGATCAGGATGTTGTTGTTGTTCACCGTTGATCTGGTGGTGGGTGGAGGTATTGGGCAGATATATATCTCACCACAGCCCTGGAATCACCAACTGCTCCGATATGGGATTGTTTGATGTCTATAGTATCTATCGGGAGCGCTGATTCGATCTATACAGAAAACTCTCTTATTCTACCATTCTCGTATACAGAAATCAAACTACACTGAGCACATGCGATGAGGCCACTGATGTGTCCGGTGGACCCCTTGATGGTATAGATAGTCCGTGCGCGATCAGTAGTCGAAAACGGCTGACTAGAACCATTATCTTGGTCGAGCTAGTTTTCACATCGATAGATCACGCTAGGTACATCGGTAGCTACTATAAAGTCACGACATCATGGACCTGCCATGTACATTGGCTCCGGCGGTGCAGTGCCATGGAACGGTGGAACGGTTTGCGCGTGACCACGAGGCGGCTGCAAGGAACAACACCGAGATAGACGAAACAGGGATAGAATGCCATCACGGGACGATCTCTCCAGACTGCGCGTGGAATGTCCAGCAGAGCTACATACAACGTAGAGTCAAGAGTGGAATGCGGGAGCCAAGCATGGGGGTTGGGATCTACGACGAACAGGCCCGACTGCCGCATTCAGCAGCACCGCGACCGATGGGTTCGGAAAGAAAGACAGGGAAAGAAAGGAACAGCGAGGAACAGTAAGAGCACCGAAAGGAAAAGAGGGCGAGGAAGAAGAAATAATAATAAGACAAAAATGGGGGAAGGCCCAAAAAGAGAGTGTTTGCCCTAGTGATCTGGTGTCAACAGCCGCCAACGGTATAAAGCACGGATGCCCCCGCCGCTCTTCTCTCCTCTTCCCTTTCTGTTTCCTTCCCTTCCACTTCCCACCCATCTCGCCCTCTGGTCTGAATAATCTATTCGTCCTTCCCATCTCTCATCTCTTCTCATCTTCCATCGTCAATCCTCTTCTCACTCATCACTATGCCTCCCAAGAAAGCAACCGGCGCGTCCAAGAAGGCCGCCCCAACGGCTCACTCTTCTTACCGTGGTATGTTTTCACTGATCCTGGGCCACCACCCCATCGCGTAAATGCGAAAATAGTATCTTTAGAGTCGCGAACGTCTGCTGATTCCATCCATATAGATATGATCAAGGATGCCATTGTCAACGTGAGTAGATCACTCTTGTTGTGATTCGGGTCGCGCGACCGTGACACGCCCTGTCCAGGCGCCCGGTCGCCACAACCACCACCCGATATGTGCCAAGTATTTCCATGAGACTAACTGATCCTTTCTGTCTTTAGCTCAAGGAGCGCAATGGTAGCAGGTACGTTTATTTATTTTCTTCTTCTTGCTGTCGCCGTCGACACCATGTCGCGTTATTTGTTGTGACTGCCCGGATCATGCTGACTCGCGCCTTTTCCACCACAGCCGCCAGGCCATCAAGAAGTATGTGACGGCGAACAACAAGCTCAACGTCGCGTCGCAGGCCACTTTCGATGCCCAGTTCAACAAGGCCATCAAGGCCGGTGTTGAGAAGGGCGAGTTCACCCAGCCCAAGGGTAAGTCTAGTCTCCTTTCTGTCCCGCGCATGTATCCACACAGTTGGAATGTGTGTCTGTGACTGCACTGTACTCGTGCCGGACAATGTCACCGTATGACTGAACATCAGCTGACGCGTCTCAAGGTCCCTCGGGTCCCGTGAAGCTGGCGAAGAAGGACACCGCCGCCAAGCCGGCCGCGAAGCCTGCTGCGAAGGCCACTGCTAAGTCGACCACCAAGACTACTGCCAAGGTATGTATTTGACGCGGCTCTTTTTAATTTTTTTTATTTGTTTTCATGTATACTCACCGTCGCAACAGAAGCCTGCTGCCAAGGCCACCGCCACTAAGAAGGCTGCTCCCAAGAAGGCCACCGCGGCCAAGGCCGGCACTAAGAAGACGACCACCAAGAAGACCACCGCCAGCAAGCCCAAGGCCAAGGCCAACACTGGCAAGGCGCGCAAGACCTCTACTGCCGCTCCCGCCGTCGTCGAGCAGCCCAAGGTCATCGGCAAGACCAAGTCCGGCCGCGTGACCAAGACCACCGCTCCGGCGCCCTCGCGCGCGCGGGCCGCGCCCAAGAAGCGAACCACCAAGAAATAGAGAGACAATCACTAGTCTCTCTGCCCGGATCTCTCTGTCACCCCCTTTTCTGTTTTTCACGTGCGCGTCTCGGGGGGTTGAAGAAGAGTACCTGGGATGATCTTCGTCTTTTCTCTTCCGTTGTAATTTCTTTGAGACCCGCGGATCTTGTGTGGTTTTGATGGTATGCTTTTTATTCTTGTGCGTTTCGCTGCTATTCTGGGATATCTTGGTTATGAATGGGCTTTGCTTCCTTCACAAAGTCGGGATGGCGTCTTGCGGTGGGGTTGTTTTCTTGCCGGGGAAATTGAGTCTTTTTTTCTTAAGCAGTAACACAACGAGGAATCAAACCTGAATGTCTGTTGTTATCTGGTTCCCGTGTTGTAGGGGTCGCGACCCAGTAGTGATCTTCCCGTCCGATGGGTCTGTTTACTCTTCCGGGGGTGGGTGTCGCGTCAACATGGTAGGCTGCGATCAGCAATTGAAGAACAGGTTTGATAGACAGTGATATCCTGCTCTTCGACTATATGACCGAATTCTACCGTTAGTAACTACTCCATATATTCTTATCTTCGCTCCCAATAACCGGCCCTTCAACTCGACCCACCTGGACAACACGTCTCCACCATGAAATGGACATCTCATTAATTACCATCGCGGTACTGTAAGTATCGGAGGATTGCCAGATCGACATTTAGTATTATGTCACCACCGCCACAATATGTGGCTGCCTATTGGAGACCCATGATGGACAGGAGGAGTGGGAGACGTTTTGCCAGTTTAATTAATGCTAGAGTATATTCGCCTCTCAGAAACTGCTGGTTAGTGCACTAAGCGAGGACATACATGAACGAGTGAACCCGGTCCGAATCATATGCCGACCCAGCGGGTTGATCGGACCCCTAGACTGCATAAGCAACACGTATTCATCTGCCCCGTGTTCCGGCTCCGATGTATTAGTTGCTATGCACCTATTTTTGGGACCCTGCAGAGAGCCATCACCTACCAGTATTATTATTATTATTATTAACATGAAAGAGTAGTTACCTAGTCCATGTAAATGCTTGTGTTTGTGTTCCCTCGTTCTGCCGGTTCAGGCACGGGCTGGGCGACCGATATATTGGGCCATCCCGAGTTGTGGCGAAGTAAACCTTCGGTAGAAATTGTGCCACCCGCGGCTGCTCTTCTCCTTGCGTCCCTGATGAGGGGGGGGGAGGAATGATGGGGTCTTATCACCAGATGGACAGGGAATGGACGGATAGAACAGAAGCAGGGATTCATACTTGTCAAAAGTGGTGATGATGGGGGAGTACAAGGCTGAGTGGGCCGTACAGTAATAATCAATTCCTTACCATCCACGCACTCTCTTTTCTCTCCCGGACAACCAACCATCCTCACGTCCCTTCTCTCTCCCATCCACCATTTTCATCTTCAGCCGTCTCGGCCCCCTTTCTTTCTTTCTTTTCTTTTCCCTCTCTTCGTCTTTCGGTCCTTTGCTTGACCGTCACCAACCCACCACCACACCCCTGCCACTGCCCCCGACCATGCCTATCGGTTGCTGAAACATCCTGCCACACGCCCCTCCCTGGCAGGTTTCGGCAAAGATCAAGAATCATTTCCTTCGCTCATTCCCGCTGGAACTCGGTCCGATTCAGAAGCCTGCTGGCCCTCCGCCAATAAGGGCCCCCCAGCCGCCCAGCTCGGGTTGCCGGTCCACGCAGAGCTCACGTCACTTGGCCCAGCAACCATGCCGTCTTTCAACGACCTCTCCTACCAGACCACGGCTACCGCGACTGCCACCCAGCCTCGCTCGTTTGAGTCGCCCCGCAAGTCCCACGACAAAGCCTCCGTCGGAAACACCTTCCTGTGGACCAACTGGCCCAACGGCGACGCGACCCACGATCACCAGCAGCAGAATGACCGGCACTATCTGACCAACCTGAAGAACGGCAGTGCATACTCCCTGAATGGCCCCCGGTCGAGTGTCAGTTCCTACACGCGCGATCTGCCGCACTCCAAGGACGGCAGCATGCACTCGCTAGGCAATGGGTCCGCCCGTGATCTCCGTGACCCCGGCAGCAGGCCCTCCGCCATGCTGGACCGGAAATCCTCCGACGCTGGCCCTGGAGCAGGCTCCGCGGCAGCGTCGGTTTCCAGCCAGCAGGTCAATGGCATGGCCTTCAGTCCCCGCCAACCGCCGGCGAAAGCCATGGCCAATGGTGATTCCAACCGCCTGTCCGCCGACGAGCCCTCCCTCTCCGACCGCGCCGCCAGCCCATCGAATTCGTGGTTACAGATCCCGCGGCAGGACGATGCCGGTCGTCTCACCCCAGACCCCGAACCAAGGCCTCCAGGCCACCATCGCTACTCGTCTCCACCAGCCCCCTCCGCCTTCGAAGCCAATCAGATGCAAGACGCCCAACCCTCCAGCGCCCGACACCGACATTCGCTGCAAGTCCCCAGGACTGGTAGCATTCGGCGGAATAGCCGGGACCAAGGCGAGGATACCGCGTTTAGCAGTGGCCGGCTGTCACCGACCACTGCGGGGATTCGGCGTACCTCGTTTAGTCTCACAAGACGAGCCACCAGGACGTCGGACGTGCATTTGGACGAAGCATATCCAGATGAAGATGCAGCTCGCTGGGCGGAAGCCATCAAACAGAAGCGTGCTTCGCGACGGCGCCGGCGTGAGGATGATGATGACGATCGGGTCATCGTTGGGACCAAGGTGGACCAGAACCATGTGAATTATGTGACGGCCTACAACATGTTGACGGGGATTCGCTTTACGGTATCGAGGATCAACGCGAAGATGGACCGGGAACTCACCCCGGCGGACTTCGAGGCCAAGCACAAATTTTCTTTTGATATGTATGTTCTACCTCTTCCCTTCCTAGAATCGCATGAACTGACCACAACCAGAACCGGAAACGAATTGACTCCCTCTGCCAAATACGACTTCAAATTTAAAGACTACGCACCGTGGGTGTTCCGACACCTTCGCTCCAAGTTTCGACTGGACCCCGCCGATTACCTGATGTCTCTCACGAGCAAGTACATCCTGTCCGAACTGGGCTCGCCCGGCAAGAGCGGGAGCTTCTTTTATTTCTCGCGGGATTACAAGTACATCATCAAAACTATCCACCATTCCGAGCACAAGCTTCTCCGGAAGATTCTTCCTGAATACTATCGCCACGTGGAGAACAACCCGAATACCCTGATCTCGCAGTTCTATGGGTTACACCGCGTGAAGATGGCATATGGCCGCAAGATCCACTTCGTTGTGATGAACAACTTGTTCCCACCCCACCGGGATATCCACCAGACGTTCGATCTGAAAGGCTCGACCATTGGCCGTGACTTGCAAGAAGCCGATCTGGAGCGAAATCCGAGGGCGACCATGAAGGACCTGAACTGGGTTCGACGGAGTCGTTACCTGCAATGCGGGCCGTCGAAACGAGAATTTTTCATCGAACAGCTGAAGCGCGATGTCGAGTTGCTCAAGAGGCTCAAGATAATGGATTATTCTCTTCTGGTGGGGATTCATGACGTGGAACGGGGCAACGAAGAAAACCTGCGCGACAAGACGCTTCAAGTCTTCCAACCAGGCGGCGACCGCGAAGAAGAAGCGGGCCCGAACATGCTGATACGGACTCCATCCAAGTTGGAGAACGAACGCAAGGCCCGGGAGCTTCGGATGCTGATCAAGCGCGAGCGCCCTGTACCCCTCGACAAAGCTACAGCGAAGATGCCGGAAGAGATACTCGATGAGCGCCAGTACCACGTCTTCTACGCCGACGACGGTGGGTTCCGGGCTACGCATGAGAATGGTCAACCGGGAGAAGAGATCTACTACCTTGGGATCATCGACTGTCTGACACATTACGGAATGTTTAAGAAGATCGAAAACTTCTTCAAAGGCCTCTCGCATGACCGGGCACAGATCTCTCCCATTCCGCCGGAAAGCTACGGCGATCGATTCATCGCCTTCATCAAGGGTATCACCATGTCAAAGGAGGAGGCCGAGCGACGACGAGAATCCAAAGCTTCTGGCCGTGCGTCCGGCGACAGGAGAGGGTCTCGATCCTCCTCTGTCGAGCGGACCATGCAAAATGCCGAGAAAGAGGCTGCCAAGGACGTCTCCGTCACACACCCTCGCACATTAGCCACAGTCTGGGATCCAGCAGATGCTGGCGGTCCCGGTCCAACCTCCACGCTGCCGATTGTCGACGAAGCGGGCGAGGCTAGCAGTGTCGGAGGCCACAGCCAACACAGCCGACAGGGACAGGGCCAACCCGCGTCCGACAAGGACCTTCCCCCCATTCCTCACGACTCGCCGCCCCAGCCACCCAGCAAAGACAAGGAGACCTACCTGGCGCCTACCAGCCAGCGATAACTTTGTTCGTGGGCAATTCCGTTTTTTCTTTACCCTCTTAATTGTGTTTCATCGCAAGATATCCCCTTGTTGCTTTTGATAGACATTTTTTTCTGTTTCCTCTCAGCATGGGTACTGCGCGAGGCACTTGATTTACTTTTCCCCTTTGATTGCAAGAAACTGTTCGTTGTTCACGAGTGACGCATGTATCATTTTGGTTTTTCTGATTTGTTGTTCAGCGAACTCACTCTCGTCTGTCTTTCCCTGTTGTCCATGAAAGCCTTTTTCTTTTGGATGACTACTACCGACTACTACTGTCGCGGGGGTGTCCTCCCCAATCTATTTTTCTTCCCTTTTCTGTCTGATCCACATACACTCTCTATCCGTCAGATTCTGGCGGATATTACCAGATGGGTTATGGGTTGGTTGGGGTTTGTCTCAAAACTACTCGACTCCACCATCACTCACCCACACATCACACATTCTCTATATCTCATTTCCTTTTCCTTTTTTTCTCACGTCTCGGATACCAAGCAAGCTGCACTTGCCTTTCTGTCCTATGCTGTCTTGTCATACGTTCCCCACTGTTTCGATGACCAGCCTCTCCTATCCCGTCCTGAAACCTGGACCCTCTATTTCCTTATTGTCTGTCATCTCGTGAATGTGAACTCGTTTCCTTGCGCCTGTCATACCCTGTACCAATTGATCAATCACTATACCTCTTTGGCAGATCATTATCATCGTTGTTATTGTCCTTTCTTGTCTTTCTGTCTTGTTCCATTCAGCCTTGTCTTTTTCTGCCCTACTCTGTTCTTAGGCTCGATATTATTGTGTTTTTATCTCGAGAGAAAGTTAGCAGACCCGCGCGCGGGAACTGGGTTTTTCTTCTTCTTTTTAGTGTCTTTTTTCTACCTATTCTCTTCCCATTAGAAGAAAAAGTATGCATAGAGAAGAATCACAATGCAATAACAGAGGAGACACGGATACAGATACGGATATAATTGCAGATACCTATACCCAGAGGCTAGCGAAATAGTAGAGATACCTGGAATACGTGAAATAGCATAGTATTTCCATTGAATGAATCCATTCCTAAGTTGTACTTCCCATCGGATCATATCTCCTCTTTTGCACCCAGCCTGTGTGGGAATCATGAAAAACAAACGCCCCCGTCGCCTGAGCACCCGTCACCAAATGAATCAAAGTCGAAAAGGGAATAAACGCGAGGATTCCTCCTATCCATCCAGAAAAAAAGGAAAAAAAAAGTAAAGACGCCAAAATCCCCTCCCTCCATAAACAAGAGCACACATAGATCGCGAACCCAGAAAGAGACTGGAAAGAAGACGATCTACTCCGTCTTCCCCTGCGTCACCTTCGCAGCCTGGATAGCAGACATCTTCTGCGTCCAGCCCTGGGTGGGCTGCGGCTTCTTGACGGTGCGGAGGTCATCGCTCGAGAAGCCCGAGATGCGCATGTTGTAGTTTCGCTCCAGGACGAGCTGGATGTCGCGTAGCTCGAGGGTGGACGAGGGGCGCAGCTTGGCGAGGCGGCAGGCTTGGGTGATTACGTCGTCGACGAAGTCGTCGGCCATTTGGAGGATGAACTGTTTATATGGATTAATGGCAACTCTTGGAAATATGATAGAGAGAGAGAGAGAGAGAGAGAGAGAGAGAGAAAGAGGGAGAGAGAAAAGGAAAGGATGGAGAGGAAAGAGGGGGGGGGATGGCTTACATCTTCCGCGTCAGGAGTCAACATCTCGCCTTCGCCGCCGCCGGTGACCTGGCGAACGAGGATATCCAGCATCTTCTTGCTGAGCACGCGCTGGCCCTCGCCCTCAAGGACGTAGCCGGGGTGTTTCTGGATCGCGGGCTGGCCCATCATGCCCATGGCGCCGTGGCTGGGGCCGCCGGACAGAGAAGGGCGCGAGGAAGGCATGGCGACTGGCTCCGGGGTGGACACGTTCAGAGACTTGGGGATCACCATGTTGATGTTGCGCGCCGTGGCCTCGGTCGAGCGGTTGGCCAGGTAGCCCTGCGGGTGGGCGCTGGCGGAGCCTTGGGTGGACATTGCCTGGTTGATATGTTGTTAGTATTTTGATATCACTGCTAGAGACATAGGAAAGCTGGGGGAATTTGAAGGAGACCGGGAGACTCACTTGAGAACCAGGAGTTCCTTGCTGAGAAGAAGCTTGTTGGCGCTGGCCTGGTTGCTGGGAGGGTTGTGTGGTGGAAGTGGGAGTGGCGCCAGCAGTTGCAGAAGGAGCCTGTCCCGATTGGGAAGCCGAGGGAGACATGGCTGTTTGTTGCCCCGCCTGGTTGCGCGCTGCATTCACAGCCGAGTTGATCGTGTGCGCCGCCGGCGTCGGTGCCTGCATGCCACCCGTAGTGCCTTGGTTACTAGCCACTGCTTGAGTCGCAGCCGGAGCAGCAGCCGATGTAGGGGCAACAGTAGGCTGCTGAGTCGACGAGGCGGGGGGCATGACGGCCTGTCCTCCGGACTGGTTCATCCCCTGCTGGTTCTGCTGCTGCATCTTGAAGCTCTCCTGCTGCTCCATGAATTTCTCGAGGAACTCGCTACCCTCACGCAACAACTTCTCCGCCGCCAGCTGCCGATTCTTAAACGCCTGCATATCCTCCTGGGTCATATTGCCCTGCGACTGTCGTTGATTGAACTGCTGGCGCAGATCCGCCAGCCGCGCGCGCCCAACCTCTTGTTTCTGCAGCGCAATTCCATACCGGAGTCGAGCCTCGGGGACCCAGTTCTGCAGCTGCTCGGGCGTCGTGTTCGGAGGCAAGAAGAAGTTGAGCTGGTTGACCTTGGCCTGAATCGCAGGCAACAACTGACCGAGATTCTGAGGATTATTCGGCTGCGTCCGTTGCACGGGCTGTCCCTGCACCCCCTGCGCCTGCTGTTGCTGCGCCTGCTGTTGTTGTTGCTGCTGCTGCAGCGCCTGCTGCCGGCTCTGCTGGAAGAGGCGCATCCCCTTCATCAGATTCTGGGACAGCTGCGTGAGCTTCATATGCGCCGTCTGGTACTCGTGGCTCGATGGGTCGCGCGTGTTGAGCAGCTCCCAGAGGCCACGCACCAGCTGGGTGTGCTGGGCCTTTTGCTGGTCATTGAGGTGTGGCAGCTTCTGCACCTGGTCGGTCCGAATGAGGTTGGAGTGCTGCTGCTGCTGCGACGCCACCATGGGCTGACCCGCCTGGCCTTGTGACCCATCCATGGTGCTGGATGATGTATGGAAGGATAGAGTGAGCGGATGTTCAGGAGTTTGTCGATGAGAGGCGGATGAGCGGCGAATCGCACTGGGGAGGCTTTTCAGGCGACTGGAGTCGGACTTTAACGAGGACCGGGGTCCCAGCCAGTTCCCGTGCTCGGAGTGAGCGGCAAAGATACAGCACAAAGGACTGTACAAGAGAATGAGCGGAATAAGATGTGGAGGAGGTGGTGAAGCGATGATCGCAAAGGCTGAGTCCGCAGGAGGTTAAGTTGGACCCGCGTGCGGCTGGTCTTGGCGCGGCTTGACTGTGGCTCGCTGAACTATACGACTGGGTACGTATCTACACACTATGGGCACTGTTAGTGAGAACAGATACTGATTACAGGGGATAGATGATAGATGAAATAATTAGATAAAGAAGCCCAAGTGAATAGATTCATAAAACGAGATTAAATGCAAGCAAACGCATCGCACGCACTGGAAAATAACCATCCTACGGAGAAACCCGTCTAAACAATTTGAAGATGCGGCTCAGTGCCGCTTTATGAGATGATATAGTCATTAAGGGCATTCATTAGGGACGTGAATATTGACTAGGAAATTTACTATGTACAATGTCGAGGAACACTTTAGCCAGCCAACACCAACCGGCCGCGGACATGCTTCCGGTCCTGGATCCGATCAAGGGGAGTGGACCAGGAGCTGCACTGTCAAAGGGCCTCGACACTGCTGGAAAGTTTTCCCAGCATTGAGGCGAGGGGTCCACCCTGCCACTTCCTGGAGCAGTTTCATCCGACCCTGTTTCGGTTGGATCAGACACGGGGCAGACAAGCACGCATGGTCGCATCTGCTTCCGCACCAGGAACTATGCCTGCAGACAAACAGGTATTGGTCATTGCCAGTCAGACCCGAGAGCATCAGGAATCGAAGATAGCCACATACAGCCGACGAATGCCTAACCCAGGGAGTGGTGTCCTTCGCGAGGCGAGAGACGCTTGTTCAAATGCGAGGACTAACTCGAGAGGGGCCCTCCGATCAGCCCATCAGCCCACCGAGATCTCGTTCCATGCCGGTCACCCGTTCCTCCAATGCCCGTTTCTTGAGCTCGAGCTCCTGAATCTCAGCTAGCTCTTGCTGGATCTCTTCATCCGTCACCTCCGGGGCCTCCGGCTGTGACACAGGAACATCATAATCATGATCGTCGTCGCCGTACCCGTGGCTCATCTGCGCCAATTCGGCCGTGTTGGTCGCGACCCGCTCCTCCAGTTGAGCAATCGACTCGGTGATCATTTCGTGGCGGTATCGAAGACTGGCAATCTTCTCTGGTGCCTCATCCACGGGACTGTCACTTGGTTAGTACAATCAACACCTAGGAGGAAGGAGGCACGCACTAAACATTGCAGAGCATCTCCGCGCCTCGAAGAAGGACTTCGATGTTGACCTCTCCGCGCGGGCCGCGGGTTGACGTGCCGGCCGAGCGCTTGATCTCTTCCATCATGTCCGACCCCAATACCCGGGCTACGGCGGAGTGGTTGCGGTTGTTGCGTGTCGAGTAGATGCGACTGGCCATCGACTCGGACTCGAGCTCTGGGGAGAAGGTCGTGCCCCGGCGTGTGGCGCGTCTTTGGGACGCCTTGGCGGATGGGTCCAACTGGAATAGAGCACGTTCATGGGCCTCGGTGTCGCGAATTAGGGCTGTGATGTCGTGGGAGCCCAGCAGCGCGTTGGTGAAGATGCGGGGCGGAGGGAAGCTGGAGGTACGGGTGAGTGACGGATCATAGAGGGGAGAGGGAGAAGACCCACGGGAGGTCGGCAATGGCATTTGAGGACAGAGCAATCTGCTCCAGGTGGGAATCGAGGAGCGGCATGGTGGTGGTGCGAGTGGTACAAGTGATGGTTTGTCTTGTTTAGTGAGCGCGCGCCAAGGGCAGCTGGGTGTTGATGCCCCAGGCACCCAGGCTGTAGCCAGCAACGCAATCACATTGATCACGGGGATAAGAATGATCATGTAGCAGGACCAGGCATCGGTGCATTAACTGACTACCAGAGAATACTTCCTTATACTCTCTCTGGTCTACCCACTTACTGCAGTCCCTACCCGCACACACAGACACGGAGCACACGCACTCCGGTGGCCACCAGTAAGCTCCCCTGACTAAGCCCGGTTGTGTCTTGCGCCCGTCCATCCCATCTCTTGACATCACTCTCTCTTCTTCCATTTCCATCCATCCCCCTTCGCCCCCGGCCATCGTCTCTGTACATTGGCTGCCTTTTCGTTTCGGATTCGTTGCTACTTCGTGTCATCGCCCTGTGCTTCGTGCTCCGTGCTCATCCCCATCCCCCTACTTCTTCCCGTTGTTAGCTTGGTGGCTGCTCAGCTGAGCTCGAACAGCTCGGGACAAGATGCCGGAGAGGCGCTCGTTGCGATCCAACAACAAACCGGACGCTAATGGTGACAAGGCCCGGTCCAACTCCCAGAAAGACACGGCCGCGCCGACCACTCGTGCCGCTGCCGCCAAACAGGCCAAGTCGGCTCCGGCCAAGAAAGGCGCCTCGGCCAAGGGCGCGTCGAACAAAGACATGGGCGAGAATGAACACCTCAATGGGAATCCGGTCGAGAATGGTGTGAATGGCTCCGAGGATGTGGAGATGGGTGAGGATACGGCAGGTGCGCCTCCATCCTCTCAGAGCAACACCAGCAAGGATCGGAAAGGTAACGAGAAGATGACTGTTGTAGTGCCCCCGACCAAGGGTTCCAAATCATCTGGCAAGGCCCCCCAGGACAAGGAGGAGGATGTGACGATGGAAGGTGCTGAGGATGAGGGCGCTGAGAAGACCGAGCCCGAGATCGATCCGACGGCCAAGGCAATTCAAGGTACAGTTGGTGTTCGGGAGGACCTGACGAGCCAAGAACTAACTGGTTGTAGATATCAAGACCAACTTCACTTTGCTCGAGCGAGCCGTCACCCACTTTGATCCCAGATTCACCCTCCGTGTCCTGCGGTCGATCTCCTCGATGCGGAAATACATCACCCCCGAGGTCCTTTCCGAAATCATCGTCGACACGTATCCTGCCTCCAGCCCCACGGCATCGTTCTTGCTTGATGCGATCGACCAGAGTGGAGCATTTGAAAGTGCGCTGGCCAGCTCGAAGATGGACGTGGATTCGGACAAGAACAAGGTTGCTCCCAAGGAGATCCTTCCCGAGGTGGACGCGTACCTGTCCATCCTGGTTCAGATCTACCTGTTCGACAAGCGGGAGATCCAGAAGGGGGCGCAGTTCTCGATCGATCTGATCGAGCGCCTGCGCACTCTCAACCGCCGTACGCTGGATTCTCTGGCAGCCCGTGTGTACTTTTATTACTCTCTGTTCTATGAGCAAATTGCTCCGCTCCCTCCTCCCTCTCCCTCAGCCGCTGTGACGACGATCCGTCAGCCGCTGCTGACGGCCCTTCGCACCGCTGTTCTTCGCAAGGATGTCGACACGCAGGCCACCGTGATGACGCTGCTGCTGCGCAACTACCTGTCCACCTCGCACATCACTCAAGCCGATCTGCTGATCTCGCACAACCGCTTCCCTGCTGCTGCCTCCAACAACCAGATTGCCCGCTATCTCTTCTACCTCGGTCGAATCCGCGCCATCCAGCTGCAATACACCGAGGCCCATAGCCACCTCATCGGGGCCACCCGCAAGTCTCCCGCTAGCCACAGTGCCCGCGGGTTCTATCAAGCCTCTCACAAGTTGCTGGTGGTGGTCGAGCTGTTGATGGGTGATATCCCGGACCGCTCGATTTTCCGCCAGCCGACTCTGGAGCGGGCGATGCACCCATACCTCTTGCTTACCCAGGCAGTCAGCGTGGGTGACCTGGACGGATTCTTGAACATCGTCAACACGCACAGTGCAGCGTTCCGGAAGGATGGCACATACACTCTCATCCTGCGTCTGCGGCAGAATGTCATCAAGACCGGGATCCGGATGATGTCACTGTCCTACTCCCGCATCTCGCTGCGGGATATCTGTCTCCGCCTGGGACTGGACAGCGAGGAGTCGGCCGAGTATATTGTGGCCAAGGCCATTCGGGATGGTGTGATCGAGGCGACATTGGACCACGAACACGGGTTCATGAAGAGCAAGGAGGTCGGCGACATCTATGCCACCCGGGAGCCCGGCGAGGCGTTCCACGAGCGCATCCGTGCCTGTCTGGCTCTGCATGACGAGAGTGTCAAGGTGAGTTTGTGTCTTTTTCCCCAGATATTTGTTTTCCTAACGGGATTCTCTCCAGGCCATGCGATTCCCCATGAACCAGCACCGTTTGGAGTTGAAGAGTGCGCAAGAGGCCCGGGAGCGAGAGCGCGAGCTGGCCAAGGAGATCCAGGAAGGAGACATGGACGACGAGGATGCCGGAGGTGATTTCGACGCCATCTAAGTAAGTCCTCAGAAGGAGGACGTGTGTTTCATAATCCATTTATCTCTTTTTTCTTCCCCTGGTCCCCTGCATGGGTCTCTACGCCTAAGCGGCCTTCTTCCACCTGTGTTAGTTAGTTCGTGCGTCGCTTTTTCTTTTTCTCTCGTTGTGTGCTGGGATGTGTACGAGGGGGAAATGCCGTGTCTCTTCTACTGGTTTGCATACGATTGTCCTCGATCTATTTTCGTAGTTGTATACTTCGTCGTAGTTGATCCTGACGAGAGGGCCGACGACCACTAGTAGCTGTGAGGTGGTCCGTGCAGTTACCGAGCTTCGTCGAAAACTTCCCGCGTCCCATGATAGATTAGTCGACTGTTTTTCACCATTCACCATTCATTTCCCCCATCTTCTGCTACTCTCTCACACTCTTTCTCTCTCGTTGTCTTATTGATGGGCGTCATCTTGACTATATAATTGGACCATCCCATCACCCTTCCGGCCCTGCAGCATCGAGCATGCCTCGAACCGTCACGGCCACCGGGCTGATCCTCTCATCACGAGCGCTCTCAACGCCCACCGTATGCGCCCAATGCCTCCGCGATGACCTTCGGGCAACCTACACAGCCATTCAATCCCGACGATACCGACCCACGCGCCGGAAAGATGTCTCCCCATTCGGTGCCGCCGTGTCCGCCGCCCAGACCATCTTCAAGGGCCTGCCCAAGGCACCGCCAGGCATCTCCGTCGACCCGCTGCGAATGGTGGGCAAGGAGCTCAAGTTCCTGACCAAGAACATCCGCCAATTGCTGGGCTCCGGTCACCCGGCCCTGGACAAGGTCGCCAAGTACTACACCCGCAGCGAGGGCAAACACATGCGGCCCATGCTGGTTCTGCTCATGTCCCAGGCCACAGCCCTGGACCCGCGGAAACACCACACCCACCCGAACACAACCCCGGTCGACGACCCGTTCAGCGCGACCTCGATCCTAGACGACGCCAACCCCGACGCCAACCCGCTGGTGGCCCGCTCCGCCGAGGCCCAGTATGATTTTGCGGGCGACGACAACATCCTGCCCTCGCAGCGGCGGCTGGCGGAGATCACGGAGCTGATCCACACGGCCTCCCTGCTGCACGACGATGTCATCGACAACGCCGTGACGCGCCGCGCGAGCAGCTCTGCCAACCTCGCATTCGGGAACAAGATGGCCGTGCTGGCGGGCGATTTCCTGCTGGGCCGGGCCTCGGTGGCCCTTGCCCGCTTGCGGGACCCGGAGGTGACAGAGCTAATGGCCACCGTGATTGCCAATCTGGTGGAGGGCGAGTTCATGCAGCTGAAGAACACGGCGCAGGACGAGTCCAACCCCGTGTACACCGACGAGACCCTCTCCTATTATCTGCAGAAGACGTACCTCAAGACGGCCAGTCTGATCAGCAAGTCCTGTCGCTCGTCGGCCGTGCTGGGCCGCAGTGCCCCCGAGGTCATCGAGGCGTCCTATCAGTATGGCCGGAACCTGGGCCTGGCGTTCCAACTCGTCGATGATCTGCTGGACTACACTGTTACCGAGGTGGAGCTGGGCAAGGCCGCCGGTGCGGACCTGGAGCTCGGCCTGGCCACCGCGCCGCTCTTGTTTGCGTGGAAGAGCAACCCCGAGCTCGGTCCGCTGGTGGGCCGGAAGTTCCGTGAAGAAGGCGATGTGCAGAAGGTGAGTCTTTCCCATCACGTTCTTTTCAAAAACGTGGATACTAACGATGACTCTCTAGGCCCGTGAGATGGTCTACCGCAGCGATGGCGTCGAGCAGACCCGCGCCCTGGCCCAGGAATACGCCGACAAGGCCGTCGCGGCGATCAGTGACTTCCCCGACAGCGAGGCCAAGGCGGGCTTGATCGAGATGGCGGAGAAGACTATGCGCCGCCGGAAGTAGGGGATTGCATGGATCCTGCTGTAAAGATATCGATGTTTCTTCTCTCCTTTTCTTGACTTGGAGCACATGTATACCTAGATTTTAGAGGCCTGAACTGATACATATGAATTGGACTCTCTGCTTGCAACCTATCCCGAACTGGCGTATGGACCAAATATAACCAGTACTATCCAGTATACCTGGGAGTCTGGTCCCTGATCGGTTCCTGACAGCTGTACAGTACTTCCAGCGGGGTAAGTTATGTTTGTAAGGGCCTATACTGTATCAATACAGTTGTTACACACGATGATAGCCGTTACATACCCTGAAATACCCATACCGCACCCGCGCCCGCCTTATCCGTGTCATCGATCTGCAGCTCCGCCCTCTTCCTGCCCGTCTCTCTTGCTACAAGCTACTAACACATCACAACATTCCTCACTCGTTCGTGTCTGTCTTCTGTCCTGCGGAGCCGGTCTCTTTGTCAGTTTTTGCCTTTACTCTGAGAAGCTCGTTCGATCCCTCTCTCTCCAACTCGAGCTCCAAATGATGGAGCTTTCGGCCGTCCCGCTCTGATCGACTGGTTCCCGATGGGTTCGCTCGGCAGCTTCCTGATAGTCTACGTGCTCGGCGGAATCACCTTCCTCCCGATCGTGCTAGCGTTGCTCATTCTCCATGCCATCCTGACCCTCCCGCCTGCTCCGCGCCGCAGCGATTCCGCCCCAGCCGTCCATTCCCTCAGCCGACCCGCCGACGACGAGTATAGCCTCAAGTCCGGTACGGACCAGCTCGCCGAGCAGTTCCACCGCACGCACGTGTCCGATGTGGCCGCGGGCTATTTTGCCGTTTGTCGCGAATATGTCCCCGGCGGCGTGAATGGGAAACCTCCTGAGCGGACCACCCCGGCGGGCGAGGTCGTGGCCGCCGAGAGTCCCAGCGTTTATCAGTCTATGTACCGGAGCTTGTTTGATCGAAAGCAGGCGCCGAGTATCGAGCCGGCCAAGTCGAATGGGAAGAGCACGAAGCGCGCGCGCAATGTGTTTTATATTGTGTTGAGACATGGCCATCTCATGCTCTATGACGATGCGAACCAGGTCGAGGTGCGATACGTCATTTCGCTTGCTCATCACGACGTGAGCATCTACAGCGGCGGCGAGGAGGATATTCCCGAGGGTGAATTGTGGCTGAAGAGAAATGCCATCTGTCTCTCGCGGCGACTGGATTCGCTGGGCGATCTGGGTGGTCCCACGCCGCCGTTCTACTTGTTCTCGGAGAATCTGTCGGAAAAGGAGGATTTCTATCATGCCATGCTGCATAACCAGTCACGCATGTGGGACTCGGCGGATCGCCCGCCTAAGTATCAGGAGTTTGACGTGAAGGATATCGTCACCCTGGTGCAGCGCCTGCATTCGTCGGAAGAGCAGTTGCAGACGCGGTGGATTAATGCGATTCTGGGCCGCTTGTTTCTGGCGCTGTATCGGACGCCGGAATGGGAGGAGTTCATTCGGGGCAAGATCACCAAGAAAATCTCGCGCGTGAATAAGCCCAGTTTCGTCAGTCGCATTGGCTTGCAGAAGATTGACCTCGGCGAAGGCGCGCCTTTAATCACCAACCCGCGACTCAAGGATTTGACCGTTGACGGCAACTGCTGTGTCGAGGCTGACATGCAATACACGGGGAACTTCCGGGTTGAGATCCAGGCCACAGTGCGAATTGATCTGGGTCAACGGTTCAAGGCACGGGAGGTGGATATTGTGTTGGCTGTCGTGCTGAAGAAGCTGGAAGGTCACCTCTTGGTGCGGGCCAAGCCTCCGCCCAGCAACCGATTCTGGATGGCCTTTGAGACCATGCCCCGGATGGAGATGGACATCCAGCCGATTGTCAGCTCCAAGCAGATCACGTACGGCCTTATTCTGCGCACAATTGAGAGCAAGATCCGCGAGGTCGTGGCTGAGAGCATCGTCCTGCCGTTCTGGGATGATGTTCCCTTCCTGGATACCCTTGGCCAGGCTTTCCGCGGTGGCGTCTGGCAGCGCGATATCCCCGAGCCAGACCTTCGCCCGGAAATTCCGGATGAGTCTGAAAGTACGGTGCCGGGAACGCCGAAGAGTGTTCGCGCAGAAGGAGGAGCGGAGGTGCTCAAGGCCAAAGACGAGAAGACGATGAGCATGCCCGTTCTTCCGGATCCCAGCGTAACCAAACTCAAGTCACGCAAAGGGCCCAAATCTCCCATCTCGGAACGGTTCTCTCATTCGCCTTCCGCCTCTTCCACCGGGATCGATCGGTCGGATAGCGTGCCGTTGCCTCGAGCCATTCGAACTTCGCAGACCTTCTCGCTTGCGGCCGACCCGGTCGTGACGGCGGATAATGCCAAGGTCGACCCGGTGGTCTCGGAGAGCAAGGGCGAGGAAAAGACCAATGCGACCAGCTCCATGATTGAAATCCGAAACCGGTCGCCGCCTGCATCGCCGTCTCACACCCCGAGCAGCTCGCCGCCAACGGCTGGACCCATGATGCCAGAATATGCACTGCACAGCCGCGAACCGTCCATCGCGGAGTCGATCGACAGCGTTAGCTTTGTCAATGACAACGCCATTGAACGCCCTTCTCCTGCCCGACTCGAGAGCAACTCTTTCTCCAGCTTGAGAAGCTCCCGCGGCAGTTCATCTACATCGGTTGCAAGCGATAAACCCAAACGGCGAAGCACGATCGAAACCATCACCAGATCGATCACGTCGGCCAGCTCATCAGACGACAAGCCCATGACCATTGGAGCCGCTACCGCGGCCGCAAAGAAATGGGGCTGGAACGTCTTCGGCAAAGGCGATCAGAATGGTCCTTCATCCGAGCAGCGTCACGCAGGAACCCCCGACCAACCGATCGGACGCGGCCATCCTCATCCAGCGCCCGGAGCGCCCCTTCCACGCCCCGAGAAATACTCTCTGAAAAAGACGCAGGCGTCTCTCCCCAAACGCAAGCCCGTTCCCCCGCCGTTGCCCGACCGTCCTAGAACCGTTGGTGAGCAGCGTCGCCCCGTGCCGCCTCCGCCGCTGCCGCGCAGGAAACCGGCCCCGCCTACCGTGCGCACAGATGGTGGTAGTGCGGATGAGTTGCTTGTGGTCGAGGCGCCGCGGGACTCGGAGCCGAGTAGCCCGGCACTGGGTGAGTTGCAGGAGGATGGGCGCTTGCCAGAGGAGGCACAGGAGCCGGAGCCGGAGCAGAGTGCTGTTTCTGAGATATCGACCCCGGTTGAGTCGAATACAGTTGACGACGAGACTGCGGGTTCCGTGGAGAGTGAACCCCCAGTCCCAGCTGAGGAGAAGGCTGCTGCTTCTGTTGAGGAGAGCGATACACCCACCCCGGCGGATTTGACTACTACCACCACTACTGCTGATGATGATGAAGAAGAAGATGAAGATGAATGGGAGGGAGAAGCCGGACAAGAGATTCCGTCTCTGGGCGCTGTGGATCAGACGCCCTCCTCGACGGAGGATAACGGCATTGAAGAAGCGTTGCCGCCGACCGAACATGCAGCGCCGGCGCAGTCTCTGGAGACGGAACCCACACCTGTGTGATTATGAACGTGAGGCGTTTGGGAGTTCATTGTATGGTTGGTTCTTGATATCCGCTTAGAGCGTATAGTTTAATGAATCTTTTCTATTCTCAATAAACATCTGCCTATTCCATGACGCGTCGAGCAGCAAGGAGTAACCAACCCTAGAAGTATACACTTTGCGTACGGAGTGGTGCCAAGACCCGCGCAGGCGCCAACTTTCCGTTCCGTGGGCCAACGTCATTTCATGCTCCAGGTCCACGTGTGTCTCCTTCTTCATCCTACACTTCTTCCCTTGCGGTGACCAGCGCAGGCTTTTCTTTGCGCTGTCTGGGTCTGGGTTGATTTCTCCCTGCGATTACCTCGTTGACTTCCATTGCCCCTGAACATCTCCGTCTTCCCCCCCCGACTGCGAACCCCACGGCCACGATGAGTCGGTACGCTAAACCCGATCGCCCGGTGATACATTGCCTGCGCGGATAGCTTGCTAATTGACGACACAACAGGACGGAGGCCGATTTGGCGATTAATATTCGCAAGGCTACTAGTATTGGTGAGTGGTGGTGCCAACGCTCCCGGGGTGTCCTGTCGACTTCAATGAACGAAGCGACTCCCCGCCAGGAAGAAGACCCTGAACTGACAATTCTTTCGCTCGACAGAGGAAACTGCTCCGAAACGTATGTGCTGATTCCCGCGTCCAATCCTCACGCTCGCGCCGCCCTTATCCTTATCCCTTCTTGTCGAGTCCCCCGGACTAACACGCCCCGGCCACTAGGGAAACATGTGCGGAGCTGTATCGTTTATACCTGGGACCACAAGTCGTCGGCTGCCTTCTGGGCGGGCATGAAAGTGTACGTTGATAATTGGTTGATTGCGGTGCCGTGATCAGGAGGAGTGGTGGACCGGGGCTGACATCGCCACCTACAGACAGCCTGTCCTTGCCGACGAGGTCCAGACGTTCAAGGCTCTCATTACGATACACAAGGTTCTGCAGGAGGGTCATCCCATTGTTGTCCGCGAGGCGCAGCAACATGCCAATTGGATCGATAGTTTGATGCGAGGCGTTGGAGGGGAAGGCATGCGAGGTATGCGCGGACAGTTTCATAGCTGCTGAGGTATCGCGGATGTTGACCATTGCTAGGATATGGCCCGCTTATTCGGGAGTATGTCTTCTTCCTGGAGTCGAAGTTGACCTTCCATCGCAACCACCCGGAGTTCAACGGTATGTTAGGGAAGAGCGTTTGAGGGCGACTGTTAGCTGACAGTTGTAGGTCTGTTCGAGTACGAGGAATACATCAGCTTGAAGTCTATCAATGATCCAAATGAAGGGTTTGTGTGGAAATACTCGATCAACAGGAACTGAGCGCTGACTGCTCGACAGATACGAGACCATCACGGATCTGATGGCTCTTCAAGATCAGATCGATGCTTTCCAGAAGCTGATCTTCTCGCACTTCCAGTCAGGCACGAACAATGAGTGCCGGATCTCGGCACTGGTGCCTCTTGTTCAAGAGAGTTACGGCATCTACAAGTTCATCACGAGCATGCTGAGAGCAATGCACACAACCACCGGAGACGACGGGGCTCTCGAGCCGCTCCGTGGCCGATATGATGCCCAGCACCACCGTCTTGTTCGGTTCTACTACGAGTGTTCCAATCTGCGCTATTTGACCAGTCTCATTACCATCCCGAAACTCCCGCAGGACCCGCCGGGCTTGTTAGGCGAGGACGACGATCGCGGCCCGGCTCTGCCAAAGCGGCCCACTAAAGAAGTTGAGCACGAGCCTACTCCGCCACCAAAGGAACCAGAGCCGATCAGCGACTTCTGGACCACCGAAGCTCGCCGTCAACAGGAGGAATATGAGACCGAACAAGCCCGTCTGCAGCAGCAGTGGGAGGATCAACAGCGACAGCAGATGCTTGCTCAGCAGCAGGCCCAGCACGATTTCGAGGAGCAGCAGCGCCTTCAGGCCGAGCAACAACGGCTGGCTCAAGAACAGCTCCTGCGCGACCAGTACTCGACTCAGACACAGGGCCGACTGGCCGAGCTGGAGCGGGAGAACCTGAACGCGCGCGCCCAGTACGAGCGCGACCAGCTGATGCTGCAGCAGTACGACCGTCGCGTCAAGGACCTTGAGGAACAGATGAACCAGATCCAAAACAACCTCAACCAGCAGAATGCCTCCAAGGACGAGCAGATCCACTCCCTGCAGGAGCAGGTGAACACCTGGCGGGCCAAGTACGAGGCCCTGGCCAAGCTGTACTCGCAGCTCCGACAGGAGCACCTGGATCTCCTGCAGACCACCAAGAGCCTCAAGCTGAAGGCCGCCTCGGCGCAGGAGGCGATCGAGCGCCGCGAGAAACTGGAGCGCGAGCTCAAGACCAAGAACTTGGAGTTGGCGGATATGATCCGCGAACGGGATCGTGCCATGCATGACCGTGATCGTCTGACTGGTTCCAACAAGGAAGAGCTGGAGAAGGTCAAGCGGGAGCTCCGCATGGCGATCGAGCGCGCGGAGAATGCTGAACGGCAAAAGGGCACGGAGATCTCGTCTATGCTGTCCAAGTATAATCGTGAGATGGCCGATTTGGAGGAGGCTCTTCGGGTGAGTTCAAAGTTAATGTGGCTGTGCTGTTTCTATATGCTGACCTCCTGCTCTAGACCAAAACCCGAGCCCTCGATGAATACTCCAGAGGCAATAACGAGCGACAAGGCGACCATGATCTGGCGCTCCGCGAGAAAGATGAGGAGATCGAGGTGTACAAGTCCGGCATGGAGCAGGCTTTGATGGAACTTGAGGAGCTTAAGCTGGTAAGCGGCTGTGTCTCTCGGTTGGTGTATCGTCGTACTCACCATACCTTTCTATGCAGAACCAAGGCGATGCCGACCATGCGCTGGACAGCCAGATCGACGACGTGCTGCACGGCACCGTCGCCAAGATCAACGATATCATTGATTCGGTGTTGCAGTCCGGTGTCCAACGCGTGGACGACGCCCTGTATGAGCTGGACTCGACCATGCAGGCCGGTAACCAAAACGCATCCCCGCCGTATGTGCTGTCGCAGATTGAGAAGGCGTCGGCGTCCGCTACGGAGTTCTCGACGGCCTTTAACAATTTCATTGCGGATGGCCCGAACAGCACGCATGCCGAGATCATTCGCACCGTCTCCATCTTCTCTGGATCCATTGCCGACGTGCTGAGCAACACCAAGGGTTTGACGCGCTTTGCCAACGACGACAAGAGCTCCGACACGCTGATCACTGCGGTGCGCAAGTCCGCCCAAGCCACGGTCCGCTTCTTCCGCGGCCTGCAGTCGTTCCGACTGGAGGGCCTGGAGCCGCTGCAAAAGACCGACGTCGTCATCAACAATAACCTGGAAGTGCAGCGGGATCTGCAGGCGTTGTCCAAGCTGGTGGACACGTTCGCGCCCAAGGGCAGCAAGATCAGCACGACAGGCGATCTGGGCGACCTGGTCGACCAGGAGCTGACCAAGGCCGCGAATGCCATCGACGCCGCCGCGCAGCGTCTGGCAAAGTTGCAGAGCAAGCCGCGCGACGGCTACTCGACCTACGAGCTGCGCATCAACGACGTTATCCTCGCCGCGGCTATTGCGGTGACCAACGCCATCGCAGAGCTGATCAAGGCCGCCACGGCATCGCAGCAGGAGATCGTGCGCGAGGGCCGCGGCAGTTCGTCCAAGACAGCCTTCTACAAGAAGAACAACCGCTGGACGGAGGGTCTGATTTCCGCCGCCAAAGCCGTCGCCGCGTCCACCAATACATTGATCGAGACCGCCGACGGCGTGATCTCTGGCCGCAACTCGCCCGAGCAGCTCATCGTCGCCTCCAACGACGTCGCCGCCAGCACGGCCCAGCTGGTGGCTGCCAGCCGCGTCAAGGCGACCTTCATGAGCAAGTCGCAGGATCGCCTGGAGACGGCCAGCAAGGCTGTTGGTGCAGCGTGCCGCAAGCTTGTGCGCCAGGTGCAGGATATTATTGCCGAGAAGAACCGCGACGAAGGCGAGGCCGAGGACTACACGCAGCTCAGCTCGCATGAGTTCAAGGTCCGCGAAATGGAGCAGCAGGTATTTATTCCCCTTCCCTTCTATCTAGAGTTTGTCCAGTATCAATTGACTAATTGTTTTACTTTGCACTTCAGGTCGAGATCCTCCAGCTCGAGAACAACCTCGCTCGCGCGCGCACTCGCCTGGGCGAGATGCGCAAGATCTCCTACCAGGAAGAGTAAGTACGCCTGGCGATTGCATTTGCGTCTGGCTTTTTCCTTTTCGCATATTGCTTGTGTGTTTGTTCCATCTCGCTGGATGAAGGTAGTGGTCATGTATATCTTGGAAGAATCAAGTATTCCGATTGTTTCATTTACTCTCCAACAAGCTAACCCCCCCCCCCCCCCCCCCCCTTTTTTTTTTTTTTTTTCTCAGCGTCCGTCCACCAACACACAACTCCCTTGTCTCATCTGCCCCCTGAAGTCGGTCCCTTGTCGTTTTCAGCAGATAGTCGCGTCGTGTTCCATACCAACGCCTTCAATTCCAATTGCAATTCCAATTTTTCAAAGCCAACCCGTCCGTTCCGAGTTCCCCCTCGTATTAATTTACTTTTGTCTCTCTCTTTTTCTTTGATGCGTCTCATCATCATCATCCACCCGCCGCCCCATTCAGTTAATAGTTTCTCCACCTGTCAGCACCACTCTAGCTCTAGTTAACCAAGTAAACTGACTCGTAACTAGTAGACTTGACTAGGGTAGTACAGTAAGCACCAAAGTTAGTTCCCTAGCCGGCCCCACCGATCCCCCCAATCCATGGACCGTGTCATTTCTTGGCGCAGCAGCAAACAAAGAATATCCCAACGTCACCTCGTCACCTTCGGCAGCCTTGCAGGACATCAAAGAAAGTCGTTGACGCCGCGACGCCAAGTGCGGTGATAGTGGCTAGCCTGCGGAGGCGGCGGGAGAGTTGATTTCAAATTGCTGGGTTTGTTTGCTTTTTTCCTGTCTTTCTTTCTGTCTTTGATCTGGGCTTGGCCCTCGGGAGTGCATGTTTGGTTGGATGGGTGCTAGATTACTGAGACTCAAAGGGAGAAAGATCTGGACTAGACTTGGACTTGAGGAGTGCAGGGTCGTTCGAGGAGAGTATACTCCATCGATACAATTGGTTGCTTCAGAATACCCATCTACGAGGAGATAGTTTACAAGCTGGAAAGGAAGCCAATTTTGGGGGGGATTTTTTTGGTATTTTCTAAATTACATAAAACCTAAACTGGGCGCCGGGGTATGAACAAGAAAGGCATGGGAAGTCTGCAGGAAAACCCCAGTAGGGAAAAAACCCGCGCAACGATCCACCACCAACACCCGTGGATAACTTCTCAGCCTAAAGAACAAAAGCAAATTGACAATTTGGAACAACCACACAACACCACACGCCAGAACCATAATGCCAAGACACCGTGCGCCGAGACACCAGAAACTCCTGCAGGCTTGCAACAAGACAGGAGGTTGACAGACAACGCCGCAACACCACGATGATTGACAAGGCGCGAGTCACCAGACGCCAAAACACCAGAAAACTCCTGCGGACTTGTGATAAGACAGGAGGTTGAAGTTAACATGAGAAAAGTGAGGGACAAGATGACAAGGCGCCGACGAACCAGACACCGAGACACCAGAAAACTCCTGAAGGCTTGTAATAAGACAGGAGGTTGAAAATTCTTTTTTTCCGGGTGATTAGTTTCAATTTTTTTTTTGAATCAGCTTCCGGCCTCTCCCCCGAAAAGAAGACACAAATGCAGACGTGTTTCGGAGTTTTCTGGCGTCCCCCAAGTAAAAAACAGAACAAAAAAGAAGGTCAAGAAAATCAGAAAGGACAAAGCAAAGGAAAGGGTAAGAGTATGCAATAGCTGAAAGGTCAAATCGTGAAAGACTTGAGTGAAAATCGAAAAAGGAAAGCAAGGAAGATGCCGAGAAGATCGCCAACACCCGTCGGGCCACGGCCTCATCCAACCCCCGAGGAGATCAGATCATCCGACTCGCCAAACTAGCATCAAAGCAATGATTGGGGCAAAGGAAAAGCGTTGGTGAAATCCGAATCTGTGTAAAATCGTGTTGTACATGCATCAATCGAAATCGTATCATTCATCGCAGGCCGTGGTGGATCACATGGTGTGAAGATGAAAGGAGGTCGTTCAAACAACGTTCTCATTCAAAAAGTTCTCGTTCAGAAACTCTGGGAACTCGAAGTCAAACCCCACATCGAAGTTCGGGTCGAGAAACTCTGGGTCGAAATTGGGTTGAATGTCGGCGTCGATCACACTGTGGATATATGGGTAAATCTCCTCAACATCCCACTCATCCATGACAACACGAGAAAGGTTGATCGGCTCATTGATGACCACGGTTCCGTTGTGGATTGTAACCTGGGCGTGGTTCAAAGCCAAAGCAGATTGAACAGCTGCGGGGGTCGTGCGTTCCTTGGGTACGCAGTAGTCCACGCTCTCGCAGAACTCGATAACATCCTCAATGTTGATAGGAGGTGCCGCCACAAGCTCTTCCTTGACGCGCGAAGGGCCGGTCTTCATCAAATCGTATCCTTCAGTAGACTTGACGATCTTCCATCCGCTCATCTGGAGATACTCCGCGGGCTCGGGGACTCCAATCAAAGGCGCAGTGAGTTCAATGAAATCAGGAAGCGATGGAGTATCCACATCATAGTCATCGCGGATAGTGGTGTAAGCCTTCGCAAGGATTGCCCACTTTGGCTTCAAGGTCTCCTTGGCCCACAGGTTGCTGATGGCGGAGGACTTGAACTTCTGAGGCATGCCAGGGAACAGAGTGGCATAGTAGCCTATCAAGATGTTAATATCCATGTGGCGAGAAAAGGAGATTGGAGGAATACTTACTTCGGAACACCATGAAAGAGTTCAGAGGACGCAGGCGCCGGGTGGTTCCAGCCTCACGAGCCGGGGCAGGGGCCGGAGTAACAGCCGGGGCCGGAGCAGGCTGCAATTGCTCGTCATCCTCAGCGTCATCTTCAGCGTCAAGTTCAGCGTCAAATTCGGCCTCATAATCGTAAGTTTGAAGCTGTGCCATGTACTCTTGCGGGCGGCGAGGGGGCATGAGACTGAAAATCCCATTGGCATAGATGTAGTACGGGCCAGGCGAGGTGGGAAGAGTGTGCTCAAAAAGCTCCTGCGGGAGAGAGTCGATCACAGTCGCAGCATAGTCCTCCATAGAAGTTGCACTCGAATTCCATCCTGAGAGGATCCGCTGAGCCTCATTGGCATGGAGGCTCGACAAGTAGCCGAAGAACTGCAACTGCGTGAGCGATTCGGTGGTCGCCATCTTGAAGCCGGTTTGTCAAGTACACAAGAGTGTTGATACAGGCAACAAGACAGCCCTCCAGGTCACTTTCACAACGTGACAAAGACCAAGCACCGAGGGCACAAGACTCGAGCGGGATACAGAACAGGTGAAGCCGGTGAAGTAGAGCAGAAGCAGCGAAGCAGAGCGAGAAAGGTAGACGAGAAAGGTGGGATGGGAAGAGAGACGAAGAGGGGTGGGAAGGAAAGGAAGAAAGGAAGAAAGAAAGAGAAGAGAGAAGAGGAGATAAACAAAGAAGGTGGGTGATGGGAACGGGGGTAGGTACTTTCTTTGTTAGGGGACCCGGGAGCCCAACACCATGTCTCGGGGCCGCGCCTTCCTATTCTGTCGACGAGTTTCTTTGTTTGCCTGGCGACGGGCCTGGCAACGGGGGCTGGGGAGGGAACTCGAGGTACCGTTGGAACATCTACTGGTGATGCTGGATGGTATTGCCATACTTGTGATCTTGTGGTTTTTTTTTTTTTATATGGTAGCCCTAACCTGGTGACTCCCGTCCGTCCTAGGTAGATAACCCTGGACAGTTGTATATTATGGGATACAGTTGTTCATCCGATCCCACTTGATTGATTTGCAGGATAAATCACACATCCACCCCTACTGATGAACTAACCGTGGTGTCACTGCATACACGTGGTGGGGCGGAGATCCCGAGAATGCAGGGTCCCCGTTCAGCCCTACGACATGACATAACAGACATTAATTAAATGATCTACCCGCAGAAATATAAAAATATACTATAGAATAACATGGTATTCTTTTGTGTTGATAACTATCTGCAACGAACCCCATGTGCTGGGGTGCTGGGTGCCTCGGCGACATCCATATATGGGATATATGGGATGGCCATTCGAGGGGCCGACTCGATGTTCGCGAGGTACTTCCCTCAAAGTACTTGTGCTTGCCTAGCAACGGCCCTGGTAACCAGTGAATGAACTCCGTGCCTTCCGTTTTGGGAAGCACGGGTCGTGTGCTTGAGGGACCAAACACGACAAACACTAGTTGCTGGGAACAACTACAGTATGGTATATGGCTGTGCTGGTGCTGATAATGGGATATTGGAGGCAGGGAGAGGTCTATATTCGTTTATGTAGAGTCTACCCATATAGCTATATACCCTCTCCAGTCTACACTCAGGCGTTGAGTCTTTTCTTGCACATCCCACTCCAAGTACACACTACAGTATATCCATACACGACAGAGATGGAAAAGTCCATTACAATAGAAATAATAGATATACCCATCGCAGAAACACCAGCCCATAATCCCCGAGATATACCATCTCAATGTTCCTGCGCCGACGAGTTCCAATCGCTCGCCCAGATAAACGTCGGACAGCGCCACTGCGTGCCCTTCTCCTTGTTCCCGCTGGGGCCGAGCGGCCGCGCACAGATCCAGAACGCCCGGCCGCAGTTGATGCCGGGCTTCTTGGTTTTCATGCTGATGCACGGCTCCTGGTGGCCCTCGCATCGGGGCACCGGTTTGCGCGTGAAGAGCTTGCTCCAGTCTTCCTTGCTGACGATCGGGTCGATGACCGTGTCGCTATCTGGCAGTTTGCCTGGCGTAATCGGGGATTCTTCTTGCCCCGTAGGGCCGGTTGTGTGTGGCCCTGAGGGTGGCTGCTTGGATGGACTGGGAACCATGGTCTTCGAAGGCGAGGCGAGGGATGTCACGTTGGGTTGTGCTGTAGCTGCGCCTGAGGTCTTTGGAGGAGAATGCGAAGTTTCGCCGCTTCCGAGGCTCTTCGGCTTGAAGAAGCCCTTTAGTGTTTTTTGTCCAGCGGCAGAGGAGGAGGGTGTTGAGGTGGATTTGGAACGTTTGGCGGACGGAATGGGGGCAGGCTGTGAGCGCTTGCGAGGAATAGGTTTTGCAGCTGGGCTCTCTGCCAGAGGAGGAGCGCTGTCTGTCTCGGAAGGTGTGGATAATGGTGCAGCAGGTGGTTCTGTTTCATGAACGGAAGGAGTCCTCTGCAGGTTGCTTGTGGATCTTGCCAGAGTGCTGGGAGGCTTACGGGCAAACATATCCTTGATGCTCCTCCGTTTATCAACGTCAAACTCTGGGAGCAGACGGCCAGACGTCGGGAGCATGAACTTGGCCGAATATTCTTGCTGACGCTCGCCGCCTTTGAAAGCGCCTGGCGGGTTCATCAGGTCACGGATATGGACGGGCTCGCCATCATGGGACACGATGTCTTTGAGAACGGCATAGACGGGACAATGGTCAGATCCCTGCGCATCAATTAGTAAGTGTGCAAGAGACAGGCAGGTACCAACACATACCATGAGGCCTTCCTGGATATTCGAATCCGCGAACCACTCCTGCATCCCCTCGCTGCAAAGAACATAGTCGATCCGAGACCCGTAGTTTCCGGGCCGAGCATTGATCCTCTGTTCCCAGCAGGTATACATTCCCGCACGATCGGGGTGAAACTTCCTGCAGAGATCATGCAACACCGGCCGTTCTCTACCTTGTTCCCGTTCGCCGATAACTACCCCGTCAGACAGTAACTGGTTGAACAGACGCCGCGGCGGAGTAGATATAAAGTCAGCCTCAGACGTCTGGTTCTTTCGAATGGCTTCCAGCGCATGCGCTGCGTCAATCGCCCCCCGGGAGATGTTGATGTCGCCCGTCACGACCACCCGTTTCCCCAGCGCAACAAGATTTCGAATGCGAGCATCCAGCGCATTGAGAAAGCTGATGCGAAAGCAGTGGCGGCTTTCATCCCGGTTTGCTGGACAATACACTCCGATCAGAACAAAGGCCGGGAACTCGAGGATGACACAGCGTCCTTCCGAGTCGAGAGTGGTGGCATCAATCTCAGTATCGGCTGTGGGTTCTTCATTGCCTTGCTGCTCGTCTGGATCCGAGTCTTCGGACAGAATGATTGGTCGTGCAAGCTGCTCAGAAGTTGGATATCCTCCAATCTGCTGCTCGGCAGGAAGATCCCGGAACGACACTGAGGAGTTGGGCGGACAAAGCACGCCCGTGATGCCCTCCTCGGCGCGAATGGGACTGCATGTCGCGTTGCGCGTGTATATGACCACGCCCGAGTACCCTGTGCCCGCTGTTAAACCACAGACTTGTACAAAGGGGGGCCAGTAGGTAGGCAGCTCTCACCCTTCTTGACTCGGGGGAGACTGAAATAACAATCCCACCCTGGAACCAGGACTATGTCATCGTTGAGGTCCTTTCTCTGGATCTTGGTTTCCTGAAAGACGACAAGGTCTGCCTCTAGGATGTCGAACATGGACTGGACTCGGGATTAGTTGGAGAACGACAAGAACAGAAGATGGGATCGCTAACCGCGAATGTACGCGTTCCTCGCCATGGCTCGTACGAGAATGGGTTCCTGCTCAATCACTCAGCACCGAGTACACTCCAATCTCCAGCTCATGTACCCACCGGATCCCATTGACTGTGGTCCAACGTCAGCGTCGATTCCAGACAGCTCCGATGGAAACGTACCGTTCCAGGTGGTGATACAAAACCCCATGGCTAGCTGCTAGCGCATTCGACGCAGCATATCCTCCGTCTAGTTAAATATGTCACTGCTTCCTTCCCCGTGATATCTCCCATCCTCTCACGTGACCAAACACCAAATGACATAATGACGCTGACATAATACGGACCAAGACGGGAAGAGAAGCACACTGCAACCCGAACCGCCTCAACCTCTCAATTCATTGAATTCACCACTCCTCCCCACTCCACCCACACCCACCATGTTCCCTCAGCGCCCCATCGCCCGCCTGTCCCAGCGTGCCGCGCAGCAGCTGCGCTCGGCCCCCGTTCGCTCGACCGTGCAGCGCCGCCTCAACTCGTCCAAGGCCGAACTGCCTTCGTGGGTTGCCGACAATGCGTTCAACCGCGAGCGCGAGGCTGTGAAGCACCATGCTGCCTCGACTAGCGGTACGTATATCTCTACTGTGATACAATTGTGTCTGTGGGATCGGGGTTTACTGACGAATTGGCTATGCAGGCTTGTGGCTTAAGCTGTCCATCTTGTGCGTTGATCGCTCTCCCTGAACTGAGAGGGGACGGGACCGGGAATTGGAACTAATTGGTCTTACAGTGCTGTTATCCCCTGCCTGATTGGCGGTAGCATCAACGCCTACAACCTCTGGAATGAGCACTGGGAGCACTGGGAGCACATGCCCCCTCTCGAGGAGCGCACCGAGTACCCCTACCAGAACATCCGCGTAAAGAACTTCCCCTTTGGCGACGGTGACAAGGTGGGTCTTTCCTTCTCTGTTTCCTATTGACTGTTTCTTGCTGACCACTGTCTTTGCAGACCATCTTGTAAGTTTCAATTCCGCACCACTCGCGACATACATTTCCATATCCGGCATCCATCTCATTGATTAACCCGAATCTCTCTACCCGACTGTTCCCATTCTGCTTCAATACATACTGACAACGGTTACAGCTGGAACTCCGAGGTCAACTACCACAACAAGGACAAGACCGTCTAAGCACCTCCTTTCCGCGACAGAGCTCGACTCCTCAGCGAGAGTCCCTGAATGTTTGACCGGGAGTGGGGTTTTGGATGCAAAGTATCATGTATATCTATCGCACTGTTGGTCCTTGGAGTGAAAGAATCCTCCGAGGTTATACTTTCAGTCGACACCTTTGAAAAGTAGCTGACAATACTACTGCTATTTCCTTTGTTGCCATCTTCTGCAACGTAGATGTACCCATACAGCTCTTTAACATCGCAAGGCAGTCAGCTGTAGCGATGCTATTTGAAAAATATACCATGCGAGACAGACCTTCCAGATCCACGACAACAAATACGACAAGAATTGATCATTGCATTCGTCCTCGTCCGATATCTATGGCATTCATCATTTATGACCCCCAGCCAACAGTCACGCCCCAACACCCATCTGCTTCCGCAGATCCAGGTACTTGGAGGCATAATCATTCGCCAGCACCGGATCCCCAGTAAGATGCATGACTGTGGCCTTCTTGGCCATCATCTCCGTCTGGCCCTTGATATCCTCGATCTCCTCGTACTGATCATACGCACAGTCGATATACCCAAGCGCGCGATTAATATACTCCTTTCTCGCAGGCGTGCCATCCCTCCCCCTGCAGTCTCCACAGCTCTCCCGCCATCCCCATGTTCGCATCCACGAGCAGCGAGTACGCGCGCGCAATGAGCGCGCAGTCCTCGCTCTCCAGGATCTGGGGCATAATGCTCTCAACCAGCTCGCCGGTTGCGTCGAATTCCCTCAGACTCAGGAGGACGGTGGAGAGCGTGCAGATGGCTTCCCACAGGTCGAAAAGAATCTTGGAGTGGTGGGCGATGCTGGCGGCTCGCATTGCGAGAGAGAAGCCGCGTTGCGGCTGGCCGCAGCGCGAGAGGACGCTCGCTTTCAGGCAGAGGATTTTCACCTGTGAGTGCACGTCGAAGTTCTCGGGGTGCATGGATTGGGCGGCTTGTTCGATCATGCGCAAGGCGCGGCCGTAGTCGCCCTGTCGGATTGTGAATTCGATGGAGTAGAATGCGAGGAGGAGGCGCATGTCGAAGTCGAGGAGTTGGATGGCTTGCAGTTGGGAGAGGATGTGTTCCACGGCGACTTTGTCATCTCTGGGAGGGGTTAGATTGCGGATAAAAACCATGAGCGAGTAATACTCACCGGCAAATCTGTCGTCGTAGCTGTAATAGCCCGGAGTAATATGTCCAGGCATTGTTGTATTGGAAGGCCCGCAGTCTTTCGGGCTCGATTTTGTTCATGCGAGCAGATGCTTCCTTGTAGCTGCCCTTTTGTGCCAGCTGTGCGTCATATCAGCATCTATAGCATCCAATGGAGAAGACTGGACTTACAATTTGGCAGTTCCGAAAGGTGATCTTGATAAAGTCGTCATACGGATGATTCTCCTTGTAGCACTCGCGGAAGACCTCCGTGCCCAACCAGGAGAGGTGGGTGGCCCCTGTCATATAGTCAGTTTTGCAACCAATTTTGCTCGTGGGGAAACCAACCTAAGCGGGCATACAGGGCGCTTTGGAGTAACATGTACCCGCCTGTTGGATTTGTAAGACCCTTGGTGACGTTGATGTGAGAGGCGCGCGCAAAGGACTCGGTAATAGACGCAAGACTCTCTCCCTGCTGCATCTCCAGCTTGGCCTCGCTCAACACCGTGGTACTCATGAGCGACCACATCTCCGTCTCCTTCGACTTGGCCTTGAGGAAGGCAAGACCCTCCTTCTCGTTACCCAGCATACCACTATTCTGGACTTCGCGCATCTGCTCCGGAAAGGCTTTACCGAAATGGTACAGCCAGCTCAGGCAGAAATTCAGACAGTTCATGTCGTGGGACTCGCGGGCAATCGCTACGGCCTCTTGCACGGCTGAGATCGCTTCGCTGAAACATTCAAAGTCCGCTTGGATGATGGCGAGATTCAGGAGCGCGAATTGGTATGCACTGCGGTCAAAGTTGCTGTGCATGGTATAGTCGAAATATCGGTGGAGATTGTCAAAGGCGGATGTATAGTCGCCGGCTTTCCAGGCGTCCAGATATCTGGACCATATCAGCGATTGATATGTTTTGCCACAAGGGAGGAACTTACTCCATATAGTACGTCAGGACTGGTACAGACGACTCCGAGGTTATGATACGCTTCAGGCGAGCTCGCATCTCGTCCGGGACTCTGCCTCCCATTTCTGGGGCTATCAGTTATCTGATCCTCACCCCATGGAGGGCAACATACTTTGCAGTTCCCCGATTTGAAATTCCACCAATCGCTCCGCGTCCTTGGCGCTGACCATGCCCTCCTCATCCTCGTCGTCTTCAATATTGCCATAGACCACCCGAGAGAGGTAGCTGTTCATATCCACGCCAGCACCAAGCAGATTCGCATCCACCGGAGCTTGAGAATTTGACGGATTCCTCCTCGCCCACATATGGTAGGTCGGCAGCCGGTACCTCACAAAAGCAGTCCACAGCTTCACCGCATCACAAAACTGCAACCGCGTATACTCCAGATAGGCGCGGCGCACAAACGCGCCCAAAGGCGAGCTGCGCGAAAGACGCATGCGGTCCGTCTCAGGAGCAAGTCCATCATCTCTCTCCTGAAGCAATTGCTCCCGCGTCTTGGTTAGCAGCGCGGGCAGCGCATCGCTGAAGAAGGTCTCCAGTGCATCGCACGAATTGATGGACCAGATCTTCTTCAGGAACAGATCCCACAGCGTGCGGCCTGGCACTGAGGATTCATGGCCTGACAGGAACTCCTCGAGCTCGGCGATGGTCGGTAGGTAGTGCTTCGTCCACTGCTTATCGGCTGCATCGAGCGGGAAGATGCCCGCGGTCAGGAACGACAGAACATGGATGGCGGAGGTGTTGGGTACGTCGCCGTCGGTGTAGACTGTTATCAGGCACAGCAGAGAGACCCTCCACGGAGTCAGATAACGCGTCATGTTGACATTTTGTTAGTTGGTGTGTCTGAGTACCAACGAGTGTGTCAATAATGAGAGAGTCAAGGGCGCGTGGTGGAACAACAGATAGCTGCCTCAGGCACACCCGGCGGGACGGGGAAAAAAAGTTGCCCGATGACGATGATTCACTTTCCACTCTACACTTCATAATGGCAGACGCTCTCACCACCACTGACCTCCAAGGCGCCCTGCCTCTCGTCGCTCGGGGCAAGGTGCGCGATCTATATGAGGTCGACGACAAGACCCTGCTCTTCGTCGCAACAGACCGCATCTCCGCATACGACGTGATCATGGAGAATGTACGCTCTCATTGATCACTAGCTCCCCTTTCTTCCCACGCATCCAATGCTAATTGAGCTTCAGGGTATCCCGAACAAAGGCGTCCTCCTCACCCTCTGCACCCGAACCTGGTTCCAGGTCCTGACCGAAGCGATTCCGTCGCTGCGCACACACTTCCTCACCCTCGACCTCCCGCCCCAGATCCCCGCGCCGCTGCGTCCCGTGCTGCAGAACCGGAGCATGCAGGTGCGCAAATTGCGCATCCTGCCCATTGAGGCCATTGTTCGTGGTTACATTACTGGTTCGGCGTGGAAGGAATACCAGAAGTCTGGCACCGTGCATGGGATTCAGGTTCCTGCTGGGTTGAAGGAGAGCGAGGCTTTCCCCGACGGCCCGATCTATACGCCGAGCACGAAGGCGGAGCTGGGAGAGCATGATGAGAATATCCATCCGGATCAGGGTATGTGGTATTACTTGTTTATAATTCATGGAGATAGACTAACATTTATACACAGCGGTTGCGATTGTCGGAGAACAATACGCATCGACCATTGCGTCGCTGGCAGTGACGTTGTACAAGGCCGCACACACCTACGCCCTCGAGCGCGGGGTCATCATCGCCGACACCAAGTTCGAGTTCGGCGTCGACGAGGAGACCAACGAGGTCGTGCTGGCCGACGAAGTCCTGACCCCGGACTCCTCCCGGTTCTGGCCGAAGGACTCCTATGAGGTCGGGCGTGGCCAGCAGAGCTTCGATAAACAATTCTTGCGCGACTGGCTGGTGCAGGAGGGACTGAAGGGGAAGGAGGGTGTGCGGATGACTGAGGAGATTGCCAAGAAGACGGCAGAGAAGTATAGGGAGGCGTGGGAGATGATCACTGGGGGTAATTAGGGCTGTGAGGTTGTATATTCTTTTTCATGCTTTACGAAATAAACAAATGGCATGTCCAATGTTGTTACATTCTCAAAAGGTAGATAATACACATCAACTCCAAGTAAATATCACTAATCCCACTCCGACTTGAGTCCCTTCAGCCCCTTCGCCTTCCCACCGGTGTTTTTTTGCTGGCCATGGGACTCAGCAGGCTTCTCGTCAGACCCTGTCCAGCCCGTCCGGACACCTTCATCCACCGGCAAAGCATGATCGCCACAGATGCGGCGCTCCTCGTCCGCCTCCGCCTCGCTCATCCCATTCGTCGCCCAGATCTTGTGAATGCGCAGATCATACGGCCCCTCGACCCGGTCCGTCAGCCCGATTCCAATACTCTTGATCCGCTGCCGCAGGAGAGAAGTCTGGGGCTCAACCACGTAGCCAAAATTTGTGCGTACAAACGAGCTGAAGGGCAGCAGAACAGTCTCCCAGCCCGGTGAGCCAGCGGTGGTCGTGCTGGCCGACGAAGAAATCACGGTCGATTCGGGAGGCACGTCGGAAAGAGCAGAGGGGATCCCGTGCGGATATAACTCTTGATTGAGCTCGGGCGAGTCTGACGTTTGGGTGTGGGTGGCTTGTTGGCGCAGAGGCGATGCGCCCTGCACGCGGTGGTGCCGAGTGTAGAGTCTGTGCTGGTGGATGTCGGTCTCGATGACGGAGTCGGTCTGTACGTTCACGGTGTATCGCCGGCCGTCGGACTTGATGCGCAAGGCGAGGTAGGTGTAGGGGTCGACGTCCCAGAAGAGACGGCCGAAAAGCCAGAACCCACGGTCTTTGTTGCGGAATGCGGCGTATCCTGTGTGCCCCGAGCCGATCAGTCTCTATCAATGCAAGCCATCAAATTCACATACCGGTCCGTTCAACTGTCCAGTTCGCGGGGAGTTTTGTGGAAATGCTGCCGTGGAAGCGCGCATGGGCGGGTGTGCTGGATGAGGAGGGATCGGCCGGCTCGTAGTCGAGGCTGGCGGTGCTGAAGCCTCCTACAGCGCGATCGGCCATTGTCTTGCAGCCGTCAATGGTCTCTTTATCCTCGAAGTTGAGCAGGACATATGGCTTGGTCGGTACGTGAAGGGTCTCGGTGTTCCAAGCTGGACCGGGAAATGGTCTGTTAGCAGCACGCGCAGCATGGGGGAGGCGGAAAAGGACGCTACCTATTCTCCCCAGACGACTGAGTTCTTCTGCGCTTCGTTTAAAGAAGCCCTGTCCGGCCGACAGGCACCGTGCTGTTGGGATCATGGCTGGGATGGTGATGGGAAAAGAGGGAAAGGGAAGATAGATGTTCGGATTGAGTGGCGCGAGATAAGGCGATCAGATCAGATAAGCAGAGTGTTTACTTACGATGCAAGTATAACTAACCAAGTGGAACTCTTCTTGTGCCCTACATCGATGTACAATAATGCTCATCCTTCCTGATTACATGGTCCGACCTCTACTGGCCGATTCCAGAGCCTTGATCTATCTGTTGCCTGAACGCACTATCAAGTGTGTTGCGCACATCCAACGTCATGTCGGCGACTCTCTGGATCGTGGTTGACTCACCCGCGTCCCTTTCCGGGAACGCAGGAACCATATACGCTTCTATCTCCTGTCCGTGGAACCGAGGCCCCTATTCCAGCGAGTATGGGCTGCGCCTCTCCCAGCCGCAGCCCAACGTGATGCCCCGACCAGGCATCCGCTGGACTCGACTTTCTTGGCCATGCCTTTAAACTCATCTGGGTCCTCGGGACTGTTATCAAGCGCTACACATTGAGCCAACGGCCCTAAGCCGACAGGGCATCCCCAGATGAAGCCATGGTTGGCCGCGAGACTCCCACCCCTTAGGGCCTAGAAGCCCACCAAAAGGCTTAGCACTTGCAAGGCCAGGCTACTAGTATCCCCGTGGATGATGTCCCCGTCACTATTCCCTTTTCTTGGGCCGGGGCCATATATGCCATATATGCCAGCTTGGTGGCTTCATCGTGTCTGCACGCTTCATCCTCTCGCTTGTCTATACACTTGCTATATACTTCATCCCCGTCGCTCTTTTTCTTGAATATTACACACAATATAACTCGCTCGAGTGCTTGAAGATGACCTCCCAGACAGTATTTCCCAGCTCTGAGCCCTGGTACTCCCGACGGGGGGATCGGGTGAACGAGGAACCTTCAGCGAAGAACGCCCAGGGCTTGTTCCCTCCTGATGCCTGCATCTTTGTTGGCAAGTAAGTCTTACCATCCCCAGTTGTTTCACCTCTGCTGACCGACTTCAATAGTCTTTCAACCAAACTAAGCGCCGAGGAGCAGAGCGACTACTTATCGCGCGCGTTCTGGAAAATCGGCCCTTGCTATGTCAAGATCAAACAAGACAAGAAGAAAGGGCTTCCTGGGGCCTTCGTGCAGTTTGAGGTAAAAATTTATTTTTCCTGCCTCTTCAAATTACCTTGCTACTGACTCGACTTCTGGAACAGTATGTGGAACATGCCGCAACGGCACTGCAATGGGATGAGTTGCTTAAACTGGATGGCCGCTGGCTACGGATTGAGAGGGCAAAAGGAAGACGTAAGTACGCTTGCACATTCAATACTGTTGATAAATACTGATATATGGCTTTCAGGAACGGCATGTCTTGGATTCCGCTCCGGGGAGTCTATCTCTAACGCTGAGGTTGATAACGCACTGAATGGACGTGGCCCTGTGGAGCTCTACACTCTTGAACGCTACCAGTCTGGACCTTACAGCTGGTGCACAGTCTGCAGAGTTACTTTTGCCTATGTGGATGATTGCAGGGACGCTATCAGGGTGTGTCTCTTTGACCCAATTTCCCCAAGCCATGCCAACTAATATAACATGTGTAGCATTTCCAAAAGGACGAGACATACTACATGGTTCTTCTCGACATCGACGGCAACCCACGCGCGAAACAGTCAAATAAATCTGCTCAGGATCTGAAGAAAAAGAACTGGGCGCCTCCTCCTCCCTTTCCTCCTGGTCTTTCTGGGAACAAACCACCCCGATTCAACAACAACCGACCCTACCGCAACGGGCCCAACAATCCAAGAGGCTACAATGGCCCTCCACCACCAATCTACAACGAAAACATGCCTCCGGGAGGCCCATACCCTCCTTATGGTCCACCGCTGCATCCTCAAATGTACCCCGGGATGCCGTTGTATCCCCCCAACGTGCCTCCTCCGATGCATCCCCCAGTCTCCTACCCGGCAGTCTATCCTCCAGCCAGTGGCTGCGGGCCTGCTTCTCCATACTATTACTACCCGCCGCCAGGCCCCATGTACAATCCCGGTCCGCCTATTGCATCGTCACTGCCGGATATGAACGGCGGTGCTATGATTGTCAACAGTCAGCCTATGCCCGTCAGCATGCCACCACCTCCTTATTGTGACCCCTATGCACCTGACATGGGATATCCGCCATACCCTCCACCATATACGATGCCTGGCCCAGCAGATGGATACTACATGCTTGCCATGAGCCCTGAGGGGTATGGCCCGAGCATGGAGTACCGTTTTGCACCGTCCGGCAACAACGACACAAGCTCTGAGAAGACCAATGGAGGAACTCCGCCTGAAGCATCGGAGAAGGATACCGAGAAAGACAAGACCGACGAACCAGAGGTTGATATATACAATCTCCCACCAGAGAAAGCGCCCCGCCTCATTAAAACGCACAACTCGGACTCGAACTCGAACTCGGACTCCTCGGACGCAGAGGAACAGAAACAAGAACAGGAAGAGAAAGAAGACCGACCCTCCCGGCGCGAAAAAAGGCCCAAGAAATTCACCGTCCTCGACACCGTCGTCGAAGAAACAGAATGCCTCCCCCACTCGTCCTCGGAATCAGAAGTCTCCCACTCCCCATCCTTCTCCTTCTCGCCCTCGCCCCCGCTGAACGAATCCCGCAACCATTCCAGCGAGCCTACCTCCTCGCCAGACCCCACAAACCCCCATCTGCAGCGCAAGGGCCTGGCGAGCAAGTACCAGCCCGCGAGCGGGATCACCGTTGAGGAGTACGTGCGCAACGAGGCGAAGACGAAGGCTGCCTGGGCGGATCTGAGTGAGGAGCTTATTGCGCAAGTGATTGGGGAGTTGGAGGAGGAGAGGGTGGATGATAAGAAGGTCGCGCAGTCGCTTATTACTGCTTCTGCGGGTACTTCGAGGAGTTGTTCGTTGACGAGGACTGCATCGTCGAAGTCGATATAGTTTCTTGTTTTTTTTGTCTTTCCTTTTGGTCCGTTTATTAAACGTTGAGGATGTGCTCTATTTCTTTATTTCCTTTTGTTTTTTGTGGATCCAAAAGTTTGTTTTGACTTTTTTTTTTTCTATATGAAACCTGGTTGAATTGAGTTTGTGTCCTTGGATGTGTTTCTTTCCTTCTGTTTCCTTTACAGTTTGATCTGGTCTGTTGTCTCTTGTACCAACCAAAAATGAATGAAATGTTTTGTTTTTCCAAGTTTGCTCAGGAAATATTACCTATGCTATGATTACTGTACTATAAGTGGACAACCCTAGAGTTACCAGAACTCCGTTCAAAATAAATCACCACCGCTCAAGTAAACTTAATATAACCCAATCCAATTGAACTAAACGCCTAGATATGAATAGACGTAATGAATGAGTAGACCGGTAGAATAATACCTAAGATATATGTACAGGGGGATGCGCTTGTTGATGCTGGATGCCGTCCGTGAAAAGAAAAGAAACCAAACAAACCAAAAACCCGAATGCCCGTGTCCCAAGTGCAAAAGGGACGCTGAAGAGGAAATGAAGTAGCAGCGGAAGACCAGACGAAAACAAGAAAAGCAGAATGAATGAAGAAACCTGGCCATGCGAGGGTGTGACGATGTATCCTCCATTCATGCAGGGTTATCATGATCGACATGTAGACGAGTATAAGATGTGTGATCCAGGTGGCAGGTATATGGGAGGAGGAAGTGGAAGTGGTGGATCGGGGGATGTGAATGTATGTTGGTGATAGGCGGGGGAGGAGGATGTATTGGGTAGAGGAGGATGTATAGAGCAGTCAATGGTACGTGCTCAATCATAAGGATACGCAGGATCAAGTCCTAACGCGCCTTGCATCAAAGTAGCTCAGATTGACAGCAGTGTCATTCACACCCACGAAAGGAGCCGCATCTTCCAGTAGTTCCCAGGGACGGATGGGATACGGCCCGACTACTCGACCACGATGTTGAAGACGGAGTCGATTTGCCACGCAGTTGTTGCTCTCGGACAGCCCATTGGGTAACATTGCCGCAGCACCAGCAGCAGGCTGTTGTTGGGCCGCGGAAGATCCAATGGCGGGCGATGGAGCTGGAGTTGACCCCGAGGCTGCAGGGGATGGCATCGAAGCAGGCTGCTGTTGCTGCGAAGCACCAGATGGCCAAGACTCGCCCATTGGGCCGAGCAGATACAAGAAGCGGGAGTCGGTTTGTGATTGGGCGAAAGGGGGGGCACTTTTCCTTCAGGTACCGGGCACATTGATGGCGCACTTCATTGGGAAACACATCAATTAGGGAGGCGGCAACGTCCAGGGCGTGAGTTTGGAGCAGGATCTCTGGGCACGGATGATATTCCTCAGAAGGATTGGGGCGGTGAAAATAATCGGCCGTGGGGTAGAGGCGTAGCACATCACCCGGAAGACGCGACAGCGCGATGCAGATGATTGAAATCAACAGTCGGGTCTGCTCATGCGAAGCACCGGTCTTCACTGCCAGAGAGGACTGGTTGAATGAGGTGCGGTGAATGACAACCATCCTGAGCAAAGCAGAGAACCAGAAGGCGAGCGTTCGCTCAAAATTTGTGCGCGATTGACCAGCCGTCACATCGATCTTCCTGTCCGTATTCTGCATGACAATGATCTTATGCAGGAGCAAGTCCATCCTCTCCACAAGCACAGAAGCCACCGACGGCGTACCCGAGTCGGGGATGCTGCTTGAAAGTTCCTCGATGATGGTGAGGTACAGCTTTGCCGTCTCCAATGATCCAGATGGAGGATCGTGCATCGACTCTTCTGATAGTGGAATGGCGAAAAATTCTTTCTCGGCGCGTTCGCGGATCTGACGCACGGCATCTGGGCTCATTAGCGCAACGAGATCCACCCAGTGAAGTCTCTGCGCCCTCGAGTCTGCCACGGCAGTTTTGAACATCGCGTCCACGATGCTGTCGCGATCCTCATTCCGAGAGTCGGTGTGGAAGAGGATCTGCAGCTTCAGCTGACAAAATGGAAGCGAGAAATCATCGGCCATGGTGGTCAGCTTTTCGACCTCTGCAGTGACAGAGCCCGGCTGCGAAGGGAGGCCAAGAAGAAGACCTAGCGCCTTTTGAAGGACACCCATGGCTGCCGGGTATTGATTGACGAGTTTCTGCATGCAGTTTTGAGCTATAGAGTCGGAATTGCGCACTAGCAGGTCGCGTAGTAACGCCACAATGGAGTTTTCCAGTTCACTTTTCTCTGGGCCACTGCCATTGAGTGATGCTGCGGCATCAGAGACAATTCCCAGAGCTTCCTCAGCATTCTTCGAAAGGAACTCCTGCTGCGCTAATTGAAAGCGGTAGGAAACCAGATCCAAGTACCGTTCACCACCGTCGGAGACCACGAGAAGGAATCGTACAAGATCCGCGGGCAGATCTGCCACATTAGGAATTGACGCTGCCGCCGATTCGGATTGCATGAGCCGTTTCACAAGAAGCAAAAATGCACGGATGGTGACACAGCCGACGCCGATAAGTGGTGGAAGAATGCGAAGTAACGTGAGCCGATCAGGGGACTTCAAATGACCGCAGACCCAGCGAGTCAGGATACTATCGAAGTGCTTTGGTTGGAACGACCTCAGCTGTGCTAGATACCGGCAAGTGTCATTCGCCGACAGCTTTGAATACTCGACAACAGACTCGAGATGATTTGTGAGAGTGCTGAAAACCGTGTCCAGGGTGGGCTCGTCCATGATGTTTCCAGACATGAGGAGCTGATCCAACTTCTCCCGCAACAAGGGGTCCGCATCACCGAATGTGTCGGCGATATGGTCTGAGACTGGGGAGGATGCAGCTATGCCCGACTTATTCTCCATGCGCGAGAGATCTTGGCGGAGAATTGCGACAGTGTTGAGCTCACTGGGTATCCGGAGCCCAAGTTCGATAAGCGAGAACACTAGATCAAGACTCGGCACGCTGAACCTCTTCATAGCGGCGTAGGCGTCAACTAGTCTTCGGTATAGATCTGGGGCGGCGCCTATCACGCTGAGTGAATCGAAGTGATAATATGTTGTGTCTGCCACTGATGCAAGAACGGTGCTGTCGTCACAGGCTGAGGCACATTTCAGCACATCTGCGAGCATGGAAAGATCACCAAACATCTCCAGGATATTGCGGACACCGTAGAACTCGGCAGGAGTCAAGGCAGAGACCGCCACCTTCAGGTCGCTAGGGAATGCGGATTGAGTGATTGATTCGCTAGCATCACGGGTGTGCCCAACGACGCCACGTCGTAGCCACTGGCCAACTTCAGCTTTAACCGCCCAACTTAAATTCGTTGGGAGCGGAGATGGCGATATGTCTGTTTGCATGTGGGTATCGTCAAAGATGCCCGGAAGACGTTGACTGATGTTCTCTTTGACTTTTTCAATGGTGGCAGCCTCGTCTGAGATAGAAAGCCCCGTGCGCGCCAAAAGAGTACTGCGTAAATTGGCAACGTGCTCTGGAAGACGGCTGACGGGAAGTTGTGATATGAGACCGATGTCGGCAGGTAAGTTTTGCTCTTCCCCTAGGTCTCTTGTAATACCCCTGGCCGTTAACCACTGCAGGTATCGCCCAACCGAGAATGTTTGGGACCTGACAAGCTCCGAGATGGCATGGTAGATATTGTCCAGATTCAGTTTCTTGTCATTCCGGGCACGTGTGAGGAACGTAAGCACATGCCCGTCCACGTCGACCCCGGCCGCTTTCCATTTTCGTAATAGGCGAACACCGACATAAACCCGGCAAACACCGTGGCGAAAGGGAGTGGCGAGCCACTCCAGTAATTTGGAAACCAGAGCGGCTTTATCGTCCATGGATTCGAGACAGGCAGAAGAGATGGAGGAAAGGTCGTGTGCGGTGCGTATAGAGTCAAGGAGGCGGATGACTGATTGATGAGGAGAGCGTTGTGAGGCCTGGCGAGACTGCCGAGGACGCTGCACCCGGGTATTTCGTTCTGCAAGACATTGGAAAAAGGCGCGGTTCGCTTTTTGGGAGAAGTCGAGGCATGATGCGATATGATGTTTGTACACGTCCCACGAATTTGGGAGTATGACAGATGAAGGATGTTCGTGAACAAGCTTCTTGACAAAGCGAGAGAGTCGGTCGATGAGAGGCTGTAATGTTTCCAGTTTGGCTTCCGTAGCCTGGCGGAGTTTCTCAAGCAAAATCTCGGCCAACCGGCGACCCCGTCGGCGATATCGCATGAGGCTCTCCCAGTAAATGCCAAGCATCAAGAGCCAGATAGGAATGGTATTAAGCGATGCTGATTCAAAGGACGACAGAAACCACTCCAGGAAATGATCATGGTCAAGTAAGTTCTCAAAGAATAGACGGGCAGTCAAGCCGACCCTGTCACTGCGTTAGCTTTTCCTTCTCATTCCGTAAAAACCATTGACAGAAAACGTACGCGTAGGTCATCTTGGCCTTCCAGTCCGAAGTTTTCGCAGCGCTGAGCACGCCCTCGACGAACTGCTGTACGTTCGTGGTCCAGTCTCGCACCCATTTCGCCTCTAACCCGACTGCCAAGGCACCGCTCGTGCCTTTCCGCTTAAAGGCCCGTATTTCATTGGCACCAACGCACTTTGCCAGCCAAACTGCTCGTGCCGCAGGAATCCACTTACCCAAGCATTGGTCAAGCAGAACCTTGCCTCGGATACCGTGGGGAATGGTTCGGCTCAGTCTGCGCAGGGGCACAGAGGGGTTGGCTAGATCCCGGAGCCAGGTCTCCCGCTTATTGTCCGTGAGGGTGACCCGGGGCGGCGGTTTGAATGTTGATGGCGCATGGACGGCGTTGTGATTCTGTCGTTTTTCAAGAGTAGCGGTGAACACAGACGAAAGGACATGTAGTCCAGCGCGATGCTTCAATTGCGAAAATAGCGCCGGGCGAGCGGTATTGGATTCATTCTGCGAAACCTGTGTACGGTCGTAGTAGCCTTGTTTTGCAGTTTGTTCGTTTAGCAGGTCTTCCGGGTGGTTTCCGGTCCACGGCACGAAATCGGCGATTTCTAGGGCGAGGGTCAGCAATCATGTCTCTCAGTTACCAAAGACCGAAATCCTCACTCTCTCCCTTGAGAACTGGGGCTACCGAAGGCACCTCAATGTGGTACGGGGTCGTTTGCACATCCTTGACGGGCGAACTTTCCCGAGACCTGGAATCGCGGTTCGCCGAGCGTTCCGCCAGGGCGGTTTTCCACGGCTGAACAGGCAATGGAGGCGGCGATGCCGCACCATTGCCACGGTTCTCGCCTCCAGGCAATTCTGCGATGACTGCCTGGAACGACCACAGCGGCCGGCCGCGCCACGAGACTGGAGGTGGTCGTGAATTCCCACTGCCCGGGGTACTCCTCGCCTCCGCCCCTGCAGCGGCTCCATCCATGACGCCCGTGTTTCCCGGCATCTCCAATCTGGGGCGTTTGGCGACCGGTTCTCCTTGCGACTCGAGACCATCGGCTAAGTCGACGACGGCCGAGGATCGGCCCGACATCTGCGAGGGTTGCGACTTGTCCGGGGAGTCATATTGCCCCTGGCCCTGGCCTAGGTCCCCGCGCCCGGAGCCTCCCTGATTGAAGGCCCGGAGCGGATGGCCCCATGGCTGCTGGCCGGTGGAGGAATGAGGGATCATGATAGGGACATGATTGTTGATAGCGAGGGATTCATTCGGTTGGGTAGGGGAGGGTGGATTGGATGGTAAGGTCTCACGGAGGAGGAATGGCCATGGACGTGACTGCGAGGCTGGGAATCGAGAGAAATGTCGAGTGAAGGCACACCTCCAGGGTGAGAGTGAGTCGGTTGCACAAGTCGTAATCTTGGGGCAAGGTGTTTATCGGTCAGTGATAACGTAAGGCTCCGTGCTGCTCCGTGTGATCCGCGGCATTTGGGAATGTGGAGGAAGGGCGAGTGGTTCCATAGTCCGGTAACTGCTTGATCGAATCATCCACGAATAATAGGATGTGTTATTTACTCTACGTAGGTAGTACTGCCGGACCTCGTCGTCGTGCCTGACATAGTAGTGGTCTTGATGTTTTGCCACATCGAGTATCTCGACCCGAGGCCTGTGCTTACTTCTCGGCTATCCCTGAGACGACAGGGTTCGCGAGTAATCATGGAGTTAGTGTGAAAAAAGCAGTACACTAAGGCTAAATTATTTGCCCATAATCATAGTCATATGGTTCTAGACCTGGTAGTACGTGGCGTGTAGTGTGGTCTCTCTAGCGCGGTTCTCCAGTTCCGCCGGCAACTCCGTTATCTCGCACTCCACACCTTCCACTCCCGTCACTTCCTCACCCCCCCCCGGAACACCATCACCATGTCGAAGAAGGACATGCGCAGGGCTGATCTCGGTGTGTATTGCATCCGGTGTCATTGCCATTGGTGCCAGGCTAACCCACTCTCCCCACTCCAGCGATCCCCTATGTCGAGCCCCCCAAGAGCGACAGCGATGGCGACATGAGCTGTACATCCTCCCCTTCCGTGAATCTTGCCGTCAATGGAAAACTGATCAGGTGATCCAATAGCAACCATGTCGAGCACTATGCCCATGGCAGCGGTAAGTGCTGGGTCGGGCGTGTCTGGGTCCCCGTCGCATGCTAACCCTCTCGCCCCCAGATGTTCATGAGGAACCGGTGAGTCGGCCTCACTTTTCTAGATGGAATACTGTTGTTGACAGCAGTCGCCTCCGCAGAATGGTTGGATGGTAAGTGGGCAGTGGCACATTCCATTCCCATTGACTCTTCCTCCGTGTTCTAACCGCTGCCTCTCCAGGGTTGCATTCGTCTTTTCTCTCCAGACCTGGTTGGCAGAAACCCCGTCGCAGAAGAAGAAGGCTTCCACGCCGGCATACATGTCGGTTCTGATGTCCTGTTCGTATCCTGTCCTACACTCTGACCGACCAAATTACTGACTTGCGGTGTTTTCGATAGTGATGGCATTGGGCGTGGTATGTCCTGAGTGTCGCATGTCCTTGTCCCGATTTCTGACCACTACTCCCAGACCTATCTGCCGCTCTTCCTGCCTCCGCCCGCCGCTCGGGCTCCCGCTGCGCCGGCTCCTGCCCCTGGAGCATAATTCACCAGAGTCTCTCCGCCACAGCCATTGCTTGCAAAAGAAGAACCAACGTGCAAGGGAAGGAAGATTATTTTCTACGTGTGTGTTATATAATATTATTGTACCAATATTATACGCTTGCCATCCGGGGCGCATAGATGCATCCGTAATACATCCTAGGCGAGTCGAGTCACGTGCCACGCGGGACAAAAGGCGCTCGCCCACTTCTTCTTTCCTCTTCGTCAACCCATTCAGCCTCCAACCCAAACTCCTCGCACTCTCACCCTCCCGCGCGATCGCTTGATATTTTCCAGAGATTCACTTCCCAGACTCCACTCTCTTTACAAACACTGCTTTTAAGGGCCGTTTCCTGCAAAAGTCCGAGTTTATGTCCATCGAAAACCTCAAGACCTTCGGTGAGTTGGGTCGCCACCGTTCCCACCCTCCCCTCCTCTCCTCTCCCCACACCGGTTCTGCTACGCCGCACAACAACGTGGTTTTTTTTCTTCTGTACGCCAAGAGACAATACTATCCTGGTCTACCTAAGAGCCTTACCAGTTGGTGTTGAGCACGAACGTTGCCAGTCCCCCATCGCTGCGGCGGGGTAGAAATTTAGTCCTGGACTGAGCTGACCCTCTTGCCTCCCTCGCAGACCCCTTCGCCGAAGCTGACGAAGACACCGGCGAGACTAAACAGTCTCAAAACTACATCCACATACGGATTCAGCGTACGTCTTCCCCGTCACACGGTCGCGACCCGACCGCGCTTAGACTTAGGGGGCTGTGTTGCTAACCGCCGGGTTTCATACAGAGCGCAATGGTCGTAAGACTCTGACCACCGTGCAGGGTCTTCCTAAGAAGTTTGATCAGAAGAAGATTTTGAAGGTGATCAAGAAGAAGTTCGGTAGGTTTTTGTTCTTTTCTTGGTTTCGAGTCCTGTCGCGTGCTAACGCCCCACTTCCAGCTTGCAATGGCACCATCGTCAGTGACGTGGAGATGGGCGAGGTGATTCAGCTCCAGGGCGACCAGAGAAAAGATGTTCAGGAGTTCTTGACCGACAAGAAGGAGGGCCTCGAGCTGGATGCCAAGACCATCAAGGTATGTCGCCGTCGACACTCCCCTCCCACCATGACTCCAATTCTCACCTGTGCCGTGTCTAGGTCCATGGGTTCTAATCCCGACACCATGCCTTGTTCCCGTCCCTTCTCCCCCGTCTATGTTGCCCTGGGAGCGGTGGGATAGGAGGCGCGCTTTGTATCCCTCATCCCGCTGGCCATGCACATTTGGCCCTCGCAACGATCAAATGCTCTGCATCCTATTTCCCCGTCACTCTGAGCCTGGCATATTAGACCTGGGCCACTCGTCGACCTGAACACTGCTATCCACCTTGCGTTTCCCCCCTGCTCATGTTGCACGGGGAAGAGCGCGGGTGCTCGTCGGCTCGAGACCGCTATTTTTAGGATGGGATTATGACGGAACGAGGCGTTGGTAGATACCCATATCTGCTCAGACAGACGATGCTTTCCATTCATGACTCGCGTGTTCCTTTTTTGTGTTTGTTTTCGTTCTCATCAATTTGCTTTGCAGGGGAAGATGTCGGAGCCAGTGCTCGCAAATTTATCTCTTCTCACCATGGAGAATAGTTTTGTGTTTCTGGTTCCCCGAGGAGATTCAGATTGAATGAGAAGCGTGTTTTGCTGAACCGTGCTGTCGGTCCTTACCATCTGCCTTGATTTGTGTTCTTTCGAGTTTCACTCCGTCTGTTAATCGACAGTATGTTACTAGTTACTTTGACTTGGCAACAAGGAATGTGACTGTCCACTGAAGAAGTCCCTGTAGACAGGCCCGTAGATTTACATGCACATGCAACTCCGAGAAAGATGGTATATTAGATCTATCAAAGATCGCTTTGAATGAGAAAAGGACAATCCCGAAAAGCAAAAGTGATATCAAAAGTGCCAAACATCGACCCCGAAAGAATAATATGAATCTGTACAAGTTCAGGGAACGTATTACAAAATAAAGACAAATGGTAGCCGGTTCCTCCGAAAGCAAAGCAAAGCAAGGCGGAGAAAAGAAAACCTACAATTCCGCGCGGGTATCAGCGATTCGCATGCGCAGGAAAATAGCCACGGCCCAGTCCCATAGCTTGCGAGTAATAACAAAAACAGGAACCTCAGGCTCGTTCTCGCGAGTCAGGTGTAATTGCAGAAGGAGAGAGGACATGCTGACGAAACTGGCGACGGACACAACAAGGAGCGAGGCTGCAGTTTCGCGTTTGATGGTGGCGTGGTTTTGGGTGGCGTGGTAGACGAATGTTAAGGTCTGGATATTGTATTAGTACTTGGGTTTCTTTCTAGGACACAGAGAAAGAGAGAGATCGAGGCAGACGTACAGTTGTGATGGAGATCCAGGCTGGGAGGAGAAGTCGAGGGTCGTAAGATGCGCCGGAGAGGTAGAGCACCCAGGACGTTATATATGCAATTAACCCGTTTGTTGTCAGGAGGCGGATCACAACGGCTGGCGGGGTGTAGTTCAGAAGCCTGGTGATTTGTATCAGCACATAATAAAACAAAACACTGATCCGAGGAAACACGCACCATCGAGACATCATACAGTCCGCGAAGAAATAGGACAGATATGCGGATGCACAGCACTATGGCAGAAAAGCGTCAGCTACATTACCAAAGGATCCGCGGTTTCAAGAATGCAGAATGGGGGGCAATGAAGCATGGCTTCCCTACATACCCACATAATAGCCAAAGCCACCTCGGTGACCCTAAACCTCCGCTCAACATCCCATTCCTGTCCCACACTCCCAACAATCACCGCCGCCCATCCCTCCCGTCCCATCCCCGGCCGAATATGCAGCAGCTCCGCCAGGAACGTGAACGCGCACCGCAACCCCCACCAAGCAGCGGGCAGGGTGCTCAGCGCGCGGCACACTAGCAGGGGGATGTACCACCTGCGGTCCACGCCAAGAATGACTGCCACACGGGGGTGTAGGGCAGACGCCTTTCCGTGGCCGGCATCGCTGCTGATAGGGGTCTGGGAGGTGGAGGAGGTCGGGGACGGCGGGGACGGCGGGACAACGGTTGATGCCGGGGAGGACGCCACGGCTTTGGAGTGACGAGGTGGTGCGGGTGTGGAGAAAGAAGAATAGAGAAGCTCGGCTGGTGTTGACACGAATCGCGGGATAGTTAGGTCGGACCCGCGAGGTGTGAGAGCGGGATGTAGTGGTGGTGGTGAAGAGTAGGGCGGAGGAGACGCATTACGTCGAGGAGGAGCCAGCCTATTGGTTTTGTTCACGGCATGTGTGGCCGCCCGCACAAGACTAGGTGTAAGGAGTGGAGAGGGTGTTGGAAGTCCTCTCGAAGGAGCGAGGGTCTGGACGTGTCGTCGAGCTGTTGACAGCTCGGGGGGAGGAACCTCTAACGCGCGGTATGAGATTTTCAGTGGTGAGTCGCGGCACTGCCTGTATGCTGGACTCGATCTGCAGCTGTAAAACTGCAAAGCAAATCACCGGAAATCAGCAATTGCTCGCAGCAACCAAGACGAGGACCGAGTGTCGTGTCTAGTCCTTCAAGAATCGCGACCGGCACGTGATCTCTGCGGATTTTCCAGTGGTCCGCGCCGGATCAAAATGATTCCCTTTTCTTCCTCCAGCACACTTGCTCGCCATGGCCTCTTCACTCCGGCTGCCGCCCGGCAGCTTCCTGCTGTCGGCACAACCCAGCAGTGCAACTTTCATTCACTTCCGCGTCGCGGCCTCCTACCAATGCCGGTCCTTCTCGCAGGCGCCCCAGCGCTGGGCAATGCGGCCGAACAGGAACATGGCGATCAAGAACCCAAGCCAGCCCTCGATGAAGACACGCACCAGACAGATGGAGCAGACAGAATTGCCCAATGATATTGGTTTTATGCCGGGTACCTTTGTCCGGCCGTTGTGGAGGCATATGCCTTCGATCTTCGAAAAGCCCCGGGAGAGGCTACAGATGGAATGGACGTGGTTGAAGTCTAGATTTCAAGATATTGCTTCGTGAGTTTTCGAGTCCTCGGACTGCGGGAGATGCAATCGACTTTCTATGTCCGGAGGGCTAATTGTTGCGCAGAGTGATCCTATACTGCAAAAGTAAGGGCAATAACCTTCCACTCCAATTCCGGGAACGACGCAAGATTGCGCGCGCTCTGCAGAAGGATATGTACACCGCATTTGCACAGTAAGTGCATTCCACAAACCCCGTTCTAGAGAGACAGAGTGAGAGAGTATGGTGCTAATTTGCTGTGGATAGAGGAGATACCAAACAAATCCGTCGCATCTGCTGCCAAAACCTTGCCAATAACCTGGTCGGACAAATCGAGGCTCGTCCCAAAGGCGAGGAAATGACCTGGTCTCTGCTCAAGTACCTCCGCACCCCAGGCACATACTTCACAGGACTGCGCATCATGTCAGATCGAGCGTCGGAATTGCCCGACCTCCCCAACTCGGGTATCCGCCAGATCGTCTTACGCATCACCAGTCGCCAGGCCACAAGCAAAAGGTCCACTCGCCCTGGCGACAAGGACGTCGCCCCCGCTTCTAAGGAGCAGGATTGCACCGAGTATGTGGTCATCCAGTCGATCCGTTGGCAAAACAACGATTCTGGGTGGCAGGTCTGGGGTCATGTCAGCCCGACGACCCTGCACACTCTTCTAAACGATCCCTATTTTAAGCCCGGGTTGACCTTGACCGAGCGTCTTTCGGCTATCCGGGAGGGTTCAGGGATGAAATAAAGTATTGGGATTGACACACACACTCAACATCCTGAGCCATAAAAGGCCAGAATGGGAATTGAATTTCCTGCATCATTCACGCCAAAACAACGGTTCGACAAAACAGAGCAGGCCTATTCCACAAGTTGGTCATGACTATGTTTCTTTGTTCCTGGCATCAACCAGAGGGTATTGGTCTCTGATTCCCATCAACCGACCAATCTTCCTTTTCATACCGATTGTGTTATTTCCACCATTTCCCAGCTCAACCGCTTCGGTCGGAGTTTTTACTACAATTTTGTTCCACTGAAGCGATTCCGTTTCCCTGTTTGTACACTCCAAAGAAGCACTTGATATAGAAGAGATCTATCAACTCATGTACCATAGCAATATATGTTCTCCCTCAATCGTCAACTCTACTGTCGAATTTGATGTACAGCTACTATGTGTATCTCCTGGCAGAGCCTAAGTCGACCCTTACATTGTACACCATCTTAGAAAAGAGCATGTTTGTTTTCTCGCTCATCGACTTGCATTAGCGATTACAAAAAGGACAGGACGGGGCAGGGCATGACGGGACAGGCTATTAGGAGTGGAACCGGGGCATTATGCGTATGTACGGTGCGTCTCCAGGTAGGGTGAAAGGTAAAAAACAGCAACAAAATAAGAAATAGTGGGTGGGGTTGTAGACTAGATAGGCAGGCAGACATTGGGGCAGCAATTGAAACATGATATCACACATAAGAAAATGCTGGAGAGAGCCAAAAGGCCGGAACTCCCGCTAGACAACAGACAAAGGGTGGGGGCGTCACATCTAGTCGTCGTCGAAGATCTGGAATGTGTTTACGAGGATGGTCTCGATCACGCGGACCTGCCAGCCCGCGTCGGCAATGTTGCCTCCGGAATTGGCGCCCATGAGGGTTGGTCTGCATGACATAGGATGTTAGAGATTGTACACAGTCCGGATAGTTGGCGGAGACATACCCGAAGCAAATGGCGAGGTTCCCTGCGTTCATGCGGTTCTGGGAAGAATGTTCTTGGATTTTATTGAGATGCTGCGGCGCGGTGAGTTAGTGTTGGTGCATCAACATGATAGAAAGAAAGACGAACCAGAATGATGGCGCGGAGTGTAGCGTAATGCGCATCAGGGAGACTGTTGATCAAAGCGTGCAGCGAGTCTCGGCGCTGGATATCATCATCGATGCGAGCAGCATTGACGAAATCAGCGTAGAACTGCGATGTGAACAGAGGATCGGGCAGTTCCCGGAAGAACTGCTTCAAGAGCCCTGCGACGCTGTTGACGTCGTGGTAGAAGTTCTCCGGGTTGGTGAAGTCGACTTGCGACGAGTCTATCAAACGATTAGCGCTGCGGGACAATTACTGATATCTTGAACTCACCGTTGTCAAAAACAGCCTTCATGTGGTTGATATGGTTGGCGCTCCCCGACATGCGATATATACCCTCCATGTTCAATCCAAACAGCTCGACAGCCTGGAAACATTGGTACACAATCATCGGCACGGCGGTTCCATCGCGGGCGTACAGGTCGTAAAGCGATACACCAAAAACCGGTTTCAACGGAGGCAGGTTGCTCTTGGGCGGTGGCATCATCATTGGTACATGGCCCGGCATTTGGCCCAGTGGTGGAGGCCCGTCAGAAGGCGGTGGTCCTGAAACAGGATAGGGAGGTTGACCTTGTGGAGGTCCAGATGGCGGTGCCGCTTCTGTCGGATACGGTGGTTGCTTTGCTCCAGCGCTTGGCGAAGGTTGCGGGATGGGCGACGCCAGGTTTTGCTGGGAGAACGACTGGGGCATGGTCGACTGGGGTTTGGGTTGGGCGCTTGGTTGTGACGGTGCCGCAGTAGTTGTTGATCCACCGAGTGTCGGATGACGCACATACTTGATTTCCTCCGAGGCGACTGCACCTGGGTTTCCTTCGTGGCTCAAAATGTAGTCCTGGAGGTCCTTCTGGTTGTCCACCTGGCGTACCACCTCGGACAGACTCTTTGGCGCCAGCGCCCCGTTGGTCTCGCCGTTCCTCAGCGGGCTGACACACATACCCTGTCCCAGTAGCAGCTTCTCACTAAAAACGGCTGCAGACAGTTAGTTAATAACCCAGAAACAGCGCGCAGACGATACGTACCAAATTTTTGCTGCTGCAGAGTCAGACCAGAATCGCATTCTTCAATCAGTTGCTGGATAGCGCGCACGGCCTGCGGTCGACCCGTAGCCACCAGTTCCCGACGGGCTTCTTGAGCAGCCTGGACCTTGGACGAATAGTCGCTGTCCGCATTCTGGACCTTGCGCAGCAAATCTTCCTCGTGCTGAGCGGCAGACTTGTGTCCCTTGAGTCCGAATTTGCCTCCTTGCCTGTCTCCCGTGCGGACACGATCGTACTGTTCCGCGAACGTATCGTATTTGGCCTTGGCCTTCTCGGCCTGCGCCTCGGCATCGACGACTTTTTTCTCTGCAGCAAGTCCGGTCTGCTTCCACTGCTTGCGACCGCGTTCAACGTTGGTGGCGAGCTCGGCCATGTCGTCGGCCATTTTGGCCAGGGACACTGCGAATTGCTGGCCATGATCGGCCATCCGGTCATGCAGTCGGTGGATGTCCTTGTAGCTGGAGCTGTATGTGCCCTGGCGGTTTTCGTTGCGTGAGGCCGCATCGCCGATCGCGCGGGACAGCTTCCTCAGCCCCTGAGCATGTTCGTCCTCCAGTGCACCTCTTTTCTTCAAGAAGGTCGAGAATTCCTGTGACCGTACATGTTAGTGCATGCGAATTTATGGGTGTCCTTTTTATGGGAGTGACGCACTCTGGCGGAGGCTACACTTTGCTTCAATCGAGTCAGGAGGGTGAAGACGCCGATCTGCATGAGACACGTTCTGTCAGTAACTATCCCTGTCATAGCTGCGCACAGGCAGTGTAGCCAAGTACTCACTTCTGAGTGGACAACTGTGTCCAGACGAGCTTTGATCTCATCGGGGACGGCCGTCGTCTCCTGTGGCGGTTGGTCGGGCGCGGAGGCCCCAACCGACGAGCGACCAGCGCTGGATGGGGGCGCATCCGGGTCTCGTGGCGCCAGCGCAGGCAGCGCAGTGCCTTCAGGGAGGGCCGTGTCGGACATGAGGCGGGTAGGGGGAGGGAGGAGGGGAAGAGGTGAAGATGGGGGGGGGGGGGGGGAGAGAGGGAGAGGGAGTGAGAGAAGGAGAAGTGTTGTCGCCCAAGCTATAATTATCGATGACACGGTGGGGCGGCTTTGGGGCTGATCCGATCAATAACGAACTTCGAAAATACTAGTCGTGTTAAACGCTGGAGCCTGTTGGGTCAAGGTTGGGATAATAGTGATTTTCGCCGTCTGGAATTATGACTGTTCCAGCTAGGAACAAATAATGAAACAAAATATCCACTTGTTCCTGGCCGTTGACTGCTTTCGGCTGCTCAGCCACAGTCGTCGTTGTGGCTTGCGATCTGCACCGTTAGACAACACGAATCCATGTGTCCGAGGTATGTGTAAATAATTCATAATAAATCATCGTATCATGGACACCCAATTGATGACAGTACCACTATAACTATTTACACCCCAAGCTAATAATAACTGATAGTTTATGGGCGGCTGAACTCAATGGGATGTACTTTTGACACTCCATTGGACTATAAGTTTAGTCAGCACTACGTCATGTGACGTAACTTAGATGGTCAGCATGCCTAGGAAGCCCTAAGTCAGGTTTTGTCTTCCATCATAGATCCTCCCTCTGACGGGTATACACTGCCTATCACAACGCGATGTAAATTCCACTTAGGTAACTATGAGGGTTGATGCAATTGTGAAGGCCCGATCAACTGCTGTTCGAGCCACTCAACATCCGACTTGCCCTGAATCGTCATGGTATTGGAGCCATAGTTCCAGCTTTCAATATTCTCCTTCCTTGAGACGATCTGCAATCTTTCTGGCCTACTCTTTGTTTCCTTGCTACCTAATAAGATACCATGTTGATTGGCCCATTGTGATTGTTTTCTCCACTTGGTAGTATTGAGTCAATAATAATATGTCTGATATCGATCCACCAGGCAAAGACATCGCTCAATGTAGACTCCCTCCCTCCACATTCACCAACCTCACATTCTTCGCAATCCCAGTAGTACTTACTGTATTAACAATTCCCTTATCATCCCACGAGAAATCCACACTCCCGCCACCCCGCAACCTCAATCCTCTCACCCTCCCACCCTTCCACGCCGCCGGAATAGCAGGCCCCAACACCACAACCCTTTTCTTTCCATCCCCTGAACCCGAACCCTCATAACCCCCCGGAAAATACACAGCAAGCATACTCAGCACCCCCCCCCCCCCCCCCCCTTCCGCCCCCAGATATCCAAAATTAGCATCAATCTGGAATGGTTCCGTCGGCGGATCCCCACTCGCATAGAGATCCAGCCCGCTCTGCCCGATATTCATATCAATCGCCAGCCGGAGCTCGTAATACGCCTTCTCCGTATCATTCAGCCGTGCCCAGCACGCCGACCGCCAGACCTTCTCCCAGCCGGCATTGGAGTCCGAGATGCCCGGTCCCCTATCCGTGAGCGAGATGTTCACCGCGCGTTGGATCGTCTCGTTCGTGTACCCGTTCTGGTACGATGAAATGCTCCAGCCAGGGTACCAGCCTACCAGATGCGATAGATGCCGATGCTGATCGCCTTGCACGTCGTATTCGTAGCTGTCGGGGAGTTTCCAAGCGCATCAAATTTACCCTGTTGAATCTATCCCGTTTGAACTACCCTTTAACCACCCTCAGTTAACCCTGAAAATGGCTGGAAGCACCGTGACTATTACAGCATTGCTGAACTCAGTGCACGGGTTGTCGATGAAGAGGTCTTTGTTTGAATCCATTTTGGCCAGACCCACTCGTCCGATGTGGTTTGGGCTTCATAAAAATATAACAAACGTTGTCATCCAAAAGCCAATTCTCGGGTATAATAAGATAAACGATTGTCATTAATCATGAATTCGGAAAGAATTATATAGAGAGGAGATAAATGCCAACGCCACGGTCGAAGGATCAAAAGCAAAGAAGCAACACCTTCCAACAGCTAAGTAAGATAAACCAAAGAGAGAAGTAATAGATTCCTCCTTTAGCGCGTAACACCGCCAGTGCCAAACAGTTCCATCTTAATGCGGTCGGTACTGACTCCCTGGGCCTTGAGACTGGCCTCTATGTCTGTCATGAACTTGTCAGGGCCGCATATATAGTACTCCGTGTGCGGGTTGTCGATGAAGAGGTCTTTGTTTGAATCCATTTTGGCCAGATCCACGCGTCCGATGTGGTGATAGTCCACGCCTTGCTTGTCTTCCACTGACGGCTGGCTGATGAAGAAGCTCGTCTGCAGGTTCGGGTGCTCTTTCATGAGTGAATATATGTGATCCTTGAAGGCTCGCACCCCAGAAGTGCGTGCGCCGTGGATGAAGTGAATATGGCGCTGCGAGGAGGGCGACTGGGTAGTCAAAGTGTTCATCATGGAGGTCAAGGGGGTAAGTCCCACGCCGGCGGAGATGAGCACGACTGGGTGTGACATTTCAGGCTTAGTCGAAGAGAGGAAGAAGTCGCCACATGGGTGCGAAACGTCGATGGTGTCTCCCTTCTTGAATGTGTCGTGCAAGATATTCGAGACATAGCCCGGATAAGCGGTGGATCCCGGTTCGGCAGCATTGAGCCCTTGCTCTTTCTTCACGCTAATGCGATAGTAGTCCGGACAGGGCTTATCGCTGAGCGAATATTGACGGCACTGCGCGTATTTCAGGGCAGGAATATCCAGCTTTACCGAGATATACTGGCCTGGCTGGAAAGGAGGAAGCGGCTTGCCGTCGATTGGGGAAAGATAGAAGGAGGTGATTTCGTCAGACTCCCTGATCTTGTCTGCGATTTTGAACTGGCGCCAGTCCGTCCAGCCCTCGCTCTGCTGGTAGATCTGGTTCTCGCGGCCGATCATGATATCCGCCAACTGCCAGTACGCCGCTGCCCATGCAGCATGGATCTCTGGCGTCAACGCGGTGCCGAGAACCTGACTCATTGCCTCGAGCAGGTACTTGCCGACGATCTTGTAGTCGTCGGGCCGAATGTATAGCGAAGCGTGCTTGTTGCAGATCAGCTCCACCGCAGGGCTGAGTGCTCCCAGGTCATCAATATGCGAGGCATACGCATACAGAGCGCCAGCCAAGGAGCGAGGTTGGTGGCCGTTGACCTGGTTTGCGGTATTGAAGACGTTGTTCAGCTCAGGATGGGCTTTCAGCAAGTTGTCATAGAAGACGGTGGTGATTGTCCCACCGTGTTGCTCCAGCACTGGCACGGTCGCCTTAATGAGTTGGATCTGGTCCAATGTCATACCCGCGTTAGAACCCATGATAGATGGTGTCGATGGTGTTGATGGCTTTCAGCCAGTCAATATGTAGGGGTATAAGGAATAAGGTAAATTCCGTGGAAAAAGTTTTATATCTCCACGCCTCAAATGAGAATATGGGTCAAATATATTGTCGACGACATTCTGTGGATCCGGTATTTAACTGTCAGTCGCGTAGACCCTGAAGTGGGTTTTCCCTCCGGGAGTTCGGCCACATTGTTTTCGGGATCTATGAAACCCGCTAGGAGTGCCTGATGCCGTTATTTGCCAAGCTGATTGAGTGGAAATTTTCGGGTTGTCCTGAAGAGAAACAAGCATCTCCGCGGAGAAGAGAATACGATAAGGTACTCAGGAACACAGTGGCGCTCTTCGCGCTTATGCCCGCCTGGAAATCTCGGCACAGGCCCAACGGCGCGCCCGCCGCCTTGGGCAAATTTCAACTGGGGACGTATCTTCTGCTTTTTTTTTATCCTTGTTCTCCAACTATGCCCGTCCAGTGATTCGTTTGTTATCAATCTAATACGATTGGTGGATTAGCTGTCAGTCCGCATGTCCTAGTTGCGGATGGCACCCTTAGAAAGGATCAGCACATTCGGTCAGAAAGCGACAGTAGAACTTTCGAATTGAAACTGGACACAATTATTGTGCTCGTGGTCACGTAATAATTAATCTCGGTGTGACCGATGTCTCACGCTCTGGGCCCAGCCCGGTCAGGCCACAGACGAGAATGTTTAGGAACAAAGTGCCGGTGCCGAACCAACGCCCCAATACTGTGCGGTCGAGGATGCCTTCCAATCACAAGGCTGCGATTACTGTTCATTGACAGAGCTTCCAAGCATGCAGATGAGCCAATAAAACGACAGTCAAATAAACAAATAATGCTTCAACAAATGAACATCGGTTAATAAATCACCTTACGGCGCTATCTCCCAGACCGCATAGAAGTGAGCTACACAGTCTGATGTGAATGGTAGCCAGCATGGTGCTATGCCATATGGATCGCTGTAATTGTTCTGCAAGTGCTTACACAAAGTCGGCCATTCTGTCCTCAGTATCTCGATTCCGAGAGTAATAATCTGCATCATGAAACTGGAGTCATAGAATTGAGTGATATTCTGATTTTTTTTTACTCTGCTGTGGAATATGGTATCGCTCTTCCTCTGCAATCTCCATTGTTCTTAGTGGGCTCTAGCTCCACACCGTCCAGACTCGCTAGGGTCCCGGCTATAAAAAGTCTCTCGTTCCTTGACAGAGATGCTTAAATTATTACCCTTCGCGAAGGTCTATCATGGAATACAAGCGGGACTAGACAGAGTAGGCCGGTGAGCAAAAGCAAGGATCATGGGCACAGTCTGCCGGGGTAGCTCCGCTACGTGAACATGGGACTCTGGTCAATCAATGCACCGGCCCAAGATTCATAGTAGGTAAGGTGTCCAGCATGCGACCTTGGAGACCGCGACGGATACGGGCCTCATTCACCTGTGCCACAACTGGTCGATATTGAGAAGCATGCTATGTCTGAGCCTTTGCCACCAGTCGTCGAGATGCCGCAGTGGCTAGACCAAGAAGACCCGGGATTTGCCGCCCAGGCTGCACATCCTGTGGGAGTTTACCGACTGCTGTGGGAGCACTGTGTCTCCAAGCATGTCGACAATCCCTTTTTTTTTTTTTTTTTTTTTTTTTGGAAAGGCAAATCGCGAACTCCGGGCCACCAACTTCCAACTGCTCCAAGAAAGTGTCTATTTGAGGCGCGCATATGACGATCAGGACTTAATCGTATCTAGACTGCCGATAAGGACAAATTCGCTCCGCGGAGATGTCCTCGACTTTCTTTATCGGGCCCAATCAATAACTTTGGACATCCTGGCTCGTCGTTGGTCTCCAGTCGCGCGATCTAACGTGTCTCCTGATCTGTCGCTGCGAACCCTCGACGATAGTGAATGTTATTTCTCACGATATGAACATAAGGAGCCCTCGACAGCTATAGATCGTCTTATCACAGTTCAATAGCTCCCACGGCTATACCGAGAGAGACGGGTGTAGCGCTTCTCCGGCCAGCGCCAATAGGGGGAGATCGTGCTTGCGAATAAGAAGGCGAGAGCATCATGGTCAGGGTCCGGGTATTTGAACAGTAGAGATGTCTTGCACTTTCTGGCCCGTATTGCAGCATTCTTTCTTCCTTTCTTTTTCTTTTTTTGAAATCAATAAAGTTTTCACTCCTATTTTACTACCATGAATATCGACTCTGTCACTCATCGATAGAGGTGATTGAGGCATGAGGCGCGCAGGCGTGGACAAAAGTAACATGCGCCTTGATAAGATGTTCATGAGCTCTGTGTCCCCGGCTGTCTGCTCACCTTTGCGTGCGGAACTGCCCTTAGCACCAATGCACCCCATGATTCCAGGACAATGGCACGGGTCTGATGCAGAGCATCGCCGCCTTGGTCTTTCCCTACAGGTTGTGCATGATATCCTGACTGGCGCAGACCTGTTCACTGGCTCATTCATGGTCTGTCTTCCTGTCGCAGTACTACAAAACCCAGACTAACGCATAGAATAGTACACCACCGTCGCGGCGCTGCAATGCTGGCTGCCCTAGTAGAAGATGTTGATCCATTGAGCAGTGACTTTTTCTCGGAAACCTGGCTGGATCCCTGTTTGTCGTTTGCATTGTCTTTGACTGTACGTGATCCCATCCCCATTGTCGTCAATACTAATACATAGTGGGAGGGCAGATGGGGGTGTTTTCTCTGATTCCACCTTCAAATCAGCCGTTATTACATTCCCCACCAAGAAACATGTCATAACGGACTTCCGAATGATTCTGTTACGTGGCGTTGGATGCAACTGGCTTGTCTGTTTGGCTTGCTTCTTCGGCATACAGGGCCACTGCAATTTCCTACGGGGGAGAGATATGCGAGACCAATATGGACCCTATAATCCTACCCTTTCTGGTCAAGGAAGACGGATATTCCCATCATGGAATGTTTCTTAATCTTTGACAACGTTGCATACAGTTCCCAACTCCGATATCAACGGTCTTCCCTAGGATATCGATGGGGACTAAAAGCTGACAGCACTTTGCCTTCTGATTTCCGTTGGAGCATGTAATGGTGGCTTGTCTCTCAGTTAACGGGAATGAACAATAATTAGCCATTGCTACAACATAATATTTCCACATAGAATAGCATAGAATCTTTCGTGCACAGCGTGGTGATTCTGGGGACCAACTTGCATGAAATCTTTCGGGAATTTCAGTAGACACAGAATCCATAAACTATTTGCGTATTTCCCAATTGAGTGGGCTCCTTCGCTCACCAGTTTGTCGAGCGGCTTGCAACAACCGCGTTATGTCTTTTCCTCGAATATAAACGTCCAATTAGAAGCAGACGTCCCCACGGGATATAACTATAGACGCCATTCACGGATGCAGTTTGCAGCCAACACAAGGAGCCGGTGGTTCCGTACTCTGATAGATATCTGGCTGGGGAGGCCCTGAAACATTTAAATACCCAACAGCACCTTTCTCCAGACGAAATATTGCATGATCCACCAATGTATATGTCCCTGGAACTAGCATTTCCAAGTCGACAATCGTCGTATCCCCCGGGGGAACGCTGGCAGTTTGCACGAATTGACCTGGTGGGCTCAGAACGTCGCTGTCCCGGTAGATTTTCTTGAAGTTACTTCCAATGACATGGAAAGAGCTGGTAAGGTTCGGTCCGGCGTTCCCGAAAAAGATGCGGACGGACTCTCCCACCCGAGCTTTGAGTGGCTTATCCGTCGTCAACGCATCTTCATGTCCGTTGAATACAACCACACTTGGTTCTTCGCGTAACGCGTTCGGGTATGAAAACTCCACATGTGGGGATGGACTTCCGTTATCCTCTATTTCAGGTGGCTCATGATAGAATTCGCTCTGCATCACGTAGTATTCATGATCTACCGGCGGAAGGTTTTCGGTAGGCTGCACATACATAAGGCCGTACATGCCGTTCGCAATATGTACCGGTACAGGAGCTGCGGCGCAGTGATAAACGTAGAGACCTGGACATAGGAGCCGGAACCTCCCAGTCTTTGTCTGTCCTTCTCCAGCCGTAGTCAAAGCAGAGCCTCCTCCAGGCCCTAGGAAGGCATGGCAGTCAATATTATGCGGGTTTCCGGACTCATCATGGTTCGTCAGTGATAACTCCACGACATCCCCCACTCTGGCGCGAATAAAAGGCCCAGGAACTGAGCCGTTGAAGTTCCACTTGTCGTATTTGTGCTGATTCGTCAACTTTTCCATCTTTGTAGAGGTAACTAGTGATACCTCAACAAGCGCCGGATAGTTTCTCGTAATAGGTGCAGGCACATATGGTGCAGTCGTGAGTAGTGCTTCTTCCCTAGGAAGCTGGGTTATGTCGGTGGACTCCTCATCTGCGTCTGTAGCCTGAGTAGCCGAATTCTGACTTGAAGTATTGGACTTGCTGGGCTGGGTTGTGTCCATCCTGATTGGGCCATCCAGTTGGTTATATATAACGAGACTAGTCACCATTGGCACCATAAATGCCATAACCCGAGCGAATTCGTAACTCTTGCTCTTGGAAAGAGGTTTCCATTTAGCCTGGGCGGAGTGCCATCTCGCAGTAGTTTTGGAGAAAACCTGTGGCAAAACAATACATCTCGATGCCACTGTGGAGTAAGAGTTATAACACCAGTATACTCTAGTCGGCAGTGTCAACCTAGGAGCTATTCCAAACATCACTGTCTGTTATAGCCGCGCGCAGAATCTCGGTGAAGGCTTAGACGACAAGACAAGTCCACAAGTTAAGAAAAAATCTCAATTAGTGATGTCCAATATATCCCAAGGCATTAAGAGAGAGAATTGCCTAACTAGTTAGCTGAAAGTCTCTTACGTCATGCACGATCCTATACCTCGTAGTTTCTCCGCGGAGAACCTCATATTGACCTTGGATGACTGGATGAGAGGCATCGCGGTATAAACAGTTTTTTTCTGTCCCCGTCGCTCACACCGTACAATACTTCAAATAGTGACTGGTAAAATGTGCCATCGTCCTACATCATGTGGACGTGGAAAAGACAAGATACCTTTGCAGGGTGTTTCAGGCATAGTAGGTATTCTAACAATGTACACCATGAAAAAGGAAGGCTTAGGAGGAGGCATGGGGATTTTCAAGCACCACAAACTTCTATCATCAAGCCTAAACGCCTAAAGGGACTTCTAAGCCTATATCACTCAGTAATCACGGAGGACTGGGCATAGAGGTAGCGTGTGTATATTAGGTTCGTGTAAAATATATCAGGAAGGCGGTCTATAAGGCCAAGAATCGGCGACCACAACATATGAGGACTAGCGCATTTGAGCCTAGGGTTCAGAGATGAACTTGGAGGGGATGGTAGTAAAGCTGATTTCGAACATCACTGTACAGCGATATTCGAAATCACATATACCTCTGTTCTCTCACACCTTGTTTCTTTGCACCTCACCCGAAATGCGCTATTCCAGATTTAGACATGCTCCCGCCCTCTATTGTCTGCTAATGTGTCTTCAATCAGTAATGGGTATACTACTGTATTGCCAACGTCCACACCGGCTCTCAGAAAATCAATCATCGTAGTGTTCCTCATGACCACATATATTATTCCCCATGTGTAATAGCTCAGAGAGGTATAGATAGTACTGTAACATGAAATAGTTGAATAAATATAGGAGTCCTGACCATCAATCAGGCTGATGCCTAGTCTGTAAGGCTAAAACAAAATAACATTCACAGTGACCGGCTTCACTACCTAATTATTGTAATAAAGACCCCACGTAGTGTTCGAAGTGCTAGCTCCGACAATATTGCAGGGCATATCACCCTTGGCACCTACTAGTCCTTCCCACTGGAAAAGATCGATAGCGGTGGTGACTAGGTCAATGATATCCTGGTTACCGACATATATAATCCCTCCATCCGAATCTTGGTTGGCGCCGAACGCACAGGTGCCGTATTGGACTAGCTGTCTCTGGGTCGTATCGAGGACTTCCCATGATCCGCCGCCGGCGATGTTGGCCATCATTTGTTGGCAGTCAGAGACGGTGGGGGAACCACCAGTAGTCTCGTCGACAAAAGTGGATGCGCCGCAGTCGTTAATTGAATCTCTTGCAATGAGTCTGGCGGCTCGGTTGGAGGGTGCGGCATAGGCTATAGTAGCTAGAAGGATTGCGACGTTTGCAGAGGTTTGGAACTTCATTTTGATAGTTTAGAGGTCTGGCGGTGCGTAGTGATTTTGCGATGGGTGAAGACGATTATCGAAAATGTAGTTGTTCTCATCTCAGAGGGTTCTAAACCTTTATATACATAATACAATCGTTCTTAGGTCTTTAGTTGAACATGGCTCGAAATTAGTTGAGCTATTAATAGGTTAGCTCTAACCTGGTTAGTACTTGATTAGATTATTGAAGGATTTAGGGAGGTTTAGGCTTCTTCCTTCGAATGGGTATTTGCGGGTTGTATACCAATTGTAAATCGTCGTTCCGCTGGGGGGCCGCTCTTTTTCTGCTCTGGCCCCATCCTTCCACCATAAATTTCGGCCCCTAACATTTCGCCCCTTAACATTTCGCCCCTTAACATTTCGCCCCTTAACATTTCGGCCCTATCTCTACCTGAGTTACCTCCTCTAGATCGCTAACTACATAAATGTACGGAGGAGAGAAGAACCCAATTTAACCATATCACATGACTCGTGGATTGCTAAGATCCTGAAAAAAGAGCGCAGGAATGGCATTCGAGGTAGCCAACCCTTTTTGGCGCCCGATTTACTGTCACCTAGCGTTCTGGTGTAGTTTCAATTTGCAAATAGATAGAAAGGAGCAGCGGCCGCGAGGTCTGGAGATATACAGCACAATACGTAGGACATGAGTTCTAGATTGTCTGACCAAGTGGATCCTTGATTGGCCACTCATCACCTGACTCGGGATGCGGGAATGGTCAAAATCAACAAGATAGAAGATGTCTGGCATTCTGAATATAATCGAGCTATCTCTTTAATAACTTAGTTAGTACAGAATGCATAGTAAGCGAAATGAACGCACAATGCCAAGAATGTCAAAAAACAAAAGCATTTTAGCGTTGCATAACTTTTATGGATCCATCCTGGAATCCCGACATAGATGTACATGGCAATCCATTTTGCCCTCGGAGCAAGTTTGCTGTTGATAGACTTTATCGACTGCGCGTAGAACGCTGTCATTACTGTTAATTGACATGGCCCATCAAAGGTACATCGATCGACGCAAGACGAGCAGAAGGGTAGCCTTGTTTGGTTTAGTGCGCTTTCAGTGGGGCGCTCGGAAACAGCGTGAGAGATTAGAGGTAAAGCTGATTTCGAATATAACAGTAACCATTTCTACACTCGTGAATTGTTTCCCAAACCCTATTTAAAACATCTTAATCTATATTTGGATTAGTCGAGGATCATCTATCTCCAAAAATAAACTCCGGTTTTTACAGGACGAAAGTGTGACTCGAAATACTATTTTACGGGAAAACCCCTTAACACAAGTGCAACCTTTACATACCTCTCCATCAGTATCTCCGGTTTATAGAGCATAGTAGAGCGACTACGTCGCTTCCCCTCGATCTGTCCGTACCCCTAGACAAAATTAAGCTCTAACCCGCCTTTCCCTTTCTCCCCATCATAACCGGCCCTTCGCTGATATCGCCAGATTTGAGAACAGCCATCCCAAGTCTCTTCTCATAAGACTGCTGGCTCTTCTCTAAGGAAGTCCTGAGTATAACCCACCGCAAGTACGGCAAGTCCTTCAATAATTCTTCGATGCAATCAATAATCCAACCTCCCAAGCCAAGACCCTGATATTTTGGAAGGACGTAGAGGTCCGTGAAATATGCAAAGGTGATGTTGTCGGTGACTAGGCGAGCGAACCCAACCTGCGTGAGGTCCTCCGTTTGCAACGTAGTGCAGGCTTCGCTTGCGTAGTAATTTGACTCACTGAGGCTATCTTTACCGTCGACAAGTTCGTATAGACCAAAGCAGAATGAATTATCGACAATTTTCTGGAGTATATCATCCGGGACTGGCCGAACCCAGTACATAAACTTCTGGTCGAACGCGTGGTTGATGGCCGGGATGGATAGGAGTTTCTTGTCTGTGGACACGATAAACCCCTTCCTATACCAGGATCGAGGTTCGGCGGGCAACGACATTTAATAGACTCGTATGATTGCTGGCCGTCTCGTTGGTACTTATGCACCCAGCTAGAGATCCGGAAAAATTGAAGCAAGGATTGTAGATGGCGATTGAAGGAAGGGCGGCGGGTATAATTGAAAGAAATACGGCCAACTTAAGTGCAGAGACCTGTGAACCAACCAACCACGAAGTCAGTGAGTCACAAATACTGTAACATATAAAACGGGCTTCGCATCATCTCTTAGATCTAATTGCAGCCTTGGAGGTCCTATGCCAGCTGGGACGAATGAAAACCGCAAAAGCGAATAGAAACCGCAGAGATAAATAAACATAATCTTCAACTAGGACTAGTACTGTCTGAACACTGGCGGGGCCTTTACTGTTGTGTAAAGAACTAGTAGGGTCGAAGGCAGCGCGCGTGCTGAAGCAGGACAAGTGGGCGACGATCTTGCTAGGTTAGCAGAACATATTTAGACTGTTTACATAGGACATTCTCTTTATTTCTACTGGTTTTACGGAGTGATACGGTATTATAACAATGACTCACCGATCACTTTCGGGAAATACGATACATTTCAGCAGGATTGCTGAAGGAGAAACGAGAATTAGATTAGGCGTTTCAAGGTAGGGTTAGGGAATTAGTTTGAGAGTATGGTGGTATATCTGATTTCGGATATCGCTCTACTTATGTTGCGAAATCGCCGCGTGCCGTTATACTATAAGTCGCTATTTTACCTCTAAGCAAATAATAAGTTCAATTTGATCACCTTTCAAAAATATCATAAGAGGGTATTTCACTATCTCAACCATTATTTAGATGGCTAAATTTGACCACCTTTTCAACCTATCTGCACCTGTAATAGTATTCCGGAATAGTAAGAGTTGGGGGCGGAAGACTCGGGAAAGATATCGAAAGACCGCCGTGTAACCACGTCTTGGCATCTAACCAACTCTCCTGGAGGGGTATGTATGGGAGTTACTATGTACTATGGATAATCGCTATTATTGGAATAAGTTCGTCATATCAATACAGCAACGGTAACACATTTCCCAATGAATGAGGTGAATGAGGCTGATCAGTGCTTACTGCGAGTTATCTCCGGACAACGCTTTTCTCGGCGCCATAACCCCGCCTTTCTGGTTCAAACGTGGTGCCCTTTTTTTCAGCTCCGATCTTCCGTGTTGGGATTTCCTGCGACTAGAACTGGCCTAGTGCTTCAGATGCATCTATAAATTTTATCTTGATGCCTCCAGTATCTCGCTGCTTATCTCTGTTGCCTGGTAAATGATGACGCCTAGTGGAAGATCATAAACCCAGCTGGACCCTCGTCTTCTCAACCATCACTTAAGTGCTTCAGTTTCTCATTTTGCACCTTTGCCCCTCGGCAACGTTTCTCATTTACAAAACGATTCATGTCGGTGCTCGTACTTCGGGAGGATATCTTGAGTAATACCTCGGTGGGCCTCAATCATGAGAACCTCAAATCCTTTGGCCCGGTAACTGCCGCGGGCTTCGACTTTACACCACTATTTGAAGACACGATCCTCTCACTGGTACCGTCGGCACTGCTCTTACTATGTCTGCCATATCGCATCATCAGTCTGCATGGTCAGCGGCCAAAGGTCTCCCCGGGGGGATTCTTGCGCGAGAGTAAACAAGCCTTTTTAGCAATGTTTGCCGTGATTCATCTGGCCTTATTAATTTTACACGTCCTGAGCCCGTCCCTCCGCACAGCTACCACAATCGCTGCGTCGGCGTTGGCATTCATCGCTAGTCTAGGTCTATGTCTGCTCTCACATCTTGAGCATTCCCGATCTATTCGCCCGTCCCCGATCATCAATGGCTACATTCTCCTCACATTGGTCTTTGACATCGCTCGTGTGCGGACGCTTTTTCTTGATTCAAATGACAGATCTATCTCTGGCTTTTTTGCTTGCATGATTAGTGTCAAGGTAATGGTTCTGCTTGCTGAGGCAATTGAAAAGCGCGGCATTCTGCTGGCACCATACCGCGACCTATCGCCCGAAGAAACCAGTGGCATTTACAGTAAATCGTTCTTCTTTTGGCTGAACGAACTCATGACCTCCGGCTTTCGCCGTGTTCTTCACAACCATGACTTGTATCCAATCGATCGAGACATGTCGTCAGAGGTGCTTCATCAGCGAATGAAGCATTCCTGGAGCATCGCATCTCAAGACAGTCGCAGGGCTCTCTTCTGGGCTGTTTTGCGTGCGAACTTCAAACCACTGGTATATTGCGTGGTCCCTCGTCTGTTCCAGATTGGGTTTCGATACGCCCAACCTTTTCTGCTCACGAGGACTATCTCCTTCGCTGGTGACGAGTCCCAGCCTGACAGTATTGGCTGGGGTCTCGCGGGAGCGTTCTTCGTGGTGCTCCTTGGCGTGGCTATTTCAAATGGCCTTTACTACCATATGACCTATCGTTTTGTCACCAGCGCCCGGGGCAATCTGATCAGCCTCATCTATGCCAAAACAGTTGATCTCAGCATCACCGCACTCGATGAGTCGGTTGCCGTGACTTTGATGTCCAGCGATGTTCAATCTATCTGTAATGGCTTTGAGGAATTCAATAATCTTTGGGCCATGCCCATTGAGCTGACCATCGCGCTTTACCTTTTGGCTCGCCAGCTTGGGATTGCGTCTATCGCACCGGCTGCCCTTGCGCTCGTTTCCACTGTCGCTATCATGTCCATTGCGAAGTTTATGGGGCTTGCCCAGAAGGTGTGGATGGAGAGCATTCAGACACGAGTCGATGTCACTGCCACCATGCTGGGATCAATGAAATCTGTCAAGATGCTCGGTTTCACTGACTGGCTTGCTGGCCTTGTCCAGGGACTGAGAGTAAAGGAGCTCAAGGAGGCAGAGCTCTTTCGCAAGCTACTTATTGTGCGCGTTTTCCTTGCAAACATCCTCTTTACACTGGGCCCCTTTGTAACATTCGCTATCTATGCACTTCACCCAGAAGGCGAGCATGTCTTGAATGCGGATACCGCTTACACGGTCTTGACGCTGTTATCGCTTCTTGCTCGGCCCGTCAACGACTTCATTCGGTCTATTCCTTCTATGAATGCCGCTTTAGCATCTCTGAACCGCATCCAGGAATTTCTTCAGTCCGAGACTCGACGTGATCATCGGATCTTCTTAGAAGAATCTCCGAAGTCACGTCAGCATGATCAGTCTAGCTCGGATGGGATAGAATTGACAAACCTCAACCGCTCCATGCAAATGTCCTCTTCGGAAATGATCGTTGCTCGAGATGTGAGTGTCTCATGGAAGCAGGATGCGGACTTCTCTGTCCACGATGTCAACCTGAGTGTTGCGAAAGGCCAAATTCATATGATCATTGGCCCTACAGGCTGCGGCAAAAGCACTCTGATAAAAGGGATTTTGGGAGAAACACCGTCAACGAAAGGCTTTCTTTATACCAACTGCCGAGAGACGGCATTCGTGGATCAGACACCTTGGATCCGCAACACTTCTTTGAAGGATAATATCCTGGGTGCCTCGGTGTACAATGAGGTATGGTACAACGAAGTCGTGAGGGCGTGCGTTTTGGATCAAGATGTTGCCCAGCTGCCAAATGGTCATCGTGAGCTTTTGTTTCCTAGGCGATTAGTCGCAGTGTTACTTACTATTTCTAGTCACAAAAGTCGGTTCCTCTGGGATCTCTTTGTCCGGTGGGCAAAAGCAACGTTTGGCTCTTGCTCGTGCTGTATATGCACGCAAAGACTTGGTCATGCTGGACGATGTTTTCTCTGGCCTCGATGCTGATACTGAGGAACGCATCTTCACGAGCCTATTTTCGAGGCAAGGATTGTTTCGCCGACTGGGGACAACTGTGCTACTAGTCACACATGCCGTGCACAGACTTTCCTATGCTGACCATATTATTGCCATGGGCAGTGAGGGTTCTATTGTAGAACAGGGCAGACTGGAGGAGCTTGAGGCAAGTGGCGGCTACGTCACGCTGCTCAAATCACGATATCGAAGTGACACCAGTGATGACCAAACGAATACTCAACAGAATCAGGCAGCTGCAGTGGTCTTAGCTGGCTCGGAGGATGCCAGCGGTATTAACACTATGGAGGAAGAGTTAACCAGACAGAATGGTGACTTTTCGCTCTATCTATATTACTTCGGTTCAGTGCATTGGGCATCGACTGTTGTTTGGATGTCCTGCTTTATACTTCAAGGAGTGGCGATCAAGCTGAGCGAGTTCTTGGTAAACTTTTGGACAAGCTCCTTGGAAAAAAGCGGTAGCAGTGTCAACGGGTTCTACTTAGGCCTCTACGGCATGCTAACCATGATCACCACTGTTGGCCTTGTGGGTGGAGTTCATCATTACATCTTGTTCTTTGCGCCAAGGAGCGCCCAAAGTCTCCACGAGCGGCTTCTGAGATCGGTGATGAATGCGCCGCTCTCATTTTTCACATCGGTCGATATTGGCAGCACAACTAACAGGTGAGTATATTGCTCGGGCTCCCTCTCAAGAAATTTCTCTACTATCTGAACTTTGCGAGCTCCTCCTAACCGCGATTCATGAACAGATTCAGCCAAGATATGACGTTGATTGATCACGACTTACCGTACTCGGTGACCGATTTTGTGCTGTCGCTATCGATGGGGCTCATGTCTGCTATTCTGATGTGTGTCTCGGCTCGCTACTTCGCCGCCGTGATGCCGGCAGTGTTTCTTTTCATGTGGATGCTGCAAAAATTCTACTTGCGCACATCTCGCCAGATGCGCCTTCTCGATTTGGAGGCAAAATCACCACTTTTCTCTCAATTTATTGAGAGCTTGTCGGGCCTGGTGACAATACGCGCCTTTGGCTGGGCCTCTGCCTTTGAAAACCAGAACCTGGCACTGCTGGATGCATCACAGAAACCTTTCTACTTGCTTTTCTGTATTCAGAGATGGCTGGAACTAGCTTTGGACTTGTCCGTAGCTGTTCTTGGTGCTATCCTTATGGTCCTAGTGGTCAAGTTGCGGAGCGATGTTGGCGCTGGATATGTCGGCCTGGCCATTCTCAACGTCATCACCTTCAGTCAATCACTGTCGCAGATTCTTCGCAATTGGGCTAACCTTGAGACCTCTATCGGTGCTATTGCCCGTATCCGAGATTTTGTCGCCAACACCGCCAATGAAAACCGAACCGGGGAGAGCGAGCGGCCTATAACCATGGACAACGACTTGTCGTCCTGGCCGTCCAAGGGGAAAATCGAGTTTCGCAACGTCTATGCATCTTACAAAACTGGTGAAGACCAGAGGTTTGTCCTTCGGGGGTTGAACCTGTCTATTGAACCTGGCCAAAAGATTGGAATCTGTGGACGAAGCGGTAGTGGGAAAAGCTCCCTTCTGGCAAGTTTGTTCCGAATGTTGGAGGTTGATCCCAAGAGTCAGATCCTCATCGATGGCGTGGATATCACTCGCATCTCGCGACAGACTACACGTACTGCTCTCAATGCTATTCCACAAGAGCCCTTCTTCACTCATGGCACGGTGCGCGCCAATATGGACCCGTGGAACACCAAGACCCCTGAGCAGATCGAAGAGGCTCTTCGCCGCGTTGAGCTGTGGGAAACTGTTGAGACGAAAGGCGGACTCAACGCGGCGCTCGATGCCAATTTCTTTTCTCACGGGCAGAGACAACTATTCTGTCTAGCGCGAGCTCTGCTGCGTGGGAGTAAGGTCATCGTGCTCGATGAGGTGACAAGTAACGTTGATGTTGTTTCCGATGCGCTGATGCAACGTATAATTCGTGAACAATTTGCTGACTCTACGATCCTTGCTGTTGCTCATCGGCTCGAGACCATAATGGATTTCGATCGGATCGCGGTCATACGTGACGGGGAGCTGATTGAATTCGATACTCCGAAAGCACTTCTTGAGAAGGAAAGCGCATTCAAGGGGCTCTACGAGTCCTGATTTGAAAATTGGATAGAGGCTAGTGTTTCAAATATGCTACATGTTATAATGGCAAGGATAGAATTCACGAGGGATCTTGAGGTATGCTTCCGCGTATGATGTAGTGGATGTGTACATCAACTGCAAATGCCGACGTTGGCATCAATATCGGCGATCAACAATAATGTTGATTTTCGACGTTTTATCACCCCAATGCCTTGTGAAACCAAGATGACTCGGAGCGTTCATGGGCTTGTCACAGGATCCCGATGCCACCCCTGTCTACTGTGCGGGGAAAAGGTTCTAGAATTAACCGTTCCGCTTCTGTCCAAGCGCGAAATGCGATGTGACAAGTTGCAGGGTATGTAGAACATTACGCAGAGGTCTCGAACAATGCCTCAAAATTTATTATTGACCCGCTCTCTACGCGTTGGACTTAACCCTAAATCTTATTAAGTATCTAAGTCATACTAGAATAAATGAGTTTTGTAACCCTCTTGGAGGTATGTCTTGTATGGAGTAGAAAGTAGAAAAAGCAGAAATACTCACCTTTAACTTCTAACTAACTGGTACCTCGCATACAAAGGCTAGCACAATGGCTGAATATAAGCAGTGACCCTGCAGATGCTCGGATCCTGGGGTAGTATCCGGGGCGTGGAGGGGTTCTAGTGCCATTCTAAACACGCGAAACGCTGAAGGATTGACCACAGCATTTCTGAGTTAAACACGGAGGGGGCCCCGGGGACACGCTTTGCAGCCAAACTGCCCCTTTAATGTGGATCTAAATTGTACGAAGCCTGCGTTTGATCTCTAATAGTCCATGATGCCATCTTCGAGCCAAGTTGACAGTCAAACATACCCTGTTTCATACGGACGTTGCTCCGTGGGAAGAGCAGAAAATTGTAGGCCGATCTGAATCATTTCATCGTGGATGGTGAATATAAATTGATTCATGAATCCTCTTGCAGAACCCGATAATTACTTCGAACCATTGCCGGGGCAGAACTAACTTGACTTGCAACATGGAATTGATCTTTACTTTTATGACTCTTTTCTCCGTCGCCGCGGCCCAGTCGCAGACACTGTGCTCGCAATATGCGGCTGCCACGAGCGGCGCATACTCCGTCAACAATAACCTTTGGGGAGAAAGCGCTGGCTCAGGTTCGCAGTGCACCTATGTGGACTCGCTTTCGAGCTCTGGTGCCTCTTGGTCCACGACGTGGACATGGTCCGGAGGCGATAACTCAGTGAAGAGCTATGCGAATTCGGATTTTGCGCTCAACAAGATGCTCGTCAGTCAGATCAGCAGTATTCCAACCTCTGTGCAGTGGGGCTACGACAACACCGATATCAGAGCCGATGTCTCTTATGATCTTTTCACGGCGGCTGATATCAACCACGTCACGTACAGTGGAGACTATGAGCTCATGATCTGGTACACTTCGGCATTATGATCGTTTATCAAATTATTAGACTAACGCAAATATTACAGGCTGGCACGTTATGGCAGCGTCCAGCCCATTGGCTCACAGATTGCCACTGCTACAGTTGACGGAAATAGCTGGGAACTCTGGTATGGGGCGAATGGCTCACAACAGACTTACAGCTTTGTTGCGTCGAGCCCAATGACCTCGTTCAGCACGGATATCTTGGACTTTTTCGACTACCTGACCCAGAACGAGGGCTTCCCAGCTAGTTCGCAATATCTGATTAGTATGATACCCCGATATTGGTTCCTTGGCATCGCCTTAGCTGCTGACACTGTGATACCATAGACTTGCAATTTGGTACAGAGCCGTTCACGGGTGGGCCTGCTACCCTGAGTGTCTCTAGTTGGTCTGCGAATGTCGAGTAGAAGAGATACTCATATGATGCGAGGGATTTAGTCCGATTAGACAGAAACATATAAATGACAAACTCATCGACTATTTAAATAAAGCTCAGACGCGTAGTGAATACACTGAATTGGATGTGGTTGTAGTTTGTCACTACATACACGGCATAATATGTGCCTCAGGCATCAGCTGAGTCATGCGCCGATATCGTCCCATCCGCCCACTCGCAGTGATTGGCCTGTGCGAATCGTCTTCTTACACTCCCAGTTCTCATTGGCAACTATCAGCAAGACCCACCGCCCACCCCAGCAGGCTCGACTTTGTGCCGATTTCCGGCACAAGCCTCTCGACTCGTACATGTTACACGGCGGTTTTATAGGGAGGGTGACCACTGATGGATCTGGGGTATCGGAATCACCTGCTGGCTGCCAATGGGCCCGCCCACAGCGCTACTGTGATCACGCCGAGCGACCTTCGGAATAGACTGCCTCGGCCACCTCCGGCCTTCACGGAACATTTCGACATGGACAAGAACCCGGTCCCGGCCAAACGCCGGGGGGCAGCCGGAAGGCTTGCAACGAGTGTAAACAGCAGAAGGTAAGCCATGCGCCACAGAAGGGTGTTCTGTGCAAACACATCACTCACATCGTCAATAGCTGCGGTGTGATATCGTCCAGACGCCTGCAGCGGCGTGCTCGCGCTGCCGTAGGCTGGGCATTGACTGTAAGGTTGAACAGTCATTCAAGCGGATTTCCAAAAGAAGGTTAATCGAACTCCATATCTTTCTTTTGGTTCCCCGCCATTTACTGATTAGCTTTATAGACGCAATGCCGAAATGGAAAAAGAGATTGCTGATCTCCGTCGCCGATTGACGGATCCCTCTCATGAGCAGCAGACGGCTGACGCCCATGCAAGCGAGGATCTGTCACCATGCTCGGCAGATGCCTTCAGCGGCCGTGACTCGGTAGCCGGTGTCGATCGACCCCGGCCCGTCTCGGTGCCGGTGGAACCGCATCCGTCAATAGGGACTCCCTTGACCATGCAACGGGACGGATCTATTGTATCGCAAGAAGAAAATTCATGGAGATTGGAAGATATATCTCTCTCGCGTACGCGAGTAGTCCGCCTTTACGAACAGTCAGTCTATCTTACACTTTCGTTATGGTCATCGCTGACTTGCCATTTTCAGATACTTCACATACTACCACCCTTTTCTGCCACTCTTGAACCCTCCTAAGCCGCCAGAGGTGTATCTAAACCGATGTCCTCTGTTGGCATGGACTATTATCTGCGTTGCGAGTCGACGGTCTCCATCTGACCCCGGTCTCTTGACCGCGCTGTCGGGTCCATTCAGCCGGCTGCTATGGTCCACCATCACCGGCGTCCCGCAGGACTACCGGGTCGTCAAGGCTCTGTGTGTCTTGTGCACATGGCCATTGCCTACGACAAGCCAGCGCACGGATGCAACGTTCATGCTCAGCGGTCTAATGATGCAGATTGCGATGCAGTTGGGTTTGCATCGTCCCGTCCAGGCGGAGGAATTCACCACGTTCCAGATGGAAGTTCAAGGCGAGGCGCTAAAAGATCGACTGCACACCTGGGTGATCTGTAACATTGTAGCGCAGAAGTGAGTACTCCGTCCAGTCCTCGCGACAAACTGACTGATGGGTGTCTGTAGCGTGGCGACTGGGTATGGCCAGCCACCCAGCACGAACTACGATTGGGCTCTTGAGCCTGCCTCCCTAAAAGATGCCGACTATCGACTTCCCGACGACCTTCGGATCCGGTTACGCATCGAAAAATTCTGTGACCGCGTCACCAAGTCCTTGTACAGTAGCAAACCAGAACCTTCAGAGTTTATAAGTGCCGAGAAGCTGGTGATCGTTCAGATCCTGGAAAGCGAACTGCGAGAGATGGAGGTGGATTTTGGTCGAGATATCTCGCGTAAGTCTCTGCCTCATTTGATGTTACCTCCTTTTCTCACATCATTGCCAGCCATCAATATGATCCACCTGCGTGCTGCGGAGCTACATTTCCGGTACTTTGTCTTTTTAGGGTCAAGTGCACGCAGCGACGACCTAACCAAGCTCTTCATCGCAACGACATCATTCCTGGGCCGGGTGCTCGATCTAGAAACCTCACCCGGCGAACTAATCGGGCATTCGACCAACTACATCCTGCAGATGATCGTTTCGGCAGCGTTTGCCCTGATGAAACTACTCAAGAGTAGTTTCAGCCGGCACATCGACTTCAACCACGGCAAGCTGCTCTTCAACGGCGCCATCTCCGCCATCCGCCGCATCAGCGTCATGGACCACGACCGGCCCGTCCGGCTGGCCGATATCCTCGCGCAGATGTGGAATTTCACGGGGCCCGAGCTGCCCGCAGAGGGAGACGGTCTTCAACTCAAAGTCCGCTGCCGCATGAGCATGAGCCATGTGTACGATACGGTCTGGCGCTGGCGACAGCGGTTCCGACCGGTCAAGAGCATCGAGGAAATGCAAGCGGCGGCGGCGAACCAGGACGTATCAGCTACGGCGGGACCCTTGGCGCGACAGCAGGATAGCAGCTCGCTCGAGGATCCGAGCTTGATGCTCCCCGCGCAGTTTGATGAGAGTGGTGCGTTCTTCAGCGAGGCCGGGTTCTCGGAGGTGTTTGACTCGCTCAACTGGGTATTTGAGGGGTTTCCGGACTCGTTTGTGGCTCCGCCGGTTCTGTAGTTTAGTTATATCTTCGGGCGTTTCCAGCGACGATACCAGGCCAGTTCATTGCATAAAAGTGTTTTCTTCTCTATTGTTTCTTCTTCCCCGCAATAAATCACTAAGGATGGGGCAAGCGAGGTCCGACAGTTGATGATTGATACCATTGACCCACATGCGAGGGGGCCCGAGGTACAATTATCCGGACCAGCCGCGTTCTATAACTATCGTGAGAATTCCTGCGACCGTAACTCTAGACAGCCAACCGTGTGATCATTTCCATCACCATGTCTGAAATCAATGTCACCGCCGTTCTCTACCCCAAGGCCGACAAGGTCGACGAGGTAAGCCACCAAGTCGCTTATGGTCTTCACCCGGACAATTCAATCCTGACCTATATGATAGGTCATCGCCCTAGTCACCGAAGTGACCCGGAAAGTGCAAGACAACGAACCCGACACGCTACTCTACTACGCCTTCCGGGTCCAAGATAAGAACGAAATCGTGGTGGTGGAACGGTAAGAGCCTCGGCAGAATTCCCCAGATGTGGTTCTCGCTGACCGTCAGCACAGATACAAGAACCAGGCCGCTATCAAGGCCCACGTCCAAGCACCCTACTTCAAAGAGTTCGCTGGCAAGCTGCGGGGACTGGTGGACAAACCAATGGAATTGCGGAATGGCAAGATGCTGGGGGCAACGGGGGTGTCGCGGCTATAGAAGATGTCAGCTCGCTAGTTAGCTCACTACTAGTCGATGTGACCGGGGGCGACGGTGACCCAGAAGGTGATTCGTTCGAGGGAAGGATTATTTATAGTTAGTTTGTGGGAAGTTCAAGATCGAACTAATGCAGTAGTCGTGTTTCCCACTTTCCCTCGTTTTCTTCCCCCACTACTCTATTATTTGCATCGATCGCTTCATTGTTGCTCTTTTGAGGTACGAAGCCACTAAGTGTTCTCCACTACTGCTACACCCCTCCTTTCTCCTTTCTTCGCCTCGCCTCACCTTACGGACAGCTGCTACTCCTCTCTCTCTCTCTCGCCCCTGACAATACTGAGCTGCTCCCAGAACCAACACTCCCACCGATTCCCTTATTTGTCCTTTCTGGGTCCCTTTTTCGCCTGCGATCTTATCTCTCGCTCCGTCTGGTTGCCATTCGGTCCGCCCTTATCGCGAAATCCGACCCCCTCCCCCGTACTTGGGCCTGGCGCATCACACACAGAACTCGCCATGTCGGGTCCGGCTACTCAATCGCTGAAGGTGAGCGCTCGAACGACGCACGAGCTTCACGAACGCGCAGGCTAATGTCAGACAGTGCGTGGTGACCGGTGACGGTGCAGTGGGCAAGGTGGGTTTTCTGCTCTGGTTTCCCCTGTCTTCAAGAACGCCGAAGCTAACCCACTCAACAGACATGTCTTCTGATCTCGTACACAACAAATGCCTTCCCCGGAGAATACATTCCCACCGTGTTCGTACCCAATTCCCCCTTCCCACCCCCGCACACAAACAAAATCACGGCGCGGACAGCTAACAATGGGGTTTCCAGCTTCGACAACTACACGGCCTCCGTGATGGTAGATGGCCGGCCGATCAGTCTGGGCCTGTGGGATACAGCCGGCCAAGAAGACTACGATCGCCTGCGCCCACTGTCGTACCCACAAACCGACGTGTTCCTGATCTGTTTCTCGATTGTCAGCCCTCCGTCTTTTGATAACGTGCAAGCTAAGGTGCGTCCCCGACCCCCTATTCGCTATCCGCAACCCCTTCTTCAGGTTGCGCGTATACTAAACGACAGCAGTGGTTCCCCGAAATCGAGCACCACGCCCCCAACGTCCCCATCATCCTCGTCGGCACCAAGCTCGACCTGCGCGACGACCGCGCTACCACTGAAGCCCTCCGCTCGCGCAAGATGGAGGCCGTCTCGTACGAGCAAGCTCTCGCCGTCGCCAAGGAGATCCGCGCACACAAGTACCTCGAATGCTCCGCGCTGACGCAGCGGAATCTCAAGAGTGTCTTTGATGAAGCTATCCGGTTCGTCCATTCCATCCCCACGGAAAATCCGCAATTTCTTCTCTTACTGACGATGTGTGTACACAGGGCCGTGCTCAACCCGCGCCCAGCCGCGAAATCCGGCCGCAGTCGCCATTGCAAGATTTTGTAGATTTCGTTCTTGATGAAGCGTGCTGTGATTCCTCCTCTTTCCTTTCCTCTTTCCCTCTCTCTCTCTCTCTCTCTCTCTCTCTCTCTCTCTCTCTTCTTCCTCGTATGCTATAATGAACAAATATATAGTTAATACGGCGTCTGGCTAGTTAGAGGCTTGGCTGCTAGGCCTCTATGCTTTCTCTCTCTGTGTGTCTCTGTGTCCCTGTCTCTGTCTCGCATCCAACAACATGACCTTGCTCTTTTTCCTCTTGCAAGGGTGTTTGTCACTTATTTCCCGCCCGGGTTTTGTCTGTTCTGTCGTTCATCCATTGTTGGGCGACTGTTGCTTCTTGTCATTTTATTTTCTGGTTATATGGTAGTCATAGCTTCGGCATATGCAATATACGGATTCGATTCCTGTTCTGCCCAGCTGGGTGTTATGTTATGGCGGAGGTCAATTAGGATCTGTAGTTGCTCTATACTCTGTTGTTTATACATTGTAGACTCCAGTCCTCGCAAGACTTCGGTTGTATTTGAAGCTACGTACAAGGGCCAACGACTCCAGAGAGTGGTAGGTATTATTCATTGCCTGGATATCCACAAGATAAACAAATATGCAAAAGAAAATGGTATCCTCTATCAAACACATCAGAGAACAGGACATACTTTTAAGCGCCCACTCCTGATACCAGACGCACACACAAAGCCAACAGATTGCAGAGTTGTAGTTTTACTGCAAGGTCGAAGTTCAATGCATGCGCGGTCTCCGACTCGGATGCACATTCGCATACATATCCTCTCCTTGGTCATCACCGACCGCATTGGCGCCGGTGCCGCCGTTGCCCTGCTGCGCAGGCGTGATGTGCTTCTTCTTGTCCTTCTGGATCTTCTTCGCGTCGCGCTGGCGCTCGTCATTCAGCTTCTCGTTCTTGGCCTTGATCTTCGCTTGGCGGTGGTCAGATTTGCCGCCTCCACCGGCACTGGATGAACAACCACGCAGTTAGTTTTGTCTTGCACGTCACGTAAAAGTGGTGTTCTTCTAGGGGAGACAACTCACGTCAACTCGACATTAATCCGCCGCGGCGGGTACTTGCCGTCATCGAACATGGAGTGGTGGTACAACTTGAGGCAGGTCTTCATGCGGTCGAAGTTGTCGAACTCAATGAATGCAAAGCCGCGGCACTTGCGGCTGTCTTCCTTTTTTGTGGCAACGCGTATGGAAGCTGGAGGGTTCTTCTCGAAATGTTTTGTCAGGGATTCCAGGTTGGCTGAGTATGGGAGATTTCCTGTATGGCCCAAATAGTTAGTATAGTGGATCGAGTCGCATTACAATGGAAGGAAATTTGTCCACGCACCAACGAATGCAATGAACCGATTGCCTTTCTGGGTGGCTGCACCCTCCGTTTCCGCAGCTGGCTCAGTCACACCATTGCTGGTCTCGGCGTTTGTGTCTGGTTGTGTCGTGGAGATGTCGCCCTTCTCTTTGCTGTGCTTTTTATTATCCTTCTTCTCCTTCTTTTCTTTCTTTTCCTTCTTCCTCTTCTTCTTCTCTTCATCTCCCTCAGCCTTCTCAGTGGACTCTCCATCCACGTCCATCTTTTCAGCTGGAGCAGACTCAGCATCCTCGTCGCGCTTCCGCTTCTCCTTCTTGTCCTTCTTTTCCTTCTTGGAGGCCTTCTCCTTCACCTTCACGTCATCCTGAGCAGGAGCAATGTCCTCGGCAGAAGGAACATTGTCGACATCCTCAACGGCCTTGCGCTTCGACTTCTTGTCCTTCTTGTCCTTCTTCGCCTTCTTAACCTCAGGCTCAACAGGCTCCGCCTCGTTCGAGACAAGCTTGCGCTTTTTGTCACTGCTGCTGCCCATTTTGAAATTCTGAAGAAAACCCGATGCACGCAATCGGCGATAAGGAATATATGAGGGGCGGAAACGGGTTGACGTCGGATGTTGCAACAGAAAAAAATCAGGCGGAGAATCGGCACTTTTTTCATTTCTGCCGGTTGCTTCAAGGCGGTGACGACCCACCGCTCGTCCCCATTGGGTAGATGAAGTATACACTTCTTCTTTTCTTGCACGGCCTTTGCTATTTATTTTTATAAATATGGCAGATATATAAGGCATTGAACCTACCCACTTGAAAACCGAAATCGCGATACACCAAGAATTGACGACAAGACCCGAACGTTGCGTTAAGAAAATGCTTGATGCCGCTGAAAGCATCTCCTTCAACCACGTTTTTTCCTTCCCATGCGCTCCATGCATTAAGGAGAAAGGTCATTGCTCCGGCGATTGAGAATGGATTGTCCAGGACGACCTGACATGGCCCAAACCGGGCCCGACACAAACGCCTCAGTCCACGCTGTGCTTGGATTAGTTGATGCTCTTGTGAAAGAGACCACGATCGCCTTCCTAGACAACCTCCCAAATGGCGAGGGAAAAGCCCTCCTTTGCAGGGGCATCCTGCAAATGCTGGCGAAGTCTGGACTTTCATACAATTCACTGCTGCTTTACACTCCCTACGGCCGAGGGAAGCCAATTCTGAACTCGACTGAAAGATGCGCAGAGATCATTGCAAAAGTCCATCCGGGTGCACCAGCCATCTACAGGACATGGAAGAACACATCTCTATCCAATATAAAGCCGGAACACGAAATATCAAAAGAACTGACGTGGTCACATTCAACCTCGAAAGCCATCACTTCTGGGGAACGAGTAAGTCTATGTAAGTCCTTTTGATTCCTGACACAATTATGTATAGCTGACTGATGTTCCAGACCCTCACCATACCTGCCACCATCCTTCTTCCCGATCATCAAAAGACCACAATCTGCAATTTCGATTTCCCGTAGCGCTCCCGAAGCTCTGGACGGGTTAGAAGTCGCAAAAGGGGCAGGTGAGTGTCCTTCATGTCAAAAATTCCTCTCTGTTTCTGATCAATGTAGGATCCGTCAATGACGATGCGCTGCAGCTCATCCACTTTGAGAGTACCTGCAGAAAGGAGGGAGTCAGAACGCGATTGTCTTTACGACTATCGTGTATTCTTATGCAACGGTCGAATGCGTGTGTTGACTTACCAGACTCTATCAAATCAGACACTCTGGTGGGCGTACCGACACCGATTCCCATTCTAGTCTGCGTGTTAGTATATATTGTATCCCGGGTTGTAGATAGACTCACTGAGCTCGCTGAAGGAACTGCTTGGCTTCTTCCAGCTTGATATGCTTGGCGAATAGCTTGCCCACAATAGACTCCTTGTTCTGGAAAGATCGCAGTGCTCTGAATAACACAATGATCAGCATGTAGCCAGAATTCAATCCACCAATGCCACTCACCGCACCGTATCAGCGGCTCTCAGACCAGCCGCAGTCACCACGAGTGTATGTGGCGTGCCAGGCTCCTTGGCAGCCTTGGACAGATCAACACCCTTGGGGCTGAATGACTTGAGAAATGTAGGAAGCTGATCCAGGCTTCGAGATGAGGTAAACGAGGACGCATCAAGAAAGGCGGAGTCTGCAATGAATTAGCACTCGGATTAATCCTCAGCATAACAATTGGTACTCACCAGGAACGGAAAGATCACTCAATTCCACCGCCGACAGCTCCTTATCCAACTTCTTTGCTTTCTTCGCAAAGTGATCTGCCAACAATCGGCCGTCCATCTTGCCAATAGACTCATCAAAACCATCCTTGCGGTTCACATCCTGCTCCTCCGGCTCCTTCTTGTTTTTCTTTGCCTTCTTCTTCTTCTTGTTCGGTGCATCGGCAGGCGGCGGAGCTGCGTCGGGCTTGTCTTGCTTGGAGGCAGCGGAGTCGTCGGCCTGTCTCTTGCGCTTCTTGTCAATCTTTTTTGAGAGCCCACTAGGGGCGCCTTCGTCGGGCATAGTGAACAGTGTCTGTGTCTCTGAAGAACAGCTCCCTCAAGGTCCGTCGCAAAAAAGTAAAAAGGCCTGCTTATCGATAAGAATCCTGAGGCCATCACATGACCAGCCCGCGGTTGATCAAGACGCGGTTGCAACCAACAACAACATTGCCTATCCATTAATCGTACCGTGCCTCTATTCCTTGACCCTGATCCTAACTGGAATAGTTTCTTCTTCATGTTCTAGCTGCGATCGAACAACCACATCCCGGGCCAATGTCTACCCCCAACCCGCATGGCCGCCAGTCACTGCGCAGCTCGGGTGCCGGAGCAAGCACTCCGTCCGGCGACACCACATTGACTGGGGTAAGTAGCACATAGCCTGTCATATTTCTGTTGGGTATTGACAGTTCCTGCAGCTCCAGCGCCTGCCGAGTCATACACGATATCCTCTCACACCAAGTCGTCTCATCACCACTGCCACTCCGTTGACCCAGCGGTCGGCTTCTCGCTACACACCATCTCGCTACACACCATCTCGCTACACACCACGATCCAGAGGCGCAGGAGCGCCGTCCACGCCGCATGGCCTTCGTGCGCGGCAGCAACGCGCTGCGAATACCCCTGGGCGGGATCGCAGGCGAAGCGGACGAATGCAGCGGGAGACTACGTTTGATATTCTGCGGAATCTTGGTAAAGGTAGGGAATGCATGGAAGAATATCTTCAAGTGTATCAGGCTGACTCTTATGATTGTGTCAGCGCTTGCACCTATTTCTCAGCCAATTCGCTCGTCGCCTCAAGAGGAGGAGACACCTGAGCCCGTGGAAGAAGTAATCGATGAGATTGACGAGCTCGACAATGAACCGGAGATCCCGCGACCGAGGTTGTCTTTACCTATGGACGTCGGGGACGAAGGCAGCGAGACGAGCCCCGATCTGCGCCCTCCTCGACTATCGCTGGCTTTCGAGGACGATGATATCACCTACCAGTCTGTCGAATACCCGCGCCGGGATCTCAGCATTCGAGACCGGGAACGCCTGTCAATGATGAGTCGTGCCGGCAGAATCAGTGGGGATTTCGAGGAGACCCAGTTGGAAAGCGACTTCGACGCTGGGAACGAAACAGGGCTTGTGGGCGTTGACGATGAAGGTGAAGATACGATGATTAGTGGCGGTGACTTTGATCGAGGGTAAGATATGGATTTCGTGGTCTATGATACATAATTCTGACAATAAATAACAACAGGGGAGAAACGGAGGATCTGGGCCGGTTTCACTTTGATCTGGACTTCCCATCCCCGGACGCCGCTGCGGTTGAGGGCCCACTTGACGAGCCTGAGAACGATCTGGAGGGATTCCAGTTATCTGCAGCGGATGTTGAACCAATGGCTGGCTTGGTCCCGTCCGACAATGAAGACGACGCTGCCGGCGCCGACCTGGGGTTCGGAACGAACTTCCCACTTGCCGCGTCTCCAAGTGCGAGTCCGGGAATTGTTGGGGGAGGGTTGCGCGGGGAGGACCATCCCACAAATGGCCCAAAGGAAAAGAAGATTTCCCGACATGGGATTCCCGTGCCGAATCTGCCTGCAGGCGTGGTGAAGAAGCTGGCCACTCGCTTTGCGCGTACAGGATCAAAGACCAAAATCAACAAGGCCGCACTGGCTGCAATCGAGCAGGCGTCCTCATGGTACTTTGAGCAAGTGAGCCAGGACTTGTCCGTGTACTCTAAGCATGCCGGACGGAAAACCATTGACGAGAGCGACGTCACCACGTTGATGAGAAGGTGAGATTTTTTGCTGCGACCTTGAAGAGTTTTGCTAATGGGACCCAGACAACGCCATATCAACAATTCAACCACGGTCTTTTCTCTTGCCCAGAAGCATTTGCCCAAGGAATTGCAGCAGGACATGAGATTGGCCATGCCGCCATGAACATTTTCAGAACCGATATATGTACATCCGACCCAAACGCCTCCCAACACCGATGCAGTATGCTATACCATCACCAATTCTTGTTCTGTCGAACACGGCGCATGGCCTCATTAGGCTTCTTTCGCACCAGCATCCATAGCATGATGGACGTCGCCAGTGATAAACCGAACCTGCAGGCCATCAGCAACAGCTTTTCCAGCTTCCAGAAAATACGTACCATGTGAAGATGTACTGGGAGTGATTGTTCCTCAAGTTGACTTCTGCTGCGCGTCCAATGGGAATTCCTTTGGCCTGTCGATCATACGCTTCGAGGAGGTCCGGCACTGAACGAGTATATGTCAGTATCAACACTACAAGCAATTGTCCAAGATTATTCTTACCCATCGTCGCCTCAATCAAAATCGGCTGGCTGCCACTAAACTCGGCCATCTGAAGCACATCCGGAAAGTAAAACTTCCCTTCCTGGGGCTTATTATCCGGCGTAAACATATTCTTCTTCCACGGCTCTCGTAGCAATCCCTCGACGGTGACCTCGCCCTCTGGCAGCCCAAGCGCCCGGGTCTTCTGGTCCTGCAGTTTCCTCGGGATCCAACCCCGGCTCACGAGAACGGTGCTCTGTCCGTCTCCGCGCTCGAGCGGCGTCACGACCAGGAACCCGTCTTCGCCATCACGTATGCGCGGCCCAATCAGCATCTCCTTGTCATGGCGCAAAATGCCTGTGGCGTAGACGCGGCGGTAGTCGAAGTCGGCGATTGCGTCCGGGTCGACGCGTGGTGGGAGCGGTAGGGGAGGCTTCACGAGGCGGTCTTCGAATTTGGCAATCAGTTTCGTTTTCCAGTCTAGCCGCTGCACCTGCCAGCAGCCCAGGGCGAAGGCTGTGATTGGGATCAAAGCTGCAGGTCCAACCGTGGGTCAGTATTTGATCTTCTCTGCTGTGTTGTAAACCCTCGAAAGCATACCGAGTAGAATGAGACCGGGCCCATGCTTGTTCCCAGTCCGTACCAGTGTTGGCGGATTATCAACCGAGAGACTATCGTTCCAGCGGCGCGAGTGTGAGAATGGACGCCGTTGTTGCTGGCGGCATCTGGCACAGACCGAGTCCAGCTTCCGCGCCACGCGAGGAGTGCGAATTGCTGCGCTGGGTGGAGACCAGACAGGGGCAGTCCTTTGCAGGACCGAAACAATTGACCGCATGGTGGAGTGGGCGAAATGTACAGTAGGAGTAGTGGCTCAATTGAGTAGAAAATCGGAAGAGAAAGAAGAAAGCGGAGGGCGGTCACGCTGTCCTCGGCTTTGTCCCGACTTAACCTGGTTACTTGCCAACCAACAACAACCAAGTCAGCTCATCATTACTACGGTCGGGATGCGATGAGATGACGTTATTTTATCAGGGAACTCTTCAGGATGGCATCTCCCTCGCGATGAGGGAGACCAAAGCTGTCCTTTGCTTTGTTCGAGGTTGGTCCGCTCTTCCCCCGCATCGCATGAGATGGAGTACTGATACCAGGCAGAGGACACCGAGCTGAGCGCGACGTGGGAAGAGGAATATTTCGCAGGGGATGAGGTATTGACATTTATTTGATTTCATTATCACTCGCTCACTGGTCTGAACAGGTCGCGCAATTACTGAGCTCCAAAGCGGTCTCGTTGCGCCTGTCAGCTGGCAGCCAGGAAGCTGGGTTCTTGACTTCCTTCTGTCCAATACAGAAGTTTCCGACTGTGGTTATCATCAAGTACGTTTGTGATCCGGGTAGCTGGATATCGTGTTGACCGATTGGACGCAGGAATGGCACGCTGCAGGAATACCTAGGGCCGGATATCTCGAAGGAGGACTTTCGCAGTCGGTTGACTGCAGCATTGGCGAGTCAGACGACGCCGGTGCCTGCGCAACAGTCGCAAAGTAGTAGGCCATCTCAGAGCAACAATGCCGCTGCTGCCCCGGCTGCTGCAACGCCCGTGGCTCCAGCCCAACCTCCAGCATCTCATACATCCAGCCCTCGCACACAGTCTACACGAGCGCAATCCAGTAATAAACCACGACCTGAAGCAAGCGCTTCCAATAAAGAGCCACCGAAGAAGGTGTCAACGCCATCCACTTCCTCGAAATCCGCCACACCGAAGCGTCCACCGCAGGAACAGAAACAGAAGGCCACTCCCAAACCAGAGACGAACGATGACCCGTCACAGAAACATATCAAACCCACTGCTAGCAAGATAGCAGAGCAACCAGAACCACAACCACGAGCACCGCGGCCACCACCAAGCCAGTACCGACTACAAGTCCGGCTCTTCGACGGCAGCTCCGTGAGATCCAGCTTCAAACCCTCCCAAACAATCCGCAACGACGTGCGACCATGGCTCGACCCACAGATGGCAGATGACAATCGTCCCTACAATCTGAAACACATCCTCACGCCTCTGCCCAGCAGAACGATTTCCGTCAGCGAGGAATCCCAGACTCTTGAGGAGCTGGGTATTGGCCCAACTGCAAACCTGGTCATGGTCCCCGTGGCAACATACACCGATGCCTACGCGGCAGCCGGCTCCAGTCTCCCGGTCCGCGGTGTCTCTGCCGTCTACAATGTAGTCTCTTCTGCAGCGGGCATCGCCAGCGGTCTTGTGGGTTCGTTTTTCGGCTATGCTGCCACTGCCCCTGAGAACAACGAAGCAGAGTCTCCCGGTCCTTCTTCTTCTGCACCACCACCACCATCTACCCAGACCTCCCAGCGACCGCGAACAACGGGGCCGACGATTCGGACTTTGAGGGACCAACAGGACGAGCGTGGAAACAGCCAGTTCTACAATGGGAACCAGGTACGTGTGTGTTCTGAATGTCGTGATATATTTCCTAATTTTCTGTGCAGTTGAATTTCGAGCCACGCAAGAATCAAGATGGGAAAGATAAGTGAGATGGAGATGGAATTTCTGCCATGCATTGCGACCTTGTCATACGTGTCGGCGTTACGGAATGAGACCTTTATTGCTCTGTTTTGGCGATTGTGTACAGGAGAAGGGTGTCTTTTTTTTTTCTATCTCCCTTTATTCTCTAAGAAACATAACACCGTCTTTTGCTCTGTAGTCCAATACCAATATCAATACCTGTCTACTCGAACACACAAATTCTTGAGAGCTTTGATAGAGGGGAATATGGTTTATTTCTGATCTCTAGTCCAACAACCGCACCCTTATCCGGGGACGAGCAGTGATTTTCTTCCTTTAGTCAGATATGCAGAAAGACATCGATATAAAGTACAAGCAGGAGAGGAAATGTTCTATCAAAACCCTAGTCGGGTATATGTAGTCCCAAGAACGTACTTAGTACGGCTTAGCGGCAGCCTGGCAAGCTTTCTGCAATGAGGAGGTATATATTAGCAACAGATCTCTCTCTCTCCACTTCAACTGCAAACGAGGGAAGCAAAAGACATACCAGCTGATCCAGATACCACCCACAGATCCCCATATTACCCTGGTTCTCATCCATGCACCGACGGAAGTTGCGCACGTCAGTCTCGCAGGCGGGAGTCTCCCACGACTGGTTGGTCGCGGCGCTCTGGTACAGGCCGTTGTCCATGGCCTGGGTATCAGCGGGAAGAGCCTGCTGCGGCTCAGCGGGGGCGCTGGAGCCGCCACCGAAGAAGCCGCCGATGGCGTGGCCAATTGAGGAGCCGACGGCAACACCACTGTATTGTCACAAAACAAGACAGGTTAGCATCCAGGATTTCTTTTCTTTTCTTTTCTTTTCAAAGGTTGCATTGCATTGCAAGCCGCAAACTGCAAATGCCTCGGCATGTTTGGTGTTTGATACAAGGGGGTTCAGAACACTTACGCTGCGGTGGAAGCCATCTGTCCGAACAGACCGGGTCCCTGGCTCTGTTGAGCGGGAGGAGCCTGAGCCTGCTGTGGCGGGTGGGCGGCTGTCGAGTGAGGCTGCGACTGCTGGCGGGACTGCGGAGGAGGAGCCGGCCGGGCAGGGGCGGCGGTAGGGCGGGTGGGAGCGCTGCGCGCGGGGGTAGCGGCACCACGGCGTTGACGAGGCATTTTGGATGATATGTGAGGTGTGTAGAAGTGGTGAGGAAGGAAGGAGTGGTATCAAGAACAGAGTCAGTCAGGTGGAGTGGCAGAAACACCTCGAAAGAAACAAGCATGAGTCAGCTGGACGATGATTGGCTGCACGGTGTCATGTGATGCGGAGGCAACGGGAATAATGGGCGGTAGCAGACGGCAGGACTGATTCCTATAGACAAACGTAAACATAAGTAATACCATAGTAATGCCCGTGGATTTGGATGTATACGTTGGTCGTGATTGATTATGAGTGAGTGCCAGAGACTATGAACCCATCGGCAGTGCTAACTGAGGCAAACCAAGTATTTCTTTCATAAGGGTATCTAAATTCATGGAGACCGAAGCCTCGTATACAGTACAAAGAAGACTCCGGGGGTGAAGCCTCTGAATCAGGCCGACATAGCGGAAGAAGTTCACTATACAGTGGCCCAATTTTGGTGCGGCTGTCGCTCATGTGGCCTTTCGGGCCTTTCGCACTTCCTCCTTCTTCTGCCTTCTCTCCTTCTTCGACTCTTTCCGATCAGCCTTGCTAAGCTTCCTCTGCTTCTTGGCTTCTTTATTCCGGGCTTTGACTTTTTCCTCTTTTCTCTCCGTCGTCTTTCTCTCCCGTTCCATATCAGACTCGGTAGGCTCAGGGAGATCAACTTGCATCTCCGCCTCGTCATCAGAACCCTCGTCGGCGTCGGATTGTCCTGCGGACGGCACACCGCTGGAAGGATTCTCAGTGCCAGCCGGCGAGTCGGCTGGAGTAGCGGCGCTCTTCCGTGCCAACATGGCTGCTTTTAATTGAGCGCGCGCTCGCTCCTTTGCCTCTTTTTCTGCCCGCTCCAGGTCATACTTGTCATTCCCAGCCTGTTCGAATTAGCAATCTGTGAGTCCCTCCAGAGATATCGGTGGCAACCTACAAGACCGTGCTTGATGAACCGTCCGGCAGCCTCCTTGTCAAGTGTCATTGTCCGCTGTTCGGGTTCCGTCTCAAGCGCCTTAATCTTTTCGAAATATTGCTTCACGCGCGTCAATTCCCGGAAGACGGGGTGTTGTTTTGCGTCGACTCCATGGAGTCGCAGGTATGCTGATCGAAAAGTTAGAATTTACTGCAGGTATGATCAGGTGCGTTGACGTACAGAAAATTAAGGATTCCAGGGTGTATGTGATCAGAACGTGAAGTTTTGCCTTGTCCATGACCGGCAACTTCTTGGAGGCCTTGGACAGGGAATGACCCAGAATCGGTTCCAGAACCTCTTCGAGATCATCCATATTGTCGTCCAGTTGCTCCAGGAGCGGTAATAGATCTGGTGCTTCCATGGTGAGGTTATGAATGTGGTAAAGATGAAGAGAGAAAATGAGATGCGAAAAAAAGACCGTCCGATCCACAGCGGTGACGGGGGCGGTGGGCGCCCGTTATCTGCAACAATCAAGCTCCGTGAGCTCCTATCGAACACAGTGCCGGACTTGCTCGATTGTTTTACAGCCCTTGGAACGAGTCAGGGGATCGTAGCTCGCTTTAATTCTTGCTTTCGTTTCCTGGTCTAAGCTCCTCCCGACCGACAACCCACCCCCTGTCCGTACCGACTCCGGGGAACACCTCCCCTAACACACCGTCAAAGTGTGGCACCTATTGGGACGCCGTCCGCTATGGCGGAGCGGTGTTTGTGAGCTCAGCCTACAGTTCCCGCTCAGCTGCAAGCCAACAGCCCGACTCGCCTCAACATGGATGCAAGATGTGGACGAGATAGCCCGGGAGACAAACAAGCCCCGCTTGTCCGGACGCGTCCACATCCTGGGCCTGGGAAACGTCGGGTGTTTTGTCGCCCATTCTCTAGCATGGAGACAGTCTCCGCCGCCCATTACCCTGATGCTGCACAACCCTGAATTCTACGAGGACTTTCTCCGCAAGAAGAGCTGCATCTCCATCAATACCAATGGTCTGGACGATATCAAGACCGGGTTCGACGTCAACGTCTTCCACAACAACTCATGGCGCTCGATTGCCTACGGCAGCGACGCGGATAGGAAACCAAATGAGGCACCAGATATACTTGCCTCAGCGGAGAAAGACGAAGGGCATATCGAGTGTCTGGTCGCGACGGTCAAGGCGAACCACACAGTCAACGCATTGAAAACTGTCAGCCACCGCTTGACGGCTGACTCGACCATCTGCATTCTCCAGAACGGCATGGGCACGATGGACTTGCTCAACCGGGAAGTCTTCCCGGATCCGGCGACACGGCCAAAATACCTGATGGGCATCGTCAGTCATGGCCTGATGCGAGCGGAGAAGTTCCTGATTAGACATATGGGAGTGGGAACGACGATTCTCGCGCCTGTGGCTCGCAGCAACGTCCCTGCCAATCCCGCCGAGTCCGATACCAGCTGGGCACCCACCACCAAGTATCTCCTACGCCTGCTCACACTCACGCCGCAACTCGTCGCTGTCGCCGAACGACCCACGGAGCTAATTCAATACCAGCTCGAGAAGCTGGCGGTAAACTGTGTGGTCAACCCATTGACCGCACTCATGGATTGCAAAAACGGCGAGCTCCTCGGTCATCTCAGTCTAACTCGCGTGATGCGACTCCTTCTTTTTGAGATCTCAAGCGTGATCTGCGCTCTGCCCGAACTGCAGGGCATCCCCGGTCTGGAAGAGCGATTCAGCCCCGAGCGCCTCCGCAAAATGGCCGTAAATATCATGTACAAAACCAGAGAAAACAGCAGCTCGATGCTACAGGATGTCCAGAGCGCGCGGGTGACGGAAATCGAGTTTCTGAATGGCTACATCGTCCGCCGGGGCGAGGAGCTGGGGATCAAACCGGTGTTGAATTATACCATGATGAACTTGGTCAAGGGCAAGTCGTTTCTGGCACAAGCCCGAAACGATTCTGCAATCCCTATCGATTTTGTTGAAGACGATGATTTCCGGACTGACCGCGACGGTTAATTAAACCTTGGTCTTTAACTTGCTCTGGGTATTCTAGAGACAAAAACGCCTATATTGCTACAGACTCCAACGCACGCTCACAGAGATCCCGAATCTGCGCCCATCGCCTCAGCAGCATCTCCGCTTTCTGGCGATGTTCACGCACATCAGGGCTGGCGTCTATAACCGTGCGCAGCGCGGCCATAGTCGTGTCTGCTTCGTTGCGATACGCCCGAATCCAGATCTTGATGGTATCCTCGGACCTGGCCTCATCCAGGCCCTGGGACGAGCCCTCGAGAACATGATTTTGCCAGTCCTCCTCATTCATGTATGTCAGACATGCAGCGACCTCGGTGCGGTAACAGACTCCGTGGCAGGTGACATGGTAGTTACTGGTGTTTTGGTTAGGGCTGGATGGAGCATGAACGGACAGAGATTATTGAACACTTACCCATAATACTGGTTCATCCACAACTGCTCCTGTTTCTCGTGGTTCTTGATGTCTTGGAAAACGATGTCATCGAGGTAGATTGCATCTGAGCTGTTCTCGTCGAGGAAGAATCCATCTGCAAGAATTAGTTAGTTAGTGGGATGCTCTACGGACCAGAAACGATGTTCTCACATTCAGCTAACAGGAAATCATTCGGGTGAGCACCATAGCTTATGAAGACTTCCTCTCCCACCTTGTAAGCCTTCGTAGCCCGGAAGGTATATCCCTCCTCGCTGAAGTGCACATCACACTGCATTGTACATACATTGTCAGTTTCTAGCCGGGGCAGAAAAAGAAGCTCGGCACATACCGCGGCATCGGAATGATTGAAATAATCCGCAAACGGCAGCAACGCCATAGCATCATTTCGGTCCTCGGGGGGGTCTTCGTCGGCGCCGACCCAGTAGAAGCTGCGCGTGTTGATGATAAGCCAGTGGTAGGAGAAAGTTTTCCAGTCTGTTTCTGGGAAGACGCATAGCACGTCGCTCCATGCTTTGCGCAGTTTGGTCTCTTGTTGGGAGAGGAGGTTCTGGTGGTCTGTCTTGTATTGTTTTTGGTTTTGTTTCTTGGGGATGGTATTCCAGTGACCTGAGATAGCAGGTGGGAGAAAGTTGGTTGTTGGGTGTGTTGAAGAATCTGTTGTTGTTTTTGTTGTGTCTTCATCGCTGTCTGGCCACTGTGGCCCACCCAATGCCCTCGGCCAGAGAATAGGCATGCTCTCTTCAAAATCCTGTCTGCTCGGCCATGCTTTTCTCCACAGGTCGTATCTGGACAGCAGCTCCGGTGATCCGTGGGTAAGAAATGCCGATAGGAGGGCATGCACTGCGATATCCTCGGGGAATTTCTCTGTGAAGCTGCTAGGGATATCGGATGCCCTCAGCATCACGGACGTCGGCACTTCCAGCAGTGCCTCGCCTTTCTGGTGGGTAGTCAGTTAATAGGGGTATGTATTTAATGGAAATGAAAATTCCCTCACTTTGATCCCTCGTGTCGCTATCATCCCCAGTCCCCGGCCGGGGAATCGTGCTGGGGTGACCCCATTGGCGACGACGCCCTGGGAGAGAGCCCAGTCGGTGAAGGCGGCATGCTCTTCGCCGGGCCACCAGTCTGGGGTTGCCATCGTGCAAGTAGTCTGAGAGTCATTAGAATAATGCCTTCGAAGGAATATAGATATAGACATACTCTGGTAAAAGTATATATATCAACAGCATCAAGATCGACATCCATTCTTATCGATAAAAACATTGATCAACTCCGGCGCGCCACACGGACCATCTGTGCCATCCGGGGATCATGTTCCGACCTCTGCTGTCTGTCAGTCCTGCTCACGACACACAGCTCACCATGTCGGCCCTTGGGAGATGCGGAGCCCGTGAGCTGCGAGCCCTAACACTCTCAAATCCCTTGACCTCAACAGCATCTGCCGCGCGGTCATTCTCCGTGCTCAATCGCCCACCACCAAATTACCCGGGCCATGTCCCATTGACGACGATCGAACGCGGAGCTCTAGCCATAGGTGCAGCGGTGGGATCATTGATCAACCCCCGACGAGCAGGTCCGTCTTTGTTTCTATTCTTCTTTCCTTGTATGTATCACGACTAACACCAACGCAATGGCTACAGACCTCATCGCCGCCCTCGGCGAGGCAACCGCAACACCTTACTTCATCTACCGCCTCCGCGACGCCATGCTCTCCGATCCCACAGGCCGCCGGATCCTACGCGACCGACCACGCATCACATCCGACACCCTGAACCTGTCCTACCTACGAACCCTCCCCCCAAACTCCGTCGGCCGCACCTACGCCAAATGGCTCGACCGCGAAGGTGTCTCCCCGGACACGCGCGATACCGTGCAGTACATCGACGACGAAGAGTGCGCGTATGTCATGCAGCGATACCGCGAGTGCCACGATTTCTACCACGCCGTCACGGGGCTTCCTATTTTCGTAGAGGGGGAGCTAGCCCTCAAGGCGCTGGAGTTTCTGAATACGCTTTTGCCCATGACGGGGTTGAGTCTGTTTGCCTTTGTGAGGATGAAGCCCGCTGAGAAGGAGCGGTTCCTCTCGCTGCATCTTCCGTGGGCGGTGCGTAGTGGACTTGCGAGTAAGGAGTTGATTAATGTTTATTGGGAGGAGGTGCTGGAGAAGGATGTCGATGAGTTACGGGCTGAGTTGCATATTGAACAACCGCCCGATCTGAGGGATATTCGAAAGATGATCCGGTTGCAGCAGAAGCGGGAGAAGGAGAAACTGCAGCAGAGCTAGGTGGAAGCAAGTTGCTTGCTACATGTACTTTTATATCATAGAGAAATACCCTTCCCCATAGATAAAAAGGGTCCATCACGAACGCCTGGAATGAATTTGCGGAATATAATTCACAAATCCAGCAGATCATCGTCATCATCATCCCACCCGCCCTTGCGCCGAGTAATCACAATCTTCTGCTCCTCCTCCTCCTTGCGCTGGTTCTCAGCAACGGCGTTCAACAGCTCCTTCAGCTGTTCTTCGGTGACCTTCTGCCGGATCTGGCCCGTCTGCGCCAGCATGATCAAGCGGTTCTCAATCTCGGTGGCGCGCTGTTCCTTGACGAGGCGGATGCGGCCGAGTCGATCCTGTGCGGCGGGGTCGAGGATTTGGGTTATGATTGCGGCGCGGCGTTCAGCTAGAGGGTGTTAGGTCAGGGTGTATGCGGTGGAGTGGTGGGTGGGGTGTCACGTACATTCAGCTTGTCTGGTAAAAATCAATCGCTATTAGTTCTTGGGATCCAGATGGTGAGCTAGTAAGTAAGGTAAGACTCACTTCCTCTGTTCTTCCTGGCCGCCCTCTTGGCCGGAGGGTCCCGCTCCCGGGCCACCTTGTTGCTGGAGCTGCGCCAGACGCGCTCGTCGGATCTGTTCCCTTTGTGAGCGAATGGTTCAAGTGATGATGACAGTACTGACCTCCTCCAGCTCTGCGTCGGCCATGTTGACTGTTATCCGGGTTGTTAAGTTGAGAAAAAGAAGAAGAGAAAGAGAACAGACCAACCAACCCCACTTGGTCCGCCCGAGCCACGCGGGGATGAATAATGGATGCATATATAGATGTGTGTGTATATCGTAGATACGTAACAAGACATCCAAAAATCTAAATATTAATTTGTAAATCTGACTTAAGAAGTATTCCAATCCTGGACAGCCTTCGTTGCCAACCGCGATCCAGGGTTGGCTTTTTGTTCGAGTTGCTTCAGTTCAGACAGCAAGGCCTGCTCGCTGATTCCACAGGACACAGCAGATGCTGATTTCCATTGACTCTCATAGAGATCCAGAACTAGCCGACTCCTTCGACTGGTAGATTCTAGACAACAAGCTGAAGCCCGAACATTCTGTGGGTCGGTAATCTGCCCACCTTGCCGTGTTAGGTCTGGTCTTGGCTTTTTCATATCGGAACTAAAGTATTCCCCTGCTTCATTACTTATAGACTTTTTCTATTCCAGCCAAGGATATGTTATAATTCGTAAAGAAGAAGGGCAAAATAATAAGCAGAACGTTTATTAGCATATTATAGCCTGGTCTCTACTCTGCCTTTCCATGTCAAATTGGAAGTAGAGATATGACAATGTTGCCCACGTTAAAATCCATCCAAAAAGAATGCCGAACGATAACCCGAATGCGAAATGGAAATCAAGTGCCCAGATTATGGCGGACAAACTTCCCAGGTAAATCAAAACCCCAAGAAACCACCAAAGGGTCAAATGGAACATCATGCGCCTAAAGGGCCTTGAGGTTTCGTATCGGAGATTATACCGTACGCGAAATTCCCGATCTTGCAGACCATCAACTGCAATAAAGTCTTCGCACGCATAATAGATGAATGGACGCAGCCGTGTCGTCCTTGGTTGGGAGTCGATACCGATTGGAATTTTGAATGGAATCAACGTGACGAGCATTAAAACCCCGAGGAATCCCATGAGTACTCCTGGGGAATAGAGATAAAGCTTGGGGATCTCTTTGGTACTTCCCACAACGAATGGTATGAGGGCGCATAGCATAGCAACACCGTAAACCCAGGAAGTAGCATCCAGTTCCCATCTGAAACGAGACAGCAGAGGCGCGCAATCTGCAGGGTGTCGAAGGAGACGCAACACGCGAACTACGAGAATATACAGCTCTCCTATGCCAAACGAAATGATCGCGTAACCCAAAATATGGCGGTCAGATTCGGGCTTCACGAGTGGGCAGATCTCGGAGACTTTTCTGTAGGGTCGACATTCTCGTTCCCATTGAGCTTTATGGATATTAAACCACGCGTAGTAAATGATGCATGGTACCACGAGGTCAAATAATATGATCATAGGCGGTCCGAGAAAGACGGCTGGGTGGTCTGCAAATTTTGGGCTCTTCTGCGCAAGCTTTTCGCGCCCTACTAAGCATTTAATCAGCGATTCTTGCACGACACCTTTCAAATTTGCAAATTAATTCTGCCTGGTGAGCATACTCCTGGTAGCCTGGCACGTGTGCACTATGGTCTCGGTTGAATTTCTTTCTTCTTCGGCCACGAATTGCATTTTGCGATTGTGAAGTCATCTACTGGCCATTCTCGCCCGACACGGTCCACTTCGTCCGCCTTTGTTGACTATCGAGGCAAAAACATACAAGAAGCCGAAGGACCAAAATTTTGGCCAGGTAGCCGCGAGGAAAGAGGTAACAGTTGTATCAGTGCACAATTAGGAGTGATTAAGTAGTAATGAATTCGAAATGTGCAAAGGTACGCGTAGAAAACGGAGTGTGCTGACCGAGGCATCCCGACCGACCCAACCGCATGTATGACGATAGCTCCAACTTAATTGCTCGCTCATTCTGGCAATAGTGCTCGTCCAACCATCTTCCATGTTGTGAGACTGCGTATCTTCCCTTGGGTCGCTGATACTCACCACGAGAGTTCAGGCTGACGTTATCTTCTCTTACCTCTGTCCATCCTTTGAAATCGCATCGATGCTTCTCGAAATGTTCTCTAGCTTTCGGAATTGCAGGAAAATAAGACTGAAAATGCGGCTAAAGACAAGAAGAGATAATTTCGATTGGTTAGCCAGACTGGACGATCGCGTGGCTTGGGTGATGGACAGGTTTTATCTTGATCGAGAGAGTTCTTCAAGCGACGAATGCTGAATGTTGTCAGCTGCATACTTGGTTGTTTGCTTCTAGTATAATCATCCTTTTGTGTGGCGCCCTCTCGACTCGATCGATCAACAAGTGCGTCGATCAGAACGATACGCTACTAAATATTGTCTCCCTTGTAAAGATCCCAGAAAGGCAATTGCATCAACTCTACTAACCGATAGCCCTCCTGGAGGCGTACAAATTATCAGGGGTCAGGAATATATATTTGGGGCGCACAAGGGTATGGTAGTACTATACTTGACACAGGACAACATTTAGAGTGACACTATTTTAGATCCGGTGAATCAACACGAAGAATCATACCTCGGTAGTAATCTAGTCAATAGCAAAGTACTGTCTGCCTAGATCCGTTCTAAACCTATTCAGTCCGTTGCGGAAACCCGGAGCACAAAATAGCCGATTCATAGTAGATAATAGTGTACTAGTCCGAACTGATCATCTAAGCACTAGTACAAAATCGCCCGCGCTTAAGCAACTCGATCACCCGATTCGGACATGACTAAGCCGCTTCGCCTCCCCCCGAATTCCTCTGGGCTCGTTTCTCTCTCGGTCGTCCATTTCTTGCTCCGCAGTGTGCACCGGATGATGCCTCATTGATATCTCTGTTCTGTTCGTCGCCTTCAGCCCCAACCTGGTCCCTGTCGGTCCTTTCCTCTTCCTCTCTGGCCCCCTCCGATCTTTCCATCCACCGACGAGCCACTCAAGAGCCCGATCACCTGCGGGGACGTTGCATTCAAATCCTTGTGACTGAGAGTGAATGGATTCTGTGACCCTCGGCTGACCAGAGCTCCTCTGGCTGTGATATTGCTGGTCGTGATACCCTCACCACTCTCCGTCTCCTGACGCCCACGCTCCCTCAACGCCTTTTACGTCACCCACCATGGCCGAGTATGTTGTCCCAGAGAAAAGGAGAATTCCTAGCCACCCCCGAATTGGCGCTGACACTCAGGGTTTTAGTTTAATCGCCTTCCAAACTCACCATCATAGTTTCTTTCCACCATCCACAATGATTCCGCGACACGCTCACAAGCGTTCGATCTCGTCCGGCCACCGGTCACTCTCCCCCGACCGCACCGTCCCCAAAGCCAAGTCGACTACCAACCTCGCCGAAATCGCCAACCAAGAGGCATCATTCGAAGAAATCAACTTCAACACCTTGCGAGATCCTCGATTGGCAATCGGTCAGGAGGTGTCGGCGTCGACATCATCCCAATCTCACCACCCTGACTTGAGCAACGAAGTCGCGGCTCTGAGCGTCAAGCTTATCCAGGCGATCAACAACCAAACCCAGCTGGATGACAGCCTCGCAGCTGCCCATCAGGAATTAGAACAGGCCCAGGGCAAAGTCCAAGCCCTGGAGTTTCAGAATGAGAAGTATAAGCGGGATATCAACGAGAAGGTCTACGTCCGAAAATCCGACGCCGACCGTGAAATCCTGCAATTGAAAACCGCGTTCGCCGAGGAGCGAGCGCAGCGCATTATTGCTGAGAAAGCAAAGAAGAGTATTGAAACAGAATTGGAGACATTAACTGCAGCTCTCTTCGAAGAAGCCAACAAGGTCAGTTCGGCCCTATCACCCAAAACGGAACATCAACTAACATCGCTTTAGATGGTCGCTGCGGCTAAGATCGAACGTGAAGCAGTCGAGAAGAAGAACGAACAATTGCGGTCGCAGATCAAAGACACGGAGTTGCTTCTAGCATCCCACCAAGATCAACTGTCCGAGCTTAAATCCGTCATGCAAGGGATGAATCTCTCACGAGATGACGTCGATGCGCCCACAGCTCCTCCATCCCCGGCTGGTCCCGCCCAGCTGCAGGGATCGGCTAAGGGAGACTCCGAGATCGAACACGTTCCTGTGGCATCATGTATCGTGGAAGAATTGACACCCGGACCGTGCGCCAGTTTCCCTCAGATGATCCGAATGGTGTGCCGCACGGATCTGCAAGCTTACGAAGAGTTCCGTGAATTGTTGACCATCTCTCGTTCTTCCAAACCGCCCAGCCGGGCAGCGAGTGGACATTATGCTGGCCTGAATGTTATGAGTCTTGCCAACTTTGGTGGCTCGGGGTCAGTGACATCTTCGCCAACCAAGGGCGTCCTCCACTCTCCCAATGGAAGCATGTCCTCGCAGACCGGCTCTAGCGTACCTCTCAAGGACACACGCTTCTACAAGCGCGTGCTCATGGAAGATATCGAGCCCACCCTGCGACTGGATGCGGCCCCTGGCATTTCTTGGCTGACTCGGCGTGCCGTCCTGAGCGGAATCTGCGAAGGCAGTCTGCTCGTGGAACCAATGCCTTTGGCTTCCAAGAAATACGAGTTCCCCTGTTCCGTCTGTGGCGAGCGCAGACCCGGCTCACACAACGAACGAACTCATCGCTTCCGCACCTCGGATAGCGAGACCGCCCAGCGATACGCTCTCTGTGTTTTCTGTCTCGAGCGCGTCCGTTCCGCTTGCGAATTCACTGGTTACCTGCGTCTCATCCTTGATGGACATATCCGCGCTGGCGACAGCGAAGAGGAGAAGGAAGTTTGGGAAGAGACCCTTCGACTGAGAGAGCGCATGTTCTGGTCTCGTGTTGGGGCCGGCATCGTGCCGCTGTTCACACACCCGGAGGCTGACGCCACAGAATCAAATTCTGGAGTTGCCCGAGACAGCCAGGAGGGCCACGGCATTGGCCCGCAGCTCAAGGTCCTGCGTGCGTCTGGGTCTCTCGCTGCTGTTCCTGTCTTAGGCGAGACCGATGTCCCATCACCTCGAAACCTTGATCTTGAGAGAAAGGAGCCCTCGGTCGCCACGGAAGAGAGAAGACCTTCTCTCGACTCGGCAGCCAGTATCTACGAGGAAGCCAACGCCGACGTGGCGCTCGAAACCGAGAAATCTGCAGTTGAGGCTGTCAAGCCTGTTGAGGTTACAGTCGACGCTGCGGAGCCTGTCGTCCCTCAGTCTCCATCTGGCCAGGATCACGATACATCCAACATCCTGACTCGGAACGATTCTTAAATCCTGATCACTGTGCTTGATCACCACGCGAGACGATAGCATGGGCTAGTCCCTTACGATTCCCGACGTTTTTCTCCAACCCCCCTACTTCGTCTCGACTTTCACTTCAATCCCCGTCATCACCAGTACCATTGAACGGAGTTAATGACGTGCCCACGGAACTTGCTTGGGGCAATACAACCTGTCCCCTTTAATTATCTCTTTTTGGTTGCTTCGGGGTGCTCTCACGCATCGTGATTTCTTTTTTCTCTTCTGATATCCCCTTTGAATTTTCGACGAACACTGCCCTCCTACTACCCACTACCCCTGTACTACTACTATTATTATTGACGCCCCCTGTCCGCCCCTTTTCTTACCTGTCATTCTGATCATGTATACATAATAACCGAGTTGCCCTGTTAATACTTCTTGGGTTTGTTTTTCACCGGAGTTTTGAAAGGGCTGTGTTTTTTCGTTTGTTTGGCCATGAGATAGACGCATGAGATTCGAACTGCTTTGGACATACTCATCAATTGTCTTTTCCGCGTAAAAGTAGCATGTATACAGTATCGGTTTAGAAGAACTAGAAGAATATCCGCCTCGAAAGAAAGAAGTACGTGTGATGATTTTAGCAGTTGGCGTCAGAACTAATATACACAGTATAGCAAGAACGGCGACTGAATGAAAGTAAAACTCCTAACGCCCTGGGTGTGTATGAATTCATAAAGCGAAGCCCGACTGATCAACTCGACCCATCCTGCTTGTACCGCTGATGCAGGTGCCTGATCTGCTCCTCGATATTCATATTCTGCGGATTGGGCGTCCCCGCCGGACCAACCGTCGGAGCAGGAGGAGTACCGCCCTCCGCTCCAGGGGTACCACCACCGGTAGCCATACGCTTGCGGCGAGCTTCTTCCTCGGGGTCTCCACCGCCACCGGCAGCAAGCGAGGAGTCGAAGACGTCGCTGCGCTGGCTGGCCAGGCGCTTGAGGTTGTTGACCACGTCGGCGGTGGACAGGTTGGTGGTTGCGCTGCGGGACTCGGCTTTGGCGCGCTGCTCTTTCCAGCGCGGATCCAGCAGCTCGATGCGCATGTGCTGCTCCATCTCTGCGATGGGGATTGACTGGTGGCAGTTTGGACAGATTGCTGTTGCCCCCGCGCCTTGTTGCCGCCGTGCTTGTGCGCGCGGCACGTAGTCGGACCGGATGCGCATCGGCTGGCCTTGCCCGGGTGCTGCTTGGGCCGCGGCTTGCGCGGCGGCTGCTGCATCGCGGGCTTCGGCGCGCTCACGGATCCGTTGCTCTTCTTCTTGGTACTGCGTGCTGTAGTCCATGCCGCCGGGAGGCGGGTAGGGAGCTTGTGGTTGGGCTGGGTATGGCGAGATGGAAGGTTGTGGGGCTGGCATTGGCTCGGAGGTGTTGTAGTAAGTTGGTGCGTCGAGATCGGTGGGCATTGCCTCTTCAATACGCAGCGGGTTGAGAGACATGGCTGCTTTCTGTTCGAGGGAGGCCGACTGCAGGTCCGAGAGCGAGGTGGGCGGCGGCAGGTCGGTCTGGTCATCGCTCTCCGTGAACAGCACCGTCTCGACCACGACGAAGTCGTGCCAGTCGATCTGGGCGTATTCAAGGCGCTCCTGTTCCTCCTCCTCTTCTTTCTTCTGCTTCTGCTGCTCCTGGAATTTCACCCATTCGGCGCGCTGCCTAGCCCTGTCGAGGACGTGGTATTTGTTGCGAACATTCTGCTCCAACTGGGCAACCCGTTTCTTCTCGCTCGATGCGTCGTCGATGCCCTCTGGCCGTAACAGGATGGTGTACTGGTCGACCAATCGCGTGAAGAACCCGTAGAGACTGTGCTGAGGCCGTAGGAATTCGAACTGGAAGTTTCGGGCCTCCCGTTGCGACAACGCTGTCATGAATGACTTTCCGCGCTTGGCGACAAAGAGAGCCGTGAGCTTCACCACCTCCAAGTCCTGTGCATTGATTATGGGGATGCGCGCCGAGAAATGGAACGCGGGCGGTTCGGGGGGTCCCTTGGGCTTCTCAGGCTCCGGGGTTGGGACCGCTTCGCCTGGCCGTCCTGCTGCCACGGCGCTCCCTCGGCCCTCCTTGATTTCCGTCAGGCGCCACTGGTAGAACGGCGCGTAGGCATCGGTCGAGTTCAGGAAGGAGAACTTGGGGTTATTCTTTTCCTTGTCGCGAACACGTTCTAGGCACCTGTCAGCGTCTGCGCATACGTTACAGGAAATTGGGACGCACCTTCAAAGACAAATCCGTTCCGGGCGACATAGCCTGCGGTCTTCTCAACGATGGCTGGATGGCGCTGTTAGCGGGATTCACGCGAGGGGAAAACAGGGGAGGCACCTTTGATGTCCTTCGGAGGCAGCACCATGCCCTCCGGAGGCTTGTTCATGTCCTCCGGCAGCGGGGTGTTACCGTTGGACTCCATGGCTGCTGGACGGGGATGATTGCGAAGCACCAGGTCTTTCTTTTCGACGCCGCGAGAAATGATGACTACGCGCACCGCCACAGGAGTAACTAACCACATAGCCACCTGTGGCGGTGCGTCCCTTTCGGTGTCGAACGCTTCACACTGACTGATGACAGGATCGTAATTGTTTTTTAATGGATTGTATCTGATAGATGATCTACATGATTATCCTCTGCCAATTCGGGTTCCTATAATCCATCCGTAATCGTACTCGGCTGCCCACCTACTAAGGGGCTGTTCTAAGGGGCCGTTTTGGGCTCGTGTTGTTGCCCGCCGATCTGGCCTCAAGCGGGCCTTTACACGCTTTCATCCACCTTGCATTTCTTCCTGCCTCTTCGCCTTCGCACCCTTTTTCTTCTCTTTCGTTTGTCGCCCTGTCATGGGGTCTTTTTCTTTGATTCCTCACCCTCATTAATTCGCCTTCTTCTCGTCCCCTCTCCATCTTCCCCTGAAGGAACGGCGGCTGAGTTCCGAGCTGAAGGAGAGGCCTTGGACAACATCTGCTTCGTCCGCCACTTCTATATTCCATTCCTGCGATCGAATCGCTCCTCATCGCTCTTCAGCACCAGATTTCTACCTTCTTGATCTGATTTTTTTTCTTTCCCCATCCTTCTCCGGACCTCCCGACTCCCGTGCCGATCCCCGTTCAGTACATCGTCCGGCTTCTGCATCGAACAATTGAAGGACAATGGGTCAAAAAGCAAAAGATACTCTGGGGGTGCGCCCTCAGAGTCGGTCGGGGCGTTCGCCCAGTCGCTCTCCCCGGCCCAAGGACCGCAAGAAGCAGGAGACAGTCAAGGCCAAATCTTATGCTTCGGACGGTGTGAAGGAAAACGACATCTTCAACCTGCCCGGCTCCGATTATAAGCTGCTTGCACTAGTGACGCTCATTGCTGCGGCTGTTCGTCTGTTCCGAATCTACCAGCCCACCAGCGTGGTCTTCGATGAAGTCCAGTATGATGTTCTTGACCTGAATTATGTGGCCCGCGGCTAACAAACCGTTTACTTGCACAGTTTCGGCGGCTTTGCGTCCAAATACATCAAAGGAAAATTCTTTATGGATGTTCACCCCCCACTCGCCAAGCTCCTGATTACACTGGCGGGCTGGCTGGCGGGCTTCGACGGAGAGTTTGACTTCAAGGACATTGGCAAGGACTACCTGGAGCCCGGTGTGCCCTATGTTGCCATGCGCATGCTTCCGGCCATCCTGGGTGTTCTCACTGTCGGCTTAATGTTCCTTACTCTGAAGGTCACCGGCTGCCGTACCTCGACTGCGGTGATGGGCGCTGGCGTTGTTATCTTCGGTAAGCCACTCTTTACGCTCGAGAGTTCAACTTGCTAACTGCCATGGTAGATAATGCTTTGACCGCTCAATCCCGCCTGATCCTTCTGGATTCTCCGCTGGTTTTCTTCACCGCACTTACGGCCTTGACATTCAGCTGTTTCACCAACCAACATGAACTGGGACCGTCCCATGCCTTCCGTGGACCATGGTGGTTTTGGCTGGTTGCGAGTGGTCTCTCCCTTGGAGCTACCCTCAGCGTCAAATGGGTTGGACTTTTCACCATGGCCTGGGTTGGATCTCTCACGATCCTCCAACTGTGGGTGCTGGTGGGCGACCCGAAGAATGTAACCCCGGTAAGTCTTCACAGATCCTCGATCAAATCGCCCCCAAGGCTAATATTGGATCATCAGCGGCTGTGGTTCAAGCACTTCTTCGCTCGTGCTTTCTGCCTTATCGTCATTCCCGTGGCCTTCTACATGGCTATGTTTGCCATCCACTTCGCTTGCTTGGTCAACCCTGGAGAGGGTGACGGCTTCATGTCGTCGGAATTCCAGGCAACTCTAAACGAAAAGGGAATGAATGATGTCCCGGCGGATGTCTCCTTTGGGGCGAGGATCAGCATGCGCCATCACAACACGCAGGGTGGTTATCTGCACTCTCACCCCCATATGTACCCAACGGGAAGTCAGCAGCAGCAAGTCACCCTCTATCCCCACAAGGACGACAACAACGTCTTTATCATGGAGAATCAGACCCAGCCTCTGGGAGAATATGGCGAGATCGCGGGTCCTTACGCCTGGGACAACCTGACCACGGAACACATTACGGATGGTTCGGTTATCAAGCTCTACCACGAGAGCACACACAGGCGCATCCACTCGCACGATGAGCGCCCTCCTGTGACTGAGGCTGATTGGCAGTTTGAGGTCTCCGCCTATGGATATGAGGGTTTCCCGGGTGATGCGAACGACTTGTTCCGGGTCGAAATTATCAAGTCCATGTCCGAGGGCGAGGAAGCTAAGAAACGCCTCCGGACCATTCAGACCAAGTTCAAGTTGGTGCACGTCATGACCGGTTGCGTTCTGTTCTCTCACAAGGTCAAGCTCCCGGATTGGGGATGGGAGCAACAGGAGGTGACCTGCGCTCGCAGTGGTTCTCTGCCCAACAGCGTCTGGTATATCGAGTCCAACAGCCACCCCATGATGCCTGAGGATGCAGAGCGAGTGAACTACCGCAATCCAGGCTTCCTCGGTAAGTTCTGGGAGCTGCAGAAGGTGATGTGGACCACAAACGCGGGTTTGGTCGAGTCTCACGCCTGGGACTCCCGTCCCCCATCCTGGCCGATCCTCTCTCGTGGCATCAACTTCTGGGGCCGGGATCACCGCCAGATCTACCTCCTGGGTAACCCGCTTATCTGGTGGTCGTCCACTGCTGCCCTTGGTATCTATGCTGTCTTCAAAGCCTTCGCCATCCTCCGTTGGCAGCGAAGCTGTGGAGACTACAACCACGTCTCCTTCAAGCGCTTCGACTATGAGGTGGGAACTAGCGTTCTGGCTTGGATGTTCCACTACCTCCCCTTCTACCTGATGGCTCGCCAGCTCTTCCTGCACCACTACCTTCCGGCTCTCTATTTCGCCATAATGGTCCTCTGCCAAGAGTTTGACTTTGTACTCAATCGATTCCAGCGCCTCGGTCTCTCTTCGAAGCCTGCGATCGGCAAGACGTTGATGGCAGTATTCTTGGGTCTGTCTGTTGCCGTGTTCGCGCTTTACTCCCCTCTTGTCTACGGTAACCCCTGGACCCGGGATGCTTGCAACCGAGTGAAGCTTCTGGGCTCTTGGGACTTTGACTGCAATACCTTCCACACCGACGTAAGTGTTACCCCGCCGGCGTGGCAGCCTCCCCGGCGAGGCTACTGAAACAACTCGACGATCCCATGGCTGATACACACCAAATAGCTGAGCCAGTATGTGACTCCCTACGGTGTCACGAACGAGGCTATTCCGACGACACCGGTTGCCCAGGTCCCCCCTCAGGGACAACCAGCCCATGAAGCTGTCCAGGAGCCGAGCGAAGCTGCCGTCACCGACCACCCCATCCCAGGCGACAAGGCCCGCATCGAGTACCGCGACCAGAACGGCAACCTCCTCCCAGAGGACTTGGTCAATTCGCTTCGTGCAGAGGGTAAGGTCAAGTTCGAGACCCGCTACGAAGCCAACGCCAAATTGGAGCACGGCCACGAGGTCGATGTGGTCGATGGCAAGATCGTCCACCCCCCGCATCCCGACGTTGAGGGCCAGAACCCCGAAACTCACGGAAACTCGGAGGCTCCGGAGAGCCCTGCCTCGGCGCCGGGCAATGAGCCGTCGGTGGAGTGGCAAGGTTCTCAGGAGGCCAAGCCCGCCAGTGAGGGGAACGAGGCCACTCAGCAGTGAATTTGATTAGGGGATAGATTTTGGGGGGGGAGCGAGCGTTTCGAGTCCACACTATGTATAATGAGACTTTAAAGGTAGTTTATTATTGTATGGTTTATTGCGTTTCAGGTGTCATTAGTTAATAGCATATCACTTGTTTGAAGACTGCTCCGCTGCCTGATGTTGTCGATAGAGAGACGGGCTACGTATTTAGGCAGGTATAGAAGAAAAAAAAGCGACAAAAGAAACCGATTCCCGATTGAATCTCATCTAAACACACAAAGACTATGCACAAAATCTCCGGCAATCCCCGTCACCGGGCCAAGCTTGTACCACTTCATCACCCTCCCTCTTCACTCATGTAGTATACAGCAAGTAGCTAGCCGTCTAGACAGCACGTCACTTCCGCTCAATATTTTTGTTCTCCCAAAGACTACTCCAATGGGATTCCTTTAGTAGTCCCACTCCTCCTTGCCGTACTTGTTAAAGCGCTCGTGCAGGTCCTCGGGCAGAGCCACATTGGGCACGATGACCGTGTTCATGGCGCTGGGAGCAGCGCGGAGGGGCTGGCTCTTGTCGCCATGCGGGTGGTACTGGTACTTGTAGACCTTGCCATCCTCAGTGGCGTGCTCCCAGGGCATGGCGCTCTCGCCGATGCGGACGTTGCTCTCCGAGTTCACGGAGGTGGGCTTGCTGCCGAAGTACCTATACAAGATGGAATGTCAATGGGTTGTTCATAAAGTAAACGAGTGATATCGGTGTAGCACTCTGGATGTTGTTGTGCAAACACCCGGAGGATTGGGGGTGCGTCACGATGGCGCAGGGAGGCGCCGGAATTGGGCACGGGGGCCGAGGGGGGTTGATTCTCACCAGCCGGCAATCAGAAAGGCGCCAGACATGACACCCAGGAGAACCTGTAGGAGATTGTGTTAGTGTCCCGGTGCTATGGCTTCAGGCTGAGGTGCGTACGTAGAGCTCCGGGTCACGCTTGGGGGCCTTGTCGAGACTGGCCTCCTCGAACTTGGAGGAGGCGAAGCGACGCGGAGGGGCCCGGATGAGGGGCTGACGGATCAGAGCCCGCCGAGCAGCCAGAGAAGCAATAGAAGACATGGTGGTGTAGCTGTGCGAGCAGGCGTGGAAGAGCAATTCGTGGGCGCAGGGAACGTTGGACGTTAGTGGGAAAGAGTGACGAGGTAATGAAGCTGGTGATCACGTGATTGCCTCGGGTCTTAGTCATCGGGTCCTCCCGCCTTTTTTGGATCCTTGGATTATTGTATGCCTCTGCTTGTCTGGAATTTGTTGTTCACCCAAGTTGCTCGGGCCTGACGCTGAAGGCTCTCATTTGGGGCTATTTGTCTACGATGCCATTGGCGCCCAGTGCTTCTTAGGCCGTTTGATTTCAGTTGACGCACCAGGTATGTAGCCGCCGTTCTGGATCAGGGGGCTGCAATAATGACCAGGCACTAATGAATATCTCCCAGCGTGTGTTCAGTCTCTCTTTCGATATTTCTCGCGTCTTGCCCTGTCGCTCCTTTCTTGCGGGCGTCCCGTCACTCTTTGGTTCTTTGGTCAATTCGATTTTCGCCGGCTCTCCTTGCCCACGTCACCCTTCGGAAACAAATATGATAGCGCGCATTGCTCTCTAGCCACCCCCAAAAAAGAAACAGTTGACCCCTTTGAACCATGGCGAACTCGGATCGCCCAGACACCCGCGATACGGATCACTCGCCGACGTCGCCGACGTATCCCAATGTGTTGGGAATCCCTCGCCCCCCCTCTGTGGGAGGGATCTCGTCCCGAATGACGGATGTTGCCTCAGACGATGGCGAACACTCCCCAAATTCTCCAGCATTTGCGTCACCTCCGGCTTCGCTCTATGCTCGTCCCTCAATCTCTAGGCGCGGACCGCCACCGGCAAGACACCCCTCTGTCGCTGCGAGCCAGGTGACAAGTCGACCTGGCAGTTCCAGCAGCCGATTCAGCAGATCCCATGTCTCGTCCATGACAGCACAGGCATTCTTCCGTCCTATGAGCTCACAACGACTCCAAGCACACCGCGGAACTCGGCCGATGACCAAAGGAACGGTGGCGTCGACGGATGACTGGACGCCAGACCAGGGAAACCCAAATCGGAGAAGTTTGGTCTCCAACAGCACCCTTCCACAGGCCTCTCTTCCTCCTGGAGACATGGAAGTTCCACCATCTCGCGGCACCGAGTTCACAGACCCGATTATTCCTGACCGAAACACTTCCAACGCGAGTCCTACGGCCGACACAACCATCCGAAGCCTGGGTGATAGTGTTCGGCTCCTCCGTGACCGTGAACAACAGGGGAATAATAGACCGCGGCCTACCCATCTGAATCTGAATGCGAACTTCAATGGTCGCAGCATGCAAGATGGTCCCATAACCCCCAAGTCGCCACTGTCTTTTCTCAATAAGACACCAGCCCGTGAGAGTCACGATCCCCGGGGTCATGAGCGATTGTCTTCGGCTGGCTCGTCACCAGGACCTAGCCCTCTCGATATGAAAAGGGAACGTTTGCCTAGAACCAACCTGGGCAAGAATTATGAATATTTCACTGGTAATACTCTCTTCTTCGGTGGTGGACGCTTTCAGAACTCGAGAGACAAGCCCATCAATATCGCCACTGGGTTCCTGGTGGTTGTACCGGCTGCTTTGTTCTTCGCCTTCTCGGCCCCTTGGTTGTGGCATAATATCTCCCCCGCCATTCCTATTTGTTTTGCATATGTATTCTACTTATGTTTTTCGTCATTTGTGCACGCATCTGTCGTCGACCCGGGCATCATGCCCCGGAATGTGCACCCCCAGCCTCCCCAAGATACCTCCGAAGACCCCTTGGCCCTTGGACCCCCAACCAATGACTGGGTTATGGTCAAACTCGCTACCTCTGAGGTGGCTGCGATGGATGTGCCCGTCAAATACTGCAAGACCTGCAATATCTGGCGTCCTCCGCGCTGCTACCATTGCCGAGTTTGCGACAACTGTGTCGAGACCCTTGATCACCACTGCGTCTGGCTCAACAATTGTGTCGGCCGTCGGAACTACCGGTACTTCTTCGCATTCGTCAGCTCAGCAACCATCCTTGCACTGTTTTTGATCGGTGCCAGTCTCGCCCATATTTTGGTCTATATGTCGCGTGAGCATATCTCTTTTGGCGCTGCGATCTCCAAATGGAGAGTCCCCTTCGCCATGGTCATTTACGGCGCACTCGCCTTCCCATACCCTACATCCCTGTGGCTGTATCATTTGTACCTGGTCGGACGTGGCGAGACTACTCGAGAGTACCTCAACTCTCACAAGTTTACCAAAGCGGATCGCCACCGGCCGTTTACCCAGGGGAGCATCATCAGGAATTGGATGGCTGTTTTTGGGCGTCCCCGACCCCCCACCTACATGCAGTTCAAGCGGCCCTATGAGGAAGGCGACCAGCGCTTTGGCATGCAGAAGCGCAAGTATCGCGTCCCCGACGTCGAGGCTCAAGCTGGCATTGAAATGCAAGCCGTTGGGCGTGCTCGTCCGACTTGACCAGCACGACTGGTCTTACTTTCTATGACCCGTGAAGATGATTGCCATGACGCTTCTATTTTCTGGTTTCATATTCCAGCCACGCCGGAATCTTCCTCATCTATTGCCTTTTCTAATTCTTTGTCACTTCCTACCTTTTGGACACATCTCTCACATACCGTTATTTCCGGTTTCATTTTCCTCTTGTCTGTTTATCATGATTGCCTGGACACCGGGCAGCCTTGGAGTCGTGATTGTCTCACCGACTCGTCCATACCAATTTCTTTTTCTTTGGCTCTATTTCATCCTGTATCTTCCTCCAGCTTCTGTGGAATATCTCGGGCATAGCTTCATCTGCATATCCTAGTTCTAGGTGTATGATACTTAGAATTTCCACTGTATCACAGACAATAATTAATTCCTCTGATACATAATGTATCCTTTGCAGTGTGCGGGGCGCCAATTATGTATGGCGTTGCGGCATTCCGCGAAATAATGGAAAGTAATTGTATGTAATTCTCGTTTTGGACCTTTTCCCTTTTCCCATTCCCCCTTGTTTCTTACGTCTTCTACACACTACACATATTCCCTTCAGCAGCACTTTCCATCTGGTGTTCCCAAGTGCACGCGTCAGATCTGGTCTCCGGAAATCGATAAGAAGCGCGCGGCTGACCCTAATCTGACACTTCCACCCCTGATATCTCCTCGAACACAACCCCAACGCGCGCTGGTCGGTGTTAAACATCCAGACACAGGACAATTCCGCGTGTACAATGCTTGTTTGAATTCCCTGCCACCCTGCAAGATGCCTGTTCGACCATCCAGCCGATCCGGCGCGTCCGCCGCGATCCTCCCTGACGCCCATACAATCGACCCCATCGACGACACAATGAACCTCGATGTCCCCGAACAGCTCCTGACACCCGAGCACAGCCGCTCCGAGACATCCAGCAACAATGAAAACGCGTTACCCGACGAGAAACCCGCACGGCGGACATCAACACGAACGAAACGCGTTTCGCTGCGAGCGGCCGAGGCTCTCGTCAACACGCCCGCCCCAAGCGATAAGTCTACACCCACGCCGAGTGAGGCTTACGTCGACAGCCTTGCGAAGGCGAAGCGGTCGAAATCCTCTCTGCGGCATAGTATTGCCGTGATGGAGTCGTCCCTGTGGAAGGTGGCCCCGGATGAAGATGACACCGCAATGGCCCCCGCGACCCCGATTTCGAGTTCCTCACAGGAGCTCCCGCCAGATGAGGGGGCCTCGTCCCTCCAGCAGCGGACATTGCGGAAACGCGTGGAGAAGGCCCTGGCCAAGGAAGAAGGACCGACCAGGACTAAGGCTGCTCCTTCGAGACGCCATTCTATGCGACGGTCGTCTCGTCTTAGTGTGCTGGCGTCTGATTTGGTGGGCAGAGCCAGCAGCGTTCTTGGGAAACGTTCGAGAGAAATGGGAGAATTAGGAAAGGACCTTGGCCGACGTGCCAGTCTTCGGCCGCGAAATGCCGCCCCGCTGAAGGAGGAGCCGGCACCTGAGCCATCCGTGAAGAAAAGGCGCGTCTCCGAGAGCGACCTCTCGAAGCTGCAATCCAAGGACGCGCCACCGTCTGAAGAACCTGCCGCACCCACCGTGCCTCGTTATAAACCCAAGCGGTGGCTGTCTCATGGGCTGTACACAGGCCAGGAACCAAGCGATTCGCCGCCAAAACAACGGCGGAGCAAGAACTCCAAGAAAACCGGTACTGGACCTATGCAGCGGAAGGTTCTCCCCATGCCCATGTTTGCAGGCTCTCGGCTGCTGAAGACTGGGAGGGATTTCCAGCTTCCCTTTGATGTTTTCTCTCCACTTCCTCCCGGCCAACCCAAGCCGGATGAATGGCGGAAGACCAACAAGAGTGAGTTTGTACCCGATGTCTTGACGTATAAACCCGGAACTAACCAATGGAATAGATGTCTTTGTGGGAGATGCTGCGAGCTTTTGGAAGGTGAACAAGAATCTGGAACTTTCGAAGTGTATGTGCGACGAAGACACCGGCTGTGATGAAAACTGTCAAAATCGCTACATGTTTTATGAGTGCGACAATGGGAACTGCCGGCTGGGCCCTGAGTGCGGCAATCGAAGCTTCGCGGAGCTCAAGAAGCGAACCAAGGCCGGCGGCAAGTACAATGTCGGGGTGGAGGTTATCAAGACCCCTGATCGAGGATATGGAGTCCGCAGCAACCGCTCCTTCGAGCCCAATCAGATTATTGTGGAGTACACGGGAGAAATCATCACGCAGTTTGAATGTGAGCGAAGGATGAGGAATGTCTACAAGAACAATGAGGTTGGTAGGCCCCTTTTTGACCGTGGGCCGGTTGCTGATGCGAGCTTGCAGTGCTATTATCTCATGTATTTCGATCAAAACATGATCATCGATGCTACACGCGGTTCTATCGCACGCTTTGTTAATCACTCCTGCGAGCCTAATTGCCGCATGGAGAAATGGACCGTTGCTGGAAAGCCGCGCATGGCACTCTTTGCAGGGGATCATGGAATCATGACAGGAGAGGAGTTGAGCTACGACTACAACTTTGAGTGAGTATTGCTTTGCCGCCCCAAAAACGCATACTGACAGTATATTAGCCCGTACTCCAACAAGAATGTCCAACAGTGTCGCTGTGGGGCGTCCAATTGCCGGGGTATTCTGGGCCCGCGCCCGAAGGACAAGGACCGTGTCAAGGAACTTGCGGACAAGCCATTAAAGAAGGCAAAGAAGGTCGCCGGCACAAAACGCAAGATTGCAGATGCAGTTGATAGCGCGCCGTCGCGCGGAGGCAAGAGGCGCAAGCTTCTGACTGGTGTTAAGAAAGCCATCAAGAAGACCAGACGCGGAAAAGCAGCGAAAGAGACCACTGCTACTTCCAAGACCACTGGGCGGGGTCGAGTTGCAGCCAAAAACGTGAAACTGCCCACTGTCAAAGCCACTTCCCGGGTTAAGGCAACAGTTCGTGGTCCCCGCAAGAACGCAGCGGCGGCAGCTAAAGCAACACTGGCTTCCCCGACAAAACTCAAGCGTCCTTCTCCCGAGACCAAGAAGAAGATCATTGCTGCTGCTTCCCGGGGCTCCAAGGGCGGGAGACCCAAGAAGACGACCGGGGTGACTTCTCCTCGCAAGCCTGCTGCGAAGTCTCCAGCCAAGAGTCCGGTCAACAACAAAGTGACTAAAACCACTGCTGCGAAAGCTTCGAGCCCCGTTAAGGGGAAGGGCTGGCGCAAAGGCGTGAAGTCTGCTGCGCGGAGCGTTGTACGGTCTGTCAAGGAAGCGAGGAAGTAGGGGACTCCTGCTCAAAAACACTGGTTCAACTTTTACATCTTCTGGAGTGAAATCACAGCCCATTAAACCTCACTACTTTTCCTTTGGGAGCTTGACCACATCTCTCTTCGGCCATCAATCTCACTTTCGTTCCGGCTTTCTCCACTCGCCAGCAACTAGGCACATTATTCAACCCTCTTTGAGTCCCGCACCTACATGTTTCAACTGAACGCGGGCCCTCTAATCTTCTTGAACCTCCTTCACGCTGGCTCTTCGATCCCAAGCACTAAGCACTATACCAGTGCTCTCTTACACATTTTTCGTGTTTTATTAATCAGCCCTCCCTTTCACGACACCCTTTTCTATCTTCTTAGCTCTTGCGATGGCGTTTTGACTCATGTTGTTATCTGTCGTCTTGTCTCCTTTATTATGCTCTTATTTCTTCTCGTCTGTTCATGTTTTATGGCCAGGGAAGTGAGAGAGTGCTTTGAGTGGTTTGGGGAGAACCGTTGTGAGATTCGACCTGTGTTTTTGGTTCTACTGCTTTGACGAGGCTGTGTCGCTGTGGAAGATAGCTCCTGAAATTCAAGTTTTTCGTACCACGTACTATAGCGCGCTTCCCTGAACTTGCTACGACCCAGCGAATACGTTCGAGCGCACGGTAAATTTGGCCAGGGATTCTCGTGTGATGTGGGGGCTAGTGCCGGATAACGAGTGTTTTATATCCAATGTGCCATTTAATTCAATTGCACTTGAAGGAGAGTGGTTGGGGTGGAAGATTTATAATGACAATGCGTGTCAGGATCTAGCAACCATTATCGAAGTAAGGCGATCGCCTATGGCGAATTGTTATCTCATTGAGGGTAATGGAGCGAACTCGTGGAGGTGGTCGGCTTAAATCGACAGCTTATATGTGGATCTGCTTTGACGGCATGGGCTACAATATCAACTGGGATCAGGCGCTTTTCTCTATGCACCGGTGCCAATAAGATCTCACAAGAAGAAACATCTCAATATTCAATTGGATCACACCGGATACACCATAAACATCCATCTCCAGTAACGAGCGCAACAGACCGAGCAAATAATATGTAAATAAAAACAACGACGAAAATTGAAGATGCTCATTCATTGTACACCATAAAATTGACAGAATAGGAAATCAAACTCAAGAATTCGTGAGCAATGTTTCCAGAGTATATCTCCTCCCAAATATATCAAACTATGCCGAGTCTATCGGCGCGGGCTGCGACTCGGATGCAGGCTTCTGTTCCTCTTCAGTCTCCACAGCCCCCTTGGCATCTGTTTCAGCAGCAGTCGTTGCTGCTTCCTCGCCTTTTTCGTCTTCAGCGGGCGTTTCTCCTTCGACAGCGGGTGCCGGCTCATCAACGGCAGCCGAGTCTGCAGGCGCCGGCTCGCCTAGACTGGGCTGAGGCTCACGCTCCTCTATCGCTGCAGCTGGCGCTGGTGGAGGCGACGGCTGGACCGGAGGGGGAACTTCTGCCGGTTCTTGTTGCTGCTCAGTTTCTGTTGGCACATCGTTCATGTCCACGTCCACGTCCTCTTTGACAACTGGCGTTTCATCGGCTGCAGCGGTGTTGTCCAGACTACGCTCAAGGGTGTCCAGAAGACCCGCTCCTTTGCTCTCAGAGGCATCTTCAGAAGGTTGTTTTTGTGGAGCGTCAGGCTGGGGCACAGGCGGCGTAGGGATCCCTCCAAGTTCTTGGCCCCCTGAAGCTTGCTCTGGCGATTTCTCAACCGTCTCAGTTGGCATGGGCTCATCGACAGCTCGTGCCTCTGTCAAAGGTTCCGCAGGTGTTTCTTCGACAGGCCTCTCGGGGCTGGCTGATGGTGCGTTCTCAGCTTCCTTTGGTGCGAGATCAGGCACTCCTTCGATGGCAGCTTCAGTGGTCCCATCAGCCTCCAGAGCAGTGGATTGTGGTGCTACTTCATCGCCATCTCCAGAAGCTACATGCTCAGCGGACTCTGCTGTGGTTGTAGTCGGCTCGGGAGTGGGGGTTGGCTTGTTGGAAAGAATAGGCTCAGTCTCGCCAGCCACAGGAACAGCAGAATCCAAGGCCTTCGGTTCCTCTGCAGGAGCTGTGGGAGCTTCGATATTGGGCTGCGGTGTCTCTTCGACGGCTTCGGAGTCCCCAGTCTCTTCTGGTTGCTGTTCAGATGGCTCCGGAGCAGGAGGCTGTTCTGTCGGAGTTGCATCCATCATATCGATGTCCGAGGTTGCTGGAGGCTGCTCGGTCCCAGTCTCAGTAGCAGTTTGATCCGTAGACTCGGAACCAGGCGGTGGCTGAGGCGTCTCAGGAGTCTTTGCATCAGCCATGGACTCATCGCCCTCATCGCTCTCCTCGCCTTCTTCACCCTCTTCGTCGCCATCTGTCCCTTCCTTGCCACCATCCGCGGCACCAGACTCAGCACCGTGGACCGAAGAGGCGTCGGCTCCTTCGCCCGGCGCAAACATAACCTTCTTCTTTCTTCCCTTTCCTATACCCTTGCCCTTGCGTTTGGGGGGAGGCGGCCGTCGTCTAGGTGTCGACAGAGCAGTGGCATCTGCGACAACCACGCCTTCCGAGTTGACCACTCCGACGCCCTCAACAACAGTCCCAGGCGCGGGTGCTTCCGAACTGACAGGAACGTCGCTTTGTTCGGCTACCGCCTTAGCATCTCCGGTAATCTCGCCTTCAATGGTATGACCTTCAGGCACCCAAGCCTCGTAAATCGAGATCTTGCCGGTTTCCGAGTCCACTTTCTTGAATTTGGTGCGCCGCATCGAGACCGACGCATTAGCACCCTCTGTAAGCGCAGAACCGCCGTACAGCGAAGGCAGACCCTGTCGTCTCTTAGCCAAGAATTCCGGCTCGGCAGGCTCCATGTGTTTGGGCAGGGTCATCCATTTGCGCGTAGTGAAGCTGCGATCCGCCATATGTGAAGCAGCCGCCGCCTGATCATCGGCATCCTTTTTCTCGTCGTCGGCAGGCCTACCACTTGAATGGATGTAAATGCAACCAGCACGCGCTGCCCTTAGTAGACCGTGGCTGATCGCCGGTAGGAGTTGGCTGTCTCTTGGCATGGGTAGTTCTGGCAGAGCAGTCGTTCCGCCCGGTCCTTTGACGCCAATCTCCGATTCGGCTGGCTTAGGAGCTTGAGAGAAGGTGTGTGGCTGTCGCGACCAGCGACGGACAGGTAACCCTTCAAAGACATCGTGGTCGATTTGACCGTTTCGGGTGCGGTTGGGTTGGTCGAGATGTCGCCCCGAGCGCGAGGACCTAAACTATAAGGTGGGTTAGTCGCAGAATCTCATCAATTGCAGCTATTCCGAGCCTCGAAATCCAATAAGACATCCTGGGCCCATTGGTATCCCGATAAGATCGGCTGTAGCCATAGGCGCATCGAGCAACGTACGGTGGATGGCATGGTGACCAGCTGCCCCAGCAGGTTCTGACCCCGAAATTCAATGCCCAAAAAGGAGCGCGCAAGCCAGAGAAGCGGTCTTGTCTATGTCGCGACACAGCAGACGCGGGAATTGTTGGATGGTTGGGGAGAGGATGGTGTCGGACAAGTGAAAGAGAGAGTCGCGTTTCGGGGGAAGTGGATGCGTCACGTGATACGTGGTCCACTTTCCCTATTTACAAGTCACTAAGTTATCGTCCCGACATTAACTATTGAGATCTGGTAGATTTATCAATTTTTCCAGATGTCAGCACATACTATGCACGTGTATAGATGCTCCTGAGCATGCGATCTACTGCCAGTTACATACTAGTATGGAAGAATTGTGCAATGATTCTATATGAAGAACCGACTGTTAGTCTTTTTGATCAAACGGAAGAGAGTATGATGTTGAAGTCCCCTTGACGTCAATTATCTATTGGACTACTAGGATTAGAACACTGTCAGTTCATCCGCAGATGGATTATACATGGGCAATAAACATTCCATCACCTCTTCCTCTCTTGCTCTAGCGCAAGAGCATCACCGTCCACCAAACGCAGGTCAGATTTTAGTCGACTTATGCCTCCCCACCTGGGCAGGCTCATTTCGAATCATGTTCAAAATCTAGAGCTTCCGGTTGGTTTGTAACGAACGTTGGCTCCCCATTGATCCTTCTAGGACCGCGCGTCTCAGCCTCGCCCGACTTGCCCCTCACTCGCGAAAAACAAAAAGCAGCGAGAATCACTCTTCCAGGTTGTTACATCGAGTATCAACAATCCTGATTGCAACGGCCATCATGGCTACCATCACAGACCACGAAGTCCTCTACGCTGGCAACAAGAAAATCCACTACCTGGCGGCTGGTCCAGTCAATGGCCCTCTGATCCTCTTTATTCACGGATGGCCGGCCACTGCCATCACCTGGAAAGCCCAGCTTGATGCCTTTGCCGCCGTGGGCTTCAGAGCCATCGCCCCTGATATGCCTGGCTATGGTCAGTCGACCGCTCGTCGGGTTGTGGATGATTACTGCCAGGAAGCTCTGGTGGAGGGCATGATGGCCTTGCTGGCTGACACTGGTCGCAAGGCAGCTATCTGGGTCGGTCATGACTGGGGCTCTGCGGTGAATTCCTCGGTCGCGATTCAATACCCCGAAGCTGTCAAAGCCCTGGTGAGTATTTGTGTGCCATACTCGACCATCGAGCTTGGCTGGGGCGGTTTCCTTCCGTCGGTGAATCGTGAAACTTACCCGGCGGATGAATATGAGGTTGGGCAGTGGGATTATATGAAAATGTACGAGGAGGATTTTGAAAAGGCCATCGAATGGTTTGACAGTGATGTTGCTGGATTCTGCAAAGCCATCATGCAACGGCCAGCCTCGCCGCCAAACCGCTCTGCCCCCGTCATGATGTCCACGGTGCGCAAGAATGGGTGGATGGGTGGCCTTCCGAAGCCACCGAGTGAAGACGTGACAGGGCCTCCAATGCTTCCAGCCGATGTTTTCGACTCGTTCAGCAAGGATATGCAGCGAACTGGGCTTTGGACAGGTTCTGCTTACTACTTGCACCATAAACGAAATGCGGAATATAATGGAAATCGGGAGAGAAGGCTGAGGCAGCCGGTACTGTTTATCCACGCCCTCTGGGATTTGGTGTGTGATACAAAGACTTCGCGGCTCATTGAGCCCATGAGAGAAGTTTGTTCGAACTTGACAGAGGTTACTATTGAGGCGGCGCATTTTGTGCAGTTTGAGAAGCCCAGGGAAGTCAATGCTGCCCTGTTTAGATTCATATTAGAAGCGCTGCCGAGTGAGTGGCCTGGATTCTGGGACAGTGGATATACTAAGAACAAGTCTGACTGGTAGTCATGGTTGTCTACATCTACAAAATCTACACATACAATCGGTTTTTTTTTTCTAAGAGCAGATGTTATCAACTCCTAGTAAGCTGGCTCATCATGCCTTTCTGCATTGGCAAGAAGTCTAGAAGCGTTAGACCTGCATTGATACCCATTAACCGCCCGAAGAAATTCAAACATGTCATGACCCAAAGACATGTAGGGCCTGGGTATCCGTCTACCGCCGCAGCGAGATACAGCGGAAAAATTAACGTGAACCCGGCAGCTGGTTTGATCGTTTCAGGACGCGGAAGACCGTTCTTTCTTTTCCCAGTAATGCCAAGCTTGAAAGGGACCGATGAGCAGATCTCGACCGCAAGATGTTTCAGCAAAGATTCAATTCCAGGAAGTTGGTCGTTGAAGTTGCTGTGACTGGAGGGATCCTGAGACCTTCGCTCCAAACGATGCAGCTGCATGACGATAAGTCTGTTGACGATAATGCGGGCGCATCGATAATTGTTCCAAACATCGCAAGCTTCGGTTGATGTGTAGACGTGAAATCTTCGGTCAAAATGGGCGATATGAAAGCTCTCCAACGTGTTATTTGGATGGGTTTCAGTCCATTTTACAGACTTGTAAGGAAAGCTGGTGAGAAGTATGCTGGCAAATTCCACCAGCTCGGAGTCGATTGCTTTAGCAATCGATAGTATGCAGGTAGCTTCTTGGGGGTATGCTTGCCTAGTAGCCGCCTGTAGGTTGCATAACTTGGCGGTCACTGCTATTAGCCGATTCATATGCATACTGAGGAGATCTGTTTCAATTGTTGCAGCAATGGGACAAGGCAGGTGTGTCATGATTTCTGGGAATCCTTCTTCCCTTTGAAGGCAATCAATAAGCTGGAGAAAGTTAACTCCTGATGGCAGAGATTGAGTGTATTTCCCTTACCACTTCATTTCTCACTGCATTAAACAGACGCAAACCATCTTTGCGTTGAAACTGGTCTTTTCCCCGAGTTGCAAGTAGGGCGACTGCTCCTTTTGTGTGTATGGACCAAGCTTCAAGAGGTTTCGGTCTTTCGAAGGTGATGAGCTGCGCCAAATGAGCTTCGTGCTCTCAGAAACGGGAACTGAAACTTACTTCGTAGAATGAGAGGCAGATAATAGCAGCGAGTGTTGTATCTTGTGTTGCATGTATAGGATCACCAAGGGCTGCACTGATCTGGTTCAAGGCCAGACTACACTTATTTCTCGCAGACTGGAGAAGGCCCGGTGAGCCATACAGGTTCCCCAGGTTTGCCAATCCTACTGATTCAATACTTGCCATCAAGGCCTTCATGCCCAAAGACGTCCCTGGCAAGCTTCCAGAGGCATAATATTCTCTCGGCAATTTAGAGATAGTCAACCCAGAATAGGTATTGAAGAAAAAGCATCTGGCCTGAAAGATACGGTCGGTAGCGAACTCGAAGATTGGTGGTTGGTATTCGTAAGACCATTGATCACTGCGCATGCAATCATTGACCTCAGGGCGAGAGTTACCTCGCGTCGCTCCCTTGTGCCGATTCTCCACAGAGTGCTCAGTGTACGATTCGGTAGAGCTCTCACACGATCCTAGACCGGCTCCTTTCACTTTCCGGATCACAGTGGCCGTTTCATTTCGAAATAGTAATGAGAGCTGATCGCGGTATCCTGGGCAAGTCCGAGTGGCCGCCCAGCATTGTGAGCAGGTCGGTCGAGCTTGATCGCACTTGATTTTTCTGGTACGGCAGGCATCACATCCTGCACTGGGCTTGCCACGGTAGACCATGAACAACGAAGACCTGAAAAGGGGATAAAATAGATAGTACTAGTAAGAGTGAAGCAGGGAACAAAAAAAAAACTCGATATCTATGTCTGTCCATACATAGTTGCCTAACTTGCGCTTAACCATTTGGGGAATCCACCGCGACACTAGTAAAATGGAGGCTGGTGATTGGCCCATGCTAACTCCATCTATGAGATGTATGGAGGCTGAGGCAAAAAGCTCCTGTAGATGGAAGAATATAAACATCCTCACGATCCAGAAATTCTTTTAACAAGGATACTGAACAGGCAGTCTCTCCAACACTTACCGGGTCCTTACGCCGTTTCTTTCTATTAGAGCAACTATGGTTGGACTGGATTATCGACACGGCATCTCCGTCTTGGAGGTTATTGTGTATATTCCTACCTTGATTATTGCTCTATGGGTAGCATACAGGCATGGATTCCAAAGAAGCGCCGGCTGGATCACGTTGGTCATTTTCTCGCTGGTCCGCGTGGTAGGATCATGTTGCTATCTGGCAACCCTTGGCTATCCGTCTTCGAAAGACCTCTACGTGGCATGGGCAGTATGCAGCTCAATTGGATTATCCCCATTGACGATCTCCTGCATCGGTCTGCTATCTCGAGCGTAAGAAAATCTACCCCATATTGCCACAAAATCGCAAAACTAAAAAAGATTACACAGCAATGGATCGATAAAACAACCGCCTGGCCAAGAAATCAATCAGCGCCTGTTCAAATGGCTCGGTCTCGCCACTTTGGTCGCGGTGATTTTGTCCATTGTCGGCCAGGTTCAAAATACCAATTTGGGACAAGAGAGCTCAATTAGTACCCTGACCAAAGCTGGCGTGGTTATATTTTTGGTCACTTGGGCTGGCTTGGCCTTCTTGCTTTTCGGGGTCGCATCGCGCTTCGGTTCTATCGAGGATGGCGAGCGCAGACTGGTTTTCGCTGTTGGGTTGTCAGTTCCGTTGCTGCTTGTTCGCATTCTCTACTCGCTTCTTGCAGTCTTCTCTCATAGCCCCGACTTCAACATGTTCACAGGAAGTCCCACCATCATGTTGGTCATGGCTGTCTTGGAGGAGATTGCGATCTGTGTCATCTGCCTGGGAACTGGTATTACTCTGTCTGTGCGAAAACGCACAGATTACAATGAAGAGTATGCTCTCGTCAGATAAGGTGTCTCCTGAGATGAGAACCATGGTCAAATCATACTGGCAACATGATTCAAAGAAGGCTTCTCACTATAAAATTCGAGAGCATTCCGTAGTCAATCTCACCAAATGAAGATATTGGCTTCTGATAATGGGGAGTAATTCAGCGATAAGTACATTCCTATTCAATTCAAAATCAACTATTGTGGTACGGGGTAGAGTAGAGTGGCAGTGTATTCGGATGCGGACGCAGTATAAGTACAGAAGGAGGATCAAATCAATGGTGAAGAACTAGTGATATCCATCTCTCGTTCCGAATCAATCCCAGCTGCAAAACAAGTTAATGTCTGAGAGTGATGTCGAAAGATAAAGAACTTACCCCGTATCCTTCTGGCGCACGATATCCCCCTTATTACCTGTTTCCTCGCCCTGTAGAAAAACTGGTAAGTCTCAAACCAATGATCATAGGTTACGGCAAAGAACTTACTGTCTTCTGGCCTTCCACTACCAACTTATCCAACTGATAGAACTGACTGATGATCGTCTGTCTCTTCATCAAGCGCAGGTTCTGCAACCCGTCCTGGATCAGCTCCTGTATCCGGCGCTCCTCCGTCTCCTTCTGGTGTTCACGGAACCCGTCAATCGTCCTCCGGCGGGCGTACTCGCGGAAGTTGTAATTTGAGAACCCCGATGACTGGCGGAGAAGCGAACGGAACTGTACAAAGGGAACAATCAGTATACTGCGATAGTCTCAACGGAGAGCCACGGAAGATCATGGGACATACCAAAGACCGCACTTGAAAGGCGGTGTTCGGGTGCGAGGCCGCCACAGACATGATGGTTGTCGCGGTATATGAAGACGAACTCGGGACGATCAGAGATGGATGCGAATGACGAACGGCGAAGCGTAGTGGTCGAGCCCGGGTTCTCAGTCTGGTCTGGGTGACTCAAGAGCACTGACGACGCTCTTGCAGCAGGCCGCGGCGGAAATCACAGATAGACAGCAGAACCGAGTCTTGCAATCTTCCGGGTATGAAGCAACAGCTAGTCCTGCGAGCGGTGGTTGCGCGGCGGTGGGCAGTATAGGCGTCGACGGAGGTGGCAAACGAGGGGATTCGACTCTCAACCAGGCGAAAGTTGGAGGAAAAGTGCCAAGTTGTATCCGACACACTGAGAAGGGGGGGAAAGAGGCAGGTCGCAGCGCAATCTTCGATCTGGCGAGTTGTGGGGGAGTGTGCAGGAAGATCAAAGGGAAAGGGCGCGGGAAATTCTTGGGCGGAGTTACCGGCGCCGAGCTGCTCTCCGGGCGATTAGTTATTCACCTCACCTCAACACAACACAACACATCACAACAAAATGGCCCAGATCCCTACGCCGCCAGCCTCACGGTCGGCCTCGGAGTCTCCAAATGAATCGCAGAAGCCCGAGACTGCCTCTTCAGAGCTCCTGCAATCCCTCGACACCCTGCTCGAGAAATACTTGCATCTGTTGGATCGACAGCAGGAGCTACAGTCGGGCCTTGCCAAACAATTGTCCTCAGTAGGACCCGGTCAATTCTGAATGAAAGTACAATGCTGATGTCAACGGAGTAGGGCTTCCTTGCTCTCGCCCATGCAAACTACACTTGTCCCCCCGGTCGGCGGTATGGCGCAGACTATTACGATGAGCGGATGAAGGCGACGCGAAAGATGTACGCAGTTCCCAACAAGATTTGGAGTTGAGTTGGTCTAACCTGTCCGGAATGATAGAGCTGTGCGAATGGGAAAACATACCGAAGCAGAGTCTAAAGAAGACTCGACGCAAGACTCGCCAGACAGCTGGAATTGCTCCGAGTTGAACTACAATTTCTCCCTGGAGGGTGCACCCAGCCCTCCGCCGGAATCATCAACAAAAGAGAAGAAAGCCGATTCAGTCGCTGCCGAAGAGTCTGAAGATGCATCATCCTCGCACCCCGACACGGCCACAGCTTCGAGCACAGAAGATGAACACTCGTCGAACTCTGAAACAGCGGTGCCAGCTCCCAAGTCTGCCCGCAAGAAATTTCGTTCCTCAGATCCCATCCATTGGTATGGGATTTTGACCCCGTTGTCTCTTCGCAATGCGCAGACATCATTCACGGGTGCCGTGGAGACCCAGGTGCCAGGGCTGGCGGCGGTAGTTGTCGAGATGCGCGCTGTGGAGGACGAGATTAGCCAGTTACGGAAAAAGCTGGGAGTCGAGGACCACAGTTAGCATAGACTATACATGGCATCAGCTGTGAATTCTGGCTATATAATATAGATGACGTTCTGAGCCGCACTGAGCCACCTGAGCGCTCATCCCGTTGCTCACCATCAACCCATATATTCGTGGCTGTGGGAGACATAAGTAACCAGAGCTTTTGCTTGTTCATAAATCGAATCCTGCTTTTGCAGCTGACAACCTCATCTTTTCTTGAGCTTAATATTCTTTTGGCTAAGGATATCGATGGACTTGATTATAGCATCTGAGATGTGAGCTGTCCAAGTCATTACACATAGAAGGGTTCTAGGATACGGATGGATGTCAAGTCCAAAAGTTCATTTCCATGAAAATTTACCCTGAATACACCTCGATTCCCATTCCCAGTGAGCCCAACCCGTCTCTAAAACGCCTGTCCTTTCCACATCGACTCGTCCTAGCGAGTCGACAACTCGTGCCACTCATTTCTTGGGGGCAGGATTGGAGGCAGGAGGAGTGTAAGTAGATTCGCCCTTGCCGTTGTTGTGGTACGTGCTCCCGTCTGGGTTGGAATAGTAGTACGATCCATCCCTGGTCAAGTCTTGTTAGCGCGGTCTTCCTAGTAAAGTAGCAACCACAAGGAGACTCACGAGTTGGAGTAGTGGTACGAGTTTGGGTTCGACACATTGGGGCCGAAGTCCCGAGTGCAGTAGTGGTTGCCCTTCCAGGATGAGCCGATTTTCCTTTGACGGTGGGAGATGTAATGTGGCACTTACCTCGCCATTGGTGCCAGAGTTCTTGTAGGTGTAAGAGTTACCGAAGTTGTCCTGAGGCATGGTGTTTGAGTTTGTTGGTGACGATGTGAATTTTGCTAAAGGTAGGTTTGGGAAGGTGGAGAAGAAAGCAGAGAAGAGGAATGGGGAAGAAAAGTGGAAGGAGAGGGGTAGAAGCTTTAAATAAGAAGGGACCTTCAGTAAAAACAAAGATTATATATAGTGCAGACAAACAAAAATTTTCATTGATGTCGTACTGTTATTGTCATTGACCTTCTGAGCATGTTTAAGGATAAAACGCGCTTAGTGCCGTTCTTATTGGCTAGTTTGTCTACATTGTTGCTATACAAGAAGTAGACACAGGCTTCAATATACATACCGAACGAGCACATTCCCTGGCATCTATTTAAGAAGCAGCTCACGCAAGCACCTTGAGCCAGCTGCTCATCGATATTGAACTTGTTTGTCCAATGAAGCCTTGCTCTTAATCTCGCTGATATTCTTGAACAGCTTGTCCGCGGAGTCGACGTGACCGTCTGTTTTTTATGCCTCTGGAAGCGATTTCTGTGATTTGAGACAGTCGGGATAGTGTTCATCAAGCAACTCTTTTCGTATGCTGACAACATGTTCGAATTCTGGATCTTGCTCGTGAAGTTTCTTCGCGTCTACTACAGCACCTTGCCTTATTAGCCGGACTTCTTGTCCGGCTTGGTCCTTGTTTAGTCAACCCTTGGCAAGTGTATGCTGCGGTCCTCACACGTTCACGTACGTTTTGGCGTCGGCATTGCAATGATGCCAGAAGGTGCAGATGGTTTGCGCATGGGCGAGCAGGGGAATTCAGGAACAACTAGTGAACTGATTAATTGTGATCAAATACTATTCCATTATAGATCTAGCATCCCGCTAGTTCCACCACATAAGCCTCCGGATCTCGCCCGGCTCCTGCGGCAGCTCAAACTCCCTATACAAAGAGACGACTCTGCTACTCGGTTGATAAGAATAGCCCGCCTTATCTCTAGCAACTTGGGGCCGTTAGAAGCAAAGTCCACGTGGGCCATCTCACTCTCATCGTGCGGCTATTTTGGTGGAGTGAGTGAACGGTGGAGATGAGTTCGCGTATAGCAGGATGGGGACTAATATATATATCAATCCTCTAGCGATGATGTTATTTGTCAGTCGTGTCTACATCGTCGCTTTGAAAAAAATAACATCTATCGTAACTACTATAATGCCTAAGTGGGCCGTCTATGTAGGTACCGGGGAGATGTTAGATGTCCGTTAGTCTGTTTCAGTTGAATCCAGACCACAGCATGCACTTGCCCCGTTGAACAAAATCCCCGACGGGCCGGCCTTCTTTAGCCGGGTTAACGGCTACCCCACTCACCTCACCACAACAATAATAATAACACCCATCATCGTCAATTGCTAATTGCCAGATTATGCATTATGATCTGGGAATTTGGGAATAATGTAATCCCGGAGACTACGCTGCTGCAAGCACAGCCTCAACCGTGCAAATTCCGCATCTGAATCTCTTCCCGCATGGAATGGTGGCGTCGCATTGGTTGCCGCCATCACTTACGCGAGCCCACCCTGGCTGATTGTGAGACGTAGCGTCCGAGACCGACTCCTGGAACACACCCCACTGGCACAGCAGCCTCGAGATCAGCCAATGGCATTGGCGCTTGGACGCTACTCTTTTGTCTAGGGTCTCAAGTTCAGTTGGTGTGATGCTAGTGGCTAACAGACCACCTCGTTCTCAAGAGATCGGACCAATGTTTACTGACAAGGATCAACAGTCCACTGAGTGATCGGTCATGGCCAAGGAGCACGATCAGCTGCGGAGACGGAGAACGAGGAGGATATGTCGGCCTACTTATTGCCAAAAGGCCGCTAGATTAATTATTTGGCATGCTACACATCCGCACCCCCTGGGCAGAGGATTTCTCCACCTCTTTATTTAGCTTCCACCACGCTTCGGACACGGAATGAAGATTTAATCTATTCTCGCCCTTGTGTTCCATCCCGGCGGGCCGGCTAGGATTACTTTCTGTCTGACTGTGCCCTGGAAGGCTCATTATTATTGTCGGGTGAGATAACGCCGTCGACCCGTTTTTCTTTCTTCTCTTCTTCACTTTCTTCGTTGTCGGACGGACTCTCTTTCTTGCTTCAAGAGCTTGAGGCTCTTTTCCTTTCCTTGTCGCGTGTGTTGTGTAAGTGACTGACTCTATACGCTCATTCTGTCTCCACCTAGTCCTGTTTGGAATATGTTGTTGTTCCCCTCTAACAAAGTTTCCAGTCTGATTTTCTTTGAAACATCACCGGTTTGATACCGCTGTTTCGACTATTCGCTCTCTTTCAATCTCCGACACGGACATTGTTGACTTGTGGTAAGCCTGCCTGTTGCCGCCAGACACAACTCATTGTCCAATCGCCTGGAGATGTGCTCATCGCGCGATTCTAGTCATTCACCCCGGCATTGAATGCCCTTCCATTCATTCGTGATCATTGTCGCAAATAGCTCAAACCAGTGGTTCTAAGCTTCTTTGTTTCTATTTCACCTCTTCGCCATTCCACTCCGCCAACACGGCAAGATTCCTCTCCTTATCTTTCTCGACTTCATTGCTATTCGACCCACAGAGTTGAACATTTGAGTATTGCTTCGATACTGTCTAAGGACAGTGATTTCCTTTTATTCCCATCACGGCTCAAAATCGATTCTATGCGACAGTGAAGCCTACATCGAAAACATACGAAGACCTCCTTCAGAACTTCGAAGATTGTCGTTTTGACAAGTGTATAGATGGCTCCTTCTAATCCAACAGATGGCACCGGGTCCCCTTCCTCCGGTTCTCCAGCCATCGATAGGAAAGGGGCCGGGTCCGTCAAGAGAGCAAGGCAGCTGCTGGAGGCCGGCGTACGCCCAGAAAGATCATCGCCGCCTGTCCCGAAACCGCCTCCAATCCTAATTCGGAATGTCAATCAGCAGATGAAATGGCCTCTCCGTGACTCTAGCCAGCAGCCATACCCGCCGAATCACCATCCCAGATACATGACCCCGCGTGGTCCTCCACCCCATGGCCCTCCGCCGCAGCGTCCACCGCATCCAAGCGAAGTTCCCTCTCAGGTTCCTTCACCGTCAGTCTATTCCGTGAGAAGCAGCCAGGATAATGGTACAAGACCAACCCAGTCCTTTTCACACCCTCGTCCAAATCAGCCACCGTCTCGCCTACAGACAAGTGACGACATGCCTGCCAGCCCTTCGAGCACCGAAAGTACGACTGCTGGCGGCTCGATCACGACAGACGAACTATTCAGACGCTCTGGTTGCTCATCCACACCATCCGTGCCGGATGTCCCTCCCTTCCCGCCACCACCCCCAGAGCCTCAATATGATCCTCGCCGACGGACCGCCGGCCTTGTTCCTCCACCGAACGCTCGCCGGGGGCAGCGCGCCCGTCGATCATCCGTGTCCCCAATCCCAGAGGAGAATTCCAATCCCCGTAACACTCTAGGTTCCCTTGCCTCGAGCCGGGCTATGCCGTCCAGCTGGGGATCCGGACTGGCTGAATCGGAGATTCTAGGCGCTTACCTGGACGTTGAGTCTGACTCTGATGATGGTTACGACTCTGACAACCATTCGAATCCCAATTATGATAATAGCGAGACTCTGGTAAGGAGTGCAAGTCTTGGGAAGAGAGGGAAACCGACGATGCGCACTATCCAAAAGCCCGGCACTACTTCAGACGCGAATGCCGAGACGCAGTCAGATAATACGAAGCAAGATGAGACTGCTGCCGCTGCTGGAGCCATTGTGGGAGCTATCGCTGCAGGAGTGGCTACTGATCAAACAACACTCCGCCCCCCGACTCCTGAACGCAAGCGCTCGGCTTCTACGGCATCGAGTGATGGTTCAGCTAAAGGTGTCGACCCGGAGAAGCCGCCGATTGTGCAGGACGAGAGTGTTTACAATGAGAAAGAGGAGAACCTTCCCATGGCTGCGCCGACCATGAGTGACAACCGACCAGGCGGCCGCAAGCCCCCTCGTTTGGACATAGGTGCTGTGCGCAATGCAGAGGCCCGAGGTAGTCTTTCCAGCTTGACGGACCTGATCCGACGCGCTACCAAGCTAGCATCGAACCTGGACCGTGGGCGAACAGCCAGTCGGGCTGATCTTCTAGATGGAGATGATGCCAAGCCAGCATTTGGTGGGTTGCCTTACTTATGAAGGTCATCAGCATATCCTAACTAACTCTGTCTCCAGGGCACCGGTACCGCAACTCCGGCTCGCTGTCGGATATTCTCGCCTCGTTCCCTCCGCCTGGACTTTCGACCCCGGACGAGAGTGGCCGGCAATCATGGCCCGTCTTCTTTGGACGCTCGAATCTGCGACACATCGAACCCCTGTCCTCCAACGAGGACGGACCCGACTCCAATCGTCGCCGGGCCCGGTGCTGCGGGATGCCGAAGTGGCTATTCATATTCTTTTGCATGATCGTCCTCATCCTAGTCGTGCTCGCCATCGTCCTCCCCGTGATGCTCGTCGCAGTACCGAACGCGGCATCCAGCGACCATCCCACTTGCGCCCAGAGGGTCCCCTGCCACAATGGCGGGGTCAGCGTCTCCGCGGGGAACGAATGCTCGTGCGTCTGTTCAGACGGGTACACGGGGCCACAGTGTACGATCAACGGCGACGGCAGCTGCATCACGGCGGAAGTCAGCAACAGCTCCATGACGAGGAACGCGACGATGGGCAGTGCGCTCCCGAGCCTGTTCCAGCAGTCCGAGGACAAGTTCGGGATCGAGCTCGACCCGATCACCATTATGGCGCTGTTCAGCATACAAAATGTCTCGTGCAAGACGGAGAATGCGCTCGTCTCTTTCAGTCAGGTCAATACGGGCAGCAGCAACAGCAGCAACTCTCGTCGATCCCTCCTGGCGGGGGACGATGATGATAGTAGTGAGTTTGCCTCGCCCTCTGTCTTGTCGGAGAAGCCTACGGCGGTCATGGAAGAGCGTGCCGTCGCAACTATGAATGGGATCGTGTACGACGACGAGGGAACGCCCAAAGCAGTGAAAGACAAAGATGCAAAGGCTACACAAACGACCAGCACCTCCACCCTTCCGACGGCTACGCCAACCGCCAACTCGTCGTCGTCCAATCCCTCAACCGTCGTCCCCGCCGTCGTAGTGGAATTCTCCCGGGTATCCGTCCTCTACATCCTACAGCGAACGGGCTCACTCGACGCGGCCATGAGCGCGGAGTCGCGCATCGAGTCGTACCTGACGCTGACCAGTACGGGGCAAATGGGGTCGTTGGAGGTGGATTCGTTCTCGCTGGACTTTTCCAAGCGGACGATCCACCGGAGTGGGGAGTAGTAGCAGTAGTCTGTACCTAACTACCCGTAATCGATCTACACTATTACATATTCTTGGTCTTCTGCAGAATTTAAGTTAGGGTTGGCCGCGCAGTGCAGGCCCTGCGCCAAGACGGCGCCTTCCCTGTTTGGGACTGCCAATCACGCAACCTCCACGAGGGATGACGTGCTGCTGACTCAGCTGAGACGGTCGTGGGGACCATGGTTGGTGGCGGAGAGGAGAAATAGGGGGGGGTTGAGACAGTGGGAGGATGGGAATCATTAACGAGAAGCGTGTGAGGTGTGAAGGTGTCAAGTAGGCAAGCACTAGTTGGGGGCTATAAGGTATAGTTGGATTGACATCATTAGGAGTCGTCAAGGATAATGCCGCCCCCTGAAAATCGGGCGGGTTTTAGCTTCATTGGTTCGTTCAATGGATACGGTTACGAGAGGAAGAGGGACTGTCTTGTTGCGTCGGGTTGTAGTCGGACTACTCCGTACGGTCCGCTGGCCTCAGGTTAACTACGGCCGGGACTGAAACTCATAACACTCGCCACCGTCGTGTCTCGCCGACCCTGGAACAGGCGTGAAACGGGGGGCCTCTCTCGCCTCCCCCTGGCCATGGCTGGCCGGCCAAGACTCCGCCCGGTCCACAGTTGACGACGATTGTTGCCGCGCCGGTCGTTATGGCCCGGGGAGCCTTGTTCTTGATAAGGAAGGGCTCGGCACTCATTCACTCCACCCAAACTTTTCTCTTTTCCTGCTCTGCTGTCCTTTTTTCTTCCCTCCCTCGTGTTGTACATTACCATCCCACTTCCTCTCCCCAAAAGCATTTGTCGCTCCCCTATATACCACCATCGCAATGGCCAACACTCCTCACGGTGGTGTCCTTAAGGACCTTCTTGCCCGCGATGCTCCCCGCCAGGACCAGCTCGCCGCCGAGGCCGAGACCCTCCCCGCGGTGGTCTTGACCGAGCGCCAGCTGTGCGATCTCGAGCTGATCATGAACGGTGGCTTCTCGCCGCTGGAGGGTAAGTCAATTGAACGAATCGCCGACTCCAAAAACGACAAAAACTAACTCAGTCGCCAGGCTTCATGAACCAGGCCGACTATGACCGGTATGTGTCGCAACAGGATACGAAGGATGGTGCCATTGGAATGAAGAAGAAGAAACTGACTCCCACAACAGCGTCTGCCAGGACTGCCGCCTCGTCGACGGCAATGTCTTCTCCATGCCCATCACCCTGGACGTCAGCCAGCAGACCATCGACGAGGGCAAGCTCAAGGCTGGCTCTCGCATCACTCTGCGCGACTTCCGTGACGACCGCAACCTGGCCATCCTGACCATTGACGACATCTACCGCCCGGACAAGTAAGTTGAGATTTTTTTTTTTTTAACCCCGTCCGCGGAGTTTTTTTGCGAACCTGTCGATCTTTTACTCTTTTTTTCTTTTGCTTTCAAACCCCTGCGACATGCCATGCGACCTTGTCTCTCCTGAGGCGTATTCGGTGGCGCACTGTTGTTTCTCTCGTATTTGCTGCGGTGTTACTTTTGGTGGGTCTGGCTGACGCGGAATTTTTGCCCCTGATTTTAGGGAGAAGGAAGGTCAGCTCGTCTTCGGCGGTGACCCGGAGCACCCCGCCATCAAGTTCCTGAACGAGTCCGTCTCCGAGTTCTACGTTGGTGGTAAGATTGAGGCTGTCAACAAGCTGAACCACTACGACTATGTCGCTCTGCGCTGTATGTGCCCTCTCCTGGTCCAATTGTTTTCGGCTCCCGCTAATGAACCCCGACAGACACCCCCGCGGAGCTGCGCATCCACTTCGACAAGCTGGGCTGGTCCCGCGTTGTCGCTTTCCAGACCCGTAACCCGATGCACCGCGCTCACCGTGAGCTGACTGTGCGCGCGGCCCGCTCTCGCCAGGCCAACGTCCTGATCCACCCCGTCGTCGGTCTCACCAAGCCCGGTGACATTGACCACTTCACCCGTGTGCGCGCCTACGAGGCCCTGCTGCCCCGCTACCCCAACGGCATGGCCGTCCTGGGTCTGCTCGGTCTGGCCATGCGTATGGGTGGTCCCCGCGAGGCCATCTGGCACGCCATCATCCGCAAGAACCACGGTGCCACCCACTTCATCGTCGGTCGTGACCACGCCGGTCCCGGTTCGAACTCCGCGGGCAAGGACTTCTACGGTCCCTACGACGCCCAGCACGCCGTCGAGAAGTACAAGGACGAGCTGGGCATCGAGGTCGTCGAGTTCCAGATGGTCACCTACCTGCCCGACACCGACGAGTACCGCCCCGTCGACCAGGTTCCCCAGGGCGTCAAGACCCTCAACATCTCTGGCACCGAGCTCCGCCGCCGCCTGCGCTCCGGCGCCCACATCCCCGAGTGGTTCTCCTACCCGGAGGTGGTCAAGATCCTGCGCGAATCCAACCCCCCGCGCGCCACCCAGGGCTTCACGATCTTCCTGACGGGCTACATGAACTCGGGCAAGGACGCCATCGCCCGCGCTCTGCAGGTGACTCTGAACCAGCAAGGCGGCCGCTCCGTCTCGCTGCTGCTGGGTGATACCGTGCGCCACGAGCTGTCGTCCGAGCTGGGCTTCACCCGCGAGGACCGCCACACCAACATCCAGCGCATTGCCTTCGTGGCCTCTGAGCTGACCCGCTCCGGCGCCGCCGTGATCGCCGCCCCGATCGCCCCCTACGAGCACTCGCGGAAGTACGCTCGCGATGCCGTCGAGAAGGCCGGCACCTTCTTCCTCGTCCACGTCGCCACCCCGCTCGAGTACTGCGAGCGCACCGACAAGCGCGGCATCTACGCCAGCGCCCGCCGCGGCGAGATCAAGGGCTTCACCGGTGTCGATGACCCCTACGAGACCCCCCAGAAGGTCGAGCTCACCGTCGACCCCTCCACCCAGTCCGTGCGCAGCATCGTTCACGAGATCATCCTCATGCTCGAGAGCGCCGGCTACTTTGAGCGCATTGCTCAGTAGATGTGGAATATTCGGTTACTTTGTTTGAATTGGGGCCATCTTCGGATCGAGATGGATGTGTACTAGGATGTGTTTTTTTTAATCTGCGGCTTTTTTGGATTCCCCTGAATTAGATCCTTGGCAATAGACTTGTTGGCCATTGACTGGTTTGCAATTGTAGATTGTATACTTTGAACGTAGTTGTCTTGTAGTCAAAGCACGGTCTCCTTGTCTCACTGCGCTGGACCAAGTCGGGATGGTGGCCCGTTCAGAGCGACCATCGATGCAAAGTGTTGGAACGGATCGTAGTGGCCTTTGCTATCGAAGATTTCATTGAGTAGGTTGTCGTACACACCTAGGAGTTGCATGAAGCGCGAGTTTCGTACCCCGTATCTATCGCGGTCTTGATCACGTGAGGCACGATCTCCATCCAAATTCAACATCACCGTTTCGGTCAACCGTCTCAACGACATCGCACACCCACCATGCTACCCCCAAGGAGCGCCATCGGTCGAATACCGCATCGCATTCGGCCGGTGCATCCCCCCGGATCCCCGGTCCACATATTCACCTGCGCCCATTCACAAATCGCACCCGTCTTCTTCTCCTCTCCCCCGTGCCAGGCCGTCCTCAACTTCCCTTCCTCTCGCCGCTAGCACCGACACGCCCTCTCCCCCCTCTATCCATCCACCTACGCCAGCACTTTGCCCGACTCATCTCCACCGAAAGCCGCAACCACTACAAACGCCGACTGGCGCGCGGCCTCAAGATCGGCCTCAGCTTCTATGCCATCCTGGTGCTGTTCCAAGTGATCAAGGTTGGCATGTACCAGGAAGAAATCGAGCACAAGTGGCCTACGCCTCCAGAATGGACCTGGAAATCGCGCTGGTGTTTGCGCTCTGCACAGGCATTCCAGCACCCCGAACAAATCGGCAAGCTGATGACCAATTGGCCCATGGTTACCGGGTTCTTGCGCGAGCTGCTGGAGCGATTGGAGAATGTGGAGGGCGAAGGCAAGGGCATTGTTGAACAGGATGAGGGCGGGTTCCTTGTCGAGGGCCTCGGTCGCACTGGGTTTGATATCTCGGCCAAAAGTGAGCCCTGGCGGAGAGGGTACTTTCAGGCTCTTCTGGGCGCAGCAAAGGCTGCGGAGAACCTGGAGGGTTGGTTGACGGATCGCAAGCAGAAAATCTCTGCGCCGGCCGAGTATGTGGTCGGGCCGTCGAACCCGCGCCCCAAGCCTATGCCTACTGGGCAGAAGAAGGTGCCGCAGGAAGAGAACTGTGAGGCCGCGTCGCCTTCGCCGGAGACATTTTATATGAAGATCTTGACGACACGGGGATTTAATACGGGACAGAAACTGGAGGCCGCACTGGCTTATGCGGACTGGCTTGATTACAAGGGACTGGGCCGTACTGCAGGAGACATGTACGCCTGGGCCTTGGATATCGCTGTCGAGGGACTACCTGGTGATGCCAGCAAGGTAGTAGATCTCAAGACGGGAGTACTCAAAAACACTGGCTCTGACTTGCCATCTGAAAACATACTACGTGTGTCCACGGCTCTCGCTGTCCACAATGCTCGCCAGGGCGATCTCCCAACTGCTTTATCCCTCTTCACATCCGTCCTGAAGGCCCGTCGGAGTCTTCCTCTCTCGCCAGAATCTACGCGGTCGCCTGTCCTCGCCCCTCTCTCTAACAGATCAAACGACATCTTTGCCTCATTCTTCCACTCCATCAAAAACATGCTCGTCCCCGTGGACTATCCAGCCGCCCCTCCATCTGGCGATGACCCTCCCCTCCGCACATCCGCCTCTGCCTGTGAAGAAGCAGGATTGATGACCTACATTGGCGAGATCCTCTACGCCTCCTCATCACAGGACACCGGTCTCGCCTGGACTCGCGACGCAGTGGATCTGGCCGAGTCAACAATCCTAACCCTACGCAGCTCCGAGACTGACCGCGACCCTCGCGCTCGCTGCGCGCAATGTCTCAAGGTCGGTCTCGAAAACTGGAAGACTATGGTGTCAACACTGGTTGCTCGCGCCAAGAAAGATGAACAAGAAAGCATCGCCAAGGCCCAGGGTGCATGGTTCGGCGGCGAGAAGAGCGTGCAGACCAAGTCTCTTGAGCGAAGGAGGTGGGAGGCCGAGAAGACCCTCCTAGAAGACCGGATAAAACGGCTGTTTCCTCTGCTTGAAGGCGAGTCGGATCTCGATGCCTTTGCCCCGAATAGCTCGCTATTTGTGTAATTCCCTCACGAGGCTGGCAAAGTCGGGCAATAGATCTCAGTTGGGTCCAGGCTCCGTATCGGGTGTTAGCGGCACCCTGTGTACATATACTCTCGCCCCGGCCGTTCGATCCACCGGGGCGCGCTGCAGATTGTTATGATAACTTTGTACTGTACAATAACGATGCAGATCTCCAACAATAACTTGTAAATCCCTAGTGCTTACTTGTGTTGATTTGATTCCTTCATCTCAACTGCGACATAATTCCTGGGCAGACCACAGCTGCGAAACACTGCGTTCTTTTGCTGAAAAACGGCCGTGTCCTGTCTTACTCCTCATGCCTTGGGTAGTTAGAGGTAGTGCTTGCTTAGACGTAGGAACACGAGCGCATTAATAATGCTGTGTAGACACGTTAACCCCGCTCTCTCGTCATAATATAGGCTTGTCCGTACTTCCACATCTCGGCATCCATTATCTATATATATTTTCAAGTCTACTGGATATGTACACCTAGTTAATTACAAAGTCAACGGCGAGAAACAAACAAATATGCCCGCCCACAAACTCTACTATATTTCCGGCGAGTGTTCCCAAGCAGTGCACATAGTGCTCCGCGAATGCGGAGCTGAATACAGCCTGTCCGCCGAAAAAGTAGGAACAAACGACTTCTCCCCCGAGCTGCTCGCCCTGAACCCGAAAAAGAAGGTTCCGGTACTGGTTATCGACAAGACCACCGTGCTAACCGAAGTCCCCGCGATAATGACCTACCTCTCGCAACTCGCGCCCGAGAAAAACCTGCTCGGCTCAACGCCCATGGAAACCGTCCGCGCGTACGAATGGATGAACTGGCTCTCGGGCACGCTGCACGCGCAGGGCTGGAGGCTCTTTTGCTTCCCGGAGCGGTTTCTCGAAGATGAATCCCTGGGCACTGCGAGGGAGGCGTTGAAGGGGAAGGGGCGGGATATTATCAAGGATTGTTATGCTACCATTGAGTCCAGACTGAAGGATGGCCAGATCCACGCAGTGGGCGACGCATTCACGGCTGTGGATGCTTATCTGTTTGTTTTCTTTCGGTGGGGGTCCAGAGCGGAGATTGATATGGAGGCTTTGTATCCGAGATATGCCGCTTTGGCGGGGAGGGTGTGGGCGAGGGACGCTGTTAAGGAGGTTCTTGCTGCAGAGGGATTTTAGGAGGGTCAATACGTAGATCTACTGGTTAATGTTTGGAAGGAAGGGGCGTTGTTTAGCAAGTAAAAGCTTGGCAATGGCCTCTAGCGTAGCTTGACTTGAAGTACCCAGTGAGAATGACTTTACCTACAAATAGCTAACGGCTTTTAGGATTGCCAATGGATAACCCTTACTAAGTAGATATGGTTTTGAAGTGAGTTTCTCCCAAGGAGGGCCTGGTGAGTAACTGCCTCTATTGTAGTGGCAGAAATACCTAGCGAGATGACTTTGACTAAAAATAGCAGTGGGCTTTGGGATTTGTCAATGGGGTTCACTGGCTGGGGTTTGGAAGGAAGAGTGTTGCGCAAGTGGCTGCTGAGCATTTATCTCTGTCGCGGCTTGGGTACCCTTGATACTAGAAATAACGAGTGAGATGATTTCATTCTTCTACAAGTGACTGACGCGTTATCTCCTGAGGATAAGTGGCTGCATACTGGCCTTGGCCACAATTCCACCAGGCACAACGACCTATATCCATGGCCACCCAGAATAATTAACGAGTTCGACAAATTGGATTGGCCCCGTAGTTAATTTACCAACGACTAGAAATGCCAACTTAACTAGCGCTGACATTAGTCAGAAGTAGATGATCGCGATGACGTCGATCTCGCTTCTGGGCCCTTGAATCTCTCCGTCAAATTCCAAATTTTCATGGTCAGCGTGGGGGCCAGGTACATCAGGATTTGGAACAACGCGCCATACTAAGTAGGGTAATTTGGTTGGGACTAAAGGTGCTTCCCCAGATAAGGAGCGGCCCGGATTTGCTTCTCAGTAGTGAAACAGCCTCGATTATCACCGATGCATTGAGCATACGCATCGATTGGCTATCGGTGAAACTCTGTCCAACAGCTTGTTTAGAGACCCTGGGGGCGGATTGCATAATGAACACTATACCGTGTGGTCAGGTCCATTGATTTTGTTAGCGCGGTACTTCCATCCCTACCACAGTATGGAGCGCGTCCATCACTTTCCTCTTTCATGGTATGTACCCAATACCGTGCGGAGTTATGTGCATAGCACATTATCAGCAACTGGTTCGACTTCGTCAGACCCAGATCTTCAACCAACGCCAATCCCCCTACTACGGAGTCACCGTACCCCTAATCCCCATGACTTGCTTATTACTCCGGCCTTGGATTGCCACGCGTAAGCCTCTTTCTCACTGGTTGAGTAATATGCGCCTAGAACACCAGAGGAACAATTGTGATCTTCACAAACTCACGCGAGAAGGATCAACTCTAGTGATAAAAGATCCACACTAGGAATGACCAGGATGACGGTTTCGCGACGAATCACACTTTGTCATCTAAAGAGTCCCACTCATTAGTGCCGTGCGAAACAGGGATAGCTAACTAAGATCGGATGTACATAACGGGTAATTCCTTAATTCCTACAACTGAGGCGTTAATTCCTGACGGTCGATCTGCGATTGGACGGGATTACTTGACGCAGGGCAAACGGCACAAGGCACCAACCATCAAGCACCAAAATATCTCAGTATACTGTTAAAATGGGGCTGGGCGTAACCCGCCACATACTGCCACTACGACAGAAACGCAAGGTCATGAGAAATTGAATTGGGTAACTAGTTCTCATAACTAGCTACGTGTAGCGACGTAATAAGCTAATATTTCGAAATGTAAGAGAAATGGTCTAACCCTCCGTTCCAAGTTCAACGATTGAAGAAGCGCACGACGGTGTTCTGTTAGCTCCCTGATCATCAGATGGGGTAGGTCGGTTCAAGCCGTCAACGTGGTACAGGGGTGCGTGCTTCCAGAAATAGTAAAGGGAGCAAAGACGCTAATATGAGCCTCAGGATGCACTTGCAGGGATTAGCGAATCGTAACGGGGTTTGGCCGCGGTCAGTGCTGGGCCAGGAACCAAGTGGACCTGGTTGGCCAAGGGAAAACTGGCGCCACACTAGCCAGGCATGGTATGATCTGCCGCAAGTCTGGTACCGGTGAGCTGGGTGAGTTGTTAGGCGAGCGGGCTCTCAGTGGGACTGATTGATTTTGCGTTCTAGGGTTGTCGAGAACAGGAGAAGACAGGAACAGACAGCGAGAGGTATCAGAGAATTAGGATAGGTTGTGTCTGTATACCTGCGACGTAAAGGAATCCGGATGCATCGGGCAGATTCTTAGTGTTCAAGCTTAAAATAGAGTGGGGGCTGTTGGCCAAACAAGCGATCTGCGGGCGGGACTGCCAAGTGCATTAAGGATTTGTTATATCCTCTGTGGCTGGGAAAGGGTCGTTGCTGCAATCTCGGTCTCCGTCGTCTGCAGAACATGAACGCTAAGTCTATGTAGAGCTCCAGCCCGACGTTTAACGCTAGATGCTGAGTATATGATCCAGTTTGTGGGGGCGGAATGCTCAAGAGATTCCATTTCTGGCTGGCCAACAAAGGAATAACGTATGTGTTCGGGGGAAAATTGAGTGGAACCCTTCTGGCCGTGCGGTTCATCCATCCGGGTTTGGTACTTGGTGTAATTGTGCGTAGACACTGTGTATAGATGCTAGAACTCGAACAAAACAAAGCATTATTTGGCAATTATAATGACGAGTACCTACAAGCCCAGTGGGCTATTTTTGGATTCAATGAGTTTGATACTTGTTGGCTTGATTTCCTTATCATCATTAGAGTGCTCGCTTGTTTCTAACGATGCAAGTGACATTCTTGCAATGACCTAAATTAAGCCACACTGGTGTTTCACGATCCCTGCCAACCCTATGTGCCTGGTCCTGACCCACCGATCCCGGCAGCACGGTTCATCGTCGAGAATAACACCCCAGAGAGTAAGAAAAGGGCCCCTCACGTCCACTTTCTCGTGGCTAGCCCTGATCCTTCCAACACGCCATTCTCCAAGTCCACCACGTGGATGGCCTCCTTGAGAGAAGAGACGGCGTGCGCTAGGCATGCGCTCCTTCGGAAATTCTGGACGATCTCTCTGTTTCCAATTAAACTAAAGACCCTCCGACGCTGTTGGTTTGGTCGATCATAACCTTTGAAGGTTGCTCCAACACGCTACCTGACCCCCTGTCAGGCTTCAATAAAACTCGCGAGTTTGCTATGTATAGTCTCCTGGAGGGTCTTTATAAGAGTCTATCTGTGCCCCCTTTGTTGTTCTTTTTTCTCATCAGACTTCCTTCAGCGTTTCTTCAAGCCTCTTCCAACATTCAACTTTTCAACATGTTTACTAGCAATCCCTCTTCCTACACTTCAACTTCACCTTTGCCCTCTCTATACCCTGCTATTAAGGGTACTCCCGCCATCATGAACAACACCGACCAGTACCACATCACTTCTGGCGCAGACATGTCTCCGCCCATCACCTACACCCCCACCACCCATCGCCTTAGCAAAGCCAAGAAGGGGAAGCGCGTGCACGTGTGCGAGTACACCGGATGTAAAAAGGTATGTTTATCGCTTAACTCAAAAACAAACACCCAATTTAACTTCGCGCTAGGTCTTCACTCGGGCTGAGCACCGCCGGCGGCACGAGATGCGCCACTACACCAAGAAGTCCTATCCGTGTACCTTCCAGGACTGCAAGCGGACCTTTCATCGATCCGACTACCTGACTCGCCACCTGGAGAAGCAGTAAGTAATTCAAACCTCTTAACTCACATATCCCTAAACTAACAACCCATCTACAGTAACCAAGTTCCCTCGCGCGCTTCATCCACCAGATCCAACTCGTCCCGAGTCCGACCGACTTCGCAACCGCGCTCCACCTCCACCGATGCCCCCGTGGAATCCATCATCCAAACCGACGCGGCCCCAACATCCTACCCCAACATCTGGACCAGCATGGAAGCCTCTCTCCCACCAACCGCCGCATGGTTCAATCAGATCCCAGACTCTGTCGAAAGTGGCCACTTCTACTCCACCACCCCTGAGCTGAGCAACTCTCCTATCCCAACAATCGAATTCGCCAGCCCCGCCGCCTCTCCCTCATCCTTCCTCTACGAGCAGCCCCAGATCTTGGACCCGTATCTCCACGGGCCTGCCTCGGACGTGGGTTCAGGAGTTGACTCGCCTGTCCCCTGGGAGAAGATGGACCACTACATGCTCCCGTTCCACTATGGGCCTGTTCCGACGCAGGACATGGCCTACCCTCCTCCTTGTCAGTACACGTCGTGGCCTAGCCCCGACAGCTTTGCTCCTCTGCATGAGTTTTCGGCTTCCCCCATGGGCTATAACCAGCCCGCTATATGCTGATTAATTGACCTGTTTGACTGTTTTACGTGTTTTATGTGTTTCATCGCGTTTATGTGATACCTCAAGGACCATTGGAGTTGCCCTATTCTTTCCCTCTCATGTTCAGGAACATTTGAGATTTGTTTCTGGTGTTATCTGAAAAATTCTGGCGCGTGTATGCAAGGGACGGCGACATCGGGTTATAGCGATCACGATTATGTATTATGAATAATTTAATTTGTGAAACTATAATGACTTTCAACTACCATATAAAATATAAACATTAGAGAAGTAGTACAGCTGTCGTCGACATAATGTTCGAGGGGCTCAAATAAACTTTGCAGCCTTGTGTGACGTGCGTTTGTTAATTCAGCCTTATTGTTAGCCTTGCGCAAGATGAAAAAGATATGCTTAAGCTGCAGATCAATTGACAACCCAAAAAATACACGGCACTCCTTCTTTTCAACTACCACACCGGTACTATGTCAAATAAGATGTTTGGTAAATGTACATGCACACTCCGCTCCTCAACCACCTGTACACTTTCCACATATGAGCCAATCTCCTTACACATGAACCATACCAGCTAAAAAAGCGGCCAGAACGATACCAAGCAGAGGAGAGAAGTAAGCTGCGGCCGAAGTGGACGTAGCACTTGAGGAAGAGGCGGAAGCACTAGCGCTAGCAGCAGCAGCAGAGCTAGACACCTTCGCTGACGCGAGAGCTGAAGACCTGGCCGTGGAGTTGGACGACGATGACGAGGCAATCAAGTTGGTGGAGGTAGTGCCATTCGACGTCTTGATGCTGGTGTACGAGCCCGTCTTGTCGGTGTACTTGTACGACTGCGCTGGGTTGTAGTTGATGATGTTGACAGACTCAACGTACATGGTGAACGGTCCGTTGGTATAGTCCGTCTCTCCACCAGCCCACTCGATGGTGCCCTTGGCGTTATTTGGGTCGCCGCCGGCCCAGATGCCGATCTTGATGCGCATCGGCGTCTGCGGGAAGTTTGTGCCGTCCACTGCGGCGGCGTAGTCCAGCGTGCGCACCACCTTGCCGTCTAGGAGCCACTCGATCTTGCTCGACGTCCAGTCCACGGCGTACGTGTGGAAGGTTTCCTCGGGGCTGGAGACGCTAACAGTTGTGTCGCGGTCGTAGCTGGTCGTGTTGCCTTTGCCGAAGTAGTCGGTCTCGATCGAGCTGTCATAGGTACTAATTTGTTCCTGCAATTGGTGTAAGCTCGGAATGTAGTATAGTATACGAACGAACATACCCAATCGATCTCGTCAAGGTCATCAGACTCCATCACCGCCGTGCTGATGATGCCCGTACCATTGGCCGCTCTCATCTTAATCTCCACATAGCCGAAGAAGATATAGAAATCGCTCTCGATGGTTGGGGCATCACCCTCCTCAGCGATGGTGAACTTGGCTCCGAGAGAGGTGCTCTCCACGGTGCCGCCGGTGGTATTCCAGTGGTTGAAGGCAGATGAACCGGTGGTAAAATCAGTGTTGAGTCGGTACTGATCCAGACCGGTGTCGGCTGGGCAGGTTTCTAGGAACTGTTAGGGTAACATGCTGCATTGGACAGGAGCCCAAAACATACTCTTTAGCGGGTTGCAGCTGGTATAAGTTTGGGCAGCACCAAGCTGGGCTGACGCCGCGAGAACCGCAGCCCACTGAAGATAAGACTTAATAGCCATGACGCAGTTAATAAGAATATGAGAATAACAGAGCGAAAAGTCTTAAAATGAGGGTAATCCGCAATTTAAAGAGATGAGATATGTACAGCGAACAGACGGGGTTGGATGGGGAAATCCGCTGATTATAGAGTAGTCAAAGAAATCTCGGTTACCAACCGACAATGAACAAAGTGTACCATATTTCTTTATTTAGATGGCACATGTTTGGGAATCATCTCGGGAACGAAAAGAGTGCGTGCGGATCATAGAGATTATTGGCTGCGGACGGTGGGGACATCGATGATAGCGGTTGCAAATTCAGTCAATGGCCAATGAGAAGCCACTAGATGCTCCAGGGGAAAAAAGGCTTGGGTGGTTGATGACGGTAGAGCTTGCGTGTTTGCCCCAGTTGTTTTGAAGTTTACGTGTGCAAAGTCGCCCCATCCGGCAGCCGGGGCCGAGCCCTATCAAAGGGGAACGCTGTTTTCAAGCTGCAAAAAGAGTTCTGTTCAAAAAAAAAAGTCAATAGTAAAAACAATTCATTTGTATCCTGATCATGATTATGTTGTTTTAATATATGTTGAAACCCAAAAAAATTTAAACAGTTTCCGATGCGGGGAATTGAACCCCGGGCTACCGTGTGAGAGACGGTGATGTTACCACTACACCACATCGGATAGTTATTAAATTGCGTTGCTAGCGCGGTCCTTGACCACTTAGTTTTAGCCCCCCTTTGTCGTCTCGAGCTTTCCTGTGCGTGGTTCTATAAAGTCCCCTCCCTCGCCCCTTCAACTACCCTCTGTTTTTCGCGCCCGCTTCTCCTGGCTCTTTATCTTCGTCCATGCTCTGCTGCTAAGGCGTTTTTGCTATTGATCCGGATTACCGAGCTCCGCCACCCCCTATTGTCCCTGGCGCGACTCTAGCTCCGCAATCCCTCGAGTGCAATTTGCGCTGCTTTCGCTCGCCTGGATCCCTTCTCTATCAGCTCTCACTATTACGATCGAGAGAGGCACTTTCTTTCTTTTGGTTCGCTACGCCGACCTGCAGATCCATCGGCTCATGTTAGTCAGTCGGTCAATTGTCGAACTTTCGCGCATCTATACGAGTTTATCCTACAACCTTTCAAAACGGACTGCTTTGCGCAGCATGGCTCTAAATGTACTTTGCGGATGAAAAGGCCGAGCGAGAGCCTTGTCAGCCATGGTAGAGCACATATGCTTTTTGGAACCGACGAAGACCGGCATCTAGCAAGTATCTATTTTCTATACTTTGCGGCTGAAGTCGCAATGGTCTACTTCTGATCTCTAGTAGAGCTGCACCCTGAATATATGCATTCTGCCCCTAAGCATATTGCACGGCGGTATATCCAATGGACTCAGGAAAGTAACCGAATTGCTCAAAAATTACCACGACCTCGCTCCAATTCATCGACACAGCCAGTGACAAAGGACTAACCCCGTGATAATTTTTCGCATGAGGATCAGCCCCATAAGCCAACAACAATCGTACCATATCCACATAGCCCTTCTCAACAGCGACATAAAGAGGATGTCTGTCTCTGATATTCGAATACCTGCCGACCTTGGCCCCATTGTCCAACAAAAGTTGTGCGGTAGCCGCGTGCCCGTTCTTCACAGCATATCCCAGCGCAGTATAACCAGAACTATCTGTTAGATCCACTTCAGCACCGAGAGCCAGCAGTATCTGGACGATATCCTCGTATCCTGCTTCTGCAGCTTTAGAGAGCGGCTTTTTATCGCCGCGATTAACTGATGCTCCTTTCTCAAGTAAAAGCTGGACTAGTCCCCTATGCCCGATTGCAGCAGCTCTTCCTAGTGCAGTGAATCGCCCGGCAGATAATTGATTAATATCTGCGCCCCAGTCTAGGAGTAGGCGAACGATATCCTCGTAGCCGTAAGATGTTGCCATTTCTAGTGGTGTGGATCCGTTCTCATGCATGACTTTGACGTTCGCGCCTTTCTCGAGGCATTTTCTGACTTGCGGTAGACTGCCCCATGAGATGTGATAGAAAAAATCGTGCTGGCCGTGGCGGAGTTGGTAGAATAGTTTGCGCATGTCACTGGGCTTCTTGTGTGTAGGCGCGTGCTGCGATTGCGTCGTTGGTTCTTGTGCCTCGGTAGTGGCTGCCATTCGTGCTGGGAAGTTGTCGTGTGGCAGGGCTTGTTTCATTGAATAGGGGTCTTGGGACTCGGTTCTGACTAGTATAGGAAGGTCCCTATTGGGCAATACTTGTTTGTCTGAATCTTCTACACCAACTTCTGGAGCCACTGATATGGGTATGTTTGTAGATGGTGCAACTTCTTTGTCGGAATGACCGTCGTCAGAGACTCTTGGAGGTACTAAGGAGGTTTCTTGTTTGACAGAAGGAGGCTTTGGGCCAGGAGTGCTAGGTGGGTTTCCCTGCTGGGGGAAAGCACTTCTCAACTTGGCCACAATGAATTTGCGGTCTTCTTTGATTAGCGCAGGATTGATGCCTACAACTGTCACCAATTCCTGTTGTAGCTTCCGCCATTCAGGGCTGTCGTCTATGGGGGCAACCCCGCTCAGGGCGTCCAAAACAACCTTTGAATCTCGCATACCCATTTGTATCTCATCGATGAACGCTTGCAATTTGCGATCGACAGTTTCTTGCGAGAACCTACGCTAGAATTAGTAATTAGACTTTGGAAAGCAGTCATATGCCTACTTCATCAAATCAGTGTTCAAAGATGTAAGATCAGCCATACAAGCCGATAATCTGTCTCTCAAGTCCGAAATTTGACTCTGAAGCCCTACGCCTTCAGGGCTCTCCTTGAATCGTTGTAAGTCCAGCAAGACCTGATGACAGTCGTCTAACGTCTTGCTGAATCTCGCACCCTGGGCACTATCCTTGGGAATATACGGGACATGTGGCTCAGTTGTACTCAGCACTGAAAGAAACAGCCCAATCTCATTCTGAACCTGATTAAGCAGCCCTGATGACCTCGCTGCGGCGATATAGAGCGACTCGGCCAATGGATGGACGGCGACGACTTGCTCAGCAGGTGTGGCACCCTTATGTTGCGATGTGGTCGCCATGGTGGGTTGGATGTGGGCGTGTATGAAAATAGATTCCGAACCCCGTGAAGCTTTTTGTTTTAAATGTCAATTACCGCCCCAGCCGTTGATTAGTAACTTATCTCAGACTCTGCCAATTATAATGGGGGCCGAAACAGGGGTTACAGGGACTACTGTAAGTAGAAGTGCAAGCACGCATGCTTAGGCCTCTGTACAGCCTCTTGAGTGACCCCACATGGGCTGTGCTCAGATCCCTACGGGCGGGCAGGGAGCACCACCGACCTGCCCATGGGCTCTCAGATTGTGCAAACTGTGACTTCATATTTTATACATAGATTGCTTTTATACAAACAATCACATATGCGGCATCAGTGTGGACCAAGATGACTCGAAGTGGCTGTATCCCACACTGGGTTAGTAGAGCAATGGAGATAACCTCTTGAAAACAACCGCCAAGGTCATAGTTGGGCTCTTTCGCACAGTGCCAAGGCTGATGGCTGAGGCTGAAGTTAACATTGTACCACTCAAACATACATCTCCAGAGGTGGGATTCTTCGCCATTAGACCTGGTGCCACAGCCTACCACTGGCGCAGTCATCATATGCAACACTAAAGCGCGACTGGCTCAAACAGAACTCCGCACAGTCATTCCGCAGGTCCGCTTGGATGGCATCTTCATTAGCGTCTTCTGTCAGGCAGCGGAACGATTTCACTAAGGTCGCTACCTGACTCTATCCCAGAATCCAGGTCTGAGGTGTCACGCGACTGTAGAAGCTACCAGTTGAAGAAAGACCAAGATTTCTTAAAGAAACACCACGTACTATCCGTTGCCTTTTCATCGTCACCCCGAGTTACATCACATTGAATTCGTATTGTATGCTTGGAGAACAAAAAGGTTATCTGAACGACATACTTTCTTACTACCAACTGGACTCTTTAAAAAGCAGCTTGCGCCAGGAAATAAACTATTTGCCTATGGACACACACTGTTTAAAGAAGCAAATGAAAATGACATTAGAATTGGAATTGAGATTTCTGATCATTACACTCACACCAAAGAGATGATGCCGATTTACAACATGCTCGCAATTGCAGCAGGCAGGCCTTCCATGTTCTCCAAAAACACGCCAAATTCATTCTTCACCTTCAGCATGTCTTCGTCAACATCATCAGTCCAGCGATGAACATAGATTGTCTTCATTCCAACATTCTGGGCTCCGCGCAGGTCATATGCATGCGCTGCGACCAGAACTACTTCCTCCGGCTGAAGCTTGACAAGCTGCAAGGCTTTCTTGTACGCCTCAGGGCTAGGCTTGTACACACCCAGCAACTGACTTGAAAACATCATATTGAAGCTTAATCCCGAAGAGCGAGTGAGATCAAGTTGGAGACGAGTCGTGCCATTCGCGTGAACGAAAACCTCAAGACCAAGATCTTCCTGGATACTCTGGATTGCCTTTCGGACCTCTGGCCAAGCTGGCTGGGCATGCCACGCTGCAATTAATTGTTGCGTGACGTCAGAGTCAAAATGAGGTCCTAGGTCTGGAAATTGTTCGAGAACAAGGCTTAGGACACGGGAAAGCGTTTGGTCGATGTCTTCAGGCTCAAGATTTTGTCGGAACCGCTTGTTAATCTCGATGAAGTATAGTCTGCGCCATTCAAGGGCTAATTTAGAAGCATCTTCCTTGGCGATCGTGGGAGGGCATGATGCTACCACGCTACTGTGCCAGTCGAGGCAGGTGCCCATGAAGTCGAAGAAGACTGCTTTGATTTTGCGTTGTGCTGTAGCCATAGTAGTTGACGGTAGAATCGATACGTTCGACAGAGCAATGCGTGAGATGACAAAAACCGATCAGGGCGAGTCTAAGACTATCTGAGAGATTATTTATAAGAGATCTTGGGATCAAAACTCTGGCACGAAGTTAGGTTCGACGATTTGATTACAAATGTAACGGCAAATGACGAAGGCGCAGCATTTGCGCTCGAGCACTCAGCTGAGGGGAACCATTAACGTTATCTGGAACTCAGAGAACCCTGACTAATCCCGGGCGCAGCTGTCACGTGCCAAAGCCCCGTCCTTCCTACTAAGCCTTGACCCCTTCACAAGCCCCTACGGAATGAACGGGACCCAAAATGGTTTTGTTTATCATTCAAATTATAGTAATGTAACAATTGACAAGTTTTAGTCTCTCTACCCTAAGTGTGAGGATTGCTCGAGAGATCTTCGCTTCAGAAAGTTAGGGCTCGAGGTTCACGTGATCCGTTTGAAATGCTTCTATAAGACAAAGCGAGTAAAAGACTAGTAGAGCAACAATTAAATACAGAAGGGGTCGAATATATGACCGCGCGTGGGCTATAAGAGCTCTGTAAGACGATTCCCGATCTCACACTTCCCATTTTCGTGTCTTCAGGACAAGGGCGAGAAAAGGGGGAGATGTACATTTCGAGACTACAAGAAACTAGATACGCATATAGGAAAAAGTTATGAGTAGAATGCAACGATCTTCTTTACATTCTATTATGCAAAGGTCATTATTATCATGTCTCAACAGTCCCTCTATGGGACCGAGGACGGAATCGAACTCCAGTATATACAGAAAAGAGAACATTTTGCCAACCAGGATGTGGAGTTGGTATGCTTTTTTGCATCATCTTCGCAATGACAGGAACACAGAAATTCAAACATGGACATGACGTTTTACGCCAGCCTGTATGTAGGGGGGAATCGACAATGCCGCTCATAAAACATCAAGCCAAAGAGGTATCACAACAACGCCAGGGTAATGCGAATGGAGAGGGTAGAACCAAGGAAGGGAGATCACTGGGCTGCCGGCGACAGCTGTGTCTGCAATGCCTGCGTCAAAGCCTCCTCCTGGCGCTTGCGCTCCATCTCCATAAGATACATGGCGTACTTGGAGCGGGGGTTGTGGATACCGCACTCGGACTTTGGCTTGCCCTTCCAGCGACCGGAACGCTCGTCCTCGGTCTCAGAGACAGGCTGGGTCGAGTGCCAGTCGCCGACACTCTTGTAGCCACGGTCGAGAAGTTCGTTGTAGGGAACGTTGTGTTCCTTGACGTACTGCTTGACCTGGTCGAAGGACCAATTGGCAAAGGGGTTGACCTTGATCAGGCCGGCCTCGTCGACCTCGATGATGTCAAGGTCACCACGCTTGCCACCCTGGCTGCGGCGGCGACCGGTGAGGACGGCGTGGACATTCAATTCGCGGTAGGCACGCTGGGCGGGCTCCACCTTGGCGACCCAGTCGTACAGTTGGTCGTCAGTCTCCCAAAGACGGGAACCATACTTGGCCTCGAACTCAGCGGTACTCTCGACGTCGGCGGGCTTGTAGACGTGCACGTTGTTGTGGGGATACCTCTTCCGCACACGGTCTACCAGTGCAAGAGTCTCAGCAAAGTGGTACTGAGTGTCGAGGAAGATGAGGTCGACCATCTGTGGCCGGGGAACATCCAGCTTGGAAAGCATGTCCAGAGTGACGAGTCCAGTCAGCCCAAAGGCGGTGGTCTGGAAAAGATGAGGGAGCGAGGTGATGCACCATCGCAGGATATCTGGTGGCTATGAGTCAAAATTTGCGTCAAGCGGGGATGGGGAAAGATCATGATACGAACCTTGGGGCTCGAGGAACTGGAGTTGGCGGTTGAGAAACTGGAGGTGAGGCTTCGTGAAGACAATCTCAGGGATATAGTCTACACTGGAAGAGCCGCTCACGTATCCAGACTCCGTGGCGGCATCTCGAGAGTCGATGATGGCCTCGGAATCCGAGGGGTAACTGACGGGCGTCTTGGCCGGCATCTTCGGACGTGCTCAGTGTGTGGGCGTAGGGTAGAAGAATGCAATGCAAGTATAGATCAGAGACTTGGAGCTGTAAATGGGACCAAGGACACAACTTGGGAGGCACGAGAGAGCTTGAGGATGGAGTCTGAGATGACAATGGTAGGAATATAAGGAAACGCAGGGGCAATCACGACATCATCTCGGATTTTCGTGCCTGGCATCTTCCATCCGATGCCCTCTGGCCCACTGCCGGGCCATTCTGCCGGCGCAGCAATCACGACATTGCGGATGACCGCCTGCTGCATCGAGGAGCTTGCTGAAAAATTCAATCACGCAATACCTGCACTTTGGGTCGCTGTGGGTCCCCGTACCCAGACATCCCCAGCCAAAAGCAGGCTCCAGCGTGACGCTGCTATCATCGCTGAGAAATCAGGCCGAACACGAAAAGAATCGCTTCGAAGGCCCCCAATCTTCCGACAAGGCGCTGGGAACCGGAGCTGACCAATGCATGCTCTCTGGGGACGCTGACCAATCCACCCTGGGGCGTTTCTTGTTTGAGACCCTGGAATGCTGTTAGCCGGTTTCTAGAAGATCGATCGACACGCGGTTTACCTCCACAGAGATCGCATCATGATGATGACAAGCTAAGTTGCGGTTCAGATGCCATGGTGGACCGGGATGAGGTGCCTGTGCCAGCTCTGCTTTGCTCCGATCGGATGATTCGTGTGATGTGATCGCGGGTCATGTGACCGCTTACTCATGCACAAGTATACAACGTTCTTATTGTATGGTAGGGCACGTACTGCCTGGGGATGCGCTATAGAATTGGTTGTTTACGATAGAGTAGACTAGAATTTCCACCATCTTAGAATTCATTGGAACTATCAAGCAGAGCTAGCTACCAGCGACCCTCTTCCCCGGCTGCCAACACGCTACGAGTGCAAGAGACTGGGGCACCGTGGACAAAGATCAGGAGATCAGCACGTGCCGAGGGCGGCTGGAAATATCCGGTCAGCATATATCGTTCTCAAGAAGTAAGATCCAACATACCGGCAGAACACGCACTGCTGGTGTAGTAGCCGTTGACATAGCAGTAGCCGCCGCCTTCAAGCGGAACCTGGTCCCAGGTGCTAAATCACAATTAGTAAAGCTGAAAACCGTTGTAGGGAAAGCCAGATAAACGCACCAGTTGTTTTCGTAGCAACTGCCCGACTCGTAACAGTGAAATGTGTAGGTGTCACCGGTGGTGACATAGCCAACAACCGAGAATTGAGTACCAGGTCCGCTGCGGCAGTTCACCTGGGCAGAATCGCTGTTCACAATTTTGCACGAGACCTTGGAGCGCTTGCTCAGCTCCTCAAGGCCAGTAGCGCGACGCGCAGATTGAGCCCTGGCCACAGGAATAGCCTGGGCAGCCTCAGCAGCAGCCTCAGCGACAGGAGCAGCGAGGGCGACCAGAGGCAGCAGAATTGCGGCAAGAGTGGCTTGGAGCTTCATGGTGAAGGGGTTGGTTTGGATAGTAAACTGTGGAGGAATTGAAGAAGGGGCTTTTGTTTGAAAGATTGCGATGATGAGATATTCTCATGAATGGAAACATGGTCATATTTATACCTCGAGAACTCCTGAAACATCACGGAACATCCGTAACGTCTGAATTACATCTCGTAAAAGAAACCCCGATGAGGACGAGACACTCAGCATTCACAACTGAAGGACATGCAGCTACTGGAGAATGGCGACTGAATAGGTAAAGATAGTCTCGCCTAGAAGCAAGACATTGATATCTGCTTGACGTTGCAAGCGGAGTGACGGCTTAACGGGGAAAAGCGCCTCGTATAGAAGCGGAGCGCAGCACCCTGCATGTAAACATAGATACATGTGGAGATAGTCCTCAGGCAACGGTTACGCTTTGGCGTCAGCTGCCAAGGCAGATTGCTAAAATAATGCTCCTGGCTATGGGCGGGTTGTCATGCAGATGATTACATAGTTATTGTTCCTGGGAGTAATGGAGTAATTTGGCGGTGCCTGGTAATCTTCAAGAATTAAGTGAACACCATGGGGCTCTATTTACTGACCGCAAGGATTCTTGGATAAGGAGTGGTCTGATTATACTATTAGAATATTTGGAAAACAAAGCTCTGCTGTCCAAATTTGAAACGTCTAATTATCAATCTTTTGATTTTGCTTTAGCAGGCATGTATAAATTGTCAAATGCCAGAGGCGCATCAAGGAATGGTTTTGTGGAGTTGAGCATTGGCCTGGATTCAGGGCCCAGGAAGCCGTCGCCGAGACGCTAGTGCACATCGTATTCATGCCAAGTCAAGATAGAGCCACAGAGTTACATTTATGAAGACAAACAGACTTTCGGCACAATTGCGGGCCATATGCTAAACCTATAGGATTGCACAATTCATCGCTTGTCCAAAATCGGATCAATACAACATCCCGATGCGCAGTCGACATGTCTTGGCGGTTTATATCTGTTCACGAGGAATACGAGATGACTGCGTCTTATAGCTACCGCTAGCCAGAATTGTAAACCACCCGCAGTAGTCTCGCTCGCGTAATCCAAAGAGACGGATTAACCGATGAGCAGCTCTTTTCTATGGCGGGGAATCGTCTCCGAGGCTTCCATGCGATCCATCTTGCGGAGGCTGGTTCTTGGCAGCGGGTGGAGGTTCGCCTCTGTGCGGCTTCTGATGATTTTGAAGGGTGTTTTTGCACCAATTGCAAGTGATTGGGCCAAATTGTATCCAGCTGGGGTTAGATGATTCTACAACAGTTTCAACTCGGGTGGATTCCTGTTCCGTAATCCGTGCGAGAAGAGCCTGAGCACTGATCCGAAGGCGATACTGAAAACATAAAGAAATAGACCAAATATCTTCATATAGATTTTATTCCGTAGCAAGAAGCATTAAATCTGCAAATATTAATTTCGTGGAGGTCTTGTCTTTTGTTCCCTCGTGAATCCTCCTGGGGGGAAAAGACAGGGTTGACTATCACTATCATCAATGTATGTAGGGCCTCCTCCGCCGCCTCCATCATAATCAAGAGCGGCTACTTATCGCACCGTCATTCTGGACATCGCTCTGTTCAGGAGTCCGACTAGACCATATTAATATCAGCGATGCACTCCTCCCTGCTTGCAAAGGGTTGGTATACAACATCTTGGCAATCATGTGACCCTTAATGGGAGGCCACGTGCCTGACGTGCCTGGCTGTTTTTTTTGTGGACCATCAGCAAGTGACCGAACGCGTTGAACTACGTTTCTCTCCTGCTGCGGGAGGATCCTCGCTCTTTGAACACCTTGCACATCTTCTACACTCCGCCCAGAACGCAACATGGCTGATTCCAACTCCCCCCGCCAAACGCGGCCATCGCTAGGCCAGATGCGAAGCCCGTCGTTCATTCAGGATCACCAGCAATATAAACCGCCGCACCCTATCAGCCAGAATATTGGCGAGGTCCTGGGCAGCCAGCTGGACGACAGCATGTCGAATCTGGCCCTAAACTCCAACCCGATCAGCCCAGACCCCGAGAAGGTCACCGACAGCGGTATCGTCCACAGCATCTTCAACCACCAGTCAAACCTCCTCCCCAGCGGCACTCCGCGTGTAGTGGCGACCATCTTCTACAAGTCCTCGAGCCCCATCCACCCCCATTTCCACCCGGATGTGTCCCCGAATCTCGTGCCCGGCGACAAACTGCCCTCCCCCGAGGTTCCTCAGGGTTCCGCCCCAACAGTGGACATGGACAAGATCCCGCGCGAGCCGCCAGCCCCGGAACCAGAGCCGTTGGACCACCTGTACGGGCCGTTTGTCTCGCAGATGTGCTTGACCAATTTCCTTCAGATTATCGAAACCCTGCCAACGCCGTACCGGCGCATGAACACTTCGCACCGCTGTCTAGATCGCGACGCGCAGCCTCGTGTGGTTGAGGTCACGTTCTCCCCGCCGCCAAACCCGGAGTATCTCCCGTTTGCGGATCTGCGCAAGCATGAAAGTATTTGGCGGTTTGAGCGCGAGTGGAATGTCGAGGTAGTGTTGCAGATGGAGGGCGTCTTCCGTCGGCATAAGCGGTTGGCTGTGTTCGATATGGACAGCACCCTTATTCAGAACGAGGTTATTGACGAGATTGCCCGCGAGATCGGGGTGGAGAAGGAGGTTTCTGTATGTCGTTTTCTTGGATATGCATCTGACAGAAGCTGACCGTGACCCCAGGAAATTACCGAGCGAGCAATGAATGGCGAGCTGGACTTCGCCGCTTCCTTGAAAGAACGCGTGTCTCTTCTCAAGGGCGTCCCTGCCAACGTCTTCGAGAAGCTGAAGGGCGTTCTCACCATCTCCCCAGGAGCCCGGGAACTCTGCGTCGCTTTGAAAGCTCTTGGATACAAGATCGCAGTGCTGAGCGGCGGCTTCCAGCCTCTGGCCGAGTGGCTCGCTGGAGAACTGGGCATCGATTATGCAGTCGCCAACCACGTAAGGCGCAATAAATATACCGCAAAAGTAACTTTTCCCGCTAACCCACCCCCGATGTAGCTCGAAATCGACGAGACCTCCAAGACCCTCACAGGTAAACTGGTAGACTCATACCCGATCATCGATGCGACCCAGAAGCGCGCCTTGCTGCAGAAGATCGCAGCCGAGAACAACATTCCCATTGCCCAGACCATCGCTGTCGGCGACGGCGCCAATGATCTCCTGATGCTTCACGCTGCCGGCCTCGGTGTCGCCTGGCGCGCCAAGACCAAGGTCCAGCTTGAAGCACCGACTCGCATCAACGGCGAGAGCATGGTCGATCTACTCTACGTGCTTGGTCTGGATCATGAGGATATTGTGGAGTTGACCTCCAAGGCACACTAGACAGACAGTGTTTCCAGAGTGGATTGATTTTTGATAAACGTCCATCTCCTTCATAGGAGCCATTTATGCTTTTTCCCTCGAGCTCACGATCCCACTAGGATTAGAGATCTTTGCTGAAGAAGCCTGGAGTTTCGTGGTTTCATATCCATATAACAGCACCGAGTTGGGAGCAGGGGAGCCCTGGGCATCTGGTAGGGATCTGGTACATATATATGGAGTCAATTGAGAGATACCAGTTTTTGCAGTCATTCTTTTGTTGGAATAAGTAGGTATGACAGCCATGCTGAGGGTTGACGTCTCAGGGGATTGATGCGTAGTTTCCAAAAGGTGGATTGGATGGTAGTACAAAGTAAAGCACTTTCGATGTTGAACGAGAAGAAAGCAGCAACCCCTGCATAAATGAGAAATAAGAATGAAAACCCAGCCCAGGACAATGCAAATTAGCGCCAATATGAAACAGTAAACAAAGCAAGACATGAATATAAGAACTTTGTGGTCTATACAAGTTTTTTTCAAGGCAAAAAGCAAAATCATCGAGTAGCCTCATCGGCCGCAGCAATGGTCTGGTCAACCGTCCGCTCCGTAGTCCCCGACCCGGCACGTCGCTTCTTGAGAACATTCTCGATAAAAGCCTCACCGGCCTTGTAGCTGCTGCGGACCAAAGGTCCAGAGGCACAGTAGAGGAAGCCCATGTCGAGAGCGCGTTGGCGCCAAAGCTCGAAGCGGTCCGGGGTGACATACTCGTGGACAGCCATGTGGCGCTTCGTGGGGCGCATGTACTGGCCGAACGTGACGACATCCACGTTTACGGCGCGGAGCTGGCGAAGCGCGTCCCACAACTGCTCGTCCGTCTCGCCGAGGCCGAGCATGAGCGAGGTCTTAGTGATAAGATCAGGCTTCGCGGCCTTCGCAGCCTCGAGGACGCGGATCGATTGCTGGAATGTAGCGCGACGGTCACGGACGTAGGGCGTGAGAGCCTCGACGGTTTCGACGTTGTGCGCGTACACGTCGAGCCCGGACCGCGCAACCAGCTGCGCCATCTCCACATCGCCCCGGTAGTCGCCCGTCAGACACTCGACCAGGATATTGGGCGCTTTCTGTTTGATTTTTATAACCGTCTCGGCGAAGTGGCGCGCGCCGCCGTCGGCAAGGTCGTCGCGGTCCACGCTCGTAAGCACCACGTACCCGAGTCCCCAGCGCGAGATAGCCTCAGCCGTATTCTCAGGCTCGTGCGGGTCCAGCGGCGGAGGCGCGCGCGAGGTCTTAACGCTGCAGAAGCGGCATCCGCGCGTGCAGGTGTCGCCCATTAACATGATTGTCGCCGTAGCGGCAGACTTGTCGTTGCCACCCCAGCAGTCGGAGATATTGGGGCATCGGGCTTCTTCGCAGACGGTGTGGAGGTTCAATCCGCGCAGATCCTTCTTCAGGCGCTGGTAGTTCTTCGAATCGGGGATCGGGGTCTTCAGCCACGAGGGCAGACGGGTCATTTCCTTCTTGCGCCCGGCTGGCCCGACCAGCGCGGTTTTGAGCGCGTACGCCTCGGATGGGTCGAGCGGTGCATTGTCGGTGCCCCCGGAAACGAAATCGGAGAATGAGGGGCCTGCATTCAGCTTATCTTGGAAGGTTGTTCGAGGTCGCCGGGTGACTCCCGGAGCATCGGAGGTGGTGGCGGAGGAGGGATCGGTCGTTGCGTAGCCTCGACATCCTACCGAGAGAGATGGACGAGAGACGGATGCTCTCACAGATGATGATAGATGCCGCAGACTTCGTGAAGGAGCTGCCATTGTGGTGTGTGAGTGTTTGTGGTGAATGGAGGAAGCGCAGAAATGAATCGGAATAGTTTGCCTGTCCTGATAACGGCAAAGTCACGTGGAGATAAAAAGTTTCCCGGTCGCCCTATCAAAGCGGTTGAACTAACTATAGCTAACAGAGTATGACATTATCTACACATAGATGGAATTACTGCGTATTGGCATAATATCTCAGAATAAATCATTATGATTATGGTTGCTAAGTCCCAGACTAATTGTACAAACACAAGCGCAAGCGCAGAGGCAACCAAGACATTTGGCAGAGTCCAGTCCAATTAAATGAATGAATCACAATGCAAGCGGGTATGAAGAGTGCAGGAATGCAAAGAAAAATGGCTATGAATCAGATATCGAGGAGCCGGACACCAAAAGAAACCCGCTGAGAGAGAAAGGGGAGCATAAACAGAACAGGTGAAAGGGAGAACGTAATGCGGAAGCGTGTGGAATCAATCCAAGGCGGTGGTTTCAAGGACCTGCGCTAGAACTTCGACGGCCGATTTCAGTATGGCATCCGACCGTCCGCAGATAGCAAATAGTAGATTGTCGACGATCTTCTCGAGCTCTCGGCGAAGCTCTATGCTGCGAGAGCCGAGAACACGGTCTTTGATGCGGCCGGGCGAACCCGATGGGAGCTGAATTCCTAGCGTGGAGTATGCCTTGGTGGGCACGGAGTCAATGGCGTATGTGCCGCTGCGCTGGGAGAGGGACGGTTTGCGTCGGTGAATAGAGGAGAGAGTGACGAGGTAGTTGCGAGCAATGAGAGCGGCGCAGAGACAGTCCAGTAGATTTTCTGCGACTTCGGGAAAGATGGTGCGGAAGGGTCGAAGAAGTGCTTTCTCTTCGTTCTTGCGGATATGAATTACGACAGGTGATGTCAGCCGGAGCATATGGCGTGGGAAGTCTTTCACGGAATGGTCCAGTTGGTCCAGTGTCCACTCGTGATTCCATAGGTTCTCTCTTTCTTCCTTCTCGGACAGTTCGGATGACTGTGGAGAAGCGGATTTGGGCGATGATGCCTTGGGGCTGACGCTACCAGAGCGAATCTCGGGTTGGGGGGAAATGTTGCGCTCTCCCTGCGCGGATTCAGGCCTGTCATTGACCACGGTGGACGTGACACTGTCTGATGTCAAGGAACCTGGGTCCGTGTAGGATTCATCGTCTTTGCTATCATCATGGAAACTATCGGCAGAGTAGCCGGAATCACGAGTGCCATATCCGCTGTCGGACATGTTGAGGGGAGTATCGGGGCTAAAGGCAGATACTTCCACTTGGCGTAGATTTGGAGTGGCAGGTACTGCATTTGTGGGTAATAAAGATGGTGGAGGTAATGGTGGAGGCACTGGGGATTGTCGAGCAATATCAACCAACTTTGGTTTGCTGGCGACTGCGAATCTCTGTACAAATAGTTAGAATCATGCGATTTGGTAAGGGAAGGGAATTCACTCACCACTGGTTCATCCAGAACTTTGGCCCCGGGAATGATGTCCAGCTTGGGCATTGGAGGATCGTTCTCGACAATCCGGAACTGACGCCGATTAAATTCAGGTGGATGCTCATCTTGACCATCCAACATATCGTGTGGCACGCACTGCAGCCACCGCTCACAGTAGGAGAAGTTGCTGGGTATCCAACTAGCCTCACTTGACATTGTGGCCGTTCTCGCCCGATGGACTCTGGGTGAACTGCCCAGGATAGAGGCTTGCTCAGTCTTCGGCTCTGGAGACGCAGCAGATACAGCATTCTCATCTTGAACAAGCTCGGGGCCTGGTTCATCAATCGATTCACAATGCCGAACAAAATGCGAATGTGCTTCATGCACATTCGTCACGTCTGTCCTCCGCTGATCTTGCTCGGTGTCTTCCCATCCTGGAGGACGGTAGGCCTTGTATGTGACCTTTTCTTCCTGGTCGATATTTTTAATAGATTCCTCAGCTCCCGGCGTTGCATCCTCATCCACCGTTTCAACCTCGGTGTTGGTATCAGACTCGGCCTTACTGTCGAAATATGATTCCTCAGCTGCCGCACTAGCAGTGTGAGAATCTGAAATCGGCGGGCTGGGGAGCAGACCAAACGCCTCCAAGCTAGCAGCGTTCAAGTTCTGATCGGAACTCCAGGTTCGTAATGAGATAGCAGCCACCGGGTCTGCTGGTTCCAATGATTTGTCCCCGAAGGCGGGTGCGCTATCCAATGAGACTGGCGACGACGGTAGCATCAGTTGGAAAGGTTCTTTCATTCTTCGCACTGATCGAAATGGCGAGATGGTCAGCGGTGCCCGAGTGGCTAGACGTCGGCGGAGTGAAGGCGCCTGCTCGTGGGTTTCGGACTGGGGCAACGCCGGCGAGGGAATGAACGACAGAGAGTTCGGGTACTGTCTACCACTCCTCCTCCGCGGCTGGAACGTTGGAGACCATCGGCGTGGGGATGGGAACCGGTCATCGGAGGCCATCACACCGTGGCTCGCCGATGACAGACTGGAGTCTTGGTTCTTGACATGAGTCTGAAGACGGGGAGGCGGGAAGTATGTACTGGGAGGCAGGCTTCCGGGACCGCAGTCCATGGCGGACATGGGTAGGATTGAAAGAGGGAAAATGAAACCCTAGTCCAAAATAAAAGAAGCAAAATGGGGGGTTGTACAAGGTGTGGCCAGATGAGAAGGCAATGAAGAGATTAGCTGATACAGCAGAAACCAAGACCAGCCCGCCTGTGAAGGGGCTCGATACACCCTTATACAAGCCGAGTGGCGCGAATCAGCCTCCCAGCCTAAGTGGGGAGGGAGGGGGTTGGCAGGTTCGCCTGACAATATCCCTTGAGGAAACCCTGCCATCGCGAAAACCGGCATGTCCAGCAGGCCATTGCTCCTTCAGGCGTGAAATGATTGCCCCCCCACTGCGGCACGAACGGGCGCCATTGCGCCAGACACGGGCCCTAGAGAATAGTCAGTCTGAGGTCGGGGGGCTGTCCTTGCATTCCAACGATGTCCGAGGTTGGCTACGCGACCCTGCAGGAGCCCGGACAACGTGGATGGATATCGTCATGAGCACTCTGAGAATGAGACAACGGAGCAGCAGGGTTGCCATGGCGAATCAGGGTCCTTGCCCATGGCAACTGAGAAGATCCTAGCGGGTCTCATTGGATGCAGTGTCTCGTTGCAATGGGCAATCCACCCCTTCCTGCCCCTTGCATTGGGGGGGTGGTTCATTTCTGGGCCAACCCTAGGAGCCAATATAACCGGAATAGTATAAATGCTTGCGCATGGCGTGGATTCCTCTGAGACACACACCCACACACATTCGAGAATGATGAGGCTATTCTTGCTGTCGTTAGTTTGGAGATCTGGAAAGAAGCAATCAGATCCGATCGGTGGCGCAGCTAGTCAGGGCGACAGGTCCAACCCATCCAGATGATAGATACGAGGGGCAATTGTGCTCTGTACGAAACGCGGGATCTATTCTGGTTCACGCGTTGACGCGACGTGGATAGCTCCGATGGCACTAAGGCAGAGTGTAGAAGAGAGATGCAGTTCCTAGACAAACAGTGCAAACCTTTATCGATAGGTGATCTATCACCGAGAAAAAATAAAATGCGCCCGCCACTACATATCTTCCTCCCACTCGCCCCATTCCTCCAATGCTGTCCGAGTCATTCGTGGCGTCGACGCTCGTCTCGGCCAAATCCACGGTCGCGGCCCTACGCGATGTCGGGATCTGCGTGCACGAGTGGCAGCCAGCGGCTACGCTGCAATCGACGTTCAAGAAGAGCTCCACGGCAACCAACTGTCTGGCCGTGAGTCCCTCGCATGTCTTTGCGGCGCAGGCAGACAAAGCCGTGGTGCATGTGTACAGTCGCGAGAAGGGCAACCAAGAGGCCGTAGTGCCTTTTCCCGAGCGCATTCGCAGCATTGCGGTCGCCGGAGCCAAGTATGGTGACGTCGTGGTCTTGGGCACGGAGGGTGGCCGACTGATCCTGTGGGAGGTATGTTTCACACTGTCTCGCTGCTGGTAACATTATCTGATTGCGCGTATTGTAGACCTGCACTGGACGCCAGGTAGCTACCACGGCCTCGCATCTGCAGCCGGTGACTTCACTCGTTGTCGATCCCACCTCCAACTTCATCCTGTCCGGCGCCGCGGACGCCAGTGTCCATGTCTGGTCACTGGTCGGCATCCTCTCCTTTGCGACTCCAGCTCCCGGGCATAACCGCCAGCCCCCGAATGCTCCGATCCGGACCTTCTCGAACCACCGCGCCGCCATCACCTCTCTCGCCCTGGGGCATAGCAAGGGCCGACATAACATTGTGGTGTCGACCGCCAAGGACAATACCGCAATCGCATGGGACTATCACACCGGAAAGGCCTTGCGCACCTTCCTGCTTCCCTCCTCCGCCACCTGCACGGTTTTAGATCCCGTTGACCGAGCCTTCTACGTGGGATACGAAGATGGCAGCGTCCAGTCAGTGGACTTCTACCGGAATCAATCCACCCAACATCCCCTGCACGACCCATCCCTCCAATCCACTCCAGCACAGGCCTCGGCAGAAGACCGCTGGCTACCGCCATCCAGCGACTCGGGCAAAGTAAACGTTCTGGGCGTGTCATACGACGGCACGACATTGCTATCAGGACATGACAACGGCAAGGCTCTATCATGGAACATTGCACGACACAAGTTCGCAGCCCAAGTCGCGGACTACACGCACCCCATTACAAATCTCGTCATGCTCCCACCGAGCGGCCTATCAGATACCTCTCCGAAAAAGAGAATGGCGCACACGATCGTCAAACCACGCCACGACCATGCGCTGTCGAGTCAAGCACACACCCCCGGCGCCGTGCCAGCCGAATACGTGTTTCACACGCACATCCTCACTTCGCAACCCTCCAAATCTCAATTCTCGCAAGCGCTCACCCACCCCTTCTTTCCGGACTCCATGATCGCCGACGGGCTAGCGGAGCTGGCCTCCCTGCGCCAGTCCGGCGGCGCCGAGATCTCCACCGTCTCAACGGTCGCACCATCTTCGGCAGCTGGGAATGCAGACGCGCCTCGTGTCTCAGAGCTGGAAAGCGAGGTATCTACGCTGAAGAAAAAGGTCGCCGTTAACGAGGCCGCCCGCCACGCTAGCACCGATGAAGTCGTGCAGCTGCGCTCGCACCTGGCGTCCCTGCAAGACTATGTTAATGAGCTGCATGAAAAGCAGGAGGTTGCCCGGCACGAGAAGGTCGCCCGCCAAGCAAGGAGGGAAGAACGTGAGAAGCGCCGGAGAGAGGCGTGGTTCGCGGCCGAGAAGAAAGGCCGCAGTGGCGATGCGTCCATGAAGAAGATGGATGTTGATGAGGGTATGTTGACCAGCGACTCCGATGACCAGAGCGATGAATAGGTGTGGTCATTGTTTTGTTGTGTTTGAGGTTGTCTTGTGTTGTTGTCTTGGAACTAAGAACCGGCGCAAGGGGGTCGATCAACTGTACTTATACCTCATGCCTGTCTATAAAATTAAATTCGACAACAATATTCAATGATCACCCAATGATCTTCACTATCGACCACGATATCGACGCTGATCGCGCCAAGCTTATATTATCGACAATCATTCAAATAATGCCCCCAGTCCCCATAGAAACCACCTTCCCTCTCCCCTGCGCACCTACAATGGTGAAGCATGCACTATAGCCCTCAATTCCTCGGGCAACGGATACTCCCTCTCATCAGGTAAACACGAAAACGCCGTGTTCAAGTCCCCCCTGTCAACATACCCGGACACCTCACGCATCAGATCCGTAACATCAGTCACACTCACAATCCACTCATCCACGTATTTAGCCACAGCCAACGGCCCCAGTCCACTCTGAATAGACCTATATATCGACGGTCTATGCTTCAAATCGCGCTCAGGATCCCACTGAATGCGCACAGGGCTGCTATGTAGCTTCTCTTGCCACTGTTTCTTGCTTTCCACATAATCAGGCCCGGTTCCGCTTTGCGGGATATTATTCTGGTCCCCCCAATGGCTTAGACAGGAATGCCGAAGTGCCCATTCGAAGCCCTCGCGAGTGATCTCGATGGCGAGTACGCGCTCCTGTCCTGGTTTTGTGCCGTAGCCGCTGCGGTAGGCCATCCAGAGGAAGGATGGTTTTATCCATGTCATCCGCGTGCGGGAGAATGGGGGGACGAAGGTTTGGGCTGCTAGGGCTGGGGTGGCGATTGAGGAGGGGTAGGCTTGGTAGACGGTTATTGTGTTAGGGCTATAGGTGGCGCGGATAGCTCTGTAGCGAGGTTGGTTTGTAGTGGTGGATGTAGTTTTTGTGGGTTGTGGTGTTGGGTTTGTTGATGCCATTGTTGGGTGGATGTGGAGATATATAGTTCTGGGTTGTGTTTTGGATATAGTTGTGGATAAGTAAAGAATAAAGTTAGATGCTGACAGGAGAAGCACATTATTTTTATGTCAATTCTGTACCTCGATTTCGGAAGATATATTCTTGACTCATTTCTTCGGTTAAGGATTGGGATTTGCGTGGCTGTGAACAACCTCGTATCCAGTGGGGCCGAGGGTCGCGAGAGGCTCATTACTCAAGCAGATGAATAGTGTACGAGCATAGCCACATACAAGGAACGGATTTTTAGATCACGGTTTCAATAGTTATTCTCATTGGCATATTCTTTTAGTGAAACTTAGAAAAAACCAACTGGAGTATACATTCGTATACAAGACTATCTCGATTTCTCTCTGATACCATACCATGGCTGGTAGCTGCCGTGGCATTCTGCGACATAATGGGAAGAAATGCCCACAAAAAGAAACAAACACGCTCCACCACTGACGACATATCCTGAAATCTCCAACTCAGTACACCGCATGACTGGCTCCTTGCTCAAGAACTTCGCCGTCGTTCAGGGCAGTCATGATAGCAACCCCAGCGCTAGTGCCAATCCGCTCCGCGCCAGCCTTAAGCATGCGTAGACAATCCTCAGCGGTGCGAATCCCGCCACTCGCCTTGACCTTGCAATCACTGCCGCATAAGTCTGCCACGATGCGCATCTGCGTGACACTCTGAACACTGGCCCCGCCGCCACTAAAGCCTGTGCTGGTCTTGACGAAGTCCGCGCCGGCCATGCAGCACACGATGGTAGCGGCTATTTGCTCGTCCTCGCTCAGCTGCCCAGCCTCGATGATTGTCTTCAAGCGTATCGGCCGTGGAGCGGCCTTGCGCACCGCCACGACGTCCTCCCAGACGGCCGTGTATTTCCCTTCTTTGATGAGCGGGTAATTGATCACCATGTCCAGTTCGGAGGCCCCGTTCGCCACGGCCTCTGTCGCCTCGCGCACTTTGTCCGCGGTGTCGTGCGTGCCCTCTGGGAACCCCACTACGCAGGCTACCTCCGTGTCCGGTGTGTCCTTGAGGTTCTCTGCGGCGCGAGCGACGTGCTCCAGCCGCACACAGACGGTGGCGAAGTTATACTCACGGGCTTCAGCGCAGAGGGTGTCGATTTGGGAGAGCTCGATTGGGAGCTTGAGTAGCGTGTGGTCGATTGTGCGGTGCACGCTCAGTGGGATGCTTGGATGCGAGACTGGCTTGTTCGGTAGCCACTCCTTCATCTGCTTGATCTGTGCCGCCCACTCGGCATCGTTGGCCGGTGGTTCGGCCATGGCGTATGGGGGACTTAAGAGGTTTCTGAGTACTTCGGTGTGAAGCGAACGTGAGAGGCCAGGAAAGAGGGGAGAGCGTCACATGAGGGTTGTGGGTATCACTATGACGAACGCCTGATTCAATGAAGGCGGCGAAAAAGAGAGAGAGAGAGAGACAGAGGAGCCGAGAGCAGTGTAGAAGAAGAGTGTAGGTGATGTGGAGAGTTGGAGTGGTTTGAAATCTTACTAGGCGCTTAGCAGCACGTTGACTGATTATAGACCTTTCTGGCCCTCAAGTAACCCCGCATGTATAAAAGCGCCTAATTACCCTTGTTGTCCTTCTGATTCTGCTCACGGTCCGTGCTTCCCATCTTTATTGTAGAACCATTCCGAAATGTCGAGTTCCTATTTCATTGCGTCAGAAGAAATAACGCACCTTCAGGTGGCTACTCTATCTGGCAATATTGAAGCAATCAATGCCGTCCTTTCCCGGTGGCGAGAAAGTTCCATTGACAACGAGACTTTCGAAGTGACTACAGGCCCTGTGCTTTACGAAGCGATAGTAAACAACTCATTTGAAGTTGTTTCATGCCTTCTTGATAATCAAGTTCCTATGAATTCTCAACTTTTTATGAAAGCGACCGAGGACACGTCGTACCAAATTCTACAAGAATTTCTTAATCACGGATGGGATATCAACACTCCGATTAGTTCAAACGATCCGCCCGCTCTAGCGTAAGTTATTTTCGCTCTTATATACGTATAGATGCTAAAAGCATCGTATAGGAACTCTTTCCACGACGCGAATTTGACCAAGTGGTTTTTGGCCCATGGAGCAGACCCGAATCGGCGATGTGAAAGATACAAGGATTACACTCCGTTGTCTATCGCATTTAGACAAGCCAACTTCACAATTATCCAAATTTTGCTCAACCACGGTGCTTCTTTACTACAAGGCCAGGTGATGCATTATGCAGCTATGCGGGAGCTCGATGATCGGCTGGAAGTTCTGAATTATCTTTTGGAGCAAGGTCTTCCGCTGAACGACATCATGTATCAAAGTTGTGAGGAAGAATACCTGTGTAATATGTACAGCGGCATAGGAACACCCCTTCATTATGCGGCCGGAAGAGGATTGCCTGACTCTGTCAAGCTCTTGATCGCGAGAGGGGCATCTCCTCACATCAAAGATCCAGCGAGCTATACTGCCGCTGACTGGGCCGAAATAAACGGCCAAACAGCCGTATCTGAGTTTCTTCGTCCAATGTCCACTGACAACGATCTAGCATCCATACCCCAGTTCACAGATGGACACGGACGCCATTTCACCCTTGTACCCATGGACCAATTCATCATGGAAAGTGGGTTTCGGCTAGTCTAGCTGCACTTGCATATGGGCATTGAGGCTGTTTTGGTCTTAAAGCAGCTGCAACAAGATCCAAGTATTTGCCTATGGATTAAATGAGAATCATTGCTCTGCTCAGCATCATGTGCCATCTGAACCATATCGAAAGCGCAGACGCAGCTCTCTTTTTCGTACATCTCCTTGTCTTTCAACTTGCCCGCTATAACGTCCTTTGTGTCCACAGCCCAGTACTCGGATACGATTCTCGAAAAGTGTGATGGATCAACACTTTGGGACACTGCGAGTTTCGGCTGGATATGGTCACGGAATATGTTGAATAGGCCCTTGGGACTATCCAAGGCTTGGAAGTACCAGAAGTTTCCAATTTTCCAGCCTTTTCTCATGATATTCGTCCGGTACGAGCAGACATTGAATAGAGACGGATATCGCATCTCTTCCTTCTCAAAGATTTCCATGAATTCGTTGTATGCTTTGCTAAATGTGTCAAGGTGTTCACCAAGTATGTTGTCTGCAGCACGACCCGTCAACCAATACGGAGGGCGCAAGGTCTCTGATGGAAGTGAGCATGCCCACTCAAGGTCGACTAGATATTTGATATGCCATTGATTGTCGACGAAGATGTTGCTTGGGTGCAGGTTTGTGAATCTGTAGAAAAACGGTCCTTGGCGGAGCTCTCGGTCGGTGAAGTGAGGAAGAAGCGCTCGCATGATGCTTAGGTTCGCCATCTGGGCACGTCCGTCCTCCTCGTCATGCATGGAGTTGGGTTGGTGTCGTATACGGCTGTCATGACAGGACAAAATATCGAGGTAATATGAATCAGTTGATAGATAAGTCAAATTCCGACCGATGTTAGTAGGCATACCCGCATTTTCCAGCTGATGATGGCGAAGAGTGAGGGGCCGATTGGAAAGTTGCAATAGTCCATCTGAGTCTATCGTCCAAGATCCTATCCGAGGTAATGGGCATTGGCTCAGGGAAAGCATAATGCGAGATAGGTCCCGGTAGAGGGTAGCTGTTTTGTCGGGTTGGTAGGGAAACTCATTCCATGTCTCTGATAGCATCTGCACCTCTGGCTCGTCGATATAGTCCATGATTAGATAACCGTGCTCTAGCACTTGTTGACGATGATAGCTTATATATGGGCAGGGTAGCGGAAATCCGAATAGCCGTAACACGTGTCGCTTGAGGTACCAAATCACCCTGGTCGCCACAGGCATCTGTTCGGGCCTAGTGAACTGTGAGAAATGATCGTCAGTCTCTCCGCTTAAGGCCCTAAGGTGTTTCGATGGCATACGGTTTGTCCCCCAGCAAATCCAAATCCCCAAAGGTGAGGGAGCGGGATATCAGGGCAATGCTTTTGTAACCAAATGAAGGTAGCGGCCTCACAACGAAGTTTCTCTTCGGCGTTTCCAGGATAAGTCGATTCTCCCAATCACTTGTTCCAATTTTCGACATAAACTGGGATGCAAACGTTGAAGCTGCCATGTATCCACTCCCTTACTTCTCCCAAGCGACAATGGATGGATTGACCTTGTCCCAAATGGTCTGAAAAGATTGTTGCGATGTCGTTGCGATGACTGTAGAGAAATACAAAGAATTCCACCCGGGAATCCGGATAAGACAGGTCGAGAAGCATATCCTCTTCCTGCTCAAGGGCTTCATCTACTGTGATAGAGCCCCGAAGGAGTGGGAGGGTTAATGCTTGACCAGTCATCAGGGTGTGGTAGTCAAGTTTCCATAGGTAAAAGCAGGAAGGCAATCACTCGCTTGTTCGGGAAATGGTGCAAAGAGAACAAATGTCAATGTTGCTCACATAATGGTAGATTCAGCTTGGTCGCTGGTTTAAGGATAGGAGCAGGCCAGATTGTTCTGGATCACACGACTGAATATGTACCTTCATGTCTCCCTATTGCCATATTTCTTTCCTTATTTCTATTTTCGTATTTTGAAAAAATACCTCAGAGAGCCTCAAGTCGTTGCGTTTGACAATAAAGCCAGGAAGTTGGGGAAGCTTGGGAAATACATAAGGGACTATATATCTCTTAAGGATCGGGTATCCGCTCCGTTTGAGACCTAGGCCAGCGCTAGGAACAATCAAAGACCATAGAGCCCTTTGAATTTATCAAATGAGATAGCTTTCTACGTGATATTCTTATATTAGTCAAAAAGAGAGCGCCAAGCTACATTGCCGTTAGGCTATCTAAGAAAGTAGATAAAGTCCTCGACAGATCTGGCGCGCACTCACGTGGCTCTACGCGATATAAAGGATTCCCTCAAGCCTATCTGGACGGTGGACCACGGCCCGACTACTTCCTTATATTATCGGAACCTAGATCGCAATAAGATCGAGTTGCAGGTGGACAATTTTGATCGGGCAGAGGATGCTAATGCTTTCTGGTTGACGAACATTACGTGATCAATTTTATTGACGCAGACCTTGATGTCGAGGAGTGGGCGACATACATTTTGGGAAAGGCAAAGCCTGATGGAAATGAGGGTTTTACAGAGCCTGAGGAGAAGGCTTTGAAGACGAGGAAGGAAATTGGAGAGCGGAAGGAACAACCGAGCTTTTCCTTTGGATTTGTCGCTAGTGGTTGAATAGCAATGCAGGTCAACTAAGTTCGTGTGTTGTGTTTTTCTTTCATTATGATTTGTCAGGGTAAATTCACCACTTGGTAATTTTTACAATGAGATTCAGCTGCTGCATCCTAGCGCTTACTCTGCTGACCGCCACTAATAAGTTACCTATTATGGAAGCTGGCGCCTGATGTGGAATTTACACGTCCATTTCTGCACGACAATCTCTTGTCAGCCCTAAATACGGCCAGGATAGATAGTCTGAATAGCCGATTGCATCATTCTCCAAGGAGACTACCAGGTAGAATATTACTAGTGCATACGCCCATTAATAACTCAAAGATGATTATTTATAGTCTCCCACATATACTAGTGTCACGACAAATGCCTGTCTCATTCTCACACATAGTTATCCTTGAGACAGGCTGCGACAGGTTGGAATATAGACAAGAAAACAGATATATCCCAATAGCCCTACCACATTACAGAGTGTAGGCGCCGTATTTACAGACACAGGTCCGCCGTCAGGTTGACTGGGCGGGGGCACCCATACACCTTCTTATGAGCTGGGGTACTGTAGCAGGCGGGATCATTGGCCGCACAGTCAAAGGCCATACAGCCCTCCCCGGGACTGAGCGAGTTGGCATTCGCCGCGAAGGGGTTGCCCCATTCCGTGCTGAATTCGTCTTTGAAGAAAGAAGTGGTTAATAAAAGATTCCTAGCTGCCCGATAGATTGGGTGCACTCACAGTACGCGTAGTTCGGACTGGACGTCAACGAATAGCCAAAGAAGAGAGGCTTAGCCAGCGTCTTTGCCTTGCCGATCTTAACGGTCTATACATTCCATCTCTCGTCAGTTTCCCTTACTATGTAGAGAATTGCGTAGACCGAATAGGACGGAGGAACGTACCGAGCCAGAGGGTCTAAATTTCTCAGTGAAATTCCCACCGGGAAGAAGGGTAGTGAGAGGGCCGGGAGCGCTGCCATCGTAAGGGAACGACTGCACATAGACGGTGGAGGCACAGTGGTTGTTTACGACGGCATGCTGGGCCGAGACCAGGCCGAGGAAGGCACCAAATGTGATCAGGGAGGTCTTCATGGTTGGGATTTCGCTTTTTGTTTTGCAATAGAAGCTTAGACTACCTGACCAGGGAAGGAACTAGGGGTCTTTATATAGGTCTACTACTCGGACTTCAGGTACATTGTACCGACGAGGTACCCACGGAATATATCCGGGAGGCCTTTGATCTAAGACATGGCACCTATTACTGTGTATATGTCTTGGATTGTTAGGCACACCGCCCGGGAGTTCGTTCCATGGCCAATCAACACGAGTGGCAGGTGAGACATACATCACCGCCAAGGTCTGCACTCCGCGTCAAAGACATCACATCGGGTAGTGTTACATCCACCCCGTGACCCCGCCAACCGTCAACACTGGCTGGAGCTTTGGTTGATGATTCTCCACGCGGTCGATTAGCCTGGCGATGTGTCGCTTATCCCGATTGGCAGACAAAGTTGCAAAAGGACTTGATGAGGATATGGGCCCCTCAAGAGCTGCCGGTTGCAAAGATTTCCCTTCGTCTTCCTCTCGTGCGCGCTGTGGCCAAGGAGGTCTTGCGATGGAGACCCGTTGTCCCAGGAAGTAGGCTGAATCCTCTGAGAAGCTTATCCAAGCTCCGTGGTGTCTGGAATAACCGACTTTTCAATCTTATCCCTTAGTATTCAATCCGTGGTTCAATGGAAAACTGAAACTTCTACTTCGAGCCAAATGATCCACCTTTGAATTGATAGATAGATCTATATCCAGATTTAGATCTGGAACTACCAAAAAAGACAAGCAGTCGATTCTGCATTCGACTAGCAGAAAACATGCAGGGAAATACCCAGTGTAGGTCCTGTCGCCCTCTCGTCTGAATCACACTCCAAAACAGTATATCACCCATCCTCCTCACCGACAACTCCCACACTCCGGTCCCCGAACATCATCCACGCGCCCAATACGTCTCCCGGGTCCTGAGCCCGGCCCAGAGCCGCCACCACCGCCTCCACCACCGCCTCCAGGCCCCCAGAAGCTTGAGCTTGAGCTCCCACCACCCCACCGTGAACGCGGCGTCGCCGAAGTCCGGGGGCGGTGGATGTTGAATTGGGAGTTTTGCGCGGCGGCGTACGGGTCGAGCTGATTTGGGGAACAGTCAGCCTATATTCTCCAAGACACGCTGGCACGGGGGTAAAGGGAAGGCTTTCTAATGGAAGAGAGGGGAAGGGGAGAGTTAAGGGCGAGGGGATAGTGGGGATACGATAGGCGACAGAGCAGAATAAATAAACGAGGCACTTACAGAGAAGAAGCTGACAACATAGAGGCCGAGGAAGTTGTAAACGCTCTCTGCGAAGCGGGAGGCGCGGACGGTCAGCGGAGGGCTGTGTTGCGGTGGGCGTTAGCAGCTGAGATTTTGATGGAAGCAGAAGAATGTCTTACCTCTGTAGAGCCTGTCCGTTGGAAAAATAGGGGGTTTTCGGTTTGTTGGTGGACATGATGGCGATGATTGATGGTCGCCTGGTGGATGGCAAGGAAGGAAGTTGGTGAGGTGGAGGTTATCGATAAGAGCCGATCCACTCTATATTTAGGGTCACATACTGTAGACAGTATGGTTCATTATTGTTCTTGATTATGGGTATCGTTCTATATACACGTCTAGACAATTCCAAACTCCATCGCTCAGATGCAAATCCCCTCACTCTGTCTCCCCCATAACTGTCGTCGCTGCCTCGGCCTCACCGCGCAGATCATCGAGTCCGTGAAACCCTTCCTCAATGATCCATTTCTGGGCTTGAGGATCATGCAGAACGTGACAGCTAGCCCCGACAACCAGCAATCCAGGTGGTCGCGAGCCTGCTGCCTCGAATGCCATACAAACATGCTCCAGGGTGGACCGGATCACCCTTTGATCTGGGCACGACGCCCGCTCGACGATGGCGCAGGGTGTCTCCTTGGGCCAAAGGGTTCGTGAGCGCAAACTACTCTCATCTCCAGATGAAGTGGTGAGAGCTTCCACTAGAGCAGATAGCCGGTGGAGAGCCATGAGGAAGACCACCGTCTGGGTAGGAACGTAGGTCGGCGGATCCGGGGCAGCGCCTTTCCGTCCCGTTCCCGTGCAGACCAAAACCTGGTCGGATACGCCACGGTGGGTTGCGGGGATATCTGCGAACAAAGGCGCGCTCATCGCACTGGTGATCCCCGGCAGCACTGTCGGGACATATCCTTCTCCCCGGAAGAAATCAAACTCTTCTGCTCCGCGTCCATAGAGATACGGGTCTCCCTGCTTCAGTCGCAGAACCTGCTTTCCTTTCTGTAGTGCTGCAAGTCCCATCTGCAGGAACTCTTCCTGCGCCTGATCCGCGTTGCCAGGGAACTTGCGTGCAATGTGGACTTCTGTCCTACGGGGGATCAAGTCGAGAACCGGTGCAGGCACAAGCTTGTCCGCGAGAATAATATCTGCGTTTTGGATTGCATGGTATGTAGCCCTGGTGAGTAGGTCTGGGTGTCCCGGCCCGGAGCCAGCGAGAACAATCTTGCCTTTCCGGGGCGGTGTTTCAATGCCTTCGATGTCTTTCACGTCATTGTCCCGACCAGACGAGTAGGCCTTGAGAATAGCCTCGATATCGGCATCCGTGATGGAAACAAGTTTTCGGAGCGGCCAGTATTCGCAGATTTGCGACAACCAACGCATGCGCCTTGTCTTCGCTGCTGCAACATCGTCTTCCGTGACTAATGTGTTGAAAGTATGTTTCTGTTCGGTTGAATCATCTTCATCTCCCTCAAAGGACACATCGCCAAGCCCAGCCGCGCTGTCTTCTTCCCAGAGACGTCTGCGCACGGCGCCAAGTCGGTCGATAGTAACGCCAAGATTCGATGGTAGAAAAGCGGCAATCTCTCTCCGTAATCGGGATGCAAGTTTGCATCCACGACCGGACGTTGTAATCCCGATGTGAAGGGGACCGTCGGAGTATGTCGAGAGTAAAGCGAACGAGCACAGCTCCGGCGCATCTGATACATTGACCGGGATCCGTAGACGACGGCAAAACTTGGAGATGTGCGGGCCTGGTAGGGCTTAGATTAGCAGGGATTCTTCTTAACTTGCCTGAAATACATACTCAGTGGATGGTTGCCACCCAGCGTGACAAAAACCGCATCAACCACCCGATCGACTTCCTCCCTCCCCAAACTAGTCAAGTCGTCATCTTGAAAATCGCGACGTACCCATTGCGCGGCGCCTCGAGAGATATGCTCAGACAGGGTGAAGTGCATATCGACCGTCTCCGGCGCAATCACGATGGGTTTTGCGCCAGCATCAAGGCTCTTCGCACACCGGGCTGCTGCAAGAGGATTGGCGCCCACGATCAAATGCACTTGGTTCTCGGTGTTCCATGCTGTCATCAAAGGCGCAGACTGCGCCGTGTCGTTTAAGGCGTCTTTCATCGTGGGGGTTTCTGCCAGGGCGTTTCCGGTCGTGCAGTGTAGCACAGACAGAAAACGTCGGGGACTCGAAGGGCTTAAGCCAGTTCTTGTGTCTGCCGCACAGTCTGGCCAGGACCGAAAGTAACTTGTCACTGCTCTGACTGGCAATTCAACTCCGCGGAGAAAAAAAAAGACAGTAATCGGGTAGTCGTGATTGGCGATAACGGATCCGTCCTGATAAGGGTCCTGACGGGGGCCTGATGGAACAGAGAATGTCGGATGTCCAGATAGTGGTGTCAAGAACTAGATATTGCCGGTGACGTACAGTCAGGACTCAAACGGCAGCAGTTCCCAGAGTGGTGAGTGTGCGATATCGAGAAATCTCTATACTTCTTCATCGCCCAAAGCAGTCTACGGCGGAATGGCGTGATTTGTGATTATGTCAGCAGTCTGAACAAACATCCAGGAACAGAAAGAAGACTATGATTTGTTGCGCAGGAATGTCTAGCAAGATAATAACTCGGCTGTACTCAGCTTTAAGGCGATAGAAGATCCAATAATGGTCAAGAGAAATATAACTTCAAGATGCAGAGTGCCAATGAGCATGGACATCGGATCTAGATAAATCATCTAGCTCGAATATCTGAATAGAGGATGAATACGGAAATACCAACAATCTTCCTGGCTATGACAATAAGTAGAAGAGTACAATAATGTTTGAGGAGTACCTAGGCCTAACTACATGTATGTGGAAGGCATACGCCGAAGTCTGCCTGAGGCATATATCACATGACCAGGAGCTCCAGCTCAACCAGGGCGGCCCATCACCAGAGCTCCGTCACAGACAACACTTCCATTCCATCTCCACCACCATTGAACCGTCCCCTCCGCACTTGCCATCATGTCGGACGGCACCATTTTGAAGGCCGAAAAGGACTTCACCAAGGATGCGGATAAGCTGATCCCCGAGGCGGAGGCTCTGGCAAAGGTGAGGTCATGCGATTCATTCGACTGGGCTCGGTATACTGACTCGATGATGCCTAGACCGATGTCCAGGGCGCCATAGATAAGCTGTTGGCGCTGGAGAAGCAAACAAGACAGGTACGAACTCTAACACCGCGCGGACGATGCAAAGCTGACCGCTCGAATGATTACAGGCCTCCGATCTGGCCACGACCTCGCGACTCTTGATTGCTATCGTCACCATCAGCAAGAACTCCGGCGATTGGAACCTCCTCAACGATCAAGTGCTGCTGCTCTCCAAGAAACATGCCCAACTCAAGCAGGCAACAACGAAGATGGTGCAGACGGTGATGGGATTCCTGGATGAGACCCCGAACATAGACGTGAAGTTGTCTGTGATCGAGACCCTGCGGACTGTGACGGAGGGAAAGGTTGGTTTTGGTCGTGTCTGTCTAACACGGATGATGCTGACTCTGCCCAGATTTTTGTCGAGGTAGAGCGAGCCCGCGTCACACGCATCCTTTCGAACATCAAAAAGACCCAAGGCGACCTCAACTCGGCGGCAGACATCCTGTGTGAGTTGCAGGTGGAGACTTTCGGGTCGATGTCGCGGCGGGAGAAGACAGAGTTCATCCTGGAGCAAGTCGCCTTGTGCATCGAGCGTGGGGATTGGACGCAGGCCCAGATTCTCAGCCGCAAGATCAACAAGCGGTATTTCTCTCGCAAACCGAAGAAGACCCCCGAGCAGATTGAGAAGCTCAAGAAGGAGGCGGAGGAGAAAGAGAAGACTCGCGGACCGGACGAGCCTCCCGTGGAGGTGGATGACGATGTCACGGATCTCAAACTCCGCTACTACGACCAGCAGATTACTCTCGCCAACCATGACTACAAGTATCTCGAGGTCTGCAAGAACTACCGAGAAGTCCTGGACACGGAAGCGGTAGAGAACAACCCGGAGCAGCTGCGTGCGGTAAGTTTTGATCTCCAGGCCATTTAAAAGCCATGGCTAATTCGGTAATAAGGCTCTGGCCCGTGTCGTGTATTATATCGTGCTGTCTCCGTACGACAACGAACAGTCAGACCTCCTGCACCGGATCCAACAAGACTCGCGCCTGTCCCAGGTACCAATGGAAGCGCGACTGGTGAAGCTGTTCACCATCCCCGAACTGATGCGCTGGCCCATGGTGGCAGAGCAGTTCGGCCCGCACCTGTGCAGCACGGACGTTTTCGATGCCGAGGCGAAGCAGTCCACCGAGAATAATGCGCACCGGAGATGGCAGGACCTGCGGAAGCGCGTGATTGAGCACAATGTTCGCGTGGTGGCCAAATACTACACCCGCATCCAAATGGGCCGGTTGACCCAGCTGCTGGACCTGACGGAGGAGGAGACGGAGAAGTACATCAGCGAGCTGGTGACCTCGAAGACCATCTACGCGAAGATCGACCGGCCCGCGCGGCTGGTCAACTTTGCCAAACCGCGCGATGCGGACGATGTTCTGAACGAGTGGAGCAGTGACATGAAGAGCCTGCTGGGTCTTCTGGAGCGGATTGATCATTTGATTACCAAGGAGGAGATGATGGCTCGCATCCTGCCGACCCGTGAGAAGACCAAGGCCCGTTGATTTGGAGGAGGCTGGGGAGGACGCCACTACGTGTAATATAATTCACTGGTAGATCCCATGAGATGAACTGATTGTTTGATCAATATATTTCCCACCATAATGACCAGATTCACAGGCCCGAGGGATTGGGCAAAGCAGTCATACTACTGAAATCCTACCACTATAGCCCAATGAAGACGGTGTGGAGCTAGCGATTGTAGTATCATCAATATTGGGTATAGATCTAGTATATACTGGCCAGCCTCTATCTAGTCTAAAACGGCACATCCATATCATTCACATCCTCCTCATTCTTCTTGTCCGCACTACCCTTATTCCGCTCCAGCTGCTCCCGAATAAACCGCACCGCCGCATCCAGGTACGGCCGCTGACTGGGCAAGAAATGGCCACCAGGGTGCCACACAACGAACCCGTCCTTCTCCGGATCCCCAGAACAGGCATCAATCAACGCTCGACTGCGACTCTCCTCAACAACAGCATCCAACGAACCCAGCACATGCAGAACCGGAGTTAGGATATGCGGACGCTCATAGAACCCACGATATCGGGCCCCCGGCGCACGGAAACCGCTATAGCAAAGCGCGAACTTGAACGGCGGGTGTTGCAGTGTGTTGGGGTCGAAGGATTCGGGAAAAGACATCCCCAGCCCCTGCTCCGCCGCAAAATGCGCAAAGGCCTCCTTCCGCCCTGGCTCCAGCAACGCGGCCACCATGCCCGCCATCGCCGCGCCCTGCGAGAACCCAATCACGCCATCGAAGGGGCCTTCTTCAGACAGGACTTTCGCCACGGCTGCGAGTCCCTCCTCCATCCCCTGGTACAGCGGGGGATCGGCCGTGTTCGACCGGCGCCACCAGCCATACGCATCGATCTTGGCTTCTTCCTCTTTGTTGCTGGATGGCTCGTGGCCGGGGATGTCGGTTGGGTCAAGACGCAGGGGCCCCGTTGGGTAGACGGCATTGACGTCGTGCGTGGGGAAGGCTTTCTGGATGTGCTTGACCAGGGCGCGGGATTTGGCGTGGAAGAGCGGGCCGGATTGCGTGTAGCCGTGGAGCATGAGTAGCTTCAGCGGCTGCCGTGTTGAGGAAGGTGAGGGATTTGGCGCCATTGTTTGCAGATGGCTGGCGACGGAGAATAACCGAGCGGCGCACATTGAGAAGCGCCAGGAGGTGTTAGTAGGAGGAGGAATGAAGAGATGAGTGAGTGCCTGGCGATAAGCGATAACGACCAAATTACATAGTAACGCATCGCCGCCACTTCTCCTTCCTCTCCGACAACAAACAGCCGGACTTGGAAACACATCCGTGCAGCCATGAGCACCGAGCAACTGAACGTCAACCTCGACAAGATCGATGGCCAGATGAAGGAGCTGATCGAGTAGGTTCTTCCTCCGCACGCCGCGACCACTACTTCTGTATGAGTGTTGCTTGACGAGCACCACCAGCCTTGTTCATCCTGGACTTAACTCTTTGACTTGACTCGCTTCGCAGATGCCACTCAGTTAAAAAAGACCTACATAACTAACACGATCCTCCAACAACGACAGTGCCTTCGAAGCCCACCCCCAAATCCAACCCCCGGACACACACCCAACAATCTTCTTCCTGCTAGACTTCATCCGCAACACGCACCGCATGCTGCAGGAGATTGACGCCGACAAATTCGCCTCGGGCGACAAGGCCGCGCGCGAGGCTGCGCAGGAGGTTGTCGGCCGCAACCAGTTTGCTTCTCTGTTGATCAACGATTCCACCGGCAAGCTGGCCCTCATGACGGGGAGCGACCCGACCAATCCCGTTGACGTTGGGTCGGATATTAAGAGCAAGGCGAGGGCTTTGACGGAGACCTGAGAGTCGGGCTTTTTATACGGATTTGATGAGTAATGTGGTGCGATGCGGTGCGATACGTCTTTGAATTCAACATGCGAGCTGTCTATGAGCGAGCACTCGTCTAGTCTCTCTGCTCTGTTGGAGACGAGGCAGTTTACTACAGGTTACTTCTTTTCCTTTTTTTGGTTCTCTTTCTACCCTCGTTTTGGATCTAGGTTGGGTTCTTCTTCAGCTGAAATATGACATAGGACTGGATTTGAATCTGCCGTCCACTTAATTGAACCACCAGTCTTTCGTTTTGTACTATAACCAAAAAAACAAGGATCAATCAAGCGCATAACCTGTATCTCTTTCCCCCAATTATGTCTTTCTTCTCTATGTAGTCCATGCACCATCCATTCAACATAATCTCCAATAAAATGCGACAAATCAACCAGTAACAAATATAAACCACCCTCATAGTAGTCAATAATAATCCCAACTCTTGAGTGACCGGACTACAAGAGGAGGATCCCTCTCCAACCCTGACCACGGCGACCCATCCAACCTCTTTACATCATACATCATTCTGACCCCTCAAACGAAACGGCAGCAGATCTATAGAGAAGACGATCGAAAGACGAATGATGTCATATACCTTGGACGTACCTGGGTGAGCAACCCGACTGGGCACTCGGTGGGGAATGATGACCGTGCGTGTGTGGGGCGAGAGGAGGATCACCTTCGCATGGCTGCATGGGGTTGAGGGTTGTGCTAGGATATTTGTATTATGATTTTTTATTTGTGGTAGGTGGGCAGGATAGGTACCAGGTACGACCTGGGTATATCGTGTCGATGTCGAGCGATCCACATAAGAACTACTAGTACAAGCACTACGCAAAAGGTCACACCCCTGGTTGCAGACAGTGATACCTATTACACAATACAATATGTAGTTGGCAAAAACACAGTTCAATATCAGGAAGCATACACATCAATAGCACAACACAAGAACCAAATACATAAATAACTTTTGGGCCAGATATCCGGATCTTGCTGGGATAGATGGCTGCAGCATGTTTTTTCAGGGTTGTTTTTGTTTGCCAGTCATTTCATTCCATCTTCTACCCGTTCACCCGTAAGACATAAGCATGATCAGAAACAAAGTTAGAAAGCATAAGCAGGAGCATGGAGACAGGGTGTCAGCAGAAGACAAAACACCAGTCATGATTGTATCCAGACGACTGAAGCCATCGATACGATACATATCTACACTCCCATCATCCCTGCCAACACCATCAACCTCGAAATACAAGGAAAAGATTAAGAGAGATAATCCCGTGGTTGGAATTGGTAGGTAGAGAGATATATGGTATGTAACATTTTGAGGGCTTCCGCGATCGAAAACCCCCGCTGCTGAACCGAAGGACTGTTTCCTCGAAATCGAAAAAAAGTAGTAGTAGTAGGCTGACTCCGTTCCTCCCTCCTTCAATTCAAAAAAAGGAAACACCCGGTTGGTTTTGGCTGGCTGGTATTTTCATCTCCATCCTTCAAACAAGCAAACTTCTCCATCTCATCCATGCCTTTAAAAAAACCAGAAGAAACAAGTTTTTCTTAAACGTCAATCATAGTAAAACGCAACGAGCGAGGCAAGGCGTCTACTTCCGGCGGAACGAGCAGCCCTCGGTCAGACGGGCCTTGCCACCGGTGGGCTGGCAAAGCACGGTCGAGCAGCCGGCGCAGATGACGACGGTCTGGGCGTGGGAGAAGACGGTGGTGATGGTGAAGCAGCCGGGGCACTTGACATCCATGAAGAAGGAGCGGGGGGCGGGCACGAGAGCCTGGAGGGGGGATATGTTAGTGTCCGTTCTCTTTTTCGTTGTGTGTTCCAAACAGGTGACAGGCGTTGCCAGGGATGGTAGTTGATAGGTGGTAGGTGGTATGGGGAAGGCTCATACCTTCAGCTTGTGCTTACGGGCCTCGGCCTGAGGCGTAGGGTTGAGGAGGTCGACCGCGAGAACCTGTCAAGGAAAGAAAACGAGTTAGAATATTGTCACTGAACCCCCAAAAAAGTCTGCGTGATGGGCGATGGAAATCTCGAAACGGGGGATTCGGGGGGATCTCCTCCACGCCCCCGAGGAGAAAATTTCGAGCATCGTCGAAATCGTCGAAAATCCAGTGTGCACCATCACACAAAAACACACAAATGGGAGGGACTTACCATCTTGGCGAGTGAGATCAGCGAGGGAGTTGATGAATGGCGCTGATGGCGATGGCCTTGGTGTTGAGAGAGGGTTGGTCGGGGAAGAGAGAAGGGATGGAGTGATTGATTTGGCTCTTGGCCCGTTTGGGGTTTGTGCCCTCGCTTGCGTGACCGCTTTGGTGCGCTTAGTCAGTACCGACCATCTCACGTGATCACTTTCTTATATTATCCGGGAGTAATTAGCGATTTAGGTACCATGCAATAAAATCTTCTATTGTTCAATTATCCGTTTGTGTTGAAATAAAAGTGCTACTATGTACTTGAAATCTGCAGGAGCCAACACATCTCTCACTCTCACAGTCGTGGATGATCGAGGTTGAACTTCTTCACCCACTTATAACGACCACCTCACTTCATCTTCTTGGACGAATCCGCATTGCCATTCCGCGACTGCGTCTCCTCGACATACGGATACTTGATAGTCAGGCACCAGATGTCGAGGTAGTCGCAGATCGTGGTGATGACGTCGAACTAGAGTAAATTAATCAGTACTTTCTTCCAGAAAAGGACCGACAGAACATACCACGAAGCTTCCATAAACACCAACCGCGAAACCCAAACACCCAACCACAAAGCAAACCTGCCCGATACCATTCCCGAGCACGGGTGTGGACCACAGCCCCAACCGGGGTCCCGCGCTGTCCACCACCCCGAGAGCCAGCGGGTACAGCAGCACATTATGATACGGAAAGCCCGACTGCACGAGATGGCCTACAATCATCCTCCCGACGGCGTAGGCATTCACCAGTCCCACATACAGCCCAAATGGCACGATCTGCGTCTCCATGACAGCAGGCTGCAGGTACAGGTACGCAGGGACAAGCGTCCAGATGACGACCATCGGAAGCAGGCCATACAGCGGCTCCACAGGATCGAGGCCGCGCTGGCGGCGCACCTGCACGACATTCCAGATGCTCGAGCCCGTGGCGAAGAAGAGCACGAATGCGCCGTACACAATGTACCACTGCGTGAAGGGTAGGTTGTAGACCTGGTCGGTCATGAATGTCGGCTTGGAGAACCCTAGCGTCTCCAGCGCGGGTTGGTGCCAGAAGCTGCCGGCGCCCATGTAGGCCGTGATAGCGTAGACGGTGCAGAGGGTTAACACGCCCTCGACGGGGCCGGAGATGATCCCCAGGGTTAGGACTTGGGTGTAGTATTCGTCCCAAGTTTGGACGTAGAAGGTCATCGTTGCTAGGGTTGTTAGTTCGGACATCAAACAGAAATATAGTAGGGACATGGACATACATCCAAATAGCGCCAACACAGTTGCCCAAGACTGGCCAAAGTTCATGGTACCCGCAAAGATGAGCACGCCCAGACCGGTATTGCATGCATCGACACCTAACCAAATCAGTCAATTCAGGCCCATGGAATGAATGGCATAGAGGCACGCATACTGTGATCAAAGAGCTCGCCCAACGGACCACTCTGCCTCGTCCTCCGCCTGCAAAATACATCTTTCAGCACTCTTTCACCAACGTAACGGGGAAATACCTACGCCTGCATGCCGTCTACGGCATCAAAGGTCTGGTACAGAAACAAGCCGATGGCACAGCTGGCGTAGACCCAGGGCGGACAATCCTGGTCAAAGTTCGGGTTGTACCACATCACGGTGAGGAAATTAAGGACCACGAATAGAAAGCCGGTCAGGGTGATCTAGGATTGCGCATTAACATCATGGGCATATTCTTATCACAAAAGTAGGTCCAGAGGAGTAAATAGTGGAAAGACTCACGGCATTAGGTCTTTTTTCAGCGCCGAGTCGACGCAAAGAAAGTCAGTTATCTTCATTCATTCACATTGCCCCCCACCAAAACGTGCGGCAGTCTCGGACCGAGCATAGGATAGGTAATACTCACGCCATCCCCATGGGGAAACAGCCAATGACACATTTGTTATAGAACGGCTTCAGGATGTACCGACTGATGAGCGAGTGGTCGACCCCCGCATAGCGATAGTTGCGCAGATTGGGGAGGTGATGTTGGCGAACGTACACCATTTTCCTTTTCCGGGGAGGGGAGAGGAGAGGAAAATGAGAGCAAGTAACCAACAACAACAATTCGTAAAAAGGATTGGATGCGCTCTAAGGCATATAATCTCTCCGGCGAGCGTCTCGCATGTAACGAAGTGAAGAAAGGAGCGCGGGTGCGGACAGGAGCAGCAAGATGGGGTGGGTGGGCGGCTATACTGCTGGTGAAGACCGGGAAAAGGAAAGGAAGGAAAAAAAAGTTGGAGATGGGAGGTGGAGACGGAGAGAGAAAAGGGAAGCGGGCCCCGCAGGTGTTGGGGAGGGTTGAGTGAAAGCGGTGGATACGGAGGACCAAGAAGAAAGAATAGGGTCACCAGGAACCGAGAGGACACTTGTTGATCGTCGCTGGTGGTGGTTGAGCTTGTACCCCTTGGGACTATTTTCTGCCGGCGGAAAACTACTCGCGCTGGGAACACACGCGCTTTTAAGACCGGGTCGGCACCACGTGCGGCGCTCAGATGGGTTGAATTTATCCTGATCGTCGCTGAAAGTGGGGTTACCCGAGGCCGGCAGTGACTAGGGCAGTGATGATATGATGTTGTGGTGATTCAGAGTATGCTTCACATGTAGGTACACGGTACAGGGCTATGGATGATGGGAAAGAACCAGTTTAAGCCACCGGGCTCCACGGCATCGGGACCAGGATCCGGCTCTTCATCTCCTGGATCAGAGGCACCGTCTTGTGCACCGTCTCTGCCCATCCCTCGACTCCCCAGGACTGCTCACGCCGGAGCCGGCGCTCCTCCAGATTCGCAAACTGCCACAGGTGGTGCACCGTGTTCAGGTCGCCGATCTGCACAAACCACGCGCCCACACCTTCCATCACCTCCCGACGCGCCGTCAGTCCGCGGCGCCAGTGCGACTCCCATTCCAGCAGGTTGCCCGGGTGCAGCGTGTACGATCGCAACTCGAACAGTCCGCCCAGACGGCGGGGCGGTGTGGTGGGCCAGAACGAAAACTCCTGCATCAGGGATGTCTTCTTGCTCTTGATCAGGGACTTGAGCTTTCGGTCGAATTCAGGGAACTCGGGTTGCTGCGAGATGTTGTGCAGAGACGCGTGGTACCCTTCGTAGCGCTGGTACTCCCAGATGTGCACTGGAGAGGAGAGAGACGGGGGATTAGTTTCTCGAGTTTGTGGAAGCGTTGGAACGGGGTTTACCAAAGGTGTCGTTGTCGCCGACTTGCGTGCGCCAGCTGCCCACCAGGTGGACGCGGTTCTCCTCCAGGCCGGCCATGCGGGGGTACCACTCGCCGACCAGATTCACGTATTCATCAACCTTGTCGGGCTTGACCTCGTGGAAGACGATCGAGTGGACATATTTGCCGCGAGCCAGCACCTGAGAGAAGGAGCGCTCGATGTCCTGATCGAAGTGCTGGCCTTCCTTGGTGCCGTAGATGAGCGAGGACAGAGCACCACGCTTGGATGCCTGATCCGCAGAGTGTTCGTCCCCTATAGAGCGGTGGAGGGAAAGTGAGCCGATTGCTTTATGATCAAGAGTATCGGCAGCATCGAAAGCAGGGCGGACACGGTCAACGCCACTCGCATTGCTCACTCGTGGAGCAGTGGGAGTGTACTCACGGGACTGGTCATGGGCAGGGGAAGAAGTAACCGAAGAGACAGACTGACTCTCTTGCTGTTCCTTTCTCTTGCGAGCCTCGTCGAGGTTCTCGCGAAACTCCTTCTGCCGTTGGGCAAACGCCTCGGCCGAGTCGGCGGTGAGGTCTCTAATGGAAGGGGCGCGGTAGGCCACCGCTGACGAGGTGAAGGGCCGCACCAGCGAGGTCGCTGAGCGGACGACACGCGGAGCCAGCATTGTGGTGGGGAAGAGAGGGAGAAGAAGTAACACAGATGGGGGGACGGTAAAGAGGGAGGAACTGAGCAAGTGAGGTGAGGTTGGGATGGGAGTGACAAAGGGAAGAAGGAAGGGAGTGAGATGAGATGGAGAGAGGGAGAGAGTGTGTGTGTGGGTTGTAGAGGGGGAAAGTAATGGAAGGTGGTAAGAGAGTAAGAGAGGAGGGGAAAGGATGGACAGGGGTGTGAAGAAGAGAGGGAGAAAGAGAAGCAGGAGGTTGCGGGGAAAGGTTGGAGCTGCTCAGTCTGGGGGCGGGTACCAGTGGCGCAGGTACTGGTACTTGCCGACTAGTACGTCACAGGGTGAAGATCAGCGTACTGGTACCTGGAAGGAGGTTCCTCTAGATAGCTGGACAGTGCTATAGAGCAAGGAGAAGTTGTTGTCTTTCAAGAACTGACGGACTGGTATATGTTTCCCGACCAGCGGATGACTACGCTGGCAGGAATGCCCTGGTCGCCATCATGACGAAACCGTCTCCAGTGCTAGACCCCACTCGACTGGGACAAGACACAGTACTCAATTGTCATCGTACCACACGGGATCATATGGCCAACTACCCACAATAACACCTCTCTCTCGATCCCAACTCCCGATCGTCCAAGTGATGACGTCGGCCCATTATTGGACAATGGGTGGGCCACACCGCCCGGCAGAACCCAAGTAGCAACTCATCTCATCGTGCTTTCTTCCTCCTCGCCTCTCCGTCTCATCAAGTCACCGCACACCATTCGGCATGACCGATTCAGTCAACCCCCCGCTCTCATACGAGGCATCGGCCACCACCACTCACCCTCATGTCGCGACCTCCCTGCCATCCGAGGTGATCTCGTGCCTCAAAAACGCCCGCTTCGTATGCACCGCGGACCATCCCGGACTCTACAATCTCACTAACCTCCTCTCTCCCTCTCTCTACGCAGCTCCATCTAGCAACATGCGATAACCTCACCCCCCACATCTCCCTCATGTCCTACACCTACCTCCCCTCAACTCCCTTCGACCCACACCCCACCATAATCATGACCACGAACCCCGCCTCGCGCAAGACCAACCACCTCCTCTCCAATCCACGCGTTTCTCTGCTCGTGCACGACTGGGTTTCGCACCGCCCGCCAACCCGAGCCCCCAACCCCAGTGCTAATGCCCCCGGTGGCCGCGACGGGTCCCCGCCTCCGGCCGCCACCCGCTCCTCGCTGGCGAGTCTCCTGCTCAACTTGAATACCAGCGCGCTGTCTAGCATCTCCACCACCATCACGGGCGAGGCCCGATTCCTGGCGTCGGGGTCTGCGGAGGAGGCGTGGTGCAAGGAGCGCCATTTGGAGAATAATACTTTTGAAGAAGAGGAGATTAATCTCTTTGGTCAGCAGCAGCAGCAACTGCAGGGACAGAATCCGAGTCTGCGCCGCCCGAGTATGTCCATTGATAGTGACGTAAGAGTTGTTACGGTCAGAGTGCGTGAGGGCCGCATTGCGGACTGGAAGGGTGGTGTCCGGGATTGGGTTCTGCTTCCGGTGGAGGAACGGCCTGATACTGCTGGGTTGGTGAATGGTGTCCCTTCTCCGTAGCGCAATTCGAATGGCGCGGAGATCAAGTGGGCAGACTGGAAAGGCTGGTATAGTTTTATGATGGCTTTGATGAAAAACCAATGTACAAGAAACTAAAACTCCTGTTGATCGAGCTGCAATGAATTCTTTATGAAGCTTATCAGCTTCTCCGCACTCCGAGGAAAACGTGCTTTCCCACCAGTCGAACCACCCTCACCTTCCTCACCACTCTCTCCCTAATTACAATCAACAAAATGCGCCTCGCCCACCTCCACCTCCCAAACATAACCCCCTTCACCCGCGTCTCCGACCTCCAACAAACCCTAACCACCCGCCTGCTCACACACAAGAAGCTCTGCTCGCCCGGCTCCATCCCCTCGCAAGAACACGGCCGACCACCCGCATCACCACCACCACCCCCAGATCCAACAATCATAACCTTCAGCCCAAACCCGGTCTACACAACTGGTCGCCGTGACCTGCCCCCGTCAAACACCAGCCCTTCCTCCTCCGCAGCAACAAACACAGCAAGAAACACAAAGCTCTCCCTCCCCCCATCCCTCGAACCAATCCGCTCCCTCCTCACTCCTCCAACATCAAACAATAAAATCAACGGCAACAGCCATGAGCATGACCCCCCAAGAGCAGAGTACCACCCCACCCTCCGCGGCGGCCAAACAACATACCACGGGCCCGGCCAGATGGTCGCATACACGATCCTCGATCTGAAACGACTGGGTCTCACGCCGCGGTGCCATATCCGCGTGCTGGAGAATAGCGTCATTGACCTGCTAGCGGGGTATGGGGTGGAGGGGTTTGTCACGGAGGATCCTGGGGTTTGGGTGCATGATCCAGCTTCAGCTGGAGATCAGGCTCAGGAGCCGGAGCAGGCGAAGAAGATTACGGCTGTTGGGGTCCATCTCCGACGGAATATTAGTAGCTTTGGCGTTGGGTTGAATGTTACCAATGAGCCGATGTGGTTCTTTAGGCAGATTGTTGCGTGTGGGCTTGAGGGGCGCGAGGTTACGAGTTTGGCCGGCTTGGGGGTCGATGGTGTTGGGGTCGATGAGGTTGCGAGTGCGTTTGTGAGGTGTTTTGTCGATAGGGTTAATCGTGATTTTGCATGTACGCCAAGAGGTGGTGGTTCGGGGGAGAAGATCGAGGAGGTTTATCAAATCACGGAGGAGGATTTGCTTGGTTCTTGAGGTGTGACCAATGTACTTAGACCTTTACTTACACCTATATGCATGTTGATGCTGAGATGAAGATCTCTTCTGCAAAATATGGCCATAGCCAGTCTGATACACACAGGCAGCACAATGGCAAAAGCCACGGTCAAGTTATAGATCCGTCCAGCCAGGGCCGAAACGAAGAAGCATAAGAATGAGCCAAAAATTAGATTGGTATATATTAGGATATGAAAGGAGCCAACCTCGCTGAAACGCAATATGCACAATGTGCTCAGCACCAGCGTAGACCAGGCCGAGAGAGAAAGAGGGCGAAGCGTCAATATCGACCGAGGAGACAATGCATGGGGGAATCAATGGGCTGAATCAGGTGAAAGGAAACGAGAGGGTAGCAGTTAACAAAAGACCCGGCGGAGTGTGTGCAAAATCAAAGAATGATACACCCTCCACTAGAGCCTGAGCCCCCGGCGGGCTTGACCTCAAGGGCAACCTTGGCCGCTTCGTAGAAACTCTCTCTGATACCGCGGTTCTGGACAGCGGAGCATTCTTTGGCCACTGATTAGCGCCAGGTCTTGCTTTCAAGAGTAGGGGAAGAAGTGCAACATACCCAGGTACTTGACAGCACCAATCTCCTTCGCCTTGGCCAGCCCCTGCTCGAATGTAATCGCGTCGGGGTTATCGTTCATTTCCTCGTCCTTGCGCAAATCACACTTGAGCGCTGTGAGCACCACGCGCACCCCAGGACAGTTCTCGTTGATCTCTGCAATCCATTTCGACCCGACGTTCTCGAACGAGTCGGGGCTGTCGACCTGTCCCCCAAATTCAGATCAGTTCATGTCACACCCCGGAAATAAAAACACAAGGTGGGCGAGGGAGTCCGTTGCTCACACTGAAACAGAGCATAAGCACATGGGTGTCCTCGTAAGACAGCGCGCGCAACCGGTCGAATTCCTCCTGTCCGGCTGTATCCCATAGTGAGAGTTCCATATGTACATTATCGACGAAGATATCTACGCGCATGAGTATGGATTCGGTTCGAAGACGAGAACGGGAAGGCAAATCTACCGTGAACATAATTCTCTGTGAAAAGCCAATTGTCAGCACACTCGGGTCCAATGTAGAGAAATACGACGCTGCGCGTACCAAACACCGTAGGCTCACTGCCCGCCACGTAAGAATCCGATGTTAATAATCCGCCCCCGTTTGAATGAGCTCCGCTATAGGTATTCTCTTACTAGACAGTAGGGAAAAACCTGGAGTCCTGTTAGCATTGGGTGTCCCGTTTCAACTCGGAGACGTGGAGGAGAGGAGGGGGACTCGGGGACAGGGAGGGAGGGAGTTGCGCACCCTCTTGTGAACACGTTCAACGCGGAAGTCTTGCCACAGGCACCGTCGCCTCTGTAAGATCAAACAGCTGTCAGCATTGTAGGGGTCATGGGGAGCAGGGCGGGGTGGGTTGCTGACAGCAGGACCATCTTGCGCTGGACGACCTTCTGGCGGCCGCACAGCTCCATTGCGCAGGTGGTCGGGGAGAGGACTCGAGAGGAGGGAGAGAATGGAGGGAACAAAGGGAAATGGGTTTTAAGAATAGAGCCAGTCGAGAAGGAGGAGCGTGGTTGTGGCGGAACACGTTGCAGTGAGAAAGAGATTGGGGGGAAGGAAGTCGATGACATGCATCGCCCTGATCGGCATCAAGGACCCAAATAATCCCTTTGCCGGTCCACTTTCTAAGCCTCGTTTATTTTTATTTCGGCGCTGATGGAGTCTTGGGGTGGCCATTTTTATTTGTTTATTTACCCTAGCGAGGCAGGCCATGTTTATTATTCCTGGACTTGCATGCGAGGCAACGTAGATCTAGTGTCTAACTAATGCACCCAGTATACCTACCGCACGGGCGGGGGCTAACACCATATATTCTAGCAGGTAGCTAAATCAGAGAAATGACATTCGCTACCTATAGTGTCTGGTTGTATTGTTTTGGCAACATGGAACTCGTTAGGTATTCCAGTTGGCGTGAGCAAAAGGCGGGGAGCCAAGGCGGCAGCTCCATCACTCCTTCAACTCCCCCAACACAGCTCTGTTTTGCGTCCCACCACCCTCTTTCCTCCTTACCACTACCTTTTCTTGATTCTTTTTGAGCGTCCTGATTGCCTTTCTCACTGCCCAACATGTCTGACGACGATGATTTCATGCAAGACTCTGATGAGGAGTAGGTGGCCGTTGTCTCTTTCTCTCTCTTTTTGGCCAAGCTGACTGTTGCAATCGCCCAGATATGACTTTGAGTACGAGGACGCCGATGAGGATGAGTCGGGGGATATTGGCATCGAAAACAAATACTACAACGCCAAGCAGATGAAGGTGGATAACCCGGACGAGGCAGTCGACGAGTTCCTCGGCATCCCTCCCCTGGAACAAGACAAGAGCGAATGGTACGAACCCCTGAGGACGGTCGTCAGGGTCAATATTGATTTGTGTACAGGGGGTTTAAAGGGTTAAAACAAGCGATCAAGCTGGAATTTAAGCTCGGGCGATATGGCGATGTAAACGGCACTTCACATGGACATCACAGACTGTCAACAACTAACCGATTCCTAGGCTGTCGAACACTACCGCGAACTCCTCACATATGTCAAATCTGCCGTCACGCGCAACTATTCCGAAAAGTCCATCAACAATATGCTCGACTACATCGAGAAAGGGTCCGACGATGCAGAGGCATTTCAGTGCATGGAGCAATTCTACTCCCTCACCCTCGCCTCGTTCCAGAACACAAACAACGAGCGGCTATGGCTGAAGACCAATATCAAACTGTCTCGCCTGTGGCTGGAGCGCAAGGAATACAGCCAGCTGAGCAAAAAAGTGCGCGAGTTGCACCGGGCGTGCCAGCGGGAGGACGGGTCGGACGATCTCAGCAAAGGCACCTATCTCCTGGAGCTCTATGCGCTGGAAATCCAGATGTACGCCGAGACTAAAAACAACAAGCGCCTCAAGGCATTGTACCAACGAGCGCTACGGGTGCGGTCAGCGGTGCCACACCCCAAGATTATGGGTATCATCCGGGAGTGCGGGGGGAAGATGCATATGAGCGAAGAGAACTGGGAGGAGGCCCAGAGTGACTTTTTCGAGTCCTTCCGAAACTACGACGAGGCCGGGTCCATGCAACGCATCCAGGTCCTCAAATATTTGGTATTGACGACCATGCTCATGAAGTCGGATATCAATCCCTTCGACTCGCAAGAGACCAAGCCCTACAAGAACGACCCGCGCATCTCGGCCATGACCGATCTGGTGGACGCCTTCCAGCGGGATGATATCCACGCCTACGAGGCTGTGCTGAGCAAGCACCCCGACGTGCTGGCCGACCCCTTTATTGCCGAGAACATTGACGAGGTCAGCCGCAACATGCGCACGAAAGCCGTGCTCAAACTGATCGCGCCCTACACCCGCTTCTCGCTGCACTTCATCTCCAAACACATCAAAATCTCCGTGCCGGAAGTGTTGGACATTCTCAGCTTCCTGATTCTCGACAAGAAGCTCAATGCCAAGATCGACCAGGAGAAGGGCACCGTCGTGGTCGAGAGTGCCAGCGACGTGGAGCGGCTCCGCGCGCTGGAGGAGTGGTCGTCCTCGCTGCGCGGGCTGTGGCAGACGGCACTCGATGGCGAGGGATTCCGGGCGGACGAAGCGTCTCATGGGGCCATGTTTCAGGCCGGCCTCGGCGACGAATCCCCGATGGGCACGCGAACGCTTAACCCGCGGGCACGCAGGGAATACAGAGGCAAGCCCGGGAAGATGGCCGGGATGATATGAAAAGCTCCAGGGGTGTCTTTTAAGCGACCGGTCCACTGCACCGCACGTGTCCGGGTACCTGGGGTTCAACGTGTTCCCGCTTGGGGTGGCATGTTCTCGGTTGGCGGCCTATTTCATCATGCCGGTCTCCCCGTCCACCCAGCACTCCCCTAATCCCCTCCCACCATCTCGGGATTTGGATTTCACAGCGAACAGACCCGCTATTTAGAGTTGCTCTGACATAAGAGCTAAATCATGATAAGATGGTGCCGTTCATCATTACTTGTTCGTGCTCTCTCGCTCGGTCGTAAGCTGGAGATGGTTCGCAAGTCGTAAGCCCGGACTGAGAAAGGCAACAACTCCGAGCGAGCATGTGAAGCGAGGTTATCACGATCAAATCTGAGGATTACCTATTCGTCTTGACGTTGTCGGTACCTATAGTTAGCGCAATAGTTGGTGTTGTTATAGCGGTCTCGGCCATGGACCCGAAGACCTCCCATTCTTTAGTAATTCGACCTGTCATCTCCTCCCGAATAATCGTCCCACCGCGCCGGGATCGCACGTACCCCCTGTGGCTCGTGGCCCGTGGCCGCTGTTGACACAATCACAACTCTCTTTCATCAGAGGGGAGTCGGGTGATGGGCTCGTTTCGCTTTCTAGCTCGATCAGAGCAGCCCGGCGCTTGGGGCCCGATCAGCCGCGAATAATCATCATAATCAGAATTCCGGAGGGGACCAACCCCGCTTCGGGTAAAGAAAAGAAAAGAAAAGCAATATGATTATTATTCCTTGTAAGCAGATCGGAGACTATCATCGAATACTGTTAGTAGGCCGTAATGCAATAGGAAGAGGAATACCGTTGAGTTGTTTGCTGCCGATGTGTTGTCACGGATCATCCTTTCGCTCATACATAATTCGCTTCGGTTCCTTTTTTCTTTCTTCCTTTCTTCCTTTTCCCTCGATCTGCTCCACCGATCTTGCTTTTTTCTTTTCTGTCCGCTAATAATAAACCACCCACTTGGATGCTCTGCCAGTGATTGATTCCAGGTCGGTCGGCAAGATTGTCCCCCTCATCACCCCATCCCATCCCATCCATCTTCATTGCCCTGCCCAAACCTGAAAGATCCCTCTTCCCCTCCCCCCTCCATCCGCACTCGGAATTTATCTCCGCGTGTTCTTTGGATGGTTCGTGCCCTCTCCACCATTGACGTCGCCCTCCTCTTCCCTCCTGTGTCACTCCGTCAGCCCCCAATCACTGTCCCCGGCCACACCCTCCACGGTGATACACCTACGTGATACCGTTTCCTATTGGCCCTGTTCCTCCTACAATCTTGATTTGATTCTTCAGCCCACGATCCACGGCCACATGCTCTACTCATCCCTCGTCTCTGGAACCTCGCTGACACACTCGGCTCTAGGTCGCCCGGTGCACCGGGTCACTTGCAACATAGCTCCCCGGGGCTCACGTCCCACAGGCTTCCAGATGCCATCGGCCGTGTGCGCAAGTCATATGTATATATAAAGATATACAGATTTGCGGGAAACTCGGTCTAATATTGTGGTCTCTGTCTCTGTCTCAAGACGGTCGTCAACAATATCTGCATAAAGCTTTCCCCATCCCGTCCCGCACGCTCTACCACTTTTGTATGCCATGTCCTTGTCGGAACTGCTCTGGTCTCCTATCGGTCCTCACCATCCCTTCGTGGATAAACAGAAGATCGCCAGTCTTTACCGGAACTCTTTCTTTGCGCCCCAGCTCTCTATTCCACCTTTTGTCGCCCCGCATTTCGTCAACATGAATCCCCTCTCACCGGAAGAGATGGAGCGCTTTCAGAAGTTGTCCAACGATTTTGAGCCGGATGTCCAGGTATGGCATGTTTGCACGAAGCGGAAGCTCTGCATCTAACATACCCGCAGGGTCCCCTGGTATCAACCAAGCAGTCCAGTCATGCTATTGCTGTCGAGTATGCCAATGCTGACCCCACACTGGCGACAAAGACGGGTGTATGTCTCGCTGTCATCATGGAAGCGAACGTTACTAATTACTCTAGGCCCTTGCGGTGACGCACCCGATGACTCGGATTATGAAAGGAGATGGCAACTGCGGCTGGAGAGGTTTGTCCGTGAGCTTCTGATACGAAAACTGCTAACGCCCCATCCAGCGGTTGCTTTCGGCTATTTCGAAATGCTTTTCGCTCTGCGTGATCTATCGCGCGTACAACGTGAGCTGGCCCGGATCAAGTCGCTCAACACTCTCATGGATCAGGTTGGCCAGGAGGAACACCTTTATGAAATCTTTGTCGATGCCACGGAGGATATTTTCGCCCAGATCTCCGCCGCCATCCAGAACGGCACCCCGGATGAGTCTTTCCTTGTTGATGCATTTAACGAGGAGTACAGCTCCAATTCTGTGATTACGCACTTCAGAGTCAGTACCCTCGCTTTCTACTTATTCCTTCCGTGCTGATGGTCTATACAGCTCGTGACCAGCGCTTGGATGAAGCTCAACCCGCATCGGTATCAGGCTTTCCTGCCTCTACCGCTGGATCAGTACTGTGCAACACAGGTCGAGACTGTGCGGACGGAGATCGACGAAGTTGGATTGCAAGCCCTGGTTGATGGCGTCATTGAAGGAGCGGGATTCGGAGTCGAGATCCTCTATCTGGATCGGAGTGAGGGCGAGGCTGTAACGCCACACCAGCTATCTCCCAACAGGCCCAACATAGCGACGATCCGTCTGCTATATCGACCGTAAGCGTCACCTAGAGACCAGATGGCAGAAGCTAACTTCAACATCAGAGGCCACTACGACCTCCTCTACCGAGCCGAACCTACTGTGAATATGGCACCCGTGGTCAACTACCAATACGCAATGACTTCTAACTACTCTCCCTGGGAACAAGGTGCTCTCTCATTCGACGTCAACCCCCACTTGATGTCCATCCCCAATTTAATGGCGGACCCGTCCTACGGGATAGCCCCGTCGCCCATGTCCCCAGTTTCTCCAGCACCTGCACAACCAGCCAGCCCCTTCCGAGTATCTTCCCCACAGGATATGTTTCACTCGCCGGTGCCCAGCCACGCGCCCGTTCCATCAACCATCCCGATCTCCTCGCCTCCGCCACCGATGACCTCCCTGCCGAGTCGGTCTTCGGACGGCCCGCAGATTCGCTTGAATCCATTGGTCATGAAACCCAATCTGAGCCGTTCGTTGCCTATTACCACGCCTTTTAAAAAGTGAATCTCTTCCCTTACTCTTGTTGAACCGTCTTGTTGATCCGTTCTATGTATAGTTCGCCATACAATCAAGCCCATTTCCAGAATTCGGACTTCGAACCTATTCACTGGGAACCGAGCGACTCGCGAAGATGATTTCTACTATGACTATGTCATACACGACGACGAAATGACAATCCCTAACTAAAGGAGGAAGAAAAGAAAGACGACCCTCGGTATGGTTTTACTGCTGTCCGTTTGAAGATGTCTTTTCACTGTCTCTCTCTCCTTTCAAGTTTTTCTTTTCTTTCCGTGATTCTCTTTTTCCTTTCCTTCCCTTTCTTCCAGCTACAGTACATCATGATTCTTAGCGTGGTGCAGCGCGTTGCATGGTCCGAGCGTTTGCCTTTTATTTCTTCGAGTGAGCCAGATTGTGCCTTTGTACGTTCTTTTCCTCCGGATTCTTCAGTTCTCCAGTGCCTGGATGGTGGGTGAGGTGAAAGAATGAATGGGGGAATAGATGAATCCAGTGGATTAAAAGCGAGATTCATTTCTACCACTTTCTTCTACGCCGTAGTCTTCGTTGAGTCACTAAATACGGGATAGGGCGGAGCAAGCAGGATGGCACAATGACAGCTATGTATACAACGTAGGGCATGGAACGGGTCTAACCCAATTCACAAGCGACAGACTGGAAAAGTGATGCATCTTCGATGTCTTCAACACGCAATATCCTTGCATCGAGGTCGACCTTATAGTAGCAACGTCCATCATACAAAGCAAACATGCTAGGTAGGCCGTCCGGGACCAAGGACAGACACTCCTGCGGCTCGAGACTGAATCCAGAGTAACTCGATGGGCGAACAACATAGGATAGGCAGTCGTTGATCATGCATCTGCGCCTTTGTTGTTTCGCCGTGCAGACCGATTCTGGGGTATTTTTCAGCACCTTTGTCTGGCTCTGACAATATGCCTTCTTCAACGGTTTCGTTATTACATGATTGTACTATTTCAGAAGCAGAAGGGTATAAAAATTCCAGGATAATGAAACATAGGACATTAGCTAGTCCTATCATATTGCGGATTTTCTTTTTAATTTTCCAGAAATACCTCTGTGGGTGCTGTAGACTGACTTTCGGTACGCTCCCCACGCGATTTGAACACCGAGTTACGACAACGATCGCTTAATATCGATACTGAAGCACCGGGGCTGTGCTGGCTGGGGCAAGTCGAGGCCGCATGCGATATGAATCGAAGAAGAGGTCGAACCGTCATGAGGCTTCCGGCCGTAATGCCGAGGCTGGCTTCTATGTTCGACCATATGGAGATCTGGGTGGTTGCGTCTGAGTCTACATTAGAACCAGTATAGCGGAAAGGGCGCTGTGATAAACTCACGGAGGAAATCTGGACTGCTGGCGTAATGTAGGAATGGGATTCGAACGATGACAGCAGTGCTCGCTCTGAGAAGAACCTGAATTAGCAATTGGTCCAAAATGAGGAAATCGGCATGGAGAACGAACACGCATGCAATACTCAGAAGTCCTGACACGGCAAGTTTTGTTTGACGATCCATTTGGACCCTCCAGATCATATGAACGGGGAGAGAGCCAAGTGTGAAATCACACAGGGTCGCCACGCCGCTATACATATAGACAATGCCGAGGAGGATTCCCTCGTTGACGCATTGGCATCCTGTTGGCAAGCGAGTCCAGAAGCATGAGACTGCCTCGCATTGGAAAATGGAGAAGAAAAGAAATACCATTCCCACGGCAGTGGATAATCCCATTACTCCGTAGAGAATCCATGAATGAATGCGTTCAACGGCCAGCCGGAGAAGAGTGACAGCAATAGACAGCCTAGCGATCGTGCAAGTGAATATGTAGAAGATCTGTCCTAGCCACCAGCACTATTGATCATATAAATAAATACTTGTACGCCATAGGCGAACGGCGACGCAATATGGACACTTACCAACAAGCCCCGTCGAGCCAGATTCGGTCGATGAGCTAGATATGACGCCTTTTTCCCCATTCCATTTGTAGCGCCCACAATACCACACGTGGCGAATGCGATATTCAAGATCTAGATGAAGATGAGTGTTATCCATAACGGACTGCGTATGGCGGCTTACCGCTGCTGTCACCATTAAAGCATCGTCGCGTCCAAATGCCTTCACAATTTTCAAACGAACGAAGCATCGAAGGGAGACAGCGACCAGAGAAAAAAACAAGAACACGGCTGTGACAATGATGATGGCACGGCTTCCCTCATCTTCCATGCTTCTATGATCATTAATGAGTTTGAATGCATAGAATGGCCTTTGAAAAGCGTAACGGAGCAGAATGACCTGAGCCGGATGGACTTCAGTTTATATAAGCATCTAGATCATTCTTCGCAGCGAAATATGGGTGGGTGTACCATTCCACAACCAGTGTCACCCAATTGGACGAACCAAGGAATCTTGCTCGTAGAGCTTCCCCGCACATCTAACCTTGGGAGAATTCTAGTTAAAGTCTGCGGCTTAAGAGTCAAATAGGGCATAAAAAGTAGCGACCGTTATCACCTTCCATGTTTGGAAACATTGGGATGCTCTTTCAAACCCTAATCACATGCTACGGTCATACCGATGGCGCTTGTCCCAAAGCTGAATGGTATGATGCTAGACGCGTTGGAAAAGTGAGAAAGCTGTATTGCTCTCTCTTTTCATAGGTCCAAGATAACTGGCCCTACGAGGGCAACCCTTGTACAATGACGTCATTAACCACATTATACGTAGTAGGAACAGATTCATCTGAGGGGATGGAATCCACATCAGCGATCGCCTAAGCTTCAGAATCAGAGGAGCAGCTCCACGTAGAGCTACAGGTGTCGCCAAAGGAAGAATATGATTCAGATACCACCGGTCATCAAATAAATCCGGTAAGCGCTGCCGTGGATACGGCGAATATCCTCACGAGAAGCCGGAAAAGGAAGACAAAGAAGACCCCTATTACGCCAACTACCACGTTTGGACTTTTCTAGAAGTCCATCCGCATTGAAATTGTTGGTAAAAACCCAAGTCGGCGAAGGATCTGCTCGCTAGTATCATTCGGTTTGCGAATCACTTCAAAAGCGCCTTTTACTTTGGCCGTATCAACCTCTTTCCTAACTGCCGTAAGGAAAACATCTCTGTGTAGGTGTTGTAGAGTCTCTTTTTAGTTTCAAGGCTCTGGTGGTAGGTCATCGCTGTGGGAACGTTCCAGTGGCCGCGAGACGTATAGAACAATTGCAAAAGTAGCTCGTAAAGCTTCTGGTTTTGATCAGAGCACATAAATCCTGATTTTCTATAGAAGACGGTGCATCGCAAATACCGAGTAGATCTCCCTACCGCCATGCGCGATTCCCGACCCCACTACACTTGATAGCCAGTCACTGGGCCGATTAAGTTAACTGTCAGGGTAAAATCTCCACTTGGTAATTTATTAAGAGGCCCAACTGCCGCATCCCGGAGCTTACTCAGCTGAACAGTCTCTATGGAAACTGACACCCGATGTTCAATTTCCACCATTTATTTTCATTCCGACATTTTCCCGTCTGTCTGAATAGCATCGATTTCATCATTGTCTCATGAGACTACCAGATTGTATTACTAGTAGATACGCTCGTCAATCACTCAAGATTAACTAGTGGGTTCGTCAGTGTGGGTCCTCCGCTGTTCTGAGTGGGTACCCGAATACCCGAGTATCCGCAAGCCGAATTTCCATGGCGAACGCGTACTTGTTTCTTCATACCTCACAACGTGATAACATGAGCGCCAGCAATACCCCGGCATTGCGGAACGGCAGAGCTACCCGCTCTTCTCTGGCTTGTCTGCCCTGCCGCCGGCGTCACATGAAATGCGACGGAAACCGTCCGTCCTGCAACCGCTGCGCTGAGACCGCTAAGGAGTGCCACTATTCACAATCGCGTCGGGGTGGCTTAGACCGCGCAGCTCTTGCAGCGCTGCGCAGACAACGCGCTGCCGCAGCAGCAACAGCAGCATCAGAGGAAGCTGGGGTAACCGACAACTCGAACTCGCAACGATTGCCGGGGCCGCAGCAGGACCAGGAATTCAGGACCCATGTCGTCGAGCCGGACTTCATACGTGGCTACGGCCCGCAAGTTGAGATCGATTCTGGCAACGGGACCTCTATCACACCGCTGCCTACAGCGACTCGCATCCATATTGACAGCGTTGAGGAAGATCCCCTTATCGATTCGTACTACAAAAATTTCCATAAATTCCACCCACTCCTCCTACCGAAGAAACATCTTGCGATACATTATCGAGTTCCGAGCAAACAGCCTACACTAAAGCCGCTCATCGCTATTGTGCGCTTTATCGGAAATATCTATAGCGCGGGAGATTGGTCAATTCCGCTCAAGGACTACGCGGACGCCTGCTTCTCGCAAGCAGAACCCACAGATCCAACCATGGTCCAGTGCCGACTGTTATCCTCCGTGGCCCATTTCTGGTACGATCACAAAATCGATGCCATACAGGAAATGAACACTGCTTTCCAGCTCGCCGTTGATTTGCAGATGTTTCGCAAGGAATTTGCGGCCAAGCATGGATCCGGAGATGCTGTATTAATGGAATGCTGGAGACGAACTTGGTGGACGTTGTCCATCGTAGATGCATACTATGCGGGGACTCTAAAAACCATGCGATTTCGGGTTCTGGATTTTGAGGCTACTGTAGAATTGCCGTGCGAAGAATCGGACTATGAGTTAGGGGTAGGTACTGTCAATGCCGCTGGATTTAAGCTTAGCTTTGCTTTGTCTCAGTGTCATGGCTGCACGGTTCAGATAGCTGACTTGGTTATAGGAAATCCCCGAGCCTAAAACTCTTCAAGAGTTCGATCACCGCGAATTCACTTCCGATATTACAACGTTCTCATCTTTCGCCTACCTCATCGGTGCCGTACGATGCATAGCATTGGCGATATCTACAGCACCACAGGTTGCGAATAAGCAAGACTCAATGCATATCCTACAGACTGCCGATTCCATTCTAAATGGGTGGCTTCTTTTGTTACCAACAGATCGAAAGCAGATCATGACAAAGACTGGAGAAATCGATGAGCTCATGTTTCAAGCGCACCTTCTCATTCACGTGTAAGTTTCTAGCCGAACGCTTAATCCACTTATAAAACACGCAATCTTACTCTTTCTCCAGGGCAACGATCGGATTGCACCGGCCCTTGTCGGACCTGAAATACAACCTTGTGGAAGGTGTCTCAGGCTGTGCCCGGGAACCACCTCCCGATACTCCAACTGGAGAGCTCGCCAATATACACACCGAGCGGGTGCTGCGGTCTGTAGAGGCACAAATACAGATTTTAGCGTTACCAGTTCGACAGTTTCACCATTCACCCTTTGTCACCTGCATGATTAGCGAGGGAACGCTAGCACTCCTCTCAGCCTGCAAGTTCCGGCTGAAAGAAATGAAACTGACGATCGCAAGAAACCAGATCCGGATGGCTATTGGATGTCTCAATGCATTGGCCGAGTTATGGCCGAGAACAGCAAGGAATGTGCGGGAGATCCAGACTATTGCACACCATGTACTTGGACTTGGGTCTAAGACAGTGAATAATAATGGTACGCCTATGCCTAGCGAAGTGCCATTGCTTTCTGGTGGCGGACAGAGAAGTGTTGGGTCGGAGGCTGAAGCATCGGGCAACTACACCGACATCCCTCCTTCTAGAGACACTTACGAGGATCTCTGTGGATGGTACAACCTAGGCGACCTAGGCGATCTTGATCTAAGTTGTCCGTTTGTGATGAATAATAGCCATGAGATGTGATATAATGAATGTTCAGTATATTATGCAATTTTACTGTACGAAGTTCCTAACGAGGATGCGACAAAGTTTGATGAGAAAAGTAGAGAACTACTTCTTAGAGTAAGCACGTGTCGGTCAGATGAACAACAAAGACTCGAAGAGATACTGATACGATGAAGATATAGAGCAGATCTAATGAAAGAGCAAAGACACACACACACTGGTGACCAAGTGCCCCTAGGGTGCGAAGGAACTCAGCGCCTAAGCAGCTTAAAACAACTGCCCTGGGTGAGGCAATGGATGTAAGCGATGACCAGGCCATCCTCCTAAGTTGCGATCTCAGTTGTCTTCCTGTCTGAAAGCTCTTTTACAAGTTCAAACATGGTGGTACGATTAAATTTTTCTTACAAGCCCCAAGCATACCTCACGAGTTTAAGAGATTGAGAATGGCTGGTAGACATAAATCCTCTGTGGGAAGCTCAAAAATGACGAGAAAGTCTAGAATAACTTGCTGCTGGGAAGGTCCGCGGAGCTGAACTGGGTCGGGAGGTTTCTTTTTTGATACGGGGCTTGTGTAACTAAGGCAGAAAGCCGCAACATCGCCACCAATTGTCTATACAAAGACTCTCAAACGACCAAAACAATCTAGACTATTCTTCCGCAACTCTTAAGTTCTACTTGCCCGTGGAACACACGCCAAGTTTCGTTAATCGGATAGCCTGTGTCAACTGCAATCAGAACGTGACCCAGAGACGGATAATCGGTAATTTTGAACCGGGTATCCAACTAAGACCCCGGTAGGGTTAAAAGTCCGCCAGAGGACGTAACCAAAGGCCTTTTCTTTCGCGACAAGTACACTTAACGAGTCCACTTCGGAAACCTGAAACTTCTCCAAAATGTCCAAGATTGTCAAAACTGGCGATACATATCACGTCGAAGGGTAAGCAACTCAGTGTCCCAATGACGACAGCATGCCGAATTTATGTACAGACGTCCGCGAGAGAACTTTAAGATTGTGAATGTCTACCATCCATCCAATATTCCGGGGAAAGCCGTCGTCATCGTTTCGATCGATATGGTCCCTAATGCAGCAACTCCTCCGCATACGCACTCGGGTGCAGCAGCCATTGCGATGGTGATCGATGGTGTTGTGTTGAATCAAATGAACTGCGACGATCCCATTATCTCTCAAAAGGGAGATATGTGGTATGAAGCTCCAGGATGTCATCACGTTCGATCGGAAAACAATGGATTGGAGAACGCTAAGTTCCTGGCGGTTCTCATTATTGACGATGAAGTTATCAAGGACGGGTTTCACAATATCGTTGTTTTGGATGCAGAGAAGGATAAAATTGCCGCGTGAAGACTTATGTTTGCAACTTTAGATTGAAACTAATCGCGGCTAAGTATTGAAAGTAACGTTTCATGTACCTAGTGCGGCATCTCACATATTTATTTTCCCAATCGTGGCTTATTGTTCTATGGCCATGTATCAACGGCGATGTAAACTGGCACCTGAAGACTGAAGTTATTTCTCCAAGCCGTTGAAACTGCCGCAGCTCGAGCTCTGCGAACTGATTTCCTAGCGAGTCCGCTACGTTGATCAGCTGCCGGGTTCAACATTCCTTCACATCAACTAAGCTTCAACCATATCTGTCACAGTCCGCTCCCAGAATATTCAAAGCATGTCAGCTACCTTGGTGCTCATCTGATGCATGGAGCATAAAATGCTTATAACTGTGCACTCATAAAGCAAAGTACTTGCTATATCGCCTTATACATCATTTTATTTTAATAAACAAGAGTATATATAAAATAAACCCAAAGTGATAAAGGGGAACTAGAACATAACGAGTGGAATGTTATTTGACATCAATTTGCAAGCCAGGGACAACATATAGCACGACCCAGTTGCCATAATCAGAATAATCCAATAGCAATATCCATTAGATTGGTACAGGCAGCTTTTCAGTGTTCAACAACATATCAAAAATGACCTTGCCTCGGGCATGGCCACTCTCCAAACGTCCGTATCCAATTTTAAATTGCTCCAAGGGCCAGACGCTATCAACGATAGGCCGGCATTTGCCCTTGTCAATCAGCTTTGTGATTTCTGCCAAGTTTGCGCCAGATGGCTCCATGACGAAGAAAATATCTTTCACGCTAGAGGCGAATCCAGCTGGTCGCTTACCCTCCGGTGGTTGGTTGATACTAATGATCACGCCGTTATCACGGAGGCAATACCAGGCATCTTGAAGTGATTGACCGCCAACACAGTCAATGACGATGTCGACTTTGTTCACTAGGTTCTGACCCCACTCAGAGACCTTGACAGAGCGATAGTTCAGTACCTCAGTGGCTCCTAGTGCTCGGACATGGTCTATGTTGTCTGGTCCGCAAGTACCAACCACTTCCGCGCCTATGAGGCTTGCAATCTGAACGATCCAGGTCCCAACACCCCCCGAAGCCCCAGTCACCAAGATACGTTTACCCTTCCAGTTGGGGCTATCGAATTCGCCAACCCCAGTATACTTAAATAGAGCCTGCCACGCTGTTTCCGCAGAAAGAGGCACAGCTGCAGACTCCGCCCAGCTCAGCTTGCGGGGCCGTACGGCCAACTCGTCTGTAGTAACAATTGCGTAATCACGAGCGCAACCCGGGCGATTGTAGCTTGTGCGAGCGTATACTTCGTCTCCTACCTTTAAAAGGAGAGCCTTCGGGGGCGCTAGTAATTACCCCTGCAACGTCGTCGCAGGTAACGATCTCCTTCCCTGGGATATCAAAACCAAAACTAGGCCATAGAAGTTCGCCTGCGCACGGAGAAGCAGCATAAACACGGACTAGATGCTCGCCTTTCTCGGAATCGGGTGCTGGCAGAGGGCGCTCGACGAGCGTGACGGTTGTAGAAGTTGGATCTGCCTGCAGCAGAGCGCGCATGATAGATGGTAGATTGTTTGTTGACATCGGTAGTATGAGGTGTTCTTTTTTCTTTTCGGTAGATAATGGCAATCGTTATATGACGACGATCTTGGAGACACCTTAGGCTAAGGGAACAACGAGCAATTTATGTCTTCTCGATTAACCGCATCGCATCGCCTCGTCATGTCAGTTGTATTCCCTATTACCCTACAGCGAATGGGGAGTTTGCGGATGGAATCGAGTTAGCCACAGATCTAGACTCCCTCGGTGATCATCGAATAGGCTATTATCGGCCGGCCACGTTACATAAGCTTTCAGCGGAAACTTGAACTTAATTCTTACGCTGCGCATACAGTGGTGTTCCATGAGCCTGAAGCCCGTTACCCGCTTTTCCGCTTAGTCGGGTTACAGGAATGCTCGTGCTGACGAGCTGCGGGCCGGGATAATCAAATGTGCGACCGTTGCCATTGCCCGGCTGCATTAGTTCAATGGACTCGGCCGTGAATGACAAAAGACTAGTTTGTTCTGTTTGTTTGCTTGTACCATTGTACTTTGTCATACCGAACTTCCCGGGTCTCGTTTCTTCTCCTCTCTCTTTTCCATTTTCTCTTCATCAAGTTCTTCGTGGATGGCTGCGCTAGCAATTGATTATGGCTTGGGATATTAGATGTGACTAACAAACATTTATTAGTTAGTCAAGCGAACACTAACTAAGGGGTTACCTCTATTACTTACCCTATTCGCTGCCTTTTAACTTTGACTTACGCGGTAGTTGATTCACTAACTAGTACTTGCACCTTGGCGAGCGACCAAACTGACGGTTAGTGCCGCAGCTCAATGCAACCATCTTCGTAGATTTCTGTAGTATTTCCATAAAATAAGACATTCGTTAGTTAATGGGTCGTAATTTGTCATTCATATTTCAAATCAGCTACAGAGCTTTCATTACGCCATGAGCGTCTGGTCAAGTCTGCCGTGCTAAAGATTTTCTTAGATTTTTGTCCTTTTCGCTGTGTCTAATCTTCTTTTTCATGGTGTAAATAAATGTTTATCCTTTGTGTGGGTTGTTTGTAAAAACGTTTTGCGGTGAGGTGGAACTTTAGCTACAACGAACAAGCTTTGCAGCGGTCTTATAATAATAGGTCCGAGCTAGTCGACTATCACAGAGTATTAGATAATCCCAATCACTAGTTAACTATTTCCGTTAGTAAATTAAGTTAGCCGATCGGCTAACGAAATCCTTCGACAAACTTTGAGGAGAGAATCCTTCGATTAATGCTTAGATATAAAGGACTATGTCCTATTTGGCCACTGCGAAAATAGACTCAATCTACATATCATATGGGCAATAGCTAATTATCAATAGTATGGTCATCAACCGTCCACTATTTGCGAGTTTAGTTAACATTATATAACGATCTTCGCGCTGTGGAGTGTTCTCGTATTCGAGGCGAAGTAAGATCCATTAGATCGACAAACAATCGAGTAAAGACAGGTGGGTTTTGTTTGGGACATTATCTTATGCTCCACAATTACAACGCCAACTGATCCACCTGAGAACAGCGGCCCGAATTCAGTGACAAGTTGCTGTCACATACCCCCTATTCCTGAACCTAGAGCTCCATCAAGACGAAAGAGCTAAGCGTGGGGTTAGGATTTAACGTACAAATCCTCGATTATCCCGACACTACCAGGTTCACAGGGGGCTTCTTTTGCTCTATTTTGTTTCAAAAGAGACCAATCCATATACTCAGCAGGCGTCTGATAACGCTGAATCAGTTATGGATACTTCGTCACATACAGAACTCTCCCCGGAGTATCTGGCAGCGGATATAGGAGGCCGACTAATCGGTGTTGCGAGTGCTTTTATTCCTATCATCATCTTGTTTCTATCCTTACGTTTCTTCTCACGCTATTTGACCAGAACTCCATGGGGTCTGGATGATACGCTGGCAATCATATCTGGAATTATATTGATTGGTTTATCCGCCCTTGCCATATGTAAGTCATGTTGAACGACAATTCCCATTCTCTTCTTTAACTAACAGTTTTCCATAGGTTTTGTGAAATTTGGCGGCGTGGGTCGTCACCTGGATGCTTTGGAAATACAAGATCCCCATTTGGTTACGCAGTACTTCAAATACCTTTTGGTGGTATCAACCTATTACTATAGTATGGTTGCTCTGCCAAAACTCACAGTTTTGGCACTGTATGGGCGTCTTTGGACAGTCAATCCATATCGCACCATCATCTTAATATTGGCGGCAATTATCATTCTCACGGCTGTTGTGACAGGTGTTATGTGCTTAAATTTGTGCCATCCTTTTGAGTACAATTGGGACATGTCCATTCCTGGCGGCCACTGTATAAATAAGCAGGCCTTTTTCACATTTGCCTCGCTGCCGAACATTCTGACCGATGTTGTTATGATCGCCCTACCTTTGCCTCTTGTCTGGAACCTTCACACCTCTACGAAGGTCAGGGTTGGTCTTATGCTGACTTTCATGACTGGAACTTTGTAAGTAAACTCGAACAGTTATCTTTCGCAAGCTAACCGATATGTGTCTATTAGGGGTCTTGTGACATCGATAATGCGATTCGTCATATTCTACCAAGGAAATGCTGTTACGGATGGAACTTGGTCGTCCACGGATCTCATGAGCTGGAGTGTCGCGGAACCGGATATCTACCTCATCAGCGCGTGTCTCCCCACATTACGCCCGTTATTAAACCGGCTTTTCGGCAAGGACTTGTCTACGACGAATTCATCGTCACGGTACGGCAGGAGTTTTAAAGGGACCAATAACTCCACGGCGAATCCCAAAACGAACCTATCTACGCAGGCTCAGGACATGGACAAGTATTCGGATTCTGCGTTGTATGGAGACGAAGTTCAGCTTGTGTCCATAGTGGGCAAGGAGAGAGATACGACCAGGGAGGAGGGCTTTTCACAAGATCATATCTATGTACAGAGGGAGGTGAATGTGTTAGTCAGTGAACAATAGAAGAAACAGAAGAGACTAACAGCGAAATGCTGTTTTTATTTTGCGATGTTTATCACTGGATATCCGATCAGAACCAAAGTAGTCCCAGGAGGATCCACTGTCATCTTGTCGTTTTTAGTGTGGGTTCTCTGTCTTAGAGCAGGCACCTTTTTCGGATGATCAGACGGCTCTCGCATTCTTTTCACCGATGTTGACCCACTCGTGGATCCGTTCAGGGGCCGTTTCGAGGGTATCCTTCTAAGGGTGGTCGAATCGCTGGCACCATGCGTCAATGTCTTCACGGACAGTGCAGTAAGTAATAGTTTTCTTACACTTTGCTGGCATCGTGTGTCTCGCAAAAGTGGCCTGATTAGGAAAAAGAGGGACGGCATATCCAAGTGGCGGCGCCTACCGATGTCTCTTTTTAGTTTGCCGACTGACATTAGTTGACCGCTCTGACCTCGGGCTTATTCTCGCCTCCCCTCTCCCCATAAATATCACGGTGTCTCCGGAAGCCTCTGAACAATCTTTTTACCATTATTCTGAGATTATTGGCTGCTCGTACGCTGCCATTTTCCCACGATGCTGGTGACTCAGGAAAACATCTCTTTCGTTGTCCTCGGGCTTTTGGCCGCCTACTACTTGGTGCCCTATCTGCAGCGATGGCGGCTGCACGACATCCCCAGCCCGAGCCTTGCCGCGTTTACCAATTTGTGGCTACTACTGCAGGCCCGACAGGGTAAGCGCTATTTGGCGGTCGATGAAATGCACAAGAAGTATGGCACTCTAGTGCGAATTGCGCCTAAGCACGTCTCCGTTGCCGACGATGCTGCCATCCAGACCATCTATGGTCACGGGAATGGATTCCTAAAGTCGTATGTTTTTTTAACTCTTAGATCTTCACGAACGCTAACATAGCGTGATTAGCGACTTCTACGATGCTTTTGTCTCTATCCGCCGGGGTCTATTCAACACGAGGGATCGGGTAGAGCACACTCGCAAGCGCAAGACTATTTCGCATACATTTAGCGCAAAGTCTATTAGCCAATTCGAGCAGTACATCCACGCCAATATTGAGATGCTTGTTAAGCAGTGGAATCAGCTCTCCGAGCCCCTAGCCAACTCTAAGGCTTATGCTAGTATTGATGCGCTCAATTGGTTTAACTACCTAGCCTTTGACATTATTGGCGATCTAGCCTTCGGTGCTCCCTTCGGCATGCTCGAGAGGGGCAAGGATATTGCTGAGATGCGCAAGACCCCAACCGACGCACCTAAGTATGTGGCCGCCGTTCAGGTGTTAAACCGTCGCGGCGAGGTCTCCGCTACCCTAGGTTGTCTATCGGCTCTGAAGCCCTACGCCAAGTACCTCCCTGATCGCTTCTTTACGCAGGGCATCGAGGCAGTTGAGAATCTAGCTGGCATTGCTATCGCCCGAGTCAATGAGCGTCTCAAGCCTGAGGCTATCGCGAATAATACTCGGGTTGACCTTCTTACCCGCCTAATGGAGGGCGTTGACGAGCACGGCAATAAGCTTGGCCGGGAAGAACTTACCGCTGAGGCGCTAACCCAGCTGATTGCCGGCTCGGACACAACTTCTAATACCACATGTGCTATCCTATATTGGTGTCTATCTACACCCGGGGTAATTCCTATGCTACAGAAGGTCCTAGATGATGCTATCCCGAAGGATATCGAAGTCCCCACTTATGCAATGGTTAAGGATGTCCCCTAGTAAGTAATAACTCGCTTTGATTTGATTCTTGCACTAACCATGACCAGCCTCCAATGGGTCATTTGGGAAACCATGCGGATCCATAGCACCTCTGCTCTAGGCCTTCCGCGCGAGATTCCTAGCGGTGCTGGCCCTATCGATATTGCCGGCCATACCTTTATGCCCGGTGACGTCCTCTCTGTCCCTAGCTACACTATTCACCGCTCTAAGGAAATCTGGGGGCCAGATGCCGAGAGATTCGTCCCGGAGCGCTGGGAAAACGTTACCGCACGCCAGAAGGCCGCGTTCATTCCTTTTAGCCACGGCCCGCGCGCTTGTGTCGGCCGTAATGTCGCCGAGATGGAGCTGCTCGTCATAGGCGCTACTATATTCCGTCTCTTCGACTTCCGGATGGAGCAGGATGGTCCCATGGAGACCCGCGAGGGATTCCTGCGCAAGCCGCTTGGTCTACAGGTTGGTCTGCGTCGCCGAACCCCTGCATAAATATTCTGCCACGTGCAAACGAAAATGGATAACGTGCCGGCCGCAAGGACTTTTCGAAAGTAAAGACGGATATAGATTTTGGAATCAAAAATAAAACGCAGAATTGAGCACTGCGCATGTCAGGAGAACTCATTTATTTCTTTTGAAGGATCACCAAAGTGGAGCTAGTCTTTCATCTCTCAGGCAGGTTCAAGAATTGAGTCGATTACTGGGAAGTTGGGGGGGATAAGGCGAATCATTGTAACGACAATTGGAAGAAGTCATCTTCTTGACAAAGCTCCTGGGAAGAGTATTAGGCAGTAGGGCGGTTAGCATCGGAGCAGGTGAAGGGTTAGGAGCACTTCAAGAATTGAAGGGCTGGGTAGGTAAGGGTAACTGTGTGAGCGATCAGTTTGCTCAGTGCGCAACTCAGATCGCTAAATGAGCTGCTCACTCCAGGATCTGGGAGCAGTTCGCAACCCGAAGCGGCATTGTGACCGCCGCTTCGCACAATATTTAAAAGTATCGCACGAAGGGACCAGGGACACTTTATGTAGTAATGTTGACAAGCAGTTCCTCGTTAAAATATATCCTGTCCTCAAGAATCAATACAATGAATGATATATAATATATCGTCCCACCTCGTCAAGCAATCTCCTCATCCTTTGCCTCAAGAACGGCATCAACCATCCCATCAAGCCCGCGGTTCCGCTCCGCCGAATCCAAATACCCCGCCGCCACCAACCTCGCCAGCGCATCACCCACCCAATTTTGGCAGTTCCAGTCCCGCTCGCCGTTTGCGAGGATTGGGGTGCTTGCTACAGTTGCGCGGAGTTTGGGGATTTCGGCTATTGTTGCTTTTTGTGGGAGGAGGGTGAGGGTGATTATTCGGGCGAGTTCTTTGTTCAAAGAGTGTTAACAATTTGAAAGAGTATGCGAGAGGGAGAGGAGGGAAGAAGGAAAGATAGAGGAAAGACGCACCTGTTGAGTGGACGGGGATATCCCAATTTATCCGCTCCGAGAAAGTAAAGAAACCATGCGACCCAACAATCTCCATAAGCGAGGACTTGAGGTCTGGTTCTGGTGCTGTCTCCTCCGCCGGGAACTGGAAGTACAGCGCCGTATGCCGGTACCGCGCGAAGTCGAGCGGCGAGGCGACGTAGACGAGGATGGAGAGTGTGATGGGCATTTCTCCAGCTGCTACCACATATCTCGTTGGAGGATGGCTTATTTGCTTATGTATTTGTTTCTGTGGTTTGGAGAGAAGAGAAGAGGCGAAATAAATAGAATGAATGAATGGGTGAGTGAGTGAGTGCCGAGGGTTTGTTGGGTTTGCGAATGGGGTGTCTGTCGGGATGACGTCGTTTTTGGTTCCTCAGTTCTTCTAGAAGGATGTCCGGAAGGATTTTGATTTTGAGTGTGGGGGCACTAGTACTAATGTAGAACTTGAGTAGGGAAGAATGGTAGGACTTGAAGAGCGGAGTTTTGGTAGATATACGTATATCAGGAGTGAAATTATTTGATCGCATCAGTGTGTTTGTAGTTTTATCGGCGGCAGAGTGGCAGATGCTATTGGATCAGCGTTGCAAGGGTTGACAGAATAAAGAAGAACCTTCCCCGCCAGGAAGAGGGTATCCCTCGCAGGACTAGAAGCATATTTCACCGACCGTGTATCCATATCTGCCATGGCGAGAACAAATTTCATCACTGGCGCAGGATAAGTTTCTCGCATGTACGCCGTCCCCAAGTCATGGCCATTCGAACTGCCGCCGCTTGCCCACAGATTCCCATCTCTAGCCAAGCGTACGGTATCGTCTCATTTTTTTGGTGTCGGGAACTGCTTGCGCAGCTGGGGAATCAGGAGTCGCGGCGCTGTAACTCTTTGGCCCCGTCCAATCCTGCATCCGCGACTACCAATGTCCCCGTAAAAACACTGAGAATGGTAGTACCCGCTGCGTCGCGTCTGCGCAGAAAGGCCATGTATTGTTCTTCCGAGGCATGGCGGTCGGCGGCGGTCACAACAGATGGTTCTGGGCGTAGGACGGTGGAGAGATGCTTTGGACGTAGTTGGCGCGTATTTGAGGGAAACATAAGCTCAGCATTATCAGATCAGAACTTATTGAAGGCCAGGTCTGAGCCGGACTGCCCGGAAAAGCCCACAATCCAGTCATTATGATAAGTACTTCTCATACTAGACTTGATAGGATCATGATCAAGAATTAAGAACGCGATCGGAGCATCGCCGATATCTATTGTGATTATCCCCGCAGCCCAGCTCGACTCCACAACCTCGGCTTCTGCGCGATCTCATCCCGAGTTGCGAATATCACAAGAGTATGTTTAAGAAAGGCCCCCCGAACAAAGAAGTTCGAATGCGCCGCAGTGACACTGACAGTAACAGTAACACAAACAATAAAATAGCCAACGGCTGTCCAACCCTTAACTCAATCCGTTCGCTCCTGAACCGGCTTCTCCGTTATGTTCTCCGTATTTTCCCCGCATTATGTATCCTTCGGCCCATCCAGCAAATAATCGGGGAACGATCTTCCCCGGGTTTTGTTATTATTGGTCGGAGCAGCCCACCCCGCCAAGTTTAAAGACAGAGAAGCCCGTGTGCTCAGTTTCGATAAACAGGCTCCGGACCAGGGTTCTCCGGTCGTCATAGCGTGGGGGGAATGAAGGACAAGCATATATAGAGTGATTTTCTGCATGATCGGGATCCCGTCTGCAGAGTAGAACAACTATCGGCGCAGAATACCGAGATCATTCTTTAGCACCCCATCTCATCATGGGTTCAATTGCGAATTCTTCGCCCAAGGGTGGCTTCGGGCTTGTTTTGCAGAATCCTTACCTTTGTGGTGTTGCTACCGTGAGTAATTACATCGGACATTTTGCTATGGGTACTTGCTGACGGCGACGGACCAGTTTTCTACTCTCGGAGGACTGCTCTTCGGATATGACCAGGGCGTTATAAGTGGTGTAATCACCATGGAATCCTTCGGGGCCCGCTTCCCACATGTCTTCATGGATAGCGGGACGAAAGGCTGGTTTGTGTCGACTCTATTGCTTGGTGAGATCCTTTTCTTTTATGCTCGTGGATTCTGTATCGCATCTCTGACTCCCGTGGCTAGCTGCGTGGTTTGGATCTTTGGCCAACGGTCCTATTGCTGACCGGATTGGACGGAAATTTTCGATCAACCTCGCAGTGGTTATATTCATTATTGGATCAGCAATCCAGTGCTCTGCTATGGATATCCCCATGTTGTTTGTTGGTGAGTATCGTGCCCATCCCGGGTGACCTGATGCCAATAATTTACTTCTAGGAAGAGCAATTGCTGGTCTGGGCATTGGCATGCTGACCATGGTTGTGCCGCTCTACATCTCAGAGGTAGACACTATCTGAATTGAGGTCGAGAACCAGCACTGACTCAAGTACAGGTTTCCATTCCTGAGATTCGCGGAGGCCTGGTTGTGGTCCAGCAACGTAAGTCTCATCCAGTCCAGTTCCATACATCTATTAACAACTACTCAGTCTCCATCACCATCGGCATCCTAGTCAGCTACTGGATCGACTACGGAACAAATTATATAGGCGGCTCCCGCTGCGCCCCCAACGTCCCCTACACCGGTGGGACACCCTCGGCACGCACATTCAATGCCTACCACGATGTCCCACCGGGCGGCTGCACCGGCCAATCTGACGCCTCCTGGCGTCTTCCCTTGGCTATCCAAATTGTCCCAGCCATCATTTTGGGAGTTGGCATGCTGTTTTTCCCAGATACGCCTCGTTGGCTCCTGATGAAGGAGCGCGATGATGACTCGTTGGGTGCGCTCTCGAAGCTTCGGCGGCAGTCTCGCGATAGCCCACTGGTTCTGAACGAATATCTGGAGATTAAGGCGTCTATCATGCTGGAGAATACTTTTGCTAAAGAGCATTTCCCTAATCTGTCTGGCTTCAGGCTACATCTCGCGCAGGTTCGTGATGCCTTGGGCTTTGAAGTGTTTGATATGCTAACATTTCTGATAGTACGTGACCTTCTTAACGACATGGTCGCGTTTCAAGAGGCTGGCTATCGGCTGCTGCGTGATGTTCTTCCAGCAGTTCATGGGTTGCAATGGTAAGTACGGTTCCCCCCATAGCATATAGCAGAATCTAAGGTCCGTCCAGCTATGATTTACTACGCCCCTACAATCTTCGGCCAACTGGGCCTGGACGGCAACACTGTATGTCTTTCCGTCGCAAGCCAAGTTGAAATATCCAACTAACCACTTTATGCAGACATCTCTCCTGGCAACGGGTGTATACGGCATCGTCAACTGCCTCAGCACCCTCCCAGCTCTCTTTTGGATCGACAAAGTTGGCCGCCGACCTTTACTCATGGCCGGCGCCACGGGCACTTGCATCTCTCTGGTGATCGTTGGTGGTATTCTTGGTGGATATGGCTCGCATTTGATGGACCATAAGTCAGCTGGATGGGCGGGTATTGCCTTTATCTACATCTACGATATCAATTTCTCGTATTCGTTCGGTGAGTATCTTACATTATATGGCCGTGAGCAGAAGGGGTTGACAAATTTAAAAAGCTCCTATCGGTTGGGTTCTCCCATCGGAGATCTTCAATCTCTCCATTCGGTCCAAGGCTATCTCAATTACCACCTCAGCTACGTGGATGTGTAACTTGTGAGTTGACATCTACTTTTCATTATTTTGGTTTCCATGCTAACATATATTCTTTTCCTTGCTAGCATCATCGGTCTCGTCACACCAGATATGCTGGACTCCATCACATGGGGCACCTACATCTTCTTCGCGGCCTTTTGCCTGCTCGCGCTGGCATTTACATTCTTCTGCATCCCAGAGACGAGAGGAAAGGTAGGATCTTGCACCTTTTTTTTTTATTTTTGCTATTCAATTTGTCAATTTTGCTTACTTTCCTGTCTTTCAGACCCTCGAAGATATGGATCTCATCTTCGGAGATACAGCTGCCCACGAGGAGAAGAAACGCATCAAGCATATCGAGGCTGAGTTGCGTGGGGCACCTATCGAAGATGATGATTTGAAGGAGCCATTGGATCAGCATAGGGAGACTGTTTGAGATCCGCCTTTGTTAAGGTGGAGGTACTTAATGAGTGGAACTGAAAATACCTATTGGGCAATTCTCTCTTTCATTGATGGTTTACAAATTCGGTAATCATGGGTGGATATAGGGGAATCAAAACAGCCTTAATAAATCTCCACACTGACCTCGGCTCCTCCATCAAGAGAAGACGGTCAAACATTCAAGAGGAAAAATCATTCAGTAGGCGGGAAATTAACCCATTCTGAAAAGTCCATTCCACCGGGAGGGGGCATCGGCATCTGCTGCTCCGGAAACAAAGACCCTGGGAAACCGGGGTCGCTGAAGAGTTGTTGCGGGAAGGAAGGCATAAAGTTCTGCTGGGCTTGCTGGGGAAGAGGCTGTTGGTGCGGGTGTTGTTGCTGGTGTGGGCCTCCAGGGCCGGGTAGACCAGGGAGGGCCTGCGTAGGCGAGCCTATGAGTCTGTTCACGACTTCTAGACAGCGCGTGGCGAAACGATTGTTTCCTATGGAGGGATGGGAGAGGAGGGATTTTGTGGTTTCGATGTCTTGGAGCCAGGTTGGGGCGTCTGGGTTGGAGGGGTCGGTCATTAGGAAGACGATTGGGATGAGGCCGGCTTGGAATAGGAAGTATCTTGATCAAAGTTAGCATTGGCTGATATGAGACAAAGAAGAAAACATACAGCATATACCATGCCCCGATTCTCATGCACACGTAGTTGTCCATATACTCTGCGATAGATGAAATGGTCAATCGCGCAGTCTGCAGGCATCTAACCCGGCACTCTGTCTCGCATGGGTCTTCGGTTCCTCCATCCGGAGTGCCTGGGGGACCACCGATACTGCCACTAGGTGCCCATCGTCTCGCGGCCCAGCGGAGTAAGATAGGTCGGTAGATCAGAATAGTCAAGTTCCAGTTTCTCCACAGGAGACGGTTGCGCACTAAGGCGAGATTTTCCGGGACAATATTTGTCGGCTGGACAGACAGGGATTGTTGAGGATGCTGGATATAGGATGGCAAGCCGTTGTACCATTCTTCCATTGGTTTCTGCAGATTCAGCGTCTCCTCGGGTGTTGGACTGGGGCTCGAGATCAGACGCTGGTAGACGCTGTTGGTAAGGAGGTGAAAACGGGCTTGTGCGATTAAGCCAGAGTAAAGGGTTGGACCGGGTTCTTCGGGCGGGAGAGTTGTTGTTACAGGGGTAAGGGCATCGTCATGGATGTTAAGAACATGCTTTGCGTCCATGACGCTATCCTCTGGGAGAAGAATCGGTCGACCAAAGGTTTTGGCGGCACCACTATCGAAGATGAAGACGCCCCACCACAGCCTCCGGCGGATCTCCCGCTGTAGCAGACTGATTTTCCAACCGGGGAACTCTTTGTGGAGGCCCAGACTCATGGCCATGCGCACTGCCAATCCCAGGTAGTTCCAGCCGGTATTTGGCTTGTTCCGTTTCTGGGCATAGTTGCTCAGTAACAGTAGAGCCTGCACCAGTGTGAGGTTCCCTGTTTCGAATACAGATGCCTGCTGCAGATAACCTCTCGCTTCCTGATAGAAGGTGATGTCGAGGTCCGAACTGTCATCCCCAATGCTCCACGCTCCAAGCGCCAGCACAGTATTTAGCAGAATCTGCCAGGATGTACCATGGGCCCGCAAGGATGGATCGTGGAACTGCGCTCGGAAACTTGCTTCGTGGACAAATGGGTAACTGGTGTGATAGTTGAGGAAGTACGCATCGATGAAAGCCTGCTCGATCAATCCGGATGGAGCAGTTTCTAGAAGCTGTGCTTTTAGAGGCACCCCTCCAGAGCTGGCCGAGCGGACTGGAATGTTGAGATCAAATCCATGATCAAATAGTGCTCGTAGCGGTACAACACTTGAGGATGCTCCGAAGTAGCCAGCTCCTTCGGGTTTGATAGACAATGCCGCCATGCCATCGGTTAAATCTCCCAGCGTAATCTCCTTCTCGGCCCAGTCAAATCCATCGGCCTGCTGTGGCAAGGCTTCTGGCGCTGGTTCGGCCCTTTCTGCTTCCGGCTTGGCTGGGGTCGAGTGTCTTGAGGATGACTTGGACGAAGAAGCTCTAGGCGGAGCATCCGGATTTTGCAGAAGAGAACGAAGTGTGGCATCCAAGTCACCTCCGGGAAATAGTCTACCCAAGGCTGTTTCAAAAGCATGCAAGCGATCTTCAACATAAGTGAGGTGTCTGCGATATGATCAGCTGTTGTCTACTTGGGGGGTCATTTCGCCTGCCAAAACGTACTGTCGAGTGAGAGGGCTTCTGCTGATTTTGGGGCTGTATTTGCACTCCTTATTCAATTGGCGACATTGCAAGCAAACGGGCTTCTCTTTCGAGCACTAGAGCAGGCATGAGATGTAGAAGCGTGACAGTGTGGAAGTTAGCACTTACTCTTGACTTCCTGAGCCGGCATTCATCGCACTGAAATAGCTATTAGCATTTGCGTCTCTTCGGGATCCGTGTTTCACATACAGCAAATGAATGCGAATCGCGTGTGCTAGCCATCATTATCGAGGCCGATCGCAACAGTTACATCGGGTGTCCAACGCGCTGTGATCATGCCAGACGGCAGTCATCTTCTCGCCATTAGATCCGGCCGTCAGTCTAATATGGTCAACTCACGATCGGCGCCCACGAAATCATTGGTCTGGTTCAGCTTGACGGCAAAGCGGCATGAACATCTCCCCTCGCTCCGGTGGGGAAGGTCATGTGATGCGCGGAAAAACCTTTGTGGTTGCCTCAGGCATAGTCATCTTTCAAAGGAGATGATACTATATGGTTGCATCCGATTCTGACAGGATCGGCCGTGCAAGTGATTTCTGTGTTACTGGTTATGACGAGGATCTTGCATAACCCTGTCCTACTTCAAAGGCCGAATGCAAAATCCGCAAACCGAAATGAGAGAGAGTGCATTGTATGGATACATTACTGAACAGTGAATATGGCTAACTAGTTATTGAACGGAGAGGAATAAATAGTAACCAGTTTATTCCCGATCTTCATCAGGTGGAGGTTGTGCAGGTTAAGAAGTATACCTGCAGACGCGGATATATATATATCAGTCGACATCACTCTGCAGAATCTGGCATGACCTTGACATACTATTTACACACCAAAGAAACATTTGCAAAAGACATAATCCATGAATAAATACATATATACGTATAATAAAATGATCCGTACCTGCTGCCAGTGAGGTAGCTCTAATACGTCGTCTCTGCTGCTTTCTATGGGTTGTCTTGGCATCCCGGATCACCGCCCGCATTTTTCAACATCATCTCCGACTATCTCCAACCGCCAGAAAAGTGGCGCCAACCCTACAAAAGAATGCCCTCCCAGCCGGCTTCACCACCGCTCCTCGCGCCATATCTATCCTCTCTCCCTCAATCATCCTTGACCCTGGTTTCTTCCATCCTTGGCGCAACAAGCAACTGGCTAGTCCTCAGATTTCTTCATGCGGCATTAAGCAGCTCATCAAATCAGAATGCCGCATCTGAGCTAGAGACTGTCCAGAATGGCGCGAAGCGGAAAGTGGTGTTTGTGAGCTTCATGCGGAGTTTCGAATTTTGGAAGTCAGAGGCGAAGCGATTGGTATGTATTTGGAGAAGATGATATTGTAATATTTTTACTATTACCTCTTGAGTCTAACGCGTTTTCAGGGCCTGGACCTTGCACGCTTGGCAGACAAGCAGCAATTCGCCTTCGTCGATGGCCTCTCAGAGCTATTCTATAGACCACAAGTCTCTTCCACCCCCGCTTCTGCTGCCTCCCCCGCTGGCCGGGGGAGCAGCACTCCTCGAACAACTTTGCCACTGCGATCTCAACCCGGACCTTTGCCAGGGAGATCACCACAGTCACCAGCGACAGCACCAGGCGGTGGTGGCATTGCGCCGCGAAGCCAGACAGAGCTGGGCGTGGCGAAGAAGCTACATTTTTCCGGCCGCGGCACGGCAGCCCTCGATGCGCTGGAAAGCGACATCGTCTCTGTGATGCAGCAACTTAAGACTTCCACAGAAGATGGCGATGAACTGCTTCTCATCGTCGACCAGCCGGACTTACTACTTGCCACCACAGGACCGACTCTGGGAATCGGAGCGACGGAGATGGCGGAGTGGGTGACTGGATTACAGCAGCATGCACACGCTACGGTCTTGACTATGGCAGCGGACTCGCCGCTGATACATAATGTTTCCGTGTCGGGGCCTGGAGGCCACCTGCCTGCTCCGATTGAGACGGAGCATGCAGGGTTTGCTATTGGGCTGGCGCATCGGGCACGCTCCGTTATGCAACTGCGTACTCTGGAGACTGGGGTTGCGAGGGATGTTAGTGGGGTGCTGAGGATAAGTGCGGGCGGTGGATGGATTGCGGGCCAGGATGATAGTCCGGAGAAGGAGGTGTTGTATTATATCCAGCGGGACGGTGGCGTTAGGGTGTTTGGCCGGGGCGAGTCTTAGACGGTGTACTGGGTTAGATGTTCTCGAATGTCATCCGAGAGTAGAATGGGAAGAGAGATATCTTCACATTGTATGTGTCACGACATAGAAAGAGAAACAAGGAAATTCATGCATGCTTTCCACTCCGACTTTATTTCACATCTCCATCAAAACACCGCCGTTCCCTCGACTCCCCACCATCACTGTCATCCAGATCGTGCAGCGAACAGACGAAAGAATCGACAGGTCTGCCATACACACACCACCGAGGAAAGAAAGGATCATTCATATTCCGGAAACGGCCAAATTGCATTTCGAGCAAGCTATGAGAGTCGTAATGCTAGGGCCATTGTTCATGCCAGGATATCTCCCCATCTTCATTTTTCTTTGCCTTTTTTCCAGCCATCTCCGAGAACGAAAACGCGACGCCGACCGAGCGGATGATATCATTCAAAAAGAACATTTAGTGGTTCTCGGGACCACGGGCGCCCTTGGGGGTGCCGACCTGGAAACCGTTCTTGAAGCGGCGGTGCACGTCACGCAGGGAGCGGAGGCGGCCACTGCCGGTGGTCTTGCGCCGCTTGGCCTTCTCGCCCCAGTTGACTGTGTTTTCGGTAAGCCAGTGTTCAGTTCAACAACCGTACATTTCCGACACAAAATTTGTATCCGAATCATCCGGGTGGTAGGGGGGATTGCATACACTTGCGGGTCTTAGCAGAAGGGTAGCCACAGTTGGAGCAGGTGTGCTTCTGAACGTGGAGGGAGCGGCGGCCTAAACGCAGTCGCAAGAAAAACTCGTCAGTCTCACATTCCTTCTTCGCAGCAAGTTTTATATCCATTTCCCATTCCCAATCCCAACTGTCGTCGTCATCGTTCAACTCATTCCACGTGTTGTTGTAGAGATTTGCGACTTCGATTCGATCGGGACTGGATGGTGGACAAAAACTGGTGGGATGGAAATACTAACCACACCGACGGCACAGAACGTGCGTCTTGTTGTGGCGCTTGCCAAAGCTCGAGGTACCCTTCGCTGTAATGGTTGTCAGTATGCTGCTGCTGCACTGTCTCGTCGACGCGGCGGATGATCGCAGTGGTCGGTGGGTTCGTGGTAGGACGTACTCATTTTGGATTAGGGAACTGGACGAAGAAATTGATGTTAGCGTGATGGGGGAGTGCAAGAGCGAGGGTGAGTTGAAGTACCTGGCGATTCCGTGGAAGGGGCTGGTTGTCGGGATGTCGTCGTCGGGCGGATCGAAATTGGCGAAATTGATGGTAGGAGAATCGTCGTGGGCTCGGTCAGGTGATAGGGTTTGCCCTGTCCCGTGATTACGAGTCACATGATATAAAAATTTATCACGTGATATTTCTCAATATGGCAGGAACATCGACATGTAGTTATTCAATAGTAATTTCCGAGGGTATTTTGTTCAACCCCAAACGCCAAAGATGTTATAGTTACAGGTCCTGACCAATGAACTTCGCCATTGGATCATCCGCCGTCAGCCGGCTTCGTTTGTACGAATCGATCTCCTCCTCCGTGATGCCCGACTTCACTTCCGCCAACGTGCGCTTCTTTGCGTTGACCTTCTCCTCTGCCCTTGTGTCTACTGGTTCTGACTCGAGGGGTTCGTCCGCCTGATCGGGTGCCTCCTCGCCATTCTCGGGCAACATCAACATGTTCCCCTCTTCCTCAAACGCCTTCCTGCCCTCCTCTCCCGTACAGTAGCTGTTCTTCACCGTAGAGTAGCAGCAGGTGTAGCCCCACTGGAACTCATGCCACCAGCTACCCCACACAGAAGTATGGTTGTTGATCATGACATCCTCGGCGTATTTGGATTTGGTCGCCTTTTTGGGTGCACCCTTGATGGCACCCGATTCATCGTACTCGACAAATCGCTCGTTCTCGACAACCATCGTGTCGCGGAGAGGAGTTGATTGGAGATGTTCGAAGCCGCCATATTTGTCCAACAGAGCCTTGCGCTGCGCTTGACGCTTGGCCTCGCTGTCTGATTTCTCTTTCTTTCGAAGAACCTCGCCGGAGGTCGGATTCGCTTGAAGGTGAATCTGCGCACGACCGCTTTCCTGAGATTCCCATGCATAGGTTTGTGCTTTCTCAAACTCAGCAGCGTCACCCGAAGCGCGAATGAAATTCTCCTCCGCGACCAGTGCCGCCGCTTGATCTTCCTGTGCCCCCATGTCCACCATTCGTCGCGTTTTCGGATCGTATTTGGCAGAATCGAGGTCGAGGTTGAGTAGATATTTGGCGGTGTCTTCTCGGATACGCAGGTTGCGGGTCGCCGTACTTTGTTGCCGACCCATGTCGGACTCCTCAGCGTAGCGAAGTTCGTCTGCAGGATGGCCATCATCGTCATCGTCCCCGTCCTTGATCAATTTGAGATCTTCTCCCTCTTTTGCCGCCCGCTTCATTGCCTCCAGCTCTTCATATTCGTTGACAACCTTGCGGTACTCGCTGGCATCGTATCCGTTCCACCGATCGCGTTTGGCGTCCCATCCCATGTCGACTGTTTGGATAACTTCATCTGCCTGGATATCCTTGCCTGTCCACCTGGCACCCTGTTTTCGAGGTCTGCTGAGGCATTCTTTCGTCTTGTGTGTCATCGCACCGCAGTTCTCGCATGCGCCTTTTCGGTACTTGGTCACAGCTGGACCCACGCGCTTTCCTCGATCGTACCATTTGGATTGTTCTTGTGTTGCTTTTTGCAGACGCTGGTGCTCAAGGTAGTCGTTTCCAGACTCATCATCGACGTAAAAGGGCTTCTTCGAGATGAACGCTGGAATGTATTCGTTGCGCTCCTTCGACGCCACATCGGCGGGTTTGCGCGACATGGTGGAAGAGGCCTGCCGAAAGGCAGGAAAATAGGGCTATGAGAGAATGAGAAAATAAAAAGAGGCCAAGTCCCACGAGAGCAGTGAGGGAGTGAAGAATGAATGTCGTCGGATGGTTTTCCAAAAGGTCGAGACTTGGCGGCCAGAGACCACGTGACCTGGCGTTCTCCCGCGTGGCGCGCCTGTTATGCCTCTTGCTCCGACCCAACAGCAGACACACTGATGAGAGAATCCGTCGAGACCTTTTTTGCGCAATGTCGGTGATCTGTTCGGTCAACTCACACCAGACCGATGGAGCCCTTTCGAGTGCGCCTCAACTGCATCGATCACTACCAAGCATCCGCGTCCGCATTGGACCCTCCACTGCCTCGCTGTGATGGAGGGCCCGAGGATAATTTCAGGCCCAAGGTGCCGGTGATTCGTGTGTTTGGATCGACCGAAACCGGACAGAGAGTCTGCGTGCATGTTCATGGCGCGTTTCCTTATCTCTATATTCAATACGACGGTCCCTTGACAGCCGAAGAAGGTTGGTCCAGGATGGACCCTGACGTTTAACGATTGACTAAATTTAGCTTCTAGTGAACTCGGCTAGTCGGACCCTGCACCTATCTATTGACCATGCTCTAGCGATCAGCTATCGGCGCAATGCGTACGATAGGAAGACCGCCTTTGTCGCGCACATCACCTTGGTTAAAGGCATTCCCTTCTATGGATACCACGTGGGATATCGGTTCTTCTTTAAGATCTATCTCCTCAACCCCTTTTACATCACTCGCCTGGCCGACCTTCTACATCAGGGAGCCGTGATGAAGCGTCCATTGCAGCCTTATGAGAGCCATCTGCAGTACGTTCCGCAATGGATGTGCGACTACAACTTGTACGGCTGTGCATACATGAACTGCAGTAAGGTCACCTTTCGTGCTCCGGTACCAGAGTATCTCGAGCTCAGTAACCTGAGTCACCGTTGGCATGACCGGTTAATTGCTCCTGAAAGCATTTTGGATGACCCGGCCCTCCCAAAACAGAGTCACTGTTCACTGGAGGTGGATGTCTGCGTACAGGATATTTTGAATCGTTCAGATATCAAGGAGCGGCCCTTGCACCATGACTTTTCGGAGTTTTTGCGGCCGGTTGCATTCAACGAGCGGCTCGTGCCTAGCATGGAGGGCCTGTGGCAAGATGAAACCCGACGACGGAAGAAACGGATGGGAATCAGTGATCCCGGAAGCAGCCCATTTGGCCCGGATGAACTGGTTTCAATGTCTGCCGACTCAAGAAACCAATCAGCTGGAGGCTGGGTCCACGAAGAAGAATATCGTGAGATGGCATTTGAAATTGCCGCCAAGGAGAAAGAACAAAGCGACGCGAAAGAGTCAACATTTGAAAATTTTCTTGACATAAATGAACTCGCGGGAAATGTGAAGACAGCTCTGGATAGCGTCGAGGATTTTTATCCTGATAATTTGGATATCAGTACCCATCGACAACAGGAGGCTCCCGCCCAGCAAGCAGTGCCTGAAGTCTCAGTTGATGAAAGCTTGGCCCTGTCTTCTCAACCCCGGGAAGACCCTTACTATTCTGATTCCGGTGACTTTGACGACTCCTTCCTGGAGGCTGCCGAAGAGGAAGCGCGAGATGGCGTGGAAAATCCTCTGGAGGAGAGCTTTGATGATGGGATATTCGATGATCTGTCTCAACTGGATGCTGCAGCACCCAAAAAGGACATACAAACGAATTCGACAACTGAATCATCAAGTACCATTGATCCCAACCACGTGCATGTCCTGTCAAGGGCCAGGAGCATCTCCACTAAACGGCCGCACTTTGAACTCTCCGATCGCGACCAGCGTTCAAGCAAAAAGTCAAAATCCTCCAACGAGTCTGCACCCCCTGCTGCCCAAAGGGACTCGGCAGTTTCGGCTAAGCGGGACGAGGACACAAGGACCCGCGAAGCTTCCTTCAATGCTGATTTCATGCCACCGTCATCGACGCCAACTTCTTCCTCCTCTCAGAAGACAATTCGTCCTAAGAAACACCCGTCAAGCAGCAGACTGAACTATCCAGTTGTCAAGGACCCCAATGACCCCCTCACAATTCTAAGATTCAGTCAGGATGATGGCCATTCGTCGAAGAAGGACTCGCAGTCGTCTCAAACTGCGTTCCCGCCTGGACAGACTACGAACACATCAGGAAATACTGGCGAATCAGAAAGCTCCTCGCAGCTACAGTCTTCAACAGTGACGGGCACAGCCTCTTTAGATCCGCATGTGGCGGGAGTAATTGGAAAGCTCCATGATGCGTTTGGAATACCGCCAGACTCACCCTTGTATTGCTTTCGATTCGCTGGTCCTGGATCCACTGAGGTTGCGTCGACCATGAATGACTATGGCCGGCCATCTGTTGTCTATCAGAAAGCCTATTACAGCGATCCGATTGACGTGCCCGAACGACCACGTGAGTATGGTGGCCGAGAATTTCGCCTAGAAAGCAACACGATTCATTATCTACCCGAATTTGATCCATCAGGGGAAATGCCTGGGGTCTTCGGTGAACAACCCTCGGTTCTTTACGACCGAGACCAGCAGGAGAAAGACGACCAACAACTACGAGAGTTGTGTGCTGCCAGGGTGTGGGAGTTTGCACCAGTTCCACCCAGTCGATCAGAAGTGATTGAATGGTTTGAAAATAGTCAAGTCTCCAAACAAAACAAACAACCCACGAAAAGTCCATCCAAGCCAGAAATGAAGCCCAATGTTCTTTCCCAGATTGAGGGCCCAACGCAGAACAACACTTATGGATTCAGATACTCCCAGAAGAAAAAGTCTACCAGCGTGGAGCACCAAACCCAATATATGAGCACTATGAGCTTAGAGGTGCATGTGAATACTCGCGGGTCTCTCTCCGCCAACCCGGAGGAGGATGAGATCACCTGTGTTTTCTGGGGCATCCAGTCCGAAGATGAGGATGTTGAGGTCAACAGTCATCTTCCTGGTGTTCATGTCGGCATGATCTATCAGGGTGAAGGCGAACGCCCCGAAGCCAAAATCTCTAAATCCTTGACAATTGAACTTGACCACGAGACATCGGAATTGGATTTGATCAATCGTGTGGTTGATATTGTCCGCTATCACGACCCTGATATGATCACTGGCTATGAGGTCCACAATGGGTCTTGGGGATACCTGATCGAGCGAGCTAGGAGAAAATATGATTTCGATCTGTGCCATGAACTGTCAAGAGTGAAATTTGACTCGCGCGGAAAGTTCGGCAAGGAGTCTGATCGATGGGGCTTTGAGCACACCTCATCAGTTCAAGTGACTGGTCGACACATGGTGAACATCTGGCGTGCCATGAGAAGCGAGCTGAATCTTCTTCAGTACACGATGGAGAACGTGGCTTTCCACCTCCTGCATCGCCGAATCCCTCACTATTCGCCCCAAGTCCTCACACGGTGGCACCAGAGCGGCAAGCCTCGGCACCTGGTCAAGGTCGTAGACCACTACATCTCTCGCGTGCAAATGGACCTGGAGATAATAGAAGCAAACGAACTGATCCCACGGACGAGCGAGCAAGCGAGGCTGCTCGGGATTGACTTCTACTCTGTCACCTCGCGCGGCTCCCAATTCAAAGTAGAGTCACTGATGTTCCGAATCGCCAAACCCGAGAATTTCATTCTCGTGTCTCCTAGCAGGAAGCAGGTCGGGCAGCAGAACGCTCTCGAGTGTCTGCCCTTGGTCATGGAGCCGCAAAGCGACTTTTACACAAGCCCACTGCTTGTCCTTGACTTCCAATCCCTTTACCCTAGTGTGATGATCGCATACAACTACTGCTACTCGACGTTCCTGGGCAGGGCCTTGCATTGGCGCGGTCAAGACAAGATGGGGGTCATAAACTACAGACGCCAACCGCGGGTGTTGGACTTACTGAAAGATAAGATCAATATCGCACCGAACGGTATGATGTATGCGAAACGAGAGGTTCGCCAGTCGCTCCTTGCTAAGATGCTCACGGAGATCCTGGAGACTCGGGTCATGGTCAAGAGTGGCATGAAAGTCGATAAAGACGACAAGGTTTTGCAGCGGCTCCTGAATAACCGACAGCTCGCCCTCAAGCTGATTGCGAACGTCACGTACGGATACACATCGGCCTCTTTCTCTGGACGCATGCCCTGCTCCGAGATCGCCGACAGCATTGTTCAGTCCGGGCGAGAGACCCTCGAGAAAGCCATTGCATTCATCCACTCTGTCGAACGGTGGGGCGCTGAGGTAGTCTACGGAGACACAGACAGTCTCTTCGTCTACCTCAAGGGCCGTACGCGGGACCAAGCCTTTGATATCGGCGAGGAAATCGCCAAGGCCGTCACAGAGATGAACCCACGGCCTGTGAAACTCAAGTTCGAAAAAGTATACCACCCGTGCGTGCTCCTAGCCAAGAAACGCTACGTCGGCTTCAAATACGAGCACCGAACCCAGACAGAACCCGAGTTCGACGCAAAGGGCATCGAAACGGTCCGCCGTGACGGCACGCCCGCCGAGCAGAAGATCGAAGAGAAAGCACTGAAACTCCTCTTCCGTACCGCGGATCTGAGCCAAGTCAAGACCTACTTCCAGCGCCAGTGCGCAAAGATCATGCAGGGCCGAGTCTCGATCCAGGACTTCTGTTTCGCGCGCGAGGTGCGCCTCGGCACATACAGCGAGAAGGGCACGCTGCCCGCCGGTGCGCTGATTAGCACCCGCAAAATGCTCGACGACCCCCGTCTGGAGCCGCAGTACGGCGAGCGCGTGCCCTACGTCGTCGTGACTGGCGCTCCGGGTTCGCGACTGATCGATCGCTGCGTTGCACCCGAGACACTTTTGCACGACGCGCAGCTCGACCTCGACGCCGAATACTACATCACCAAGAACATCATCCCGCCTCTCGAGCGGATCTTCAATCTCGTGGGCGCAAACGTGCGACAGTGGTATGACGAAATGCCCAAGGTGCAGCGTATCCGACGCATT